GCTTAAGATTAAGATTAATACTAAGACTAAGATTATTAAAATCAATATCTATAAGAATCTATTCTTCTTTACTACTACTATTAAAAATATAAAGCTTATCGCGAATAGTAATTAATATACTTTTATTATTAATACTTTTACTTATTAAGTAATTTTAGAAATTAATTATAATTAGTAATAGCGTCTAACTCTAAAATATCTCGCTAAAATTTCGTATTAAGTTTATTCTAGATAAGTAATATATAATTCTTTATAATATCTATATCCGCGTTTTAAACTACTTTTATAATCGTTTAAATATACTCTTATAACTTTTAATAACGAGTAACGTCTTATATCGAATACTTTTCTCGTAGTAGAACTATTATATCTTAAGAACGCGATAATTTTTAACGTGCTAGTAATAAGTAATATTATTTATTTATATTATAAGTAATTAAGCGTTTATTATTCTTAGTTAGCTTAGTAGTAAATTAAGTAAATATAATTTCTCTTAAATAGATTTAGAGATTTTATTATAATAATATATTACTCTTAGCTCGTATTATATTCTTAACTTAATTAATAAAAACGTATATATCTTGAAAGAAGATACTCTTATTAGAGTATTCTATTATCGAGATAATATTAATAGATTTATTCTTATAGAACGAATTAAAATAATTAATATTATCTAAATTAAATCGATTAGCTCTATTACTACTATTATCGCTATTTTTAATTAATTTTAATTTATCTAATAGCTCTAAATCTTCTAAAGATTTAAGTAAATCTAATATAATATAAAATTCTATTATTATCGCCCGTAGCTTAGCGAGCTATACTTTTGTAAATTCTTATATTATAATAATAGATAGCTAAGATTCGATTAATTAATTATAAATAGCTTTATTTATTAATATAATAATAAACCTTACTCGCGTAATTAATTTAATAAATAAAGAAATAGATTATAATAATATCGATATATTATCTATCGAGAAAGGCTTATAATATTTAAAGAAATATTAGATAATTAATATAGCTCTAAGATTTATTATATAATCGTTAAAGGCTTTAATAGAATATCGAAGTAATAAGAGATCTATCTTTTAATATATAGAAAAAGAGCTCTTCTAATATTTATTTAGATCTTATAATTATTAACTTTAGATATATATAAATAATCGTAATATAACGGGCAGTGATTGCTATTTTACGAGGAATCTCTTAAGCTCGATCGGTGCTTTTCGTAAATACTTAAATTTAATATATAATATATATGAGACTGCTAGTAGAATAAAGAGTAGATAAGATATTTTCGAAAGCTAGTATAATAGTAGCTATAGTGTCTAAAGAGATAGTAGAAGTTAGTTTAACGTAGCTACTAATAATAATATAATCTAAACTAATTTAAAGAAGACGTTATTTAGAGAAAGAGGTCTAAATTAACATTAGTATTAGTGTTAATAAAATACTAAATCTACTTATAAGTATAGGCTATTAATGCTTATAAGTAATTAGGATATTGCTATTATATTATTATAAATTAAGTTATAATGTGAAAAGAAGATATATTCTTACTATCTAGAAATCTGCTTTAGTAGAGAATACTCGAAGACGCTAATATATATTTAACCTAGACTCTCTAAGCCTCTTAGACCTAGTAGAAACGACTTTACTAGAGACTTCTATAAAAGGCTTTCGTAATGCTATATTAATATATTCTTATAAAAGTATTAATAATAAAGAGTATCTACGCTAATTCCGCGAAGTCGAAATTAAGTTTTTTATAAGTTCTAAGTATTTTATTATCGATTAAATAAGAATTATTTATTATATATAATTCTTACTAGATAATCTTAATATTTAATAATATAAGTATTATTAAATCTATAATTTAGAGAATAAAATCTTCGAATTCTTTAAATAGTTTCTATTTAACTTAATAGCGAATTTAATAAATCGTTATCTTCTTATTTATAAGAAGTATTAATTTATTAGCTAATTATAAGATAGTTTTATTACTTAATTAATTAATATTATTTATAATTATCTTAATTATATTAAATAGCTAATTTCTATATATTTAAAATAATTCTTTATACTCTTAATAAGAATATCGTCTAATTTAATAATTAAATTCTTAATAAATTTCTAAAATTAAGATTATTTATAATAATAGAAATTAAATTATTAATAAGAAAGATAGCTTTCTTCTATTTATTAAAATAATAAATATCTTTAAATTAATCTTACTTTTATCTTATTATTTAAAGTTAAAATAGAATTATATAATTATAATATTAAAAAATTTAAAATTTATAATTTATATAATAGAATATATTTATAAATTAAATATATTAAATTTAAAATACTTAATTACTATATTCTTAAAGACGAATATAATAATATTATATATTATATATTATATATTCCTTTAAATCTATTCAATTAAAACGATTTTTATATTTTCTTTTAATATATTTAATTCTTAATTTAATTAATCTTTAATATAATAATTAATAAATTTTAAAGTTAATTAATAACTATTATAATAGATTAATTTATATTTATATCTCGAACTCTTTAATCTTTATTTATAACTAATTATATATAGTTTTAAATAATATATTAAGAAGATAATTTACTTAATTAACGAGATATATTTTATTAATAAGATTATTAAATAAATACTTTTTTCTTAAATAAAAGATTAAAAAGAATAATTACTTAACGATTTATAATAATAGAAGTAAATAAAGTATTATATAGAAAGTAAATAAAATTTAACTTAACTTAGAATTAAAGCTTTTATCTTAGAATTAAAGCTTTTATCTTCTTTATTAATTTAATTTAAAACTAGAGTTAAAATTCGAGTAACTTAAAATAATCTAACTTTATAAATTTTATTTATAAATCTCTACTTATATTATCTCGTAAGATAGTAAGTTATATTCTCGAGTATTAAGTTCTATAGAACTATATAAATAAAAAAGTAATATTTTATTATTCTTTTACTACTATTAATTATAATATTTATATAATTCTATATAAATATCTTTCTATACTATACGCGTCGACGAGTATAAGATTAAGAGATTCTCGAATAATATTAAGTAAATTAAAGACTAGAAAGCGATCTATGAAAAGCGTTCGCTATTAAATATTCTAAAAGAAATTACGAAGAATAAAGTAAAAAGCGCGTTAAAAGTTATAATATTAAGTATTTTTTCTCGAATTAAATAAGTTATCTCTAATTTAGATAATTTATATAAAGAATTAAAATAGATTACTATAGTAGTATCTAAATTTATAAATAAATCGCTTTATTTATTATATATCTATATACATCTATAAATCTAAAAAGTTTCTATAAAATTTGAAATTGCTAATCGCGCGTTAGTCGCGGAAATTATAAAATCCGTCGAATTAATAAATCTAATTTAAATTTATCTAAATTCCGCCTAATTAGTAACTATAGTCTACTTTTTACACGCTATCTATCGAATTAGTAAATCTAATTAGAATTTATCTAAATTCCATCGATTTAGTAACTATCTTAATCTTTTTCGCTAGTTCTATTAGTTTAATAGTAATACGTATAAAAAAAGAAAAGTTCTAATAATCGACGTTATGACGATAAGATTTTACGACGATAAGTATTAACGTTAACTTAAATTTAACTATAAAATTAAACGATTTAATAAAATTAGTCGCGTAGATAATACTCTAATATAGCGTATAATAATACGTATATTAATAATAATATATATTAATATTATATATATATAGAATAGTACTTAGAGTATATTAGAGTATATTACGTAAAATTTTTAAAGTTGCTAAAAATTTTTAAAGTTGCTAAATTAATAGAACTGGCGAAAAGAGTTAAAATAGTTATTAAATTAATAAAAAGGGTTAGATATAGATAAAGTCTACTAAATAAACTAAATCGTACTAAATCGTATTTATAATACGAACTCGAGGAAATTATAGAAAAGGAACTCGACGGAAATAAAACGAAAAGGATTTTAGATTTATAGATATAGCTATATAATAAAATCTTCTTTACTCGCTTAACTAGCTCTTAATGTAAAAATCGAGAAGTAGCGTCGAAAGTCGATATTTATATAGAATTTATATTATATTAAACTTAATATTTAAGAATATAACTTATTATTTTATTAGTATATATAAAAGAATAAGATAGAGTTAAGCTTAAAAATCTTAAATTTATATATATAATTAATTATTAATTTAAATTCGCTACGCTTTTTAACTAGATTAATTAACTTATCGCGAGTAAATAAATTAGCGTTTATAATTATTAAAATCTCGTTCTTTCGCGCCTCTCTTATTAAAAAAATAAGTATATATTATTAATATATAGAATAACTTTTTTATTTTCTATTAAAATTTTAAAGATTTTTTTTTTAATTTTAAAACGCTATTTATACTTTTCGAATTTTTAAGAATTTTAAAATTTAGTCTTATAATTATTAAAGCGTAAGAAATTTAAATATCGCTTATTAAAGTTCGCTTATTAAAGATCGCTTATCTACTTACTCGAAAGCCCTAATTTTAAAAAAAAAATTATATAATTTAATTTATAAACCTTTACTCGTAAGATAATAGAATAATAAAAAATAATATAAAAAGAGTAAAGAAATAAATTAGAGTTAAGATATAAGTAAGTTTTTATTTAAAGTTATATACTAAGTACGCTAATTAAATTAAATTCGCTTATCGACGATCCTCGCTTAAACCGTCGGCCGCTACAGAACTCATAGAAGAGAGCCAACGCCTCATCATTTTCGTCATAGCGGCAGTTGAGCCACAGTTAAGGTAATTAGATCTGCCGCTAGTGAAGGCCGCAAGTCAGGATGTCCAGGGACTCCAGGCAGTGTTACAGTGTTACCAGGCTCTGATGAATTCTCTCACATACTTCGATTCTCCTCATTCCCAACTTAAATTTCGGATTCTGTATATTTACTTGTGATACGGAAATTATTGCAGCTATGTTTCGAGCGCAGCAGAATGCATTCGATGACGCCGTCGGTAAGCTTCTCCGTCAGGAAGCTCCAGGCAGTCACTGATCGTAGGACAGCAAAAGCAACCGATGAAAACCTCACGTCAGAGAACTGGGAGTATATATTGGTATGAGACGAAGCTACCTCTCCTAACGTTGGCATGATCAAATGCTGAGAACTACTAGGACGTTTGTGATAGAGTCGGCGCAGAAGACTCAGGGTTTGTTACAGCCATCTTGACACAGCATTGACGCTCAGGCTGATTTGGCTATCCTTTAGAGCAAAAGATGCGGTTGCCTCCATGATCAAACGTCTTGCCCACCGAAATGCGAATGTGCAGCTCTACACACTGGAGGTACGACTATCATACCTGTGGACGGAGAAACCGGTGCTAACAGCTGTGATGAAGCTAGCGAATGCATGCTCCCAAAATTGCGGTCCAAAGATGCACAGGGAGTTAGCTTCGAGGAGCTTCACAGATGCACTACTACGACTGGCGGGCGATAGGGTACGCTGTTAAGGCAGAAGTCGGCGAGGCTACGTGCTGATCTACATTCAGAATACACATCAACAAGTGAAGGCTAAGATCCTAGAGCGCATGGCAGAATGGTCAGAGGAGTTCTCGAAGGATCCTGACCTGGGCATTATGGACCAGGCGTATATGAAGCTGAAGACTCAAAGTATGCCTGATCACTGTGTCGAAGAATCGAAGGCTTATCCCTAACAGATCCGAATCTTTACCCACCGTCCAAGCCAAACAAGCGTCAAATCACAGATGTTGATAGACAAAAGGAGGAGGAGGAATTACAAATGGCGCTGGCACTATCAATCAAGGACAAGCCTGCGGCCGGACAAGCATCTGGAAAGGAGGCCAGCCCAGCATCATCTTCGACAGCTGCCGGTCCTTCGCAACAGATGGCACCCGCACAACCTGTGTCATCAGGCACGACCGCAGCTACAGTTTCAAGGGTGCGAGCATTATTCGACTTTCAGCCTTCAGAAGCCGGAGAATTACAATTTCGCAAAGGTGACATCATCGCTGTGATGGAATCAGTTTACAAAGACTGGTGGAAGGGCTCGTTGAGAGGACAGACCGGTATCTTCCCGTTGAACTATGTCGAGAAATTGGCGGACCCCACTCAGGATGATCTGCAGCGAGAGGCGCAAATGGAAGCTGAAGTCTTTGGAGAGATCAAGAACGTGGAAAAACTTCTGACATTGCTAAGCACCAGCAGTTCAGAGCTGAATGTCAGGGATAATGAAGAGATCACGGAGCTTTATCACTCAACGCTGGCGATACGACCGAAGCTCATTGAGCTGATTGGGAAATACTCGCAGAAAAAGGGTAATGATTCATCAGGCTTCTTTAGAGATCCCGTGCTAATGGTTCAATGAAGACGACTTTACGCAGCTCAATGAGAAATTCATCAAAGCACGGAGGGATTACGAATCGCTGCTGGAAGCTTCGATGTCCCAACCTTCACAGCCTCAGTATGGTCGCCAAAGCCAGCCACAGTATGGGTTTGATGGTGGCTATCCACAGCAGGGACCACCTCCCCAACAAGGTCCTGGTCGCTATTATACCCCTGGTCCGAACGGTGTTCCTCCTGGTAAGCTATAATTCTCGGAGGACTCTACTATTACTCACAACGACAGACTCACGCACCCCAAAGCCGCAGTATCCAGCTCAGAATGGGCCCCAACCGTTTTCATATGCCGGTCAAGCACCACCATCCCAGCAACCGCAATCACAATATCCAACTCACGATCCTCGCAACCGAATACCATCCGGTAACCAGGGTCCACCCTCATCAGATCCCTATTCCCACCGCCCACAATCAACCTACGACAATCCGCAAGAGCTCTCCTCATCTTCCTACGCAAGCCCCACAGACACCCGGCCCCAATCATACCCCCCTCATGTCCAACAATCGAAGGCCGAGAGCGAGTACTCACCCTCCCTCCACTCTCCTACAGACGGCGAGCCCTTTGGACAAGCGCAGCAATCTCAAGCACCGTACGCCAGCCAACAAGCTCCTTACCCTCACACTCCCGTGGGCCCTCCCTCTACCCAAGACCTCTACGCACCGTACAACCAAGCACCACCTTCACAACCGCCGCCTCAAGCGCCGTCTCCTAGCATGGGCCAGAACCCATATCCGGTCCTCAACTCGGGACCACCTTCAGGCGGGTACCAGGCATATCATGCTCCGCCGCCGCAACAGCAGTCGGGCTATGTTGCTGAGGCGCAAGGGAACCCAAATGATTTCTACAGGTAACCGATGACACATCGAGTGGAAGCATGGCGTTCAGGCGATCAACATATAGCCGTGTAACCTTACCATCGAGCTTACTTGTGAAAAGAATCATCATTCACGCCATGCAGTGCGCAATATATTCATTTCAGTCAAGTGGATGAATACAAGGGGAATCTTGGCACTACAAGACGACAGATATATGCCCCCACTCATTCGACGCTCACCCGTGGCTAACGTTCTGATGCTAGAGTCGCGTCATACTGTGTTTCTCTCACTTCCATTGTTGTGGCACCCTCACTTATTGGAACATCAAATTGGCACACTCACAACCACTGTGACTTCGACTCAGAATTTTGCGGACTCGCACAACTTGTGGGAGGCACCACCAGCTATACAGCAACGGGAGGATGAAAACTGTCCACATCTGCTGAGCGTGAACGTGGAGATTCGAGACTACCTCGGGACTCACCCTCGGAGTTGATATGGAAATTTTAACGCGGACTCAGGAGTTGGCTCCAGGCAGTCAGTCATCTCAATCGCCCTCGGACGGTTACTATACAGCAGTTTTGTTGTATGAGAGTCCATTCGAGAGCAACAGAGGACTTCTCCAGCTGATGCCCTGGCCTACCGCGGACTATCGTGAATTTTGTGACGTCAACGATTAGGATTTGTGGTATACTGCCGCAGTCGATGCACACGTTTTAAACCTCATTGCTATATAACATGCCCCGTGACCTGGTAGCAAGAATGTTCTATCCTACTTGAGGTCGTATGCTTGCTGCTAAGTTCCACGCAAGGCGCAAAATGGAAACCGTGGTATACGGCAAAGGAGCATCGGCTGCCACACTTATCTAAGCTTGAACGGGGGACACATGGGTGACTATCACTTTCCTTCACACCATTCATTGCTACATAGAAGAGTATGGGCGTTTTAGGACACGAAGGGGATCTCAGAGTACATACACTGGAAGTTCGGAAAGTTTGTTCTGGCGAGACTCCTGCGATTGGGGGGAGCAACTTCTGGGTGAGGGTATCACTCGGAAGCGCAAAGATATTTGAAGGAGTGGAGAGCGAGCACATGAACGATAGATACATAAAAAGCTTCAATTCAATATATCTTGCAAGAGCTCACCCTTTGTAAGGCTAGGATTCTGCTTGTTTGAAATGAAAGGTCAGAATAAAAGAAGAAGCTGTTAAGCACCACTCGCAAAGGGGGTTTCTCTTGACTATAAGAGTCCATGCTCCTTGCCCAAGTGCAAGTGCCGTTTGTTGATAACAAAGCCCAACAGAAAAGTCTTGGCAGATTCCAAGTCTCCTAACGCCACCCTTTCCGTCCCGAGCTAGCGCCCGCACTCATGCCATCATCCCGCCCAAGTGGCGTCGAGTGCATATCACTCACGATGCGTCAACAACATCACCACCCATCCCTCACTCTCTCCACCCTCTACAAAACCCCCCAAACCACATGCGCGTCCCAACCCTCCCGACCCTCATCCGAACCCTCACCCTCACCAATATCACCGCGACCCTCCCCCGCCTGCCGCAGTCGCCCTTCGCCAACGGTCGCCACCCGACCCGCCTCCTCCTCCGGTCCATGCCCAGCGTCCCCTTCCTCGGCTCCCTGTTCGGCGGTCAGCAGTCCAGAGACATGACGGACTACCCGGTCAAGAAGGGCGAGGACGAGTGGCAGGCCGTGCTGTCGCCGGAGCAGTTCCGCGTCATCAGGCAGAAAGGCACCGAGGCGCCCTTCACGGGGGAGTACGATCGCCACATGCCGTCCGAAGGCACCTATGTGAGTCCTCTCGTCCCATCCCGCTCCATCCATCTATGTACATAGCCAAACCACCGGCCCTCAATGCGAATTGAATCAAAAAGAAGAATCGCCCCCCTTCTGTCCCTCTCTGACCCCCCACCCTCACAGGAATGCGCCGCCTGCCACACCCCGCTCTACCGCGCGACGCACAAGTTCAAATCCGGCTGCGGCTGGCCCGCCTACTTCGACTCCATCCCCGGCGCCGTGACCCGGCACACCGACTCCACGTTCGGCATGGCGCGGACGGAGATCCTGTGCAGCAAGTGCGGCGGCCACCTGGGCCACGTGTTCAAGGGGGAGGGCTATCCCACCCCGACGGACGAGAGGCATTGTGTCAATAGTGTCAGTTTGAAGTTTGCGAAGGAGGACCGGGAGGGGAAGTCCGGGGTGTGAGATGGAGATGGTGGAACGAAGGGGGGTGGGGAGGAAGGGGTGGGGTTGGCGTGTGTGTGGGATGGTGCAGGCAGCAAAAATTAGTAGTGGTAGAGATTCGTGAACAATACATTGTTTTCAACCCTAGAGTGTTGTGTCTGCGTCGGTTGGTTTGGATTTCAATTGAATTGAATTGAGTTGAGCGTAAAACGTCCGCTCAATGATTCTCACTCATGACTTGTCATAATATACACAGATCCTCAGTTCGCTGAGGGTAATCATCTTCCCTCTCTCTCTCTCTCTCTCTATCCAGAAACTTCCATCGCTCACGCACGGTTCGGAAGCCACTCCAGCTTCGACGTTCTCGATCCTCAAAACGCGCTGCGTTGACATCATGAGAGCACTGAAACTGGCCCCATGTATTCCGGAAGCTCCGGCTCGCTCATGTACGACTGCGTCGATGGGCGTTGTGTATGCCCTGCCCTGCTCAGATCTTCAATCTTTGCTTTCGCGCTCTGAAAGTTGGACCGAAAAGAGCCCAGACACGTCCACTACGGACGAGCGATGAGCAATGCTGGCTACTCATCCAAAGCCTCAATCTCCGAGGTCCATCTCTCGCAATCTGTAAAACACTTTATGCACAAACTCAACACCGAACTCATATCACCACATGTCATCATCGGCCGCCCTTCCCGGCTCATCGAATTGGCTCTGCTGGTATTGGTAAGGATTTGAGAGCTGCGGGTTGTTATATCCTTGGCGACGTTGTTGACTCCCAATTGCTTGATTTGGATGCCCATTGCCACTGTCCTGACTATGCTGACTGGCTCGCGACTGCGGGCGGTGTCTGTTATCATGGGGTAGATCTTCATGTTCGTAGTCATCCATGAAGCTATCATGTTGTTGTACTGGGGCTAATGCTGGTAGCGTCGGTACTTGGGACTGCAGAGCAGTCACTTGCGATTGGACCGACGCGGCTTGTTGCGCTTCATCTTGTTCTTGTTGTCTTTGCTGTTGCTGCTGGGTTTGTCAGAGGTGCATGCGGAGTCGACAAAGGAAGCAACGCTCACCTGCTGATACTTCTGATACTGTGCGAACTCCTCCGGCTGATCCTTCTTCTGCTGAGCCGCCTGTTGCCGCTGGGCTGCAGATTGGGGAAGTTGTGCCTGGGGATGCATCTGTTGCACCTTTGCGAGATAGGAATACCTGAAATCATTAGTCCCATTGACGAACTAGCTCTCTTCAGTGCACCTACATGAAGTTGCTAAGCAACACCTGGGAATGCAATGCGCGGCGGGGATTCGCGAGTTTGATATGCGCCATGCGGTAGATCGCCCGCTCCTCTAGAATGGAGAATCGTGTCCAGTTGTAGTCGATGTCTGGTTTCAATATTCGCATTGGTGGTTCGGGAGAGAGGTTGCGTGAGAAGTGCTTCTTCCCCTTAGACTCCTGCTCTCCCTTCTTCTTACCGCCTCCGAATATTGATGAGATGAACCCACCTTCCTTCTCTTTCTTACCTTCATTTCCACTAGATTTCCGGGAGCTCTCTTTCTTTCGTTCTTCTTCGAGCTTTAGGTCTCCGCGGTCAAGTACAATGCTTTCTCGGCCTCGGCTGCCTTCCATAGTAGTCTGCAAGAGGTCGAGTCTTGTATTGTCGTGCGACTTGTCTAATGGTTTACCGAGCCGCGCCCTTACTTTCTTTTCTTGCTTGGCTTCCTCCGCTTTTCTCTTCTCTTTTTCCCTTTCTTCATTCCCTAAGAGCGAGCCCCAACTCCAACTTGATTTCCGGCCACTATCCGCCTTTTCTTGATCGGCCTTTTCTTTAGCCTTTCTAGCCTCTGCAGACTTTTTGTCCTCGGTCAACGTAGGGATGAAAGACAAGCTGTCTGTACGCGTGTTGTTTCCAGGTAGAGGAGAAGGATGGGAAGTCATATCGCTCAAGCTCTGATTGCTCTTTATACTTTGATTTTGCCTTGACTGCGGAGTCCATTTCTGAGCTCTGGACGGACCTGCGGATGAAGAAGCTGAGGGTTGGTGGATAGGCGGCGGCTCATGTGATGTTGTTCGTTCAGGGACGAAGCCTTTTCTAGACGCCGGTCTTGCCTCTTCGGGAGGTGTTTCAATAATGTGCGGTATCCCCTTTCCGAGCGCTTCTGGGGTAACACCTAATCTCCCGTTCGAAGCAATCTGCGAGACAAAATGCCTCGTGTGCGGGGCTATACCTGGTTGGTCCCGTAACTCTGAAGACTTGCGGTCCGTAGGCGCTTCATCAAATGACGAGGACAGCGATGTTCTTTGTGACACTCCTGGTGGAATCCCTGCACGCCTATTCATTCGTCCAGGTCGGGAGAAGTTCTCCGTAACTCGCTCTGGAGGCGGTGTAGGTTCTGTTTGGGCCCTCGAAAGTTTCTCGAAAGCTTCGTTCTGTGGAACGCTTGGTGCCGAAATCGGTGACTCCTCGCCATCTGTAGTATCTGACCTGAAGGCTGCACGTTTTGACAATGGGCCTCGTTCACCCTTACGTAGACTGCCTCCTCTTCGGTACGTAGTGCGGGTCGATCGCCTCAACGAGTTACCCCCAGATGGAGCGCCTGGTAGGATTGGTACATCGTCTCCGGGAAGTACTTCCCCACCTTCAGCTCCAGTCTCCAAGCTCAGCCTCTGCATGATCTTCTCGGGTTCGTTGACGAGAGCCTCTAGGTCTTGTAGATTTGTGATGCCTGTACTCAATACTTTGTCCCCTGACTGCGATCTCTTCCGATCTAACACCTCAGCACCATCTTGATATCCATCCGCGCCTCGCCCCCCTGAATTGTCAATCTGCCTCGACAGCATAGATTTGCGCCTCCTAAGACTGGCGTTTGAGCCTCCCGGTTGTAAGCCATCTGGCGAAAGCGAGCTCTCCTCCGACCTCCTCTTCAGAGATTTGACCTTCTTATCCAGGAATGTTTTGAATTCCATTGGCGCCAGTTCTGGATGCACACTTGCAGGAACCCAGTACAGTCTAGATGCATCATCCGGATCAGTATCCATTGGCGGCGCGGTAGTCATACCGAAGTTTGAGGGAAAGGATGGCAGATCCGGATCGCCAGAAGCGTTTACGTCCATAGACATCCGCCGTATAGCAGCTAGGTTGCTGAGCTCCTGAGCCACAGCATTGGGGTTGGATTCGTAGTCGATGTCGTTAAGAGGGAAATGAGTGCTTGCCGTGTCGGAGTTGGTGCGGTGCAACGAGTTGCTTGGTGACAGCTGCCCTGCCATGGTGGGTGATATTGGCCCACCCTCGCCATCGCCAGAGTTGCTCCTGCTCGCCATCATTCTACCTTGTCCGTTGACTTGTGTAGGTGTTCGCTCATTGGATATGTTCCGGACCAAAGAGTTCCGTGCGTTTCTAAGGGACTGTGGAGGAGAGGGTCCAGCTCTGGGTGGGGGTCGCCGTTGCGACTCTGATGTATTTGGTAGGTTTGCTGGGTTTGGCGGAACAAAGCCTAGAGGTCTTGAGTCTCGTCTCCCATTCTGGTATTCCCCGTACAAGTCCCCAATCGCTTCAGTTACGTGATGATTGTCGTCACTTATAGATAACTGTGGCACGTGCCCCCGCCTATTCGCTGCATGGTTCCCGTCAAATTGATAATTCCTGAAGGATGTCTGTGGAGAAGAATGCCCAGTAAGCTTGACACTTTCAATAACGGTTTAAACTGCTCAACGGTAGTGCTTTGTTAACGGTGATCCCGCCATTTTACAGTCTTGGAAAGAACCGCATATGGTGCGGATAGGTATTCAGGAAAGCAATGCAAGGATTCTCAACTACCAATGACTGAGACCATACCTGCATGACGAAGTCCAAGAATGTGAATCGCTTGTAGCGTCAAGGGCGCGGCAAAGTGAGGAGAGGTGCGGATAGTATAGCATTCAGATTCATAAAAAGAGTCATTAGAGTATCACGATAAGAATACAGTTGTATATTGAAGGCACTCTGACCGATAACACACAGCCATGTCTAATTTGTCCCATGTGAATTATGAAGTCCAAAGTGACCAATCCTGGCCAAGCTCTTTGACCCGCTGGGTCGGATCAACTATATACCGAGGGCTGTCTATACTATTAGAGGCTAAAGAAAGGGGTGTACTCCGTAACTCCGCCCTCTTTGATTTGGTATCATGTTAGTGGTTCAAGCTATTCCATTTGCTACATGCTTCTCGACGTATGTATCTACGCCCAAAGGCATTCAATAGAACGTATACTGATTGCGTATAAGATCTGCAAAGATCCATCTGCTGGCATAATTCTACCTCGGCCGAGGTCAGTGGTCAGTATTGGCCCATCAGTATTGTCCAGGCGCTCTCTCCACCCCGGACGTTGGAGCTCCAGTAGTGGGACTGTATCCCGTGCCTGCAGACTTTACCTCGCGATTCATCTGATCATAACCTGACACAGTTCCTGCACCCGGTGTAATCGATGCGCCTTGGTATCCAGTTCCTTGTTTGGGTAGGCCTTGGGTTTGCACCTGAGCTGGTTGTTGAGTCTGCACCGGAGCTTGTTGTCTAGTATCCTGATACTGAGGCGGCGCTTGTTGCCCTGACACGTTCCTACTTTCAACAGGACTCGAAGGCACAGAGCCACCAACAGCACCCTGCCCTGATGCTTCACGGATGGTGGCCCACCATTTCTCTGCATCAGCAGGCGACTTGGCTCGGAAAGCCAACTCATGGCTCATGGCAAGTTTAGAGCCCACTTTGCCCTTGGAGGCGTCCTTGCCTTTGACATTGAACTTTTCGCCGTCGATGCCGCCAACTGTGCAGTCTGGGAGATAAAGAGAGAGTTCGGGAACAGGATCCTTTTTATAATCATCGTCGTCTTTGAATTCGTGTAAGTACTTGGCCGGTGTAACAACGTAGTAGCCAGCACTGTAGCCCTTGAGTGCCGCACGAGACTTGCGCTCAAGCGAACCAGCAATGAGCGGCCGTGTCGATGAGTGGTTTTGATTCGGGTAGGATATATTAGATACGGACCGCTTGGGCACAGAAGGGTCTATCAAAGTGTTGCTGTTGCGGTGAACGAAGCCCTTGAACTCGAAATCAGGGGGAATCCGTTGGGCGGTAGAGATGATGTCCGAGTACATAGCTTTTTGTCTCTCGGATTGTCCAGAGACGCATTGGAGGAATGCAGACATAGCTTGTTGAATTGTCTGGATGACATGAGCTTCGAACTGCATGAACGAGTCTTGCACTGCAAGCAAGTCGTTGCGATTGTTGTTTTCTTCCACCACTTGGCTATTAAGACGATGGTTTACACCACGTTGAAGGATGTAGGGGTCATTTGAAGCTTCGACCTTCCCCCCGGACGAGGCGAAAGCGGCACTGTGCTGGCCCAGGAGCTCAATGTGCTTCTGAGTTGTGTTCCTTGCCTTGTCGACTTCCTTTGAGCCCTTGGCAGCACCCTTGGTCAATTCCTTGTTCTTGTTCTTGATTTCGGAGTGTAGACGCTCGAGTATTGGCAAGACTGAGCCTTTGAGGTTCTTCTCTGTCTCCAGATGAGAATTGGCAATGCCCTGTAGGAACGATTAGCAACGACATTGCAGGACCTTTGAATATTCTGACCTGAGTATTAGATCGTATGCTCTCGAAAAGACCGGCAACCCCGCCCAGGCTTTGATCGAAATGATGGCCTTCTTTCAATGGGCTAGACACTGTCTGCGATAGAATCAGCACGGCCTGGTCCAACGACGAAGGGAGCTGTGCGTACCTTTAGGATCTTCTCGTACTCCTTGGCATGTGCCTTTTCCACCTTCTCTGTCTCGGTAATGTAACTCTCCAGATATCCAACAGCGTGCTTGTAGGCTTGAAGTCTTTCGAGGAGCAAACTGGATGTCTAGCCAAGATGTTAGCATGGCCGCGTTAGGCACGAAATTTGAGATATAACAAACGTCGCTAGGATCGGTGTCAGGTACGGCTTCATCGTCAGAAACAGAACCTCCGGTTTTTTTATACGGTAGGCCTTGACTAGCCATGTCTGCGGTTTTGGTATGATACTCTTTATGTGGCGACTAGAACAATTGAACGAGTGCTGGTCTGCGTGCTCTACTGTCCTTCTATAGGCAGATGCCTAAATATCTTTGGTTGAGCGACCTCTAAAATTAGTAAGAGCAGATGGGTACGGGGGGAGGAGGAAAAGCGCAAGACGAAGAGCATTGCATGTTGAGAAGTTGAGATGTGGGCAAGAACGTTTCGGCTAGACGTCACCTTGCATGGGAGGGAAAGCAACATGAAGACGGTCACCTGCGAAGCTACTTCCAACGGCCAGGACTGTCCAGATGCAATTCAAGATTACGGAAGGCTAACACTATGTCGAATGACAGTCAATATTGAATGTGGTTATATAGATATAATGCTCATCTACCGAATCCAACGCAGAGGGGAATCTTCGCTGGTACATGCCCAAAACACCCTCAGCTATGCAACAATTGGACCTTCACCATGAAAGTGAAGCATGTGTAACTTTTGGAACGATACAAAGACCTTACATGCAAGTATTGTAACTCTTTGCGTACTTCTCCAGCAGCAATCGCTTTGTCCCAAACAGCGTTTTATGCAAATCCTCTTAAGGCTCTCTCGTAGCTTGATGAATGTGAATGCGACTTGGCGCCTGTGGCATTGCTGGTGAGATTCGGGGTGTACAGATAGCACTTTGATACGTCGGTAGACCATCGTTGACCAGGGTTCTGGGATTGGATTGTAACGCTGTCGTGTAGCTTGGAACCTTTGCCAGGCTTTCCGCGCTGTATTCGATGTGCTGAGGTGTCACTGGACCAGAAGTCACTTCATCCTCTTCCGAAACTCGTCGGGAGACCGGGGCGCTAGTGCTGGGACTATGTCCACCCAAAAAGTAGCCGCCGCGAGGGAGAGAGCTTTGTAGTGTACCGGCGTCATCCGTCCTCGCAGTCTCGAAGGAACCAGGTTCTGTACCGTCGCCGGAAGTCGACAATTGCGAGCGGTCTCTCGCACCTCGATTGGAGCCCGCTACATCTAGATTGCTCAGACGAGACTGTAGTACGCTTGCGCCGAAATCACTGGCTGCAACTCCGTCCATCGATGCCAGGTTCTCGGTTGAGACGCTTCGACTTCGTGACTGGAAAGGAGTGGCCCTTCCACTGGCAGCTCCAGCAGGTGTCATGTAGCCGCTCGGATCGATGTCGCTGTAGAGTTGATCGAATTGATGTTCCCCGTACTGTGGTGGGGTAAGATCATCCAAAGCTGCGGAAGCACTCATAGTTTGTGGCCCTTGGTGTACCAGATTGTTGTTATCGTCAATGGGCATGTTTGGAGAGATGAAGATGAACAAGGGAAGTGTTGCATGTAGCTATTACTTGTCAGCAAAATGGCTTGCTAAAATGGATTTTTCTCATCGACACTCACTTCTGATACGTGACCATCCGGATTATGCATCTGAACATTGAAATTCAAATTATGTCGAATCTTGATCCCAAGGGCATCGACCGATTGAAGACATTTCCTTAAGCTTTGTGGTATAGCAAGGGTCCTGGAAAATAGGTATCCCTCCTGTCCTCCGATGTTCTCGGCCTCGACATCATCCGGGAGACGATGCTCATCTTTTGCAATAAGTCGAATGATTTCACGACATTTCCTGGGTGTTCGGGGCCCCTTTATGGTCATCTCCTGTCTCTCGTTCAATTCTGTGGTTATCTTCCCAATCTTCAGTCCTTTCAGCAGAGGTATCAATCTGAAGTCGACTTGAACGGTCGTGCCAAAGATCACAGCTTTTGTAGGTGTACTGAGAGAGTAGTTGACCTTAGCCGGCCACACGTTTTCAACGGACTAATAGACATTAGTGACTGACTGGAAACCCATCGTCTTCTCGATGGGAATTACCATTGCATGGGCGAGCTCGAGAGCCCCTGTGTCGAGTGTTCGAATGATGCGAACTTGCTTCCGAGCCACCGAGTTCTGCTGCAACATGCCTCGTTCTATTGTAGCTTTCATGCGATATACAAGCCACGTTTCTGTCAATCCCTCGACGCTCTCTGGCGTCGAACCTGGTAGGATCATGTCAAACGGGTATTCGTAGTTTCCAGCTGGGAGCGTTTCGGAAGATCGTTTGCCATTATTTTGGAAGTCCCATGTACGTCGTAAAAATTCCTCTTCGTACTTGATGGAGCTCGCTCCGGAGCCGCTCGGCTGGAACCAGCTGCCAAGTGAGTCAGCATCCTATATGTCTCCGGCGTGTGTGTGGTCTAGGCTGACCCAAGACGCCTCTCGCCCGTGAAGCGCAATCTTATCCCTTGTATGCGTATTGGTTCGGAAAGGCAGAGGACCAGCGATCCTTTGAGGACAACACTGGAGGCTTCGTATTCGGTTCCTCGGAGGATCAGGTTGCTCTCATTAAGCCTGGATTGAGGAGTCCCAGTCAGCAACGGCCTCGGAACTTAGCAAGCATGTGAAGTTACCTAATCTCGAAGTACTTGACGCTACTGCTCGTCTCCCTGCTGCTACTTCCAAAAAAGCTGGGTGCCATGGATGCTTCGACGCTTGCTCTTGATCAGTATGTCGACACTTTTAAAAAGACGGTGAATGCAACAAGTCGACAACCATGACATTGCCATACAAGGCAACGCTCAGGGAATACTTGAGGCCAAGGTAAACGTACCAATGAAACAGGAGAATGGGGAGTCTGGGCGGACGAATTCCGCTCGGACTGGAATGGCGAACGATGTCAACAGTCTCGACAGCAAGAAGAACACTCTAATGGAAGAGACAGATGAAATGAGAGAGGATTCAAGTCCAGAGAATTGTGAGATGACAGTGATAACGAAGAAGGATTATGTCGCTCAGGACAGGTAGATAGAGGCAATAACAAGAACAGTCATCACATAAGTTGGAACAAAGAGATGGCAACTCGCAAGCGGCAAGAAGAGTAATCTGCCGCTGCCGCTCTCAAGACACCCAGTGATTCACTTATCTTGTGACGTACTGGCTCATCAAAAAAGCATCACATAATTAATTGATTGCTTTGGAAAGGCAAATAATGGATGATTGGAAATAAGTTAAGGAAAAACAAAAAAAAATGGTCCAGTTCATAGTTTTCTTATCGGTAAATGCCGGGATGTGAGGTTGGCCGCCACCACCGCCGAAATTGTTGCCCGCTCCCAGTTCCATTTTTTGTATTTTTTTTTTTCCTCCAGCCTGGACACCCGGTACCGCGACAGACCGCACAGCTGGAGCACCAGGGAGTGAGCTGGAGGTACGTATTTGGTTATAGGTAGTTGGTTAGGGTTTATCACCACCGCCGAAATTTGACCGCACAGACCGCACAGACCGCACAGCTGGAAGCACCAGGGGAGTGAACTGGAGGTACATGAAACGAAACAGCAAGTGCTCCGTAACCGCCACCTGACAGATTTTGTACCACGATGAGTAGAGGACGAAGAAATCAAGGGAACTCCCTGTATGCCGCGAATTGGCAGCGTCGCACGTACCACCTACCTGGTATTCAATTTCACAATTGTCCAGCTCGCTCCTCTATCAATAGCCACCCGTCCTGTACTGCAGACCGAAATGAGCGCTCGGGTCGGAGTCAATTGTGGAGCAGGGACAACGCCTACGAATTGGCGCTCACTGGAATCTCCTTAACGGAGACATCCATCGTGGGCTTCAGGTAACAAACAGCCTTGCGTGAGCGGCGCAACGCAACTACGCAGGCTCCTCGATTTAAGACGCTTCCTGAGTGTTGCTCTCGGCCCTTAGTCTTCGAGACACCTCCAGAAACCTTTCCTTCGGCTCCTTGCCGCACAATTCATATCAGGCCAAATGATCTGTTCAGCTCTTCTTTCCTTCAAATGCATCGAAAATGGCACATAAGGTACTTCTGCATACGAGCTAGCTCTGTCTACGATGTTAAAGTTGAGCATTCAAAGGTGCAAGAGAAGTGGCTCGTTCAGTTTTTGCATGAAGGACGAATCTGGATTATCCTAGTCATTTGTTGACAACTACAGGACACATCATTTGGCGCATTAGATGATATTTTCCCTTCAGAAAGCTGCTAGCGCCTTCATCTTCTTGCTCAGTCTTTTCAAGATGTGCATATTTGAGATTCGGTGACCGCATGAATTATGGCTGTTATACAATGAGGCTACCTTCGAGCAGTCGCTGGCTTCTTGGTGCTTCCACTTGGTATCGCTGTTGCCCGCTCAATTAAGGTTGATCACTCAAGATGGGTGAGTGAACCCCAGATCAATCCAGGACTACTTCGAAAACCCCTCCTCTATTCAAAAATATCTCATTCACTCTATCCTCTCCGCCGTGCACTTTCGGAACGTACGAATCCCCATAGAACGGAGAAATCTCTCAGCCTCTAATCAGGCGCGAGTAATCAAGGACTCAGGCAATCCTGAGGTCGTTTCCAGACCCTCACATGTCCCTCCACACACGCAGTAATAATACACTCCTCCTCAAACCCAACCCAACTCAAAGGATGTTCATCAATGGCCTTTGACATCACAGGCGGCAGCTCCGCGGTCACCGTCCTGCTCTCCACCTCATGCTCAACAAACTCATCTGCATCCACACCATCGTCATCTAAACTCGAATTTGATCTAAATCGATTCGTAGCTTGGCTCTCCGTACGGTTACGTCCAACAGGAATATTCGACGAGATACTCGCCCTGTTGCGTATGGATGCTGCCTTCGGCCGTCTCAGCATGCCAACGTTGAAATCCCACAATAGTAGTCTGCGGTCTTCGCCTACGCTGCCGAAACGGTAGTTACCATTATCGCAGCGCCGCGGGTCGAAAGCGACAGCGGTAACCCAGCTATGGTGACCGGGGCAGCGGGCAACGATGCGACGTTCGGCGAGGGACCAGATCGAGACCAGATCGTCCTGGCCGCCCGTTAGGATGTATTTGCCGTTGGGAGACCAACAGACGCAGTTGAAGGCGCCGTAGTAGGAGGGGTAGAGATCTGTAAGCTGTTCTTTGAGGTAATTGATGATGCGCAAAGAGCCGTCTTCCGAGACGACAGCAAGGTGGCGGCTGTCAGGTGAAAAGCCAAAGTCCGTGATGCGGTGGTTAGAGATCTTCCATGAGGCAACAGGGTTTGCCTTTTGGTTTTTCGAATTGACGGACTTATTGATGTGGAGGGGTTTTAGGTCAGGATCAAATGGGTTGTGAGAAAGAGTTGGAGCGCCGTTGGATTCTGGAATGAAAGCGGCATCGTCGCGCTCTTTGTCATAGACTATCAAGCTGCCGTCCATATGAGCAGCGAGGAAGAGGTTTTCGGAGCCGGGAAGCCATCGAATCTGTGATACTGCTGATGTGCTGATGATGTTCTGCGGTGGGTCAGTGTGGGGTGGGCACTTTGGCTAATACTATCTTACATTTTTATTCACGCGGACGTACTTCTGAGAGTACGCTTCGAACCATACAATATCTCCAGTCGAGGCGCCCATTATAACATCGATGTGGTTAGGACCTTTGGTGAGCGAATTGATGTCATGGCATAGCATATGAGCTTTGGCAAAAAGGATCTTCATAAGGGGTTGTGCCTACAACTCGAGTCAACAATATGCCTACTAAAAAACTTCATGGATCATACCCTAGCAGGGGTAGGGGATGAGAGATCAAGCCATTGATATGCCCTATCTATGTTCGCAAACACAAACATGCCCTCTGGATTATGTTCTTGCAAACGTTTATTCAGCGAATCATGTGGTATGACCCTCGATATAAACTGCGAGTTACTTTTCACTAGATTTGTCTTCGGTTTCTTTCTCTTCACACCTTCTTTCCCAGCAACCGGAGTCAAAAGAATATTATCTTCACCAAACACCGGAGTCCGGCCTGAAGCATTGCTAGACGGCAGCTGTGTCATCGCACCATTGCTATTTGTTTCATTCGAGCTCCTCGACTCATTTTCGCTCTCCTTGATACTGTATGTTCCCAAATTCGACCCAGTGCTCGTAGATGTATTGACTCTATAGAGCTGCAGTGACGATTTCCGAGGGTTTGTGATACAGATTGTGAGTTTGATGCCTGCTTTTGGCGGTATAGGTGCTGTAGCAAGAGGATTGGGGTTGACCGTGGGGGCGTCTTGGGGATGGGGTGGGGGTGTTGCGAGGTGCAGGTTGTCCTGGAGGATGTATGTGCCTAGTGCATCGTGTAAGAGAGGGTGTTAGGGACAGGGTGAAGGGGACCTTGTGGATTCTAACCTTCTCCGACGGACAGCTGAAACTCGGGACCACTGGGATGGGTAAGGACATTGCTCATTTCCAGCACAGTCTGTCCATTGGTCTGTCCACTGGGGCTTGCAGTGGTTTGGGTGATAGGGTACCGAGGCGGTGGTGGTAGGACACTTTGGATTTCCATGGTCAGAAATGATTTGCGTGCTTTGGAAAGTTAGCACTTACAACATGGTGAATTTGAACCTGTAGCTGAAACCGAGTGGGAGGACCCTGCGTCAGCTGCAAGTATGGTGGCACGGGATGGCGTTCGGGGGGGTGATGCACACTTGAGATTAGATATACATATGAAAATGGTGCTCAAGTTCTATCAAGACATATCATGTACATGGAGACAAATAAAGCATGAAAGAGGATAAGGAGGTGAGTTTCGACGGAGGGTATCGCAGGTTTGGGGGTTGTCGACACCATTGGTGGTGTTATGTTTGGTCCCCCATGTGGGGTTAACGCTCGAGGTTTCGGGCTGCCTCGTGCCTAAACGCCCTACCCGTAGTGCCCGAGTCCCCGGGTTTGGTACCGAGCGATCCGTCGATCTTTCGGGCTCCAAGAGGTTTGGCTATGGGCATAGATAATGTATGATCTTGTCTACCAGCGCCAAGCTTCGGAAACTTGCGCGCTCTGATAGAAGCTTGGTCAAATCAAGCACTTGCGTTCGGAGGAGTTCGTGTCGTACCTCTTGAGATTGATTAGCTATGGGGTGAAGCTATGGCCACAGGTAACGCAGCACTAGCCATTCATGAAAAGACATCCGCAAAAGACGAAGCTAACATCTGTTGAAGTGCGTATATGCCTCTGTGGTGACGAGGGCACTGGAAAATCAAGTCTGATAACGAGTCTTGTGAAAGATGTCTTTGTGACCAACAAGATCCAGCCCGTCCTCCCTCAAATCACCATCCCTCCTAGCATCGGCACGCCTGAGAACGTGACAACCACCATCGTGGATACGTCAGCGCTGCCGCAGGAGAGAACAAATTTGGATAAAGAGATACGAAAATCCAATGTCATATTGCTGGTCTATTCGGACCACTACAGCTATGAAAGGGTGGCGCTCTGGTGGCTGCCGCATTTCAGATCACTGGGTGTCAATGTGCCGGTGGTTCTATGCGCCAACAAGTCAGATCTCTCGACAAATATCAATACGGAGCAAGTCGTCGAAGATGAGATGCTTCCTGTCATGGCCGAGTTCAAAGAGATTGACTCCTGCATCCGTACCAGCGCGAGGGAGCATCACAATATTAACGAGGTCTTCTTCCTATGCCAAAAAGCGGTCACGGACCCTATAGCACCGCTATTCGACTCCAAGGAATCCTGTCTCAAGCCAGCTTGTGTCTCTGCACTTGAACGGGTATTTTACCTTTGCGACAAAGACCAAGACGGCTACTTGAGTGATAAAGAGGTATATGACTTCCAGACAAAATGCTTCGGCAAGTCTCTCCAAGAAGAAGATCTGGACAATATCAAACAAGCCATCTCAAAATACTCTGCCTCTGCCGTAACTCCAAAGGGTGTAACTCAAGAAGGCTTTATCCTCCTTAACAAGATCTTTGCCGAAAAGGGCCGCCATGAAACCATCTGGATCATCCTCCGCACATTCCACTACTCCAACAGCCTATCGCTCCACTCCTCGTTCCTCCACCCCAAATTCGACGTACCCGCCAACATCTCCGCAGAGCTCTCCCCAGCCGGCTATCGCTTCTTCGTCGACCTCTTCCTGCTCTTCGACAAGGACAATGACGGCGGTCTATCCCCTTCTGAATTCACTTCTCTCTTCGCGGCGACTCCAGGCCTACCCTCGACTTGGTCTGACTCCGCCACTGACTTCCCGTCCTCCACCATCCGCAACGAAGCTGGTTTCATCACCCTTCAAGGCTGGCTCGCTCAGTGGAGCATGACCACCTTTTTCTCGCCCAAAACCACGCTCGCCTATCTTGCCTATTTAGGCTACGATCCACCCGACCGACAAACCACATCCGCTCTGCATCTCACTAAACCTCGCAAACGCAACCATCGCGGTAAGAAGCTTGCGAAAACCGAACGCAACGTCCTTCTCGCCTACATTCTTGGCGCTCCTGGCTCGGGCAAATCTTCCCTCCTTGACGCCTTTCTATCACGCCCATTCAGCCCAACATATCACCCAACGATCAAGCCCCGAACGGCCGTCAACAGTGTGGAACTACCAGGTGGGAAGCAATGCACCCTCATCCTCGAAGAACTGGGTGAACTCGAACCCGCCATTCTCGAAAACAGTGCCAAGCTCGCGGCCGCAGACATTCTAGTGTACACCTATGACTCCTCCGATCCGGAGTCCTTCGCCTATATCCTGCAACTTCGCTCCCAATACACTTACCTCGACCAGATGCCCTCTTTATACATCGCTATGAAAGCAGACATGGACAAATCTACCCAGAGAGGCGACGTGCAGCCAGAGGAGTATACCTCCAGCTCGGGTATGGCGAAGCCGTTGCATGTTAGTGTGACGTGGGGTAGTATCAGTGAAGTGTTTGTCCATGTTGCGGAGGCGGCTTTGTGGCCTGGAGGTGCACTGCCGAAGGGGATGGAAGGGGAGGAAGAGGTTGATTGGGTGAGGTGGTGGGTTGTGGGTGGGGCTGTTGTCGCCGTTGGAGCAGCAGTCGCTGGCATCTGGAAGAGAGCGACGAGAGATTAAAAGTTTGCCATGTATTCCATGTAGTACATGTATTATGTGACGGGGTAGGATCGGGCACTTGAATGGTGTTTCTCCACTAACTCTCAGGGTATCATCGCTGAACGCCGATGCAAGCTATAATAAAGATGGCGAATATCTCCCAAGTTTCCCCCACATATTTAAAATGACGATCAAGACAAAATATGCCTGAAACATGATCAGCCGTATGACATGATCGAGGCCAGGATATTCACCCTCAGTGAAAACCCTTCGGGATCCTGAACTTCGGTCCCAACTCGTTAGCCATATACTCCCCCATACCCTCAGATCTCCACACCAAAATCTGAATCTTCGACGGCTTTGCCTCTTCCACTTCCTCTACCTCCTTTCCCTTCCCCTTCCCCTTCCCACTATCCTCTGAACTGCTATCCTCCCCTTCAGAAACACCACCCCCCTGGGAAACATCCCCCCCTTGAGCAACATCACCCCCGTTGGAAAGATCAACCCCCTTGATCCCAGCGGCAACCTCATCCGTCTCCCCCACAAACTCCTCCTTCCCCTTCAACGCCGCCAACAACGTCCCCTCCCTCACATGCGTCACCGCCCCCACCAAATCATTAACCTGCACGATCAAGCAATGCAACCCGCTACCGTCTTCGTTGATCACGGCCTGGAGTATCGTAGTGCCGGGCGTCAAAGGGTTGACCGTACGGCCTGTCTCTTTGATGGAAATGTCGTTGTGCGCCCAGGTGTTGGCGGCGAAGGCGGCGAAGCGTTTGACGGCTTTGACGTCGGCGGCGTGGTCGTGGCCCATGATGGTGCCGGCGCGGGAGAAGAAGCTGTGGGTGTGGGGAGTCAGCTTTTGCCTAAGGGGTTATTGGGTCAGGTAGGGTAGGTAGATTTACGCAAAGTGGGAGGCGTTCTCGTCTACATTCTCGGACAGGAGGTCCTTCATCGCTGCCGCATTGAGCATGATTGTGGCGGATTCGTCGACGTAAGGACGTCGATGGAGAGGGTGATTGATGTTGTCGAGGACGTAAGTTTGTGCTGTTTTCGGGAAATGGAGGTTGAAGTTTTTGATGGCTGGTATACGAGACTCCTTTGATCCGGATCTGAAGGCATGGAGGTTAGCTCAATATGATCTTGAGATTGATAGTAGGAGATAGTGATCTTACAGAACGATTTGAAAGGACTACTCGCTAAAGGCTTTCACAAACCGAGAAATGAGGCAAGATAGCAGAGTGGAGTTATAGATAGGGAAAAGGGTGTGTATGGGTGAGAACAAGGGCTTCTCGATACTTCTTGCAGTGAACAACAAGGTAGGATACTCGCCTTCAAACAGCGTTGCACAGTATTCTTTAGTTATTTCTTGCTGCATGGATCTCAAAATTGTGCTATCAGAATTTCGATATGTCTTTTAAAGTAGACTACGGTTAGATTTAGCGCAACGAGAAGATTTCATGAGACCAGACCTTGCTGTCACCTTGGAGGGGGGGAAGTGTACATGGGGGGGGAGATGCTAAGATCTTACAACATATGCCTATTGCACCTCTGCACAATTTTTATGCAACAGCATATCCCCTGCACAAGAGACTTTTGATACCTTACAACCTTACATACTTTAGGTATGTCGCTGCCGGGAGGATAATAAGGTACTTTAGGCACAACCTTGCAATCATTCTCCTCCAATGAGGGTCTTTCATTTCAATAGTTTTGCCGCTTCAATTGGTCCGCTCGAGCGGCTTCCCCGCATGAAGACTAGCTGTCTTCCCGGCGCGGGACATCTTAGCATGCACGTCATGGCCATCGTCACCGATGGACTGACTGAACAGCATCACATACTTCAACTGCTTTTCGTGTACATAGAAGATTAATGTTTACTTTCAGCAATCTACTCAAGGCACACAAGACTTTAGGATTTCCACAATTACGAGCACCAGTCTCGGTGTATCGAGCCTACGCAGCCATGGCTACTGATCCGAAGAAGTACAGTCTGAATCGTAAGTATCCAACAATTGAGATCGCATGGTAGACCTGACCAGTTCAATAGACACGATGCTTCGTGTGAAGGATCCTCAAAGATCGAGTAAGTGTTTCCCGGTCTCTCTTTTTCTTTCCCGATGTCTGATACTTTGCCCAGTCAAGTACTACGAGCTCCTTGGCATGAAACAGGTCAACAAAATAGAAAACCCCGATGCAAAATTCGACTTGTACTTCCTTGCCTATGACAACCCCAAGAGTCTCTCCGCCGGCCAGCACTGGACCGCCCGTCAAGGCATCCTGGAGCTAACTCACAACTACGGCACCGAAAAAGACGACAGCTTCAAAGTCGCCAACGGCAACTCCGATCCAGGCAAAGGCTTCGGCCACATCTGCATCAGCGTAGACGCCATCCAAGCTGCCTGCCAGAGGATCGAAGACGCTGGCTACAAGTTTCAGAAGAAACTAACAGATGGCCGCATGAGACATATCGCATTCGCCCTCGATCCAGATGGGTACTGGGTGGAAATAATCGCGTTCAATCCCGTTGACAAGACTGAGGACGTCAAGGAGACAGATCCCGCCACTTACAAATTCAACCACAGCATGATCCGGGTCAAGGACCATGAGAAATCTCTCAAGTTCTATCAGGATATCATGGGTATGTCATTGATACGGACTTCGGAGAATGAGTCCAACGGCTTCAATCTCTACTTCTTGGCGTACCTGGGAGATGAAGCCGTACCTAAAGAGTCCGCGAATGGTGTCAACCCGACCGCTGAGCGGGAGGGTCTGCTCGAGCTGACTTGGAATTACGGGACTGAGAAAGATGCCAACTTCAAGTACCACAATGGCAACGATGAGCCGCAAGGATTTGGTCATATCTGTATCGCTGTTGACGACATCGATGCGGCATGCAAGCGCTTTGAGGAGAAAGGTGTAAACTGGAAAAAGAAGTTGACGGACGGCAGGATGAAGAACATCGCATTTGTGTTGGATCCTGATGGGTAAGCAAGGCTGAACATAGTTGATGACCGTATGCTGATATCGTAAAGGTATTGGATCGAGGTAATTCAGAATGAAAAGATGAAGAGGACAAGCAATTGGTAGGAACAAGGTTGAAAGGGGGAACGCACCAATGTTTTCTTTACTTACAAAATGAGCCACAAAAGAATGAACGCACAGCCTATTCCAATACTGCTCTTGATGTTCCTGTCAATGAGATAAAGTGATATTGCCTTCAACGTTAGAATGGTAAGAGAATGTAGTAGAAGTCAAGCATAGAGGGAGTTTCAAACTCTCCAAACATCAAGAGAAGGGTCTAATTCTATTCATTTACGCATGAACCTGTGGATATCGACCGGAACAAATCGGCTGTTCCTACCAAACGATATCAAATCAAGAAGATTCAACGCGCATGGGAAAACTCCCCTTGCAGAAAAGACAAGGGGAAAGTCCGTGAGAATTGTCACTTGATTCTGGCAACGTGCCTGGACTATAGAACATCAAGGATCCTAATCAAAGCTTTCGCCCATCATGCATGACTTTTGCTACATTCTCTTTCCAAGGTAAGGGCGTTCTTAAAGCTGTAGGTTTAACGAAGACTATCCAGGAACATGAGCGGTCGAAGTAACCTTGCCATGACAGATGACGCACGATCAATACGCCGACATCAAATTCATGACGTTCCTATTACCCTTCTCTACATGTGTCAATGGCGCTCCTTTCGAGATTGGATTTCTCAAATGCGGCAGTTCGAATCTAGATATTTAGACCCTCGGACAACAGTGTTGAATTCGGTCAATAGAGCGGTGGAATAGAAGACATGCCTATCTTACGGGCCATGACTCTCGAGGAGGTCTTGAGGGTCGTTTCAGAGGTATTGGAGAGTCTTGTGAGCGAGGTTGGATGACCTGGTCGTACAACAGAGATTGGAGAAGAGGATTGCAATGCAACAGTACATGAAAATTCTATAGAAAGAAGACAGAGGACCTGGTCCGTACCGTACTCAGCGCGAGGAACTGTCAGCCCTGAACAAGTGTCTTAATATCGCGGTAGGATCGAGTGTTCCGTGGCTGTAAATGTCTATGCTGGGTATTCACTTGAGGTAAGAGACTGTACCAAAGGTTATATATATGGGGCAAAGCGTCTGAAAGGAAGTCTTCTAGTCTAGGCGCGGTGCTAGGAAAAGGTGACCCTATTCACGAACTCTTCATAAAAGATTGGTCGCTTCACCTGTGCAAGGGAATTATGTTTATTCAATATTGTTTTAGAGAAAGACTCCATTTACTCTAGTCGGTAGTCGCAAAAACATGCGTGAATGGAAAAAGAGAAGGCATTCATCTATTGGGAATTGGAATTACTTTCTATCCTCGGTAAACAATAGCATCTTCTCGAACTCAGGGGTTGCGAAAGTCGACAATGCTAGGGTTTGCTGAGCATCTTCGGCCGAACCGGGATCCATGGCAGACTCGAGCCGGAAGTCTACCTAGCTGAACATGTTCGAGTGCGGCTTTCAGTGCCAGCAGTTCGCTGCACAGCAGGTTCATTTCTTTCTTCGCTTCGGAGAGACCTTGTCCAAACGTGTAGATACAACCCAGAAGTTGTTGGGTGGCTGCGAAGAGCCTAATGAATTACGCTGGACCTATGCCGCCTGTTAGTCTAGGCACTCATGGAAAAGTCATTGAGCTTTGCGTGAAAGCAGTTTTCGTTCTTGCTGCAGTTTATCTGGTAGGCGCGCTAAGAGGCGTAACCTTGGCATTGAATTTCAGCCCTACGGACTCGATGCGATGAACGAAATCATTCAAGGCAACCTCCAAAGTCAGCATTGAAGTGAATGGAGCACGGCTCGCTTCTGGTTCTTACCTACACCTGAATCTTCGTTTGACTGAGCATCGAAAGCCATGTCGAGAAGAGCGCCGCCGAACCCGGCCGCGGAGCGAGCTGCCCAGAACCAGCAGACCATCAAGACCCTACTCAAGCTTGAAGGCAACAAGAGCTGCGCAGATTGTAAAAGGAACAAGCGTAAGTCAATTACCTCTGCGAGCCAATGTCCCATAGTCCACGGTCTGAACGGAGCTGACATGATCGTTCCACACAGATCCAAGATGGGCGAGCTGGAATCTGGGAGTCTTCGTGTGCATACGGTATGTCTAAGGGTTCGGGAACATGCAGCATCGGTATTAATCGATTTGAAGTTGCTCTGGGATACATCGGGGAATGGGCACGCATATTAGCCGGGTGAAGTCTGTGGATCTGGATGCCTGGACGGACGAGCAGCTACAGAGCGTACTGCGTTGGGGAAACTCAAGGGCGAACAAGTCAGTCGCACATAATTAGGAAGAGCCATAGTCCAAATCTGACATGAGCAGGTACTGGGAGGCAAAATTGGCCGCTGGACACGTACCCTCTGATGGGTAAGTCTGCAATTGCAATGAACTATACGCACTGCTGAAAGGCGATCAGAAAGATAGAGAACTTCATACGGACGAAATACGAGTCCAAGCGATGGGTGATGGATGGACCAATGCCAGACCCAGCGACACTGGACGCAGAAGGGGACGATGATGTGGTGGGTAGACCCGGACCCTGCGGATAGAAATCGACGCTGACAACCCAATTCTAGCCTCTCAATCTTGTAAAAGAGAAAGCTCAATTGGAACGAGGAGCGTCACAGCGGGCTGCGTCTACGTCCAGTCAACCGGTCATTCCTGCGCCAAAAGCAGCCCCTCCTGTCGATCTGTTCGGCGATGTACCAGAGCCGCCTGTCAGGCCGAATACGACAGACGTCCCTGGTCGATCCGCACCTCCAAAGGCCTCCGCTCCACCCAAGCAAGCGAAAGCTGCAGACTCATTGCTTGGTCTTGACTTCTTTGGTGGTCCACCATCCGCCACGTCTGGCAGACCATCAAGCTCAGCTTCGACACCATCTGGCTCAGCAGTCCCTTCAAGGCCGGATCTCAAGCAATCAATTCTCTCGTTGTATGCTTCAGTTCCCAAAACTCAGCCTCCACCACAGCCCCAAAGGCAGCCGTCGTTCGGAGGCATGCAATCACCAGCAGCTCAACAACAGTCTAGCTTTGGTGGCCTAGATGATGCCTTTAGCGGGTTGAATTTCAACCCTCCAACATCAACACCAGCACCGAAGCCCCAGCAGCAACCCAAATCCGACCCTTTCGCAAGCTTCAACAACGCAGCCACTCAGCGATCATCTGTCGCAGCGCCGCAAGTCACATCTCCACCTCTGGGTGGAGGCTTCTTTGACACAGGTCCGAAGCTAGCTTCAAAACCAGCAAACGCATCGAAACCTCCGCAGTTACCCCAAGCTAATCTGACCCCAAGTGCTTCGAATGATTTCGGCGACTTCAGCTTTGCATCTCCTCCCGCCCCTGCATCAACCAAGCCAGCCACGACGAGTACTTCAAATGATCTTTTCGACTTTTCCGAACCAACCCCACCCAGGGCTGCTCCTAAGAAAGCCCAGGCTCCAGTTCCAGCATCCCCACCGTCCGCAAATATCAATTCAGCCTTCAACCTCTCTGCGCCTGCTGCTCCTTCACAACCCACCCCAAAACCAGCAGCATCCGCACCACCAGCTAATACTAACGCATTTTCCAGCTTCTCGAACAGTACCGACGCCTGGGGCTCTAGTGACGCATGGGCCACTCCTGAACCTTCCGCCGCCACAACGGCTCCAAAGCCTCAACCTGCTGCCCCTGCCCGAAACCCATCGATCCCAATGTCCACTGACTTCTCTGCATGGGGCGGTACGCCTGCTTCTTCGATTGCCCAATCATCGGCGCTTGGCAGCGGTTTTGGCAGCACCTCGCGACCTACTCCAAAAGTTGCGCCTGATGAAGATTTCGGCGGCTGGAGCAGCGCTGCACCTGCAACTCCCGCTGCAAGCAATCCTCCACCTGTACAAAACAAGCCTGCTGGTGGAGGGGGTTTTGGTGGTGCTAGTGAGGATTTGTTCTCGAATGTCTGGGAGTGAATGTTTGAAGTTTAAGTAAGGAAACCGAGCATTCGGGGCCATTAGAGGACGTACACGAGTGGGTACGGTAGAGGGAGTTCATTATGATTAAACAGCGACATGCTTGCGTAGTATCGGGAGCGAATCGAGGTGCTTTCGAGCTGTTCTCCAATTGTGCTATGCCAAAACATATTGAACTATAATATGCGGGACCTTGTACACCAACGTACACCAACGATACTTCTCGAATCCCAAATTATACCTCGGCGGCGTATGATTCTAGCTCGACCACTGTTTTCGTGGGACAGCTACTAGAGCTTCAAGACATTAGCGCTCTTTCAGAAATATAGACATCGCCATACACTTCAAACTCACGTCCAAATCCTCAGAATTGCAATCATGCCACACTCAGCGTATCATGTTTGCCGTCTCTGTCCTGGCCCCCTCAAAGCCCTTCCTCGGCATTTTCTCCCTCCCCTCGTCCACACATCCTTCCCTCTCCCAAAAACCCACGACAACGAGACCACCACCTCAAGCCTTCCTCGACCGGAACAGAAAGCTCAACCCCCACCACAGCGCAACCACCACACCGACGATGATCCCGGCCAACTTCAGTATCGCAACTTTATTCCCCTGCTGCGCCATTCGGCCCAGACGGCCGGCGGACCCTTTGATCGAGTTCGTCATGGAGGAGAAGACTTCAGACTGTTGCGTGGGGCGGGGCCGGAATCGTTAGCAAAAGCGAGACGATCGGTGTAGTAGGCGGGTGGAGTGGAACGGGAACGTACGCTGTTGTCGATGACGTGTTGGTCTCGCGCATTGTCGTAGATGTCGACCGTGACGCCGCGGAGGGCGGAGACTTTGGAGGAGAGCTCGGAGAGGCGGGTGTTGTTTTGTCTGTGGGTTGGGGTTAGAGATTGTAAGGTGGTTGGGGGGGGGGGGGGGAAGGAGGGGACGGGGAGGGCAGGGTGTGGGTGGACGTACTGCTCGCGGTCGTATGCTGCAGACATGGTGGGCGAGTGGATGTACCTAGACGGCTATAGGAGGGTGGAAGGGTTGAGTGGTGTTTGTCGAAATATGCCGCGATGTTTGCGGAAGCTGAGGTACCTCAGGTATCGAATTTACACGCTTGTTAAGTACGACTCGTATTTTATCTGTTTCACGATGAATCGATGATGAGCATTCAGATTTCCGCAGAGATAGACATAGCAGGCAAATTGGCAACAAACCAGCTCGTGAATATCAAGCCCAATGTTTTTTTTGTCATTGAAATGAATCCCAGCTCAGACAGAGCTTTCGACAGAGGAAAAATCTGCTCTTCGCAGTCATGAGTCTCGATCTTTTGGGGACCCATACAGCTACAACTGTAATTTTTTTTTGGCGGCATGCCTGCACAAATCTCTTGATTACTTGAACTTATATACTCAAACCGCAAACAGCGACACTACATCCAAAACGAGTACCTTCGCTCCAAAGGCTGGGCATCGGGCTGTCCCAACCACCGTACTGCTGGACAGGGATCCTCCAGACGAGCGCAGATTCTTCGGTACCGCTCGATGTCCTGACGGTAGTCTTCGCGGTCTATCACGCTGATACTGTCATTCACGTCGACCTCTTCTGCGTCCCATTCGTCTATCTCCACCGATTCGGTGTCTGATTGACTGGTGGTGTTGAGGATGTTGTCCATCCAGTCATGGATGAAACCCCAGTCGTGGGAGGAGTTATAGTCGGCGATCTTGTTCTCCGGCCAGCTCTCCTCATATTCGGCTCCATAGTAAAACTCTTGCCCGTGATCGGAACCTATTGCGCCTAATGCTTGGGCACGTTCTCTTGCTTCCTCGAATTCCTCCTCTGCATCGATCAAGGCTCGTGTGAGTTGCTGTCCATACCGAACTTTTCGGCGGTCGAAGTCGCTTCTAGACATGTCGATAGTACCAGCTGCGGCCATCTCCTGGTACTCAGCTAGATTGTCCTGGTAAAGGCCCCTCTGACCGTCAAACTTCTCTTGAACTGTGTCCAAATATTGCGAACGCTCTATGAATTCCTCGTAGGCTTCCTGGCGCTGTTGCTCTTCTTGACTTGCCTCGATCTCGCTAGGATCAGATGCGACTGACGCTACTGGACTTTGTGCAGGCATCGGGTGTTCAGTAACTTCGACTTCTTCTTCCATATCTTCGGATTCTTGTTCACGAAGCAAGACAGCTGGCAACGGCTTCTCTGGTCCTAGAAGATCGGCTTCCCTCATAGCCGTCTCCAAAACCCACTGAGTATGATTTCTGGACAGTTCAAGATTGCCCTTGACCAGGCCACGCTCCTTCTCGAGCTCATCTTTCCAACGACGGATTTTGAAAAGCTCGGATGTTTGTTTCTCCTTGATTTTCTGATGCTGCTCTGCTTCTTCTTCACTCGCTGCCGTCTCCAAGGCGTTCTGCCCTTCTTGGATTGAACGCTCAATATTTCTAAGATCCATCTTCGCATGGCAAAGTGGTCCGTCTAGAACACCGAGATCACGGTCTTCTTGGAAAAGGTCACGCAGCTTGGTGAGAAATGTTTCGTTCACAAGCAGTGCTACGCAGTCCTTTGAGCCATCCTTGGCTAAGACAAATCGAGAAGGGCCTTCCGTGAAGTACGGTTGCGGATTATCTCCTTGCTCGATGTGATCGTCGTCTTGCTCAGTATTTGCGGCTGAAAGGTCGACAGGGTCTTCGTTATTAGCTCTCAAGCTTTCTGTGTTTTGAGCCTGTGAAGCGTTCTCGGCTGCGTCAGGCGCGACGTCTTGCGATTGAGTTTGTGTGAAATTTGGCAAACCACTCTCAATGTCCCTTGGGACCTTTGCTGATAGCGTGCCCCTAGAACCCCTCCGCAAGAGACCAAATGCTGGCCTAATTTTACTCAGAAATTTGTGTACGTGATTCTCCATGACTGCAAAGCTGAGGCCGGTGTGATGAAAGATGCGGTGAAATATATTGGGCATAGACTGTTGAGTCGTGATCAGAGCGCGGTTTTGGTAAATTAGATTGTAAGTGCTGTCCTTACACGGAAGATTTATGTCGCCAGAATTATTTGGAAATGGGGAAGGGACAAAGTCAATGGGTGTTGACGGTCCTTTGACGGCTTTGTCATACATACCTCTGGCACTCTCTACAATCTGGCTTTGTTAGGCACTTTGTCTCAAGTTTCTTTTTTAATCGCTACCTCTACAGGCTACGTACAAAGATCCTTAAACCCTTGTTTTTGAATCGCCCCACGCGTTATCTCTGTTGAAGCTCCAATACTGCATTGCTCTGCTTTGCTCCCTCTTTGTTATCTCGGTATGTTGGACAAAGCGGTTCTTTGTGCTGCTTGAGTGCCATTGTCCTGTGTTTAACCAATATCTAGCACTGCTGTAGTCGTATCCTCTCCATTCAGCATTCGCCTTCTCTCTAGGCAGCAAGATCGTTTTCACACTACCCACTTCATTTTTATCGCAACAACAGCTGATCCCTTATCTACAAACAAGATGTCATCCGGCCTCCAACTCCCTGGAGCACCTAGCTATGCATCAAGACTTCGAGGTGAGGCGCCCCCTCATAAATCAAGCAGAATCGGGAAATCTGGAGGCATGCCCCCACCCAAACCACCTAGTGCGTTACAGAACATGAATAACAACGCAAACATGTCTAGCAATACGGGGAAGTATCTCCCGAGCACACCCAGTAATCTGGGCATGTATTCGCAAGCTCATACTAAGACACAAAAGCCAGTGACTACAGATCGACGTCTTCCTAGTGACGACTCAGGGAAGGATAACGCTGCAGTACGAACCAAATCGCGACTCCCTGAGGACGGTTCCTGGAAGAATGACGCCGCAAGCACCGTACAGACCAGGTCACGTCTTTCACGCCTTCCCGAAGATGGTTCCTGGAGGAATGTCTCCGCAAAAGATCAGAATATTGCCGTAAGCTCCAAGGAAGAGTTGAGACCGAGACCAGATGGTCAGCAAGGTATTGTGGATTCAATGGCTTCGCTCTCAATTAGTCCTTCCAAAAAGGCCGAGCCAATGCCTGTAGGAAGATGTTTGGATTGGGAGCGACCGGTCTTCACATCGAGCGCCAGCTCAAAGGTGAGCAAGTACTTACCAAGATCCGATCGCGACCATCCTAAGCCTACGCCCAGTGCGTACTCCATCTCGTACAAGCGAAGATACAACCAGACTCCAATGGAAAAAGCCACATACCGTGAGTACCTCCCGTTTCTAAAATCCGAGTTTAAGGTAGGCATGATTATCCGCATGAACATCCATGAATCAGATTTCAAGGGGACGTCTAAGGCAGCAATTGCGCAGGCTTCGCAAGCCTCGACACTGGTCGACGGTGGAAGAGGTGACAAACGTCGCAAGGAACACCGGCATCACGGGGACTTCGGTCCCATCTACTCCGAGAACAGGATCTTTTTTGTCGTCAACGTGGCCGAGGATGTCTTTACGGCCATTCCGCTATTTACGCATGAAGGTAAAGGTTTAGCAAACGTTCTTGACAAAAAGAGCTGGGTATCTGTTGAGGATCATCGGCAGCTCGGAAAATGCATACAACAGTCGGAGCACCAACCACTACGCACGGTCTTCCTGAGCCCAGAATGCGACAAATTGGACCCGGTGAGCGCTGCGTGGATCCCTTATGCACTCCCTTGCAGATATGACGTGCCTGTGGCCTACCAAGGGAAGTTGGACAAAGCGAGCGCGAGGCGATTGGTGAGACTTCACCGCGAATCATGGATCGATGAGGAAAGCTATGAAGACTAGCATCCATACGAGCTTCGACAGAGAATGCTGCAGGTTTGGGGCGAGAGCTGACGAAGACACGGACATGGGTCTCATACTGAGTTCAATAATTGGGGTTTCTATAGATTTCGTGGTTATGGGAGATGGGTCCTGATGCTTTGCGTTAATCTGTGAGTTAACGTTAATCTTTTTGGAATCATTGTTTTGCTGCGTCTGTTCTTAGATTTGTGATAAATTGTTGTATTTTACATATCGTTGTATCAAGATGAACTCCACTATCCCCAGAATTGTTCATGGTCTTTTGTCCGAAGAACGTTGAGTGCTACTCCTGAATATGTTGTAGTCCAGGACCAAAACCTTGCGTACCTTCTAAATTTCCCTCTGATCAAGTGTGGCTGTAGTAAGGAGGCCGGGACTCATTTTGAATCTCGTCCTGGCATTATGGGAGTGGCAAGCTAGCATTGTGAGTCCACTGCTCAAACCATCAATATGAGCATCTTCTCTGAGATCCACACATTAGCGCAGGACAAAGTAGACAGGGTAAGCGATGCTCTGAATTTGATCTCTGCCAGCAAGCGCGTTCTCATATTTTGAATATTGATCATACAATACATCCCCTTGTCCTTTCGGTCTCTCTCACGACCGAACCCGAGGGCTCTCACCGGGAGACTGCCTACCACGACAACTTCTCCGAGGATTCCGGCGCACATTCCCTGGCGACCGTCCCTCCCCCTCGCCTTCTCTAAAACGGCCAGAAAGCTCCTGCCACTTATCGATCTTCTTGCGATACATGTCGCAAGCAACGACGCTGACACTCTCGAATATTTCGACCGACTTTGCTTCCCAGTCATCGCCCCCGGCTAGCTCAGCGTCCTCCTGCCTTTCAGGAACCACCACAGCAGAATCTGGAATTGATGCCATCCAAGCCTCGATCCGCGACCGATTAACAGGGAACACCGACGGCGGGCTTCTCGTAATACGCAGCGGAAACTCGTTGTGATTTTCGCCCCAATAAAAAGCATGTGGATCTGCCAAGATGTCTCCTAGACCGAGGGCCTCCGCGTGTTGCTCTGTGCGATCGTACGCTTCTTCGGCCACAATCACCATCCTGGTAGCTTTTTGTTTCTCCTGGAGGACCTGTAAGTCGATGTCGGTTTGGGTGGTACTCGCAGGCCTGTCAGGGTATTGTTCGTGGTGATGTCTTCTGTTTGCTGCTTCTGCTTGCGCATACTCTTCCTGCATGAAAGTGAGTTTTCCTTTGCGGTAGTCCAATTCGTCCGCCGCGAATCTGAAGTGTCGAAGAGCTAGTTGGCGAGGTGTCATTTGTTCCTCGATGTTGACGAGTGATTGCAGTCTTGTGGTGTACGAGGCCAGACTGCTGTCAGATACGTTGGACCTTTGAGTATCATGCACTGTCTCCTGGGGAACCGGCGCAGGTTCTGCTGAGTCGTCTTTATTAACTTCAGACGGCTCCTGGGGTTTGGACGTTGTTGGAATATTCAATAGGTTCTCACTGTTGAGAAGTTGCTCAATCACGAACTGAGCAACCTCTCTGCTGTTCTCGAGTATTAGTTTTGACCATTTGTTCTCCTGCGCAAGACTATCACGTCGCCGCCGAGCTTCGACCAGCTCCGGTATTCCCGCTTCGATGTGTTCCTGCGTTTTAATGGCCTCTTCCACTGTTCTCTTTGCTGTCTCTATCCCAGCCGACTGGTTTGACGACTTGATCTGCTCGAGCTCGAGTTGTGCCTTCTGTATTGCTCCATCTCTTTCTTGTACCTCACGGCTAATGACGGCAATGCGCGTGAAGGTGTTGAGCAATGCTTTGTTGAAACAGATTGCCGGGCAGCGTTTACCTCGCTCATCAGTGAAGACGATATGACCTGGTCCATCAACGAACTCTTGCTCCTGGGTTGGGTTCAAAATCTTCGTCATAGGGTTTGATGGCTGCTGGGACTCTACTCGCTCACTGTGATGGTCACCGTCTAGGCGAGCACGTTTCCGTGGAGCCTCCACTTGGTCCTCCCGAAGGTCGCCTTGTGAGCGTTTGCCATTCATATTCCGCGAAGTATCGAATTTGTCGTCTCTGTAGGGAGCGGATTTACTTGCGCCCGAACGCTGGAGACTCTGACTCGAAGGGTTGGAATCTTGATGAGACATCTCAAAGCCTCCTATGCAAAGATCGTAGTAATGGAAAGACCAGGTTTGAGTGCTGGCTTGTGCGACACTACGTGACGGTGCTCAAAGAGGGCCAGTTTAGCTTGCGTCGACAGGCTGCAGTTGTCGTAAATCTGGAGATGTATATAACGTTTATAGTTCGGGGGAAACCTTGATGAAGGGGTTCAACTGGTCGTGCTGTTTTTCGATTCCTTTATGGTCGCATCCGGTTAGGATAGCTCTGGAGAAATAGGGGATCGCTGGTCGCTTTGTTGCTCTGCTGTTCCTTCTTTTTTAGTCAATCTTCGCTTGCATTAGGTAAAGATGCTCCTGGTCATAGGAGCCACCGCACCTTCTTTTATAAGATGCTAACCTCGGACTTGTTCTCAATAGTTGCTTGTTGCGTACTTGTGATCAGAGTTGAACAACATTGCTTTGAGGTTTGTTCTGTAAACAAAGAATTGAGGGCTAGACTGATCCCACTGCTTGTCCGCTATTAGCACGTGATTGTCATGAAAGACTGTCCGTTGTCCTACGGACAGCTAGTATTGTACAATTATGAAAGAACGAAAACCATATTCTGTCACATAGGTGGTCCACGCTTCGTTGCAACTATCAAGAATCATCTCCATTTTCTCCACGTTCAACTTGACAGTATTAGTGAACTAAAACCACGCCTTACCACTCACAAACAGCATTGACTGCTGTGAAATCCACTTTTTCTCGAACATGACTTCGACGGCTACGTTCACGCAAATGTCCACTCGCACGGATGGCAGGTCCACCGTGCATAGCCACTCGATCGACCATTGGTCACCAACACGCGACCGATTTTCACTGCGCCATCATTACTCATCACCTGATAAATACTCGCCAAACAAAAGGCAGCATTGCGACAGCGACCGGGACTACCCTCGAGAAGATGCTGCTCTTCATGTAATCCAAAATCGCGCCATAGCGAGGCTGAGATCGTCTACTGCGAGTGCCATCTCAAGGGATTCTATCAGTAGTTACCAGTCACGTACGTACAATCCCAATAACCCTATTGACAAAAAAAGCCGGTCCAGAGCCGATTTCGAGATACTGGAAATTCGAAACTATCCGCTTCCGCGTATGAAGGATATCAGTGCGACTATATGTTGCCGGTTTCCTAAGGAAGAGTTCAATCTTGGAACGATCATAAAGGCTCCCATTCATGAAGAAGACTTCAAGTGGACACCTCGGCCCCTGTCAGTGGAAGCGTCGGAAACCGCCGATGAACAAGGAAGATACTCTCACTCCGGAATGTCAACACCACGGACTACACCCAACAAAAGGCGGCACATCACCTTTTCAAATTGGAACGATCCAATCTATACAGAAATGCGTTTCATGATTGTCGTAGCCTTGTTTTACGACCACTATCTCGCCATTCCTCTTTACACTCACGGAGGCAACGGTCTCGCTCACAAAGATAATAAATGGGAGTACGCATCCATCGAGGATTACCGCGAACCAAGGTCTCTTCAGGAGGCTGGGTTTCTGCTGCATACCGAGTACCTGAAGCCCGATTGTAAGCATTTACTCCCAAAGAGTGTGGCTCACATTGCCTATCCAGTCTCGCGCAAATACACTTTGCCAGTCGCGCCTCAAGGGCGTCTGCGAGAAGACTCAAAGAACGTTCTTGTGAAACTCTTTGGCCAATACATGCTGGGAATGAAGCCTGAGTAGGGCAGTCTACAGGACGGTAGGTTTCAAGACCTCCTACCAATACTGACGGTGACAGCTGCTCTAGATATCGACGTATCGTCGCGCTGGTAAGTGTCCAGTCAGCGGGGTTTTTCTATTTAGGGATGGGAGTGCGCAAAGTTTATTGTAATTCGTATGATTTTCAGTTGCTTCAAACCTTTTGTCTTATTTCATGTCGTACTGTTATGCTATTGAACGCAAATTCACGACATCTACCGAGAAGCAAGCGCATGGAGGTCTCTCCTTACAGCTCCAGACGACGAAGAATGCTCTAGAGGCCTGGGTGGCTTCCCAATCCAACCCAAGGCTACTTGTCTGCCCGTGACATGATTGATGACATCGATAAAAGCTTCCCGGTCGTGCCCTTCATTGACAATGTAAAGCCAGAGCCCCTCAGCAATGATTGCCAGCTCAGCCCAAGCCAGATTGGCCGTAGCCCATGGCATTCTCTGTATCCACAACTGCAAGCCTCCTAAGCTCTTCGAGTACTCTGTTGAGGGTAAACGAGCATTCCTGCCATGGGCGGTGATCTCTTCTTTGATGGCAGCGCTGACGGCGACGAGAAGGCTTTCCAAATCCCAGAGATGCAAATAGGAGCCCAAATTCCCGAGGCGCAGTGTGTAGTCAGTGTGGGGGATAGGAAATTCGTCTGCCGTCGGCAAGCTCAGGGTACTCCCGTTTATGACACCAGTGGCTGATGACATAGAAGAGTATTGCACCGAAGGTGGTCGCGCAACTTCTCGCTTAGATTCGATAGCCGACGAGGCAATGTCTTGTCTGATAGACCCCTTATTCATGATGATGGCTTTGGTAGCACCCAGATTTTGAATTACCTGGAATCGAACCGCTCGGGATCGTCTTTGGATCATGTACAGCGATAGCCCATTGATAACATTACGCAGCTCTCCCAAGCTCACACACCCTTCCAGGGAGACGGACCTACTCCATAGTTCCAGCACTAATCCATCATCTGATGTGTAATTGTACCATCGCTCGGAAAACGCCGCATTCACGCTACTTTGGTCAATCTGATGTTGGATGTCGTTGCTCGCTTCCACGAAGAAGGATTTCAAGTCCGTAGGGTCCAAGAGGGGCCCGAATTCATGAAACTTCAGAGTCAGGACTGTCTTGGGGATGGTGAATATATCAGAGCTATGATCCTCAATGTTAGCGACTATGCCTGTGTGGGAACGTGGCTGATTACGTTGGCAGTGATAATTTCGTAGCTTGTGATAGCTTAAGAGCGAGCGAATCTTGGATGAGCGAAAGAGAGGGCGAATTCACCGGCACGACAGGCAGTGAGAACGTAAATCTCGCAAGGACTGTGAGAAAAAGATATGCTGAAAAAGTACGACTTTTTGACATTGAGGGCATTTAGGTGCGCGGATGATGCACGCTCAGCCAGGATGTGAAAGCAAATGCTATGGGGGGGCGGGTCTCAGCATCTTTAAGTACTCGCCACAGCTTGTACATATGATCCTGATGCAGGAGCGGACAGATATTTCTCATCTTCGCATGCTGGAATGCTTGCGACACGCGATAACCGCCCATCGAGGGTAGGGACGCCCCTCAACATGGCGCCCGTACGAGCACCTATCGCAAGAGGATAAGATGGGAAAAGGGTTGCTGCTGATAACGAAGGTACTCTTTAGTGGAATTAGATATCAGCATCAAGTTGATACCCATAACTTTCCCTCACTCCATTCGAAGTCACACTGACACGAGATGGACAAGTGTTCATACATCCTTTTATATCGTGATACGTATGTCCGGTCAGATAGAGGGCGTCCATGGCTTTGAGTGTTTCTGGAGACAATTGAGATGGGTGGGCGAAAAGGAGCTAACTTTACGTTTTTATTACTAGCGGTAATAAGATCACCTCCTAAGCTTCAATGTCATGTAGTCGACGTTTTTGAGCCGGCGCTCGGTTGTTCATATGAACACGGCCTAACTGTACGCATACCAGTGATTTCAGATCTCTGAATATACTGTCGAGTGGCCTCTACAGCTTGCATTCACCGATGTTGCTGTGCGCTCGTTGTCTGGCCAGCTGTAGGATTTTAAACTGATGAAGGATTGGAGAAAATGGTCTATTGAAAGAGGACTCCGAGTATACTTACCCTAGGATTAAGTATACTCGGTGTCTCTAAGGGTCTCTTCTGGGGCTCGCTGGGGCCCATATGTGGTGAGTGTAGATCTGATTAAACATTTTGGTTTAAGGAAGACACAATACAGGGGACACTGTCTATTTAAATACTTTCTCAGCTCCTGGAAGGAAAACGCCACTGATTGCCCACTGGCTATATCTACCTTGTCTAAGGATCTTGCTCTGGGTTCCGCTAAACAATATTACAACCAGATCCTAGGGAAACACTGCTGTCAGTTCAAGTACGGTACCCAGTCTTATTTTCGTCAGCAATCCTCCACACTATTAACCCTACCGTTTTGCAACTTGCAAGGAGGCCCAGCCTCAATGCTCCATGATCCATGTTTTGAACAAGGACACCAAGCTCTCGGTATCTTCGTCGGTCAACCTGCCTTGGTGCGCAATAGGTAACCTGTACTTTCGGGAGACTGGATTTCCTAGATGAGCTGTAGTGAACTCGTGCAAGGTTTTGACATGCTCTTTCAGCACAAGGGTACGTACCACATCGACTCTGCCCTGTCGAATGCATTTTTCGGGCTCCCGGTGGTCTTGGACGGATACGTATTCGTCTTTTGCTTGCTTGTATGCGGTACCGGTTCCAGCGTGTGTGTAGAAAGGCAGCGCCATGTAAGTATCAGTCCCCAAGACAACAACGACCATGAATCTGTTCTCGGAATAGACCGGTCCGAAGTCCGTCATCTGCTGGTGATTCTTCGCAAAACCGCTTGGGGTGGACATATCTGAAGCAGCAATGGAAAGTTGGGAAGGAGCCGAACACGCAGCTGCAGTAGCCCCCATGTAATCCTCCTCATGGATAGGGGCGCGAAAGATCATCCCTATCTTGAATTCGTATTTAGGAAATGTGTGATAGTCACGGTTGTCCGCGATTTCCATGGCAGGCGGAACTTTAGCGCGTTGAGTTCTTTCCGTCCAATAGCTTCCAACGCTTGAGGGCCGAGGACCCTTCCATCTACTCTCGGTTGGCTCTGCTTTTGGAGCGGAATTAGTGGCGAGCTTTTTCATCGAGTTGGCCAAGTATTGTTGATCGTGTAATTCAGATCGGGGTGCACCTGAGGAGCTGGTGCATTTGTCACCCCAATATTCCTCGTCTGGACCCTCATCCAAACCGCCTGATTTGGGAGGCGTAGAACGGAAGTCTGTACTCGTTTCGTTGATTGTCCCCAAGTTACTGGGCACGCAGACCTTCCTACCCACGTTACTGGGCTGAGGGCGTCCATGCCGCGTCATTCCCACATTGATAGGAGGTTTTCCGACATTACTGGTAGTCCCTACCACAATGCTAGACTTAATTGCAACTGGGTTGTTTCTCCGTATCTTGCTGTTTGGATAGCGGCCTGTGTTGTTTTGGGACATTTTGCTGGTGGGTATTGGCTTGGTTTTCAATGGGAAAGCTTTGACTTGTTGTCAGATTAAGTCAAAATGCTGAAGGTTGTAATGGTGAACGAATTCAAATAGGAGGTGGGTGAAAGGTGAAGGAATTTAAAGCAAAGTAAGCAAAGACATATTGAAGCTTGGGTTCTGTCTTCATCTGTTTGAAATCGCACAACGCCATTCATTCGAGAGACAAAGATGCGGCATCACGAACCAGAAAAAAGACGCGGCTGTGGGAAGACAATGGAATTGTTGTACCCCTATACGACCGGCTGTTACACACAGAGATAACAGTCGTGCTAGGCTTTCGCGATCTCGTAATCAAGGTACTGCCAAAACAATGGCCGCAGAACACAAAACGCGCCCAACAAAGCTAGAAAAATATAGTCTGGGAGCTTTTGCACAATGAGCAGCATTCAATCTAACTAGAACAAAGCAGAGCATGGGGTTCATCTAGAAGCCAGTAGAATCTCTTTTCCCTACCATAATAACACTTCTGCTGCAATCCACACAAATTGCGCTTTTCCAGTTGGTAAGAATCCCACGTGGAGACAGCATTAACGCACCCTCCAATACACCACCTTTGAATCTGCATACTACCCTCAACTTTGCAGACATGGAACGTGTGCGAGATTATGTTCATGCAAGAATCAACAAGGCATATGGCTTACTGCAAGTCTTCAAGCAAAGACTACGGCCAGAGACCACGGCTGACATTGAGAGTGGCCCGTTGGACTTGTCGCGGCAGTCCTTAGTTGACGGCCCATTAAAGGATACTCCAGAGCTCGACGATTTCCGTGTTGTGGGCGCTTTCGTAGGATCCAACGACCATCGTTTCGAGCAGGAGCAAGCACCACAGCCGAAGATGACTAAAGGACCTGCACGATTCATAACAGCTAATGATGGTTCGGAGAATTGCATGGCCTTGCTTGTCACCAAAAGTCTGATGGCGAAGCTCGGTGATTTCTTCGAGGATAAGCTGCAGCTTGAGATCAAGTCTGGACTTCTTGAACATGCGAAAATCGACGCCCGAGAAATTCACTCATCTCTTGAAAAAGCAAAAGAATCCTTGGAGAAAGCAAGAAGTCAAGAGAGAACTGACGAGCTCGAAAACTTTATTGAGCAACAACATCCCAAGCTACTTAAGGCCTGTCAGCGAAGAGACAAATTAGAGGAGGAGTATCGTCGCATTCAAAGAAGTGTTAACCTTTCGAGAGATCATACACAATGGGTCTTGGAGACGGCTATGAGAGAAGCGAATCTTCTCAAGCCGCATAGGACGCCCTCCCCAGAATTGCTCGGCGAGGACGAAAGCGATATCGGAAACACAAAATCTCCACCACAAGGCCCGATTGCTCCAGACTCTGAGAACGATGTCAAATCTCCACTCAGTGAAGCAGAGCTGGTCCGCCGAGCAGCTCTCGAAGAATTAGGCAAGAGATCGCGGACATTGGATGTCGTCCAGGCTAAATTCGATAACCGACGATGCGCATACGAGGACAATTTGGCCAAATTCCAACAGGGACTGAAAGACGGTGTTTGCAACTATTCCAGAAGTGATTTTGATCGTCGCGGTGTGGAATACGGATCAAAGATCACGCGAGCCGTGATCAATGCCGAGGAAGCCTTTGATCAGGCAGAAGCTTACGCCAAAGCCGTTGGCGCCATCGACTCCCAGTACGGACAGCCGTCCGGCCACTATGAGGAAAGTCTGCCAGATGACCACATGGCATCCTACATAGCCACAAGAGATTGGGGATTTGTCCATGACTGGCTGGCAAACGTCCTCGACGCTGATGTGCTCCAAGATCCAAACAGCCATAATAATCCAGGGTACACTGAAGACGGCGAGTGGAACGAAGGACAAGATGGACCAGACACTGCGAGAGGCAGCGAAGACGATGACTGGGAGGTCCCGGAAGCTGAGATACAAGACAGTGCGAGTGCGATCGATTATGGCTTTAACCGAAAAAACCTCGACCGGTGGCAGCAACTCTGCGCTCAGCCCCAGCCTGACGCTTCTCCGGAGGCCTGGGATACGTGGCCGGAGGCTATGCGTATGTGGCCGGTGAATGAAGTAGAGCGGCGACATTCATTCGGGGGTTATAGCTGTCAGAGTTGGGATGATGGTGATGAACTAACATAAATACTTGAAAGCCGTCAATATTTAGGCCGTACAACTGGCCTTCAAATGCACCCATCGAGCAAGGAACCAATCAGTACTTGGAACGTAAATCACAGCACAGCCCAGTATGGGACTGATGGCGCAGACATTCTCAAATTGCGAAATAGCATTGTGTCGTCTTGTCTGATCGGACCACTGACTAAACTCAGAGCCTTGTTGATGATTCAGGTAAAAGATCAGAAAGTGTGACGGTCAAAGCGGTACAAATCAATGAAATTTTCGACCAGCGCGGCAACAAAGGCTGAAGTTTCTCGGCTGCATAACACTCTGTCTGGGGCAGTCTTTTATTGATAGGAGAACAAAACCTTTCGAGTAGACTGCGAAGACAATTATAATCAAAGGCTACTAACAATGGCAACAATACGTGAAGCTTCTATGAACAGAGATACCAATAAACACACTTCCCTTTAAGACGTCAAGCGATGGAAAGAAAGAGTACTTGCCTTCCATTACTACGAGGTCCCACAAAAAATCACCATCAAGCCCTGTATTTGATCGATGTTGCTGAGTCCCTCGTCAGCATGCGTATCGAACGCTGCGGCTCACTTTTATCCACTCCGTTGGGATCGATACGCTACAACTCATCACTTTCCTTACGGTCGGTCCACTTGAGATACATCGCAACCAGGCGTTTTGTACTCTCGTCATCCAATCTTCCCTGATGGGCCACGGGTAGTCCATACTTGCGTGGAACCGCATACGAAGCATAGGCGGCACTCATGGGCAAGAGCTCGTCAACACCGTTCTTCAGCACAGCGGTGATGGGGCGATGTGCGGATTGCTGTACAACATGGCCAGGGTAACGGCCGTCCGCGACTGACACGTACTCCTCCTTATGATGCTTCTTGGCAAGACCGTTACCTTTGTGCGAGTACACGGGTATAGCGTAGTAGTGATCCCCGGGTCGGTTGTGCACCACGATGAGGAATCGGTTTTCCGAATAGATTGGACCCCATTCTCCATGGCCGATGTGTCGGTTGTCGGCATTCGGTAGGTGCTGTTGGAGCCCTGTCTCGATTATTAGCACTAGTAAAGTTTGTCGGAGCTTGAGACATCGCCGGGTCTGGTGTTCCCATGATGTCCTGTTCATGGATAATGCCTCGAAGGATGGTTCCTAGTACGAACTCGTGTTTGAAGAATGGACGATAATCATCGGGCCTTGCCTCGTTCATACGTGGCTGATCGGGTGTTCGCTGGTATGTGCACGACATTACGGAAGCCGCCCCTCTGAACGGACGGTCGTTTTGACCTGATCGATGATTAGCGTTTCGCGTCAACACGGACCCTGCTCTGCCAGCTGCACAGCTTGGAACGAAGTTCTGCTTCTCACCTCGTGGGAAAATGCTTCCGGCTCGGCTAGCCGAAGGCTTCGGGAATAGGGGCTTCTCTTTATCCCGCCTCCATTCTGGAACTGTCGACTCGGTCTTTGGGCTAGGCTGCACCGTAAGTCCCGCCATTGCGGTGACAAGATCCTTCTGAGTGTCCTTTCCAGCTTTCGCTGTTGTTTTTGGATCAGCCGCTTGAGTCGCCCAGGACTCATCACCCTCAAGAAGTTCATCGACGACCCCGGACTTGCCGGATGTGCCGTCGCCCAGATTGCTAGGCCTATGGGGAGGCGACTGTAATCTCCCCCAAACGACACTTCCTGCAAATCGTCGTGGAGCCTGATTTCCTACACCAGTGGGCGTGGGAGGAATGGGATCTCGTTTTGGAAGAATGCTGGGTGCATTTGGGCTTTGGTTCTTTCTGGGCGCATTGCTGGGTTGCCAAACGGGTCGACCGTCTCGAGGCATTCTGTGTGAGTTTAATGATGATAGTCAGTGGTGCGTGCAAACAATGACGCCGACTCGCTAAGATCTGAATTGTTTTGAAATAAGATTTACGGATGCTCAAGAGTTTTGTTAACAGCAAGCGGAGATGATGATCGGACAGAAGATATGGCCAAGATGGTGCCTGTTGTTTCAGAGAGTGAACAATGTCGTTTTTGTGGGGGACAAAGAGGAGGTACTTTGCCTGAACAAAGACCCAACACGAACATCTCCAATGGATCAAGATGCATGCAGTACTATTTCTGCTCACCATTGCTTTGACCTTGTTCTCTTCGGATGACAAGGCAACAAAGACTGGCTTTGAGAAACAGCCGGCTCCACAAAGCAAAGTCATGAAAGTCAGAGAACACTCTCCGGCTAGTCTCATGCAGAAGTCCTCAAAACTTATGCGCTTTGTCAATCCCGCACAATGAATCTTACAAAGAACCCAGATCCTTCCAAGCCTCTTGATCTCTTGCTCCCTTTTTCTGGTAAGACATTCGCTGCAAGCTGCAAACTCCACCATTGCTCAGTCTAAGATACCAGGATCTATGCCCTGCTGGTATCATCGCATTTATCATCACACGTTTTTCAGGTTTGCAGGTATGGATACCCGCGTAAAGAACTTCATCTTCAAGAAGACCGTTGGTCTACTGGAGGCCTGGCAAGGAAGGCCGCCACCAAAGGCCTCAGGTGACATTGAGAGCGGACTATTGAATGCTACAAAATCTCCGCCAACTAACAATAAATCCCAAGACAGCCCAGACCGCGATAGAAGCGAAGATATAACGGGAAATGTAGGAGGCAACAATACGTACCCTCAGGGTACTCCCCCAACATCAACTAGACCCATCGACCTAAGTCTCAACCAGCAACCACAGTTTACTGAAGGCCCAGCTCGATTCGTCGTTGTCAATGATGGTTCAAAGGACTGTCTGGCTCTACTAGTCACGGAAGTCTTTGTCGCAAAATCTCGTGATCTTTACGAAGACAGTCATCACTTGTCGGGCAAACAAGGACCGCTTCAACAAGTACGGCGAGATGCTCGCAATGCCGAAGCCTATATGAGTCTTGTCAGAGAATCCCTGGAGATGGCGCAGAATCAAGAACAAGCCGACGAGCTCGGAGAACTCTCCCAGAAGAGAGAAACTGAGTTGATCGAGGCTCGTCAGCGAAAGAAGTGAGGTCGAAAAAGGCGCAAAACTCCTCGAAAGCAGTGTCGCAGCGTCCAGGGCGTATACACAATGGGTGCTGGAGACAGCCATGGAGGAAGCTAATCTACTCGAACCACACAGGCCTCTCACACCGTTCATAGAGGCCGACAGCGAGGAGGATGAGAATTCCAACGAAATCTACAATCAACCACCCAACGAAAATGCCAACAATGAAAACGAGGTCCAGAATACAGTACGCGGTGCAGACGTTTCTAGGCAGCAGCCAGTGGTTTTGGCAATCGACGCAGAAGTTCCAGCCAGCTCAGACGAAGTTCCAGCTGATGAGGATTCTGTTCGTCAAGCGGCTTGGGAGGATTACAATGACAAATTAGAGACCTTCCACAAAGTTCAAGACATATTTGATGATCGACAGCAAGCGTACGAGACGAACTTGGCAAAGTTTCAGGATGGCATCAAAACAGGTATTTACAACATGTCTCGCAGCGAATTTGATCGCAACAGGGTCCGGCATGGCCAGAAAATCACTCGAGCCTTGATCGATGCCGAGGAAGCCTTCGATGGCGCAAAAGCATACGCTCAGGCTGTCGGTGCAACTGGATCCGACTATGAGCAGACGAATTACTTTGGCAATTATGAGGAAAGCATGCCGGAGAATCAAATGGCTTTGTACAATGCTTCGAAGGACTTCAGCGACATCTATACTTGGATGGCCAGTGTTCCCGAGACGGGTGATCCGGAAGAGTTCGAACCAGTCGACGTTGATGATTGGGATTCAAAGGAAGTCGACCAGACGGACAGCATCAGCCAGATAGACTTCGAGGAATATCGCAAGCCGATCGACCAGTGGCAGTACGAATGTGCTCTCGCTCGCGGTGACGGCCCGGAGGAGTATTATTTAGGACCTGTAAATATAGAATTCCTGGAGCGTCGGCACTCAGTTTCGCTAAGCCGTTCTAACGTTGGCGAATCGGACGTGGGTATATAGGTCGGGTAAGATTAGCATTTATCTTGGATAAAATCTCAAGCTTGTCCGATTGAGCCCTCGCGTATGAAAGTGAATGAATGCGCTGAACCAAATCAACTCACCTAATGCTCACAGGACTGTCTATCCGGTCAGGATGCCAGTGATAGCTGTACATGGGTATTTTATAGAATGAATCGTTGGCAGGCAAACTATAAAGAAAAGTGGCAGTCTGGGTTATTTCAACATATGATCAACGCGTAATTCGGGAGTCGGGAAACTGGAAAGTTCATGAGAAGGTTTCAACGCTGACGGTGTTCAAAACCCTCTAACAGGCTTAGCGCGTCTGAGCCGCCAAGCCTGCTCCTTCTCGCGGCATCATTTCTGGGGATCATTGCGGGATCATTGATTATTCGTGACTGACATCGCTCGGAACTGGTGTATACTCTACACTTCAGAAACGTCTGTAGAGATGGCTTTGGAAGTTGTGGAATTACTGGACTATATCACTTCTGATAAGTGGTGCACGAGGGCATGGGTCTTCCAAGAAGACTACCGCTCGGCAGTGAAGATCAACATCCTCATCCCCCATTCACTATGTCTGAGCGATCAACAAGCTAAAGAAAAGTGGTGCGGTGTCCCAGGTGAACTGCAAGTGAATTCGGCCTACTTCCATGAGGAGTCCACGCTATTTTGCCGAGCTTTCCGCCGGAAAGAAGGACATGAATGGCAGACAGGTTGCGCTAGGTGTGAAGATATATTGAAGAGGGCGGGAAGATACAACATCCTATGCAAGCATGGGGACTTGGCCAGCAAGGCAATGTCGCCCTTCATATTCGCAGACATCGGAAGCAAAAATATTTCAGTAGCCTCGGATCTTCTGGCTATTGCCGCTAATTGTTGCGACTATTCCGCCCGACTGAATACCAAGATTCTGAAGGGTAACTCTTGCAGTTTGAGCATATCTGTCCTTGCTTTCTATCTGCTCAATGGTGAAATAATTAATGAGCCGTGAGCATGATAACAACCCGCTTTCCGAGAACATATTCGATTACCTGCGGCTGCTCGCCTTGGACAGTTTTGACCCTCCTGTCGAGAGCAAGGAACCAACATTCATCAAAAGCTGTCACCTGGTCGACGTTCGGCTCTCCCCAGAAGGCATCGTGACCAGTGGTCGGCTCTGGAAATTATACAAAGCGATTGATACTGGGACCTTTGCCTCTGAAAATCCATCGGAAAAGAAATCCCTCAATGGCACGAACGCGTATCAGAGGAAACGGCTGCGGCAACTCTCTGTTGAGTTGCAAGTACGAGGCCACGAGAGGCTTGCAGTCGATCTTGAAGGTTATCTGGACGAGGACGCTAAGGGCAAGCAATACCCGTCGAAGCAGTACGAAGACTTGATGGTCGAGGAAGTTGTGGAAGCCATCAGGGATCGTAAGACGCTTTACCTGAGCTGTCTAGAAGGCACTAATCCATACCGTGGATGTTTTGTAACTGATGCTGCTCTGGAACTGCCATCTCATGTCTTCACAGCCTGGACCCAGGCTAAATCTGGCGGTAAGGCGCTAGATGATATATATGCAGAAAGGCTTTTGAATAAGATTGTTTCATTGGAAGTCGATATTACAGGACACACCTTCAAAGGCCTACCTCGACTGGAAGCGGAAAGATGGGTCAACGGATTGTGTTTTTTTGATGGAGGTCCAGCGCGAGATGTATGTTTCAACTACCCGAGCTCACTTACACAAAAGTGTTGAAGGACGGTGAGTAGCTTACGTACGAAAAGGCCACTGAAAAAAGTGCAAGCGTATCGGGCATGGGCATTAGTATCTGCTCCATGGACACAGTCTTTCCTTCAACAGCACTGACTCACAGCAAAAAGACTCTGCCGCCGCTGTGCTTATGCCTCACGTGAGGGAAACGCCGAAAAATTGGTGGAGAAGAGTTGTATACAACATCCTCCTAGCATAACCAATGCCTTACCCCATTGTCCCTTAAATGATCTCAAACGACACTGCAGCACACTCAAGACGTCAAATGTACCGTTCAAGTCACCTGGTCCCGCTATGGTCCAAGATCACGAATTGGCAATGTCATCAACTCGCCTGACATCGACATCGCCTCATCCCTTTCCGGAATGTCCTCTTTGCCCTGTGAAGGGCTGAGTCCTCTCGTCTTTCTTTCAGCAAAATCCCTTCCATCAACCTCAGACACCTCCAGCCCCGCACGCAAGGAGCATCCTTTCGGCTGCTTCACGGTACGATGCAGTCGCCGCCGCTTGGAACCACTAGGATTGCCGACAACCGAGGAGTCGCTCTGATCCTCATACCTCCGCCGTTTCCGCGACGCTCGCTCATTTCGCGTGTTCGGTGATCGTGGTCTCCGCGCTGAGCTCTTCGGGAGTTTCCTAGATTGAGGACGTGGATGACTGCGTTCGGCTCTCCACATGCGTCTATACCACTTGATGCATCGGTGCGAAAGGCCGGTTCTGGACTCGATTTCTGCCTTTTTGTCTCCCTGGTCCATGTAGGTGAAGATCTGGTTCTTCACCGAGCGCTGCGCTAATACCAGCCGGAGAGGTAGGGCGAATTGTTCTCCAGGTCTATAGCTTGACCGAGCGGGAAGTGCGTCGTCGGCGATGGACATGGCCCTGGCATCTCTCGTACGCTTTCGCACCAATTCCGAGAATCCTGTCTTTTGGATACCAGGCCCTGAGCGACACATATCAAGCCTTGGCGTCTGGGTTTTGCCCGACACTCTGGGGTCGAGCCCAGGATCTGACGCCACTTCAGCTCCGAACAGCATCGGATTCGGCAAATACTCTGGGCCGGGTGAGGGATCCATTGGTGCCTGGAGATGGAACAGCAGAGCAGAACGAAGAGCGGGCGAAGAAGCAAGAAAGGACCCATACTTGAGGAAAAGGACTCGAGATCGACAGCAGGGTAAACTGCTGAAACCCGCGAAGGCAGCGCTATGACTTCTTGCAAGAATGTGATATCGCAAACAAGGCATTGCGGGCTAAAAGTGAAGATCCATGCATGTAGCCGTACGGATTGGTGGACTGACGGCTTGGGTGCACTAGCGTATGCGGCTATGCATGCAAGCTGAAAGGGGTGCAGAAGCAAAATCCCGCAGCGAGCGATCAGACTATTCTTTTGCGTATTTACCTATCCGTATCAACCGGCCCCTCTTCATATCTCTTCACCTACTTTTACATCGTCAAATGAGAGCTGTCTTTCAAACAAGCCTAGGGGCAAGCTAAAGCAGTCGGTGCATTAGCTCTGAAGGCGACCAGTGTCATCGATAAGGCTTTCAGAGCTTATCGGGTGGAAGATCGGGTTTCGATAGATTCCGTGGACCGAAACTTTGTGTAAAGCTGGCTGAACAAGACTGACGACTCCGGAGTACGATGAGCTAGTCGACATCGACGAGTGGTACGCGAAACTTGTGGAGCTGCGAGATAGCTTCAGTATGGTCGATGATCATCGTTACGTCGCGAGATTGGAAGCTGGAAGAAAGAGTGCAATTCGCTCCAGAAGGAGGAGATTCCTGTAGGAGATACAGTCGGCGAGACTGAAGAGGAGTAGCCAACGGTAACAGCATTGAGGAAACGACATAGGAGCCCAAAGAGATTCAGTGGAAGAAGACAAAGTTCGAGTGGTAGTTGCTATGACAGGATTGGGGGCAAAGCCAGTACGAGAGGAATCAGCCTCGAAGCTAGAGCACTTTTCAAATGCTTTGGTGTTCAAATTGTTCCACATCATCAGTAACGGGCAGATGAACGCAAGAGAAGCCTCTGAGGTAGGATCTAAAAATGACAATCACACCATGGCACATGCACCACGACTGTTACCCAGAATCAAGAAGCAAAACGAAACTCGCTCCAACCCACCAAGACCAGCCTGCTGAATGTCAAGATCCGATATCCGTTCAGGGAGGTGACCTGAACCACAATTGCAGTCAAGGCTGTACATCCTTTGAACGTGAGCTTGTTTGTCAAATGTGATTTGGCGATGTCCAGCGGCTTCTTGTCGGAGTCTTTTGTAAGATGGCCGTGGTATTCCACCTTCAGGGAGTAATTCCTCGCCACAATATGATTCATTGAGATGCGCCGCACTCTTTGGACGGTAATGCGGGATCCTGGTTTGGAGATCGATAGCGGCGTCAAGATGCCGGTCCTTCCTCTGTTTCAAAGGCCGTCTGCTCACGCGATACTTGTCATGCACATACACAAATCCATCTTGGTTCGGCTTCCGATTGAGACCGTTGTCGTCGTGAGTGTATGGGGGGATAGCTAGGTAGTGGTAGTGGTATTCGGCCAAGACGATCAGAATGCGCTTTTTGGTGTGCGCGAAGTTGTAGTCGCATCCCGAAATGTACTTGCTTTGATAGTTCGCACCGCCTTCGTAGTCTTCTTCGTGTAGGGGCGCGCGGATGACCCATCCTGTTCCATATGGGTCTGTGTGAAAGACACCGCGTACTACTTCGCGGAGAGGGGGACCGCCTGGTCTGACCTTTGGGTACCTCGATGGTCGGTCTGTCTTCTTGGAGATGCGTGGTTGGAGGATCCTGCTCGCGGCCATACGCGGTATTACCGACGGTATTGTTGTTGGCCGAACGTGCTCTCTGAGATCCGTACATGTTTGGGGAACGTATTCGTATTGAAAACCTTGGGTACTATACTGGATGGGATGATGATGAAAAGCTGTAGGGGTCAACGATTTTGGTGTTCGGAGTGTAGACGTCGCATAGGAGACGTGCGTGATTAGGGAATGATGCACCATGACCCTTGTTGTTGGCGGTTCATGTCAACTGTAATTCTGTAAGCATGACAGGGAGAATTCTTTTTCCGGGTGATCAAAGGTCGCATTGGCCTCACTCAAAAGAAGGTTCTACACTCTGACCTGACTCAAACGATAAAGAATCGCTTGATTTGTCGACTGAATTGGTAAAAAAGATTCTCTTTCATAAATCTGCTATTGAGGGCGAATGGAAAGACATGCAGGTCACTCAGACTTCTGTTCTCTAGATTACAAAGCTTACGAGCGTGAGGTCGGCATCTGGCAGGAGCGTTGCAGGGCTCTGAGGGAAGGTTTGCAGGTCCACAGCCACAGACAGACAACGTATGGGCTGTAAACATGATCTCTCTTTTAGCATCCATCTTTGGTCTCGGACCAGCGTCAGGGTCTTTTCTCGCGCAGATTTGGCTTTTCGACGATCGAGCTCGCAAGTGTTTCTCTGGTAGGCGCGTCGTTTTGCGGCCCGATCGCTCGTGTTCGTGGCCTCGATGGTCAAGATCAGCTCAGATTCTGATGGGCTTATCTTGCTTATCGAGGAAGTCGAAGAGTACATGGTCCGTAATTGCTTGGCCCGGTAATGCCCCGCTGAGCACGTTCTTCGATTCTACTGTAAGCTCGATTTTGTTTGTAACACCTACTGAAACTTTCTCCTGGCCAGTGGGGCCTTCTTCTGAGTATCAGGGAAGTCATGTTCAATTTCCGAAGCCGTCACATGAGCTCGCTTGAGATGACTGATGAAAAGGTCGCGGTTGCTCTAAGCGAGATCTACTCTTTCTGGAGGTCATACCTCGGTTGATAGGCTTTATGAGCCGCGGGAGATGGTGGAAATAAGATAATTGAGGATAGGCTCGCCGACGAGAGACTTGTTGGGGAGGAGCTTGCTGGCGAGAGGTTTCAGAAGAGGTAGCCATTGGAAAAGGAGTTGCTGAAGTAGAAATCGCGGGTGTGGAGAGCGGTGAGTTTACAACGACTTGGAAACATGTCATGACAATTGCAGTGGTCGATGTACTAAACTTAATACATGGGGCCTGAAAGACCAGCAAAGCTGATTTCTGTGTGTAGTTGTGAAGAGGCACAGGGGTTGGATAGCTCCCTGGGCTAGGGTCATCATATTGAGCCGGCACGGTGTATGAGACAGGGTTTCTTATTTGTCTTCATTGAACGCGAGCCGCCGGCTGTGAATTCTGACGTGAGATTGTATCCATGATGTACTATAAAGGTGGCGGTCCCTATACCACGAATCCACTCGAATTAGAGTCCAGACGAGAAACATGCATGGGTAGGGATGCATGAACAATCTCTTATATGGCACCTACTACGGTTTGCTGTGTGAGATCAAAGGCAATTGATACTTGGCAGAGCTGCCCACCTTGCGTATACGGACCGGAGCCATGCAGAATTGGAGGTGGGGAGATAGCAAGCCATATATTGCGGAGAAGCTGTGCTTCAAAGCATGAGCGTAGGGAGAACGATGAAAGCATCACTAATATTAGGAAAAAGACTTCGGTCTAATAGACTAATGCGAAGAATCCATTTGACAGCGTACGTGTATTGACATGGGTTTGCACGTAAAGCTTTTCCCGAAGGAATTGAAAGGGTGTCGGACGCCAGCACGGCAGTGCTACATGATTCTGGAGACGGAACGAGACTGGAAACAAACAAAGGGATATGGAAAGGTTGCAGGCCAATCAGAGAGGCCAAAAATACCTAATTATAGCAAAGCCTGCACGGATCGTGAGCAAAGTTGCCCATATTTTGAGGACCAAACAGTGCTTGAGGTTGGAACGTGCTGAGGACTCGAGACCAAGAAGCATGAGAGACCGTCCGCCATCAAGTCTGCGTCTTAGACAAAAAGTGTCTCCATTTTCTTGTGCAGCGGTACGAAATTACCAAGGTTTCAATTCTTCACAAGCACTCCGTGCAACGGCGTCCTGCTTGTAGCATCTAGCGCACAAGCTTTAAGGTACTTCCGCTCTGATTGGCTAGCTGGCAGAATTGCTGACTCCTCAAGACCTCCGCATCCAATCCTCGTCTTCTTTCCTATTGGTTGCGCTAAGCCTGTGCATGAGAGACCAATATTTTGGGGAGTGAGTACCTCCAATGATATGCCGTCTCCTCCCCACCGGAGGGTATTATCTGTCTTGCTACTGTATGGATGTGAGGAAATCGTCGAGTCTACGCCGGTACATCACGGGATCACGCCCTCAACTCCAGGTTACCATTGATTCAAGACATCTATGCTGAGGACTGAGATTGAAATCTTGAATGGTAAACACATTTATCTCTCACGTCTCTGGTCAAGTAATGACAATCTCACCAAATCTGTAGTCTGGCTGGCGGGGCACACTTCGATTAGTGAGGCTATCGTTGCTGGCGTACGAAGCATGAGGCAGCCTCTTAGCAGCCTCCACTCGCAAATCTTGTGTTAGGCATACATACATTTTACCAACGGAAAATTGCCGCACCTCCTTTGCTTATGCAAATATGATTTGCTGGCTGACCAGTGTCTACGCCATGTCATGCATGGCATGCGCCTTGCAAGCTGCAGGCTGCAATGCTGCAAGGCTGCAAGGCTGTGTTGCTTCGACATCTTTTTTGCCACCTCTCAATTCCCACTCCCTTTAAACTGCTTTCGACCGCACATCCTAGATCAGATCTCAACAGGCAGAGACTCAACGATTTCTGATGCCAAAAACAACCCATAGACGCCTCAGGTCACCGTGACCCGCGATGGACCCTCTCTCGTTTACCGCCAGCCTTATCACCGTGGTTGGACTCGTTGCCGCGAGCTCCAAGAAGATCTACGACCTCCGGGAAAAGTTTCATAACGCTCCAAAGGATGTGGAAGACCTCTTGGGGCAACTTCGGACCTTCGAAAGCCTTCTTACAGAACTGAAGACGCAGTTGCGAGATCACCAGAATTCTGCTCCACCGCAAGAGACGCTTCAGCAATTGTGGGGAAGTTCACTCGCACAGATGCAGCGAGACGTGCAGAGCTTACAAAGCGTCCTCTCTAAAGTTGAACCTCTGCTGAAGAAAAAGTCGAAGAGCTCGAAAATGCTGGTGCTAGCTCGTCAGATACTTAGTGAGAAGGAGGTTGAAAAATATCGAAGGAAGATCGATACACATTGTGTCACTTTGACGAGCATACAAGCGATGGTCTGTGGGTGAGTGATATATCATTCTTGCGAAGCATACTCGGAGTCTGACATTCTACGCTTGGAAAGCGGAAAGCTCGACAAACTCTCCCAAAGTATCATCCAACTTGGCGACGAAGGTAGGACTGGCTTCCGGACCGTCTCCTCGCAACTTTCACAATCCACGAGTCAACTAGGTGCTGAGGTCAATGATGGCTTCTCAAAGGTGTCGTCTCAACTTACCGGTACCGAGTCGGCGAATGAAGTAAGACATCAGACGGTTCTCGCTCACTTTGACGGTCATGCCCGATATGATGAGCTCAATACTGAGAAAATGGATGAAGTCTTCCAGCAACAGGTCAGGTCCATCGATATGAATGAAGCAGGCTTTCAAGCCGTGCAGTCCAGCCTGACCGCCACATCATCATCCAATTCGAAAGATCACAACACAACTCATGCTATGCTCAGTCAATGTCAGGGCCACTTACAGCAAATACTCAGAGATCACATCACCTTCGGAACGGTTGAACGTAGCGTACATTTGCCGTCATCACGCCCTAAAGCCTCGGATTCTGCCACTTCAGAGACTACAGTATTCTGGAACTACCGATTCCTCCGCTTGCCGATCGGAACGCTGCGAATCCGTTTGAATCAAACTCGGCAAACTAGGAATTCGAGACGTTCGACTCCACAGGTCTGCACAAAGTCAGAAATCGCGGTGGAGTTTGTGCCACCACGGTGGCTGTCAAGTGCCGTCATCAGATACAGTATAGAGATGAGTTGCGATTTGATCGAGAGCCAGTGGCGCTGGGGGGCGACTTTGGAGCCTCTGACGGTCAACTATAACTCATATTTTATCGATGCAGTTAAAAACTGTGATGTTGAGGGTGTGCGAAAATCGTTCGCAGAAGGTTTAGCGAAACCGACGGATTACATAATAGGTTACTTTGGTCCCAACCATTGGGTTGTGGTTCGTCTCGAGTCTGCCTTCAATAGTGACGTGCTAAACTCGTCTCGCAGTTCATCTGGTCTTGGGGTCCTAGTGATGATCATCAATTATCTTTGATGTTCGACTTCCTGGTGGAAAACCGTCATCCGGGCCAGTAAGTGGTTTCCAGGTGCATATCACGTCAAAATGAAGTGCCTAAAATCGTCCAGGGAATTTTGCTTGTCTGTATCACGGGCACTGGTGCGGGACCTCGCCGAGCAAGACCTTCTACGAAACGATATGAACAACTACGTAAAACATGGTGGCCAAATATTGACGGCGCAATCAGAGGTCTTTATGCGTTTCTTTATCGATGATCCACGTGGCCGTATTGACTGGATTCCGGATCTCTTATTCAACTCATCGGAACCATGGCTGATAGATGACTTCTCGTCACTACAAATATGTCTCATAGGCACCTTAGCCCATGTAGACGCAGTCTTTCGTAATCGGCTAAAAAGAGAATTGGCTAGCTACCGTTCACCGGCTTCATTAGGTCGAACACCTTTTGCGGACAATCTGTTTGAAATTACCTTCGGTACAGCTTCCATCGAAAGCCACTTTCGTACATTAGATGAGTATCAGCGGATTAGACTTTTGTTACTGTTATGCAGAACAGGCTCAATTTCGATGATGAAAATGTTGATCGACCTTGGGGTTGATGTCAATGGAGGTAACGGGCGGAAGAACTTACTGGGATCTGCTGCAGCAGCCGAGAACATGGAAATTGTTTGTATGCTCCTTGAAGCCGGTGCGAATGGCTCTTTAGCCTTCAAGACCTTCCTGGATGAAAGCGCGCATCTCTCCGATGCACTGTTCAGGCGACTTCTTGGAATGCTAGTGGAAAATGCTCGGCCGGCATCATTTGAGCCGGTGGAAGACCCTTTGCTTAGTATCTTAGCATCGCGCAGGGCGCTCCATTTCTACCCTCAGGCGCCAGAGATCCTTCTCAACCGAAAAGTGTTTAGTGACATAGGTTTCGGAGGAGGAACCATCAAACAAGCAAATTACATGTATCGTGCTATCTCAGGAAAAAGATCTTCCACGGTCGACCTTCTCCTACAGAATGGAGCACATGCCAACGCTCGAATATCACACTCCGTTGATTGCAATGGGGATTGGTTCAAATCATGTACATGGTTAACATTTTCCGTAATGTGCGGTGCGGCATCTTGTGCTGACATTCTCGTTCAACATGGGGCAGATGTCACTGCTTTGGATGGAGCTGGCAGGTCCGCAGCCCAGTTGGCTATGACTAACGCATTTGCTGAACATCCTCGCTTTCGAGAGACCTGGCGAGATCATTTGAGCTACAGTTGGGACCCGCCTCTGTCCGTCACAGCCGAAGAAGACGCAGAGATTTTAGCCGTGGTGGAGCGTGCCTTCAACCTGAAATTTCGGGGCTCGCGGAGCCTAGAAGACTGTATTCAACTCAGCAACGAACCCACTCTTCAACCTCCCCCCCGGCAAGACGAACCTGTATCAATAATTCGAAAGACGCTGGAAAAGGCTCTTGGTATCGTTCTCACTCCAACTCAAACACAGTTCCTCTGTGACCGTCTCAGGGTTCTCTATCTTGATATCAGAAAACTTTGGTCCCTGCCGTTCTACGAAGCCTTACTCATGAGATTGATCTACGTCTTTTCATACATCATACTTCTTGCTTTGGAGACATTCGCGTTCATCAAAGGGCACAAGCGCATCCCAATGCCATCTAGGTCTCTCCTGTCCGCGGCCGCGGTGCTGATGCTGGCTCTTGTCTGGGGCTCTTCGCAAATGGGTGTCTCCTGGGGGGCAATCACTGCTGGTTCAAAGTCTGAGACGGATTCTTGAAAACTTGGCTGTACGTGAGAGCCTTTGATAGCGGTCCGCGGACTCGGTGTGCAAACTCAGAAGGAATTGCAGATCGAGCAGACTACGCAGGCGGGGATGCTGGGTCGGGGGCCTCGGGAAATCTAACACCGGTTTTGCAAGAGAAGAGATGGAAGCACAAGCACTGCTCGATTAGAAATTGAAAACCAAGAAGCTCAGGCGGACGTTCACATGGCGCATGTCGGGGGCCTTAGTATGAAAAGCTGGGAGCTGATATTGAGGCTTCCATCGACCGTCGACGAAATCTATGAGTTCTTCCCTTCAGGCTGTGGTGCAGCTGCTTCCAAGTCTGCGAGCGAGACCGCTGTGGGGGTGGCAGCTGCCTTTCCAGTCGTGCCTTGTCGCCAAGCCTATGCACCTAGCTAGCTAGCTTCAACATTTGTCCTCGTAGTTAGGAACCAATCGTCTTTGAACAACGTACCCTTCACCGCTCTGACCAATGGCGGCCGCGGCAAATACCGCAACGACCAACAATCTTCTGAACGTTTGTGAATCGCCTTTTCGGCTACCCTAGCTGTATGCGTGCTGGAGCAGCAGGTGCATCAGCGGCCGTGGTAGCCTCAATGAACGCCGCAGACGCTGCGGTAAGCTCAGCAACATTGTCGTCATCATTGGCCTCACTCTCATCCTTCTCCTCGTCTCTTTCATCAGCGACGGCGTCTTCCATCCTGTTCAGCGTGGTGTCAAAACCGACCACTACCTTGCCTTCCACACCTAATAACAAGCCGCAAGATCATGTCACAGAGCAAAAATTGGCTAGTGGCATCGCAGTCCCAACAGTCGTGATTGCAGCTACCTTTTTCAGAGTGTGGGCTGGGCAGAATTCTCACAAGAGGAAACGGGGTACGGTCGTGGAGGCGACGCCCCCCGATGAAAAACAGATTTGAGGCTGAGAGAATTCAACCAGTGGGGCTGAGTCGGCATAGATGTGGTTGCCTCAAAAAGCCTCCACTTGCATCATTGAGTCGTAAGCGAGCCAATACATCTCGTTACCATCGAGGCCTGCAGAACCTCTTAACTACCTACTCTCAGCCATTGATCGACAGCAACGCGAGACAATGCTTCGCCCTGTCGTAAAAATCCGTCGCAGAATCTTGGGTTTGTTGGCATATTGAATCGCGCTTGGTAGTTCAAGTGGTCTTTTTACTTTTGGAGCTGTGCGCAGGCCAGGCGTTATCAAGTATGTCGACCAATCCACTAGGCGATCTAGCCGGTAAGTCCCAATATGGCTCTTTGAGACTCTCATGGGCTGACTTGTCTGGCTGATCCATGTTTGAGCGGTTGCGCAGTTGCCGCGGCCGAATCTACGACGACAATTCTATACGTACGAACAGTCGACGATAGAGGGTCTAGTTCAATCCGGAGACTACCGTACCATCATCGTTATATTTTATTTGACGTTCTCTCGTAGTGTTTCCAACTCTGACGTATTCCTAGTATTCTCAGCGTACCAGACTACTACCACGTCCGCCAGCGGCAATGGTGACTGCGTTACGGTGCAGGGCCTACCGATAACCCTGCCATCCCAATATCCTCTCACTAGTCCACCGGCTGTCGATGATGGTGCGCTTCAGTACAATGCCACGACGTCCCTTGTCGATTTTCTAGGATTCACGAGCCGTACCCCCGTACTCCATTTTTGCTTTTCCATGCCAACAGCGCCTCATCCAAGTCACGGCCGCCACACCCAGTAGGAATCGGCCCAAGCCGAGGAGACGAGAAAACACGAACTGCATGCGGACGAGCAGAGGTACGAATTCGCGGAAGAGACCATCCTGAGATGCAGGACGGAGATCATGATCATGGAACACTCACAGAAGGCAGACCTCGCTCGGAGCAACGCACGAATTGAAACGTGCAGAGCATTCGAAAAAAGCTCGAAGCGCGCGAGCACTTCTACTGATTCCAGACATTCCCCACCTATCGCAGCACGACCCTTTCCAATGCCGGGATCAACGCAGTCATGGACCCAAACGTGCCAACGAACCGTGACCGATCGCAGAGTCGGCGCCATATTTCTGGAAAAAGCGGATGATTGTCACAGATGGGAGCGGAGTCCACACAGGATATTCTGCGACGGAGATGGCGCCGGCTGGTGAACAGTTCGAACTACCTTACTTTTCATACTAGGCCGGACATGAGGATTCTCGACCGATGCGGCATCCCGATGGCTTGAACGAGAGTCATCAGCAATTGGCACTCTCGGGTCGACTTTTGATATCACTCTCGTTTGCTTAAAGCCGTGAGCTAGTCGGCAGGGATTCTTCGAACTGGTTCGGCGCGTTGAGCACGGCGGACAAGCGACTTATATGCTTGCGATCATAAGGAAGTGGTTGTGAAGGTGCAGACGGGAGCTCTGATGGCGGGTCCGTTTCAAAAGTGCTAGGGTTCCGGCTGCAGTTGATATCTTTCTGTTAAAAACGGAGGAGTTCAATTCAAACATCTGACGGTCAGTACAGACTATATCTATGAAGCACTCAACGTTTAAACTTGGAGCCCACATGATATCAGAAAGTTGGACCTATCTTCCCGTGAGACCTAGGAGACATTTTGGCAAAAATCAAAGGCGCAGGCGGGACTTTGAGCTACGCAAGCTGAGACTGGTATCCTGTCTTTCAATCGACCATCTTCGTATCTACACTTTGACATACTTATGCCACGGGTGTTCCTCCTGGAACCCCAGCACCTCTCTCGCCTTCCGATTGCTCAGCGGGCCCTCGTACTCGCCCATCTCCCTCGTGATCGGCGTATTAGGCTCCGCCTCCTTCAGATACTGCATCGTCGGCACCTTCAACGACGAAGTCGTGTTCGTGGCATTGAAGACCTGGAAGCCCAACCCGTTCTTCTGTACGCATAAATCACATATCTGACCCAAATCTCTTGCATCGACGTAGCTCCACGCGTTCCTCTTCCGCGTCTCTGGCTTGTTGACGTATTCCGGGAAGTCTTTCTCGTATTCATGTGGTTCGATGACGTTCCCTATCCTCAGCGCGTAGATGTCCGTCCCCGGGAATCTCCTCGCGAAACTTCGGGCGCAGCGCTCGCCGCAGAGCTTGCTCGTTGCGTAGGTGTCCATTGGATCTGCAGCATCCGTCATCAGCGATCCAACTGCGTCTGGCTTGAGACAGATGACACTCACCGCAGTCATAATCCTCCTCCAGAGGAAAGGAATGATAATCACTGTCTCCTTGCGTAAAGCAGACCCCATAAGTCGTCTCACTACTCGCGATAATAACCTTTTTGACTCCCAGCTTGCACGCAGCCTCAATGACATTATATGTACTCAGCACGTTCCCCTTAAAGCACTCATTATCCGGCACCAGCATATTCCTCGCATACGCCGCAAAATGAATGACCGCATCGATGGGGCCCACGGGCACGGTCTCTGAATGGCGAGGATTGGCGTAGTGGTTGATGTGGAAGTTGGAAGTGAAGGCATTGAAGACTTGGCCGGCGTCTGTGAGGTCTGTCTTGAGGGTGTACACCGAGGGGTGAGGGAGCGGGGTCAGGTCGAGGTTGAGAACGGAGTGACCTTTGGAGAGGAGGTAGGGAATGACGTGGCGGCCTGCTTTCCCTGAGCCACCGGTGAATACGATGCGTTTCCCTGTGGACGCGGCCATGATTTCTGATAGCGATGAGGTTAGGAATTTGGGAGACGCAGGACCGTTGAAATGTGGGGGTTTTGCATGACATCACGGCACAGGTGCCGGGGATCTGAGCCGGGCTTTTGGGGACGATTGCGCTAAGTTCGCATGCCCCCGGGGCCCGGGAAGGGCGGATAATAAATACTTAGTGGGCGTCGGGCGAAGACCCAGCCACAGCTGAGCCATGGACGCTGTAAACGACATGACCTTAGATGCGAGGGCAGTAACGGTTTCTGAGGTCTTTCATTCACTTTGCAGTTTCTTTCTGTAACCTGCATCAATTGTAATGTTGTAACCACTGTACCCATTCTTTCGCAGCTTTTTGGATCTGGCTGATGCCATTGGCCTTCAGCAAGCCTGGTCGTCCTGGTGGCTACTGCGTAGAAATACTCATGCCAGACGCCACATAACGGACGCTGTACAACCTATGTCCAGGGATTCGTGGTGCTCCAGGATAAATCCGAATGGTCTCCCAAGATCTCGAGGACTACTACCCTTAATTAGGAACTCTCAGTCGCTCCAAGGTCTCCTTGTGAAATAAAGATTTTCAACTCAAAGCTTCTCATGTCTCTACACCTAGGGATCTAACAAAGGTCCTGCGAAATTCACTCGCGGTCTTGACAGACCTGGATACAGTTGTGAGTATCATAAGGTGTATGGGTCTTCGTCGAGTGTTGGCAAACGAGCGCGTTGGAGATCGAATATTAAGGAGAAGGGAAAGAAGACCAAGGGTGGTCTCTATATGCTCAAAAGCTGACACTGAACACCGCCAACTCTATCCTCAACTGTAAGAACCCTGAAAAGCTGGGTTGCCACATCAGCTCATTTATTTCGAAGCTACGATCTCAAATTTTCCGATACCGAGTCCGATTGGATCGTATCAGACGTTGCGGGAGATGTACACGACTTCCAGGGAAAGTTAGCGATCATACCGCTGAAAATGGAAGACGTACGAGCCGCAACATTGCCAGCTGCTCCAACGCTTGTCGATATGAAAAGCGCAGCTCTGAAATCGGATTAGATTCTGCGGGATACCCTAGGCGACCTAACCACGCTCGGAATGTCTATGGCTTCAACACTTCGAGGGGTCACTTGCGAGCTGACTTCGTACTGCATCTGCTCATGTGTCAGTGGATCATACCTACTTGTGAGATGACAAGTGCGACTGGATTCATACTAACATCCATCACTGGACGCTCCATTACTGGACTGTGTTCGTCGTATTGGAACTGCTGAAATATTAGTTATCAAACGTCGGGTCGACAGCATAATCTTTTCAAGACCGACCTCTTGGGAATGGTTGTATTCTGACCGAAACGACTGATTCGAGCTAAGGTCGCCGGACATTACACTATCGTTGTCGCCCCCATCTGGCACGTGGGAGCCAGAAGGTCCTAAAGACGTACGGTGCCCTTACATCGCTTGGTAAGCGCGCAAGTTCCAGAGGGGCAACTTGATGACTTAAAAATCGTGAACACTGACCTGCAATACTCCGATGTCGCTGGCAGATCTCCAAGCCTCTTTCCAATGTCTGAAGCTTCCGATTTAGCTGCTGACGCAGTGCCTGCGACTCTGTCGACTCAGCCGCGATCTTGGAGACAAGGCTCGACGACATCTGCCCCACGTCGGTTGGTGAGAAAACGGACCAGATGTCACTGGTAAGGAGACCCTCGACCACGTGGATCGAGACGTTATCGACAAAGGTCTTCAACGCTACCTTGACTTCTGTCTTAGCAGTGGTGTCTTAAATGACCGAGAAGGAAGTCGATGGTGGTTTGGATGAAGGGCACTCACTTTGTAGAAGGCCCGCAGGCTGTCTAGCAACTCTGAACAGGCAAATACGTCCATGTCACTTTCGGATTGAGTCGCTAGTGACCTAGCTAGTCTGCTAACATCAGAAGATCCAATGTATGCGGGCGTAGAGGCCGGCTTAGAGGTCGATGAAGAGCCCATGAAATGCTGGATCCTGCCCACGAGCTCGTTTACCTGACGTTCCTTTCTGAGGCTCTGCAAGACTTCTGTGTAATAGTGATTATACGTGATGGCATGTCTTTCTCGATCGATCAACAGGCGGTCGAGCATTTCGTTAGCCTTTTTGAATCTTGCAGTGAGGATAGGATCAATCCAGTGTGTGAACAACGTCCCAAAAGTTTCTTCATCGGTAAGGATGTTGAAAAGCCTCTCGAGGAACGCTTTCGACGCTATCCATATGTTCTGAACGTGCTCACGCGCTATCCGTTCCCAGTGCCTGGATTGATCACGGAATAACTCGCTGACCAACAATGGATTGAATGAGCCTGGTAGTTCACGGCCTCTGCTTCTCACAAGCAGCTTTCGGACCCACTCGATCGCGTCCGCTCGGCTCATCGGAATGGGTTGAAGACCAGCATGGGAAGTTGAAGCCGGACATTGCATTGGGGCTGCAATTTCCTCGGTTACTTCTCTGTCAATTGTCCTATGGTGACCTCTCTTGCGCATGAGGTCCGAAAAGCTGAGGTTGAGGTTTTGCACTACCGCTCGTAGACGCTTGCAATATTCCTCATCAGAAGACGGGTCACCGAAGAACTTATCGTCGTAATTTCCGTCGATTGCTGCCCTGCAGAGTGCTTGAAACGATTGACTCAACTTTAGCAAAAATTGACGCTGCTCCTCGGCCGTACTGCGACCGTCTCCAAGCTTGACCAACTTCGTCTTGCAATCTTCGATGCTCGATTGAATATCCTTCATCAAACTGGGAAGATATCTCTTGATCTGATCCAGAAGAATCTTACTCAAGCGAACATTGAGAGACCCTATGCCGACCATATCGCGAGGCAATTCTTTCCAGACGCCCTCCGAGAAGAATTGCACCTCAGACCGGTCTCGCTCCTCGGCCGAGGAATGGCGTGAATGGTAGTCTCGATTTTTGACGATATGCCAGCCAAGCCGAAATTGAATATTGTCATTACTGGCGAGATTGATGAAGTCAGCCTCGCTATTCGAACCAGGAGGGAGAGTGTCAGGCTTTGTGATGAGCCCGAGCGTTCGCAACCCTTCACGATCCACTTCTTTAGCCCGTTTTAGGACGATCTGGTTGGCGTAGTCGTTCTTGGCGGAGACTACTGCAAGAATGACGCTCCTTGGATTTTTCATGTAGGAATGAACCAGATTGGAGATGAGTTCAACGTCTGCAGGGGATTGATTCCTGCTTTCGGAGTGGATCAGACCGAGCAGGTCAACAACGGTGAGCTTTGGCTTCTCTTGACCGGAGATCTCTACCCTGAGGATATTCTTCGAGAAGGCGTTTCCGGTCGCCGTGATACCCATTGCTGACTTTGCTCGTTCGATATGGTGGGGGAAGTCTTCTAACTGCTGTAGTGTTTCCTTGAAAGCTAGCAACCTTTCGCGATCCGCCTCGGAAGCGTCCTGACTGGGTACGATGGAGACGACTGCTTCAGTGGTAGGCGCTTGTCGAAGGATAACTTCAGTGGCGAAACGTGTGCAGAGTGTGTCACTACGTGGGAACGGAACACCGGAAATGGCTTCGAGGACGGAGCTCTTCCCGCTGGATTGGTCCCCACAGACGACGATCTGAGGTAAAAAAACGAACTCGCTTATGCCCTGAAGTCGAAGGCTGTCAATCTCATCTAGAAGATTCTGTTGTTCCGACGAGCGCAACACCTTGAGAGCAGACATATCTATGTCTGGGACTGCCATTGTTCTTCTGAACAGCTTCTGCAGCTTACACGACGGGTGATTGTAGAAAAGAAACTACTTCGAGACTGAATATGGAGTTGTGCCCTTCGATTTGAATTTGACAGGGTATGAGAAAGTTGGTGACGATGAACTGATCAACTTTGTGGCCGCAAACAAGTGCGGGGAGATGGCGGTGACGAGCTTGGCCTGACACGTAAGCGAGTCTTTCTGGTCTGGTGGGGAAGAATCATAATAGGCTTAGCGTCGACATATTTGCAGAGTGCCTAGGATTGGACAAATCAGAGAGGGGCATGGCTTGTACGTTACCATAAGACTGCTAACCAATTACATTGGAACAGGAAACCGGACTTTCTCGTCTTCAATTTGAACCAGCGAGATAGACAATAGAAGACCAATCCCTCCCTCACTCGCACTTGCTCTTCTTAGCACCCATGCCAGACCTCTTGTTGACTTTCTTCACACATCGATTCGACATTCCTTGGAATGAGGGATTTGTTCGAAGTCGGACCGGAGCTTTGTGACTGGGGTTGGCCTGAAGTGGAGGCGTGCATTCAGCCTCCTGACTCGACTCGGTAAGGTCATAATCAACAAACTACGGTGTGCAGAAGGCCCAAGGAGGCCCTTGTACGGGTTACAGCTCGGCAGTGGTGAAGCTTCAGCATGATGCTCGCTTCACCCCGGATGAACTCATAGCATATGCTGAACGTATCCGTTTCACCCCGGATGAGAGCTGTAAGCCCGCAATTGTAGTAGTTGTAGTTGACAAGGTTTTCCATTCAAGGTTGCGCAGGATCGGCCCGGCATTCAGCCAATCATTTCCCGCGCTCCTAGGCTCCTAGCTTTCTCACCTCTTTACCTCATCCATTGATGATATCGCCTGCATTCTTTTGTGTGTGTGTGTATACATATTTGCCAAATAAAAAGTGTCGTCCAGACTCCAAGCTGCCGTTTACTGGACACAAGGAATGAGGTTTATCAATGATCGAGGTACAAACTGGTGCTGTCTGTCTAAGCCTGAGCTGCCGTCCTGCCATTTGTGCATCTGGGCACATATTGGCCCCTTTTTCTCGCCCTCTTTCTAAAGCCAACCGGTAATCAAGCTAAGCAATGAACAACCCTACAGCCGAGATCTCTGGGGTCCTCTCACTTTCTCAATATCGCTCTTCGGACCCTTTACGACAATTGTCGCCGTCTTACTATCTTTACGTTCGGCGGACATCCAATTTCCGCTGATCAATTCCTCATGAAGAAACGTCTTTGAGCCAATTCTCTATATTGACTTGTCGTGCGGGCGAGGTAATCCATAGCGCCGTCTTTGGTGAAACCGCCTCATCGCCATCGATTGTAACACACGAGACTGTGCTTGAGTTGGGCCGTCCGATAATACTCTCCGTGGTGTCATGTTGTCTGCTTGGTACTTCACCGTCGCTCTCGTCACGCACCCATTCGTCCTTGTATATCGGCTCGTTGGGGGGCACGCCTTCGCCATTACTAGTCACCCATTGAAAAACTTCCCATGATGCCGTCCGGGACGCTTCTTGATCTAGCGAGACTTCAGCAGCGGGAAGTTTTACGTTCTGTGTCATCTCGAACCGTGGACTGACTTTTTGGGACAATGTTTGGGCGGGCGACATCTCCAAACCTTGATCGACCAAGGTCGACCCGTTTTCTAGCCGCCATGTCCAGTGTTGGTACTCCAGATGGTGTCTAGAACAGAACCGATGAATCCTGATCCGAGCGGCTGAATTTTCCATACTGGTCTTCCCGAAGGGCTCCCACGGGGCAAAAGGGTGATTCTCATAATGCAGATCGTCATCGACGACAGTTGGGAGGTAGAGAAGACGCCAGACATCTGCTCTTCGAATTCTCTCGCCGCAAGCATCAGTCTGGGAATAAGCCCCAGAGCCTGCAAGGTCCATGAAAGATTGAGGACAACCCGTCCAAGCGAAAGCGTTGCGATCGAGGGGCGGTGCACCAGTTTTGACGAGATCAAGAATTTTCGGGGCTAGGCCACTGATGACAGCTCCCAGCCAAAGAGTAGAGAGTTTGGGGCGGCGGATGGCGCACACCACGGCAAGAATTTCGTGATAGTGGCCCTCGAACTCTATAACTTCCTCCACGATGGGGAGTTCGTTGGTAATAGGGTGTAACCAAGGGCTGACGAGGTTACATGGAATTTCGGGCTGCCAGAACGCCCCGCAAAGACTTGACATTATGACACTATAATTACAGCTCAAAGCCATATAACGAGGAAGCTCTTCGCTCAATTTGGCCAAATCATGAGTGGTGAGATTCGCTGGGGCATTTTCGGCTTGGCGTCTCACGCTGGTAGGAAACGGTAGTGTGGCTATGGTCCCATAGTGATTATGCGTTGGAAAAGTCAGAGTCGTTGCGAGAGCCGCGAAGCACTGACTGCCCAGGTCATGTAACATACAGAATCCGGTCAAGATTCCGAGGGCCTTGTTGGAAGATACGGGTGTCGAAACGATGGAACCCTGCGAGGACGACCCAGCTGCCGACCACTCAATCCCAAAGCGCCGATCATCTTGCACACATACGGACCATGGCGACAGGTACACCATGTGGTCACTCCGAGAAACAATTGCCTGCCAACCTTGACCGGGAGCCAAGATGGCAGCCCACCAACGGGCGGCATCCTCCTCAATACGACCGATGTCAACAGTCATAGTGGCAGCAATTCTATCCCCAGTCTTACGCTTGTATCCAATAGCCGTTGACTGCGTGTACGTTATTTCTGCACCTTCTTGACCTTGCATTTCAAGCAAGCGAACAGAGAGGATGTAAGACCAGCCCAGAGCCAAAATTGAAATATAATTCCTCGTCCTACTTTCGCCTTCGATTCCGACCCAGTGGCGGAAGCTTGTTCCATTCCAATTGACTGGTGTCGGAGATGGAACTCCTAGCTGTAGTAAAGCTGGAATTGACTTGATCCTGTCACTGGCAGTGCAGCCTTCGTCCTCTGCAACACGATAGGTGGAGTGCGCTTCGATAAAAAGCGCGCTTTTGCCAGGAGAATCGCCGACAAAAAGCATCCGGCTACTTCCAGGCTGGTTGGGTATGGCAGGGACTTTACCCAGTATATTGGAAGGGTTGACTTGTTGAGGTAAGAGCCCGTTTCTGTGGTGTGACAAGGCCTTCTCAACAACACGGCACCAGTACGCACGGGCGTTTATCGTCGCCGCCTCCAATTGCTGTTTACTAGGCTGAAGGCGTTCGCCATCGTATTGAGCCTAATACGAAGCACTCAGTCACTGTGATGACAATGAAAAGGTGACTACCTCTGATGCCTGTGGCAAGCTGGATTCCCCAAGATTAAGGCCGTCGTCATCAGGTGCGAAAGGAAGCGAGAGATGATCTGGCACGCGTCCTGGGTCTGAAGGTATTTCATCGTCGGCAGACAATGTTTGATTAAGATCCATATCCAATGTTTCGACGAAAGATAACGAGGACGGGCGGCAGAAAGAAGGATCAAGTCAGGTGGAAGCGTTGTCAACTCGCTTCAGGGTGTAACGGTGTCTACTACTGAGGTATACATGCAAGGCCTGGACAGCGCTAACAGCAGCCCTGATTCTGCTTTTGGCTGCCAACCCTGTCGCGGCGCACCCTGGAAATGTTTCCGGAAAGCGCATAGAACTACACGTACGAGTATTGTCCAGGCAACCCTTCATGCAGGGCGCTATTCGAGATCTTGGCACAGGAGTCTTGGCGCCCGTATAAACAGGATAGTCACATCTCGCCACGTGCATCTATTCTGAGCGGAGGCTCACCTGCACGTCTGCTCGCCCTAATGGAAGGCAGCCTGACAATGATGTTGCTGGATGTTCAAATCATTGGAACCAATGACCAAGTAAAAAGTGTACCAACAATTATTTCGATTCAGTTTGCAAGCACTCAGGCTTTTGTCTGAGAAATGGATGTCGTGATATGGGGACGTTCTGCTACTGGACCTGCTTCGGTGTTCTCAATTTCTGTAGCGCCAGGTCTGTTGCCCGATGAGTCATATCGTTACCGCAAAGTCTATCCTGTCGACTTATCGACGCCGATCAGGGCTCTGGATCCGCCACTTATTTTAGGCAACGGATGTTGATGGCTCGTGATGTTATTCTAGAAACGTTTGGCTCGGCGATGCAGGTAGTATACAACGCTGATTGAATTTTGTCACTCAACAGACAAACCACTCGGCCATAGTAAAGTATATGTGTGGGGAGTGATACGAGCATATATAACTTCACAAGAGCACCTGACGACTGACATTGAAATCATGCCAACTACTGAACCATATTCCCGCCAGAAATGCACCAAACAGGCAGTCCATCATTGACCAGCAGTCTTGGATGGATCGCTCACGATACCTCTCAATGTTTACTTGACAATTAGTGGACAACAATCTACGCTTTGGAACGAGTGATAGATCTGTCACGACCACTACGTTTCCTTCTGTCCTTTGTCTCCCATCGTCAGCACAGCGCGAAATCGAGCCTTGCCTGCCATGGTATCGGCCAAGGCCTTGTTGGCTTCCAAGAGCGGATAGGCAGTCACCATGCAATTGATATCATGGTATTTGGCGAACAGAACAGCTTCCTCGGAATCGATGTTAGATCCGCTAGGCCAACCGTATATAGAAAGTGCGTTGAACAACATACTGATAGTGTCGAAGGGTACTGTGCCAGCAGCTGAAGGATGACGTTCAGAATACACCATGGCCGAGGAATGTGTTGACTCTTACCTCCAAGAATGAGAAGTTTTCTGGCCCTTGGTCAAGGACGTTAAGGCCTCAGGGGTGGGCGCTGTTGTGACGATGAATGCCGCACCACCCATAGCCTGTAGCTCCGTAGTTCCATCACTGTCTGTTGTGTCGATGTACTTTGCAGCTCCCAATTGAAGGGCGAACGGCTCTTTCTCCTTTCCTCGTGAGAGGATCGCGACACGGTAACCTAGCTCAGCAGCGTAGTCAAGAGCCAGATGACTGAGACCACCGATGCCTTGGATTGCAACAAGCTCCCCTGCCCTGACACTCAGTTGCCGGATGCCGTTGAAGACTGTGACTCCAGCGCAAAGCAGTGGTGCGTACTTCACCGGATCAACGTCTTCAGGGACGTGAACGGCAGATTCTCGACGGAGAGTCATAAATTCAGAAACTTCTTTTGATTAATTCTTGTTCAACACGAGTGGTTGCAACACTCACATCCACCATCGCGAAAGACACCAATGGCTGTTTTCGAGACGCATAATTGAAACACTCCACGCTTGCATTCTCGACAAAATCCTTGCGTCATCAGAGAAACTCTATCCTTTACAGATACGGCGTAAGACAGGTCATACCACAGTGACCTCCGTGCCATTGCGCGCCGACCCGGTCGCCGACTTTCCAGTGGTCTTCACCAGTTGGAACAGCAGCTACTTCTCCAATAGTTTCATGACCAAGAACGATGGGTCTTCAATCAACTCGTACTATCCGCCAGCATGACATGGTCACTTACAGTGGAACCGGGAAGGAACCCTCTCTAATTACACAATCGCCGTGACAGACGCCAGTTGCGCTGACTCGGATCACCTTGGTATGTTTCAGAGGGAGATCCCGGAACACTAGATCTGCGCCCGCAGTCTCAAGGACTGCAGCTTTATATGTTGTTACTAAGGACGTTGTGAGTGTTTATTTTCGGGCTTCAGCAAAATTCAGAAGAAACTTAGAAGCGTATGCAAACCCATGAGTCGACTGAGTGTCAATCATTCTTTTATGAAAGCTTGCAAGTAAGCAATCGGAGACGCGGGCGCAACATCCGATTCTTATCTCCTACAACCCGTCGCCGTGTTTAAATACTTACTGTGTAATGCCGATGTTTCTAAGCCGAAAATCTTACCCATGCATCATGCTTACGGCGCTATGCAGTACGCTTACACATCTTCACCGGATCTACAAGTAACGACTTGTGCTCGTTGAGTGAGCACTAGTGAGCGTGGCTGAAAGTCCAGGCTTCCAGCTCACGCCGAATCGACTTGTTTATCGTCAGGGATTGTACATGCTACAGGCAAGCAGGATCGTAGAACAGGAGGTGTTTATGCACTTACCTAGCCATGTACTTAGCCAGTTTTGGTAGATCACACTGATCGTTTGCAACCCGGGCTTCCAATCACCCTCCATAGGCAATTCAATTCGTGGAGAAGGGAGAAAGAAAGACAGCAGCGGCTACGGTTCTCACAATCGGAGATGGTGAACAACTCCGGTATTTGTATACACGCCCGGTCCAACATCTCTGGTGAGACTGTCATATCTTGGCAGTTTAAAGTCCATCGGAAGTCTTTTTGAAGCGTCTTCCGCCGATGAAATTCTTCATTCCATATCAATCATCTGAAGGATTTCCATTGCGAGACCTTCCTTCCGACCTTCCACTTCACAATGCCACGCCTCACTACCACCACCTGCCCAATCCTCATAACCGCTAACCTCGAAGGAGACGATCTTTGAACCCTCCTCGGCCTAGGATCATGACCGATACTAAAAGCCTACGCTGTCACCGCCCGAGAAGAAGAATTCCCAAGCGGTCCGATCGACGGCACCGACGCCAGCGTAAAGAAAATATCGCCGCGATCTCCTACCGCACGGAGTCAGTTCTCGCCAATTTGCACGAGCTCTCGGCGAGCACGGAACCTACCCAGTCCCCTGAAGCTGCCGGGTTTCCGGTCCCTGGCGCACCTCGCAAACGTCGCTTCCGTGGCCTCCCACTAGATTACAGTTCCGCCGTCAGTTATTGTCTGTTTGAGGAGGTATATCGAGCCTTGGGACATGTTTCGAGGGTGGAGACTCCCGAGCGAGACATGTCTCAAGACTCAACATTTGGTCCAGAGGAGGCACGATGGACTGCGAAAGTTACGTACGATGCTGTACCAAGAGGCGGAATCTGCTCTGCCCGTGGAGAAGAGCCTGAGGAGACATTTGTCGTCACCTATTGAATCTCAGTCGGACGGAGTACAGACACGGGGGTATGTACATCCCGACTCAGCTTACCCGAGGCGATCAACTGAGGAAGCGGTTCCCGGACGCCGGGTACATCATCAGGACCAAAAAGCACCTTCGCCGTCGACGCCGGCATATCCGCCAAGAGACCCTCGCAGGAAGATGCATCGCTGAAGGTCTGGGCGCTGCCGCATTGGATCTTCGGCTTGTACGTACTCAGAATCACGGCGAGGTTGTCGTCGCCGCCTGGGGCTGCATTTAGCTTTTGACCACGACGGGGGCATACGGCCAACACGAGGTTTCTCCATGGACACGATCGCGGCCGGACTCACCGATATTGGTCGCGATACCACCTTGTGACTGACCACCCGCCGCGCACTGCAAGCTCAGAGCGGCCGCGGCGCGTTTGACCTGAGCGAGACTCGCGCGAGCGGTGGGACCAGCTCCGCGGACGATCGTCCGGACGACGCATTCGGCCTTGTCTGGCACGGTTGAAAAAGTACGTCAGCAACCCAGCATGCCCAAAGTACCATTGTCAAGACTTCATCCATCACGAATCAAGACTTACCACCGAAGACCGCGAACGGAAGAGGGAAGATACCGACCGGCAACCCCGAATGCCGCTCTCCCCACACCAACTGTACCGAGTCCGGGACGATGAACTGCGCCGCGCCCTCGCAGTCGGCAATGTTGGGATTGAACCCGTAGAGCGCGCCGTCGCAACGCACGCTCAAGGCGCCCAGCGCGGAAGAATTCACGGCGGCCGCATCGACGAGATTAGGCATCTTCGCCGTCGCGAGGATCGCGGCGGCCCAGCATGGAAGAAAGCTGAAGATGTGGCGAACGAACATGATTCACAGGGGGCCGTGGCACGGACAATTGGTACGATCAGATTTTCCCAGACTCTGAACTGCGTCAATCAGACAGAACGGTAGAAACGGGGAAACCGACGGCGCGAACACGGACTCGAGGTCAAACTCGCTAGTAGTAGTCGCCCATCATCGGCTCGATATGCGGCAAGCGACTGGTGGAGCTCGTACGCGCCTACAACATACTCCACGGATCGATGGGGTTCAAAGCCGACACCCGATGCGGCTTTCCCAGCTAGGTACTCGTACCTAACAACACGAATAGAATGTTCGAAGAGGGCGAACCGAAAGCGTACGAGCGTGAGGGCGCAGGTTGTACACATTCCAAAACCTGCTTCGACGACGCCACGGTCATGGCTCTGAGACATGGGCGGCGGAGAAGAGGGGAACGGAGGGAGACGAGCGGGTTAGTAGTGATCGGGCGATGGACGTGTGGCATGGGGATGCAGGAGGAGAGGGGACGTGTTACCATGCTGTGTCATAGCATCGGAGGGAGAAGCGGATACCGCATGGACGAGGATGTTTTCAGTGCGCTGTGGTGAGATACTAGGCTTTGTTCTTCTGACCGGATGAAACGTACGCCCAAATCACCACGAAAGCGAAGGGTTTTCCTAGTGAATGGCCCCCGTTTTTGGGGTTTTTTTCTAAGTGACCATCGACGCAGTAGTATCGAGGGAACAATCCATTATTGTGTCATAAAACTACTTCCCACGAGCAACACTCGTGCATCCACCCTTCACGACCGGAAAATCCTCCACCCTCACCCCTTCCTTTGCCCCCACCATGTCGGACCCCTCGCCCGCCCTCTTCTCCTCCGCCCCCTCCTCCGCCGTCCTCTCCTTCCTCACAAACACCACCTGGAAGTACGGCGTCCGATCCCTCGACTCGGCCGTGTACGTCAGGTTGCCGACCGCATACAGGGTCCAGCCGTCCCAGGGGCCGCCTTCGCCCGCGATGTTGGTGAGGAAGTGACTGACATCGGGGCTGATGTTGGCGTTGAAGAACGCCTTGTACTCGTCCGGGATTTGCGATTCGTCGACTCGAATGCCGAATCGGAGAGGGTTGATGATGCGCCATTCTCGCCTTTCGCGGTTGATGGTTTGGACTTTGTAGGCGTGGATGAGGCGGGCTTCCATGACGTGGGTTTGTTATGTCCCGATATGCTGAGTTTGGTAAGAGGCTGACAAGCGTATTGGTATCGAGAAGGCACGACCGAGGGGAATGGATGCCTCGACTGTTGTTGAAGGCTTTGATGGGCTTGAAAGAATGGGAAGGATGGGGGTTCGAATTCAAAAACATATGAATGAGAAAAGCCATTTTCTCTGGCTTTTCTCATGCACTAACGTGGATAACGGGATATTTCTCTCAGAAGCTACGGTACTAGTTGCCAAGCGTTTTAATCGGTACATTTCCTGATGCATCTCGGACCGCATCAAAAGGCTGTTGGATCTTGGCTGCGGTCCTTTAACGATTGAGGCATCGCTGGCATCTGCTGCGCGGATCTGCTTTGGGTGAGTTGAGCGAAAACGGATCGAAGTAGTAGCTGCCTCCACCAGACGCAACTCGATAGCGGATCGATGTGAGAGAATATTAGAAAGTCAGGAGCGCGCTGTCAGAGAGAGTAAAAGTTGTGGCAGATCACAAGTGAAAATTTGTCACCTGGAGTGATGATGAGATTTCCGCCTGCGTCCAACAAACTTCGTCCATTCTGGATGGCACCCACAAAAGGGTAAAATCATGAAAGGCTGGGAGCTCTCGGGATTGCCGCTTCTTTCGGTGGCTTTTCTGAATGTAGGACTATGAGATTGAGAAACTTCCACCTCGTTAGGGCTTGGACTTTTCAGGGATTTCGCCCGCCTGGTCGCCCTTATGCAAATATTTTGCTTGATCCTCTTGCGTGTACACCAACCTCCAGCCTGTCCACCTGCGGCATTGAACATCCTCCTCGGTGCTCGTATCGCCCTGAGCTTTTTGTGCTTCACCAATACCACTGGCCATGTTGGCGGAGGTTGGCGCAATGGATGGCTCCAGCATGACCGGTGTTGGGCGTAAGGCGGGCTTCAAGCTGGTAGAAATGACCATGAAAGCAAGGTTCCAACAGAGCGGCTTAACGTCTTTCTCCTCTATATGAACATCTTGCATACCGGGCTCCAAGTTGGTGAGCCTTGCGGCAGCTAACCTGCAGCTTGTGTGCGTTTCCTCGCGGCTGTTCTGTTGGGAAGGGTCACACTTCCATCTCATAAGTGCCCTTTGCTCGCTGCTTGTCGCGCCGCTCTGGGAAGATCGGGCCCCTGCTTTGTGTGCAGATGAGAACCCACACCACTATCGCAGCCAGTGCCAGTAGTCCCACCGCGGCACCGACGCCTATCCCTGCTTTCGTTCCATCTGTCATGTTTGACATGGTGATTGTAGAACCGATATCGAAGCCCGGTCCAAGCCAAGGCAGATGGAAGAAACGATGGTCGTGGTGGTGCAGTAAGGGTTGATCGGTGACACTTTGTCCAATCCAGAGTCAGGAGTAGGTGCCTAAATGCGAAAGACTGCGTCGTCCGTCAATCTCGAGTCTTGAAAACCGGCTTCATGAAAGGTAGGCCGAAGGTGACACGATTCTTCGGCACCATGGAGGGAGTATGCGAGATTGTCCTGAGGTAGCAAAAAATGGTAAGTGTGGTATGAGCTTGGGGATTTGGCGAGGTAACGTCGCCGTCACAGACACCCAATATATTGGAAGCTGTAGTACGAGGCTGGCGTGTCAAGCGGCTGTGTAGCCTTGTGTTTTTGGAAATACGGGGAAAGTTTGACCAAATCGAAAGTTACGGATCACTTTAAAGGACTGATGGAAGGGAAATCAGATGATTCTTGATACTCACAAGAATTACATGCTGTAGCAAAAAAGAAGCGCCGGGGTAGGGGGGGATGGGAGGAAGAGGGGAGAGAAGGTGAGCGTGTTTCTTCAGGCAATGCGTGACCCGCTGAGGAACCGTAGGCTCGGGTTTCGCCAAGGAATCCTTCGGCCAGCAGGGAGCCTCACGGCGGCAATGCTCCATCAGTGATTCGTTTCTTCCTTCCTTCGTCTTTTGGTCTCGACTTGAAACTTTTGAAGCTGTTGCAATAATGTCCACTCGTTTCAAGTGTGAAGAAAAATAGGACACCACCTTTTCAGATTCTGTACGCACGCAAGCTTCAGTCGCCCTTTCCGCCTTTTTACTGGCAGCATCCCGGGGCAGTTACCTCAACCTGTAATGCTTTATCGTGGCTTGGGAAAGGCAAAGACGCGTGTTCTTTGAGTCCACACACACATTTCAGATATCATCGTCATTGTAGCCTTCCGTGAGGCAGTGGCGCCTTTCTATTTGCTCGACTTCGCCCCGCGGTTGCATACACATATGAATAACATTCCATAGCGGAGGTTCATTCCAATCGACTAACGAGCTTGTTTCTCGTTACTCGTCAGCGGTGCAGGACATTCTGTCCTTGAAGGAGACTTGGGTCCTCCATGAAAAGATAATACTGTGGATAGAAGAGATTGACGTAATAGAAGCCTTCAGATGAAGGTCACGTGCCTGATGATCTGCGACCGTTCTAAAAATGGCATGAGAAAGCGGGAGCTTATGCAGCACATCCCGCTCCGCCATTAATGTGCGGAAGCTAAATTGAAAAGACGCGAGCTAAGGTACTTAAAGTAATGTCTCAGGAGTCAGGACCAAGGTAAGGTAAGGCTTCATTGCCTGCTGATTCGTCACCACCAAGGCTGGCCCCCCCCCCCCACATACCTATAGGCCCTACTTCATCCGTCCTTCTCACTCTACGCGCCGCATTTCATCTCTTGCATCCTTCGACGAAAAGTCGTATGCAGGCCGTGGCAAGAAGATGCTGGACGAGAACCTTCCCAGTGAGTCTACATCCAAAGTGAAATCTGCCCTCATGCGTATTTGCTAATACTCTGTCTGATCTAGCGTTCTACTTGCGATCATCGAATGACGGTATTAAGCACAATGCCTCAGTGCTCCTTTCACACTACGGCTCAGATGCCTTGCCGGAATACTCTCTCCGTCATCCAGACCCTTCTTTGCCAGGCTCAAAGAACCGATATGCCGTAGCCATATACGACAGCTATAACCCAGATATCCTTTTTGGCGAAGTGCTCCTCATACCAGAATGGACCCAGCCAAATCCATCCCAGGAGCAGATACGCCTGAACGGCGGTCTTCCCCCACCGCCTCAGCCAGTGCTGCCTACAGAATTCACGGTCCAGCTATACAACCCTGATCAGCAGATAGTCGCCAAATGGCATGCTGGAGGATGGGGCTCCACAGGCTACTGGGAGTTCGAGATGCCCCAGCAAAGCTTCCGAAAGCCCTCAACATCCGCCCTGGACCGCACACAAAATGATCCCACCGCCTCTGAAACAACGCCGAAGCTTGGCTTCAAATGGAAGAAAGATGGCAAGTTGTCAAAAGATTACGTCTGCACTCTATCCGGCAAATCCACAAACCCAGACGGCAGCAAGCGTCGGAATAGAGAACCAGACATCACCATCGCCCTCTTCCGCCACTTCAAAGAAATCACCATCTACGAACCCAACCTCTCACGCGTCGAGATGGAAGATCTAAAAGGTCTAGAAGTAGTCCTGTTACTCGGCGCGATCGTCATCCGTGAAGTCTTCAGCAGCACTATCCGCGAAGCCTTCAATATCACCGAAACCCCTTCCAGACGCTCCAGCGCCGAACACAACTCCACCGCTGCCTCGCTTAGCCACTCATCTAACCCGAATCTCCCACCCCGACGACACCGCCACTCCTCCCTACCCTCCGACTCCGCTCCTCCAAACCCCGGTGCCGCCCGCCCACCACCCACAGACCCCCGCTCCCAATGGGAGCTCGACCTCGAAACCGCCCGCCTGCGCAAAGCAGTCGAAGCCGAACAGCGGGAACGCCGACGTACCGAGCAGGCTGAAACGAAACGCGTGAAGCGGATGTTGGAAGAGGAAGAGCGAAAAGCACGGGAAAAGCAGAAGGGAATCGATCGAGAGACCGAACGCCTCAAGAGAGTCTACGGGAGGGAACAGAAGCAAAGTCTACAACAGCTAGGCCAGAGACCAACGCCTCAGCCCCCACCGCGACCGCAACCCCAACAACATCTCGCTGTGACATCCTACCCTCCCGCACCGCTGCAACGACCGCACAGTGCATCAACCCCCTACGCCTCAAGTCCTTACGTAGCTTCGAATCTCCGCCCGCCTCCATCTTCTCCGGGACCGTATCCGCATCCACCGGATATAGCATCCGCGAGCGGGTACATAGGCCCCTCGGCCAGCTCGAGCACTTTCTTTGGTAATCCGGGAGGAGGGGCGAGCGGTAGACCGGCCGTGGTGCCGAAGAGGAGTTTTTGGGGTCTGAGAGGGGGCGGAGCGGGTGGGGACGGGGGGAGGGTGACGAAGCAGAGGAGTACTGTGTTCTGAGAAGGGGTTTCGATGGGGGTTACGTGCGCGTCGCCATGTGGTTGGATATGCCTGATGGGATAACGATTATGATTTGCATAGCGAGGTGTCATGTCCGGACATGAGATCATGAAATCTCCTAAATAGGCAGTGATCAGGATATCAAACACTCTTGCATCTGAAATGATAACATACTTCAGCCTGGCATACCCTCGTTAATGATTCCCTCATCACCGTCGCAAATCCATGCTACCGTCGCCGCAGCCCGCAACAACCGCAGCAGGCATCGCTCCCTAGGGTATCATCCAACATGAACAAACCACTCAATGCTTGATCCTATAAACACCGCCCGCGAAATCCAACTTCCCGCCCCTCACCTCCTCCTCGAGGTAATCCTTCAACTCCTCACTCCCAAACGGAAACCCCCCCGGCACCGTCAGCTTCAGCATCATGACGATCTGCTGCAGCGGCATCGGCCCGCCGTTCGTCAACATGCCGACCACATACTGCCAATACACCTCCATTTTCTCCTGGGCCACCTCGTGCTCGCTCAACACCGCGGGCGCGGCGGCGGCGGTTGCGGTTTCGGCTGCTGCGGCGATGGCGGCGGACGTGGTGCCCGGGTGGGCGGCGTCTTCGTCGGAGAGGGTCTCGAGGACTGCGTAGGTGGGTGGGCAGGTGGAGGTCTGTTTGAGCACTAATTTGCCGATCCAGAATGTTAGGGCGTTGCGGAGGAGGGAGTCGGTCATCTGGAGGGTTTCGACGAGGTCGTTGAAGGTTCGGGTGATGGGGGTGGAGGAGTCTTCGGAGGGTGAGGGTTGGAAGGCATAGATGACGGAGGCTTGCCACGTTTGCACTTCTTCGATTACGGTGCGATCTTCGAGGTCGAGGGCCACAGTTACTTGGCCGAGGGCGTGGAGCCAGGTTAGTTTGCGGGACTGTTTGAGGCTTTCGAAGCCAGTGGAGTAGCGAGACTGGAGAGATTCGACTTCTGGGGGGATGAAGAAGGTTTCGGAGTGGAGTGATGGCCAGAAAAGGTGGGAAAGGATTCTTGTATGCAGCTCTGGTGCGGATTCGTCATTCAGATCGAGTTCCTTGTCCTTGTGGATAAAGGTATCGACCCTTCGAGAGTCAAGGATGTCTCGAAGCATGACTTCGCATGCTTGAAGAGCAGGCTCGCCGAAGCGCAACTTGAGCAGTTCGAGGACACGGATCTCTCTGTCAAACTCATACTCCTTTTTGAGCAAGCGCTCGCCGAGTATGTTTTGAAATTCTTTGACGAAAATGTCTTTCGATTCGAACAGGCTGATGAAGGAGCCAATGACATCTGAATTCTTCGACTTCTTGTACTCCGGTCCAGCGTCCACCGGATCAGGCATCCAATTCATATCATCGTAGTCAAGATCTGCGTCATCTGCGTCATCTTCGCCTTTCGCAGTAGCGCTCTTGTTCATCTCTATCGCCAACTCCAGCAGGACATCATCAGCGCTCGATTCGTCTTCGGGGTCAGCCAATAGGCCACCGACGACGATAGTCACTGTGTCGTCTCTTTCACGTAGATAGCGACGGATGGGCCGAGCTACGCGATCCAGAAGAACACCTTTCGGGTCCAGGAGGGTAAAAGCACGAATGATGGATATATAGACTTGGAGGATTTCTGTAGTGGAAGCCCCGGGCTGAAGAAGACGGTAAGAGACTACACTGGAGAACTTAGTAGTAAGGTATGTTCTGGATGACGGAGTGGTCACATAACGTTTGAGATCCTCAATGGCGCCCTGACTACCATTTTCCCATTCCACTATAACATCGAAGAGCTCATCTGTTCGTAGAGCACCAAGCTTGTTCACACCCAATTCCTGCCACCTTTCAACATCAGCATGGGTGACGTCCATAAGCTCGTCGATGCCTGAGGCATTGTCAGATTTCATTGACGAAAGAATCTCAACGACGAAGCGCGAAAAGCTGTTTTCAACCCAGTCTCGCAAGTGCTCGACGACATTGGAAGGCGAAGTCCAAACGCCTGCATATGTAGACTTGATATGTGAAGTCAGGATGTCAGACATCACTTCGGCGAAGATACGTTGAGCCTGATAGCCTCCAAGGCCCACACCTTGGAGCATCTGCATAAGCTTGAGCGTTCTTTGGCGAACAACCGGCACCGACGACACTACATCTTGCATTCCATTCTTTCCAACACCATTCAAGATGAGAGAACATTGCTGTCCAAAGAAGGCGGACAGATTCTCGACTACTTTATCTTGAGGTAATGTATGCGTGAAGAGGCCGTGTAGGTCTGTCTCGAAGCGAGCGAGCTCTGTTCTTCCGCCATTAGATAGTGTTTGGGCAACGTGGTTCTGCAATGGGTGCAGGTAGATCGATTTTACAATGTGCAGTTGTTGGCCAGCCTCAAACAAATCATTGGGAACCTGGCTCTTTCTAAGGATCTAAGAAGCATTAGGTACTATGCGACTTTCGCTCCATTCTGGAATTACCCGAATTAAGCCGGGTAACACATGCTTGACATAGTGCTCAAGCACCACCTTTTCGAAGTACCATCGTAGCAGGTCATCAGTATTTGACTCTCTCCTTAGTTGGCGTCCGCGGGAGCTTTCTGACAACAAGTATGCAAGAGCGTTCTGGGTCTCTGGCCCCGCATATCTGATCCATCTCCCCTTCAATGTCTCCTCATCCTGTTCCGCGTGGATAGGCTCGTCTCGGAGGGAAAGGAAGGTGGTTGCTGTGTGCCATGCCCTGTCCCATTTGATTTGCTCCGCAGCTCCGGTCTCTGTGGCAGATTGTGAAGCAGTTGTATGCTGCGAACCGAAAGGTTCTCCGAAGCCAGAGGAGCCTAGGATGGGAGTAGCGGTAGGAGTGGGGACGTCAACCTCGCTTGGCGGAGGGAAGACCGAGGCGAAGATACGGTCATGGAGAGTTGTCATTGTAGCAGAGGGTGAGGACCAACATGGCTATCCAACTGTACTTACTAGGACTCCTGAATGAGGAATGTTCAGAGCGCGTTTACAGCGCGTTTAGATATCACCAGGTCACGTGCCATTTATTCTACTGCGAGTATCATTGATAAGTCGCAGAATGGAAAATACGGAATTTGTACTACTGTAGTGAGTCTAGCTGTCACAACTGGTCTATTCTGATGTAGTAGAAGTTGTCTAGGCGCCATGCACAGCAAGCAACAGTAGTCCCTCACTGCAACAATGGGTCACGGAAGTGCTTTTGACTGTTCCCCCTTTTGTCGATTCCCCACTGATATTGCTTTTGTGATCTCTGCGCACGCTTTGTGTCTCTCTTCTCGACGGCCTGCACCTCCTTCTTCTTTGCGTCGGTCACGCCAAGCATGCCTTCTCCGCCATTGGCCCTGGTGATGACCTGCCTGCCTCTGGCTCTTCCTTCGATCATCTGTTGATCATGATCCGAGCCTGAAGCCGCATCCTCGAGCATACGCTGCTCAACTCGCTCGCTTGGTGTAGGGTGGGTATGTAGGTTTTGGCGATAGTACCGGGATAGAGAGCGATGACCGGCAGTACGGCCAGAAGGTAGGTGAAGCTCATAGTCGGAATGGAAGGCTGCATGATGAGAGTGCGCGTGCGAATGAAAGCCATCGATCGCACGATGGGGCCTTGGATCGTTGTGAGTATGATGTCGGTGCATGGGTAACCGCTCATAAGCATGCTGGTGATCTTCTATTGGTACAGCAGTGAGATCCGCTGAGTCCAATGATGATGCCGAGCTATCTGTCTCCCAACCTTCAGCATTCTCCGCGCCCTCTTCCATCTCCTGGTCTCCGTCGGCATCACTGATAACTGTCTTGAGGACCTTCCGAGGGTCGACCTTGACACCACCTTGAGTTTTTTCGCTGATGTCCTCCATATCATCGTCGCTGTCTTCTTGATCCGAGTATGTACTTCTGAAGTCATAGTATTGCCCTACGTCGATCATATCTTCCTCGGACTCGAACGCTATCATGCAATGTCCCTTGTCCCTCATGTGAGTCTGGATCCCTTCCGCAGATGCTTTGAATTTATGGCAGTACAAACATTCATGGAGCTCGAAAATCTTGCCACGCAACCAAGTAATGAGACCATCAAGATCGATCAGGTAATTTCGTTCCGGAATGAACATACCATGATATTTGCTCATATGCATCACACTGAGCTTGAGATTAGGCGAGTCATAGTTGCAGAATAAGCAACGATTCAGAGGAACGGCAGCCGCAGGTGATGCTGCTTTGGTGATGGATGCTGTAGGGCTATCCACGTCTTTCTGTGGTGATAATGGATGCTCTGTTCGCTGTTCGTTTGACGAATGGTGTGGTCTTGAGGGGCGACGTGAGACAGGCTCGCTCTCGGTGATGCTAGTCTCTTTGATCCCATTGACAACTTTCGAAAATTCTGCCTCAGCCTCTAGATCAATTGGTCCCGCGGGTGGTTCAGCGATGTCATCTGCTGGAGCTGTGTTTATCGGTTCACCCAAGGAGATCGTGGAGCTCATCACTGACGCAGTTTCGTCGTCAACTGCTGGTTTTCCATCTTTGGCCAGTACTGCTGAGCGAAGTCGGTGCTTCTGACTACCAAGGTGGTTTTGGTATGCGTTTTCGCTGTAATATGTCCTCTGGCAGGCTGTACATATTTTCTCGAAGGATGCTTTGGCAGCCACAGCAGAAGAAGATGCTTGTGCGTTGAGGACCTTTTCCGCGAATACTTCTGAAGAGAGGGGTGGTAAGGAGGCGACTCGGCGCTTGAGATTATATCGGCTTATTCTATGTCAGAAATTTTTCGTGGCAGGCTTCAGTGGTGTGACTTACTGCCAATCATTCCGCATATGCCCGCGCTGCAGATCGCTGTTTCTGAACGCCACCTGACAAGTATTGCAGGTGTAAGGGTGAGATTGAGCGGCGTTTGAGACTGCGGTGGGTTGAACACCGCTGTGCGTTGGATGGCTTGCCATGATGGTCGCCATAGTAGTGGGATAGCGGGTTTTTCGAACAATTGGCTGTGTGTGTGAAGAACAGAAATGAGTCAGACACGGTCTTGGTGCTCTGGCTGAGCTCCTTATGGCGAGCAAGTAGATTTCGTCAAGCAGGATAGTAACAGATGTGTTTTTCTATAAGATGTGTTTTCCTGAGAAGTGACGAATGAAGATTGTGCTGACTCAATGAACATAGAGAGGTAAGGATTTGTACATGTGAGAAGGTACAAACATGACGATGCCCAGGGCCAAGCCGCTCGCCTGGTAAGCTTCTGCCGAAACCTTAAAATTACCCCGGAGTTCAGCCTTACTAATATCACAAGCTCGAAAGTTCTTGGAGAATGCGAACTGGTCAACAGTTCAGAGGAAGAGATGACTGGTCCTACCGGGCATTTACTGTCACCTGATGGACCTGTACCGCACCTACACAGCCTTTCTCTAGAATTTGATAATGACACGAGTGAGAGCTTGGGCAGGGATATCATCAGTCTGCATGATCCGGCCACAATATGGCCAAGCAGATCACTCGAGAGGCGCCGCGCCTTTCAGCACTTGTTGAACAGGTGCTTGACAATAACGGGAATCCGATGTGTGACTGGCACTGACACACAATTAGATACAACCGTCAGATCCTCTACGGATGCAAAAATCCTCGTTGTGAGACGCCCACATGTCTCAGCCGCCAGCAACGGGTAGCCAAAGGCCCATTTCGCCCATACACAGTACTCAGCGCGCGGGCTTTAGCTACCTTCCTTGCTTCACAGGATCAACCGGAAAGGGGCATTTGTCCTCACCAGCCGGTCGATATTGACTCGGGACCGAGGTCACCCGCCAAAGTCAAACGGGCAGGCAATAAGCCAGACAATAGAGGAAGTTCGCTTGCAAATCCAAGATCCAGCCATACTACTTCAACACCTCAATCAGCTAGTGGCGTCGAATTTACACCGGTCCAGAGACGGAAGATCAAGGTCCACATTGCGAATGGGCATACAAAGACACTTGGGCTGGAACCTGAAACTTCAAGGGCTGGGAGCTACGAGGAGCCCAAACCCAATGATCATGTTCGCAAAGATAAAGACCCAAAGTCCTTCACCCAGAACCTATTCGATACCGTTGCCATGAAATTACTGCACCGAACAAATGCTTCAGGCAGTCATCCGCCTTGGGCTCCTTCGAATGAAAGAGCGCAGCTGGTAGGTTCTTCGACTCTAGACAGCAACAGTCTAGAGCATCAAATAGACTTGGAACTCTCGAAGAACGCCGAGAAAGGTATCGAAAGGCCTCTGATACCAGATACAGAGTCTGCTAGAGCAGCGCATGGCTATGATCCACCTCAGATCGAATCTATCCACGATATTGCGTCTGCTGGGAGCAACACTACGTCCTCAGAGATCGTTTCTACTCGTACCATGGTTCAAGAATCTAACAGCCTGGAGAAAGATTTGAAGAATTCCGAGACTTCTGGCGATGATGGAAAAGCGCTCGTTGCAGTAAAAATTGAGCCGAAGGAGTCACCCCTAGGAGTCGCTACGCCGCCGTCAAAATGTCCACAAACAAACTCTCAATCTAAAGGGCTGGATGTAACAGAGACGACATCACTACATAAGACATCCATAGCAGTCCAAAGTCCGTCTGAGCCTGCGCCTGAAGTTTCAGCTCCAACGCTGTCACATTTTACGAGCGCAAACATCATTGCGTTGAAGGGAGCAAGGGCTGTTTGTCGTAGTGACCTGTATGAACAACACTGGTTGTTAAGATTTCTAGGCCGGACAGATCTTCCTCAGCATTCTTCTAGATGCGGTTCATATGGAGATTTCCTTGCATATAGCGGTCAGTCAATGACATACGTCCTGAGTAATGTCGACGCTCTTCTGCAGTCTTTCCTCCACTTCGACGATAGCGACGCAGCTTCTAAAGTCGTATGGTCTTATGATTTCGCATCAATAGTCGACTTGTTCCGGAAGCTACGCCGTATGGACATGCATCCACATAAGATTTTTCCAAGCCTCTGGATCAGCGCTGGCAGACTCTACCCTGTCTCTACGGCTACCAATAAGCGTCGGTTGTCGACAGCTTCAGGCCTAGTCTCATTCTCACTCGACCCTTCGCCGGCTTCTCAAGGTTGTTCCCTTAACGATCTGGAAGCATGCCATGTGGTCAAGATTATACTCGCTGCTTTGGTAGCCTCTGTACCCAAATGCAGTCCAATGGGTTGGCTTGCTGTTCGCAAGCTACACGCCTCCGGTCAGGTAGCGCCCTTCATAGACGCCGAGAATTCGCCAGTAGAACAGAAGATGATTGGAAAGTTGGTGAGGACACTACACGCTTTTGAGAACGAGATGGCTCTCAGCCTGGTGATAAGACTTGCTAGATCGATTGACATCAGGTTTACCCTGGCCCGGGCAAGGACACTGGCAGAGGATGTCGAAAAGTACCGCCGATTATTCCCCCCTATATTTATACGGGTGATAAATTATGTCAACGCCGATGACCTCAAGATTTGCGTTGCCGAGAATGAAGGTCAACCATCCGTCAAAAGCGGGGAGTGGACCGAACCAGAGATTGAGCCGATTACCTGGCATCCGAAAGAATGGCCGATCATCATTGAATGGTTACGAGCTGTAATTTTGAAAGAGTGGGATGGTAAAGCCAGAGTAGCAAATGGTAGTGCTGTCGGCGGTGCTCTGAGGCTGATGTTGCATATACGTAAGTAAAGTATTCCTTATTTTTCGTCTCGTGTGCTAGCTTAATACATGAAATAGATGAGCATGCCAACGCATTACGCTTTGACTGGGACTTGTTCCACACGCCGTTTTTATCGGAACGGCTCGATGTGATGGATGAGCCGGCGGCATGGTACAATTCTGCATGGGCCGACGGCAGATCCGCACATCTGTTAGATTTCCCTTTCTTATTTCCGCCTTCCGCGTTGGTGGCCTACTTTCGATCCATCAACCACACTGCAATGTACACAGCATATCGGGACTCCGTCGCCGCTTCTCGTTTGTGTGATGGGGTGAGCTGGCCAGATCGTTCCACAGGAAGAGGGGCGCTTCGGCTTCCTGATCGACTACATTGTGCAACGGCCGAGTACCTTGTGCTCGAAGCACGTCGCGATCACGTTCTCACGGATGCTATGAACGAAATATACAGGCGTCAAAAGCGTGAGCTGATGAGACCATTGAAGGTACGCATGGTGGGAGAAGAAGGCATCGATCACGGTGGCGTTCAGCAGGAATTCTTTCGTGTGGCTATCGCAGAAGCTTTGAACCCTGACTATGGTACGATTCGTGACTCACGGTCTTGCTGCCCCAAGTAAACGCAAGCTAAATCTTTTCTTTCTAGGCGTATTCACAACAGATCCCACCACCCGAATGTCTTGGTTCCACCCTTCTTCACCGGAGCCATCGTACAAATTCGAGTTGCTGGGCATTTTAGTCTCACTGGCAGTATACAATGGCCTTACCCTTCCATTCACGTTTCCCCTCGTAATGTACAGAAAGCTCTCTGGCCTCCACCATCATAAGCTTTCGGACCTTGAGGATGGCTGGCCCGAGCTGGTGAAAGGTCTAAAGGCTCTCCGCGATTGGAAGGACGGTGACGTTGAAGATGTCTTCATGAGATCATATGTCTTCAGCATAGACAAGTTTGGTGCTACTGAAGATCGCCTTATTGGTCAGTATGAGAAAGTCGAGCAGAGCGATGAAGAAAAATCGCAAAGGATTATTGAGGAAAAACCCAAGAAGGTGGTGAAAGTGTTACGGATTAAGAGGAAGCCAAGGGAATTTTGTAAAACTGCAGCTGAGGAAGGCGAGGAGGACGCGTTACGGTTTTTGAGAGGCAGCCAGTTCCAGGGAGCCACCGCAGAACCAACCGACGAGGTGTTAATGTCGGACTTCCAATCGCGTGTTCCCTTTCCCACAGATTTTACCAATCACACTATGCCGACGATAACCAGTGAGGAGGAAGCCTTAGAATACCTGAAAAGCAGGGATCACAAGGAAGCCCGTGTTGATTTAGACGACGAGCTGTGTATGTCGGACTCCTCATCGCCTGATCGACTTCCAGCTAGTCCTGGCACCCAAAATACTCCGATGGTGACTAACGAGAACCGCGACCAATATATCCACGACTACATACACCAACTTACTCATAAAACCGTTTACGACCAATTCAATGCTTTCAGGTACGGCTTCTTCACATGTTTCCATCCAAAAGCCATTTCACTATTCACGCCATCTCATCTGAAAGCCCTTGTCGAAGGGCTGCCCGATATCTCCGTCGCTGGCCTCGAAAGAGTGACCCGTTACGACGGTGGTTATGAATTCTTCCATCCCACAATTCGCCATTTCTGGACTGTAGTGCACAGCTGGTCGCAAGAAAAGGTCCGAAAGCTGTTGGAGTTCGTGACGGCGAGTGATCGGCTACCTGTGGGTGGGGTGGAAAAACTGGTATTTACCGTGCAGAAGAACGGGATTGGAGATGGGAGGTTACCTACCAGTCTGACTTGCTTTGGAAGGCTTCTCTTGCCCGAGTTTACGAGCGAAGAGAAGTTACGAGAGGCACTGGAGAAGGCAATTGAGAATTCGAAAGGCTTCGGACAGCCTTGAGTCGCTTTGTGTGCTCCGGAATGGTCAAAAGAGGATGCAGCTGTTGTAAGAAGACTCAAGATTTTTTCCCCACAGTATAACTAGATATCCACACGCGCGTGAAAGCAAGATTCATATCAGTGGATAGACTCAACCGTCGACACAATTTGCTCTTATCTTGTCTGCACTCCCTTCCAGATGAAGAAAATGGGATGGCACGTGACCTCGAGCTTATCTATGGACTCAACGCAATACTTTCACTGCTGTTCACCATTTGCTAGTAAATGAATGTCGTGTGGTCAATTTGCGACTGAGAAGACTTTCACCCATCGACACTTCCCATATTTTATTCGTCATGAAGATTGTAAGTTCCTTTCATTGAACATGGGACGTACGTCACTTCGCCAAGGTTTCTGCGTCCTCGGCCAAGTATAGTACTCTCATGACCGCGTCTCACGTATCTCTTTTTTTCTTCTCTAAGTACCCTTACTAGCACTGCCTTCACAATCGTCTATCATGCTCAGATTACGAGCAGCCAACAGAGTGTCACGTACCATTTGTGTACGCTCTTCCCTCCGACAACTCCGCCATGAATCTACCAACACCTCGAACTCCAGCTCCAGTAGTGGCAGCAGCCTCTCACAGAGCCTCATTGGCGGCCTTGCTGGGGGCGGGCTAGTCTTCCTTGGGGGTTACACGTACTATCACTTCTCAGGTAATAAATCTTTCGAGGTGTCCAGTGGCTACCACCTAACCCCACCCCGCAATGCTAAAATCCTACAGGCGCAAAGAACCTCGTAAATACCGCTAGAAAGACCGAGGATCTGTTTAAGAGCTATGGAAAGCAACTCAAAGAATCATCCCCAGAACCCAACGAAGCACTGAAATGGCTCCGCTCCTCTGCAAAATCCTACGCCACTTTCATTCCTGGTGCGACAGGCTACGTTGACAGTGCTTTTGACGACCTCGACGCCATTCGTAACAAGCATGGCAACGAAGTCGACAACATTATCAAAGAGGCCTACGGGGAGCTGAAGGATGTCTCTCAAGAGGGCATGAGCGTCACAGCAGCGACAAAAGCCTGGGATATACTACAAAGGCACCTGAAGCGCATAGGCGGTCTGGCTGGGGATGCGGCAAGCGATATCATCAACAATCATCCGGCACTCAAGGAGAAAGTTGGAGGAAACTTGGATCAGCTGAAGCAGATGGGCGACAAGTACGGGCCCGAGGCCAAGAAGCAGGTTGATGAGACTTGGGATCAGATACGTGACATTATCAAGAGTGGGGTGAGCGCAAGTACTATTCCCAAGGTTCAGAGCCTGGTTCAGGAGAAGGTGCAGAAGATACAGGAGCTTGGTGGAAAGGCGTGGGATCAGGGGATGGAAAAGGCCAAGCCATATCTTGACAAGTCACCAGAAGTGAAAGAGCTGTTGGAAAAGAACAAGGAGAAGTTGAAGAAACAGGGCAATGTGCAGGAGCTTTATGAGAAGGTCAAAGATGCGGTGCAGTCCGGCAGCACAGATTCACTCAAGCAGTATGTGCAGAACACGGTTGACAAGGTAGGCCAGGGCAATGGAGGCGATGGGGGAGGGCTTGAGAAGTACTTGGGAATGTTGCCGGGCGGTGGTGAGATCATCCCAAAGTTGACGCAGCTGCAACAGATCGCTCAAGAGCACGGGGAGGAAGCCGAGAAGATCGCGAAAGACACCTTCAAGGAGATCCAAGAGGTTCTGCAGAAGAAAGTTGGCGAAGCTGAGGGGTTGGCGCAGAAGGCGAAGAAAAATGCGAAGAACAACTAATAGGGGTTACCCTTACAAAAGTTTTGATGGTCAGTTCGAAATGTACAATATTTGTTGTTGCTCTGGACCCGGTGTAGCACGGACGAGCTTATGAACGATGGCTGCCATAGATGCGTTACAGGTCGGTCCATGGTATTTGGCAGCATTGAGGGCAGGCCTCAGGAGGCAGACCGTTCTATATTCACAGAAGTTAAGCGACTTTCCGTCACTGTTGAAATGACCTGATTCATTTACGCATGCTTCCGTGAATAGTGAAAGGAAATATTGACTAGCAGGTTTAATCTCACCTTACTACCCTCCAGGTTTCGTTCTTGACGTGTCTCACTCCGCTTATCCTAATATTCACGTTTGACAATAAAAGAATTACATTCCACCGACTTCACAACCAAATCTGGTCATGGAGGAAGCTTTTTCGGATTTATCTGTCAGCCAGCAACACATGGACAGGGCGCCTTGCGCAAATACAAAACTGATGGACGGCTCTACGGTCAACTGCGACAACAGGGGTAGCCTCATCTGCTCGAGATGTCACGTTGTTCAGGTATCGCCATTCCCAGCTTTGTCAACCATTCCACAGAGAACATGAAGAACATGAGGCTGACTTTGACCTCAGTACTGCGGCCGCGAATGCCAAATTGCACGTTGGCCTTTACGCAAATCGGACTGCGGTTCTGGTTCGAGGAAAGCGAGCGCGCGGCCAACGTGGTGGAGACGGAGTCGTCGACCAGCCTTCGTCTCACCCATACCCCTCCAGCGCTTCGGTGGTTTGAAGTATCTGTGGGGCGACACTCCGTCATAGGACGTGCTCAACATGGCGATGAATGAGGGCGAGGGCTATGACCAAGATCTTGCGCTCCGCTTTGCCGGTCAGTCTACTACTCCACATGCATTGATCCCTGCAGCTACCGACTCAAAGCGTTTGGTGACATTCGCGATGTCGTGGTTTCAGTCATCGCCCTGCCGGAGGCCTTTGACCAGACCTGTATCTGCGTTCTCAACGATCGAGACACGGTGGTCAACTGCCGCACCATTGTTAGGCTTCTCATTTTGATGTTTCTACAGCCCCCTGTTGCCGCCGAACTAGTGCTACACGTATGGTACTCAGCTCGCCTTACATCAGGCATGATCCAGTCACTCCACAGGTCTGTCAAACGTCTCATAGCGGACGTCGTGCCCGAGATCGTCGTCAGATCGCGCAGCGTGCTATTGTCGAAGACTTGGACCTTTGGAACCGGCAGCGTGTCAGCCCGTCTCTACACGGAGCGGTGGAACTTTTTGGCTGGCTATGTTGCAGACTGGTCACTTGACAGATGACACGGAGCATTCACGCAAAGATGTCATGCTCGATGATACTCGGCTGGACCATAGAGAGCGTAATCTGTTCATGCTACCTCCATCCGGACGTGTGTGTACGGACAGGATGAGGAAGAACGGCGTCTTGCTGCCTTCCGGATCTCACTCGGGGGGATTCAGCTCTCCCAATCCGTAAATGGTACGTCCCTGATAACGTCATCATCGGGGCTTACTCGTCTTGAGCCATATGACACGCACCTCGACCACGAGACGAGCGGCTGGATGCAGAAAAGTTCTGCAGATCCGATGGCGGGTTGGTCCCTCGACGCTGTTCTCGGCTCGAGCGCAAAGTATGGGAACCCCCAGTCGAAGACCGTCATGGCCTCCTATACTCCTACGTTCGAGCGAAGCCTCGTAGCTTTCTGCGACCAGGGCGCAAAATAACGAAAGATGTCATTCCATCTCCACCGCACCGACGCTCCCATCTCTCCTCGACAAAGGATCTCAAGTGCGATCGAGTCGGAGTCGCCAACACCGTGGGACCCGAGGCCGTCTCGGCCCCCCAGATTGGAAACGCCCCCCTTTCACCACTCGACACGCATCCACACGCGGTGTCGGCCGCCCTCTTCATGAATGCCATGGACGAAGCCAAGAGCGACCTCGGCCCCCAACACGTCCAACCCCACATCCTCTCTCCGCCCGACCCAAGGCTCTCCAGTCCACACCGCGGAGTCAAAAAATCCCTCTAGCACGTACCATCCCACCCGCCCCCCCCCCCCCAAAAAACACATCTTCCGCCGGACGACGGTTTCCTCGTTCGAGCATCACACGAAGCGGGTGGGTTTCGATCGTCGGCGGGGAAAGGGAAAGATCCCGGGATGCAGATGGAGGCGGAAGGGGAACGAAGACCGTGATGGAAGAGGCGTGGCCGGACCGCTTTCGGAGTGCGCGGGAAGCTTGCGAGCTGTGGGAGACGTCGTGGTCCGGAGGGAGGCGGCGAGCGGTGCGGTGCGGTGCGGTGCGGTGCGGTGGGCGAGGGCGGAGTGAGGGGCGAGGGATGTAGATATGGACGGGGGGCTTTTGGGTAGGTAGGTAGGTAGGTAGACGCTCGAAGACGGTTATCCGCTTGGTCTTTGGGTGCCTGGCTACCGGGGCCCCCGGAAAGGTAATGGCAGCCGTGGGTCCTGGTCGCCTTTGTTCTTTTCGTACGATTATGGGGCTTCGAGAAAACCAGACGGGATAACGCTTAGAATGGAGGCATTTCCTTTCACCGGTCGTATCCTCATTTTTCGAGGATTTATCCAATAAATCTAATACCTACACCAATCACACCTTGCCACCCAATATGCCCATCGCCTCCGCCAAATCTTCCTCCAACTTCTTCTCCCATACCCACTTATACCTCGTACCCAGATTCTCTCTCAATTTATCCGCATCGTCCCACACCCCCTCCTTCTCCAGCTCGTACAGCTCCCCGGCATCCCGACTCGTCGTCACGAGCTTCTGCGTCCGGGGCCGCCTCACAGCGTCGTATGCACGGAACGCGGTTTCGATGTCGGAGGATCGCTGCACGGCTCCGAGCAGATTCGACAGCACGTACGCGTCCTCCATGGCCATGCCGGCGCCCGCGCCCTGATGGGGCGTGGACGCGTGCGCGGCGTCTCCGATGAGGCACGTCCGGCCTTTGAAATAGGTCTTTGCGGGAGGGTAGTCGAATAGAGCCCACAGGTCCGGCTTCTCCATCAGACTTAGGATTTTCTTCACGCTCTCGCCCCAGTCCTGGAAATCGGCTTCCATGGTTTGCCGATCCATGGGCAGGACCCACTTCTCATCCTCCCATTTCCCGTCCTTTTTCGCGTGGAAGGCGACCACATTCATGATCTCCCCTTTTTCGATCGGGAACGTCAAGACGTGTCCGTGGTTCCCGAGCCACATGACGCTGTTTCGAGCCAACTCGTCGCCCAGCAAGCTCACGGCTTTCTCCATCGGTATCAATCCCCTGTACGCATACTTCCCCGTGAACTCCGGATGTGCGGCTCCATCCTCCTTGCCCAAAACTGCATGTCGCAAGTTGCTTTTGACGCCGTCGCAGCCCACCGCCGCGCTCGCCTCGGCTGTTCCGCCGTCCGCAAAGTGCAAGCGCACTCCATCCTCCAGCTCTTCAACCTCCACGACTCTCTTCCCAAACGTGGCATTCTCACGCGGCACCAGCGCCACCAGCTCATCCAAGAAATGCGCTCGGTGTATACAGCCGTTCCCAGGGTCCGCCGCGATCACCGTGCCCACCTTCTCCCCCGCCTTCCCGATGCCACAGTCCATTCCCGCGTGAAAATCAAACCACACCGCCTTCTTCTCCTCATACCCGTTGCTCGTCGCCCTCTTGCCGTAGCCTTCTTTGATCTTCGGGTCAATCAGGCTCATGGCGCGCTGGGAGTTCGGCCCGAAGGCGACGCCGGCGCCGATTTCGGAAAAGGCATGCGCGGATTCGTAGACGTGGAAGGGGACGTTGCGGCGGAGGAGACCAATAGCGAGGGCGAGCCCGGCTATACCGCCGCCGCAGATGGCTATGGTGAAAGGTTTCTGCCCTGGGGCGCTTTCCGGGGCAGGGTGGGTCATGGTGTGTGATGGGAGAAAGGGTTGGCGGAGACCAGAGTGGTTGAGAATGAAAATGAGGGGAGTATTGAAGCAGACATTGGGGACTTTGTGAGAGGGGGAGCTGGTGGGGTCGGAACGAAGCGGAAACTGTTTCTTGATGCGATTGCGGGGCTGCTCACGAACGGTGTGAGTGATGCACTTTCTTGATGCATGTACTTATTGAAGTTGCTGTATTTTGTGTTAACGTCCCGAAGATGTGATGCTCACTCCGGCAATCCGGCAGTTGGACAAAGACTCGAGCCCCCCGCATATATCCGGAGTTACGTCAGGACTCCCGTTCGCCAGTACAGATAGCGTATAAAAACCAATAACCACTAAGGTAAGTCCTCAAGGTGTAAGTAATCTAGGGTATGGTTTCCAGAGGGGTTTCTCTCAACGGCACGACGTTCTTGATATAGATTCAGCCTTGGATTCATCAATACGATACATTTTTTTGATTTTGTTGTATTCTCTACGAACTGGACAGGGGACAGACGACATGAGAATCAGGCCTACTATTAGCTGGGCGTAAAAATTACTATACTAATCTCTGTACTCTCGGGAGTAAGCATCGCAGTCATTTGCCCATGAATTATTTCATACGGGAAACGGATCCGACTACTTCAATCGTCAAAGTTGCGCAGGAGCTTCCTCCGATGCAGGTCCAAGTTGCTGTGTTTCAAGACAACTCTGCAGCTAACCTGGGTCCGACTGCTTCCGACTGCTTCAATAGCTGAAATGGAGCTGTCAGCCTCTCGCACTGCGGAATTGCCGACCGATCACACGTTCTTGCGACACAGCACACCCTGCTCCTCAAAGCTGTTCTCGACGGTCGAGATGTATTGCAGAGAATTGGTTGAGGAATGCAGATCAACATGTGTCCACTCCGAGAGCTCACGGGTACGAGCTGGGTTATTGTTGCGAGATGCCCGTTTCTCAAAGCTGTGTAACTGCATGGCCGAGATGTTTTGCAGAGAAAAGTTTCATTTTGATCACCATGAATGCATGCTAGTCACTTCACTACTCTTCCAAGACAATTTGACGGGATGCGGTGGAACGGCCACAGCTGACAACAGAAGGAATTCATGCAAGGCAGGGAAGATCAACGACCGGCGAGGTGGGATCCTTCAAAGGTCTAGACTCCAAAGTGTAACCATCATCACACAAGGAACTTCGTCTGCGAGAAAAATCCAGTCGGATGGTTCCTGGAAGTCTTAGGGTTGAGGTACTACTCATACTACTTTCAATGATCCAGCGTCGGACCCTCTGGCTTTGGGAAGCCGCTGTATAGAATTTCGATGTTTTGTCTCTTTTCCACTTGAGGGGAATGAGGAATGCAGATCAACCGGAGCTCTCGGTACTCGCTGGCCGCTTCTCAAAGCAGTTCAAGACTGCACGGCCGCGAATGGTTCGAGGAAGAGCCACGCCGGAACTTTCGCTTCTCGAAATTCGTATGGATCGTACGTACGTGACAGTCTGACATCATTATACTTCGGCGAGATTATCACAAGGCGGCGAAGAGAATGTAACGTCGTTAGAGTATGCGTGCCTATCAGGCAGTCGTTCGTGAGGGGACGACTGGTCGCCGCCAGACTCCGGCGAAGTTGCTGTGCCAAACCCGCGGACACTGCCGAACCCGATCTGAAGGGGTGTACACGTATCGAGAAAGGGTAAACAAGAGAACGACAAAAGAAAAGGCTAATGCGGCGAAATGCGACATCAACTAATCCCCTCCTCGGCGTGATGGTGCAAAAGACAAGACCTATCGCATGGGTGTCGTGCTGTCGGAGAGCTGAGGATACCTTCAGACGGACTGGTCCTGGTCTCCATTTCGTAATTGGCTTAACAACAGCAGAATCTCTGGCTTGAAGATTCCGTTTCCACGGTAGTCTTTGTTGAGCTGTATCTCCGAAGGCTCGTGCGCATGGAGTTCTACAAGCGGTCCTGGCTGCTCCATCTCCTGCAAGCTCTGCTCGTTCAGCTCCTGTAAGGCCAAATAAGTGAGCTCGATTGGACGAGCGTCCTCATGCATCTCCAGCACGTTGGGGTCTACTCGATGAGGCCCTTTGCTATTTCGGACGCAGTGGTAAGTTTCGTCCATTGAATTCAACTTCGACTATTACGGCGGCCACAGAAATACGAAAGGCTGTTCTGGCGTCGCCAACCACGCCTCCCGTAATGACGCCAACGCTATGCTTAGATGCATGGGTTGTTGGAAATAAGGGTGGTGAAGCGGATGAGGACGGTGAAGCCGATGTGATGTTGGGCGAAGCTAAGTACTGAAGTCAGTAGGAACACCATAGCCAGGGGATGAGACGAACTACTGTAGGTAGAATTTGTGAAACGCGTGATTTGCAAAAGTGCTGTAACGCCTGGAGTGAGACGTTATAAGTAACTCCTGCGACGCTTTAGCGCCTTTCATCCCAGAGAACTTATACCACTTCGGCTTACCGTTGTGATGGTGCGTAAAATTGTTTCAACACTTCCGGCTGCTCGTACTGTGGCGCTGGCGGTGTACCGATTGGCAAAATTCAATGTTGTCACGTCGAATATTGCCAGCCCCTGAGCGAAAAGGGTCAGGTATGCTGTCAAAAGGACTTCTGATCATTTCTAGTGGGGCTGCACCCGTGATGTTGGAATTGGAGTCCACACCTCCAACGGAGATTCTCTGACTTCCTCCGACAGAATTCCAGGAACGCCCGTGCCGAGGGTTTTCAGGATTGTAAGTGAAATAAGGAAGTTGATCGTGTCATACTGGATAGCCCTTGATCCAAGATCCCCATTCCATCCTGCGTGAACAAAACTAACAAATTGATGAACTCTGATGGGGGAAGGGTCGTGATAATGTATCCTACATCTCGTAATTGATGTCTTGAAACATTAGTACTTCAAGACACACAGCGATCCTCCTGCCATGCCTAGATGCAGCTCTAGAGATGAAACAACGAAGCCTCTGATGTAACGGGAGAAGGCATCCGATTGCGGCTCGATCGTTCCAATGATTGGTAACCACACCACGGGACTATTGTACAACGTATATTACCGACAGGGGCAGCGCTTTGCAGGAGGAATCTCGACAATTCTATTGTATAATCTACCGGACGTCAGTCACTTGACGATCACAGAGATGGAGGTGTGGTTCACGGGTTTCGTGCAAAGGCAAGAGCGATCTAGATCTCGATATCCTAGTCGCGTGCGGCCGCGCTCCTTTTCCCTGTGGAATCTTACGAATTGGAGAAGTGCCACCTATTTCCACTTGCTCCCCTTCGCGGAGTCGATCCACCAGTCATTACTCCAAAATCTAAACTCATAGCCTACATGCACAAAAGGACCTGAATGTGCACAGGTCTTAAAAAAGAATCAGCCAGTGTTGTTAGAGCTTGTCTTTGAGATTCTGAGAAGTTACGGGCTCCATTTAACCCAGGATCGAACTATAAGATCCGCCAGAGGACGCACAGGTTCCATTGGTAGGTCTAGCCGGTAAGGCATTACTGGTCTTCTAGCATCATCGACGCTGCCTGTCAATCGAGCTGGAGGGGGTTCTTTAAAGGCGTGTAAATCTTTTCATCGCCTCGATAGTGATTGGACCACTTGGTCCGAACACGGAAGTCCATAGAATGTTCTATTGCAAAGTACCGAGCGCGTCGATTGGCTAGTGAAGCTGCTCGGATTTTCTTTGCATTAGCCGCACGCCACCTGTACACTATTTCGTCGACTTGATCTGCCACATCAGCACTCTCCGTAGACCGAATAACGGATAAGATCCATCGAACTAGGGTCGTGTTAACCCATCGGCCTGCCTGAAGGGGTCGGATAAGCCCGGCTCGAGTAAGCGCTCGTGCCATCATTACTGAAGGTGGCCCTAGACGTTCCTTCATATGCTGAGTATAGCATTTGTGCACTTTCCTCAACGCCATTCGTGGAGTTATATGTAGCACCGTAGAGTAGGCGAGCGCCATCCTGTCTAGAAGTTGTATACGGAAGTTTGAAACCCCTTCACGGTCCACGGGGAAGCGCGAGCGGCGACTCTGCATATAGTACAGCGCGGTGCTTGGATGGCTCCTCGGGTTTAGAATCATTCGCTCGGCAAGCTCGGGACACCTTTCGAGTCGCAGTCTTGGGTAGAAGTGGAACATTCGCTCCGCTAGGTGCGGCTGTTCCCGTGAATGCTCCCTGATCGTGTACACCACGTCGCTTTCATCAATGATAGCATGGAGCTTTCGGGCCTGCTTAATAACCTCGATGATAGCCTCGGATTGGCGCAGCATCTGCAGTACCTTGAATACTCGTTTGATACAGACGTCTAACGGTTCCGAGGACTCTTGAGCACACTTGCGTGCAGCTTGAAACATGCTAACCCAAGGCGAGTCTGTCCCCTTCGTAGAACAGAATCCATCGAAAAGATACCGAGCTCGAGATCGACCAGATCGCGTTTTGGGTCCGACCCAGTAGCGAAGTATAAAACGGGCCTTTTCTGGGTCATCCAATTGCTGCAAGTATGGAACAGCTACTTTCGGCTCCTGGGTGCTCAGAAAAAGCTCAATCTGCGTCTTGAGAGGAATCTTTCGGCCAAAACTAAGAATGTTTGTCATAAAAATTGCAGACCACCATGTGTAAAGCAGCTGCATCGTACCAGCCTTAATAGCAGGCATACGGATATGATCATTAGTCAAAGCCTCGGTCGTGATCAAAATAACCGAGCATGCTAGTTCTTGTGGGAGTCCCCCTATCATCTCCAGAGCCCTCGGCATTACCTCCAAAAACCGTGTTTCCCGCTTTTGGTGTTCCCGTAGTGAAGCGCACGCATGGACAACTCCGCCAATAAACGCAGAGATCTTCTGATCTGTGCCCTCCAGCTGCGATTGCTGCATAGCTTCAATCAAGCTGGATCCCAGATCCAGCGATTGGCGTGTCAATGGTCCTCGTGTGATAGACTCTAAGAGTCTAGACTGTGTCTCCGGTCCCAAATCCTTGAACCCAAATACCGAACTCGCTTGGAGGCCCTCAACGATGGATGCTATGAAATTGCACTTCAAAGATTCATCACTGGCGGCATCACTGACACGGGATACGAATCTCAAGAATACGAGGATGTCCTTCTCGGTCTTCAGGCCAAGGTACAATTGCCGTCTCATCCACTGTTGCAGGAGAGTCATGTCATCAGATTTTAATCTTATCCGTAGTCGTCCCTCGCGCTCCCCTTTTCGTAGTTGCCAATCCAGTAGGAAATTCAAATTGCCAGGGGTGCCCAGAGCCGCATCTTCCAGTGCATGTAATAGAACCGGAAGTGGCTGTCCAGCATGGCACAAGCTTGAAAACACGAGCTTGGGAAACATCCGGAAGTCGATGCCGTAATCAGCAGCCCAATTGTATAGACCATCGACATCCCTACATTTCTTCAAGTCTTCCAAGAACCCGGGGTTTACCAGCAAGCCTTTGCGCCGAAGATGTGTATGTCGCTGCTCGAGGTCCTCTTCGTTCTTGACACCTTCGATGTCCTCGTCTTTTTTGGTTTTTTCGACGCGCTTATCAGCCACAATAGGGGGAGGGTCCGTCAGCCAAGATGGTAGGGGCGCGGCTTCTGCTCGTAATTAGCATATTAGCAAGCCATTGGACTTGACAGCTTCCATATACCATCCGGTCTCTGTGGTAGAAGGAGCGTAGGGCTCTGCCATTTCCACTCCGCACGCTCTGGCGCTCCCAATCCAGGAAGCACGCTCGGATCGAAACCTCCACCATCTCCAACTTGCGCAAGATTCATCATGCGCCGCTTCGATGCTCTTTTCCGTGCTTCCAGAGGACCAGGCGCAAGACCCACATGCCGTCTTGGTATCCTGCCATGCGCAAAGCGGTGCATTGCACTGTTGAGGACATCTTCGCTGATCCAGACGTGGTCCTTTGGGGCCTTGAGACGGAGCGGTAGGCGGCAGACATGTCTTCTCAAAGACATATGGAGCACCGATTGATCTCATCATGTATCAAGATCTTGTACCTAGATCTGGTATGTCACATTGCGTAGTAGTATGTACATGGTGGTGTTTGTTTCCTGATTTCTTGGTCTCCCAGATTTTAGCTTCTCTACGGATATGACGTTGTCTTACGGAAATGACACATTTAGATTACCCTGGTCGCTGCAAATACCTGCACAGACCAAGAAATTCCTTCACCTTGTCAGCTGGAACAACTTAACGAATACCGTCTTTATGGATTAGTCTCTCCGGAACGATATATTAGTGTTGTCGATATTTTTGAATCGCAACGCAAAACCTTTCTGCTAGGGCTCTTCGTTGTGAAATTATCATCAAATCTCTAATTTCGAGGTGTGCAGGTATTTCTGTCACCCACGTGATTACTTCAAATGTTACTGTAGGGTGGGTGGTCGGGGTGTTAGGTTAGGTAGCCGAAGACCGATTTTGATGTGTTTTGAGAGTGGTACGCGGCGTGAAAACCAGCGCCTTCCGTTTCTCACGCAATTTCGATCACAATATCGCTACTAGCGAGGCACCCCGTTCCCATAGCCCTGCACCGAGCGCTGAAGCTCAGCGTAACGGAAACCATTCCGTGATGATATGGAGTAGTCTTGTTATCAGACCTTTTTACTCAATGTTCCAGCACTTGATGGATCGAGGATTGGCGACCTTGGCGACAGTCTGCGACGTGAAGGCTGTTGCGATGGGTGAACAAGCAAATATGCTAATGCAAGATGATGTAACCAAGAGACATATGAAGATAGCGAGATATGTCCACAACACAATTTGCCCTCGTTTGGAGGTCATGCCTGTTATCTTCCGATTTTGAATATTGAATGTAGACCCGCCGAGGGGGACATGACTACTAAAGGAGCAGGGTTCTCTCCTAGGTATGTTGAGGAAAAGAATGCTTGATCTGTCAAGGACTTTGGTCAAGGGACACAATTGCGGAGAATTCGAAACAAAAGATGATTATTGATATCCATGATGGTAGGAAGGTGAGGTGTGCAATTCCACGTCAATAGTACTCGCCAGACGCACGATGACCTCAACCTGCCAAAGACCTCAAATGAGGGACACAGTAGCAGAAAAATCGAAACAAGCCAACAATTTTGAGAAGCATGGTGACAGGGAAGTGAGGTGCGCGACGAATCTTCAGCGTTAACGGCACACATCAGATGAAGGTGACCTCAAAACACGATCATCACGCTTAGCTTCAGAGAGCCAAGGGGCTATCAGACCACAGAAGTGCTGGGAGGCTCTGGCGAGATAGGCGTGAGAGGTAGGATTTGGGCGATTCAGCCCGCTTCCTGGCCTGATGGCCGGTCCGCTCACTTCAAATCGTGCTCATACGGTTGCATTAATGGGAAAGGAGCGCAGACAGAAGCGTGACAATGGTCCTTCTCCAAATGTCTGCATGGGCTTACCGCGTCTCCCTCAGCCGTGGCGAGGACTGCTTAGGACTGGAGACTGATGGAAAGCAGGACCTGGAAAAGTTGAAGATGTGAAAGTGATTCAGTTCTGTTAGTCTCTACAGCCTTGTCCGTTCAAGCTTTATCTTGGTTTAACGTCCGAGTACCTCAGTACTACCCAGCCTGACGGGAGGACAGCTCGGTCGGTAGATGCCATCGTAAGTGTTTCGTGTAGCGCCGAGGCTGATCCTTGCGCTTTTCACTCTTCCTTGAGCCCAAAGAAGACTATCAACATCCTTTACGATTGGCTGGCTCTTATCGATGGCTAGACGAGCGAGTGGTTTTCGGACTTCGACGTGCAATGTGTAATCATCACAGCTCTATAATCTGACCACGTTGTTAGCTCGAGATGGCTCTAGGCCTTACTGGCTGCCAATCCTCCAGAGATCTAGGTGAAGTACGCTACGGTACTAAATCATTTGTGGTGGCCTGGTGGCCGTGGTTAGAGTGTAAGGTGATTTGGGACACTAGATGGTGTCTGCGGCAACAAACGCCAGCCAGGGAGGAAGTCAGCAATCAAAACATGGGAATTTTCTGTACCTCAGGCCTGACGACGATAAGGTACAAGGGAGCGAGGAGTAGGGATAGCTGACGACGCATGCTCCTATGACAGTGGTGAACCGACCTTCTTTTCAATCTATTCTTGGAACAGCTACTCCTGAGTTACAACAGAGTGGTACAAGTACATTGGACACATATGTATCAGTCTGTGCTAGCACTTCATGTGGATTCCATGCCGTAGCTCCTCTTCCCTAAGCTCGAACATAACTTGCGCCCCTGTGAAAAGAGCCGCGCAAGCGAATCCTAGAAATACCAAGCCTGGATCTAAAGTCAGCGTTGCGGACCTGAAACGGTTCTCAATAGACGAGGTGTTACCTGAGTAAGACCCGACAATACCCTGCACCAATCCTTTAAGTCCATCAAGACCTACAGCAAAACCCACAAGGTTGGCCGACATCATCATCATAATGTTCCCAACAGCTCCCACTCCGCATATCAATCGGTACACTTCCTTGTGATCCTTCCACTTTTGCTTTGGGAACAGGAAGCCGGCCAAGGTTTCCGGGAGAACGAAGAGCGAGATCAGCCATCCCCACAGCAATAATTTTAGCTGAATATCATGCCACATTGCCACGAAGGTGAAAACGGCCAAAAGGTTGACTATTCCTCTTATTTGACCCCAGATTCCGCGGGTTCCTGGTCCTCCACTCCCGCCCATTGGGATATAAATGTAGCGAATGATCCATCTATTGAAACTACGATGCCATCCTCTCCAGAACGCGAAAGTGGAGTAGTTGTCGGACATGCAGCGCACGACATTCTCGGGAGGATCGATGCCGTCAAGCAATGCCCAGAGTCGGAAGAAGCGCCAGGGTAGTAAAAGCTTCAACCATATGTGGTGAAGATTAAAGTAGCCCAACATGCTCAGCTGGAGCGGCGTGTATACCTGCCATTCTGGCTGCGCTTTAGAAATTGCTACAACATATATGAAGTGAATCATGACCTCCATGGACAGAAGCGCAATAAAAAACCTGATACCATAAAGCAGATTCCTACTTCGAGTAATGCTTCGAGGGGTATATCGCTGTTGTGAAATATAATCGTTAAAAGTCAAAATTGGTCCTGCGAGATAGAGAGGCGAGTACAAAGCATAAGCAAGGTAGTTGCGAAAAGAGTAGTCTTGAGGTTTTGCCGGGAGGTCGACCCTGTCCCTCTCTGACAGATTTGCAGGATCGAGCTGTTTCTTCTTGTGGCGGTCAGTACGAATTTAAAGCTATCATTTGGTCCTAGATTCACGAACCTCGACTGGGCTACTAGCTCCTCGATTGGAACTCCAGACGTAATCAAAGTTAAAGCTGATCAGTCGTAGAACTGTTACGTTGAAGAGAATCTCCCATCTTGGAACCAATCCCCCGTAGCTGTCAAGGACGGTGCCCCAATTACCTTTTGGATCTTGCTCATCTTGTTTCTCCAAAGAAGCGGACCAGGGGAGAATGATGCTTGCAATGTCGCTGTACGGATAGCCCTTGCCAAGTTCGTTGGCGAACAAGATACCAATATTGAAGAACCACGTGGCTACGGGCACGTATTCTTTCTTCAGCCGCGTTGCGAGAGTGTAGTTGATGTATAGTATCAGTAACACCTTTATTGCCGAGAAGCCATGCAGAGCGAGCAGGAATAAGACACTGAAGCCCACGTCAAAGGAGATCCGTTGATTCATTCGCCCGTCGGCCGTGAGGGATTCTGAGGCTGAGCCAGCTGGCGATTCACTGCCATTCGGTAGGGATCTTGAGGAGGGAGTGAACGCTGTACTGTAGATGGAATCGAAGAGTCTCCGTAGAATGGGGTGTAGTGCCATAACGATGAAGAGGTATGGTACGTTGTCTCTAAAAGTTGCATACTGCTGATCTGAATTATCAATTTTGCGGCCTGGGATCCAGCCAGGAGATAGCAGAGGAGAAAATTTGTTGTAATTCTGGTGAGAAGCTGTACCGACCACATCAGTCTGCGGAGCTCCAAGGGAAGCGAATGCATCCTTACGCTTAGAGGCATCGTAGGCCGTTTTGAACATAAGCGGAACAGCTAGGAAGACGACCAAGCCATGGTATATGAATTCAGGAGACCTCCATCGCGGTGGAGATGCCCCCTTAGCTAGCTCATCGGCTCCGCTTCTGCCTTTCTTGTAGGATGCCTCATCTGGTGAGGGTCTTGCGGGATCAATGCGTGAAGGAGGAGTCTTGGATAAGGATGTGAACCTGGTATCGAGGGTATCGAGAGAATAAAGCCTCCCGGCATACTGTAGTAGATTCATGACATATTGCTGGACGTAAATCGCGTGGCCTGGACCAGAGTTGGAAGTCACGAGAGCTCTTGGTGTCTCAGGCTCTCAGCCTGTGAAGGAACCCTGCCGTCGATCGCCCGCTGCAGGAACAAGCCAAGCGGCCGCAACCTTGTAAAGGCACCTGCAACTCTTTCAATTTGATCACCCTCTCCTCAAGACCTTACCAACCTCGCGCAACTGCAGAACTGGTGAGTCAAGAACCCCTTCTCTATGTACTCATTCCTCGTACCTTCCCCTTTCGAATCAACCTGCACATTGGACTGTATCCCTCAAGCGGGCACAACAATTGCTCCACCAGCTCCTCATTTGCTTAATCCAAACAATGTTCAGGTCACTGATCAACGCAGAACCTCACTCGGCCATGGCTACAGGCCAGGCGTCGACCAAGCCTCCCGATGCCAATGAGTATGGAGGAGGTATGTCACAGAGCATATATGCCCATATTACTTCTTCGCTACTGACTTAATCTACCCAGATGAAATATCCGCCCTTGTCCTTGACCCTGGGTACTCGACGACACGAGCCGGCTTTGCTGGGGAAGATGTCCCAAAATCTATTGTACCTTCCTACTACGGCCTAATCCCATCGGAATCCACACCCAAGCATGCTAAGAAACTCTTCGGCGACAACTCGATAAACATACCGTTACCCAGGATATCGATCAGCAATGTGATGTCAAAGGAGGGCACTGTGGAGGATTGGGACACGGCCGCAAATCTATGGGAATACACAATCACATCACGACTCACGAACACAAAGCCTACACCACTCGCATCTAATGGTCTTAATGACCCGAACGAGGACATCGCAATGGAAGGGGTCGAAGAGCAAGAAAAACCACTGGGCGAGAACCCGCTACTCATGACCGAAACCGGCTGGAACGCAGGCAAAGATCGAGAAAAAGGCATAGAAGTAGCCATGGAGAATTGGGGCTGTCCCGCCTTCTGGCTTGCCAGGAACGGTGTCTTAGCTGCGTTTGTCTCCCACCTCTCGTGTCCAAACACCACTGCTAACAAGTAGTAGCTTCGCCTCTGGCAAACCCACAGCCCTCGTCGTCGATATGGGTGCTTCCACCATCTCCATCACACCCGTTCACGACGGTCTCATCCTCAAAAAAGCTGTCACTCGCTCCCCCTTGGCCGGTAACTTCGTCTCCAATCAGCTGCGGCTTCTCTTCGCATCCTCTCAACCACCCATTCCCATAACGCCACACTACCTGATAACCTCCAAGACGGCTGTCGACGCTGGTGCCGCGGCACAAGCTACATATCGTACCTTCGCTACGGGAACAGAACCCCATCCCTCGTTCCGGCATTTTCAAGAAGAACGCGTGCTTACAGAGTTCAAAGAAAGCGTCGTCAATGTCTGGACGGGACCAGGAAGACTCGGTGGGCATTCACCGCAAGGGGGTACGAATATCGACGTAGCGAAACAACACCCAGGCAAGCCGTTCGAGATGCCTGATGGTTGGAACCAGATGTTCCCTGCCCTCGACCGGTATCGCGCAATCGAAGGCATCTTCGACCACAAAATGGCTCTCTCGGACGCCAACAACCCTCCACCCTCTCCAGGTCAGACTATCACCGCACTCATCTCATCTTCTCTATCACAAGTCGACGTAGACCTTCGCCCACACCTTTTAGGAAACATTGTCATCACCGGAGCCTCCAGTTGGTACGCAGGATTCACCGATCGCTTGCAGCAGGAACTGCAGGCCGCGCACCCCGGGGTCAGGGTGCGTATGGTTGCATCCGGGCAAATGGTGGAAAGGAAATTCGGCAGTTGGATCGGAGGGAGCATCCTGGCGAGTCTGGGGACGTTCCATCAGTTGTGGATTTCAAAGAAGGAGTATGAGGAACACGGGCCGGGGATAGTGGAGAAGAGGTGTAAGTGAGGACCGTGATGTTTGCGGAAAAGCGAGTCAGAATAACGAAAACCCGGTTACAATATGTATTCTTAGTCTTCTTCCCCATGACGTCCAGATGAAAGAAAGGAACTCTTATGATTGAGAATTCGCCCCAAGACAGTCTTATAGTTTTGCAGGTAAGGTACTTATGTCCAAACCGCCGTGCTTAATATCGCGCTAGAAGATGATACGCCAATTGAAAAAAATCTACTACCCCTTTAGAGCTTAGCTTTCCAACAACGTTAACATGTTGCCAACACAAGTATCTCGGTATAGACGATACTGCCAAGCAAACACGGTAGGTATGACTATACTACTACTGTACAAGTTGCACGTGAAGCGAGCGCGGCAACAGAAAACCATCAGTGCAAATACGCCTTCCCCGTCCCCATCCAATACAGCACCCTAATTCCCACCGATCTGCCCTTTCGGGATCGGCCGGATCCAGCTCAAGGACAGGTTGATGCAGATGGTGATGATGCCGATGACCCAAATGGTCTTTTCGTAATCGGTGCCTTGGTAGCGGAAGATGATGGCGAAGATGATGCCACCCAGGTTGCCGATACCGCCGGTGCAGCCGGAGACGATGCCGTTGGCGAAGGGGTGGACGTGCGGCACGAGGCCGAAGATGGCGCCGTTGGCGCCCTCGAGGAAGAAGGCCATGCCGGCGATGAGGCCGAACATGGTGCTCTTGTGCTGGCTGTTGGTGAGACCGATGGCGATTTGGAACACGCCGGTGATGATGGAGTAGGTGTGGATGAGGTATTTCTTGCCCCAAACGCCGGTACGGGCGTATATGGCGTCGGAGAGGAGACCGCCAAGGGGGCGACATGCGACGTTCAGGAGACCGAACATGGCGGCCCAGCGGCCGGAGCCGGTCTGACCGAGAGCTTTGAAGTTCTTGAGGTAGTAGGCGCCGAGGATGGAGTTGATGGACAATTCGGCGCCGAAGGTACAGAAGTAGCATCCGCAGGTGACGAGGGTTTGTAGGGAGAAAACGACGGGCATTGCTTCCTTCCAGGTGGGTTTGCGGACGATTTCACCGCGGGCGACATCGAGCATCTGCTGTTCGCCAATTTGAGCTTCATGGTCAGAGCTACCCTTGCGCTCGCCGGTGGCGTCGTATTCGATTTTTGCGTCGGGATCCCGGGTCGGAGAGCCTGACTCACGGGAAGACGACTTGTCGGCAGTGATTTCTCCTGGAATTTCGACAACATCACCGGTGATGCCATGTTCAGCCAGATTCTGCTGGGCGGCGAGGTGGCGCTCGCTCCATTTTCCTGTTGGGGTGTCGGGGCATACCAACAATAACGTGACGGTGACGGCGACGATAACAATGAACGGGACGATGAAAGCCACTCGCCATGCCTTGTGGGGAGTCAGGCCTGACTGGTGGACCAGCGAGTCGAAGATGGCGGGCATCAAAAAGTATGTGACACCGCCTCCAGCATTGCCGAAGCCTGCAGTGAAAGAGTTGCCCGTGCCAACGACGTTCTTGTCGAAGAACCCAGTCGACCATACTTGGCAAGGCACAAAGCTACCGCCGAGGATACCGACGAAGAAACGGAGAGCCAAGAGACCTTTGGCGTTGGTGACCGCACCTGCAAGCACAGTGGGTATGGAGCCAGCCAGCAGACAAGCTGCAAATGTGTATCGAGGGCCATAGAGATCGCACATCGGACCAGCAACTAGTCGGACAAGGAGACTAAGAGGTATCAGCCACGTACCGCCAACGTAATCTTGCAGCTTATCTTACGTAGCAACGAGCGCGATAATATTAGAGTTGGCAATGTCGACTTGAGTGAGCTTCAAGTCTTTCCCGATGGTAAGCGTCAACTGAGAGAATGTTAGATTGCTTGCGGCTCTTCAGGAGATTGAGTGTGCGTGGCAAACGTACGAGTGGTGGAAAGGCATACTAGGGAATCATTAGCAGGCATTTCCCAAGAGGGACTGAAGTTTGGAGGTCATACCCAGCTCCAGAATGCTACAAAGAATCCAAACCAAGCAAATGTGAACACACGACCATACATATTAATGGGGTTGAGCCCGGGAATCGAGCGAGCTTTCCGGTTGACGGGATTGACCACTGGGGCCCTCCATAACGTTGTGATATCATACATTATCGTGGGTTTTCAAGTTTGTTAAGACCCTTGGCTATGGAAGGGTAGAAGTAGAACAGAATCCGAAGAATTTTTGGGGAGGAAGGTTCCTTTGTGGAAAGGCAAAGTATTTGTACAAGAGAAAAGACCGAGATAATGGAGGGTTAGATGCTTTAAAGATGGGCAGAAAGATCTGCTTTCTCCGGGTTTATCACCTGTCACTCCCCAGAAAGTGACGATATGTCCGCGGATTAGGAAAAGAAATGGAAGATCTGTAGACAAGACAGACTAGGGATTGGCTCGTAGGGATTCAACTTTGAGGTTAGAATTTGGCATTCGGCCGTCCTGATAAGGGATATTTGAAGCCACAGGGCGATCTGACAGTCGGCCAGATCTATCCACGCGGCGTCTTTGGGAGTACCAGGTGGCAATGTTTAAGGTAGGTATTTGACAGCGCGGAGATGCATGTGGGGGGCGCACAAAGAACCAAACTCGTGTGATGCAGAGCCTGTGTAGTGCAAGCCGTGAGCAGCACGGGGGGGGATAGATGTCAGCATACATATCATCGTGGATATACCACCAATTGACGACGATGGACTCCTTATCAAAGTCTCTGGGGCCTAGATCAGCGGTGGCTGAGCTGAAGCGATAGGAGGATTGGGATTTGGCAGTCAAAAAAGATTGATTACTTTGATAAGACGTTTGGCATGTCCAAAACCCGTGGACCCGCTAAACCCTTGGCTTCCCTTATCTCGAACGTCTTTTCCAATAATAAAAGTGGATCCGAAGCAAAGTCCTTATCAGCACCCCTGACTTTCCATTTTGTTAAAAGTAGATTGGTCCGAGCCTTGATTACTGATACTGTATTACATTTACCCGTAGTGCCTGCGCAAAGCATCTGATCCAGTAGGTACTTTCGGTATATCCAGATCTACCATCTCCGAGGATGGCAAAAAACATCGAAATGTATCATGGAGGGTGGCATGCCAAGCCTGCATTTTGCTGCAGCCCGGGAGGATGTGATCGGGCAGAAAACGACTTGGAAATGGCGGGGTGCATTCTCTCCTGTCGGCACTTGGTTGACACTGTGGCAAATGTGCGTCACTCGTCTCGTGGCATCTGCAGGGTATTCTGCACTCTGCTCCATCTTCTTCTTCTTCTTCTTCTTCTTCTTCTTGAATGGAAAGTGTCCTGCGTTGGGTGAGGTGCAGTCGACGAGCTTGAATGGGGCTGACGGAAGACTGCCGTTCCTGCGCCCACTGGTTTGGTCCTTCCCGCTGGGAGGGGGACCTCGGACCATCACTTCCCCACGCCAAGTCGTCTCGCTTGTCAACCAATCAAAAGCCTGCCTAAAAACAACCATTCTTCATTCTTTCTTTTGCCATCTTGGACTCCTGGAGGTTGGAAAGTTTACTGATTGCTAGCAACGATCGGCCCAGCTTGATCGGCAAAGACACGATAACAAAAGGCACAAGAGGTAGGTTATAGGGTTACCTGGTTTCTGGCCGACACCTCCGTAGGGTCGTCGGTAGATTATTATCACACGCCCAGCAGGCCTACATCACATGAATCGACAAATTCAGCAAAGACATAGACCGGACCGGAGAAGTGAAAATCAAGTTGAGGAGGGTTGAAGTGGGACTCCGTGACTTTAGCGTATTCGTATGGCCGAGCGTACGTGTCTGAGGTGGACACGGGGGGTTTTTTGATGAGCAGAGGTGGGGAGGTATCGGCAGTAGATTGAGAGATCCAAGCACGGTAAGACGTCGGTGGGGGCGAAGGAACATGGTGTTCGCAAGGTCATAAGACCGGAGGCTCAGATCAAACGAGTGGAGTGGTCAATCGAAGCGGTCGAAAGAAGAGAAGCCGGGCCAAAAGAAGTAGAAAAAGACGACTTAGATAAGGGTTGGAACAAGCACAGCAGAGGCTCGAGGAAATAATAGCATCTGACGAAAGTAATCAATGTCAATTTCTCGAAGCGTCATATTTCACCCCAACCATGCTCATGCTTGCCGTCGCGCCATCACCACCCTCGACATCTGACCCAGACATCCACAACTTGGTCTCGCCTTTCTTCAGGCAGGCTTGAATCAACAACCAGATACCACCCAAAGCCCGCGCCAGCCACACAAGCGTGGTTGGGCCACACCCTTACCTTTTGGCCGATCTTCAACTCTGCCAGCTCATGGCTTTCACGCTGTGAATCTTTTATCAATATACCATGTTCCTGACTGATGCGTCCAACCTGCCAACCTTGATGATCTCGGAGTTAGCATTACTCTTTTGGGAGGCATTCTGAGTCGCGAGACATGTCTTAGGAGCAGAACACTCTTTAAACATGTCTGACGACTCATAAGATAGCATGAATGGGGAAGAATTTCCTCGGAAGCATGACGTACCAGACCTCCCTTCAAAATTGTTCGTAGACATACCCCAGTCACTGACGATGCCCCATCCGTTGTACGATTTGCAAGGGTCACGTCCCAGCGCCAACGATCCAGCTGCCATCAGCGCTTCCGGACTGTCACGACTTTCGTACACGCTTGCAACTTCAGCCATGACGGTCAATGCAATGTCCGCGGTCGACAGGCCCGAATTGTCGTATTTCGGATTGGCAGGTACAGCCGAGGGACTAGCTTGCGTGGCCAGTTGTTGCATGTCTAGGAACGGATAGACTCCAGCATGTATTTCAATGGCATGAGTGGCTTTGACACGTTCAATTACCTTCTTCAACTTGGCTATCTCTCCTCCCATTGGAGATTCTGCTTGAGCGGATCTTTCAAGCATGTTCTCTATAGACGTCGCCGTTGGGGTGGCTCCCACTGAAAGGACGTATTTCTGGCTCATTGGCGCGTGATCGCGAGCTTTTGAAGCATAGTTTGCCGCTTTCTCTAGTCCTTCAAGCTCGACGATGAGGAGTTCCATTGCGCCAAGCGCAGAGTCACCTCCATATGAGTGGCCAGCATGACTGTAGAAGCCCAGGAGTTCCACAGTCCCGCGAGACTCGTCGTCGAGAATGTCGATGATGAGGCAATTGAATTTTTCGGTTCCGACCACCACTCCTGCTCGATGATAACCCGTATCAATTTTGATAAACACTTTAAGTGGAAAACCTGCCATATCCCTGAATGCTCTAGCGGCCTGAAGCTGGGATTTGTTGTCCACAAGGACGCTTATGCTTTCGCTTCCAATCTTCTTGCCCAAGTGCGCTAACCGTTCGATTTGAGAAGGAGGTAAGGGGATACCGTAGAGTATCTGGCATGACCCTTCAGAATCCGAAAATGCGCTTGGAGAACCTGTTACAGTACTTACGTTGACACTTCGCCGCGATTCTCGACTTGTCAAGAGGAAGTCAGACAGATGCTCGGCCTCTGCCACCGTTGAAACAATTACTTTGACATCATTGATTCCGTCGCCAAGCTGCAGTTGGGCGACTTCCACGGTCTTAGTATTGATCGATTAGCTTTAGAACTAGATGAATGGCAAAAAAGACGTCGATGGATACACAGCGGCGAATGACCCAAGGAGATGCAGATCCATTCATTCTTCTTCATGTCTTCTACCGCCGTTTTCTCGGAAAGTCTATCACGTTGAATGGCTTCGTAATTGACTTCTACATAAGTTTTCCATACCACAGCGGACTTGTCGGAAGACTGTTATCGCGGCTATTGTGTTCGAGCAGATCGACGAAGCTGTATTTGAGGCACACAATGGACAGATTTCGATAGGCACATTGCATACGTAGACATGCTCAAGCCCATTAACATTAGCCACTTGCGCGACAGATCCCACATTGAAACAGCGCATGGATTGAAGAATCTGTTCCTCAGTGGATGGAAATTGTACACAAAGACAAGAAAGTGCGGACGTATACCTTGTGGGTCTTGACATGAGGCCGGAATCCGACCTGGAGAGCTTCACACGCCTTCAACATTTGGAGGCAATTCCTTTTCACGACGGCCTTATCCAGGACCGCGGCCGGCGTGGGCACATGTTCCAATTCCTTGCCGACAAAAGCTTCGCGAAGCTGCGCCTGGGATGGAAGGGGAAGAAGAGGTTTCGCATCAAATGCCATTTTGGTAGAATGTTTTGATGATCTGATCTGATCGCAATCGACGGCCAATAAACTTAATCTTCGCCGTACTGTGATACGCTCCCTCTAGTTATGCATGATGCAACTTCATCCGTAATAGCTTTTTCATTTTGTGCTGGTCGTGTATAAATGCTCACCGCCAAAGCCCGTATTCTCAAGCACCTTCGTATTCTTGAAGAAATGCTAAATAAAGCCGATAGTATTTTGATACGTGGTTTCGCTAGCTGTTAACGTGGTAAAAGACGTTGGCACGCGCTTTTTCGCCAATATAGATGGGTTATCTACCACCCAAGATGAGATTGACCGTCACGGGTATTGTATGAGAGAGATATTTCGTGTCAGGCTGACAGGGGCAGATTTGGAAACACAAATCATTCCCACTAGTAGGTTTAGTATGAGCTTGGAAGCTTTGAATGACAAGTGCTAAGTCAATGCTCCCGAGGGCGTAGCAAGGACCCTTGCCAGGCAGGCCCTTCCCTAATAAGTCTATTCATTTGGTCACCTTTGGATAGACGGCTCGTCAAATTTTATGAAATTGCATTGACGATTAATTACAGACACCGCTTCAATCTTCTCATCATCATGTGATGACCTTGCGAGCGAACAGCTGTCTTCCCTCGCCCTCCTTATAAAGCTCATTCTAGAGTACCTGCACATCGCTTCACATCGCTTCTTGCTCTTACGCGTTGCCTTTTGCATTGGACCGCTTCTCCACATGGGCTATTTTCAGCGATGCGGTTCCAGCGACTGACACCACACCCACAGAAGGAGGACCCGACGCCCTACCCTTCCACCCCCACAATCCGACAAAAACGAGTGGTCCGCGCTTTGCTTCCCTGCATTTGAAACATCATAGATCCGCCCGTGTGACACCGAGGCAAGCAAGACATACATAATGGTAATATCTACAATAGAAGAGGGGAGGGAGAGCAGTGCGTGGGACATACCTGTCACCATGGCAGAAGAGGATATGGAGAGTGGTTCCGAAAGCGAGTTTGATACCGCGCCCCCCGTGCATCCGGTGCCTACAATGCAAGGCGCCTTTGAGGAATCTATGAACGAGACCATGAACGATGACGAGCCAGAGGTGCCAGATCGATACTCCAAGGCAGATTCGGTGACGAGGCGGAAGATGCTGCTGGAACAGCAAGAATACGAGCGCACAGTTGCGGGACGTTGGAAGCAAAAACCGGGAGAAAAGTTCCATCCGCTGTGGAAACTTGTAGCTCAGATCTCATTTGGGATGCATCTTCTGCAGCAGGGCTTGGCCAAATCAGATGAGGAGGTTCTCAAGATCCTACAGACACACGTCGATGAAGTCGACGGCTTCCTCGAGCGGACCACCGAAGACTTTGATCTAGCCCAGAACGACATCAATGAGCGCATACGATACCTCAAACTCCCACTGGAGCATGGCCAAGTCTTCGATCAGATGCTCGCAGATCGGCCTTTCCGTGTAGCGATTGTCGAAGGTAACGAGAAGATCGAACATATAATAGACCGAACAGCAGCAGCTATGAACGATGCTCTGAAAGATGTACAAAAGGGCCTAGATGCGACAAGGGAGCTTGCAAAATACATGACGAGAGTCGACAAGCAGTGGGAGGATCGAACAGAAGAACACGACTCTGTATACCTAGCCATGATCGGGAATACCGAGGGATGGACGAGGGCTTTTTTGACTCTACAATCAAAAGGGGGACATCTGCGAAAGGCTCTCGTTCAACTGGGGACCATTGTTGCAGAGATGCAAAGAAGAGCAGGTGCTGCAAGTCGAAAGAATCTGGCAAGCTAATTTCCGACAAGAATGCGTCTACTTTAGCTAACAGAGCCAGGTGCCTCCTTCGAGGCCGGTCAACGGCAGGTACAATGTCGAGCCACGCGCTGAGAGTCCACAGCATACAGCAACTCCCCCTAGATCGCCATTGAAGACATTGCCGACAGGTCCTGATCCTGCTGCTCGCACAGCTTCATCCCAAAGATTTATTAAGACCTCAGTGAATGAGTCCGCCACATCCTCTCCTCGGATGGAACAGACACAAGCAGGGCTAGCCAGTCCAGCCATGAGGCGTGATCTTGCGCCGAGAGCTAGAAGTCCAAATCCTGTCGTGCCGTCACGAAGTCCTGAACCATCAATGACTGCGCGAGGTCAGCAACCGGGCTTGTCTACGAAGACTTCACAAACGTTGAGACCCGTCCGAAGCCCAGAGCCAACAAGGACGGCGAGAAGTCCAGAACCGATAAGGTCAACAAAAAGCCCAGACCCGGTGAGATCGGCCAGAAGTCCTGTTCCAGATTTATCAACCAAAAGTTCACAAACGCTGAGACCTGTCAGAAGTCCAGAGCCTACTAGGACGGTCAGAAGCGCGGAACCGGTGAGGTCAGCTCAGACTCCGTCACCGCCGAACGACCATTTTCAAAGCGAAAACGAGGAGACGGAGCCACGCGCCAAAAGTCCCAATGCTGTGGTGCACTTTAAGACTCCAGCTCAAGTAATGGCCGGGATGGCAGCGGCATCCAGACCTCCAGTCCCAGAACGATCGGCTTCGAGAAGGAGATCAATCACTGAGCAAGCCCGTTCGCTTCTCCGCATGAAGCCTTCGTTTCAACGAAACGATGAAAACGCGCTTTCCAGCACCAATCTGCCAATACAAAGTCCTTCTGGCGAACCTACGCCGAAAAATCGCCCCTCCAGTCCTATCGTCGCACGTTCTCCCTCGACTCGAAAAGCTCAAGCCATGAGTATGTCGACTTATTCTGCAAGTCCAACATCGCCAATGAAAACCAGCGATTTTCCCCCTGACCGTGGGGATAGTCCAGTCTACACCAGAGCGGGAAAAAATGTCCCCACTCAGAGTTCTTATGGGGTACCGGCTTTCCCAGCGCATTCTCGGACAACCTCCCTCGACCGTGCAATGCCAGCTGGCTCCGCATGGCTACCAGGGCATTCTCGAACACCATCTCTGGACAGTGCTGTACCAGCTGGCCCCTCTCAACAAATAGGGTCACCCGCTAGGACAGAATTGCCACCAATGGCTCGTTATGCTAAACCTGTTGCGGCGCTCGACGACTCGGAAGGAAATGTAAATACTGCACATCCGTTGCTCCAGAAAGCTCGACACACCAGGTTTGCTACAAAAAATGCGAACGATCTTCCTCTTCGCCATTACAAAAGCCACGACGCCTTCACGCACTCAAATCCTGATCTATCGCAACGGCAGACAGAAGGCATGGTACCACCAAAACGATCAAGTTCTCTACTCTACAACCCTAATACACGATCCATTACACCTACATTTTCTGGCGCCCAGACCGTTATAAGCTCTCCATACCCCAACCGATTATCGTCGCCTGAGACCAAAAGATCTCCGACTCCAAACCAATTACACCAGAATGACTCAGCGATTAGTCTAGTGGCTCGGGCACATACCGCTTCCGCTGAATCTGAACTGGGAATCCACCCAGCCCATCGGACTCCCGAACCTCCCTCCGCATCTACGGCAGGCTCATCTCCCTCGCCCTCTATAACATCCTCGAGAGCTGAGCAAGGTGCGACGCCACCTCCAATAGCTACAGTGCGCTCGCCGAAAACCAGTGATGCAACCATAACGTCTCCAAAGGTTCCTCCACCCTCTCGCTTTGCCCCAGCTGCTCCATCTCAATTCCAAAACACAACAGCACCCACAACCAGCAACCATTCCCGAGAAGCCTCCAAAGACTATCCTCCTGAGTCCAATCCCAAGTACAAGACCACCGCCACAAATAACACACCGTTTTACTTGAACCCTGCCTCATCACAAGCTCTCCTCGATTTCTTAGCTTCAACTCCTCCACCCTCTCCGCCGCATCCGGGCACCAAGACCGAACCAGGCACTCCAGCAACAGCCTCGGCGGGCGCTTTCTTCAACCGCGCTTATATAGCCACGGAGAATCGTGGAGGTGAGTCTAGCCCACCTCCACCTTTTGCCGTTGGAAGGGGAAAAGGAAGCATGGACGCACTCCCAAGAGCCAAGACCGGCGATGGTATAACGCGGGAGAAGAAAGGATGGAAGAAAATATTTGGGGGCGGAGGCGGCAAAACGGAGAAGCAGATAAATGGGGTAAATGGCAGCATGGAAATGAAGCAGAAGAAGAAAAGAGATTATCGAAAAAACGTCGAGTTGAGTCAGGTCTATGGTGTTGGGACCGGTGCACAAAGCGTAGATGGGAGGATTGGAGATGTGGGCAAGGATGGTAGTGGATATATGGGTTTAGGAAAGGACGGGGTGTGGATATCGAGGAAGAACTTTTCGAAGACATAGCATTCGATTCTTGGGGATGGATGAATAGATAATGATACCACTTTGTAATATATTTTGTGTCGATGGCGTTGAGGAGCGTTATGAGCGACATATTCCCAATGACACACGTCATATGTACGTTATGGAGGTCTGTGTGGTATATAATAGCTTCAGCTTTCTGAGCTGCTTGGTGCTCGGTGTTCACCGGTCCTGGAGGAATGACTTTAAACTACTCAATGCAAGTCCTTCGTACAGCATGGTTTTCATCTGAAAACCACGATACGCAAGAGTTATGCATCATTGACAACTGTATACATCCTAATAAGAACGTCGTCCATGTGGCATTCTCACGCCTGCAGTCCACCTATCTTCCGCCTGCGGGTGCCGTTGAATTGTCTGTCCTTCCCTCAAGTCTCTGCAGTGCTCTTGCCAACTGCCAACTTTACACCCGTACCCTTTGTGGTCTACAGCACTGACACTGTCGGTCACATCAATTGGCCTAGCGTCCCAATCGTCGACGTCCACGACCCTACTGCCGTTCCCAAACATCATCGAGTCTTCGGCATCAGACACACAAGATAGCCACTTTGCGATGCGCTCTAGGTCCAACCGAACTTCTTCAGGGACCTCTTGACTTGTTCAACAGCCATCATCATCACCCTCATAGTGCGAGTTTGGATCGTATTACTTCTGAGGCACTCCCAAGGCTTGGGCCTGAGCTTTTGCCGCCTTGTGCGACTTCTCGGCTTCGATCAGGTTCCTTGTCAGCTGCTTTTGGCATGCTCGATGTCATGGCGGTCGAAATCAGTCATTGTATGGTTGATTCTTCCCGTGGCGATGAGCTGATGATAGTTCGATAGCTCCCGTTTGTAGTCTGGACCTCGATCATCGAAATTTGCCTCAGCTTCACTTAAAGTCAGGTAGCTTTGTCGCATGTTGTCTTCGGCTCAAAGTCGGAGAAGCTCCTCGGACCCTGGGTCACTGCTCTTGCTGCTGTTCGAGATGGTTGAGTTGTGACCCGAATAAGTTGACTTGCTACCCTTTTCTATTGAAGAAGGTATATCAGGTTCTTCCGGCCCCAGCAGGGATACATCTTCAACGCACGCTCGGTTGTGACTTGCAGATCTTTTCTTGGACACTCAAGGGTCAACTTGAGACTCTCCAGCTCGTTCTTGAAATCGTCTCTTTGCTCCTCAGCTTCGTTCAGCTCTGACCCCAACTGTTCTACCTCAAGCCGAATTTGGTCCGCCTCTCCTCGGTCTTCGGCGCCGTCGAGAATGATTTCTTTTCCATCAACCGGTTTGCCAGAGCTAGAGTTCTTGTTTGAGCAGCATCCACCACCCTCCCCGTCCTTCCAACAGCTCGGTTTTGTCGGTTGATCTCCTTGATGTTTTGAACGACTTCCCCGGTGAGGAGCAATGCTAAACAATCTTTCGTCCCATCGAATTGGGACACAATACGGCTTGGACCCTCTGTGTATTGCGGTTCCCAGTCGATCGGTTCTGGTTTTATACTCACAGCGGTTCTTCTGTCCTCAGTCGAGAGTAATCTGTCCTCCTCTTGTTCGAAAACTTTGTTGCTCATTTACGCTAGTCCTTTGCGCCGGTTCTTGCCCTACGAGATCTGCGAGGTCTGCTCCTGAACAACTATCATCGCTTTGACTTGGACGATCCATAGCGCTTGTCTTTTGCAGGCTTGTTTCGATGCTGCCCAGTTGGACCCTCCCTGTAGAGGCGTCGATCATGGGACTACGCCAGAATGGTATTGGCTGTGGTTGCGGGATTCAAATGTTTTTCGTTGCGTAAGTGTACAACAGCTTGTGGTAAGCTAGAAATCGCAACGGATTTCCTCTACGGAATGACAGGCCGAGGTGTGCAGCAGTAGAGAAAGGCAAATGGTTTGATGTTCTGATGAAAGCATACTAGTTTCTGTGGTTCACGCGGTTTGCTCTCTGCTTTGTTCCTCTTTGTTTCTTCGCGTGAACTCTTTGTTTATGCTTTGCGATGGTCAATGGAGACCAGGTAGTTGGGCTGCATGCTCATCTTGAAAGGTACCGGTTGTCATTATGTTGTTGTGGACTTTTCTACATGCACTGAAAGCAGCTACAATACGCCTCCTGCTCCCTTCGCATCTAGGGGGTCATCACGCGTGCCTTCCTGCTTCTCTCAGATAGGACGCCTCAGAAGCCAGATTTCAGCTTTTCAGCTCACAAATCGGAATACTTACTGTTGACTCTGGGAGTCTACCTAGTACATCTAAAGCCGAGCGCGCAGAGTGTAAGCTCCAGCACTATGCCGGGACCACCAAGAGTGTCCTACAGCAACGCTCTTAGCTCCAAGAGAGGATACCCCATTGCACCACCAAGAGGTCAGCCATACTCAAGCATCCCTCGCGCTCCCCAGAACCTGGGTGCCAGTAGGGCACAAGGAATGCAACGTGCGAAAATGCAAAATGCTACCATGTCGAAAGTAACCGAAAAGTTGGCCCGCATGGACCTGAATTGGACGAAGATGAAGAAACAAATCCTCGACAAAGACCGCTGCAGAGTCGGCATGATCATCAGGGCACCTTTGCATGAGCAAGACTGGCAAGCCGGCGCCACGACCAACAGCACGGGCCCCAAGGGCGATGATTTTGAGTCCGGCAAATCCGACATCACGAACGACAGGTCTGTCTCAGAATGGAAGCACGGCTACATCCACACCAAAGTGCGTATCTTCGTTGTGGCAGCGAAGTTCCACCACCACTTTTTGGCCGCTCCGGTCTACACTCACGGCCGCAGGGGGTTGCGGAATAAGAACAGGGACTACCAGGAAGAGCACGTATCGATCTTTGACAAGTCCCACGGTCCTAAGAACCCGGAGAGATTGCAGGAGGGACCGCATCCGTATCTCTATGCCGACCTTGGAGATCACGCACCGCATTATAAGACTATGAGTACCATTCACTTCACTCGTCTTGTTCCGCGGGGCTATGGTCTCGAGTGTTCCATTGAGGGAGACTTGAACGCGAAGTCTCTGCCTCTCTTTTTGAACCACTGCAATGACGCGACTCAGAAGTTCGGGGCGACTCGGTAGAGACCTTGTCCGGGCTAGACAGGTATGCTTTGACGCTGACAAAGAGTGAACACATTCCACGCGGCTGTTCCAGCAGGCAACTTTCATGAAACAGGGTCCATGTTCTTGATTGGGTTATGAGTGTCGGTGTCTTGACATGTCTGTTAGTCCCCGGTTTCAATTTCGGTTTCGACATTTTGGGTGCGTCTTGTGTTGGATGATCGTCTTTTGTACTACAGAATGGCTCAATCGAGAAGCCTTTTCCACAGTGTTATCAAATAATGGAGCGTTAGCGCGCCAATATACACGAGGATGTCGAAAGCGCCCAAGGATCTCTAAGTGCAGCCCCAAGGAATATCGCTCAATAAGCCTCTTCTACTCGCTCTCCCTGCCAATCTGCAATCGACGTTGATTTGCGGCCAGCTGCCAATCCTTGCCGGACTGTTGCCAGATCCCTGACGTAATCTTGTTTTCGACAGCCCAGCTCTGCCTGACATTCTTCCGTGTTACGCTGCATTTGCTCTACAGCTTTGAGGATTCTGCAATGAGCAATCCCATCTTCGGCAGTCACTGGCTGGATGTCTTTTAGGAAAGAGTATACTGGTTCGTGTTGAGAACGCGGGGGGATCCGCGTGTCTGCTCCATATTTGGAGGCCGTTAACTCCTGCGCATTACGAAAGCGGGCTAGGGGTTCGAAAGTCTGTGACTCCAAATGCGAGAGACCCACCTCTTCTAGTGCTTGCTCGAATAATGATTGCGATCCATATCTCAAATTCAAAATGGCTTTCCAAAGTATCGAGATTTCTCGCATACATTGACCGCCACCTATCAAGAGCGCTGATACCTACAGCCTACAAATCTCTCGTCTGGATTCATTGAATCGATAGATACTCCCTGAGAACCCTGCAGTGCTCTTTCCAGTCATTGAGCTCGTCGACATACTCATCACAATCGATCACACTGATACTGTCCATGATCTCAACCGGCCTTGCATTCCAATGGTCAAGATCCAAGGGCTCTCGATTCTCCAGAATCTCCGCATCCTGGTCGGACAAAACACCCCGCGACCAAGTCTCAATGCGTTCACGACCAATGTCCGGCTCAGTCGACACGTCGTCGCTCCTTCGATCGCCGTCATAGGCAAGGTAGCCGGAATCAGCGTTGAGGCCGTGGGGGTCCGCAGCCGCCTCCAAGACCCGAGCCTTCGCCTTTGCTGTTCTGTATCCCTGTTCGGCAGAAATCAGATCCCTTGTCAAATTTCGGACGTGCTGGATGTGTTGGTGATCGAAATGGGTCCGGGTGCACTCAGATTCGGCCTCGGCCTGTTGGAAATCCGCCAGCTTCTGTTCGTAATCGGCTTGCCGGTCATCGAATCTGGCTTGGTAGGTCCTCAGCGTGTCATAGCTGTCGATGACATCCATACGGGCCTCTCGGAGCAATTGCTGTTCCGGAGTAGGCTCGGTGCCCTCGTACATGCTCGGGGCGGATGGACAGGCTCCAGACGAGACAGCGTCATCCACGTCGTGGAGTACAGGTGGACTCGCCGGCTCTGGTGGGTCTAGTAAGCATGCTTCGAGCAAAGCTTCTTCGAAGATTCCTTGGGATTGACCTCTTGAAAACTTCAGACTGTTTTCCAGAGGCACCAATTCGATATTTAGATGGATCTTACGCTCTTCGGCTTCTTGCTGTTTTAATCGCAATATCTCCAAAGCCAGCTGCATCTCTTCCGCCCGTTCTTGATACCGCGAATTTCTTATTGTCTCTTTCGCCTTGCCCGCTTTACATGACAAATCGGTGATTTCCGATTCAATCTTTTCAAGCGCTCCATCCTTTCGTTCCAATGCTAGGATGTCGTGTGTGATTTGATTGAGCGCTGCAACCAAGTTTGGCGTGAGAAGAAGAGCCAGACAGTCCTTGGTGCCATCATTCGCCGAGATGATGCGACTTGGTCCAGCGGTATATGGTGGAAGATCCTCCAATCCTTCCGCTTTGGCTGATGACCAGAATGGATGAAGATCCAGTCCTTCCGCGACCAACGATGTTTGGTAGTCTGTAGAGTCAGAAACTCCGACAACAGGCTCTTGGGAGTCAGTGCTAACTCCACTGTCCATGGTAGGCGTCGCTATGTTCCGCTCAATATATCTGTTGACGCTGTCACTGAAGACTAAGAGGATCTGCCCGAGATTTGATAAAGATGTACTGAGAATTCTCGCTGACTCGAGTATTCATCAAATATTAACAGAGCGTGAGCCGGGGAGGTGCAAGGTAATAATTTGATCTTTTTCCAGGGGACTTCCTTGTCCCTTTGACAATTTAGCATCCTTTGTCTAATCTTTGTGCCACAAGAAAGAAATATCGAAAGCAAAATTCCTCATCAGAAGAATGCCAGATTTCAGAGCATGGGTCTGTTCGACTTGACCCTACCAGCTCTAGAGTGTGGCTTGTTTTCTGAGATTGTATTGAACGCTCAGTCTTAGGCTGGATCAAACATCGCTTACATGATGCTTCCACCTCTACATACTGTGCTGCTTGGTGTAGGTCAAGAGAAGAGGAGAGGTTTGGACAGGTGTACAATGAGGAAGAAAGCGCTGTAGTATCCGAAGCGAGAAGAAACGGTCAGAATAAGTGGGAGTAAAGGAGGAGGCTTCGTCTGATTTCTCGAGGTGCTTGTTGTTCTTTGTCTTTCAGCTGCACCTTGTGACGTCTGACTGAGCTCGAGGGACTGTATCATCTCCTTTCTTTTCAGCTTTTGAGCCGATCGGTATTCGTAGCCGTTCTTGAAATTAAAAGTAGCAAAAACAGTCCCATCAATTCCCTCTCATACTCAGATGCGATCATGGCGGTTCAGCATCCTGGCCACCCTAACTTACTGGACGTCTGTCAACAATTCTTCATTTGTGTTGTACTCTGAAACGCATGTCCTGAAAGGACGGCCTTCTTGCAAAATCGCCGATATCTACAGTCCACAGATCATCCGTCAAGGGAGCATTCATGTTGTTCTCCCTGAGTAGAGTACCCTGCGGTACTCCTTCCATTTCTGCAAGTCATCGAAATAGTCATTAAAGTCTACTACACTGACACTGTCCATTGGCAAGATTGTCTTTGCGTACCGCTCGTCAAAACTCACGGCTTTATTGCTTCCTAGCATCTCTGAAGCCTCTTGAGATACTTCAGTTGCCCGGGCTTTGTTGCGCTCTCTGCGTTGCTGAGGATTCACGTCCGGCAAAATCGGCCGCTTCCCTTTCATCCAGTAGCCATCGTCGTTACAACAGCCATCCTCGAGCTTGTCGAGGTCAATGTAGTTGCCAAGTTAATTCTTCGCAGGCCTCCAGCTCTGCTTTCTTATATCAGCTCCTCGGTAAGAAGGATCGCCAAACAATCTTTAGAGCCATCGTTTACTGTCCAAATTTGGCCTTCCCCATCGGTGTAGGATGGTTTCTGTGATGACCCTTCGATGTCTGTTGAAGGTGGATCCTACAGGTGTCCCTCTTGGTTTGAAAACGAAAAGCGCTGCCGACAGACCTCGTGTCCTGTCAAGAACGGTCATCTCTGATTCTCCTCAGCCACTCTTCCATATTCGCTGGATGTTGAAGATAAATTAGTGACCGAACGTACATGATTCTAGGATGCTTTTGACTCTTCGCGGGCGTGATGGTCAAGATCAAGAGCAGAGATTTGGGTTGACGATTTGCCGCACCGGCTGGAGCGAGATTGCGAAGACCTGCGGCATGACTGCTGTGATATTTTTGGTGATGATGTTGCTGATTGCCGAGTGCTGAGAACGTTGACAGACGATTCTTCTGACATACCGCTGGTGCGAGGTCCCATTTTGGCTTTGCTTACCCACCAATGGCTCATCAGGGATGGAGTCCTGCATCGTGGATAGATAAGCGGCTCATCGTGAGCGACCTATAGACTAGATTCGAAATTTCGGGTGTGTACTTTGTTGGCAGTGTCTGGACGCGAAAGATGGATGTAATTTTCCAGGGACTTGGATGGTGGGGCTCTCTTGTTCCAAAATCCTTCTACTCGCACAGACAGTACAAAGCCAAGTTGCGTTCCCTTCCGCTCATCCGGTCCCTCGCGGATGTGGCCTCGATGTTGGATTGGAAGGGAGTCTGGAAAACGCATCGACGATTCGATTGATGACACTCTTGTCGAGTAAAGTAAAGTGAAGTTCAGAGGAAAATGAGAGGAGATTTGCTGTTCAGGGAAGGGTACGTAGCTTTGACGCAGAACGTAACATTGAAGCCTCAGATTGGTTTTAGCGGAAAGGAGACCAGGCACTGTTGTTTCCTTTTGGATGGACGTATTTTACGTCTGTTTGGTTAGGACCCTTGAAATGGAATCTCGTCTCCATCACTTGTGTTATATCATTTGATCACTCCTTTCACGTTTTGAAAATTAGTTGAGGGGAATGGATAAATGGCTCTATATTTTCTTTCGCCCGTTGCTGCCTTTCCAATGCAAAGTCTTCTGACTGCTCTCATGACCCTCGCAAACAAGGAATAACCACTCCCATATGGAGTAAACTGTATAGAGAAGACCCCAGACGTTTCATGGTACGTCCTTTGGTTTGCCGATCAATTGTCAGTTCCGAAACCGCACCACCCTTGTGGCTCACTCAGCTATCGTAGCGTCGGCTTCTCGCTCAGTCCTATCACGAGTTGATTTTCAGTAGCATGGGAACAGTCCGATGCTTTCATCTGCATGTCAATCGTCTCCTGTATACTACATTCAGCATCCTCCCTTCTCGGGTTCGCCTCGCGTATTTTTAGTCCCCTGGCGGCACGGTGCTTTTGCTTGCCTTTTTGTCTCCGACGCTCTTGCCGACTTGGAATAATTCGGGCTTTTCATCACAGGCTGACTTTAATCGTAGGGGAAGCTGAAATGGCTCATACGATGGTACTCGGCTCCGTGCCTTCCTTCTCAACCTCTTCTTGGACCGAAGACGAGGATCATGCCTCTCGTCCTTCCACATACGTCTATAATGCTTGACTCTCGGGTGCGAGAGGCCGCTTTTGAGTTCGATATCTGCGCTTCTGTCGCCCTTGTCCATGTATGCGAAGATTTTCTTCTTCATTGAATCTCGGACCAAGGACGTACGAAGAGGTAACTCTTTAGCGTGTGATGAAACGCTGGTGCTAGACTCAACGTCCTCATCGAGTCTCTCCTGTGCGAAGTGCTCGAAAGTCTGCACATTTTGAGGGCCGTTGTAGGATGACGCCATGGTGAAAAGCGTCGAGAACAGAGGAAGCGTACGCGTACATATGAACGGGAGTCAAGGAGGAAGACGGTAGGATCGAAGAGGGGAAACGCTGGAGACAAGATCGCGGAAACCAAGATCGATCTGGCAGGATAGTTATATTCCAGCACAGGAGAAGACTGGGAAACGCGCTTTGACATCGGCTGGTCGCATCCGCTATTTGCAGAATGTGGTGTCTCAAGAAGTGCAGGCGAGCATGTAGGAGTAACGGTATCTGCAATTCCAGGGATATCTCGCATTAGTGTATGTATCTTGTATGCAGCTAGCGACGAGTTGCCCATCGCACCAAGACTTCTGTTGTGGATACAGTGCTAGTTCTCTACTGGCAGGTGTGTGGCGACAGCAGGCCGATATGGCTGGTCGGTATCTCCTACAGCCACTGAACTCTCGCTCCCACCATCAGGTCCAATCAACCAAATATCCCCCCCAGCCAAGCTCGTCAACGAAATCTCTCCCTTCCTCAACAGCCGAAACTTCGCTTCCCTAGATCTCTTCCCCTTGATCATGTACAACCCTAGTCCTTCTATCAAACTGCGAAACTGGCCCAGCGTCAAACGCCCGTCTGTAGTGACCTTGTAAACCTCTAACGCTATGTCTCCGGTATGCCACGGTGCATATTCATCATCGGGTGTAAGGAGGTCGGCGCCGTGCCGACTGATTAGCGTCTGGATGTCGTCTTGAGCTCGGGTCAGAAGTTCGTTCAGTTCGGAGATTTCCAGAATGGGGCCAAAGACGCTGAAACTGAGGACAAGGTCGATGTTGGGGATTGGGAAGATGTCGGAGCTGGTGGGAGGAATGTCAGTACGGGCTGGAAGTTGGATGTGGAGTTGGGGATACGTTGGCTTTGAGAAGTTTGAAGCTGCTGGGTTTTTCATGAGGGAGAGAGAAGGGTTGGTCAAGGGTATAGTAGATAAGGCGAAAGCCGTGTGTAGTTGAAGCCATAATTGAAGACAAATGAGCGAAAATTGGATACCGGGAAGCATGCTCGTATTGGTGCCTTTGCATATACGAGAAGGTCCGAATTAAAAGGAAAGGGAAAGGGTGGACACAACAGCATGAGCGGGCGCATGTAAAGATATCTCGACCCTTAGTACCCTTGTTCTCCAAATCCGCGATATGCGAATAGCGCCTAAACATTGTTTACTCCAAGTCTAATCATTAGCCTTCGTCATCGCATAGAGCATACCAGTCCTCCGAGGCCCTCGCAATGGCCCCCAAGCTGGCAAAACACCGCCACCTTTGGTTGCATGGTATCTGTGAAGCGAATTTGCAAATCCCCATCCCTTACGATTACGTTGCGCTGGAGCCGGTATGCAGGCGGCAGGCTCTGTAGCACGCTTTGCAGGAATTATCGATGGCTCGTGATGTGGCTTCTATGCGGCCTTTGCGCATGCAAAGAAATCACCCCCTTGCATCTCCGCCACGGGCGTGACAGCTACTTCACTGATGGTCACAGTGGGCGCTTTCTTGTCGTCGTCCGCATGTTTCTCAAGAGGTGATTGTTGCTGTTCTGGTGTGCTGACAGCGTCATTGGTTTCCGCTGCAATTAGCGAATCGTCATCATGCTCGGTGCCGAGAGAGGTCCTGAAGGGAGCCTTTTTGGGGTTGAGGGCGGCGGCGGCCACGGCAGCGGCCCCAGCGATAACGAAGATGTCGGTTGCGGCTGTGAGAAGAGTGGAGGGCATCATGGTGGGTCGCAGAGGATTTGAGGAGGATTCGCTTTGGTGTGCTGAATTTTAGAGTAGTGGTGGGCTTGATACAGCCGACAATTAACGACTGATAATCGACGAGACCGTGGCTACGGTTCGAAAGGCAGCAAGATTTTGTGGGGTCTTTTCTTGTTATAAACCCCAAAAGCGGAGGCCAGGCGGGCAGGATCAGCGCATCATGGCCTGTTTTATGCGCTGTCATGCGGGTGCCAAACAAGGGCCATATAAGTGCCATATAAGTGTCAAAAAACCGCCGCAGCCCACCAAGATCCAGACCATCGATTCTTGCTGTTTTCGGGGCTGTTCGCAGACTCGCGCGAAGCATAAGACAGAATTGTTGGCTTCCGTAATTCAGCTGCAGAAGTGTTGGCGTAATCGGCTGGCTTTAGTCAGATTATCTACCTTCTTCTGGATGTGTGCTAACTCCGTGCTTTTCCTGGCTCGCTAGTCTCCTCGTTGTGGAATAGGTCCAGAGCTTTGAGCCGAACACGCATACACTTCGCCTCACATTCACTACGCGGTGCCAACAACAGCGCCCGAGGCGTAGGGTTGCTAACATCGCCTTCCAGATTAGCGGTAAAAATGCGTTACACAATGCCAGAACAATCCCAGATTTGTTGGTGCTTTCTCTTTTCAATTCTATGGATGAGGCGATATCACAGCATTGCAACGTCTGATGCAATGGTGAACATGCTGATGGAGGGCAAAGCGTGGCGGATCTCATTCGTAGAAGCTGTTCACGTGGCATACCGGTTATTATTTCGAAATTAGCGTCATCGTCTCTGCAGTAGGGATTTGAGGGCTTTTGTGTTCAAGGATACAAGGATCGAGGCCCAGGGACGGTGTGAGAACGTTTGACCATCCTCGGTCTAGCGACATCGTTTTCTGCAGGCATCTGTCCTGTGTCAATGCTCATGTGACTAGTTGCTCATACTGTTAGCAACTGAAGAGAAGTATGCTAAGTCAAGAACGGTGAGGATTTCTAAATTTCTCGAAACAAGTCAAAAAGTTTGTGCTCTCTTTCTCGCTGGTGTGTAGATGTTTGGGACCGGACTCTATCATGTGAACCGAGCTGTTCTGTTAATACAAGCATTATAGTACAGCCCCCACTTGCCCGCTTCCTTGAAGTCAAGAATAGCTGACCTGGCCCTCATGCATCGATATCCATCTTCTCCACAACGACTACATCATCATCTGATGATAGCTCATGTACCGTAACGTACTTGCTGATCTCCTCCCTCGTAATGATCTTCTCGTTTAGCACAGCCGTGGTACCACGCTTGAACTTGTAATCCCGCTGCTTCAACTCTCGTTGGTTTGGAGTAATATAGTTCCTCATCAGTGTCGTCTTCTCCGCCGTAATCACACAAACATCAACATTTGACCCGGACCCCAGATCGTTGAAGATACCAGCTTGAATGGCGTCCGATGTCAGCTTTATAGCCTCTTCCCTAGTCATCTTCTGCTTCCATTGTGTCTCAAACACCGCCATCGCTGCCAAAGATCCAGATCCCATGGTGACATAAGGGAGCTTGTCGGTACTGCCGTGAGCATGTACGGTGAAGAGGCCAACCCCTGTCGGATCAACACCAGCAACCACGAGATATGCACCGATGTGGCCTTGGTGTCGGAAAAGGTGTTGCTTCAGCATAGTCATGCACGTGACGACGCGGGGTTTGCGGCCTGTTGATAGAGCGTGGAGTTCGAGGTTGGATGAGATGATGGCAGTGGTAAATTCTGTGTCTGCAGCTGTTCCAGCGCCTGCGCACCATATTTGGGGAGCGATGTAGTGCAATTTCTCGCAGTTCTAGAACGACATGGCTGTCAGCGCAGGATACAGCTCGATCAAGAACGTGGATGCACCTTGTCTGCTACTATTGGTCCAGATGTAGCTCTTGTATCTGCTGCTATGACGACTCCTCCATCGAATATAGCTCCAACGATCGTTGTACCGGTGCTGGTGGCTTTTGGTAACTGCACTCCTTGTGCGTGCAGAGCTGCATTGCGGTTGTGGTTGGAGAAGTCGAAGCCAGGCATGGCGACGGAGGGAAGAAGTATTGACTGAGGATTGTACACACCAGCTTTTGAGTAGCAAACGGATGCTTTGAGCGTGAAGGCTGTTCTCAGACGAGTCCAAACAGAGAAACCATATGATTCGCTTCTCGTAATTCTCTTGATTGAATTGGGGTAGTATTGAAGCTGATAGTGAAGTTGACGAGGATGGAGCTGCCTGAGACAAAGACGCGCTAGTTTCACGCCGCCAAGACCTTCCAAGACCTTCAAAGCGCGACTCACACAAGCTCTCTGTTCACTTCACCCTGTTGACTCGATAAAGCGTCGCAGCCGAGATGTTTGTTACATGACAACAATACTTTATGCTACATAAAATAGAGCTTCTATCCTGGACCGTACCTTCAAAATCTTCACCGGGACTCCTGTGTTAGCCCGACGACACTCTTTTACAGCGCCTCCTCGAACAACGCCTAATGCCAAAATCAACAAACAGACCTCAAGCCGAGAAGTGCGAACAGTCTCTCCGAATTTTGAAAGGGCAAGAATGGCGTTTCGAGCAAGCCCCTCCCCTTTCGGGGTTACTGCTGGAACCTCAAGTAGCTCCCCGATACAACAGGGTCCCGAATTGGAGGAGATATCGACTGAGGTCAGTTGGCTGTGGCTCTACAGTATCTGATTGGTTCTGACTGCTTGAAAAGGCACTTGGCTTTCAAGCGATCGCAGGTGAAACAAAACTACAATTACTACCATCCCCGTGGCCCATCGACTCCCTCCCTCCTCCTACCGCTTCGTTACTATCTGTAGCGCCAAAGAAAGGCCTCCTTGCAGCCGCTGGACCCGAGTCAGTTATCGTAGCCGGCACGGAGTCGGTACGTCAAGGATTTTCTGCAGAAAGCGTAGCGGATGGCACCACCAAACCCTTTACTCCTCAGTTGACCCTCAATGTCGGCATGAGGGTGTCACAGGTCGCATTCTCCGCTGATGAAAGCTTCCTTGTGCTATCAGCAGAAAACGGTGGAGGCCTGGCGGTCTACGATGTTCAATCTCTCATGCAGGGTTCTACCGAGTCAGCGTTCCAGCTCACCACCAACGGTACTGCTCTTCGCGCTCTATTGCCGAATCCAACACCAGAAAGGGCGGAGCTATTCGCTGCAGTGTCTACAAACGGGCAATTGTTAATGGCAAACCTCAAATCCCGTGAATTTTTTAGTGGACCTCAAGGTCAGCTCCTGAAAGACGGTGTTAGCTGTGTTTCATGGAGTGCTCGTGGAAAGCAGCTGATTGCAGGTCTTGGGAATGGGACGTGTTATCAGATGACACCAGAAGGGGAAGGCAAAGCAGAACTCTCTCGACCACCTGGCTTGGATGGTGATCAGCATGGTGAAAATCCAAGTGTAGTCGTGCATGAAATAGATGCTGACCTTCTTAGTCTCCTCAATATCTTGGCTTGAAAACGATGTTTTCCTCATCGCTCATACCCCTTCATCTTCAGATGGTGGGATGATACCTGAAACCACCTATCACCTGGTTACTCGACAGACCAAACCCCAGACATCCATGGTATTTCAAAAGCTTCCTGACCCTTGTCCTCCATTTGGGCTCCACCGGTCTCCAGCTTTTCAATTCATGCAGCGCCTAAGGGATTACCCGCCAAATCTACAGGATATTATAGTCGTAGCGTCTACGACGTCTATAGACATCGGCCTAGTCACCAGATCGAAGACCCCTCTAACGAACGATGCTCCCGCGGAGAAGGTTACTAGTGTCTTCACAACAACTGCTATGGCCGACGATTCGAGACGTGCCCAAATGCCAATGTCAAAAGATCAGACAGACACTTCTCCCATAGGTGTCTGCTTTGATCTCTCTAGCAAAGACAAAGTACTGCGCCCGCTGCCCAAGGAGGAATTTGATGCTTCGCAGGGCCCATTACCGGCGCTAATGATATTGAACAACGAGGGCGTACTTTCTTCTTGGTGGATAGTATATGCGGAATCCATTAGACAAGGGACTGTCTACCCAGGTTTGGTCGCCGCCGGCGGGCCTCAAACAAAGCAACAGCCACAGACCCAAAGGCAGGCCTCGCCATTCGCTAGCGCTGGTACCCAAGCAGCGCCTGCTTTTGGCCCGAGTACTTCTGGAAAGCCATCGACCCCAGCGGTCGGCTTTGGCAGCGCATTCAGCAAGCCAGCAACCTCTGCGTTTGGGATGACGAGTTCTCCAATATCCGGTTTCGGTGCTAGCAAGTCTCAGTCACCGTTCGGAGCGCCAACAGTGACCCCTACCACCTCCCAGAGCGGAGGCTCGACATTTGGACAGCCTTCTTTTGGGTCTTCCACACCAATGGGTAGCGTGATGGGCGGTACTGGTAGAGGTCCAAACCCCACGGGCGCTGCGGCTTTTGGAACTGCTGGTGGCTTTGGTAACCGTGGTTCCGTATGGGGTACACCGTCCTCTGGAACAGCAGCGGCTTCGGGTAGCGTTTTCGGGCAGTCTGGCTTTAGTGGCGCCCATCAATCTGCGTTTGGTGCCCCATCCACTGGTAATGCGTTTGGATCCAACACGCCAGCGATCGCTGCTGCCCCGAATTCTGGAGGCTTTGCATCTTTTGCTGCAAAAACGGGTGGCTTCATGACCGCAGCACCACCTAGTGCCGCACAGAGTCCATTCGGCAAAAGTGCACAAGGCGCGTCCTTTGGCTCCGGCATGGGCACAGATACGAGCTTTGGAGCAACGTCTAAGAAGGACGCTGAGGCACCTAAGAGCATTTTCGGGGGCGGTGGCGCTGCTTTCACCCTCGGCACGACTTTTAAAGGAGATGGTCCTCCAGCAAATGAGGCTCCGAAGCCCGAAGGCAACGAATCCAAGTCGATGTTTGGTGACGGCTTTCGCAGTGCGCTAGGCGATGCACAGAAAGAGGCTGCTACTCCTCACACGAAGGATGCAGAGATGGATGAAGACGACAGTGCTCCGGCCCAGAGCGCTCAACCTGATCCTGTGCACAGTTCAACGACAACCCCAGTTGCTAAGCCAACCCCGCCCAAATTCCAATTCCCGAGTGTACCACCTTCTACAGGCGGGCTCTTTGGAACGCAAGCTCAAGGCAAGACCACTCCCGCTGCTGTACATAGCAGTCAGCCTTCTAGCTTCACCTTTGGAAAACCAACTCCTATTACCACAACGCCAAATGACACGCCCAAAAAGCCTGAACAGCCGATTCGACCTTCTGTGGAGATATCCCCAAAGATCAAGGAAGAGCCGCATTCGGACGACGATAACATTTCTCCGCTAAATGAAGAAGAGGCTGCTCCTCCCTTAGGCTTTGGTACTCCAAAAACTCCTTCTCCTACAGGAACCAAGAGTCTCGAGGATCCCGTACCGCCAGAGTCAACGAGTAAGACAAGCTTTGCGCCTGGCGACTCCTCCACTTCCTCTAAATCGTCCGAGGAAGCTCCTCTGCCACCTGACTTCCTACCATCGAAGACTAAACTCAAGGAAGTTGAGCCCCCTCCCGATGCACAAGCTGCATTACCAGAGAATGAGGATGAAGGCGAGGAGGAGGATGCAGACGCAGAAGGAGATGAAGATGAAGAAGAGGGCTTGGATGACGAAGGTAGCGGCGTTGACGTTGCCCAAGAGATCAGTCCCAGCACTGATCCTACTCAGAGCCCGAAGATCACTCCTGGAAGCTCTTTCGGTGGACCTTTAGACAAGAGCCCCTTGGGAGGATTGTTTTCAAGAGTCTCGCAACCGCAAGGTGGTCAAGCTGGCAGATCTCTTTTCGGAGAGATTGGTAAAACCTCAGCACCTTATTTTTCTCCGCCCTCGAAGACCCAAGAGAGTCCAAGATCACCGAGTCCAGTGCGTTCAATGCTTGCTGGAGACTCACTACGACCGGACAACTCGAGATCGGTCAGCGCCCCTGGTCCTTTCAAAGCACTCGCGAACCGAAAAAATACATTGAGTCAACTCGCAGTTCCGTCAAAACCTCAGCCCTCAGCAGAAGAAATACGAAAGCAAGAACGAGAGCGGATAGCTGCTCAAAAAGCTAAGCAAGCTGCTGAAGAGGATCAAGATCTTAGCGACAGGGAAGATGAGAGAGTGCGTGAAGAGCTTGGGACGGAAGTAGAGGGTACGAAGACACTAGATCCATTCCTCGCTCATCAGGATTACATTGGCGCTGTCGACAAGCCTGGCATGCCTGGACAAATCGAAAAGGTCTATCGGGACATCAATTCAATGATCGACACTCTGGGACTGAACGCCCGATCACTCACAGCATTCGTGAAAGGACACACGGAACTGCACAAGCAAAGCGGTCGCTCCAGAGAAGATCTTGAAGATGATGACTGGTGTCTCATCGAGATAGGCGACCTGAATACCGTCGAGGATAAGCTAGAGCAGAAGCTCGAAGCTGGCCAGATACAAGATGTGCAAAAGAAGCTCAATGAGTGTCGCGATCTGCGCAAAGGTGTTGCCGCACTCCGAGCCAAAGGTGGCGACTTCGCCAAAGCTGTCGAAACAAGATCTGACTCCGAAGTCGCCGAGTCTGCAAGGACTGCACCACTACGCCTCGAACAAGCCACCCAGCAGCATGAACTGCGAAAGCAATTCATGAGATTCCAGAAGCTGCTCGCTGAGACTGAGGAGAACATCACGATGCTGAGAGCCAAGCTAGCATCATGTGAAACTAGCAACGCCAACGGCCGACCTCTAAAGAAGCCCACAGTGGAGGCGGTCACCAATACAATAAAGAAGATGACAAGCATGGTCGAGAGAAAGAGCGGGGACATTGACGTTTTGGAAACCCAAATGCGCCATCTACGCTTCTCGTCTGCAGCTCTAAGCCAGAGCAGTAGGGAAGGGTCTCCTTTTACGCCGCTTCCTTCAACATCGCCAAAGTCCAAACAGTTTCCCAGATCAGGAGGTAGGTCCGTTCAGAATGGACAATCATACACTCCAGGCAGATCAACGAACAGACCCGGAACACCGAGGAAGGCAATCCAGGAAGTCACGCCGGAAGAGGTGCAGAGATATAGGGAGAAAGCGCAGAGACGGCAGGAAGTGAATCTGATAATGAAAGAGGCGTTTTCGAAGACGGGGCCCAGAATTAGGGCACTAGATTAGAGCGGCATATGCGGACAATGAGCTTGGATACTCCTTTGGTGGAAAATTATTGCATCAAATCAGTAGCATCACCAGCATTAGCGCAGGCGTTTGCAAACAGGTGGCGAATACCATGTCGATATAGAGCTGTTCAATGCCTCTCGTCGTCTTTGTTCTATCCTACTGTGCTCTTCCTTACAAGTTCACATCACGAGCATGGAACTGAACTCTACATGAATTGAGCAGATCTTTGATGTTCGACAGCCTTGCGATATTAGATTGGAGCATGGTGCTCGAATGTGTCATTGATGCCCATAAATCAGAGGATGAAATGGAACAGGAAATGAATATGTGCGTCATCAGTTGGACCTGAGCCCGGAGAGTATATTCAACGTCATGCCACACTCAGACCTCCACTGTGAATATCCACCGTCACTTAGACCCAGACCTCCGCCCACTTACCCTTCCACATATACAGTGACTGCAACTCTGGTGCCCCATGTTAGCCCTGGACTTCCCGTACCGCAATCGTGTCCATCGTTTTTTTCTACGACTCCTTCGGCTCCTTGTAGCGGCTTGGTCCGATATGCCTGAACTCCTTTAGCTGCGGCGGACGGTTCGGACGAGCGACCAATCAAACCTCTGTGGCGTAGGGTGATCTGTAATACCGTTGAGCAGGACCTGGCATGTAGTTGCCTTGGTTGATTGGCGTGAAGCCTGACGGACCCCCTGGGACGGAGAAGGAAGGATGGTCTGAGAAGTGCACATACGAGCCTTCGTCGAGTATCTGTGTGTTGTTGTGCGAGCTGCTACGTGAGTGGCCGTGTGAGCTGTTATCGTTATACCAGCTGTCATTGCCAGTGGGGATGTGGAAAGCGGTCTGGTACATCCTGTGATCCGGCGCAAAGTTGGATGACCCCGCACGTGAGATGTCACTCACACCTCCTCCACCATCCCCAGCAGTTTGGCTACGTAAACAACTCAAAGACCTCGCGATCTTCTCCTGAGCGGAATATCCAGATTGATCGACCGCCGAGTCGGATTCAACAAGTGTCTGCCAAGATGGACTAGTATCCATGAGGTCGTCCGGTGAAATGTCAGCAGAGGTAGGTATGTAGGAATACACTTCACTGGAAACCCGTTCCAGTTTTACAGGATGAGTACGTAGTTGTTCTGTATTCTCGTAAGTTACCCCATCCATGAACATTGCTTGAGCACTGGAAGTCATTGCCATGTCTTGAAGGCTTGATCTCATGTTGCTCGTCAACGGTATTTGATTCAATGCACGATCTAGTAGATCGGTGTTAGCAAGCGTCCCATCATGGCTAAGGGAGATGATACCTTTAGAATAGACTTGGGGTTGACCAAAATGAGAGGTGCATTTGCCCCTGGACTGAGCCGTAGTGGCCGTCTCCGTCGGTCTCGCAACGATTTCCCTCAACTTTGGCAATGTGGGCATTCGACGACTGCTCGGTGCTGTCTCCAATCGCTCATCCATAAGAGTTGGACAGCGCAACTTTCTTGCCTTGAGGTACTCTTTCATGACGCCAACCGCTCCCTCCATTACCCAACGAGCCTTGTGAGTGTGCGGAACGCAAGAAGGGACTTGAAAAATCCAATCCAACGATTCCCACGCGCGCATTGCATAGTCCGCACCAGGAAACGCAAAAACCTCTATCAACATAAGCGTAGCATAATTGTGCTGCTGCAGTGCCCCTGCGTACCATCTCCAGCGGCGTAGAAAACATGAGGTCTCGATTTCTTTGGCAATCTCCATTGTCTCGAGCCCCGACATGATCACGGTTCGGCTCCATTGCTCTAATAATGTACCAGTCAACAGCGGACTTGGTGGAATAGAAGTGTAGGGCATTACCTGGCATCCTTCCCCGGGCTGTGCTCATGTGATACTCATGTAGGACCATCGCATGCATCCGCCTGCAATGTAAATCTATAACGAGCCGGGTGTAATGCTGTATTGGAATCCTGTCGTCAATCATTGGGTAGTATTTCTTTTCCATGTATTGTCGAAACTCGTAGATCATCTCCAACATCTTCTTAATGTAAGCCGAGTCCGAGTCATTCCCCTGTCGAGCTCGTTGTCGAGCGGCATAGATTTCCCTGATCCTCTCGTTGCACTCCATGCGAGCGTTAGTCGGGGTCATGCCAGTCCATCTTTCACTACTTTCTTTGAGGATATCAGATTTTTCGAGCTCAGAATCATCAACATTGAGGGGAAACTGTGTGTTAAAATCGTCTTTTCGGATTCTCGCCCTTGGACTTTGCGCCTCACACACTCGGATGTCCAGAAAGCACAGCTGGTGCCAGATCATACGATGGACCTGAGTCACTACCGCATCATACCCGTAATAAGTACCGTCTTTGTTGAGTCCCATGCCTCGTGCAAGATCGATAGCCGATGCCACAAGTGTTGCGAGCGTGCGGGAAATGATATCTCGGCACATAGGGATCTGTATCGATGATTAGCCCTATCGTACAGCGGCGCTTTTCAACGCTTTCGCTGGGATTCGCTGCAGCTTTCTATTCAAGGCTTGCAAACGGATGCATGTCTCACCAAATACATAACGAAAGCTTGAATTGTCTCAGGCTTCTCCGTGCGAATGACATGGGCACGACTTAAGGAGAAAGCCGTGGCCTTTTCGAGGGTGTCCACCCATTCTTCCCTCTCGCCTCCCAACTCCTCTCTGACTGTTTCGGCATCCATGCTCACGACGCCGGCAAAGAGAGCAGCGTATACGAGGGCTTGGGTGGACTCGGGTGTGTCCTTTACTCCTCTAGATACATTGTGCCAGAAGACGTCGTACCTTTCCTGAAACGATGGCCGATGAACTATACAGGCGACAGGATGAACACATTCCCCTGCACATTTCGGAGTCAGAATGGTATTCTTTGAGGCAGAAAACTCAAGTCATAAATGAAATGGGAGACATCGTGAGCATTTGCTCCGGGGACATGTCTTGGGACTCAACTATGGCATCAACGGGGTGAAAAGGCTCCTAAAATTACACTCACAGTAGTTTTCCATAATCCTGTCCGCGAGGTTTAGGGAGCAAAGGAACTTATGAATGTCCTGGTTGACTTGCAAGGTATGCGAGAAGAGTGAAGGTGCGATAAAATCGGGGTCAGGGTCGAGGACTTTGGGCCCAGCGGCAGCATCAAGCCAACGTGGCCTTGGTAGGCTGTTGAATACTTTTCTATCGTTATCCGTTCTGTGAAGATCATTTTTGTCGAGCATTTGCGTCAGCTATGATGTATCAGTAACGCTATAGCCCTTGCTGAAAGCGGCGAGTGTCACAGATTACTTGCCTCCTCCAACATTTTCGGGCGATAATCTGAACCTATCCTCTTGGTAAGATTGTACCTGCCAGCTCGGATTCCGTTGTCCTCAAAATCATCGTCATCTCCGTAGGTAGCATCGGTAGCAATAAGGGGACTTGGCTCAATGTCGCTTCCTTCTTCGGATCCATCCTCCGCATCCTCCTTCCTCGCTCTTTTCGCAATTTTGTTGTCGATATTGTGATGCTCTTCTTTCCCTTTCTCTATCACCTCCCATCCCTCATCATCCTGAGGGAGGTAAACACATTCCAATCTATTCTCAAGGCATCTTTTGCAAGGATCAGGATACTTGCTGCACTTGCTCTTGCTTGATCGACAATTTTCGCAACATCTGATTATTCGCCTTCGGGTCCGCTTCTCCTTGACAGCGCAATTAGATTCGGATCCGGATTCAGACTCCTTAATATGTGGCATGACTGAGGACGAAGAAATGAAGATGGTGAGAGCGAAAATGAGAACATTGAATAAGGAGGCTATGATTCAAATGGGAAGTCCTTATTGGGGGTGGGTGATTACTTGAGGGGTTGTTTGTATTTGCGGGGGATGGCATATCGGGAGCCTACCTAGTCAACCGAGTCTTAGCTATTGACATAGGGAATTTCCCAGACCGCTTGGACCGCGATTGGGTACGCATACCTTCGCTTCGGCCAGTACCCGTCCTGCATGTATACGATCTTTCCAAGTTGCCGAACGGATGATTGGTCAGAATGCATACATGCATACGCTACCATAGGCTGTATTGCCAGGCTGCATCACGCAATTCCAGATCTTTGAGTGCTTGAAAGAGATGCGAGTGTATCTTATCTTCTAGACAGAGAAGACTCACCGGTCTCGAAAGCCTCGAAGTTTTTCCACCTATGAGAAAAGCGCAGCCTTCTTGACAACTAGTAGATACCAACCTACTAAATCACTTGAAAGATTCGAACATACGCGTGTTGCATCATCTCCTCAACCAGGAACTCGTCGGCACCGTAGACCAGGATTCACTGATCCAAGATCGACTTGAAAGTGCTTCCCCGCTCCTGGCGATGATCGGCTGGTTTATTTCCACCAGTCTAAGAGCTTTGACAATGGTCAACTCCAGCCCCCTCTGGCCTTTGGCGGTTGTGACAGTAGAGTGAGCTTCTCCATTTCACGCGCCAGTGTCTCGTCCGAGCTGAAAAACGAGTATCTATCGACAACCTCGTCATCTTACCTTCGTACATTGCATTCGGTCGATCACCGACCAATTAAATACCCAGATAGCCACAGTACGACCAAGTTGCTGAACGTGACCAAGCCATTGTCGGATAGAATCATCTCCGGAAGCACGGGCGTCTCCAAGAAGCTTCATTGCAGGTCCTGCAAGCTATCCCTCGCTACTATGAGACCAAGACCTTCTCTTTGGGCCTGCTCTATTAGTTGGGAAGTACTACTTTCCGATTGTCTTCAGAAGCCCGAGTGTAAAGCATGCATGAGCCTTGACAGTGTGTTGAAATGGCGTCTTTGATTCATGTAGCGATCCTTCGGCTGATAACCAATCAGTGCTAGTCCGGCAAGGAGCAGTCTGGAGCAGTCTTCACTAAGACACCTGCTGAAAAAGCTTTCCCGCCGATCTTTTCTTTCAGTCGTTTTGAAGGTGCCGTATGAAAGTACTCTACTTTTGAAAATTTGAAATATCACTCGCTACAGTTGACTCGGGTTCGCTTGGCAAGCAGGTACCCATCAATCGATGCTGCTTTTTATGGTAGCCTCGGTGAACAAGTCAATTGATGAGTATATCCGCGCTGGAGGGCCAAGAGGATAGATTTTTGGCCGCGCGAGTAGACCCGTCATCTTTTAGTTTCACCTTTTTTCCAGCCAATGGGGTTCTTTTCTCACGCCCGTTGCAAGGGACAATGATGAGCACGGAGCGGCTTGAGGTCGGAACTTACCATTGCCAATTGAATTTTGCCGCGGACAGGGTTCTAGCTGAGTAGCTTCCCAGTTCCCCATCATCTGTACTGAGTCTGTCGCATCCCTTAGCGGCTCCAAGGCGCTTTGGCCCCTGAGGTCCAACGGCTCGTCTTGCCCTTGGCAAAGCTAGGGCGAATCCTCTGCTCATAGATTCGATGTCTTGAAGAGCCATGAAGCAACAAGCGTCAAGGCACTTGCTTTCCTGAAGATCGACAGCCAATTTTTTTAAGAGAAGAAAGTCTATTATGTAGGACACCTTGCGAGGCCATAAAACTTCCTGGCGTACTTGCTATGCGTCATGCATGTTTTCGATGAAAGCGTCTCTGGCCAATGGAACGGCGCCTTATTGGGAAAAAGCATGTCGTCTCTCACAAAGGCCAGTTCCTCATCCCAGACCACTTGTCTGTCACTTCAAGTCATGTCTGGGGCGTCGAGACTGATATCCATTGATCCCACCCAAGCTTTGCGTGTGTCGTTGTGCAGGCAGCGTTTGAGGAATCGAGCGGTAAGATCCGTCGCCGGTAAGACAATGGTCTTTCGCTGGTACAACAGTGGCTCCGCTCCCGGTCTCACTCTGCTATATACAGAGAGAAGTGCAACACGTAGGTCCTCGTAATCCGATAGGTCTTCGTTCGTTGGCTCATCATCGAAGTCGTGGTCGTATTCGTCATTCATCACTGACGGTGTACGGAAATACTTTGCCAACTACTAGGCAGCAACGATAGACCATTCATCGAATCCTCCAGCGGCAGATCATGGAAATGGACACAACGGTTAAGGACTCAGCGTCACCCACACAGAACAATCTCTGCAAGCCTTGGCTTGGAAATGCTTGATGCTACCGTCGTTATCTAATCCGACTAGGTAGGATGTACGGAGCTAAGGTATGTCCGGCCTTGCCGGCGTCATGATGACGAACCAAAAACATTGACATCTTTAACTGACCACCATCTAGGCATTTTGACTATTATAATTGCTCAATACCAACTGATTTAAACGATTCGTAATGGCTCCAGCAACAGAACTCGCCACGTTTCCCATTGCAAGCGGTGCAGCAGTAGAAGATCCCAACTCTTCAGCCGGAAAGGTATGGCAGTCAACGTTAGACACCGTTTCGCAACAGGACGGCTTTCAAAGATTGTACTGGGGCCGAGAGGTCGAGAACCAGAGCGTGATTCAACTCTTCATTGGTTAGATCAAACCCTCAGCTCTTTCACAACGACCAAGGCAACTGACACCCTCGGTTCCCCACAGATTGGGACTCCTTCGACGCCCACAAAAACTTCATGGCTTCCCCTACCTACGGCCCCTTCGCCAAGCATCTCATGACCATCGTCGACGGGCCCTTGTCCATGTATCACGCAAACTTCACCCCTCACCCTCCCACCGCCGCCGTCGGCACCGCCTCCCCCGTCACCGAGGTCCTGACCTGCTACTTTGAAAAAGAGGACGACGGTTTCGAATCAAAGGTGCACCAGCTCATCAAAGTGATTTCGGAGAACGCCGAGGGTTTCAAGGCCGCATCAGGAGGGTGGGTGATTGAGGACGTGGAATACGAGGGGAAGAAGGGGAAGGCGTATGTGGGGGTGCTGGGATGGGAGAGCGTGGAGGCGCACATGTCTTTTAGGGAGACGCAGGCGTTTAAGGATAACATACATTTGCTTAGGGGAGACCCGTTGGGATTGGAGGTGCATCATACGAAATTTGCGGAAAATTAGAAATAGAAAGAAACTAATGCGGAGGCATGAAAGAGGTAACAGGATATCAGAAGCAGCAGCAGCCTAAGCCTACGATGTTATGAATAGAAACTGTCTCAGCCAACACGTTGTCTTTCCAAGCGATGACAGGCAACGGTTCTCATCAGGCAAAATGCCAATTGAGCTCCTTACTCCTCCTTCAGTACCTCGACCCCCTCACACATAGGCGCCAAGCGATCATGCTCATGATACCTCCTACACCTCTCCTCATTATCCCTCCACGGCGCCGCGTCCTTGCCCTTTCTCTTTAACCTCCCCACCAATTCCCTCAAGAACCTCTCATCCCAGCTATCAGGATGTCCTTGAACCAGCGCGTCCGTCTTCTTCCTTCACCACATCATGAGCACTCGCACTACCAACGGCGCAGGGGTGTCATCTTACCACGCAAACAAATCAACCACCAACTCCTTCAACCCACCCATTTCTTCCTCGCCTCCCCACAAAGATCTCGTATCGTCCGGCGTCGGGACGCTATTGGTCTCGTCCGCCCTCCACCCGATCTCATCCACGATGCTATTCTTCAGTGCCGTGATACCGAGAAAGCTCGCCAGCTTCCAAAGCTTAATCAGCTTGAAATAGGCCGGATGGGGCCCATCTAGGCTCTCGTGGGTTAGGGTGCGTGTGTAGAGCCATTGAGCGAAGTATTCAAAATCTGTCGGATTGCACTCGGGTAGGGAGAGGGTGGAGGTAACAGATTCGCGGAAGGAGTAGGCGGGGTTGAAGGCAGCGGAGAAGAAGGGAGAGATCGAGCAGAGGGCTTCGAGATGGAGGTGGAAGGGGTGATTGGTAGGGCCAATCGCGAGGGTAACGGGTGTCTTGAAGAGATGTCTTTCTTTGTTTAGTGCGCCGTCGAGGCGAGTGCTAGGGAGCCATACCTCGTTGGGGTGGACGGAGTGGGTAGCACGATGGTTTTGGGTACGGTAGTGACGATTTCCTTCGTCTTAGTAATGTGTTTCTTCTTCGCAGGAACCTCATCGAGCGTAGTGATACCATGCATAGTAGGCGCTATCTTGGTAGATAGTCGTTCGAAACGAATATTACTTGATAAGGAAATCATGTTGGCAGGAGCGATGAAACAGGTACCTTGAAGGTAGAACGCAAGACGTAGTATGAAATTTGTATTCTGGGGTCATGGTGCTGATGACAAGATCTCTTCGAAACATGCTGGAAGCAGGGAGACGGATCAGTATTCGCATTACAGGACAGCAAAGAAATGACCGCAAACATGGATGAAGGTTCAAGTCTTCGAAAATTTGAACTGAGAAGATGATGGCAGCTGCCGAGACATAGCTTCCTCGGTTCCGCGTTAGCGAGAGCAGCACCGCTTCCGGAATGACAGAGTTGCAAACATTGTAAATCCCACAAGCGGCGGCATTAGCTGTGCGCAGTGCTACGGGGCGTTGCTGCAAAGAAGACGCATGCGGACCCTAGTACTGCAACGAACGAATAAACATTGGTTAAAGGGATTGACCCTGAGCACAAGCCATTTTAGAAAACGCCAGGTAGCTGTCGGCTACAACATTCCTGGGGTCGCCCATCACAACAACCGGCCTCAATCAAATTCGTAAACGCAGCACCCCCTGACCCTCTAGATCCGATGCTTTTCACTCTCTATTGCGATGGTCAGTTTGGAGTCAGTGCGCGTTTGTGGGAAAGACTTACCGAGTCTCGAGTAGAGCATATAAAGCGCCATCTGATTGCACTCGGAGGTTCCCGTGATAGTGACTAGTCGCTCATTGCTGTTATCCTGCGGTTCATTTATCTTGATCACGCTGCCGCTGAGCTGTCTGATCTCGTTGATCTTCGCGCCACCTTTCCCAATGATAGCGCCGACCATGTCGTTAGGAATGAAGATTTGCTGAGTCAATGGCTGACCTGGCACCATGCCTTGAACGGGTTGCGCTGGTGGTCCGGCATGGCTATGGGTTGGTTGATGGGCTCCGTGCTGTGGAGGTTGATGTGGCCCAGCTCCCGCATAACCTTGCTGAGGAGAACCGCCATAGTGGACGGGTGCTTGAGGCTGTTGCTGGGGTGGCTGACCATGAAGATATGGCACGCCATAAGGGTTTGCAGGCGTACGTTGTGGCTGATTGTTGTGTCGTCGATAGTTGTCAGGATGACCATATTGGCCTCCAGCAGGCTGAGGCACGTAAGGGACGACTTGCATACCGCCGGGAACGACACCAGCAGGTCCTCCGCTTCGAGTAGCATACGCCGAAGCTGCTGGGCCACCGAAGCGCTCGGTCAGCTGCTCCACAAGCGTCTGTCCAACATAGTAAGTAGCAATGTGCACAGCATCTGCGACACCGAGAACGACGAGAGATCGTTCTGTGGAGAGAGGCAAGCACGAGTCGGATGCGTTGAGACGGGCGCCAGATGCTTCCTGAATCTCACGAATGCGTACGCCAGATTTCCCGATGATAGAGCCGATCAGGATGTGAGGAACGAGCAGACGTAGCGGATACGTCTTGGACTGGGAGGTAGAAGGAGCCTCAAGGGGCTCGTTGTTCAAAGTCCGTATGATAAGCCCGAAAGCCTATGTTTGTCAGCATTAGAAAACATGTGAACGGCGAAAAAGATGCCGTCGTACCTTTGCTGTTGCGTCCACCAAACCACTAACAGTCAGGACCCTCTCTACCGCACCTCGAGAATAATCACTCACGGTACACTTGGCACCAGAAAAGCGACGGATCTGAGAAACGTTCTCTCCTCCTTTGCCAATAACCGTGGCAGCTTCAGCGCTTGAGATCACCGCACGAATGTGAAGCCAGCCAGTCTCATCCTGATGCCCCTGATGTTGCATAGGTCCTTGTGATGTAGCTCGATCGTATTGGCCACCTGTGGATTGTATTGGCTGGGTTTCCAGCACGGACGCTGCCGAGGGACCTGCTCCATTAGGTGCATCCGGCACTACCGTATCGCCCTGGGTATCTGTGTGTCCATTCGCGACAGGGGCAGCGCCAGATTCAGCTTTGACTCCCTCAGTAGAAGCAAGTGGAGCATCTTCATTTGCTAAGGTCGTGCTGGTCTTTGCGTCTTCGTCGGTGCCCTCGTCTTCCTTGACTGCCTTGTCGAGAGCAGGACGTTTTGCGTCAGGCTGATCTGTGGGACCGGATGGAGAAGATTCGTCATCGAGAGGGCGCTTCTGGTTGGCCTGTGGAGTCGCTGCGAGTGTTGATGGTGATGCCGACATGATTGCTAGATGTTAATGGTATACAAGAGTCGATCGGATCAGGGAAATCAGTGAGCTTTTGGTTGGTTTGATATCTTGAATTGATCGTCTATGTACACCAGTGATTTCCAATGAAAACTTGCTGGTGCTGATACAGACGGTCGCTGGACAGGGCGAGGTGTATTGTGGAATTTGTGAAGCGAGGGAGAAGATCGTGATGGAGAGAGTCGGGGTAGGTGGTGTGTTGGATTGAGGTAGAGGATGAGCGGTGACGGAAGATTTTAGCTGCAAACGCAGGATGAGGAACAGACTGTGGTATGGTGATTATGGAAGGCGAAGAGGTGTGTGTAAGGTGTTCGTGAGGAGGAATAGCTTGATGAAACGCTGGACGACTGCCAAGGGAGACCTGCGTGGATGTCCAGTGGACCAAACCTTCTGCTGGACCTCGATTATCAGTAAGGTTTCGAACGTGAATGTGAAGCTGAAGCCGATGTGGAGTGATCAGTCTGAAAGCAAACAACGGACCCCCGTGGTGAGTAAAGTTGTTGTCGAAGAGCTGATGGGTTAGATCAGAAACGTGAGAAACGAGGGAAGGAGCGATCAATTTGTTGAAGCTGAGGCTAACTCAGACTAGCAGTGCGCACTAGTCCTTGCCGGGTTAAGCTCAGCCCTTGAAAGCTCTTGGCATCAAAGCGCGCGTGAGAAAAAGCGTGTCCTTGAACAGCCTACTTGGTGCACATATATGGCTTCAGTCTCCCGTGTTTAATTCATTAGATACAAATGGCTATTGAATCGCAATATTTAGGAAAGCTTCAAGAGTATGTCACAAAGACAAAGGACATAGATTATGGCCAAAACAATGCAGATGGAGATGAAGACTACGCAGCCCGTCTTTGCAAGAGCCTACAGTCCCTGCAAAATCAAGTCAAGCAGCATGAAGCCGCCCTGGAGAGGGTGAGTGCATTTAGAACGCAACTGATGGCTAGCTTACTCTGCTGAACAACGTGGTTAGCTACGTGCAACAGCCCGTGCCGTTTCCGTTGATGAACCGTCTGAAGATTCCCGCCAGCGTCTGCAGCAGCTTCGAACTGTTACAGCCGCATATAGATCCCTCACTCCCTCTGAGCCTCTCCTCCCCTCTCCCGACTCGCCATTGCCCGCCCTCCTCGCTCTCCGCAAAACTCTGAATATGGTGGACCAGAGCAAAAGTGCAATCACAGAGACCAAGGATAATGTTTCCAAATCTCGAAAGCATCTTCGGCAAGAAGAAGCTGATTTGAGGGATGCCCGGTCCATCACACAAGCACTTGAGGGAAGGATCGAGAAGCTTCGATTGGAGAACGAAGAACGATCGGAAAAGAGCACCGAGGAATCGGCCAATACTATAATTCAAGAGCAGCAGCAGCGAAAACGCCACTACATGATGGCACTCAGGGATCTAGTGAAAGCTTTCAACAAGTTTGTCGATGAGCAATTGGCCGCGATGCTAGCAGCTGAAGATCTTGGTGGTCCTACAGTAGGCGATTCAGTAGAAGTAGATGAGGAGATGTTGAAGGCAGGCTTCAATCAGCAAGGGAGAGCGAGAAAGATGGACGCAGATATTGCGAGGACCGAGGCAAAGCGGAAAATGCGTAATGACGAGATCTGGGGTTCCGAGAATGGTAATGAAGATGAAGAAATTGGTGTACGAAGTGAGAAGGAGGCCGCCCTGGCAAGTTTCCGAACCCTGACCGAAGACCTTTTGAACGCCGCTGCTGGAGATGAGGATTCAGATTCCTACATCAACATATCGCGAGAGTCGGCAGCTGTTCGGTTTCTGGTTCGAGCGAAGGTCGCGCAATTTCATACCGATGATGCAAGAAAGCTGCGACTGGTAGACTTCGGCCGAGGATGGGACAACTGACTTTTGATACGATCGAAATGTGCGACGTTGAACCTTCAGACTCAGTAACACTGTTCATCCTATACTAACACTCCTCGCTAATCAATCGTATCGTCCCTCAGAGCAAACAGTTGCTTCATGACCTCATTGCTCTTAGAGAACAGGGCCTCATGATATAAAGTATTGGTTATAAAGGTCTTGCAATTCTTGATCTTCGAAGCTGCGTCCTATACAGATTCCGATGTCAGTATCCTACTTGAAGGCAATTGTCGAAGCAATGTGACGGCTCGAGGGTTATCAAGAGCCTTTTGTTCCCGAAAAAAGTCTTGCAACTTGAAAAGCGATCCGCAACAAGAAGAATTTGCTCCTAATATGTACATACCCTAGAGAGATCGAAGTGCACCAACATGTCGTCAACATAGACGGCCGAGTATATGGGGACTTCGTTTTTGGCCAGTTGTGCTTCGTCATATAGCTCTGGCCAGTCCTCGGCATGCGCAAGTAGGTCAGCTGTCTCTTGCAGGTTGCGAAGCTCATCGTAGTCTTTGAACATGTCTCGAAAGACCTATGTGAAGGCTTCAGCTGGCCATGCGGAGGAGCACAGCTAATGTCTGGTTGTCAAGCCAGCGAACTTTTGCTTACCATCTCACCGGTGAAGAGTACTGGCTCTGGACCGTCCACAGAGACCCTCTGGAATTCAGGGATGTGCGACATCACACGATCTGCCGACCACCGGGTTGGATGCCTCAATCTCGTTCAGCATAATCTTGGACTGGGGGAACAAATTTTCTTACCCTCTCGCATATATAGGCTCGTGAATCAATGCAGACAGTGGCATTGTATCGAATGGCATCATTTCATCAAATGCTGCGAGTGTGGGTCTAGTGAAGAAGCCGAATTCTTCGTGTTCTCAGAGTCAGCGTGCATCTTTGGAGGTAGGTGTTGGGTTATAAAACCAATTTTGCAAGTGAACTACTGTTGAGACGTGTCTTACAGCTCATGGTATTACAGATATAAAGAAGATGACTCTGAAAAGTAGACTTACGATTTAAGTCGCTCGTCAAGCGGCATATCATATCTTCACATTTGGTTAGCTGAAAACTGGCTGCCCAGATTGTGCTTACCATGCACAATGTCCATGGTGCCTAGTCTAGGTCAGCTATATGTCCAAAACGCTAGGATATGGCCGCGGTGACCGTGGAATGCAAAATAACTTCCAAGCTGGCGTAATCGCAACACGGAAAAGTTCCCACCGCTCGGTAGTATGACGCTTTCTTTCTGGATGTACCGGATGATATCCTTGACTCGGTGAATGTCTTCGATGTACTTCTCATAGTACGCTTTGTTCCTTTCGGCAAGCCTGCCTGACTTCGTGTTGGCTTGTGCCCAATCTCTAGAAGAAGGAAAACTAACGGAACTGGTATTTGTATATTATGTCCGGGTCTTTCACCAAGGGGGGAAGACCAGCACTGATGAAGACTAATGTATCGGTCAGAGTTGGTCGGCTCTTTGTGAGAGGTAAGATCACCTTCTTGGAGTCCTTCAGGACTGTGGATATCGTAATTAGTATTCGTCACAGCTGTTGCATAGATATTGGAATACCAACAAATTCGAAAGGTAGGTTCCGCAGCAGAAGCCACCAAAGCTGACGCCCATGATCGTCCATTTCTTCTTTTCTGCCGGATAATCCGCTGTCAAAATCTTGCGAATTGCTTCGCAGTCCATGACTGAAGCACTCTTCGTTAGTCACGCCTTGTACTATGCTAGGACTCGATTGATGGACCTACCAATGCTGTCTGCTCTAAAATTCTTGAGCGATGCCGCTTGCTTTGCAGGTCCACCTTCAGTTGCGAGTGTTCTCGCTGTGACTGTGCTGCTCAAACCAGTGCCTTTGAGCAAAGCGAGTCAGCTCCGCGTACGAAAACTTTGAGATCTGAAGGCATCTGGATACCGCGCTGATCTAAGAATAGAATCTGACTTGTTTTAGAAAAGTCTGCAGTAATATTAGAGCAACGCAAACCTGATACCCCTTATCGAGAAGAATGTCGGTCCATGGGTAATATTGCGGGCTTTTACAAGGCATGCCAGGTCCACCTTGTCACTGATCAGCGTTTCGCTCAGAGAGGGAGGGCATGGCATACTACATACCCTGCAGAAAGAGGACTGTAAAACAACCATAAGTCAATCGTACACCAAACCATATAAGTCGAAAGATGCGTACGCCAGGGAGGCTGCTTGATCTCCGTTTTACTTATGTCTACTGGCTTCTCAAATCGTTTCACACTTCTAGCAAACAGGCGTAGACTGCCATCTTGCGCTTTGGAGTAGTTCTTTGGTACTTCGAAGAAGAGCTCAGAGACATTGAGCTTTCCTAGAGATTGCATGAGTCTGTGATAATGATGATAGGCTTTCCCTTATCCGGACCTGGCATCTGGTGGGTTCTCATCCCCAAGAGCTTTGCAGCAGGCATGTTGCCTTGAGAAGATTCGCCCGTAGGAGGCACCAACAGCATTTGCTCTAGCTTCGCCATTGCAGAATTTGCGAATCTCCTCAATGGTATCCTACCTGGACATTCATCATACGACCCGTCAAAAATTATCGTCATATAATAGTTTACGATATCAATACTAGCGCATGGATATATTACGATACTAGTACCAGCATGGTGACGTCCAGTGACTCTGAATGATAATTCCCACCTAGCAAAACATCCGACCACCATGATAATCAGGCAATCCACGACTCTTCAACACACACCTCTACGGTTCGAATATGGATGACATAGCAATATCTTTAGAGGTGAGCAGCAATTTGTCTTTATTCCGAGGTTGTTTGCTAACGGCTGTATGCAGAAAGAGTATTGTCCGCCTCTAGATCCCCCACTATTCTACTCTTTCTTCTTGGAATATGCCGATAAGGAGGTGTCGCTCAATGGACTACGCGATAAACTGGATATCGTGAAAGAAATCACCCTGACCACGGACGATGCGGCATTTGACCCCTCGGGAACCAGTGGCTTTCATGATGATACGACTTCACATGAGTCGTCTGAGCGAGCGCAATCATGGCACGGAGACATACTATCCGATTCTACAGTGGACACGGACCTTACAAGCGTATCCCAGGCTTTGGATTCGGTCAACTTCGGAGGTGATACAGCAGAGAACAAGCAAGCAGATGGAATGGACTTAGACAAGGGACAATATGACGACTGGCTCGAAAGCTTGTCGCCTTCGGACAAAGCTATGAAGTTGAAGGATATAGTTTGTGGGGCCAAGGATTTCGATATAGGCTACATCCTCCGGAAAAATGGCAACAGCTATCACAAGGCACTGGATGAACTACTAACCCAGGCTCACCTTGAAGAAGAAGGCCTTAAAGAGAAGGGTATCGAGGCTTTCACGGGACCTATGATGAGCAATCGAGAGCGTAGAGCCTTGAAGGAGCGGGAAAAGAGGCAGAAGAGGGGAAAGAGGCAGCCAATCCGCCGGACGAGCTCAACATCTGCACTAGAGTCGACTCGCGACAATTCCTTGTCCTCTAATCAATGGCTACGAGTAGATGATAGTGTCAAGTATATTCATGATCGGACACACATCTCTGCTGAGTTCATACGGTCTACCTATCACAGCAGCGGTGCCACGCTCCCTTCCACGATCGCCGCTCTCTGTGCCTCGAAAGATCGAGAAGCCTTCTCAAACCCCTGTCTTCCAGGCGCACCGCTTTCCGAAATCGAAGCACACGCTAAAGAGCTCTCCATGGAGTTTCCCCCCGGGCTCCAATATCCCCAAGCCCTGGCTCTCATCAAGCTGACGTACCCGTCTACTACCTCCGCTCGAGAGCTGGCACTTGCGCTCACATCTTCGTCAAACGTCCCATCGACCTCAACAATAATACCCCAGTATATCCTACGCCCTCCCTCTCCTCCCTCCACATCTTCATCTACGCCCTCGCTCCCAGGTTCCTACGTTCCCCTCTCCGACCCCAGAGCCGCGGCTCTCGCTTCAATCCGCTCAAATGCCCAAACACAATCCCGATCCGCCTTCCGAAAATCGAAATCCGACCGCCTCATGGGCGCCGCAGCATCCCACTACAGCTCCGTCGGTCGTGACGCCAACGCTGCTCTCCGCCAGAATGTTGCAGCCCTTGCGGACGCACGAGTATCCTCCCAGTCTAAGCCTGGAGAGGTAGACCTGCATGGTTTGAACGTTAAAGACGCGGTGAGGGTTTCGAGGGACAGGGTTCAAACGTGGTGGGAGAGCGAAGGGAGAGAGTGGGCGAGGGCGGGGAAGGTTATGAATGGCGGTGGCTTGAGAATCATCACTGGAGTAGGCCGTCACAGCGCTGGAGGTAGGGCGGTGTTGGGACCGGCCGTGGGTAGGATGTTGAATGATGAGGGGTGGAAGGTTCAAGTTGGGGAGGGGTTGGTGAAGGTTGTGGGCAGAGCGAGGAGGTGATGTTCCTGGAAATACTGACATTTTCGAGGAGTTACTTGGTCTTTTTTGCATTTAACATGGTGTTTGAAGTCATTCGGATACCGCTGTACGAGGCTGATGTCAGGTTGGATATGAGGCCTAATTAGTGAGGATGTCTCTGTCATTGGCACCGCCATTTGGATACCATAGGATACTTACCTGGACCTGGCATGTTATCATAATCAATGAGTCAGAACAATAACAATATATACCCTCAGAAATTCATGTCCTGAGTGGTTGTGACTTAAATTTCACTGCTTCTCCAAAGTGCTCTTTGACAGGGAAGTCTTTCTAGAGGTTGGCCACCTGCCGGGCAGCGGCCGTTTATGTAGGCATTCAAACCGCAGGGAACTCAAGCTTTCGGATATGTCAATCGAGTGGGGGACAAGGTCTCTATAGAGATACATTGGTTGACGGATCATTTCAAAGGCTTTCCAAAGAATCATAATCTTGCCAGATTGAGTTGCGAAAATATATCCAACCAGAAAAGTAGTACTCATTCACACCCATACACTCACTATCCTCTCTATTACGTTCAGGGTCACCCAAATCCCCTCTTTCAGTTTCAGTTTCTCTTCCTCTTCCTCGATCTAATCCTTTGACCTTATTTTCCATCACTCTCCACCTCTCCACTAGCTCCCTTACTCGCATCATCCAGATCCAAACTCTCTTCCTCCTGCCTCGGCCTAACGGTCTCGATAGAGCACGCTCCATCTTTGAAAAAAACCCGCAAACCCACCACGCACACTGCGTTCCAAGGATCATTCTCAAATTCTGTATTGTCATCCGCACCGTCCATTGGAGAAGGGTCATCTTCTTCTGCAGCGTCGTCCACTTGGGTGGGGAAGTCAAGGACACTGTCGATGGAACTTTCAAAGGAGGCGTCAGAGTCGTATTGGTAGTCATCGATCGGCGCAAGACTGGAAGGGGCAGCGACGGATGGGGCAGGAGCTTCACTAATAGGAGTGGGGGCCCCATTGACCGTGACGGAGGGGATTGATTTCAGTGCCGCTTCGAATTGTCGGGACTTTTGGGCAGCAGAATCTTCGGTCGACGTGGCTGCATCCTTCTCTTCATTCTTAGGAGTGACAGAGTTATCCTCTGCCAAAGTCCCGTTGGTGGGCTTAGATTCCTCGGCTATGGTTCCAAGTGGAGCTCCATTAGTAGGCTTGGACTCATCAGCTTTGGCTTCGGACGGAGGTTTCGGCAAGGGAGCTTGGTCCAGAGTCGGCTCGCCAGTCTTGTCTTCTATTGCACCGGCTGCGGATTGCTTCTCGAGCTCGGTTTCGACTCCTGGGGCCGTCGTTGTAACGTTGACAGCTTCAGGGGCAATAGTTTGATCAGTTTGAACAGCAGTGGCATCACCAGCAACAGTCCCTTCAGCCCGCCGAGATCCTCTACGTTTTTCGGCCTTCTTGCGCTCATACTCTTCTCTTTTCTTAGCGTGGCGCTTCTCTCTGGCCCTCTCCCGCTTTCCATGTTGCCAGTTCTTGAGCATGTCTTCGCGTTTCATCGCACATTGCTTTTTCTTCTCCGCAGCTTTTCTCTTCGACTCTCCCTTCTGGCGCTCTTGCTTTTCAGCCTCGGTCTCTCGGATCTCTCCTTTGGCATGAGCAAGATCATAGGCAAGTCCTGTTTGAATCAGTTTATTCTGCCTCAATTTGACATTCTTTCTGATGATGTCCTCGGGGGTATCATCATCCTGATAGCGGCGAGCAGTAATCTTCATGAGCACAGAATAGGTACCGGGGTCCAATTCTAAATCTGTGCTGACCGAGCGACTCATGGAGTAATTACCATGGCTGCGAACGATGTAGTCCTGCTCGCCATCTTTGTCCAATCTGAAATGTAACTCGAACGTGTACTGCCCTTGCAATCCTTTGTAGTAGCGATCATCCAACTGAGATAGGACAATTACAACAGGGCTTCGCTTTGTGAGCGTAACGCTGAATTTGGTCTTGTTGTAGTCTGCACTCCAAGGAATGTCGACCGAGGTCCACTGCTGCGTGATCTGCCAATCCGGCCCAAAGAGTCGAGTTCTATCAAAGCTCGAATATTCGCGTAGAAGGTCCTCGTAGGAAATCCAGAACTGTCCATCATCGCCAAACCTGTGATTCAACAACTCCATCCATTCCGGAGTCCATTGTTCCGAACCGTCGCTCCAGGCACCTCTCCATTCACCCTCGCCCCAGGGGTTTCGCACTTTCAACAGTCTATTGCCTTTGATCTCTCTAGCTTCCATGATCGAATACGCGTGCATGCGTACGATGTTCTCTCTTGCGCCATACGAAGATGCTAAATCTGATCCTTGCCATTTGTCGAAGGTGCCCGCAGCACAGCTGAATAAGAACTCCTCGTTTACTTTCATGATTTCCTCCCAAAATTTATCCTTATTGAGAACGTCCGTTGTGAAGAGTTCGGTAGTTACGCCCCCAGTCAGGTCCTCGATAGCTTCGCTGGATGATGTCAGCAATTCAGTTCAGTCAGGTCGAGGGACTATACTTACCCTGTAAAGCCGCCGTCTATAGCACTGTAGTCTCCATGAGCTTTGGCAAATGCCTTTTCCAGCAATGGTAGCCATGTCTCATTCTCGCTACTACACTGTGCGAAGTAGAGAGCTTTGGAACCGGTTTGGTTCACTTTTCGATACCTTTTCTCTGCATCACCTCTGTCTTGATGATCTCAGAGTCAGCGTTACTCTTTCGGGAGGAATTTTGAGACGCGAGACATGTCTGATGACTCGTAAGACAGCATGAATGGGGAACAAATGCCTCGGAAAGTATGACATACTGACGATCCAGAAGACTCGCTTTTCCTCGTCTGAACTTTCCCACCAATCGGAGGCGATCAGGTAGAGTTTGTCGTCAATTATGGTTTGAATCCACTCCCCATCTGAGATAACTTAGCCTCCTCACTGCGAGACGAGAGTGATTTGCACTTACCTCGGTGGAACACAAAACCGTATACGCCCACCTCTTCGTCTCTAGCAACGCATACATTGTTGACCAAGTCTTTCTTGTTGCAAAGAGCACACAATGCAGATAGGAACCAGCAGTCGCCGTTGAATCCTTGACGAACATCGCTAGCGGTAGCACCCTCTTCAAAGAACACAGGATTTTCGAAGATATCCTGAGACATGTTAGGAATTGGATGGCTGTAGAAGTAGAACAAGGATGTAGAATGCTAACGGGAATTCGTTTCACTGATTTGGGATAAGTCTTGTCTGGAACCTCACCCAGAGCATCCAAGCAGTCTCTTCGATTCCGCTTCAGGTCAAACTCGATATCGAAATGAGGATCTCGGTATTTGTGGTTCACACGTCGACACTCCTTCGCTATCTTCTCTACAGCATGTTTGCATTCCGCATCTGCTTGATCGTAAGACTTCACAGCGATCTGACCGTTCACAACGCCCTTGGTATTCTTGGAGGCTTTGGTTTTGGCGTAGATATCAGCTGGCAGGATGCTGTGTACCTTGCCAGGGAACTTTGTGGTAAACTGGTTGCGAGCGATGAGCTTGATGTATGTACAAGATGAGAGGTGCGTACCTTCTGCCAGAACTCGTCCACGCCCCTCTGGGGCAGCTGCTTCCTTACTTTGACAGGAGACTCCTGTACGGACTGTGGTGCTGGCTGGGGATTCTCAAAGTCAGCGGCCTCGCCGGGTGCACTCATAGTGTCAGTGTGCGAGGGAAGCAAAAGACCTTATTGGTTCAGGAACGTATTAGATTTCTATAGACTCCGCGGCTGCTTCGTAAAATAGATGCGGCGGAAGTGGAAGTCAAGGCTGCTGAAGGGGAGTCCGCATCAAGGCTCTCACCAATGCTGGGAGACATCGGAATCAACAAGAAGCTTCTACATGTCAGCGGGCTAAAGCCCAAGGGCTGAAGATTCATGCGGCTCAAAGCGCCCCTAGCAGAGGGTTCTAGGTAAGGTAGTTGGTAGCAGCGCCGGATCCAGTAGGTACATAATCTTTGCCTCAAGCCTGCATGAGCCGATCTGCAGGCCAACGTCTAGCGGAACCCCGTTTCATCCAGCGACTGACACAAGGCTGAGCTTGCATATTGATGGTTACCTATTATTGCCTTTGGAAAAGGCTGTGTTCGTTGGCTCTGTACACAATACCCTCATCGGCAGAGGAAAAGGAGCCCGTGAATCTTGGCTTGGCAGTTTTGCTACTCGTCCCCACTGTGCAATTCACAGGGTTGCTAGTGGGAGGCCTTAGGTAGAGTCAGGGCAAGCATGATGCATGCAAATGCGCACGAGGAAATTGAGCCACTAAAAGATACTTCCGTATCACCCGGGTGACAGAAAAGCCTGGACCCTAAGTAAATGGAGATTACGGCCTTCCCCTACCAAATTTCTATGCGCAAATACCATGTTTCTCCATTAATAGCCTGTCATTTGTCCATCACTGTCTAAATGAACTAGGTAAGAGGGGGAAATTTGGGTATGAAAATGTATGTGGGACGGCCCTTGATCTCCTAGCTTAATTCAGGTTAGTGTCCAGGCTTTTCTGTCACCCGGGTGGTATGTAGCCGAGCTGGTGACAAAAGCTTAGTGGATCAGCATCTGGAATCAATTGAACTTTGTCTCGGTGAAACGAACCGCCGAACCTCAATCCTCTATGAGTATCTCTGTCCACTTCTCAAGTGATCTTCATATACCACGCACCGCTTTGCAGCAGGGAATCCCCATTCCAAGGTGCAAATGTGAGTATATCTCCATTATATAACTTTCTTGTCTTATTGACACCTTCGAATAGGAACGGACATACCCCTTTCAACCCTCTCCCGAAGTTCATCGACCCAATCATTCAACTATGTCATAACCTCACCACAAACACTCATGGGAGCGCTGCCTGATGCTCCCAGCCCTAAAGCAACAGCTCAACAAGTCCGAGAGTTCCTTATCAACGTATTCATAATCAGTGATCCAGAACTCAGCCAACACGATGCGGAGACTCTAGCCAAAAAATTACGTGTCAGCGGCGCCGGTCTATACTTGTTGAGCAGTCAGACTTTGATAAAAGCTCTTGGCGATACATACGGGGAAATGATCTATAAAGCCGTTCAATATTCTTAATACGGTTATATGAGTTTATACTCGAAACACACTTTCTAATTCTTGATTTTTAATGTCTGATTTAGGACAGGAAGGCGGCTATTGGCCTCATATCAAGGTTGTCTTAAAGCTTCTCTCGTTGGTGGCTACGGGAAACGGTTCACATCAATTTACCAGCGACCCCAAGAGCAGGAACCTCACCGTCTCATACGTCGCTATTGGGATCGTCACAATCATCATCTTCTTACATGCACTGTGTTCTACCGACAGCGTCACCAAGTCAAGACGATTCTGGCCTGAGAGAATCAAGATACGAAGGGCAGAAAGAGTGCCGGGTTGGACGCCTTGGTGATTCAGAAACGAACCAAGTTAGGCATGATGTTAGGAAACGACATCAGATTCACCAAGACGTAGATTAAGAAAATAATCTATCCTAAGCCTACTCTAGCCCGACGTGCAAAGCCAACACTGCTAGTTTCCAACGAGCTGCACCGATATCATACATAGCAAAGCAATGTAAAGACATTCAACACGCTTGCCTTTCATAAAGATGCCGTCATGTTCTCGATAAGCCTGCAAATGCATAGCGCCATATTCTCATAAATGCCAACCGATCACGGTCGGTAAGCATGCTTAGGGGGACTAAACATGGAAATATCCCTAGGCCTCACCAATACGCCGGCTTTTATCAGTGAAACCCATTGGTGCCCCTCCCTCTGCCGGAGTATGCAGAGCTTCCAGCCTCAAAATAGGGATGAGTGCAAGCCTGCTTTGCAGAGATACGGCCGGCTGGATCGTAGACGAGCATAGCATCGAGAAGGTCAAGTCCGTTGTCGTCCAATCCATTAACGAGGGCTCTTGATGGGTCTCGGGACCACTTTGGGAATGATGGCTTGAAGTCAGGGAAGGAAGTCACACCAGGCCAATCTTGGTCAGTAGGAGTCCCTAGAAGTCTAGTAGATGTAAGTATTGAGTGTTTAGAATGCAGATCAATGCAAAGAACACCCACCGGAATATTTTGAATATCTCATCGATCTCAGAGTCGCCAGGGAACAACGGCCTTCGCGTGCACATCTCCGCAAATATACAGCCAACAGACCACATATCGACACCAGTTGAGTACTGACGACCACCGAGAAGTATCTCGGGTGATCGGTACCACAGAGTAACCACCTGCACAAGCGTAGATCAGTATTGGAAACTTCGTGCAGGCATTCTCGCTGGCCTACCTCGTGTGTATATGTGCGCAATGGCACGCCGAATGCGCGTGCCAGTCCAAAATCGGCGAGCTTCAAATTTCCGTCTCGGTCAATAAGCAAGTTCTGAGGCTTCAGGTCCCGATGTAGCACTCGATGACTATGACAGTATCTCACGCCCTCGATGAGCTGGCTCATAAACTTTTTGACCATCGCTTCACCGAGACCCAACCTCCCAAGGTCCGGCCCTGAGCCTTCTGGGAATGCCTTTGCCTTGCCCCCATCACTAATTGGAAGTGCTTCCATGTATTTTTTCAGATCAAGATCTAGGTATTCGAAGACCAGGTACAGCTTCTGGCCATCGGCGTGCACGATGTTAAGCAAGCGGACGATGTTTGGATCATTCATCTCCTTCAACAACGATATTTCGCGAATGGCAGTACTTGGCACACCTTCATCCTCGGCCTCAAGGCGAATCTTCTTCAGCGCCACGATGCGGGTAGGATGTGTAAGGTCGCGAGCTTTGTAGACGACACCGTAGGTTCCTGTCAAAGGATCAATTAGCACCTGTACTTGGCAGGTTCATGATACATGTGGTCCCAAGCGGTTTTAGGCTGTGCGAGCCAGAAGAAGGGGAAAGCTCTTTGCTCACCCTCCCCAATCTTCTCGATTTTCTGGTAGTTCTCCATCTTGCCTGGGGCTGGCAGCGCCGTTGTGTATCCTGATGGTCTCTCGCCGTCAATGGTGAGTAATCGGGTGCGAAGATCTTCAGAGAGCGACCGAATCTATGTGCATGAAAGAGCTGTTGGTTAGTAGACGCTGAATGAAGTGTACTTGTTGGTGCTGTGTCAGTGTGCCCCCTCGGCATTTCGTAAAGTAAACACAGACAGGGATTACGCGCTAGCGACGGACCAAAAGTTTTCGCGGAGTTGGGAAAATCCTGTGTCTAAAGCCTTCATCTACCTATCACAATTTCCCAGGTACCACTAGATGGAAAATCGACTATGATGATCAATAGCCTTGATGCTCGTGATAGCCCACCACAGTCTATCAAGAGTATTTACAAAAAATACCAGAAGCTCACGCTTGAGGCCATTCAATCAGATCCTTCGATCCTTGACTTTCGCCGGGGCTTGAGTGGTGAACAGCAATGCAGAGCCCAAAAAGTTGGCATTGTGCCGTTATTCTCAATAGATGCTGCGTGTTCCCACCTTAGACTCGCTGAAGATCATAAGGGCGTGGCGCCTAGTGTGGACGTGCCGATTTATGAACCCAAAGCTGTACCAGGTGAGCCATGACAACTATACCCTTGGAGGACGTCTCGTTCGTTGTTGACAAATCAGGACTGCTCATATTACCAGCTTTAGTACCCGAACATGCCCAGCAAGATCTTCTATCCAAATTACTACATAGGGATCTAGCAGATCCAAGACACCAGACGAATGTACATTTACATCATCTACTTCCATATCAAGCTACCAACCCGAGGAAGACCGGCCTTTCAAATGTTGGCAATGCTTCATTCTTCACTATGTCTCCTGTGTCTCCTGAACTTTTCCCCCCGATTGATCACACAAGCCATAAGGCTCTAACTGTGTCGCAATTTCTCAATCGAAAGCTACGTTGGATGACCCTAGGCGGTCAATACAATTGGACAGAAAAGAAGTACCCGGCTGAGAATGCTCCATCTTTTCCGGAAGATATAGCAGCTTTTTTTCACCATCTGTTTCCTGATATGAGGCCAGAAGCGGCAATCTTGAATGTATACGCTCCGGGAGATACCCTCAGCGTGCATCGTGATGTGAGTGAGGAGTCTGATAATGAGCTGGTGAGCATCAGCTTTGGCTGTGATGGCATTTTTATTGTTGGGCTCGAAACTGAAAAGGGCGAGGAGCCGAAATGTGTTGGTGTACGCTTGCACTCAGGAGACGCCGTCGTTATGAGCGGACCAGCTCGGTTTGCTTGGCACGGCGTGCCTCAAGTCATTGGTAACAGTTGCCCAGTATCATTGCGTGACTGGCCCGCCATCGCGGATGATGAGAGCACAACCAGCGTCGGCGAAGACCCCTACGAAGCGTGGCGAGGTTGGATGTCGAATAAGAGAATCAACCTGAACATGCGCCAAATGAAAGATTGAAAAGCCTGAGATGCTACCAGCCTTCAACTTGCGGTAATAGGACTTGCGCCTTCAAGTAAAGTACCTCTAAAGTACCAAAATGGAAGGCGACAAACTTTAGCCTGGAAGATAAGCTTGACCCCACACCTGACTTTAAGAAATGCGCGTCATTGTTTTGCTCGAAGCATTTAAAATTCAAAGTGGTCAACAACAAATCTTTTCTCAGCCGATATTCAATACTCCGACTTGCTCGATTACTAACTACGTGCTTATCGATGGCGACCGAGACGTCAACATGGCAACATCTGGCCAAGGCCAAACTCGCTGCAATCAATGGGTCAATACCAGAAAAGTGGCAGCTTTCTTCGATCCCTTCAATTGCAGAGCAGCAAGATGTAACAGGCCCTTTCATCTGCAAGTTTCTGTCCACCGAGGAGATTGAAATTACCGAGACAGATGCCGTCGACATTGTTGAAAAGACGTCTCTGGGGATCTGGACGGCAGAGGAAGTAACAACAGCCTTTTGTCACCGGGCCAGCCTTGCACACCAATTGACGAATTGCCTGCATGAGACCTTTTTCGAGGCAGCCATTGAGGATGCTAAACAGCTCGATGCATATTACGCGCAGCACAAGGCACCGATCGGCCCATTGCACGGACTGCCTATTAGCTTGAAGGATCAGTTTCACGTCAAGGGCGTAGAGACCACGATGGGCTATACAGGCTGGATCAACACCTTCGAAGGCAAGAAGGGCACAGGCAAAGAGAAGGTGTTCGAAAGCGAAATGGTGAAGGAGTTGCGCTCGTTAGGAGCGGTGCTCTACTGCAAAACGGCAGTGCCTCACTCCCTCATGGCAGGTGAAACGGTCAATAACATCATTGGGTATACAACGAATCCAAAAAATCGCAATCTGACTTGCGGTGGAAGCTCTGGAGGGGAGGGTGCTCTCATTGCACTTAAAGGTTCGCCTGTAGGCTTCGGAACTGATATTGGGGGAAGCATACGCATACCCGCAGCGTTCAATGGACTCTTTGGCCTTCGTCCATCCGCAGGCCGCATGCCATATGAGTGAGTTATTTTTTCCGAGCCATTCCTTGTCGATTGGTACTGCATTCCGAGATGTAAAAATTATCGCACGAGTACAGCACTGCCGGGACTTGTTCCACCACTCGAATTTGATCCTAGAAGAGATGCTGACTCTGAAATCCTACAGAGGTATGGCGAACAGTATGGACGGGCAAAACTCTGTACTTTCAGTCGTGGGACCTCTATCGCATTCTGTGGCGTCCTTGAGGCTAATGGTCAAATCCCTTTTGAGTCAACAACCTTGGTTGCACGATCCATTATGCAACGAGCTCCCATGGCGGCAAGATCAGGAAACCCAGACTTTAGACCTCATAAGCTCTTCTAAGTTGTCATTTGGCATCCTTAAGCACGATGGCGCTGTTACGCCTCACCCTCCGGTACAAAGAGCCCTCGACATGGTTGTGGACACTCTCCAAAAGCTTGGACATGAGGTAATCCCAACAGCAAAGAGGCATCAATCACCATAATCTAATGTAGAGCAGGTCATTGAATGGCATCCTCCGTCCCACAAACGCGGCTTTGACATTATCACTAGCTCGTGGACTTACGATGGTGGCACAGACATCCACAATGCATTGGGACTTTCAGGAGAGCCGATGGTGTCTCAGATTTCTGGCATGTACCGCAAAAGGCGTGAGGAGGCAAGTGCGAGCAAGATTTCGGCGAACAACATCGCCAAGCGTGAATACCAGAAAGAATATATGGAGTATTGGAACAGTACTGCACGCTCGACCAGCACAGGTCGACCAGTCGATGCTATAATAGCACCTCTAGCACCTTTTGCGGCTGCGAGGCCTGATCGATACAAATACTATGGCTGTACGTATTTTCCGAGTCCACATTTTCTCCTTTGGAGTCTTGAGACAAGTCTTGCGAGTCCTTGCTCTTGGAGCATGTTCCATCGCTTGATGTTCCCTCACGCACGTAATACTGACTCCGAATCAATACACCAGACTCGAACATTTACAATACTCTTGATTACACGTCCTGCGTCATACCTGTGACGAATGTCGATAAGAAGGTCGATATGGTGAATAAGAGCTTCAAGCCAGTCAGTGAGCAAGATAGAGATATACAGGAAGACTACGACCCTGAATTATATCATGGCGCCCATGTTGCAGTGCAGCTCGTCGGGCGCAGGTTACAAGAGGAGAAAGTGCTTGCTCTTTCAGAGTACGTTGGAGGAGCTATTGCTGAGTCCAAAGATACTCGATCCAGCCATCTGTAATAGATATTACATCTCATCATCCTCTGAATGGATCCTCATGCCCGTACATTAGAAAAAGAGTCTTGTTTGATATATTTTCAAGGCAAATTCTTAGTAGCAAGGATAAGTCGTCAATAGCGATTGGTCAGTGTCAGCGTCTGTATCGAAGTGTCTCTCAAGTACGCCTCGATGCATTTATTCAAGTAGTCAAGTCCATCCAACTGTTCGAGGCTCAAAAGGAAAGAGGCAACTTAGGGCTGTTCTCAGCTCAGGACTAGTTTGGTCGACATACCAATATCAGGTCATCGAGCGGCGCTTGGGAGTGCTTTCGGAGCTTCCAAAAACATACTTGTACACGCCTGAACGATCTGTGAACGTGGCAATTTTTATGTTTGTAGTGCGATTCGATCGGAAGGTGCCTAGCGAGAGTACAGCAAATTCCGTGCCGCCGATGGGAGATGGCAGACGGTTCTATAGCAACCCCTGGCTCCTCCGCCAGCAAGACCCCAGCGGCCAAAGACAAAGAATGCCCCTATTGCCATCAAGCCTTTACATCATCTTCTCTCGGACGCCATCTAGATCTGTACATTAAAGACAAGAATGCAAAACCCCCGGATGATCTACACAACATTGAGGAGATCCGAAGGATGAGAGGCAATGTCACTCGACGGCAGGCGCGTGCATCGGCTGGGAAGAGAGAGGGCTCTACACCTTCGAGCTCGAAACCTACACCCTTCCGCGACCAGCGCTCGCCCTCCACTCAAAGTGGGTTTGCCAACGTCCAAAGTTCTGACGGCGCGCCGATGAGGACGGTCTTGAATAGACCGAATTGGCAATCAACAGGCGTGATCAACGATCTACCGCCTGTGTCTCGAGATATTGAACCGACTTTTGGAAGAAAACCTTCGAGGAGGAGAATATCCGTAAAAGAAGAGATGATCCACAAGCAGGATGCGCTGGAAGAGCGAGACCGAGCGCGAGCGGCTGAGTTGGCTTTGCAGGAGGTATTGGGTAGTGTGAAAGCTGCTAAGTATGCTGAATTTCAACTTGTTGCAAGAAGTATACGCTGATCTAGTCTATGTGTAGCATGCGCGCACATCCTCCTTCGCCTTTCGATTTCAACTTCTTTAGCCTTTCGTTTCCTGAGCTATGCCTGCAATGCCTCTCCGCACCTCACACACTGCTTGCCGCATCAGCAGTACCGGACCGATTTTCGTGGTCCGTTGAGGCGCCCAAACCAATCTATCATGACCTCTTACGTGAATGGCTTGGGTCCAAATTGAAGGATTGGCAGCGACAGGGCAAGTCACATCACTTTCCAAATCAGATCTTCCAGCCCAATGGAACCAATGGGCACTCACAAAATTCCGAAAGCATAGGAGAATTGGAGGAGAAATACTACCAGCATCTTACAAGCGTCTACGAGACATGGAAAGCCCTTCCAGAGAAACAAAGGCAAGAATCATGGCGTACAGAATGCGCAAAAGCATTGGCTCGTGAGCAAGAGAAAAACAAAGAAACCAAGCGCTTCCTCGAGTTGGCCGACCAAGAAATCCAGCACCTCCGCTTTCAACAGGCCCAGAGAAATCCCTACAACCACTCCATCGAATACACCCGTTTTGGCGTATCTTCCCTTCCCATTTCCCGTGAAACGACAAAACATCTCCCCGATCTTCCAAATTACGAAGCACTGCTCTCGCGTTGGCGGACACGAATCGCCCATCAACGCTCTGTGCAAAACCCCTTACCTCCGCCTTCACCATGGGCAGCCGCCACACCCCCAAACCCCAACACCAACCACATAAATGGCACCCATCCATATCCTCCCCCATTTCAACGCGACGATCACCAGCAGCCGCATAATGAGCAGGATCAGGCCTCTGACGAAGATGAAGATCTGGCCGATGCGCCGGGCGATGACGACATTTCTGAGCAGCAACAGCAGCTGGGCATGGATAAAGGCATGCTGGATCCGAATTTGAGGGATGGAGGTGGGGCTGGGGATATGGATGGGGAAGGTGGGAGGGTGTTGATGGGGCTGAGGGAGGCAATGGATATGGGGCGTCGATAATGTTGTGAGGGTGATGAATAATGAGCTGCAGGATCCGGTGCAAGTTTCGGCATGAACTGCAAGGGCGACAGGCATTTTGGAATTGGTTGTGTATTTGCTTGCATTAGGTATATACCCATTTCCAGTTTGAGCATTATTGTAATGTATCTAACATGTGCCAATTCTGCCCACTTTGGTGGACAATTCCATTCCGCTATATCCGAACCCTGCGTCCAAGCAGACGCGTACAGTATCGTCCTTCCTATATGCTTAAAAATACTTCTGCTATCGCTATGCACAATTCGAAAATCATCCTCAAGTCTATACAGCTCCATGACGTCTGCCATACCCCTTCCCAATCCTCAATCCCCTATCGGCCTTGATGGGGGCAGCGATCCAGCCCCCATCAAGCCTTCATCACTCCTCTTCGTCCAGTTCCCTCCTCCCCCTGCCCCCCATGGAGAGCTGGTTCTGAATGGCGTAGATGCCGTAGCCGACGGCGGCGAGAACGACAAAGAGGACGATGATGATGATGGCGACGACAATGTTACGTTGGACCATGATGGCGGGTGTCTCGATCAGGCGGTTCGACGGAACTTGGATGCGGAGAAGTGGTAGGTTTGGGGGTTCGGCGAGGAAGCCGGAGGCTGGGAGGTGGGACTGAGGCGGAGGGTTTCTCTAGGCCGTGGCGTCCGAGAGAGAGGCTGCTTTGAGATACGGGGGTGCGGTGAGGATTGGTGGAAGCGGGAATTCGTTGCTTGGAAGGTGGGCGGGAGGCTAGCAAGCGGTGGAAGGATGGTCCGTAGGGCGAGTGGATGCGTGTTTGACTGGGTTGGTTTGCAATGAGGTTCGAAGGAGTGGTTCCCAGTGTGACGCTTAGGGGATTGATATATGAGTTCGCTGCGGCGAAGAATTTGGACAGTAGGACAAAGGACTGGCGAGGAACTTTGGAGAAAGTAAACAGATGGCGCAGTTGGGGGTATCAATGCTCAATGCTCAAATTGTGAAGTAGATGTCGTAAAGTCTTCGTGGATGGAGATGCTTGTATATAGACGAATGTGGGTACGATATAGAGAGTATGGAAGTAAGGTAGGTGGGACGGCCAACAACGCTTGTACATGGAGAAGAGATTGGCCGCCCTAGCCATGTGTTTACTCGGGCATGGCGGGGCAACGATTAGCTAAGCTTTGCCAAGGCATCATCCCTTGGCACGCGGGTCTCTAGCGCCGTGGCGCTTCCTGGAAGACTGAAGCAGAACACGGGGATAGCTTCAACAGTTTCATGAGTACGAAACCTTCTCAAAAACATTACTATAAATATACTCACATTCTGATGCATTATTGATAGGCAATCGATGTATTTGTGGACCAGTCAGGTTTCTTACATCCGTTCCTTTTTCGAATTCACTTCACAGGGTTTGATTACAATTTCATCAATAGGAAGCGATTTGACTAGCAATAGAACAATAGCATGCTCGAATTTGACAATGGGAGCCATTGGCTCTTTCGTGCCTTATTGTCCACCTCTACAAGTATACCTTCCTGTCTCATTGCACCGTGTGCTTCCTCTGTTACCTCGTTTTGTCTTTCTACACCACACACACTCCCCTAATCACATCAAACTTCTATCTTCAGCTCCCCTGCTTTCCATTTCTTATATCATCTTCTCTCGGCTGTAGCTGGTCTACATTGTAATACTCTCTCAATCTTGATCATCGATCTCTGTCTTTGCAATGGCACCTACCCAATCCACCTGTCCTCCTGTCACCACCCGCTCCGTCACCCGCAAGAACAGTGTTGCCCTCCGATCCTTGGACGCTGGCGTCCATAAGCATTTCCAATGTATCGTTTGCGACAAGAAACATGGCTCAAGAGCTGCGCTCTCACGCCACTTCAAATCACACACCACTCGCCCCGAAGAGCTTTCGCCGTTCACTCACCCTAGCTGCTGGGACGAAGATAGCGCCACACACCCACCAAACAAACAACACATCTTTGACATGATCGTAGACGACAACGTATTCGATGCGCTTCCATCAAAGAAGCAACGGGCCATAAACACCAATATCGAGTATGCACTGGCTGGCGTCAAGAACAAGAGGCAATTGAGGCACAAAGCGGATCAGCAACGCTTGCGCCTGCTCCATTGGTGGTTCAGAGCAAACGAGAAGGCTTTGAGGGCGAGGATGGATTTTGGACCTGCGGGACTATTCCCTCGCCAAGGTAACCTCATCCCTCTCGAACGACAAGGTCTTGCGGCTAACTCGATGGCGTGGCTCAGGAGAACGCAAGCTCCAAGATCAAGGCCAGGCACTCTACGTCGAGGGTATCACAGCGGAAGACGACAGCCTGCTCGCGCTCGCAGGCGCACCTCCGATCTCACAAGTCGAATCGCTTTCAGCAACGGAAGGCCCGATAACACAAGCAGACCAGCTGGCCTCAAATCCCGACCAACCCGCTCCCTCAGTTTCTGCACAGACTGGATTATTCGACCACGACTTCGACCGCTCGCTCGAGGGATCAGTCGTGGCGGACTTCGAGCTAGCATCGACTCGCCCGCTCACAAGCTTGCCGCTACTGTGGTGCATGAGCAACACCTTCACTCATTTTGTCAAGACCCACGGAGAAGATCTGGTCTGCGTTATAGCCCTCAAACGGGCCGCAGAGATCTATCTCCGCGGCATAGAAGCTTCTCAAGACGTCGTGAACAAGCTCAACTCGCGTTTCGACCACAAAATCATGGGCAAGTACGATGGCCTGGACGACTCCGATGACGAAGACAAGTGGGTCGCACTGCTTAACAACGAGAAGCGTTTTAGAAAAGATCGAGCGTTCATCTGGGATCGATTGGAGGAGGCCACCCATGAATACTTCAACGACTATAGCAATAGTGAGCTGCCTGTGGCGCTCGGAGCGCGTCACAGTTCCGATGCAGTCAAGGTGGTTGTGAAGGCAACGAGAGCGTTTGCATCGGTGCTGGGGGATGTACATACTTCTGCGTATGTGAAGAACTATTGGATTGGAAAGATCTAAACTTGTAAATATGGCACGAGATAGGTTGGCACAGGCAGCTGTTCACCGAGCACCAATGATCCATGGTACTAGTACCAATATCACTGTGACCCCGGTATCTGTATCAATAATCAAAAATCCTTCGCAAGCTCTGTACTCCTTAAAGAAGTGAAAGCAAACTCCAAAAGGCGAACGCTGGCTCGAAGCTCCTTGGTGACACGACTCGGTTCCCTTAACCCTCAGCCCTACGACCCAGTTTATCAACACCAACTAATCGAGTCCGTGAAAACGACATCAACACTGCTCGTCAGGGAACCATGCAGCACACCATCCTCGACAGCGCAACCCCTGAAGCCTGAACCGGAGCCTGCTTCGCGCACCCACCACCTCTTCGGCCAATTCACCTCTCGAAAAGTCGAAAGCCTGGTTCCGTTTTCGCTTGTTGGGGAACCGCAATCGCTACCGATGCCGTGCGCGAAGCTGCGGGACTGAGGCACACGGAGTGCGTAAGTGTTCCGGGGAAGTCTGAGAGGTGCGTGTGGATCAGAAGAGGGTGTTGCTCATCAACTTTGTGATCGCGGGACTAACGGGATGCTGAGCGACACCTTCCCCACCCGCAATTTTCTTGTTTCTGACGTCGAGTTGGGGTATCATATCCAGAAAGTCTGTCTCGTCTTTCGCGGTTAGGATTCCTTCGGATTGGAGGATCAAGCAGCAGGACAACTCCTTGTTGGCATTGATTCCGTCGATTTATTAAGGATTTGTACCCTTTCGAATGCAAACTTTTTTTGGGCACCTTGCCTGTTTGACACATCATATGCAGACGACATGGCTTACCTCAAGGAGTGAATTCAATCTCTTGCTGACCTGGGCCCAATGAAATGGTACCTGATTGATGAGGCCTGTCGCCAGTGAAATAGAGATGCAGGAATCGAATGGAAAGAGTTATTAATTACGAATTCGAAGACAAAGGGTCACAAATCATCCGTCCCTTTCAGATTCCTCATTGGTAGGACCCACGGGAAACCCTACCTGGATAGCAGGGATGTTATACACTGTGTGCAATACGTCGACACAAGAACCAACCCGTCGATTACAAGGACAGAGTTAAAGATGTAATTCTTCATAGCGCCGAAGACGAGATGGATGTGAGCCTCGGGAAAGGGCACGACAGCCGCGTCTTCGAGTCTGACGAAATGAACTTAGATTGAAGCATCTGGCCTACCGTTGCGCCGGATATGGGGTCTAACGCCATTGCAGGTCCAAATGATGTCGTTTCTTCTAATCTGTCAGACTTTATGTGCGGTTGGTACGACGATTCGGCTTCGGCGTGCAGGGCGTGGGAAGGTAGGTGCTCTGCGTCACTTCGGATTAGCTGACTGATTTGTTCCATCCTCTCCTGGATCATTCAAGCAGTCCTTTCAGGACGGAATATCGAGTTCTGAACCTGACTTGAATAGTGCGAACGGAGACAGGCAGAATGGCACTCAATGCGGCTCTGGCATGGCTAAAAACCTGACGGCAGAGACACTACCGCTGGAGTGCTGGCCCAGCGATGAAGGTAGGGATGTGTATGTATCGTCTTGTATAGGAGGCAGTATCATGTTCGGGAGAAATCGCTTATGTTGCAAGTCATCGGTCCTTGGTGCCAGCGCTTCTCTGTAATATAGGTCTCACAAGTGCATTTGGAATACAACGATTAGAGTGGGCGCACACATTCAAAGCAAAGTGTCACTAACCGCATCTGGGATTGTGTATCTGCGAGGTCGGGTGTCAACATGCAGGTGAACCGTGTCTGCGGCGAGTCCGGGCTGTACATGCATTCTAAGCTCAAAACCCACCCGGCGGCGATTTTTGCCAGCGGTTTGCAGCACTTACATCTCGCGTAAGCCTTCCTGCGAACCCAAACTACCCAGAGTAATTAGGTTCCGAACAATTCCCAAGGACCTTCATCATGGACGGCCGACTCCTCCGCCTCGAACGACCGGGCTCGAACAATGGCTACTCGACCGCATCGTGGAGGATCGCGAACCACCCCGGCCTGCGCATTTCCGATGCCCAGATCCCAGCAAGCCCTCCCTGCATCCTCCTCCAGCCAAGTCGCGACGTCGATCACCTGATCGACTACCTCACGAGGGTGCTGAACGAGAGCTTCGGGGCAGACAATGGCTGGACGTTATGGTAATTTACGGTTTCCGGCTCCATCTGCGTGACTGACTGATGGATGGCTGCATGTTGTTGGAAGATGTAGGTTGACTGGTAGTGTAGGCGCTTACATGCGATTGGGAGCATCGAAAGAGGTCTGGCGGAAGTGAAACGCGGTCCAGCGGGGATTCCGGACAGGGTTAATATTATCATTGTGCGGAAGAAGCTTCCGCAGGGCACGGCAGTGGGAGGAATACATCGGCAGGTAGATGGGAGCAGATGAGCTTTGGATCTTCATCCATAAAGGGATGATGACCTTTGACACAGGCGTTTCAGAGACGGTGAAAGAGATCTCTGAGATGGAGTAAAGTAGAAGCAAAGCTCGGAGAGAGTATGCCATGATTGTAGATCAGACGTCTGCTCAGTAGAGTCATGTAGCTAAGACTTCTGGGGATGCAGCAAAAGTCATGCATAGAGGGCGACAAATCTGACTGCAGTTGTTGAAGATCTACATATCGGGCGCCCTGTGAGAAAAAGCGACAATGGTCATAAAGTCTCTCAAGTGATTGTCATCCTACCTGCAAAAATAGATGCCCATGGGCGTAGTCTTCTATATTCAAGACTTTTTGACCAGAAGAGCCGATGTGCTTTGGTTGACAACGCGAAAATGAACAGAGAGGGAGCTTTCTCCTGTTGGGTTTCGAGGATCTGAAATCCCCTCTATGCATGAATTTTGCTGCATCCTCTTACTTTTACCAGGTCAGTGAGCCACAGGTAGTGATAGGATTTCGTTAACAATTAGACCGCAAGGTTGGCCGAGTGGTCTAAGGCGGTGGATTCAAGATCCACTATCGAAAAATGCGTGAGTTCAAATTTTACACCTTGCAGATGTTATTGTTTGTTTTTGCTCGTTGTTTCTAGCGGAACGACCATGGGTATGTATAGCGATGGTGTAGCAACAGTTTCATTGATTCTACACGGTGAGTCATAGCTGTCAACAGGAACCCCACAACAATAAAAGGTTGGCCGAGTGGTCTAAGGCGCCAGATCAAGGCTCTGGTATCGATAGATGCATGGGTTCGAATTCCATACCTTGCGAGAGATTTCTTTGCGTTCACTGCTTCTTTTCGATATATCAAATGGCGGATATCCTCTGCACATGACGTCCAATTTGGGCCTCTCCACTTTTTCTTGAACAAAGACCGGTCCATCGTGAGAACGTTGTGTCCAAGGATTCTCCTTTTGCATCTATGCATGCCGTCGGCTCATTGCTGCTGCTGCTTTCGCTTTGTTGAGATCCAACACAAGTGGCCAGGCATGCTTCTCCATTGATCTGCAACTCCCGTCATCCCCTTCCAACGCGTACAACCACCATGGACCAAACCACCGAATTCGCTTTGAACGGATCCATTCAGGTGACAGATCCTCCGACCAATGGCGACTCATGACCAGGTCACTAGGGCTGGACATGGACGTGCGCAGCCTTCCAAGCACTCCTCTCCTCTCACACATTGACGGGGAACCTGCTATCTACCAGTGTCGCGACGAAGTAATCGATCGGCTGAGCGATATCACGACGAAGAGCTTTACCACATTCGAAGCCCCGAGGGATTGGACTGCTTGGTATGACACTACGAGAGATTGGACGATTCCTCATACACAACGCTAACTGAGTTGCTAGGCGTTTGTACTCAGTGGAAGGGTGGAGATTGGTCGCGCTGCCCAGATCCATACAGCGAAGCTCATCATGACCCGGAGGAGGATCGTTCCGGTGGAGAGCAAGGCGCGACAACGACCCGGAAGGAGGTCGTTCTTGGGGGTATCATGGGGTAGGAGGTGACAATGAAATGGGATGCCAGAGAGCGCGAGGCGAGCATTGCGCATTTCGAATGTACCTCGAGTTGCAGGTGGTGTGTCAAATGGCCGTATCGTTCGTCAAAATTGCAGGTCAAGCCCATAGATTCCTGTCAAGCATCAACTTGGAGAAGCACCTTTGCCCTATCTGAATACTGCCCGAGACCGATTTTTCATCAAATGTCCCACTCCGTTGGAGCAGAGAATATCTTGTTGCCATGCTTTGAATCCATAGCCCTTTAAGACAAGCACGTATCTACTAAAGCCATAAGCTTCGGCTGACCGAGACTTGAGTCTGTGGAAATCGTGATGCAAAGGTGTGGCAAATAGCTTCAGATATCACCATCATGGTCCAAGTCTGAATCTATTGTCGAAGCAATGACGACTTTCAGCAGCCTTGGTTGCCAAGTGGAAGGAGTTGAGCTACTCCACCCATGCTTGCAAAGCTTGTGGGCGCCCTCTGCAAGCAGACAAGTTTATATAACCCCAAATCTGCCAGGTCTTGTCTGATCACGGCGGGTCAATGTATAGTAGTTTGGTCCTTTTCGCTCAACCGTCGATCACGGCTTTCTTAGTTTTTCACCGAACCACTGCCCAATCTCAAGCATATGCTTCTCGTCCCACAACCCAATGCCCTCCCTTTCCTCAACCTCAAAATTCCTTCTAACAATGGGCTTCGCATCGGCTGTCCTTTCGACTTCCGAGCGTCTGAAGCTTTTTCGCATCAGTTCAACGAGGTCTACCCCTTGATCCTTGAACTCGCAATCCTTCCCTAACCCCACTCTTGTCCAAGGTAACAGCAGGTTCGAGCCCGCTGGTGGATATTTGCGAGCCGAAAGACGCTTCTTGGCAATCGGTAAGAGAAAATTCTCACCCTCCGGACCACCGTTGAGAAGGCTTTCTTCAGTAGATGTAGCAGCCTGGTTCGGGATCTCAGAACTCGGTGTGCGGAAAAACAGCAGCGGACTTGCAAATGGGTCGAAATATCTTTCTGCTTTCGAGAAGAAAGCGTCTCGGATATCGCAGAGGCCATTGACAGAAAGAGACCCATTGTTAGCGCCTCCGGGAAAACCACGAACTTTGCGGAAGATTCCTGCTTGGGGAGCGTTTCGTCTCGCAAAGCTTGGGGTCAACGCAGTCCAATCAAGGATTGGGTTTCCGACTGCCAGAGCGCTGATGCCTTGGGGCTCTAGCTCTGCAGGCGTATAGAAGCACTCTGTCAGAGCCAGCATCGTAGCTAGGCTTCCCCCAGCCAGCTCGCCGCATACACCGATCTTCGAGGGTTTGGTGGTCATCCTCAGTCCTTTATAACCTGTATGAATACCGCGGGCAAGGTTCGCTCGAGTCCAATCATAACCTGCGAGTACCTAGACATTGCATTTAACTCCACGTCTTTCCGTAAAGCATCCAAAGTACCGACCATATGTATAGGAAGTGGATAGCCATTCTGTGTCGAGAGCCTATAATTTATCTCAACAGCAGTGGCATTTGCGCCAACGGCGAGATCTTTGAGATGAGATTCACACTGCGTCGGCGTAGGAATGCCGCGCCTCAGGAAGATGATGATGGGGCTATTACTTTCTGGCCTGGGAGGATAGCGAATGCTGCAAAGGTATCAGCAAGGCTATAAAGCGTTCATGTTTAGATGTGACGAGTTCGCCTACCGTAATTCGACTGACTTACCAATACCAAGTTTGATCTTGACATGGGTTTCGTCGTCTATGGTCTTGATAATGGGGATATTGTAGGAGTGGTATTGATTTCGGCCTACGCTGGCCAATATTCCTCCGGCAGGTTGTAACCTGAAAATGGCAACAGCATCGCTGATCAAGCTTCTCATTTCAGCCAAAGCTAAAGGAGCGAAGTGATTTGGTGAAGGAGCAGGTGGAAAAGACCCCTGGGCAGGCGCTGCCGAATATTTGCCAGTGCTATCTCCGGCCGACTTCGGGGATTATTCTACTACCAAGCGTGCAGCTTACTTACCCTGCGTTGTTTCTTTCGACATTTTTTGCCTGTTTATGGAAACCTACTGCTGGCATTCGTTTACATTGATCTTCCCGTACAAATATCGTTACTCTGCGGCAAAACTATAAAGTGTATCGCTCGAAAACAGTTTTGGCAGCTGCGAAAGGACAGTGAAGATTTCTTCGACACACTCTGCTGACGACTCCATCGGTATGGCACCCGTAATCCACTGCGTCAGGCACGCTCAGGGTAAGACTCCAAGACCACATAGGGCGTAAGTCTCCTTGGCTGACTCAACAGGCTATCACAACCTCTCCGTGGCTAATCACAGTTTACCGGACCCATCCCTGACTCCATTCGGGGAAGAACAATGCCATAAATTCGCCCAAGACTCCCCCTACTATCAATCAATCGGTGCCATAGTCGCCTCGCCCCTCCGTCGAACTATCTACACCGCCTTGTACGGCTTCAAACCCCGGATAGAGAAGGGCATGTCCGTCATCGCTCTCCCAGAAGTGTGCGACTGGGAAGGGGGCACCCTCCGCGAGTGCTGTTGAGAAGAGAGCGAGGGAGGCGAGACAATGGTTGAAGGCTAGGCCGGAAGCCGAGATTGTGGTTGTTACCCATGGTGGCTTCCTTCACTACTTTACCGAAGACTGAGTTCGTAACTTCGTACATTCCGGAGTAATTCCTCCCTTTTCAATGCCGAGTTCTGAGTTGCAAGACATATTTCGGGAGCAAACGTCTCTTCCTACTCCCGAGACTTGTCTTGCGAGTCTGAGTTTTGCCTTGAACTACAACGCTGACTCCGAAATGTGCGCAGTCGGACTTCGACAAGGCCATGGGTACGTATGGACGCTGGGTAGATGATGGGAGGACGAGGCTAACAACTACTAAGGTACCGGTTGGAAAAACGTCGAACTCAGGTCCTACGAATTTGCCAATGAAGATGGCGAAAACGCCTCATTGGTCGAAACGAAGGGTTCCAGGGAATCGAGACGCGGCAGCGAGGTACCCTTGACGAAAGAGGAACGTTTGAATCTACGAGCGACAGCAAAGAAGATCAAGGATGGCGATTTATATCCTGTACAGGCGGTACAAGGGAAGGTGTGATGACATGTGATTGTGACTATGACTGCTTTCTTACCGTGCCATAGAAAAGGCTTTGCAGAGTGATGACGAGAGAGGATGGATTGGAGCATATTGAAGATTTGAATTGAAGTAAACGAGAAACGTGATAGAGCGTAGACCCTGCAAAGCCTTTCATCCAACATCATTAGACGCAAAAAAAGACTAATTTCCCAACAACAAATTTCATGATGCCAGTAATTGTGCGATGATCATGTACAGTACTCGCGTGTGCTTTTCATACCACGATATTCCCCACTCGGCCGTCGGACTCTACCTACCATGCAAACCCCGAAGCCGAAGACTTTTGGTCTTTCCAGCCATTCGTGTCAAAGAGAGATCACTCATTTCCAGAAACCAAAGACGTCAAAGTTACCCAATGACTAGGGATTACCCTTGGACAAAGGTCTCCGTGGTCCATCCGTACTTCCTAAACAGCCTACCGCTATAACGTCGCAGAAGGTCAAACCGTATTTCGTTCCCGGGATGAGGCTCATGGAAAATGATGGAAGATTCCGGCTTCCATGCCGGTTCGAAAAGCGACGCCGAGCCGTCAAGAGACTTGATGCTGAAATCAAGCTTCTGCATCGCAGACACAAAGTCCTTCCACGAGACTTTGGCTCCGATTCGATCCTGGACGTCGGCTGGAAAGAACTTTCGCATGGTTTTGTAGGGTGCCTTCGCCAGCTCGAACACCTGTGCCTGAGGCTCAGCCGTAACTTCTGCCTCTGGCTCTCCAGCCGCGCCGAGGTCCGGTGGAGGGTTGGCCACACCGCGCGTCTTGACTTTCTCCTTCGGTCGTGCGGCAAGTGGTGTGCTGCTTTCTGCTTCCGTTTGGAACGTCCGTAAAGCCTCAATTTCCTCCGGTGTTGTATGTGGGGTTGCCTTCTTTTTCTGTTTTGGGCGGACTACTGCCGACTGCCAGGTACCAGTACGCTCAATTTTACGCTCAGAAATCCTGTCTCCCATGAAGCCATTGAGTGTCTTCCCGCAAGTCTTTGTGAAGTGCTGATCTACCTGCTGCCAGAATGTGTCAAGCATCGTCTCTTCTGCGCGAAGTCTGTCAATGGTCTTTTGTGTTCTTCTCGCATTTGCAGGGTAGTCGAAATCCTGGGCTGGTGTCACAAATTGATCGAGGCTGACGCCTTCCATCTGCTTCTGAATCATGGCGATGATTCCGATGCGCGACTCCACATCGGCAAGAAACGAGTCAAGATCCATCGGGAGCTGAATTCGAGGTTGATGGCAACTCAACCGCGCATGGATCTCCCCAAGTGCGGCCGTCTCTGACAATGTCTTCGCAACCTCGGTGGTGATGAGGCCTTTCTGTCTCTTGTCCTTGCGCATGATCCGTTCTACATCGTCCAGGATGTTTGGGACGCCCATCAGCGCTGTACGCTCAGGATTCATGAGGTCATAAACCATCCCTATGATGGGCGGAATCTCCATGTCCTTCCGAGGAAGATAAGCAATACTACCGTCGTTCTTGCGGGTGCGGTCAAAGTACTCTCGTATTGGCTCACTCATTGGTAAAACCTTTCGCAGGTCCTCCAAAGGGTATTTTGTTAGCTTGTCTATTACGAGCACAAAACTCGCAAGCGCCTCTTGGTATTTGTCCGGTAGTGGCTCGACGGGCGATGTCGCGATTCCAATGTGCAATCTTTCGAGCTTCTGCAGGTCCTCTAAGATAATATCCCATATTATCAGATACTTGTATGCGGCATGAATGATATTGCCACAAGCTGTTTGCAGAATTTTACCCTTCAGCGTTGTGACATCCTCGCTGTACACCCTTTCGAAGACGTATAGGGTCATTTGGTAACGGTGTTGCAAGACATTCTGAAAATAAGACGGGTCTTCTCTTAGCGCCCCTACACAGATTTCGGAGTCAGCATGAGTCTTTTGAGACAAAGACCTCGAAGTGTAGGACGGATCCAAGAAGTACATAGACTGCTTTGCTCCTGAAAATAGTCTTGGAACCCAGTCCCTGGTACCAGAGGAGAGGAGTTACTTGAAAGTACACGTACAGATCTCATCTTCAGCTTCGTCCTTTTTGGCAGTAGCCAGCTTTCGAAGGTATTCAAGAGAGAAATGCTGAGGTTGGCGATAGGGCGCTTTGGTGTTGACTTCCACCGTTGATTCTGATGGAGATGTCTCATCGTCAATGATGAGCCCAGCATGAATAGGTTTGACTGATGCTTCAGCCTCCTGAGCCTGAGCATCGGTTCCAGCGGTGGGCGCAGCTTGCGCACGGTCAATCGTTGCTCCCGCTTTCACACCTCGCATGAGATCCGTGCAGGTAATCAAAAACTGCAGCGTCCTATCCTGTATCTCAAGCACAATCAACCCTTCGCTGGGATTGAAGCCTGTGCCCATAAGAAGACTCTGGATAGAACTCGAGTCCCCCTTCCAAGAGACGATATCTCCATAGGCTTCTTGTGTCATTTGACCGCTCAGCTGATGGCAATATTCGAGTCAGCAATGCCTATTCGAGAATGGGCTTGAGCCTTGAAATATGTCTACAGAGTACATTTTGGCAGCACATGTCTCTAGATTCATAGGTTGGTGTTGAAAGCAAGAACAGCAAAGACTGGGCTCCGGGAGTACGTACCATCATGGTGTACCCCGTACACGTCATTATTTTGACGGCATCGGCTGAAGCAGCCATCCGTATTTGCAGCGAATCCGACCAGGCAAAGGCTTCTGGGTCGTTACGCGTTCGGGACTCGATGAACAGCAGTAGGTTTTTCGACTTGCCAAGATCTTCAACGTTGATGTGGGGCATGAGATAGGCATTTTTGTGTTTGGTCCCATCCCTTTTACGCTCCAGGCTCCACAAAGATCGTTGTTGCCTAAGTGCGTCGAAATCTGGCCTATGTACTAGGGGTATATCTATCAAGATTTCGAAGTTAGCATTTCCATCTGAAGGCGGGTTTTGAGTCCCACAATAGTCCTTGGTAGTCTAATACTCTGAAATCATTTCTTTGCAACTCCCTCTTCTGCCTAGGCAAGGGAACAACGGCTGAGAAAATTGGCTCACCTGGCCATGCGGTTAGGAGTAACTTTCTCCGCCTATCAGGGTTCCGGTTCCCCCATCGATGCTTTAGATCACGACCATGTTCCGCGAAGATGGAGCCCAATCTTTGATGGTTGGCGAAGATGCTTCGAGTCCGCTTTGAAGCTTCTAGCTGAATGTCACGGAGGGCTGTGCCATGTTCCTTGTCCGATTCCTCTTGGGTGGTCACTAGGAGACGTTCTAACGCTGGGGCCAGTACTTGAAGCGTTGCTGCGTACTGAACCTCTTCTGTGCTGCGCTTTGGATCCAAAGCCAAAATGGAGTTTATCAGTTGAGAGATCTCTTCTTGGGTCTGCTTTGCATTTGGAATTAGAAGCAGTCTTGCTCTGGAACGAGAGTCCATCTTTGTAGCTTGTGTGGAAATCAAGGAGCATAGACTGAGGGAATTTTTAAACCCAAGCAGTATGTGTGAGAAAACTTACCCATACTTATACGGCCCAACATCTTCAACGGAGATTGTGTTCACGCAAAGTGGGGAACATTGGGAGATGATGTGTTAACCTGATCACTGAGAGAGAGCCAATGACGGCATGTTTCCTACAGTATCCGGCAACATGTTCGCTGCAATGTTGTGTGTTGACTACCACAGACTGGATGCATGCCGGGACCGCATTCACACAAAGCGGGGAAAACCAATAGATAACCCAGTTACCCGGTCACCAAAAGAGTTAAAGCCAGAAGTTTGCCTGCAGCTCCTGGGTTGAATCTCACGGAATGAATATATGCCGAGATTGCTTGTAATCTGCTTCCTGTCAAGGCTGGCAGCACAATAGTGGTAAGGCTGTGAGCGAGATTAAGTCACTAGACCGGACAGTGGCAACACGTCTTGGATTGAGCCGAACACATGATATGAAAAGCCGACTGGATACTAATGACATGGTTCATAGACCAAATAGAAGCAATAGCCCAGGCATCCTTCTTCCTTTCTCTATTTTTATATATTGGTCACTGTTCTCCCCATAACTAGTGACGTTCTTGTTTTCAAGTATTAGCAGATATCCTCATGCCTTATAGATGTACTGCAATTTCGTTGTGAAGATTGGATGAGAGCCCTTCATATCTGCAGTTGCTTGTCAAACTCATTATTGCTTGTCAAACCCAAACTCATTTGTGATGAAAGGGGAAGAGTTTGTAACGTCAAGCCAGGACAATGTGTCAGGCCCAGATATTTGTGAGCCAAACGGCAGACTAGTGAGCGATGATACCAGCGACTCGTAATCGTATTAGGGTGCTGAATAGCTCTGGGCCAAAGTTTCTCAAAGATTGGAAAAACGTCCTTCTTGTCGTTAACACTCAGGGAAAGCAATCTCCGCTTTCGTTGAAGGGGGTTTTATGAGCGTATTCTCATAGCTCTGCTCCCGGCAGCATGAAAATGGCCCGTTCAGATATCACCTGCCCTCATACATCGAATGGTCAGCTGGCAGATGGGCTGTTAATTTGGATGGGACTGTAGCCGCTCTCATTGCGGCAGCAATATGGAGATCTCATGCTCAGAGCAAAAGCAAAAATGTAGATAAAAGTGCCGAATAGTTGTACTGAAGGAGACGCTGAGTAACAAGAGACATGGCGTGTCAATATGTGGCGAAACCTGGGGGTCAGGGTGGGCTGTCTGCGAGGCCACCATCTACTGAAACCTCATCTGTGCTTTCATGTATTTAAGATAACATACAATGCTGCGATCACATAAGCTTCAACCAAACAAGTTGACGGAGCTGTAGGAGCAGTGACCCAAGCAGAATGGATTCTTTGAGAGGTTGTAGCTAGCTGGCGTCAGATATGGACCGGATTCTCAAGTCACTTTTCCAGCGCAGATCCAACATCACTTATGAGGCTAGAATGGCAATTCTTACAAGGCACGAAGAGAGCAATGGAATAAAGGTTTGACGAGGTGATGAGTAGTCGTCCATTGAATTTTGGGTGGTCGTATTATTACCATAACTTTCACTCTACCGAACCCTAAAAGTGCGTCATTTCTCTTGGCACCGCCGACGACTTACGCGCGGAGTTGTTGGCGGAGCATACTGGTCATAAACTCACGAGCACACCCTCCTCCACTCTCGTTAAGAAACAACCAGCTTGATATCTCAGAGGCATTGATTCGGCGGAGAAAATGCCATTTGGAATCAACAATCCATTTCCTACTTCTGTAGCCAGCGAGTGCAAGAAAGCGGGAAAGGTGATCTCGTGGCACCTCGGTACTCATCAGGCTATCGCTCACTGACTTTGCATTGACAGGTCCTCGCATCTTTCATAGACCCACGGCAATCTTTTGGCCCAGACAAGGTTATACCACCTCAAATCTTAGCCAATGCAAAGGTATGAGACCTCGTCCCCAGCTGATGTGAAGCCGCACTCTGATAGATCACACTAGGGTCTTGCTATCATCACAGTCCTCAAAGCCGGCTTCCTAGGCTCAGGTCGTTTCGGTTCCGGAATTGTCATCGCCCGTCTCTCGGATGGTACCTGGTCAGCGCCGTCAGCCATTGCGACAGGCGGCGGTGGCTTCGGTGGACAAATAGGATTCGAGCTCACTGACTTCGTCTTCATTCTAAACGATGCAGCTGCCGTTCGCACATTCTCTCAGAAAGGTTCACTCACGCTCGGCGGCAATGTGTCCATCGCCGCAGGACCCATTGGACGCAATGCAGAAGCTGCAGGAGCAGCCAGCTTGAAGGGTGTGGCAGGGGTGTTCTCGTACTCGAAAACAAAGGGTCTCTTCGCTGGTGTCAGTCTGGAAGGAAGTGTCCTGATCGAACGTCGCGACGCAAACGAGAAACTCTACAACAGCCGTATCACGGCAAGCCAGTTGCTTGAGGGCGGTGTCCGCCCTCCTCCAGCCGCAGAACCTCTCATGCGGGTTTTGAACTCCAGAGTCTTCGCCGGAGTATCGCCATCATCTTCAGACGCTATGTACAACGACATCCCCATCTATGATGACAGTCACGACAACGTCGTCTGGCAAGGCGGTTCAGGCCGTGGCTACAATGAAGGCGTGCGCACAAATCGCACCGGATCTATGGCAAACGACTACGAATACAACGAGGCTCCGAAACGGGCCAGTACCTGGAACGATGAAGTCTATGATCGGCCACCCAATAGCGGAGGTCGAAGCCGGACCAACACTGTGGGAGAGGACTATTCGTACAGCGACTCACCGAAGCCTGGCAGACCTACCGCGCCGAAGCCGAAGTTCACACCAAAGCCGATGGCGGGAGCGACGGGGAAGGATCAGGCCATTGCGCTGTTTACCTTTGATGCGGATCAGTCTGGTGACCTAGCCTTCAAGAAAGGAGAGATTATTACGATCACAAAAAGAACGGAGAATGCATCGGACTGGTGGACGGGGACAATTGGGAACAGGACGGGGATCTTTCCTAGGTGGGTGACCTGCTCGATTCTTTCCCATGAATATACCAGACTAACGTTTGATAGCAATTACGTGGAAGCTGTCTAGCATGAGCCATCCGGCCTAATGATACCCGTAAATCCGCAACCTGGTTCATTGTCACCGCACGCGATTAGCAAGCGATGGAGTTTGGTTTGGAGATCTTCCACTTCCGCGAGAAGCGTTGTGCATCTGTCTCAATTCCTAGTATCTCAACATTAGGTGTCGTTGTAAATAACCCAGCGATACTCGGACTTTTTCTAAGTAATTGATACCAAAAGACTGCACCACAGAAAGATTCTTGTAAAAACCCACAGGACATGTAGACACACTCACCCCTACCCCCTTCCTTTCTAGACTGTACCATCAGCGATCTTACCCTCTACATCTGGCCAATGCGTCACTAAGAGCTATCTATGCACCCTTAGACTACCCCAAGATGTTGGACTTTCTCATTCCAGGCAAGCCGCTCCAATCCCATCGGCCTTGCTCCGGCCTCACTTGGAACCCAAACTCTCTTCCCATCCGCGATCACTCCGACCGTTCCACCCATACCCTCCCATCCCATCCCTTCCCCAACCCGCTTTCCAAAAAGAAAGAAAAAAGAAAGAAGAAGAAGAAGAAGAAAAAGAAGAAGAAGCGAAAAAAAGAAAAAAAAAATGATCAACCTCACACGCCGTCTCCGCCACCGCCTCCCCCCCTCCCTCCTCCCAACCCCAATTCTCAACCGAGCCCTCTCCGCCCCCATCACCCCAACCCCGAAACCCAAACCAGAAGTCCCGGTCGCCCGCCACACGGAGCCGAAGCCTCAGAGGAGGTCCGGCGCCGGGGACGTCGGGCGCGAGGCCGTGGCGTTCGACGGGGGCGTCGTGCCGGGGCTGACGCCGACGATGGCGAGGTTCACGCTCGGGGGGAAGGTGGCGGTTGTGACGGGGTGAGTTAGGTGGGGTCGCGTCGGGCTCTCGTGGATTATCTCGGGTTGAGGTGCTGCGGCTTGCTTGCTTGCTACGTGTGCTTTTGGCTCTGCGGCTCGGTTTTCTCCTTGATGCTTTGTTGGATCTACCTACAATCTGTTGTTATCTTTTCATACGATTGAAGAAAGAACACTGTGGAGATGTGACTTTGAAATCTTTATTATTGTTTGAGAAATGAGTCTGAGGCGAGACTGGTTATCTGCACTTCCACATCTCTGACCCAAGCACGTCCACATACAGAGGTGCCAGAGGCCTAGGCTGGAACATGTCCCAAGCACTCGCCGAAGCCGGCGCGCAAGCCATCGCTCTGATCGACGTGAAGCAGGATCTGGGGGACGCGGCGGCCGCGGAACTACACTCGACGGCGGGCATACCGGTCCGGTTCTACAGAGTCGACGTCCGGGACGCCAAAGCGGTCGCGGACGCGGTGGCCCAGATAACCTCGGACCTGGGTTCCGTGGACATCGTGATCAACTCCGCCGGGGTCGTAGAGTAAGGCCCATTCAAAAGTCCCCGGAGAGGGGAAGAATCGATGCCGCTCTCCAAGCTTTGTGCCACGCTCACCGGTGCACAAAGCTCCAACATCAAAGCCGAAACGTACGACGCCGCCATGTTCCGCAACCTCCTCGACGTCAACCTCACCGGCTCCTTCCTCGTCTCCCAAGCCTGCGCCCGCCACATGATCACCGCCCGCGCCGGCGGCTCCATCATTTTCCTCTCGTCCATCGCCGGCTCCCGTGTCCTGCACCCTCAGCAACAATGCGCTTACAAGTAAGTACTCCATCGATCTTTACCCTTCATTTCCGTATCTTTTCTTGACTTAAGAAATCCCCTCCAAACCGATTTTTCCACCGGCCTTCCCACCCAAACAAGCGATACTGATCCCGACCCCCCGGCCCAGCGCCTCCAAAGCAGCCGTAGCCCAACTGGCCAAATCCCTCGCAGCGGAATGGGCACCCCACTCCATCCGCGTCAACACCATCGCACCCGGCTACATGGACACGGCGCTGAATCGCGAAGCACTGCTCGAAGGGCAGAAGAAGCATTGGAGCGCCATGACGCCGATGGGGCGATTAGGCAGACCGGACGAGTTGAACGGCCTGGCGGTATTTTTGGCGAGCGATGCAAGCGGATTTGTGACAGGGGCCGAGATACTGGCTGATGTGAGTTGTAATCTTCAACTATTATTTGCGTAATGGTGGGAGGGGGAGTTGCTAATGGCTTGAACGTAGGGCGGTTATGCGGTATATTAAGATTTATGTCAGGGTATGGGAGGATAGGCGCGCGACGGATTTAGGAGAACCTTTCTCGTCGAGACAATTTAGAAGTGTATTGACTTAAGGGACTATGCGATTCGGGGTTTGAAGGAAACGGGGGGTATTCTTCGAAAAGGGGAGAAACTTGGGCTCATAAGCCAGGATTCGGGTAGATGCTTGTATTTGGAAGCGAAATCCTCGAGGGGAGCATGGGGAACGATTCCTTCTTTCATGAGAGACTCCGAGGGTGGTGGCCGCAAACACAGATTGACCCTAATCCAAGTCACTTTCCTCATGACCGTTCTGAGGGGTTCCAGCCATTGTATCTGATGAACCTAGAAGATTGACATACAACATGAGTCAAGGCAAGCGGTATCAACGACAACACCCGATGCAAACCTCGATCAAACCATTGCCTGCGTGATCAACCCCACATACCCATCTAAGCCAGCACTTCCTGGCTCTCTTTGCTCAGGCTGATTCGTCAAGCTGGGTCCACCTCCAGGCGTGACCAACACCTGAGTCCCCATCTCAATCCACTCTTGCGAAGTCACAAATTCGAATGTTATTTCGGTTTGCTGATTACCCGAGCTCTGGGACAATGCAGTGCTGCTGTGGTTGTTGCTGTTGTCGTCAAAATCAAAAATATCCTCAGTGGTAGGAGTTGCTCCTAGTGCCCTAACTTCTATAATTTTCGCAGATGCCCGAATGCTCGCGATGTAGACAATGACCAGTACTGCAGGCCAGGCGGGGAGACTGGGTTGTGGGAAGACTGCAGTGAAGCGACTGTACGCCGGAGATAGTGCACTCTTAAAATTCATTGGGGCGGAGACCATAACCATACCTCTTCTCAACGGCGGATTTGCGATTGGAGAGGAGCTATTGCTCTTGGAATGTAGTCCTTCTTGGAAAGTGATGGCAACAGTACCCACTTGGCCAGCTGATAATCTCTGCACAGGTAGCCGCAGATTGCGGAGACCGGTAACGCGTATCTCTTGCCAAATCTGAAGATCCGTGATGGAGATGTCAGCATCACCCGTTATGCCGGTGAAGTCACCAGAAGAGGGTCTTTGCCGGTCATGAGACATTGCGACCACTCGTGGTGATCCTTTGACCAGGCCAGGATAAGATCTAGCTCTGTGAATGTCAGGACTCTCGGCCAATTCTGCAGCGATGCCTGGGTTGCACGGCCCAATAAGCATTGTATCACCCACTTCTAGCACCCCGTAGCGTAGATAGCCACTCAGCACGAAGCCTGGTGCAGACCTTTCCGCGTTCGCAGAGTAAGGATGTGCGGGCATGGTAAAAACCTCATCCACATGGAACAAGCTCTGCGGTTTTGCACTATCTTGACCAGCGAAATTTGCGTGCTTGGCCATCGCACCCGGATTTGCTGGGAGCTGGTGTAGAAGGGCATGGAGTCGGCCAATGCCGCTCCCAGTCACAGCACTAGTAAGTACAATTGGCACTAACAGATGACATTCGGCAGGAGGTGTCGAAGCAATTGTTCGTTTTGCCGCATCCTCCTCGTCTTTGGCGACTGATTGAAGCTGAAGCTCGCCACTCTGATCCGAAGACGAAGACAATATGGCAGGCTTACGACCAGCAGCCTTCAAGGTGGTCAAGATCTTGGTAAGAGTATTTCGCAAGCCAGCTTTGGACGCGATGTCCAGCTTTGTAATGACAATGACCAACGGCAAGTTGAGCTTGAGGCATAACTCGAGATGTGCTTTGGACAGATCAACACCGACACCCGCAGAGCCGAGAATCTCACTCGAAGATGCGGTTGCGCCTACCCTGCCAGTGCTGTCCTCTCCGTCGTCTGCAGCCACGCAGCACAGAGTCCAATGGGGCGCCCAGGAGACGAGGCCTCGGACCGTGGTACGCCTGTACCGTGGATGTCCAGCTGAGTCAGTCACGAAGACTAGACGGCCCTCTTCAGAAGCAGCGTGTATATCGTTCCAAGAAGAGACATTGCCAGAAGCATAATTGATGACATTGGTATTGGAAGCAATTGCCTTTTTTACCGTTGCCACTTCCTGGTATCCAATTAGCTCCTGCGCCAGAGAGCTGGTTACACCAGAGACTATCTCGTGTCGATGCTTTAATAGACTGAGCCTGCTTTTTCCGCGGCCATTGTCCAGCGTAGAAGTCGATAGAGTACCAAGTAAAGATGACTTTCCCGAGGTAGTACTTCCCGTCAGAGATACGCGAAGCTGCTCACTCTGCGATTCAATCTCGCCTGTTTTGTGATCAGTAGCATCAATTTCAGCAGCTGTGGAAGCCAACTTATCCCGCTGTTGGGCTGCCAGATCGATTGATGGCTTCGAAGGGCCCAAGTGGGGAGCTACTAGCACTTCTGCAACCAAGAGCTTTTCCTTCCTCTGCCTGATCTCTGATTTATTTTTTGGCTGGGATTCTTCGGTCCATTGGCAGTCACCTACAACAATCACACGAAGTATTTGAACATCGCAACCCAAACTGAAAGCCATTGCACGAAGAACAGTCAAGCTCTCCTCTAGCTCGTCTCTGGTGAGGCCAACGAATGTTCCATCATCGCTAACACCAATCTCATACAGAGCGCCACTGCTCTCTTCGAGTCCTGGGATCAGCCTCCCAGGGCCTTTCGAGGAAGAGAGTTCGACGTCGGCTTCTGGCAGAATTGGCAGCACAAGACTTGACTTCGAAGAAGAATGATAAGGAGAAGACTGTTGAAGACGCCATAGCAATTGCGTAGTTAGGTGTTGCAGCCTATGTTGTCTTGACTGGCTGCTAGGCGCCAAGGCCGGTGTAGGCATTGGCTTCATTTCCGCCTCCACAATTGGCTGCGATGCGCGAGACTTGGACAAGTATGAACCAGATACATGCTGGACAGTCGACGTAGAAGAAAAGCTTCTTCGCGGTCGAAGCAACAGGTGCAGCTTGTATTCTGTAGGACCCTCTTGTGGCTCCGCCTCCAACTTTTTGATCCCACAATCGGCCAAAGGTATTGCTGACGGCATTTTCATGCCTGCCAGCATTAAGTGCCCATCTCCAGAGTTGGCATTTGGCCCCTCGGCTCTTGCTCCTGGCCACGGCGAAGATACCCTGGGTGGCTCAGGTTCGAAGGTGAAGATTGAAGCCATATCTTTCCACCTAGCCTCTATTTCTTGTGCCGAGGAGACACCTTTGCGTGAAATATTGTTCTTTCCAATTGGACTCTATATGCACACCCTATGCCGCTGTATTGCTCTATGGTGTAGCGTTCGTAAAGACCTAGTGTTCGTGTGAGAATGGTGGATGCGGAACAGCTGTGACAACGGAGGAAGCATCTTGACGGCCTCAAGTGTTTCTTATAGATAGGTTTGCAGGCTTTGCTGTGGTTGAAGCTACCAGAGTAGACTGGAAGCCTCAAGAAGAGGGGTCCTTGAGGGACATCTTGGCAAGATCCTGCGATGTGATCTGGAGGCTAGGCTGTGATTGCCGTTTGGGGCGAGGGTGCGGATCCTAGGATAAGCGGTAGATGTGAGTAGGACATATGTACGATGATCCAACAAGTGTTTTGTTGGAGTCAGAGCCTGAGGCAGGAGTTACAGTGTGACTAGTAATCGCGTTTGCCGCGCTTGCTCGATGGATCCGAAATCCCACGTCGCCAACTCGACCACACCTTAGATATTTTACAAGTACTTGAATGTACACTGCCTTCGAGGAGGCGAAGGCTCCAGCCTACAACATCTCGCAACGTTTTGCCTCTGTGTTTCAGCAACTGGTGTCTCAGATGGCATGCAGTTGCATCTCCGACGTTGTAGAGCATCACCGGCTTTGGGGGCGGAGGCAGGGCTTGGCGGAAATATATGTCAAGGCGCAGGCCAAAGCCTCGATGTTGGCAATGGCGAAGACTCGAAACAACATATGCTTTCCAGCGCAAAGTTTCATATTGAATATCTGATAGCTGGAAACAACAGAACAAAAAACTCCGGTCCCATTTCTATGTTCCCAACGCCAAATGTATGCTGAACCCCGCTGTAAATGCCCGTCCCAATGTTTCATCTTAATACCGTAAGGGTCCTATCCACGGTACCCCAGTATGAAATGTCGTAACCAGTGATCAACGCTGTAGAGTCCCAGACCCATTGCTATGCCGTAATTTCGCTCAAAGTACCTGCAAAAAATAATGGAAAGAGGCAAATCGAAGTCGCGTGAGAGTCGACTCAACGATCCGACGAGGATCTCGCCTTGCACTTGTCGTGCGCCAAATGTCCGTCTCTGGCTGTCTTCCTCGTGAATTCTGCACCGCAGCGAGGACAGACGGACTTTGATGACGTGCCGGACTTCTCCCGTTGGTGCCTGAGGAGATTGCTAAACGTAGAGAATTGACGGCCATTGCAGCCGTGATCCCAGCATTGAGGTTTCTTTGGAGTCTCAATCACGACTGGCTCCATATTCGATGGTACACCAGAGCCTCGCCTATCGCCGCGGTAGCCATATATGGCACTGGACGTGGTAGGAAGACTTGGGTTTTGAGAGCTTCTGTGGAGGTTAGCGTAGGTTCGAAATAGTTCTGTGTCATAACTCGACTTACGAAGAGTACATCGTGTGCGAGCCAACGCCGCTTGTACCGTATGCTGTTGTGTAAGGATTATCGTAAGGGGAACTGCACGGCGAGAGTCAGCAATGGGAGGTTTGTCAGCAAAGAATGTTTGCACCCACGATGAGACGCCTGTCAAGTAAGACCCTTGAGCTGAGGAAGTCGAAGGGGTTCGACCGTAAGCGCTGTGGCTATCGTATGATGATCCGGAATGAGCTAAAAGATAGTCAATCGAACCGCTCTCAGTATCTGCCTCGCCCGGCCTAGCGTATGGGGTGCTCGGCAGCATAGTCCTCCGTAAAAGGAGCTTCGACTGACGGCGAGACTCATGGAGCTTTCGCTGCCGCTGCCGAGCAACCTCACGCTCTAAACCTCTAAATCCACCATAGGCCGAGCTTGGCAGTATGCTAGGACCGGAGGGACCAGACATACTGCGTGATAAAGAAGCTTCCGTGCTCGGGTTGGTATAGCCTGAATGTTTTAATTCATGAAATGGAATGCTTTCGATCAAATGATCAGTGACTTACCTCGCTGAGAAGGTGACCTTGATGGGCCATAAGAGCTCGTGTCGCGGTAGCTTGTCATTGTGTCTGATGGATACGGGTAACTACTGGAAGCTGTTAGAGTTGATCTCATGAGATGATAGACTCTCAATTTACCCCATGTCCGTCCGGCCAAGTACGCTTGTTGAGAATGGGCTTGCACGAGTGCTAAAGGTTCCAGTGTCGGAGAAAAGCTGGTAATCTGAAGGATCTAGCAAAGTTGTTCCGAACGAGGTGGAGTTCTCTAGAGCCGAGAAGGAAGCCGGTGATGCAGCTCGGGTATAGCTGCTGGATACGTAATCGGGCTGGAGGTAACCTGAACTGAGTTCGCTTCGAGGATACGACGGTCGTCGACTTCGCTGGTCGGGCAAAAGATACGAAGAAGGGCCGGACTGATATTGAGCTCCAGCGGTCTCGTTCAGCCCAAGGTTTTGGAAGCTGGCTTCGGTAACGGCAAGGTTTCGGTCAATACGGGGACTGCTTCCACGTGAGTAGTCTGAAGGACGGCGATGAGAACGAGACATTTTGAACGTTATGGATGTAATGAAATGGAGAAACAAACAGGATCTTTCAATGTGGATGTGGTTTTACATCCAGCTCGCTAGAACAAGAACAATTGTGAAGTATATATCTGATTTCAAAAATAAACGTACGTGGTGTGAAGTCTTTAGATGGATCGTGCAACGATCTTGGAGAGTAGTTGTTGCTAGATCCCAACGAGGCAATGGCTCTGAATATAAATCGCAGGATCGCTAAGCCTGGTGTATGGTGAGTGGCCAGTGCCAGATGTTTGACGGATTCTGGAGGATGGAGACCCCTGTTAACTTTGACGGGGTTGCCCACGCCGCTGAATCCTGATTCGGGTACGGTGCAACCAACAGGTTAGGGCCAGTATTTGACGACTTATCTTGAATGCAGTCACCGAAAGAAAACAAAGGTTGAAAATCCACTGTTTCAACCGAAAGGCTGAGCAGGGGAAAAGATTTTAGGAAAGAAGGTGCCTGGAAGGAGGAAGGAGGAAGAGAAGGACCCTAAGTATGAAAGAGACTTCTGACATTCACCGCACCGCACTTACTTGATTAATTATCTCCATGAACCCCGTGATGACAGCTTATTGCGTCGTTTGGGAACTCCTGGCTTTGGGTGGGTCAAGCCGTTGCCTTGGCGAATCGCAAGCCATTAAACGCTTGGGGTTGTCACGGATCTAGATGGAAGATGCGCAATCAACATTGGAGATGAGCTACTCGAAACCGAGAGCATGTGGCGCAGGGGTGGGTTGGATTCTCCCGCAGCCGTGCAGTTGGGATCCTTCGTTTCAAAAAGTCACAGCCCTACGGACGTTTAGTACTGATGACAGTCGGTCGAATATAAGCACATGATGCTAGGCAGTAACGGTTGCCCCGAGCTGACATTTTGGAGTAGCATTCTTCTGGCTAGACCACGTCGGAATAGAGGCGTACTTGTTTCATGGGCGGTCAAGAAAGCGTGTCCTTGGGGGCACTTGGAACGCAGAGGAACGGCATGGAAACTGGAATGAACGGTTCAGGGGAAGAGCATGACCAGCCTCGAATCCTTTCAAAGGCGTGAATGGCTTGCTTGGTATGCCTCTCTTGATGCCTCTTGATGCTTCTTCGAGGCACGGGGGCGCTTATTCCTCGTCTGCCAATGGGTCGCCGGATGGGAGATTGCGACGTAGTTTTCCAGGTCAGAGACAGAGCTGAAAAGCTAGAAGATAGTCTGTTCGGCATCTCCAGGAAGCCTACCTCGATTGATTGATAAATGGGAAGAAGGAAAATGGGACGAAGCTGTTTTGTGGTTAGCATCATTCTTTGCTTTGGCATGATTGGGGGCATGCTGGGCATTCTAGGCATTTTGGGCCCATTGCTATTATTGGGCGAGAACAGGCAGCCGAGGCATAAAGGAGGCAGCTTGCATGTGTTGCTTATCCTGCCCTGGGAATAGTGGTATGATCTGCAGAGTCTAGTCACATTGTCAGAGTTGAAGGGCCGATCATTCATTATTTGATGACAACGAGAAGTGTCGCAAAGAGAATGATGGAAATCGTTCCGTCCGCTGCCAGGCGGTGAAGAGGCGAAAGGTGGTAGTGGGGAGGCTCAGACTAGGCTTAGTCGACAGGTAAAAACGGTAAAACAGTAAAACTTGCGCGCAGCTAAAAAGAACGCGAAAGCCCCCCCCCCCTCCTTCTATGGTGCCCCTCTCGCTGAATTCCTTCTACCTTTTATTCTTCCTCTTCTTTCTTTGTTTCTTTTTTCTTTTTTCTTCCTTACCTGGGTAGGGACCATCTTATGCTTCAATCCATTCTTGGGTGTCATACAGCGAGGGGAACCACATCAACAAGGGGATCATTACTTCATTTGAAGTAGTCTCGATTCTTGGTAGATAATTGGGCGGTTAATCGTTTGTTGTAGAGACTAGGTAGCTCTGTCTACAGGAGCTCTGGCAAAGTAAATTCACACCAACGGGCCAAACAACTTCCCGGACAAGCCCCCCGCATCGAAGGTTGCGGTTCCCTTAAACCCTACCCTTCCTGACTCTTGACTCCTCAACAGATGCACAACAATGAAATCTCGTCATTTAACTAAAACAAAGTAAAAGTACTGAGGTTCGCTTCATTCTTCTACTCCCAACCACTTCTGCTTCTTCTGCTGCTTCTGCTGCTGCTGCTTCTTCTCCTCCCATATTCTATCATCTTGGAGGCCTAGTCGGGGTCGCCGAGATATTGCTCAAGCTTTACTCGATGATTAGACTTTGTCCTCTGAATGGTGACATTGAAGCTGAAAAGCAGTTACCGTGCCGTGTCCACTGACGGCTTGTCCCCATTCCCCAACGATAGATAGCATTGAAACGTGGAGAATGGAGGTTGATCAATGCGAAACATTCGTGTCCTATCTCATAGCCCCCAATCTTGACTCGTGTATGCCAGGGATCATGAATGCCACATGTCCAGCCCTATTTCTTCCTTCCTTCGTTCGCCAGGGCTGAAGCACACTGCATCTCGGCTATGCAGATCATCCTAGCAGCAGAGGCTGATGGCCTGAATGTGCTGCCCCTTTGAGTTAACGTAGGATTGCTGACCGCTTCAATTTGTCATCCTCATCCGGCGTCTTATATCCGATTCGCTGGCATACCGCATCATCCGATTCTAGAGCATACAAGCTTATGAACATGAGTTCGAGATTAATGAACAATCCTTCAAGAACCGCAAAAGCTTTTGTCCACTCCAGATTCTAGTATGCAACCCGTCGACCGCCTGGAATCGTGGGGAGCGTATGCGTCCCCTTCGGCGTGTAGTTGCAGCGCCTCGGTCGCCGGGCAGGTAGATGCCAAATTCCGAGCTTCGCATCGAAACCTTAACACTCCGGCAATGTGATACTCTTTCAACAGCCCACAGTTACATCAGCATTGATAGCGCTGTGGTTTATTTCAGTCCAGGAACTTACGATGGCAATTCGATCCCTGCTTCGACGTCATGAAACAAGTTTCAGGACGCTTCGCCCTCTTACCGGGTCATCGAATCCGCACTGCCGATAATTTCGCTCTCTATAGCGTTTCTTCGTGCTTCCTCCTGCTCGCTGATTATGTCCTTGAAGACGCTGAATTGAGTCTCGCAGTCAGTATTGCCTTTAGAAGGGGTCATGTCGAGTCTTGGGACTTGTTTTGAAGAGTAAACAACCTCAAGACTTGTCTCAAGATTCAGGGTTTGGTTCAGCAAAGAAGGTATGGACTCAGAAAACACGTACTGGTCCATGGCTTCTAGTGTTCTGCCGCTCGTCTCAGGGACAAAATAGAACGTCCAAATCAGTGATAGCAAGCAGAAAACGGCGAAGAAAGTATAAGCCCCAAATCCAGTGTTGATCACGAGAGGTGGCGTGATGAGACCGATGATGAAGTTGTTTAGCCAGTTCGAGCACGTCGCTAATGCCACTCCCTTTGCTCTAAGAGAGGAGGGAAATATCTCGGATGGCATTGCCCAGGGCACCTGCGCAGATTTCGGAGTCAGCATTGCTTATTCAGGAACCAAGGTCAAGAAGCTGAGCAGTAAGACAGGTCTGGGGAGTGAAAGGTACATTCTGTTCCCCAGACCTGTCTTGAGACTAGACCTAGGTTCAAATAAGCAGAAATTACCACGGAAAATACGTACTGGTCCCCATGAAGCTCCGAAGCTCAGCATGTAAAACAACAGAAATGCAACACTAACCCAGCCGGCTGCACGGTGGCCTGGCCAGTCACTGGAGAACTTACCCACGAGAACGGCGATGATCAAATGCGACAGCGTCATGAGAAAGCTGCCCCAGAGCAATAGGGGCCGTCGTCCAAACCTGTCCATTGTCCAAAGACTAGTGATTACCCCCACGAGCTGAGTGACATTTAGGACGCCGGACATGATGAGTTGGAGGCTATAGTCCAAACCCATGGTCTTGAACAAGGTAGGTGAGTAGTAGATCAGTGCGTTGATGCCAACGAATTGCTGAAAAAACATCAGGCCTACTCCAATATGCGTCCTCCGCCAGCAACCCCGCTTGAAGCAATCGGTCCAAGAGACGATCTCGAGCTTTATGCGGCTCATCACGCTACGGTCCTGGAGCGCCGGGTGCCTCAAAGCGCTATTTTCCTTGTGAAAGGCTACCTCAGCCCGGATGTCAAACCATTCTTGCTGGATTCGGGTATCGGTCGTCGGCAATTGCCTCAATTTGGCCAGAGCCTGCAATGCTTCTACATCCCTACCCTTTGACGCAAGCCAACGGGGCCTGTGAGTGCGCACGGTCAGCGACTTCTCTTACGGACAGCGCTTATAGATTCATTTAGAAGACTCACGAGAATGGAAGGAACAAGATTCCTAATCCAAGCACAAGACCGGGAACGAGTTGCAGCAAGAATGGTAGTCGCCAGGCCCATTCTCCGGCGATGTATCTTGTGCCGTATGTGATCCAGAACGCCACAACAATTCCCGTGACGATACTCAACTCCTCGAGGACTAGTAACGCGCCTCGAATCTCCGGCGGCGAGATTTCGGAGATGTACAAGGGTGCAACCATGCTCAACATACCAATGCCGATGCCACCAATAAGTCTGGCAGTAACCAGCATCGCATAGCTGATCGACGCTGTTTGTAGGACCGAACCTATAGTAAAAATCGTTACGGCGACGACAATTGAATACTTCCTAGAGATCTTGTCGGCAACCCACTTGAAGCCCGCGGTGTCAGCATTCTCCTCTGGAATGAGACTTGAGGCACAAGATATGTTCAGGGATAAATCAAACCCGAACCGTGGCTTACGACTCAGATTGTGCTACGGAATAGGAAGAAAAAACCACAAAAGCAAACTCACGCCTTGATTTATGGCTCCAATCAGCGCACCCAACTCTATCAGGATGTCAGTTTATTGTTACCTCTATCCAAATCGATATCCACAGGATTACCTATCATCGCTGTCAACAGACCCTTCCAGAACCCTGCGCCACTCGCAGTATCCGATACCCTGGTGAAGTGCGCCAGGAACTGGGGCATAACAAGTACGATAGAAACAACGCCTTGATCATATCCGAAGATCATGCCCCCAATTGCAGCGAACGCTGCGCAGAGCGCCGCATAATAATTAGTGAAGACACCTTTGAATCCTGGAGGTCCGTAAGTATCTCGATGTTCCCACACCGCCTCAGAATGATGTATGAAGATGTCGCCAGTGTTCTGTGTGGGTATGTCCCCTTCCTGTGTGTTATTTTTCATGGCCATAGCTGAAGACATTTTCGCAAATGAAGCAAAATGATGAAGAACAAGTTGAAGATGACCGTGCTGGAATATCAAGAAGATATGGAAGCGTTGTACAAATTTGAAAACACGAGTTAGTCACGCGCCTTCGCTAAAGTATGCTGTTTCCCCACTTCTTAGAGTCTGTAGCAGCATAGTGATCTAGTAATATGATCCCGAGAAACGGAGTGACCTTTGGTCCAGCTACTCCACAGCATCATGTACTCTGACAACTAATATCAACATGTCTTGGGAGCATTCAAAGCTGGACGTAAGCGGAAGATTTTGGCACCGATTGGATCAGTTTCGTTATATACTGCGTAGGGCTGAGTGGGTAGAGTAAGGTAAAAGTACCTTACCTTAGCTCTTGCCTTATCGATTGGCGCTTGGCAACATGACCGCCAGGTCACGAATCAACACGTCTCCAGGCCACAACTTCTCGCATATACACGTGTCAAAGTACATCTCTTTCCACCTATTGTCAATATAGATCAGTCCATTGCTCACCATTCGGTCCTTCAATCAAGCAGCTTCCCGATATCTCACGGAAATACTCATAGATTAGAAGTCGAGACGCACTCACTCTCTACCATCCAAAGCAGATCGCGAAGGATCTCGTCGAGAATTTGAATGTACTACGAATCAGCGTGCTGATCCTCCGTGACAATCCTCCGTGACGCTGTCCTTAAAAATCTAAGACCTCCTCGACAGGATCGGAACTGCTCCTTCCCGTCTCCATCATGGCAACCTTCTTCACCGACCTCATCTCCTCCATCTTCACACCTGGCCCAACCCCATCTATAATAGTTGCAACCAACGCCTCCTTCGCGGCCCTCCAAGTCGTGTTCCTCGTCCTCCTCATCCTCACATACAGCGTCCACTTCGTTGTCCTCTCGTTTCTATGCGCCGGACTGTGGTGGGCAATCAACTGGTTCGTTACAGAGCTAGAAGCTGCAAACAAACAAGAGAGAGACATGAAGCAATCGAGGGAGATGAAAAGAGGGCAGGGGCAGGAGGGGATGGGAGTGGAGGATAGTGGGACCGAGACGGAAGGTGGGGGTACTCAGAGCGAGGGGGGAGTCTCGGGCAGCATGTCAGAGAGGAAGACAGAAAGACTCTTGAGACCGGAGGATGCACAAGGTGTTCTGCGCAAGCGAATGAGTTCAGGGGAGGCCTCGTCTGGAGATCTGAGTACGGATTCTGACTGGGACAAGGTTTCGGAGGCAGAGGAAGTGGATAGGTAGGAGGGCACGAAGAACCCTCGTGGTTTCTTACAGCATGTTTTGAATGCGTTCTAGAATTTTGAAAGACGCGTCACATGGCATATGGTGGTGGACATCACTGCGCGCCAAGCAGCTTTTCCGGGAACTACTTTGGCATTGACAGTTACACAGTCTAGCTTGAAACACTTCTATGTAAGACTGAAGGCTCTCAACATCCCTCAAGTCATCCTTATATCCAAGAGTCATGGCAATTCCGAAATCAAGTGCCAAAATCCAGTGGAGGTCTTGATATGCGTCCCAATTAAGTTTAGCGCCGCCAAGCCAAAATCAACCGCCCAAAACTGAATGCCAGTGCTTTTGAAGACACTCATCGCTAGCGACAATACAACATTTCCGACACCGACACTGGCCGTTTTCCACCCACGCAAAGCCTTGAAGGCCCTACCAGAAGACTAGCAAGGCACGATGAAGCTCGTCAGGTAAGCCTCATACCGTGCTCTTCTGCAGACATAGATTTCCAAGCTGAGCTCCAACTTCAAGGCTCGCCTTTTCGCAGCAGCGCTGACCACCTGCTAGATTCCTGATGAAATGTGCTAATGAAACTGTCACGATTGAGCTCAAGAATGGTACCATCCTCTCGAGCCGATCGCATTCTGACTTCAGCTACTGCTAACGCTTCTTTACAGGCACCATCCTCCACGGCACCATCACCTCCGTCTCCCCCCAGATGAACACCGCTCTCCGCGCCGTCAAAATGACACCCAAAGGCCGCGACCCGATTTCTCTCGACACCATCAATATCCGTGGTTCAACGATCAGATATTACATCCTGCCTGACTCGCTGCCGTTGGATACGCTGTTGATCGATGATGCGCCGAAGCCAAAGAATAAGGCTAGGAAGGAGGTTGCTGATAGGGGTGGGCGTGGAGGGAGGGGGGGACCGAGGGGCAGAGGCAGAGGTGGTGGTGGTGGTGGTGGTGGGTTCAGGGGTGGGAGGGGAAGGGGTGGTGGGAGAGGTTTCTAGGAATAGCATGCAGACGAAGAGAGAAGGCAGGGATGTGGGTCCGAGCAGTCGCATGGGGCTGTCAGAGGGCATGGAATTTGACTCTCCCAAAAGTAATTTGAATCTCTCCTGATAGAGACGGCAGGCATGAAAAATGCCTGAGGCTACGGAGCCTAGTATTTACTTGGTAACAGACTCATTATGATTGACTCGGACAATCTCGATTGGACATTCTTCACAAGGAGTTGATCAATGCGCGTTCCATTGTTGGACCAGTACCTCATTAATCAGCTTACGTCTAGAATTTGTTAGATACCCCCTAGCCACGCCAGATTCTGATGATCTGGAGCTTCTCCCACCCAGCTTTCTTCCCTGAATGACCCACAGCAGCAACCGACCATGCGTCGCCCCACCCCCTTACACGTTGCATAATTTCTCCGGGTTTATTTTGTGCGCAGAGTAATATGTAAGCTGTGCCTCTCGCAAGGTTCAACAAATCGGGAAGCCGCTCCAGAAGCCTGTTGGTGACCTCAATGCCATCCACACCTCCATCATACGACAATTGTAGCAGGTGCGAGTCCTCCTCAAATGTCCGTGAAGTGCATTCGGTATCAGTGATCCCTGTGCCCGGTTTGAAATATTTAAGCTCGGGCACGGCGGGGGAGGGCACGTATGGCGGGTTGAAGATTAGCAAATCGGTTATTCCGTCTCGTATCGGACTGGCCAAGTCTGCGCTCAATGTTGCGAGCAAAATGCCCGCGCCATCGACATCTTCTTCCTTGGTCGCCTGACACGCTTGCGTCACTGTCTGCTTGGTAGCCTCGCAGGCAAAGGTGTTCACGTCAGTGCCTAGGGCGATGACATCAGCACGGCCGAATATTGCGTGGGCGTGAGCAGTAACGAAGGCGAGGACTACGCCAGAGCCTGAACCGACTTCGAGGACTAGCGGTGAGGGATGTGAATCATCATAATGTCCTGTCGGTTGATGACCGGCAAATCGCTGCGTGAGAAATCGCGTCTCTGCTTCTGAGGAGAGCGTATCCAACAGAAGGAAAGAGTCTTCTGCTGGCTCATATATGCGGTTTGTGTCCACGTGAGATGTTGACGGCGTAGGCAGCATTACCTGAACAAGGATTGGATTGAGAGGTTGAGACTTGAGAAGGTGGCAGGAATGATCTGCGGGGTGATGTCAACTCCGAAATCGACACCCTGGATTTCCAGCAATTCTGCGAACTTCCGAAATAACACAAATACCAGCCATGAGAGTATCGGTACGACTACTGGCGAAGCCTACAGCTATTGGCTCAACCAATGGACTAAAGCCAGCTCCATTGGCTTTGCTGCCACCGATCCCACTGTACAGACGGCTGCTGCGAGCACACCGGAAATACTTGGACCCGCAGATGCGTCTGCTCGGAGACGAGTACATCAAGAGCGAGTATCGATCTCACCGCAATGTCGAAAATCCTATGCATATTGTAAGCTCCGCTTTGTGTTATTATTGGCAACTTCGAGAACCCCTTCTGGGAGCTAATAACACCGACAGATTGGATTCTTGACCGAATGGCAGATGTACGCCCAAAATATCGAAGGCGGCTCTTGGAAGGGGGAGAAGATAGACAAAGGCAAGATCGACAAGATGAGTGGTATAACACTTCTATTCTAAGCATTGAGGGTTTAGCTAACGCGGGTACGTGCAGACCAGCAGCTTGGGCAGCTCTATGAACTCATGCAGGCCATACAGAAGCAAGCACATGAGGATGGCGGTAATGGATCATGAGGCCTATGCGCCAAGCTACGTTTCATGAAGCCTGGTGACTCGTTGGGTGTTGTTCCACTACAGCCACTCATGTCGAGAGGCGATGGTTTCGGATGCGTCTCTGGAACATTGACAGACACCCCCCTGCGTCATGGAGAAGCTGAATCTCTACTTTACCGACTCAACCTTCCAACCTTTGCGAGCATACACAATCTCGCCAGCAACGTGTGAATTGGCTTTTAGACAAGAATATCCGAATTTATCAAAAGCCTCCCAGCATCATCAAAGTGTGAGGCCAGCCCCAAAAACATTCAAAACCACTCTCTACGCACCCACTCCAGTGCCCCTCCGGTACCAACCCTGCGCTCTACGACAGACGGATCTCCCTTCGATATCAACAATGTGCATCACCAAGTTATCAAAACACTCGGATTGCGGACACTGGTCGTGCGAGATCAAAGAGCCTTGCAAAGAAGGTCGCGATTTCTCCAACTGCGCATCCTTCACGAATGGCGTAGCTCGGAATGCAGCAAAGTATCCACAAGAGTTAGCAAAGGAGAAGACTTGTCCCAAGTGCGACAAGAACGACGAATATGATGGGAAGAAGATTAGGATGGTCAAAGCGACGGTACATGCCACAAAGTTCGGCTTTGGACCGAACGTGAGTCATCATCTCCGAGCCAACTCTTCCCGTTTTGTACTGCATTTTGAGCTGCGAGGCTTGTCGTAGCAATAATGCCTTTTTTGGGACCTGTTTAGCGATTCACACATTGTTCCAAAAGTGATATTCTAACTCAGAAAGCAATTAGAGGTCGGACTGTGGGATTAATCTCGGGAAGAAGACGCGGAAGTATGGGCCGAAGAAGGAACCAAGTACGATGTTGCTGGCAGAGGGAGGCTGCGTTGTGATGTGAGACTTGGGAGGGGTTTGAGTATGGGTGGACATGGGCTTTTGGACGGATGTCTGTTACTTGCGTACGAAATTTGAAATGTATCATCCAATCTGTCATGATTATTGGTCGAAGCCTTTATGAATTTGAAAATACGGCATTGTCAGAAAAAGTATTGGTAGCGGTAGGAGTGAAGCCGCTCATTGATGATGCATCATGAGGAAGCCAAAAAGACGCCTCAACCCTGTCATTGGTCCCCACAATCTGCCCTTAAAGCAGCCTAGAGAGCGGAAGCACGGTCTCGGCTTCCAGTGGGGACTACATTAGCTCCGGGGGCTGCAGCTATAATCGTTGCTGGGTCAAGCTTGAGCTGGACCGAATATAGCCTGTTGTCGATTCGACCTGTCTCTATTTCCAATTGCGACATAACTTCCTCCCCGGAACATCTACACACCTCCAGTTCAAAAGCCATTGCCTTTCTACACACAAGTTGGTCCTTGCCATGGCATTTGTGGGTGAGAAAGAATTGAACTTTTACTACTAAGGAAGGCTGCGAAAGAATCCCACCAAGCGATTTCCAAGTTAACGGGCAACCTCGTCCCCTCAACAAGTCGACCTTCTCGAGACCTCTGCTTGCGGCTACTGGTCGGGACTCGAAGGCACCATAGATGATGGCACGAGCTCTTCCCTGAAAAAGTCTTCAAGATATCCTCATCTAGCAAAGTCTTCGTTCAAGACAATACACAGTGCAGTCTGGTGAGAGGTCTCGCTTGAAGTCAACACACCTTGAAGAAAATCAACAGTACATCAATTATTTCGGGTGTTGAGAGCCAATTATGGAGTCTGAGGAATCGCTTTTGAGACCTTGCAAGTCGTTACCGCCTCTCTTCAAGGACCATGATGCTCTGCAAAACCGAATAAGCCCATATCTAGGTAGCGTTTCCTCTACGCAGGGCGAGATGGGTCAAGGGGTCAGTAGTCCCGCAAAGGAGAACGAGGGAAGCTATGTGACGCAAGAAGATGATGTGATAACGCAAGAAGACAAGGGTTTCAGGTCTCATGAGCGCAAAGAAACAGAGTCGGCGGCGAATGTCAGGAGGGAAGGTCCTCTAAACCTTCTCGACTTGCCCTTGGACATACTGAAGGATATCTTGAAGGAGGTTAGTATATACAAAGGGGATACCTAAGAGACTATGTGCTAACAGCACCTCAAGGTGACACACACGAGCGATTTGTGTAGTCTTGCCGCCTCGAACTCTGCCCTACATTCTGTCGCTATCCCTCTCATCTATAGCAGATTCGATATAGTATGGCCAGAGACCCACAATTCTATCGAGCCCCGTATAGGCGTCGATGCATTGACGTACGGCCTCGCCACGCTTGTGATGAGAGAAGACTTATTCGAACATGACATGCTTTCCAACAGTCCTACTTGTGGAGCATCCTGCCAGAGATACACATGCACACAGTGCGGCGCTGTGAACCTCTTGAACCAAACCTCAAACATTCCCGTCAAGCCCCGAAGATTACGACGAGGCAACTACTTTTCCCAATTCACTAAGAAATTCTCTCTTGGGAATGGCCCCGCCGATTTGGTCGCGGACTATCTTGTGACAAAAGAAAGTGGGAAATTGCTAGGAACGCTGGTCGCATTGAGCGTTGCTCGAATGCCAAACTTGGTAGGAAGTTCCCAAACTTCAACATTCAGCGGTGTCTCCGCTAACACAATATGACAACCAGGAGTCCTTCGTGCGTATTCTCGGAGCCCGCATTCTCTCTTTTGGAGCAAATCTTGAGTCTTGAGACATGTCTCGGGAGTCTTTACTCTCGAAACATGTTCCGAGGCTCGATATACCTCCTCAATTAGGCAATACTGACGGCGAAATTGTGATCTAGGTGTGGGATATGCCTACCGGAATTTTGAGAGACATATGGATAGCTCTGTCATCTCTAGGCGACTATCAGTCACCTAAATTAGAGAAGCTTTGGGTGCGCATGCACGACAACAGAGCGGCTCTGTCAGAAGCTGAAGTCACTCAAACGAATACTGCTTCACAACCTGCTCAAGACGCACCTAGCCAGGCACCTACGTTAGCACCCGCACAGGGGACGCCATATCAGAACTTCGATCTGGGAGGTGTCCCAAGGTTGGTGTTAGCAAAAAATCATCGGGAGGAGCCTAATTTCTCCATCATGCCTCCCCTACGTTCGCTAACGGTCCTTGATATTGACGAGATAGCGTATGTAGAGGAGTTGAGCGTACTTCTGCGGCGTTCATTGGGCAAATTGCGGGAATTGCGCATCGGCTTTGGTCCAGTTCTCCATAGTTCATACAACGATCGCGAACAACCACCCTTGAGACATGTAGCTACAGGTGGTCCACTACCATTACTGATGAGCAAGATATACGACTACTTAGGAGATCTCGACAGGATGACACTGCTGCCCGAATATGATACTGAAAGCGGACAGTTGATAAATCGTCCAGATGATGCAACGAACGAAGACACAAAATCTCCACCTCCGACGTCCATTGCCTTCATTTTAGGTCCACCCATGAATGGAGCAGAAGTTACGTCTAACGACATGAATCATGAACCAATTTCTGGTCTGCCAGAATCCAAAGTACCTAGGATGAACTTGGATGCTATTGACCCGGCGTTATTAGAGGGAGCTGCATCCCATGAAGGCGGAGAGATGCCAGGGCCACAATCAGTACCAGAGAGGAGCCCTGTCGGGATGTCACAAGGTCCGGTGGAGCGGCTTGAGGCGAAAGAAAAGTCAACAAGCGATCAAAGGTCGCTCATTCAAGGAGGACTGCAGCAAACCGGTACAGCGGGCTCCAGAACTTCCTACAATGGTCTGAAGCCCACACAGAGACTGCAACTCGAGACCCTTGAAATCGAAAAAGTTACTCTGCATGTGATCACATTGTATGAAACGCTAGACTGGACAATACTTACGAGTTTGACTTTACTGAATTGTGGAGGCACCGAGAATTTGTGGTCTTGCCTCCAGGAAAAATTCCCGCCTCGAAAGACATTGGTCGTTTCAATACCCGTGCACTCCACCAAAAAGCGTGGAAGCCAACCTCGTCTCCGCCGCATGCCTTCTTCGGAAGCCTTATCAAAGACATCGGAGTACCCTCTCAGTCTAAAACGAATCCATACCGACCACGTCACATCCACCCTCATTTCGTTCCTCAAGCACGCACTCGCTCCGAATAGCCTCGAATGGCTGTTCCTCCAGGACACTAGCATGCATGGATCGTTAGTACCCCTCGACGCCATTTATCGCGGCGCTCTACGCCGCCACCGCTCTAGCCTCACGAAGGTCATGATTGACAGCGCCATTGTTTCTCAAGGAAGCCGTATGCGCGGCGTAACCGCTAAAAAGTGGATGCTCACCCGTGAAGTCCTCACATTCATAAGTAGTGGAAAGATGAGTCGACTCAGGGAGCTTGCGATGACTATCCAGTACAAAGACTGGCACTTCTTCCTGCAGAGACTACCTCAGATACCTCACCTCCGCTCGCTGTACGTACCCTATATCGCCGACCATCCCTACGGAGGTTCGTTGAACGTGAAGGATTTCGCCTTGAGCGCCATAGATGTTGTTGCTTTGAGGCCAGAGGTGGAGCTTTGCTATTTGGGCATCAAAGACAAGTGCTTCGAGATTCTGGAGACGAAAGATAGTAAGTATGGCATTTCTCGGAGTCATCCCTTCCTATTCGAGACTGCTTTAATGGTCGCGAGACATATTGGAGGAACAAGTCTACCATTTCACAACTTTTCTACCGCCCAAACATGTCTAATTATTAATCAAATATTCATCAATGAGTGGGATTGCTGACTCCGCTAGGGAAGTCAAAGGACGGAGCTGGCTCCGCCTCATCGACTGCAGGAGGCGGTGAATCTGACAATGATGAGGATGCTGAGGTTCACCATGACCATGACGATGACGACGATGATGACAGCGAGGACGAAGACCCAGCGCCCGTGACTCCGGCAACACAGACGCAGACGCAGGCACAGGGTACGGACTCGGACATCGATCCCGTCACCGATGACGACGAGCGGGACCCTGCCGGCAGTGGGGCTAGTGTCAAGCTGAAGCTGAGAGAGATCTTGTTCTATGACGACCGGATATCGATCTTCAAGGCAAGACACAGACGGCTTTAGACGATTCTTGGTTTTGGCTTTCGGATAGAGGCCGGTATGAACATGAATGATTACCTTAGCTCGATCCCATCAGTAATACAAGAGAATATAGCAAAAGTCGTGCATAGAGAGAAGCTCAAGGTTCCACATCTGCAGAGACAAACTGTCAGAAACAGTGACGGTCCTAAGAGCTCGAATCTTTTTGGTTTTGCGTACTTTAATGGGTATCAAACTTAATGAACTGACTGTCTATATCAACTCAGAAGATTCTGGGATCTTCGCTCCTGGGGCGCTCCTCCCCCTTTATACATGATTCTCCGCCTCATCCTCTTTACACCACGTCGTGTCATCTCCCGATACCTGACCTCTTCCAACCACGGCGCAAAGCGTCGTATACCGACAAGATCCGACCCGCACTGCCGCGATCCTCGGGACTTCCGGAGACGTCTCGCCCCAGAGCTGCCTCCGATGGGCTCACATCCCGACTCCGCGGCAACTGCGCCAGAACATCGACCTCATGGATACTCCAATCCTGCAAATCCCTCTTGCCGATCAGACTCTCCGTCGCCCAAGTATTCTCGTACCACGGGCTTTGGCTGATATCGCTCCCGTTCTGTTGGTTGAAGACGTAGAGGTACGTCCCGTTCGTGCTGACATCCGTATCCGTCCCGATCGGCAACGCGGCAGCAGCGAGCGTGCCGCCGGTCATGGCGGTGTCGATGCTGTTCGTACCGCTGTCGACGACTGCGCCCCAGGAGCCTACGCCGGAGGGACCGGCTGTGAGGGGGGGTATGGCTTCGACATCGGAGTTTGGTTGCTGGTAGACGAGGAGACCGAGGGCGTAGGTTAGGGATGAGTTCGTGAGGACGTTTACGGGGGCGGTGGAGATGCCTGAGTGTTGCCACGTTAGATCGTTTGGGAATCGAGGGGAGGGGATACGAACCTTCAGCCCACTGGCCGTACGCTATGTTGGCCGGAGTTTGGTCGTTTTGGTTCGTTGTATTGTAGATGTAGTACCAGAGTTTGAGCTCATTGCTCGTATCCAATGTCCACAGTTGAGCCGTTGCGTTGGATTCCAGCCAATCCGAGGTCATTCCAGCATTGCCGTTGGTATTACTGTCGAAAGTGGATGATGCAATCCACGATGAAGAGCTGCCTAGGCTGAAACTGAGCTCGTGGATGCAGTTGTCAGGTGCTCCGTAGTACAGCCGTATGCCTGCACTTTTGCCCGCGGTCTTCCCAAGCCATGATCCGCTGTAGAATGCTGTCATGGCTGTAGAGGCCTCTGATGCCTCGAATTTGGAGTCGCCAAGGGGACCATCTGTCCAAGTAGTCATGTTGTCTGTACTGATCTTCTCTTGCAATAAGTTTGCCGAGTCGACATAGAACACATGCGCCTAGAATTACCACTGTCAATGGTGGTAACAGGGACGAGAGGAGATGGCGCCTTACGGTAAGGTTCCCATTGCTCGTGTAGTTTACAGCCGCCAAAGGGGTTGCAGCTCTTGCGTCGGTAGTGATGTTGCTGTCACCTCCAGTCCAGCTCCCTCCAGGCGCCCTCACCGCATGTTGAACGTTCCCAGTGTAATTCTGATAGAAAAGATGGAGTAACGGTTCCGTACTGATATTCTCCGTCAAAGTTGCAAGGCCAGTGCCATTGAATGCGCCTTCTGTAGACGCGATTCTCGTGGCCTTAGGCGTGGAGCCCGAGTTCGAGTTGCCGGATGAAGTACTGCCCGAGGAAGTATTGCCGGAGGGTTTATTGGTTGAGGAAGAGTTGGTACTTCAAGAGGAGGCATTGGTCAGCCATATCTGTAAAGTCGGTTTCATTGCGGAATTGTAAGTTTACCTGCTGTGATGCCGTACACTCAACGGTACCGCGATAGCAACCACAAGAATTATAACCAGAAGCGCAGCCAGCAAGGCCCAGAGCTTCCATCTCCTCTTCAACGTTGACTGCTTTTCAGGCTCCTGTGACTCGTCCGGCAAGATTATTTCCTTATCAGCGTCGTTCCATGCTTCCTTCTCTGGGGCTGCAAAATTTGTCTGCGGTATAGCTCCTTTCTGATACTCTGCTGGAACAGCCTCGAGACCTGCGGTATCCTGCACCGTTCGCAGTCCATCTTGGGTATGATCGACTTCGAGTCCAGTCTGATGGTTGACTTCCTTTTCTGCATAGGGAACTCTAGACACTGGGCTATAGGGATCGTCACTCGGGTCCACCATTTCTGCCACCTTCTCAAGCGGTCACATTATGTAGAACGAGGTCCAGCAAGAGATATCAACATTCAAGTATGGAAGCCCAAAAACGGCGGGTGCCCACTAATGTTTTGCGCTCGCATTGATATGGTTTGGATCCAGCGCTAAATGATCGTAGGGGGCTGAAGGATTTGCATCGCTGCTGCCACCAAGTGCCGCAGGCTGGCGAGGCAGTGCTGAATAGCAAACACTCCCCCAACTCCACACTCCTCAACCCCATGGCAATCGATGCTGAAACTATTATTGCGATCCGGAATTAGTGTAGGAACTGTCGTGGAATGATGGTTTCCTCGCTAAGCCTTGCAGCTGAATGTTTCCAATTAAAGACAATTTACGTACGTGTAAATCAGTAGGTTGAAAGTATAGAGCAATGAATGGCAACTTGATCTTGTTGATGTGAATTATCTTCTAATAACAATCATAATAACTGAGTACCCCGGACCAGACCCAGAACCTCCCTCGTCTTGCTTGTAGACTTCCCATCTACCTTCCGAATCATGCGCAGCTTCTCACGACTTGCCCAAATTCCCATGGCGGTGAAAATTGCAGTCTTGATCAGAAGTGCCTGTTCCCTCGAGCTCCCGCAATTGCTCTCCATCCAGATCCAAGCACTCCTCATACGGAAGTGCTGCCATCTGAGCCCCTTCAGAGCGAAGCTTGTTGTGAGATACAACCGCAAATGTTACATTGGTAGCATACGATATGGCCTCGCAAGTGCAGTGACTTTATCCGCATAAAGACATAAGGCCTCTGCCGTCCAGAGCAGAAGGCTCCTTTACTCCACCAGAATTGTCTTATTACTCAGATGAAATGCTATCTTTCGACAGCGAAAGGATCCTTCTACTTTTCATACGTTTCTCGTCCCTTGAATTATTACCTAAAAGGAACATACATTTTGAGGTACATACATCCTTCCTGTATGGTAGCGATTCGGCGTCACAAGCCATCTCTCGAGCAGAAAGCTCCTTCGCTCTCTAGAAATGTCTTTTTCTCGAGGCGAAATGCCATCTTTCGGCAGCAGAAAACTTCCTCACTCTCCAGGACTGTCTTTTCATTTGGATGAAACGCCGTATTGCAGCAGCGAAAGTATTCTTCTGCTCTTTGAATTTGTCTGGTCTCGGCTTTTCACTGAAAAGGAGCGACGCCAACTCCAAATCTGCGTACCTTAAGCTTGGTCATCACGGATACCGGATGAGTAGTCGAATGCTACTTTATAAGCTGGGCGCCTCTAGCACGAAGCCGTACATACAAGACAATCGAAGAAGGCTTCTCTCATCATCGCAATGGCAATTCCTGGAAAACTTTTTTGAATATTTTTCGGCTGTTGTAGAGATTCAGTAGCCGCAGTCTCTCGTTGTCAAGATGAGCACTATCGCTGGCTTGACCACAGGGTAAATGCGCCGCCGGAGCATTGAACTCCTGCTCGAGAAAACGGATGGCAGGAATGGACCCACCTTCGCGAATGTAGAGGGGTCTTTGCGAAGGGCGCTGTTTCTGCGATTTAGTGTCGTCCTTGCTTCTTGCCATGTCGGTGTGGGAGAGTCCGCCACCACCGCTTGAAAGCGTTGAAGATGTCGCTGGTGGAAGCTTGGGGCTTTTTAGCCCGTTCGAGAGATCCTTCGACGCCCGCTTTTTTGCTGGGCTGGATATTCTTCTTTCATGGCCCTTGGAACCCCATACCTCCATCACTGCCTTCTCGAGTGTTTGGAAGATCTCGTTCTTGGGATCCCCCAGCCAGGGTTCAGCCTGGTGTTCTATCTTGATCGTGAGCTCGTTTGAGGAGTTCAAATGGTCAAAGGCAACTTCTAATGCTTTCAGCAGCTTTCTTTTGACCTCCGCAGTGGTCTGGTTTGGCACCAAGCGGAGAGAAAGGTCCGCTTTCGCAACGCGAGATATGATGGTGGAATTTGCAGGGCCAGAATTATCAACACGATGAATGGTAAGCGAAGGCTCTCTCCATCTTGCTTTAAATGATGCGGTGAGACTCTCAGCGTCGCCAAGGTCGGGATTGTTGCGAAGTAACGTCCTGCTGATGGCTTCGTACATGGCGTCCTCTTCTCGTGTCATAGCTGGTATATTTTCATAGAAACCAGGGATGTTGACTTCGCCGTTGGGGCCCGTCAGCCTTGCGAGCAATGCGATGACGTCTTTCAAAGCCTCGTTGATGAGTTGGCTACCGTCGACACCACTATGCAGGTCAGGGCGCTCGCTTGCCACTTCGATCGTGGCTCGAATGACCCCTCTGAGGCCGTACGTCAGACAAGGAATATCATCATTGAGCCAGTAGCTGTTCGCTAGCAAAATCCAGTCGACATCCCCAATGATCTGTTTGTTCTCTTTAATGGCTTCTTGGAAACCTCTTGATCCGGATTCTTCCTCACCCTCTACCAGGAAAACTATGTCAGAATTGAGCTGTTGTTCGGCGGCTATGTCTGCAGCTGCGTAAAGAGCCGCCAATATTGGACCTTTGTTGTCTGATACACCTCGCCCATAAAGATAGCCATTGACACCTTGCATCTCGAAAGGATTGGCATACCATGTCTCTTCCCTATTCTCTGCTGCGACTACATCGTAGTGCCCGTAAAACATAATGGTCTTGCCGATCGCCAGCCCCTTATTCTTGCCTCTGAATCGGGCGAAGACCACAGGATTCCTGGAATCCTTGGTGCTAAATAGCTCCGTCCGGGCACCCAACTGCTTGAAGAGATTCCTCAAGTAAGATGCTCCACGCCGGCAGTCCTGGGCATAATCAGGTTTCGAAGATACCGTACGGTACGAAACAAGCTTTTCAAGAGATAAAACGAGTTGTTCTATGCATATGGGTAAGCTGTAATTATAGAGAGAGTCACTGTCACACTTACCATCGCTAATTCTAGACCCTCTCCCGGGCCTATTGACGCACTCACTGATGTCCCAAATCGCAATGCACCCGTCATTGCCACCTGTCACATATATCTCATTGCTCTTAAATGATGCAACAGCGGAAGCGAGGATGAGATGATCATGGGCCCTCCATCTGTTGATGTCCTCGTGGCGCGAATTGAATATCTCGTTGAGGTCAGTCTTTGTTGTTCAAACACAGAATTTAGTGGGAACATTACCTTTGTGATGCCATTAGATCCTCCACTGAAAAGGAGACCGTAGCCAACAGCCAGAGCAAGGACGTCGGCGTTGTGGGCTTTCACAGTCCGAATCAATTGTCGAGTATCGAGGTCCCAAACATTGACGTCTCCTTCTAAGCGCCCAGTATAGAGCACCGTACCATCGAGTGCCATAGAAAGTACAGAGCCATCTCCATTCTCTAGTGAGATCTCCTCACTCAAGGCGCCGCTTTCACCGCTGTCCAGGGACCACAGCTTGACTATGCCATCACCACCTCCAGATATCAATGTCTCCGCATCGGCGTTATCGGCGTCTAGACCCCTCGACAGCAACATACAGTAGACATAGCCGTAATGCGCATATTGGATTATGTGTTCTCTGTCTATTTCAAGATCTTGGCCGCCAAAAGCTCGTGTCTCGGATGCGGAGAGAGGGCGTGGTGTGGAGACGCCAGTTGGACCTTTGGAGTCAAAGAAGCGATGATTTCGATAGGACGGGTGCAATTTCGGGTCTGGTGGAGGTCTGATGTCCTTCTGTGATAGGTCATACCACTAGGGAGGGTTAGCATGGTGAAGATAAGAATCGACAGATATATGAGTGGGGATGTCACTTGTATGCTTGTATTTTGAGCTCCTAGATAGACAGTCTGCAGATCTTGCGAGTAGACGACTGAGAAGACGTCCCCAACGTCATACGCGGAGTATATCGAGTAAAGTCGATCGAGAGTCTTTGTGCACCAAACCTGAGCACGTCAGTAGGCTTCAAGACGGTTGGTATGTGACTACCATACATTGACAATGGCATCTCCAGCGCTTGAAAAGAGGATGGTCTTGTCGATGGACAAGCAGAGACATAGCACACTGCCTCTATGCGCATTGACTGTCGAAAGCAGCTCGTATGTCTCGAGAGACCACACCTTCCTCTTGTCAGCGACCTTCCCATTGTGTCCTAGTTTCACTGAATAGCATACCAGCAAGTCTCCGTTCTGCGTACCTGCATACAATTTGAAGTCGGATACCAAGATGGCAAGGATCGACGGCTGGTTCTGGATCTTGTGAAATATCGTCGGAGTGGTGGCATTCAAGGAGGTTGGAGGAGCACCTCCATGGCCTTCAAAATCAGTTGCGGCGTCAGACTCGTCATTGTCACTACCACTCTTACCATCAAGCGTCAATGTTGGGAGTAGATGGGCCATGAGAAAGGTTAGAGACCGGAGCTAGTAGACGTTGCCTTAGCTTAGCCCCGAACGTTTAACGGAAGAGACCCCTAAACGTACCTAGAGATCTGGCCCAGTGGGGTAAGCAAAGACGCCGAGGGACCTCCTTGATAGAAGTCACATGCAAGAAGCAATCAACAGCAGTCTCGATTCAACAAGCCTTTTAAACTATTTTCAAAGGTCTTCTAACTGAGAAGCAAACTTCATCTTTAAAGGAATATTGTCAGAGCACGCAATACGGGACCCTGCCGCTGTTATTGACCCGAGGGACCGCTATTGATACCATCAATCTGTTCGATCAATACCACCTGAACGACTGAGCGGTGTTGCTTGCGCATTGGCCCTCTTGGAATAATTGCCAATTTGATAGGGGATGTCTTCTTCGACGCTCAAGCCGCGCCTCATCATCCATGGCGGTGCCGGCAATTACACGAGGGAAAACCTGTATCCACACGCCTGGGAAGTATACTCTTCCACCTTACTGACTATCCATCGATCTACTTCTGCACTCCTTTCTCATGGTGCAACTGCGTTGGATGCTGCCACACATGCTGTGACCTTGTTTGAGGATTCTCCGCTGTTCAATTGCGGGAAAGGTGCCGTAAGTGAAATGACATTCTGTCCAAAAATTTGTATTGAGATTCATATTCAGGTCTTCACGAGAGATGGCACTATCGAATTGGAGGCTTCAGTGAGCAAGTCTCCTTCTTGTAATTCTCTTCGTCTACTATCGTGAAGGATTATGAACAAGTCTGCACATCAATGTTTCCACTTCTTTGGTTCCCGGACGTCCAAAGCCTGCTCTATGCATCAAAATCCAAATCATTTCAAGGGAGGTGGACAGTAATGACTGTGGCCAGGTCATGGTGACTCGAGACTTTCGCAAACGAGGTTGTGCTGTCGTTCTTGTCAATAAAGTCAAAAACCCCATCAAAGTAGCACGCGAGATGCTTGTCCGTGGCGAGAAAGACGATTCAGGAAGCGGCGGCCTAAGCGGAGGGGGTGGAGGGGCGCAGGGTCATTGCTGTCTTGGTGGAGAGACAGTCGAAAAGTTGGCTAAAAGTTGGGGCTTGGAGATGGTAGACGAAAGTTATTTCTGGACAAGAAGAAGATGGGATGAGCATAAGAGAGGCTTGCATGAGTCTAGAGACGAGAGAGCTTTGAGACAAATGGATGTCTGGCCCTACAGTGTTGACTCACATACATTGCTGATAGGACTTGCTATCCTCCAAGCTCCCAGCTCTCGGGCCACTGTCTCAGAAATCGGTGACTGGCTATCTAAGAAAGCAGCGTGGCGGGTTGGCCCTCAACATATATGGCAAACCCGTGTTCCTAGCGAGCTCAAGCGAGAAAGCGAGTCGCACCACGTACTGCATCAATACCTAGGAAAGGCCAGATATTTCACGGAGCAGCAACCCCAAGAGAACGAGATCCGTGGCTCGGAGCCATATTGGACTATTGCTCCTGAGAAGGTGGCACATTTTGTCAAAGCGAGAGACGAAGGATATGCTTTACACAACAAGTATGAAGAGCACCAAGAGGACAAGTGTCGTTGGCCATTATTTCCGGAGCAGGACAGCGGATGGGATGGTCAAGCCTATCTCCCACAGGGCACCGTCGGCTGTGTCGCATTGGATCAGTATGGTACAATGTGCGTGGCAACTAGTACAGGCGGCGTCACAAATAAGCTTTCAGGTCGAATTGGAGACACGCCTACGATAGGGGCTGGTTTCTGGGCTGAGGAATGGAGCCAGTCGTCTCTCGAGAGAAGAACGAGACCACCACAAGATCTGTCGTCACGAATTCCCGCAGTTTTGAACGGTCTTTCGGACGGACTGCGCAATGTTATGGGAGACTGCATCCCCAACTTCTCAGGCTATCAAGAAGTCCCATCCTTCCAGGAGATGGGACTGGAAAAAGCAGAGAGTATGAGCAGTATCAGAGCCGTGGCTATGTCTGGAACCGGTAATGGCGACTCTTTTCTCCGTCTCGCAGCCGCCCGTACTGCAGGTGCTATAGTCCGTTTCTCGCCTAACCGCTCTCTTGCGTCGGCAATCAACCAGGTGGCGGGTTCGGGAGGAGAGCTAGAACGGTCGGCTGGAGACCGCTGGGGTGAGACTGGCGAAGGGGAGGGAGGCATCATCGGTATAGAGCTGGTCGGTGGGAAGGGAAAGATAGCGTTCGACTTCAATTGCGGCGGCATGTTCAGGTGCTGGGTGGATGATCATGGCAAAGAAAAGGTCATGGTTTTCAAGGACGAGTACTGAGTCCAAAGATTAGACCCATCAAGACGTCAGAAGGTAGAACCCCCCAAAGCGCGTTTTGTTTGACTCTGGCGATTCTTGAGGACTCTGAACCGTACACTGGCATCTCCCGGCCAGTCTCTCCGTTCATCTCGCCCTGCCAAACAAGACGAGATCCTCGCGACTCCATCTCGGACTAGGTTATCGTTCATTCGATAAGATGTACGAAGAAGGTGTATCACCTGTTGCAATGTTCGTCATGCTAGGCTGACATCTGCTTGACATGTTCCCGTTAGGAAGTTTGCCCGCTCTCCCGACACATGGTCTACAAGAGGTAAAATAGCATATCGCCTTCTCTCAATTTCCACGAGGCTATTGCCCGTTCCTGTAGCGTATTACTACTCTCTCTCGCACTGTGGGTAATGTCTTCCCATTCGCTTCCAGGCCTGCCTACTGAGCTCATCGTTCGGATTTTTGAATTGCTCCCAAATTGTTGTGCTGTCGTTGCCCTCCCTGCATCGCCCTTCGCGCAAACTCTACCAAAATCCGGCAATCTAACGCGGCCGCAATATCGGACGCTGTTCTCCCTCGAGCCATCGAACGTTACACTGACGCTGAAGAATTGGTCCGATTTCAAACAGCACAGGAACAGGGAATATAAGGCGGCGGAAGAATCGAAAACCGACGAACCGGAAACCGATGAAGCGGATGATGCTCACCACAACGTTCTAAAACGCAACGAATATATCGCCGTCAATGCCTCCATCGTCTCAAAGGAGTGTGCAGATTTGCAAACCGAAGCTATAAGCGACTCTTACCAAAATCTGCACGGGTCTGAAACTGAGGGACTCCGCCGCACTGGATTCCGAGGCTTGAAGCGCATAAGATACCGCATCCATTGCATAGCTGCTCTGTCCTCGCACCGAGCCGCCCAAGACGGGTATCTGGAAGCGACGAGCTTGGATGACCTGAAAGGTATGCGGGATGATAGTGCTGGAACCACGCCGAGGCACTACTATATTGACATTGATTATTTTCGCATTCATATCAAGACTTCATGGGCCCGGAATGCTTTTGATTCGATTGAGGAGGTGTACCGTGATGAATGTTGTCGCAAGTACTTGAACTAGATGAGTTCATGATAACACAAGAGAGGAAAGATGGTAGGATAGACAACTATCTCTCTCGCGGTCAGAGGACAGGCAAGGCAGTTATTTGCCCTGATGAGAACACGATGCGCACTGGGCGCGAGAATCGAAACTATGCAGTCATCACATGCAGTATATACCGCAACTGGTCTGAATCGATATCAGCCTAGGCTTAGATTTGGATTGAAAGTCTCCTCACCGTGTCAGAGCTTTCCGTGAGACTCCATGATGCGCGCAACCTCTCCGTGTGTCTAGCGGGCCCAACACCCTCAGCCTGATGCGTGCGTGTAGACCTCAGATGCGCCGTAACGTAGCACGGCACCGCAGCAAATCCGCTCTCAATGTCTTCGACCTGCTATCCACAGCTCACTCCACCCCATCCACCTCCATATCCGCATCGCTTCTCCTTTCCCCCACCGCCGTGTCCGATCTCCCAACCTTCCCATCAAACCCCGCGACATCCTTCATCTCCACCTCCCCCGCCTCCTCCATTGCCCTCTTCTTCGCATATCCAACTTTCTTCTCCACCTTTTTGGCCTTCTTTCTCGACAACGGCGCTGCTTTCCTGATTGCTTGGCTCGTGCGCGGTGTGGGCTTTGTGATTTTGTTTTTGGCGAGGCGCTGGGTCTGCTGCCGCTTACTTTTGAGGGTGCGCGCTGTTTTGGGCTTGAGGGAGGTGGGTGTGTTGGGATTGGAGCGGGAGGGCATTGTGGGGGGTGGTTTCGAGGCGGACAGGACGGGTGTCTGGTTGATTGTGGGGGAGGTGGCTGCTCGATGATTGTGATTCAGATGCAAAGACTTGAATATCGTTTTTGGTGAGGAAGAGGTTGTGTCAGTGTGCAAAGTGTTCGCAGGTTGTTTACGTGTATGGTGGTAAGAGAAAATGGGTTTGACATGTCGGCACACCAAATTTTGCCGGATTGTAAAATTACGTCCCCCATTTTGTACAGCATTTTATCTTTTGTATTTGTTATTTGTTTTGGATTGTAAAATTACGTCCCCCATTTTGGATACAGGAATTTTACGCTAGTCATGCAGATCTTGTATAGAACTTTAGAGGGCTGTCGTACAAGCTTCAACATTGCAGAAAGTATTATTTCTCGTTACAAAGGTCTGCTTACATCTTCTGCAACCTTCGACCTTCTCCTTGAGGTTCACGAACCCGTCTTTCCTCAAGATTTGATGAAGCTCACCACCAATAATGATGTTTACAGATGAAGTCTCACGTCACTTAGAGGAACGCACTGATTTAATGTAATTGCACTGAGGCTGGAGTGAAATCCGACTTCTTTCGAATGTTGTAATTCTGGGTACCTCGCTGGAACTCACATGAAGGCCGAACACGGGACTTGGCAGTCGATCTGATTTTCCTATTGGGATAAGTCATTAGCCCCTGCAAAGCTGAGCGACTACCAGATGTAGCGCAGGAACATACCGCGTTCTGATCCCCGTACCGTTCAGCACAGATTGGACCATCCCTAGGGTCCCACCCTCCATTTTTACAAGTGGCACAGATTGGACCATCCCTAGGGTCCCACCCTCCATTTTTACAAGTGGCAACTCCTGTCGTGGTCCTACTCGTCCAAGACAACGACCCTAGAGTAAATTGAATATAGTCACCAGCATGCTCTCCCGTGATCATTAACGCGGTAGATGCGAGCTCGTTGAATGAGAAAGCATATGTATCTCCGACGTTGATCGGCATTCCCAAAGGATAGGTATCATTGACCGTCGTTTCGCCGAGGACATTGCCGTCGCTGTCCTTCACGGTTACTAAGGCAAACAAGTTGGAAGACATGTCTGCACAGTCTTGAAACTCATCGACATGAATAGCGCACATTTCCGTAGGAACCGGTATTGGTGCTTTTCCTTCAAAAGCAGTCCAAAGCTTCGGATCGGGTGCAGCGTTTGGATCATTAGGATCACTTGGATCGACGAAACTGGCCGGAAAAGATTCCTCAGTTGCATTGGAATCGTCATAGGTAAAGGTGATTCCAGAGTACGAAGATGTGAAACCGCTTCGTTGCTCGTACACGTTCCTAGGAAGGGGAGCCGTGGCCAACCTGAAGAGATCCCATAAGTATATAGCTGACAGGGCACAGCTGTCAGTATCTGAATTCGCGTCTGGACTTGACAATTGGAACCGTTCTGCCAGTAAGGCAAGAAACAGGTGTATTAGAGGGAGGATGATTCCGCTCCACGTAGACAGGGGTGCAGACCGCATAACTCACCCAAGTTGGAACAGACGTAAGAGTCGGCTAGAAGAATGTGGTCAATGAATGGCTCACTTTTCTAGCGTACTCAGACTGCCGAGGTACTAACCATTGAGCGATGTCCAGTATGCGCCTTTCGTTGCAGCCAAATCCCAGGAACCCTGGGGCCAATAGCCTGGATTATAATCCTCGATCATTGGATTGGAAATCGTGTACCGCATGTGCCAGGTCTCGTGATACTGGAGATGTGGGATTAGCAGTCTTCCCGTTGAAATTACTTATAGTCTCAACCGGCTACTTTGTACGGGAACAATTTTAGAGAGAGTCAGGCACAGAAGGAGGAACCGGGCATCAGTAAGCATCATTCAAATCACAGTGCAGGGGATAAACTTATTTGATACTCTTGAAGATTGCTCACCATTGACGCAGCGCTGGTATAGTAAAAGGGTTCCAGGATGTTCTTCTCCTTCGCTGAGTCTGGCAATTTGGTAACCTCGTTGATAACCTGTCCGATCGTGGGTGTCCTGAAAAACAGCGGGCACCAGGTTATATAATGATTGTACCACCACAATCCTGCCTTAGTATTTGAATAGCCTACTCTACCCGGGGGGCAGTTGTTTCTCCAATCGTAGCAGTAATAGTAGAGGTAGGCGTTTGAGGGAGCATTGTCAGTCTCGAGAGCATGCCGCCTATTCAGGTTGTCTCCAATGATTTTCCGATAATTTTGATCCCAGGGCAACCAGCTACCAGTGTCTGCAACGTTTGCTCCAAAATGGTTGATATACGCGGTGGAAAATGCGCCATTCGGTACATATTTCGTTGAGGCATCGTCAAGCAAACTTGCTTCGTACCATGCATTCTCGATAATGGCCTGCTGTTGGGGCGTGCAACGACTGTCTACGAACTTTCTTGAGAGCGCAGTATTTGCAACGGGTTCGTCATCAGTACCTGATAAATCTTCAGGCGGTGCGATGGTACTTGTTGGCGACGGCTGAAGTGTGGTTTCTGAGGCGGGTGTCCAAGTGGGATTAGGTGGAGGCGCATAGAGAGACTCTAGGTCGCCTTGAGGAACAGGTGTAGCACAAGCTCGTCGTCCAATGATCAAGAATACATAGACGGATAGAAATTTGGTGTAAGCCATGATACCAATCACGCAAAATAATTTAAAATTGTCTTCTGGGACAAAGTCGCAGAATCACTCTATGAAAAAAGGACATATGGTGGTACATATAATGGTAAAGAAGTACATAGGAGATTCCAAGGGAAGCATGCTCTGTTCACACCTTTGTACTTAAGCATCTAACGCTTAAACGTTACTATGGAAAGAGTTTCAATCTACTTGTCCAAGAATCAGCCTCATTTTGGGGCGTCGGCTCGAGTACGATTGGTTTGTTTGGTCCCTACTGGAGCTTCACTGTTGGTCTCATTCGTGAAACTTGTTGGAGAAGAATGGCAAGGAAGGAAGAGGAGTACAAGGTATCCCGAGGCGAGAAAGAGACTTTTTAACGTTTCGAATAACATCACCCCAACAGCAGGCTATCAAAATGCTAAAGGGCGCAAGACTTGGCAAGCAAAAAAAGACAGAAATCTGCCCTAAGCTCCGAGTCCAACACCAGAGCGGCCCATCCGTATGCATTCTCGAGTGGGCTTTTAAAGCTAAAAGCTGTGGCTGCAATCGTAGCAAGCGACTTTCATGTTTTTCGGCGCACGTAGTTCAATAATGCGTGTAGCTACATCACGATCGAGCCTTTGTTGATCCCAGCGCAATACTCGAATGAAGAGATCGCGATCCTCTTCGCCATATGATATATCGATGTCACCACTTAGGAACGATTCGATCAGGGATATTCTGGCCGCTCGTACTCGAGAGCGAAGGAATTAATGAGTGCGTAGGTGGGTGGCAGCGGAGCTAATTGACAGGCGGTGCTTTCCGAGGCCACAAGACTCGGTATAGCTTTTCTGCGCTGACTCTGAGGAGCTCCTCGACTTCCTGCCCTTCCCACTCGTACGTCACTGTTAGCGTTGTTCGTTCGTAGCCATTAGCGGAGCGCGTCGGCAAGGCATACTCAGGGCCTAAACCCTCAACAGAGCTTGTCTTGCGATCTGTGGTGAGTTTGTCAGAGGGGACTGGGCGTCTTCTGGATGGCCTGAAGCCATATCTCTGTCTGAGGTTGAGACAAAGTGACTGATTGACGTCAGCGTGCGATGTGCTCGGGAGGAGGAAGTAGAAGTGCAAGTTTTGCTACTCATTTGAGAAGAAGGACTACAGGGTTGGATCAAGTCAGACTGCCATAAAGAGAATGCTCAAAAGGAGGATTCTGAGACCATCCATGCCGTTGCGTCGAAGCCAGAATCGCTCTCTCTAACAAATGTATAAACATGAGTAGGTATCGAATTCCGATTTCATGACTTCTGAGCCTCCTATTTAACGAGTCGAAGCAGCGAAGTTAGATCGCAAAGCCAATTCATGGAAACCCTATGGCATGCTCCAGAAACGGTACGTGCCTAGATTGATCCTCACTAAAAGCCTGGTACGCATTTAGCTACATGGATGATATGGGTGGGTGGAAATATGTTGTATTGATAAAAACCAAAACATGACACCCAAACATAAAATGTCGTTACTCGTTACGAGCTTACTTTAGGGACGGAGCCCGGGGACGGGGGATTAAATTGTTGGCCGATAGCGTCGGGGCAAGAATTTGCCGACCTTCCGTCCCGTTCGCGTGACGTTGAAGGCAACCACAAAATTAAGGTAGGTACGAGAGTACTTACTTTATAATTGATGGGTGTCTTCTTCCTTTCTTACAACATTTGGCTTTGCTTTTTTGCAATCCGAATATATCATCTTATAATCTTATAGCGTAGCCATCCTTACTCTGCATCAGACACTTGTGATTGGTGACTTTCTTTCGGCATGTCTGAGTTGCGGTAGCTTGCTTGATCTCTGATATCAAAGATCGTTATTGATGCACTTTTCCATCACCAACACCTTACGTAACGTCTTATATAAGGTAATTGGTCTTGATCCTGATCACCAACCCTGGTTGACACTCAATACTCTCGATCTTTCGAAACTTATACAATGGATTTGCCTTGGTTGCCAATCGGTCTGAGCTCTGTCGCAGGCTCATTCGTCCTCGTACACAATGCGCCTCAATACTCCATCTCCGCATCTTATGTCAAGACTTTTCTGGTTCTAGAGACAATACAAATCCTACTTGGCTTATTATGGGAAGCTATCCTATACCCGAAGCTGTTCAGTCCAATCAGGCATTTGCCTCAGCCCAAAGTGGGTGCCCATCCACACCCTCATGATGTCCCCAGCTGAGATTGGATTGCAGGGTGGCTCGTTTTTCAATGGACAACTCAAGAGAATATCAGCAGAGCCGACTGGCGAGCCACATAGGGATTGGATCAAAAATGTTCCCAACGAAGGATTGATATATTACACAACTATTCTCAATCAAGGAAGGCTGCTCCTAACAAGCCCCCAAGCATTGAGCGAAGTTCTCACGACCAAGAGTTACGACTTCATCAAACCGCAACAACTGAGGAATGGTTTGGGCAGAGTATTGGGCATTGGTCTTCTCCTAGCTGAAGGCGACGAGCACAAGGTAGGGCGTTTTCGCGTAGCTTAGCCGACAGTGCTGATATCTTGACACAGAGACAACGCAAAAATCTCATGCCAGCTTTTGCCTACCGTCATGTCAAGGATTTGTACCCAGTCTTTTGGGAGAAGTCCATTAAGCTAGTCAACGGGTTGATGTCAGTGGCACGAAAAGAGGGCAAAGAGTCAGTCAAAAGCATCGACAACGCCGCCATGGTTGATATTTCAGGCTGGTTCAGCCGTGCGACCCTCGACATTATTGGCGTTGCTGGAATGGGCCATGATTTCGATGCAATTGACAACCCGGACACCAAAATTAATGTTACATACCGGAGCGTCTTCTCACCGAGCCGCCAGCAGCGGACAATGGCTCTCTTGGGTCTGTTCCTACCTCAATGGTTTCTGCGTGCTTTGCCAGTGGCGCACAACAACAAAATAGTAGAGTCATCCAACACAATCAAGGAAGTCTGCCGTGAGCTTATTCGCGAAAAGAAAGAAAAGCTTGACCAGAAACAGAAACGAGTTGATGCCGACATCCTTTCCGTAGCTCTCGAATCTGGTGGTTTCACCGAGGAAGACCTCGTCAACCAAATGATGACTTTCCTTGCTGCCGGCCACGAAACAACAGCCTCGGCGATGACCTGGGCCTTCTACCTGCTGTGTCTACACCCCGAAGTCCAAACACGTCTCCGTGAGGAGATACGAGCCAATTTGCCACCCATTGACGACACAGAGACCGTCACTGCTGCTTCTCTAGATCAATGCCACTACCTCCACGCCGTCTGCAACGAGGTCTTGAGAGTCTACTCTCCTGTGCCAGGCACCATTCGAGAAGCCGGTCGCGACACCAGTATCCTTGGCCAATACGTTCCCAAAGGAACTAAGATCCTGTTATCGCCATGGGCCGTCAATACGGCTACTTCGCTTTGGGGTCCCGACGCCGACAAATTCAACCCGGACCGATGGATGGGCCCCGGCAAAGCCAACTCAGGCGGCGCGGAGAGCAACTACGCTTTTTTGACGTTTTTGCATGGACCCAGGAGCTGCATCGGACAAGCTTTTGCCAAAGCGGAGTTTGCATGTCTTATGGCTGCCGTGGTGGGAAGGTTTGAGGTTAAGATTGCAGATGAAGATTTCAAGCTTGTGATAAAGGGATCGATCACGGCAAAACCCAAGAACGGCCTGACCGTGAGGATCAAGCCGATTGAAGGGTGGTGAGAAATCTGCTTTTCGCTTCGCTGAGGTCTTCCTCATTGCTGGGATGGAATTGCTGAGGGGCTCCTTTGATCACTTGTATACGCTATGTGGTACGATGCTTGATAGAGGTTCATGGTTTGGCATTTCCCTGTCTGGTCTTGTCGGTACTCGTATATACGCTAGTTTTCATATCATGTACATGAATTAACGGCACATACATATGCAGCATATCATGTCCTAACCAGATTGAACGGAGTCAGTCCTGTTTCAAGCTGCCTGGTTCATTATACTTCTATCCAAAAATCATCGATATTTATATGCATCGTGACATTCGTCGCTCATATACAGCTCCGCACCACCACATTGTCTACATCTTTCCCTTCTTCGGCGCACCCGGCCTTCCACCAAACCCCCAGCGAATCTGGTTGGCCACGTTGACCTGCACGCCCAGTTCTTCCGCAAAGGTCCACACCAACCCCGGGTTCTTCTGGAACATGCGGCCCACAATCGCCAGATCGAGGCCCCCCTCAAGCAGTTCCTGTGCCTGTTTGCCACTAGTAATAGTCCCGACAGTGCCAACAGCCACTCTGTCGCCCAGTTCCTCCTTGACCGCTTTGGCAAACGGCGCCTGATATCCGGGACCCGTCTGGACTTTTTGTCTGGGGTGGTTCCCGCCACTGCTCACGTCCAGGAGGTCGACTCCCATGTCTGCTACGATTCCGGCAAGTTTGACGGTGTCTTCGACCGTCCAGCCCTCCATGTCTTTTTCTTCCTCGAGCCAGTCGGTAGCGGAAATCCGTAAGAATAGTGGCATCTCCTTGGGAATGTTGGCGCGAGTAAGTTCGACTATTTCGCGTGTGAGACGGGTGCGGTTTTCGAAGCTGCCGCCGTACGAATCTGTGCGCTTGTTGCTGGCTGGGGAGACGAAGGAGTGGAGGAGGTAGCCGCTAGCGTATAGTGAGTCCAAAGCTCTTGATAAATTTCGTCTCCGATTGGGAAGACTTACTGTGCATTGTGGATCTCAATCACGTCAAAGCCGCAAGCAACAGCCCGCTTGACAGAGGCCACAAAAGCCTTCTTCACGTCCTCAATGTCATCTATTGTCATCTCTTTTGGGAACGGCAGCTTCTCGCTATAAGGAATGGCACTGGGCGCATAACAGTCGTCAGGCCAGCCATTGACCTCTTTCGTAGCAACGGCCCCCGAGCTCAGCCAAGGTGCCACGGTCGATGCTTTTCTTCCAGCATGACCAAGCTGAATTCCAATGTTTTGGCCTTGACTGTGAGCAAACTCAACGATCTTTTTCAAGAGTTCCATCTGCGAGTCTAGCCAGAGGCCTGAGTCTTCGGGTGTGATTCTGCCTTCTGCTGTTACTGATGTAGACTCGACCATCGCCAGCCCCGGCCCTCGTTGAATTATACCGCCCAGGTGGGTGAAGTGCCAGGCGGTGTGATGGCCGTTCTCTGCGGAGTACTGACACAATGGGGAGAGCTAAGGAACTCGTCAGTCGTCTCTTGCCATATTCTGGGCCGGACACTGACCATGATGCGATTCTGCAAAGTCACGCCTCGCAACTTCAAGGGTTGAAAGAGCTTTGGAGGATGGGAGCCATCAGGTTGGGGATCCGAGGCTGTGCCAGCTGGTGGCTGTTGCGCTGGAGTATAGTAGCTTATGCCCTTCGCTGCTCCATTCTCGATGTTCTGGTGGGAAAAGTCCTGGTCTATGGACTCGTGAATGTTGTGGTGGTCTGGCATGGTGAGGTGTGTTGTGTATCTGGTGAAGCGGAATTAATGGATAGGTTTCAACGTGAATCCTAATATAGGATAATGCGCTTGGAGAGAAATCGTGGGAGTAAAGAAGATATTTTTATTATTGACATTTTGAGCAATATCGTCATCGGCCCGCGGCCCGCGACCAGATGGACCCGGGTATGACGAAAGATGGGGCAGATAAGATAGGCTGGCGACGCCTGGAATGCGGGTAAGAACCCCCGGGAGCGGTACCCAACACTCTAAGCAGTATGCTCCATATACCTTGGATTGCGACAATGAGACCTCACCTTTTGGAAGGTATTTCCTCTTCTGCTTTCCCCCACCCCCCACCTTTCGTGGCAAAATCAGTCCTATGAAGTCCACGCAGCGCCACACTTGTAGTCCCGATAAGCCAAAGAACATTCCTCTCTCGTTGGCTCCCGTTCATAGTATAACAACCAAGGGCAGTCTCGCCAGCTGTTGTGCTCGCATTGAACTGGTCCAGGAAAGTATAGTATCCATCAGCCTAGTGTGCGTCAGCAATTGTGGCGCCCTCCTCTCACCGCCTCACAAGCAAGGTGATTTACCCACCTCACTCCCATTCCCACTCAACGCGAATGCACAATCATATAGCCCATTTGCACTGAAGCCAAAACCCTTCCAAACTACCGAGCCATTGGGCGCCAGATAAGTCCCGCCTGTCAGCATCGCGCCTTTCTCATTGTATGGTGATTGTCCGGAGTCAGCGCTTTGGGCGAGCACTGGGATGATCCTCCAGTCATTGAGCTCGAAGCTCTTGATTTCCAAGTCACAGAACGTAATCGTCTCATTGAAGTTCGAGCCGTAGACACCTTGGAATGAGCGAATTGTCTGAGTCGTAAAGTTGTGGTAATCGGATGTATTCGGCATCGGACATCCTGAGGAATTTTTGAGTATTCGAAAGGACTGTCTGGACCTTTACTCCAGTAATAGAGATGCGCTAACCTGGCCAAGAACGTGGACGACGAACCCGAGCGTCAATGGCTAAGGATGTCAAAAGGGTGAATCTGCGTGAGGAGTGAAAGGAGTCATACCGTGAGAGAGAACAGCATTGCTTTATGAAATGTTGAATTCATTGATCATATTATTGCTTGCCTTTATGTAGGCAATCACAAATAGATGATGCAAACGAGTCCGCCGCTGCCATTGCTTAGTAAAGATTTGAAAGCTGGAAGTCCTCGGCCGCGAGTTCGAGAATGGTTAGCAGAGAGCTGCATCTTGAGATCCAAAATGAAACCTCACGACGCTGCGTCCAGCTAGACCTGACATTGGATCTAGCAGCTTTTGGTGCTCGAGGACCTTCTAAACGCTGTGGAGTCAAGACGATGGCAGTAAGCAAAGATGAGAAATCACACTCTAAGAGAGAGGACAGTCAAGAGACCAACAGTAATAGAATCAAAGAATTCACTGTAATGTGGTACGACAGTCACGCGAATCCATGTTTTTGACTTTGTGAGAAAGGTAAAATCATTCGATTTCTGTATTTGTGCATTCTTGGTAAATGATAATGATATGAACGACTATGCTTTTCAACTGACTTTCTTCGATGAGTTTTGATGCGATGGATTACCTACCAGAGGAAGGTTCTAGTACCTGTGCAGACCCGCTTGAAGGTAACCTTACCTGTAGACCCGCAAGGATGACGGAGTGGTTAGGGCACATTAGGGCAGATTGAGGCAAGCTGCCGCTTCTCTAACGGGCCCCCGAAACGACGATCCGGTGATGGTGATTTCGAAGGCCCAACGTCACACCACCTTTCACCTTTCACCCCCACCCCCACCCCCAGGCCACCTCTCTTCCATCTGCCGTTAGCAATAGAATTCAAACTTTATCCTTTGACTCAAAGCTTCCGACTCTTTACTCGTATTTAAGAGACCTTCATCAAAAGGCAGTCAGTACAACGGCTTGCCTTGAAGAGCTCGTTGATGAGAGATCCAAGTATGCAGCCTGGAGAGTCAGCAGATGAGGGAGATATCCCGTCACATGCCCTCCATGGCCTCCTCGCTGATCTAAACATTTCCTCCCCTTCCAACCGCCTCTCTCATGCTCAACTCCCTACCTGGACATTCCCAGCATCTCCACCTACCAGGAACACACCTTCACCTCGCCCAGCTGACGGATCCATCTTCTCTCCACGCCCTCCACCAAGATATCACCCCAATTCCGCTCCGGAACTGGATCTTGCATCTCCAACACATGTCACCAATCCCACCCACGTCGTTACCCCCACGCCTTCAATTAATCAGCCCTCGTTGTTCAATACGCCCAATCGATCAATCTTCTCCTCAGGGCCTCCGACCTCGTCTGTATCTGCCAATACAGCACAAGCGTCCATGAGCTCCCCATCGCCGGTCCACCCTACCCATCCATTGTCAACCCTCACTGTTCCTACTTCTGGCTCAAGCAGGAGGTCGGTTCATTATCAGAATGAGAACCTACCGACAGCTATAAAGAGCAGAATCCCAAGAGCAGAGAAGGATGTGGATGACCCTTCTGTCCAAGTCGAGGGTACTACATCGGCTGAGAGGAGGGGGACAAGTACGCCTACAGCATTGACACGTCTCTTCGCTGCGCCCGAGGTCACTCCGATAGTATCAAGACATTCCTCGTACATAAGAACAGCTAGTGGAACCGCATACACCAGAGCATCTTCTGCTGAGACAGCCCCTTTGCCGAACCACCTCTACAATCGGGGTTTGCTAGGTGGGAAACACTCAGATATTGCAATTCATGCTTTTGGTACTCGATATGCTCTACACCGGCTACTGCTCGATCGGGCACCCTTTTTTTCATCCGCTCTCTCAGAGCCATGGTTTGAAAGCTCGTCAAAAGAGATAGCCCTCCACCCTGATGATATCGATTCTAACATTACGCAAGCTGCCTTCGAGCTGGCGCTGAAAAGACTCTATGGCTGCAATGTTGCTATGGAAGAGGACAAGGAGGCCGTTGGCCTGTTTGCTACTGGTTGTTGGTTAGAAATGGCTGACTTGGTCGACGCCAGCGTCACGTCGATCTTGCGTCAGATGTCACCGGCTAAGATAGGTTCTTTAATCAAATTGGTCACCAACAACTATTATGGCAAAAATGGAGATCGAATCTTGGCCACAGCCAAAGCCATGCTTTGCCGCGAAGGCTGGGAGATGCCAGTGAGGTATTGGGATGGAGTTTCTGGTGAGATCGCAAGAGAGATTATTGGTGGCGACGGCTTCTTCGTACCTGGAGAATGGGAACGGTGGGTGCTTGCAAAGAGAGTCCTGGATCGAAAATTGAAGTTACGAGCTATTGAAGCAGGCCTTATTGAGCCCAATGGAACCCACAAACGTGCACCACCCGATACTATGAGCTTCTCAGCTATCCGGTTCGACACTGTGTATCGCAAAAACTCAGCCGTTGCTAGCAGGCATATCCCTGAGGCCTATGATTCATGGCTTGCGCTTTACACCAATCCGGATATCGCCGCTTTGCTGGTCCTCCTTGACGAAGGTATCCATTACGTGCATTTGAGCTTCGAACAATTGCAGAAAATTCGTAGTCAGCGAGATGTCCTTGGATTGCCGCTTATGCCTGAAAAGGTGATCAACGATGCTTTATGGATGCAGATGGAACTTCGACAGAGGATCGTCAACGCGCCTGAGCTCGATGAGGTACTGGGATTGAGCAAAGAATCCGAGGAAGTTCAGGAGGCCGCCCATCTGCAAGGAGACGCTAGTGAGGCCACTAATGGGAAAGGCAAGGAGCGCGATACTGATTTTTACGATGACCAAGAGGATGATGATGAAATGGAGTCAGGTAGCTGGGACGGCAATGGAAGACCTCGAAAGTTCTGGATTCCTAACGTCGACTCGACTTCCGTAACGGGCGCGAATCCAGATACTTCGCTGTATGCAACGCCAAGCACTAATCGGCCTTATATCTCACGACTCTCCGCCTCCATTGACCCAGTGGATGTGCAGTGGGCATCAGACTTCACAGCATCAGCAAACGAGCGCCCAACAACAGCTGACCGAAATGAACCAATCCCTCCAATCTCTTACACCAACTACCCACCCTTCCGCTTCGCAGCCGAGTTTCCCAATCCCCGCAATCTCAAGGAAAAGAAACGTGTTTACTCTCGCACAGTCTGGTATGCTGGCAGTCTCTGGAATGTGTACATCCAAAAAGTCGAAACCACAAAGAACACTCAGCTTGGCGTCTACCTGCACCGCGCTAAGGAAAAGGAAGGCTCCGAAGATATCCATCACCGTCATACGAACAGCGTGGACGAACGCATCGGACAAGTCGAGATGCTAATGCGCCGCAACCGCAATCGCCGTCGTTCACGAGGCGAATCACTGGATGAGGACGCCAGTAATTCAGGTACCGATCCGGACAGCACTTTGGTCGCGCCCGGACAACCTTCGCGAGCGGCGACACTTAGCAATCTGCTCCGTGGTGGCAGCCGCGATGACTCTTCTGTTACCAAGTCCTCACAGACGCCTAGTCCTCTCAGTTTGTCTTTACCATACAACAGCGCTCCAAACCTGAACGATTCCGACGACAATGACGAAGCTGCTGGCAACAGGGAAGCTTGCAATACTAACCACAGTGTCCCAACTCTGCCGACATACGTCGATGGTCGCTCAACGATTAAGACGTATTTCAAGATCTACAGCCCAAGTAAGGGTGGTAGGATGTTGAGTGTATACGAGAGCGCCCCAGATTCATTCAATTTCAGTCAGAGCTGGGGTTGGAAGAGTTCCACTATGGTGTTAGACGATGCGTTATGTGGGTATGATGGCGGTGGAGATAGCGGTGGGAACGGCAAGGGGGGAAGGGATGGACGGCTCCGGTTCATGGTTGTGATTGGTATGTTGTGAAAGAAGCATTCATCATGCGCTTTGCTGATTTTGATTAGGTAATGTTTGAATGTTTCAATGAGTGGTGTGCGTATGTGGCACGTGTGGTACATGTTTCCTCCCTGGTGTTTCACTGGCTTTGCATCTATCTGTCGCTGTCCGCTAGCGTAGAATTAGAGCATTTACCACTGTTCCTGTTCCACAATTGACATGAGCGACTTCCTTCCTACCTTCCAATATACACCCTGGAAGCCCCGTGTTTGAGCCATCTGAGATCCGAAATGCAGTCGATAATGGCTCAGATCGTCACTCGGCGATGGAGCGGGTTGTGGCACCCTTGAAGGCGTCCGACCAGATCCTCCAAACGCGTATCTTTTCGCGGTATTAAACCCAGATCTCAAGTCCCCAGTTTAGCGACAAGGCCACCGAAGTTGCAAACGATGACGATGATGCTTTTGAGGATGGATAGATCTCTAGCTTCCGACGTCAAAGTCTGCACAGTCACGGCTCGATACCGGAATGCGGCGGCTGACAGTCGGAGCAACTGCCCCCGAAACAGGGGGACACTGGAGGGTAGTCGAGGTTATATTTACGAGACCGTCTCAAATTGCGAATATATACGTTGGCGTTATCGTGCCGGATCCGCTTCCAACTCTCCAGCGGTCTGCCTCCTTGCGATGGGGAAACCGTCCTTTTCTTCCTGCAAGTTTCTTCCATCCATTTCCGAAGGTATATGGTTGCCGTCCACTTCGCTGGCATAAGTTCCAGCATATTCTTGCTTTTGCGATTTTGGAGGCGGAATCTGTCGCTGCTTCCTGCGTGCTCGCGCCCAGAGGAGCAGGCCAGCTGATATGAGCGCGAGGACGCCCAGGGAAACTCCGACACCTATGCCTGCTTTTGCCCCGCTGCTGAGACCGTTGTTTGGCTGCGGGCTGGCTGACTTGCCCGTTGCTGTTGCAGCTGCCGCACTTGGTGTTCCTGACGACGAAGAGGATGTGGAAGCTGATATTGTAGTGGGTGTCGATGTCGATGTCGATATGGAGGAGGATGTGGTAGCTGCCGCGATTGACGTCGACCATGTAGTTGCCGAACGATCAGATCTGCGGTAGTTCCAAGTCAGCATATACCCTTTGAAGCAGTCACTTGTCTTGCAAACTCAGGCTCTGTTAGGCGTTGAAAACGGGGGAGGGGGGGTCTGAAAAGACGCACTGCACGTTGACGAGAAAATTTCCACTATTGGAGCTATTGGCGGTGCCCATGAGGGGCCCGTTTGTCTCATTCAGATTCAGGTGACATCCTGAGTCGGTGTCCTGCACCGAATTGAGGGGGATTGCATAGGATCCGTTCGGCAGTACAGGTATGGGGGATTCGAAGTCTTGCTTCTTCAGCCATGGTAATGAGAATGGGAGTGTTAGGCTTTAGGACAAGTGAGCTTGAAAAGACGACTTACTGATAGAAAAATCGCCGTCATTACCGGTCTGGCAGAACATGACGAGCACGGGCGCCACGAACTCGCTCGTCCAAGATGCATCCATTGTGTCTTGGCTTTCCAACGTGATCGGAGGGGCATTTTGCACATAAGCTGGGAACAGCCAGTTTGCCGTATCAGCAGAAGCTGTGGATGGTAGGAGAGAGGTGGTTGCGAGGAAGAAGAGAAGGTGGCCGGCTAGTTGTGGCAGCATCGGTAGGGTGTAGAGAACAGAAACAGCCAACGGCAGATGAAAGGGAAATCAAGATATGTCCGATTCCCTCACGCGATTGCACGAGAGTGTGTAGAAGTGGGAGACAATAAAGAGATCATTGTAAGCAGGCGCACTTGGACGAAAATTAGAATGTGAAACAAGGGCTGAGATGCCTGAGAAGCACTCTTTGGGTGCAAAGAGGCGAAGCATGGCGATTTGATGCTGCGGACTGCCCGAAGGATTTTAGCACATGGGACCAATATCAGAGCGGCAACGCGGATGAAGGGGCTTGGAATTAGGTGAAAATAGAATGTTCAAGAAGCAACGCGGTCATACTGCAACCGAGAATGCCTTCTGCAATATCGTCTTTCTCTGAAGATGGAGAGATATTCCAGCAAAAAGGACGAAGGCAATTGAGTACAAGACGGACATGCACTGTAATCTGTAGACTGTAGATACCTGTAGACTGAACCCGATACCAGGCTAATCTCCAAAGCTTCTACCCGATATTTAGAAGTTTAGGTGCTTTATGAGCGAGGGAACATCCCTGAAAAGTCTCAAACCTTCCTTTGGGAAGTGGTGTGGTTGGGGTATTTAGTTCGTATTAGGTTCGTTCCTTGCCTGGTACTGTGTTGCGGTGCTTTTTATTTCTGCGGTAAAAAGCCCTAACTAATCTAAAATTTGCCAACGAAAGGTCCTATCAGAAGATTTTGCTCTGGAATTACAGATATTGTATAAAGAACAGCTCTTATGGCAAGTATTAGCTTTGAAGAGGGTATTGAGGTTTATTTCGTTGGTAGAGGTGAAGGATTGCTTGGCGTGTGCGGCTTTTTCTTTCCCGCTTCCTTTGGGAAGTAGGCACCTACTCCGTATCGGTCAAAACAGTTAAAGCAGAGCAAAGTAATGACAGTTGCTCAGCGCTCTGCTACTCCACGCAGGAAGAGGAGCACTCGCGAGTGTTATCCCTGTGATGAAAGGGACAATTTGTGCTTTGTCTAGGAATAGAAGCTCGCCGTGACAGGGGAACAGAGAGCTGTCTAACATACACAGCGTTCCTTCCATGCAACGAAATCGTCCAGGGAATTGCTACAGATAGGTGTAGCTAAGACGTGAGAAAGACAGGCAGGAGTTATTGCTATAAACAGCATCTAAATGCTTGGAGATCATCAACTTCGACAGCCTCAGGCTTCTTCTCATCATCTCTCTGAGTCGATTCTTACCTCTACCTCAGAGTGTCTCCCTTTCGCCTTGAGTTATCCTGCCCTCCTTCTTTATCTTTATAGAGACGTTGACCCAGTCGTGGCGTTTCTACGCCACGGTTGGCCAACCTTATGGCGTAAGCATGCATGAAGCTTGCGTGCATCCCCCCACCACTACTACATTTCGGTAGCCTTGTCAGAACGACATGCGTCATAGTCAATCTTTCCTACAACGTCTCGACAATGGTCAAGAAACAATCTGTAAACAATGCCTATCACATTTGGCTCCGTCGGTGACATAGTCTCGGTCAGCTGCCTCATCAAAGACCTCGTCAAGTGTCTCGACGAGAGCCGTGGGTCACCGGCGGAATACCAGGCTGTCATACGCGAGCTATGGAGCCTGGACCATGCGTTGCTGGAAGTCGAATTGCTGCTTCAGTCTTGCGCGCAGTCGATGGAATTGAGTGGCCTACGCAAGGACGCGAAAAGCTGCGCGGAGCAGTGCCGCAAATGCATCGAAGACTTTCAGAATAGGATGAAGAGATATCAGAGATCCTTGCGTAAAGGAGGCACGGGAAACCTGTTCAGGGACACCACTGCGAAGTTCCGGTGGCATGTCTCGGAAAAGGATGACTTGGCGAAGTTCAGGGCAGAGGTCACTGCGCATTACTTGTCGCTAAACATGCTCTTGGCTACAGCTGGCACGTGAGTGGATTTAGGCACTCCCTAAGTCTTGCGTTCCCCGAGCTGATGAGAACAGTAAGCTTACGATGTTGAACGATGAGGGCATGCATAAGCGACTGAAGCAATCTGATCTAGCTCATGCGAGCTCTTCAGCAACGCAAACCTCGCTCCTCGTGGATATAAACACCCGCTTGCAGGAAAACAATACTCTAATACAAGCAGCAGCGTTGGAGTCTAAGGCGCTGGGTTCAAGAATCGACGTGTATGCGAAATCTTGAATCAGGTAGCTTGCAGTTCATTAATCCGTGGCTACAGCGACTACTTCAGGAATCTGGGGACTGAACTTCTGTGAGTCTAGATACTAAGTTGCTTCACTCATACCAAAATGGACGGGCTTGACCCTAGAAACTATTCATAGGAGAATCAATTCGATGACCTGCAACGCAATTGTATCTCTACAAGCCTGTATTCCAGCTCAATTGAACCGAACTTGGACACAAGACCCCGTCATGCTTGAAGATGCTCTTGGTCGAGTCACGCCGTTCCATTTGGAGTTCATTGACTCTTGGGAGGTTGGTCACGTGAAGTTGCGGTATATGGCATATCGAGCTGACCTTCAAGGTTTTGGAGTCCGTTCTCGAAGCACGCTTTCGACAACTTCCGGGGCATCGTAAGATCAAGCGGAAGGAATACGTTCTGCGGGCAAATTTCAGCAACAAGGATGTCGACAGCAGCTTCATTGCTTTCAATCGCTGCTTTCTCCCGGGCCAGCATTATGACATGAGCATGGAATTCAATGCCGCACGCGCACAGAATTCCTGCCCAGCCTGTTTGCTTGATACTGGGGAGGCGTCTGACGCACGAGTGAAGTGGTGAGGCGTCTACCTAGGACTGTGACTCCGGGTGCTTACTGCCAGTAGCAATGGGTGTGGTCTCTGGTATCAGCGGATAGTAGAGACCATCGCAGATGTGGCTCCTGTTGTACCAAAGACCGATTTACCAATCAAACGGCCATGTCTGAAGAGACGGCGAGAAGAAGAGCCCGAGAGTGATGACGAGCCGAGACAGTTTCGCCGGGTTCGTATCAGATGTCGCCAACGAGCAGAAAACCAGGATAGCCAAGGCGAAGCAGAATTTGAGGCCCTAAGATCTGGAGAGGAAATGATAAGATGTATTTGCGGGACGCACGATGACTTGGGGCTGCTTGGAAACAACCTGCATTATGCACCTTCCGCAAGAAAAATCAGAGCGTGGCTTATACAGTGTGGTGATTGCAAAGCCTGGCAACACCGAAGCTGTGTTGGGACTGCGAACGGCAACAACCCGCCGGGAGGCTTCTACTGTGAACAGTGTTCGTGGGTGGAGCCAGTTGACGGCCTCTTGAATGAAAATGTCGAGGGGTACACCATCAAGTGTATATGTGACTCTGATGGGGATGACGGCAATACAGTATACTGCGACCGCTGCAGCACCTGGCAGCATGTAACATGTTTCCATTCCAACATCAGCACGGCCGAGCCAGAATCTCTCGATCACTTGTGCGTCAATTGGGATCTTGGCGAAGATCTCACCTGGCACGGTACGCCACACGCCCATAAGTGCAATGATCCCCAACATGCTGACGCTTCCTAGATGCAATACTGAGAATTGATGAGGGTCTGAAAGATTCTCGCAGGCGGAGAACGCTAACAAGCGAGTAGTGATGACCCCTATCGCAACCAGTGCCGCCACCACCGACGTACGGTCACAGTCCGATGGGAACACCAACCGCGAGACACGACCTTCCTCCGCCTCCACTTCCGCCCCCAGCTCACACTGAGAACATGACTGCCGGTAGTGATTCGGGTTGGGCTTAGGGGAATGATCTGTTTGGGGTCATTGTTTGGGGGGCGGGGGGGGGAAGGCAGGAGGGTGGCAGGCCAACGCCGTATTCCTCGAAGACCCGGGGCTGCTCGGCCAGTGGAGACGCCAGATGGCCACCACGGGAAGGGTCGGCCCTCCAAAGTACCAGCGCCTGTTGCGTGCTAGACATGAAGGCTCTGCTGTGACACGATCAACTATGCAGCACCGCTGGTGATGGACAGGCGATACCCTTGGTATGATTGCTTCGCATGGCTTCGATCTCGCAAAAGTGCACTCGTTCTGGGTCTCTGTGTTTCCGGCCATGTCCCATGGTGGAATGTTGGTGTGATTATGTTTGGACCTTCCGCTTCGTCCTCGAAGCTCTTGGGGAGCTTACTTACGGAACTACGGTGAAAGCCTTCCGGGTTGTAATGTACAAGTGCAATGCTTCGCTTTTCCGTGTGCCTAGCAACCATGCAGTCCAGTAGAAACACCAGCCATCTACAAGATTGTTCTTTTTAGCAAATCCTGGAGCTCAGTGCCCATTGCCCAACAACGGCGTATCCTCATTATCCACGCTTCCACCCTTCCTCGTCTTCCTCCGCCGTTTCTTTTTCTTTGACTCGGCAGCCGGGGTATTCTCTTTCCTGCCATCAGGTACATCCGACGGCTCGTCTCCTTGGACCTGAGCGCCCCCCTCTCCGCTATCAGAACTACTCGTCATCTCCAGCACCGTCTTTTTAATCCCCCCTGCGTCAACAATTTGTTCGGTGATACTACCCGAGCGTGCAGCGCCTCTCTTTGTTTTCGGCGGTGACTTCGTCCCCGAATGCATTGACCCGAGTGTGCTTTCCGAATTGACTCGGGATCTGTGCTTCGATCCTGTTCTGTTTTCGCCCGGGCTATCTTCTTCACGCTCACGATCGCCGTTTTCAGCAAGGGCAGCTAAGCCTCTGCGGGACTTGTTGGGACTTGGTGGGGATGCTCCAAGGGGGATGCTGCCGTAGCCGGCAGCTACAGCGAGAACGCCGTCCTTCGCATCTTTACCAGCAGAGCTGAGTAGGCCGGCGCCAACCGCTCCCTGAGCGGCTATGGAATTACGAGGGGTGGTATCGGAATTGTCTGAGGCTTTGGACATGGCGTCGCCGAGCGTGCCAGATCCTGGCTTGATCTTTACCGTGTTGTATCGAGTCTGTCTAGGCCGGCTGGCAAGATTGGAGGGGCCCAAATGCTTCAAGTGGTCGCGTATTTGAGGCTTTGGTTTCTTCTGGCCACCTTCTCGATCAGATGTATAGGCTGTACTTGAGTGACGTCGTAGATCCTCGGGACGCCCATTGGCTTCGTGAGCGTGAGTATCGGAGCTTGTTGCATGGCGACGCATGGCTTGGTGCGGGTCTTTCTTGTCCTCACCGAGGTCGATCAGGGCCTCCTCACGGTCGGCCAAGTTGTCCTCCACATCAGTGATGACTTGGCCCTTAGGCACTCTCGATTTGGGTGCTGGGTTCATACGACGGAGGCCTTTTTGCACGTCAATATAAACGTCAGACTCATCGATAATTTCTCTGTATGTCGGTCAGTAGTGGACTCAGGTAATCGAAGGATAATGCACATACTCGCCAATAAGCTCCTCAATGACATCTTCTAGTGTCACAACACCTAAGGCGCCATGGTCCTCTCCGGGAAATTCCGAGACAAGAACCATGTGCGATTTTCCCTCTTGAAAGAAATTGACAATGTCCAAGCAGCTCGTCTCGGCCCTTGTTTCCGGCAGCGTAGCCAAAGCAAAGTCCCTCACGAGTTTCGCATCTTCAGGATCATAAGTGATGAGTATCTTAACCAGGAGCATTCCGACGAAGTTCTTTTGATTGTCCGGTGCGTGGATGGGGATTCTAGAGAAACCAGCACCAAGGATGAATTCCATGGTCTTCTCGTTGAGAACGGTATCTGCAGACAGCGTGAACGTGTCCTCCATCGGGGTCATGATACTGCCGACGGACTTCGCCTTGAGATCCAGAACCGCGCTGATGATGGTGACCTCGTCCGAGTTGAGTTGCTCGCCGTCCGCGCCAAGACTCTTATGCAGAGTCACGAGTGTCTTTAGTCCAGCCTTTTTATACGTCGTACCGTGATCCTCTCCCAAGAGTCTGTCAAGGAGCTTCGCTGTAGGCCATGCAACGGGCGATAGAATGTACATCAGTATGAGCACTAGAGGTGACATCCATGCTCCTATCGGGAGACCGTAGCGGACGCAGATCGATTGAGGGATGACCTCGCCGAAGATGACTATGAGCCTGTCAGGTATAATCCAGAGAAGCTATCTTTAGCACTCCTCACCAATAAGGACCGTACTGCCCAACACAGCAGGCCATCCACCACCAAGGGAGCGATCCAGCACAATAGGCAGAGTCTCGTTTGTGATGACATTGCCCAGCAGAAGTGTCACCAGAACCCAATGTTTCCCTCTCTCCAGCAACCGTAGTACCTTGGCAGCATGGTTCCTTTCAGACCCTTCGCCAGACGTCTTGATGACCTGTAGGTATATTTCATCCTGCACTTGATCAGCTGTTGCACCCTTCTGCCTAGTCCGCTATAGCATTGTAACTTACCTGACCCATCAATGCAATGGTGAGACCTGCAAAGGCTCCGCCGAGAAGCACTAAAGCAATAGCAACAGCGAGATAGATCCATAGAGTAGGCTTGTCTGGTGACATAGGAGGTTCCTCATCTTCTGCAAACACGGTAAAAGGGCCCCTTCGCTGAGGAGCAGCGCGTAGGAGTGGCAAGAAGCCCAGCATGAAGAGCTTCGCCAGAGAGAGAAACAGAGGTCTCGCGGCCGTGTAGCCATGTGTGACGCGTGGGCCAGATCCCTGAGGGGGCTGGTTGTTCGACATGTTCGGAGAGTATTTGGGGGGGGGGAGAAAGGGCCGGTGTCAAGAGAAGACAGCGGTGAGTGGGTTATACTTATGCATATTTGGTGTTTGGTGGGTGTAGAGTCCGAGGATGAGCGTTGAAAGTGAAGTTACCGTCGCTGTCTTAATTTTAGCGCCTTCGCGCCTTCCCCAGAATTGCCAAGAAAAGGGTGGGCGTGAAAGATGCAGCTGCCAAGTGATTGTGTAAGGTACTAGGTGTACTCGATAGCATCTTTGATTTGATTCACAGATGAACCTGCATTAATTCTATCTATAGGAATGCTAGATAGTGTGCGAGTTACGTTGAAAGCCTTGAAGCCATATGCTGACTAGGTAAGTATGCTACCAGGACCTTCAAAATAGATGCTGCAGTTGATGATGATAATAACTCCATTCTTCATTAATGACATCACATATATCCCCAATCCTAATTCCCATCGACTCCCAAATTTCCTGCTCGGACCGTTCTGGATCACTCAAGGCTGCCCCAATCAATGAATCAAGCATATTTGACCGCACTCCGATGTTCATCATGGAAAGGGTTGCTCTCCGCACTGGCTTCCGCATCCTTGAAAGGATTGTCCTCCTCGCTGACAGCTGAGACTGGCATCCTCGCGCTTCCTTTTGCGGATGGCGTATAAGCTGGTGGCTGTGATTCCCGATGCTCTTCAGGAGTCCGGTTGTACTGCAACTCGATATTGCGTCTTTCGGCAGCAGTAAGCTTCTTTGCTTTGCGCCATTTGTGGGTCGCAATGCAGGCGTAGACGAAGAGGGTGAAATGGATGATTCTAATACCATGTTTGTTAGCGAGTGATGGCCAAGCGTAGCAGCTCACAACCAATCAGCTATAGACCGAACAACTTACAGAATGAGTGCCAGAAACACATTTGCTGCGATCTCAATCCGTCCCAATGTGTAGATCAGCGGGTTACAGATCTGACTCCAGTAATTATACTCGTCGCATGGCACCATGCCATCGAATTCAACGAGGACGGGCTGCCAGTACCAGAACCAGCCGTCACCAACAGAGAAGACAAGAGAAGGTATAGCAAGGCCCCAGACAAGGAAATCAACTCCGACATTCCAGCCAGGGTGGATTGGCCGGCCGTGGCGCTGGAAAAGAGTGAGGAAGAGGACAAGAGGGTCATAGAAGAGGGCGAGGAGGACCTGCGGATACCAAGGTCAGTTGAACGGCCAAGTAAAGGGTCAAGGCGCTAGCGTTGGATGTCGAATATGGCTCTGCTATCGACGTTTCGAAAGGCGCATGTTTGAGGAGGATTGTGGCGGATGTGCAGAATAGCCGCAAGGATTTCCAACTTACAGGAGCAAGAGGTAGACCATCAGTCCAGTCATTACCACCGTAGTTCATTTTCGATACCGAGGTGGTCACGGCGAAAAGGATCATAGCGATGAAGGCGAGAGGAACGGCGAGGGCGCGCAAGCCGAGCTTGATTGGCCAGCGACGATCATGGCCGTTGAGCTGTCGCCGTGTCTCGGCGGAGATTGACATACGCGCCATGACGGAGCTGAGGAGGTAGAGGATGAAGGTAGAGTCGAGATGGAGTGATGGCAGCAGCGATGTTGAGGAAGTTGAGTGGGTTTACTGGGAGAAGATGTCATGTGTTCTCCGGGGCAAATTAGTGTTGGTGTTGTCGTAAGCTTGCCTCCCACCCTCCTTGGATTGGAAAATAGTGACGCATACCCCGGGTTGCCCCACGGCCAGATTCGGCAGTCGGCCAGGCTCATCCATTCATTCTAATCATTCATTCATTTACATGCGGGGCTGGTGGGGGCTCATGTATTAAGTACGATCAAGGATGTTCGGATGGCATTCAAACAATTGCATGCTCGGGCATGCATGTCAGTCCATAAGTCGATCTAAGCATAAAGCAACTCTAACATACGAGGTCCCACATCAACCGGTCTGTCTGTCAGCACCTTATGGTTAATGCTGCCAAGCTTCAGAACTTCAGTCTCAAGTCATGGTCACGATGGTGATGGAAAGCCGCCACCGCAATCAAGCATTTCTTAGCCCCGGAGTGAACGAAGATCCCTTGGATCGAAAGCTCTCTCGGCTTTTCAAAAGTAAAGAGACAACCGTAAATACAATCCGAAAATACCTGCAAGAATGTCCACCCCCACCCTGGAGCCGCGTTACAAGCTCATCTTCACCGTCCCTCACTCATCCCTCGAAGCCTGTAAATCCGCCGTATTCGCAAAAGGTGAGCATCCCGCATATTCTCGTGCCAGTAAAAAAAAAAAAAGAGTACCCCGCCATTCACCTTTTCCTCCCATCTTTCTTTTGCCATATTCGATACCGTATTCCTTTGCTCATGGGACCGACCCAGGAGCTGGCAGCTACCCCGGCGGCAAGTATTCCATGGTCTGCTTCGAGGTACCGGGCACGGGCCAATTTCTGCCCGGCGAGGGTGCGGTCCCGAATATTGGCGCGGTGGGCAAGTTGGAGAGGGTACCCGAGACGAGGGTGGAGGTGCTGTGCGTGGGAAAGGACGTGATGACCGGAGCGGTGGATTCGTTGAAGAGGTAAGCACTGACCCCGTTTCCGGAACGGTGATCAACGCCGTGGGTAGACAAGTTGATCCTGTCCCTCCTCTTCACCGTCGCAACCGTGTACTCGCAGGCAATAACCTGTATGTGACCGCAGAGCCCATCCGTACGAGGAAGTTTCCTATGAGGTGTATCAGATGGAAAATGTTTGATAATCCGAACTGTGGGCCAATGCGCTTGTGGCTTGCAGCAACGCAATCGGGTTGGCAGGCGAACAGCCAGAGAGAACCGGCAATCATGGCGGCTGCGAGTCCAAGAATACAGGACATATTCAACGCTGAACAGGAGATCTCCAACACGTTCATCTGGTCTATTGCCAATGTATTGGTACACAGCGAAATCTGCTAGCGTTAACAAAAAGCAGTCACAAGGAAAGGTAGCCCCTAAACATTGACACTAGTTTCATACCCATGGATTGTCGGAAATAATGCTTCGCGCACTGCACTGTGCATACGTTTTGTAGACTAGAGTAACATTCTGTTACGCACTACTAGTCCACCAGGATACCACTGTAATTACACTGAAAGTATGATACAAGAACCCCCTGCAGCCTTCGGAGGAGTGTTCTTAAAGCCTTGATCATACCTCAAATGCCTCCGCAATCCAGTCCATCTGTACCGCACTCACGCCTTTTGCGTAGCTGCGATTTGTGAAGACGAACTCATTGAACATGATCGCTTCTACTTTCTTGCCAAACAAGCTGCTGGAAGGGTGTATGGCCACCACTTGATTTCCGACCATGGTCTTGTAGCTGCCGTCTGGACACAGTCGGGCCGTTTTGGTTGCAAAACCTTTCAGGAAGCATTTCAATATGGAATTTGCAAGCTCGGGCGTGATTGCTGAGGTTGCTTGGTTTTGTATTAGCTTTAGCAATTTCAATTGCTGGCACTGAGCCCGCAGCTGCTTTCGAACATCCATGGCCGCTTTCATGGCTCTATGCGATGCAAAATGTTTCTCCGCCCAGGCTTTCCTATCCGTATTCTCTGCTGCGTATGCTTGGACTGCTGTTAATAAGGTCAAGTGATCTCCTTCTCTTTTGTAGAGTTCGCGTCGAGCCACTTCAGCTTCCTTTTTCTTTTCCTCGGACGCCAGGTTGAGGAACAAATCCTCCACACTCAAGCACGAGATAATGTCAATAACCTCGGGTACGCAATTTAGCGATGGTTCAGCCGCTGCAATGAGAGCTCTTCCGAGAGACACAGTGACCGGAAGCTTAGCAATCTGCAGACCAATGTCGCTTATTCCTCCAGAGTCAGTCAGCGCTCCGAGCAGATAAAGCTGCAGCAAAGCCTTTTCCAACGCAGTTCGCGGCGGAGGATCAAGGAACGAGAAATTAACAACATCCTTGATGCCTCTTGCTTTCATAGTCAAAATTGCATGGCTTAGATCGCATCTTAAAACCTCCGGCGTGTTGGATTGTTGCATGGTAGAATAGTCCGATTCTGTATACAGCCTATAGCACTGTCCTAACGCTTCGCGACCAGCACGCCCCTGGCGCTGAATGGCCGAACTTTGCGAGATCGGTTTCACGAGCAACGATTCCATCCCAATGCTCGTCCGAAATTGCTTGATCTTTGCTTTTCCACTGTCTATGACAAATCGGACCCCTGGGACTGTCACTGAGGTTTCAGCGATGTTCGTTGCGATGATTATTTTCCGCGTATTTGGAGGAGCAGGCTGAAATACTCGCTCCTGTGCAGCTTGCGATAGGGCGGCGAAGAGTGGTAGGACTAGAAGCTTCGGTAGCTCGGGCCCCATGTCGTGGGCATACTCTTTCACGAGGCTCTCGAGGGACTCGATAACGTTCCGTCCATGGAAGAACACAAGCACATCCCCTGGCATGGGTTCTTGACGGTGGATCTGGAAGATCATTCGAAGAGACGCCTCGACGATGTCCTGGACTGGCTCTGCTGTATACTTAAGATCGACAGGGTACTGGCGACCTTTGATATAGCAAGTTGCTACACGGTCTGAAGTCTTCAATTGCGGCTTCTTGACCTCGTGATGGGAACCTTTCACGGTTCCATTGCTGTGGATTGCAGTGTCACCTTCTTCATCAGAGGAGGAGATGCCGGACCATTCAGACCCTGACTCGTCTTGATGTTCAAGCCCATCGGTACCATTCCCATGATCCTTTCTATCTCCATGGACTCCATTCCCTGCCTCTCGCCCATATCCCTCCTCAAAGAATGCCCTCAAAGTCTCCGTCTCGGCGGTTGCGCTCATGATGATAACCTTATCAAAGAATCAGCGTCCCTTTTCCAAAACGTAGGGCTAACTCTTAAAACAATCTTGGTGAGCACAAGTGGGGTAAGTGATCTGTTTCACGACAGAAAGTCGAACGCGGTAAATAAGTATTTAGGAGCACAGCGTGTAAAGAAGACCAGCCCGGCCCCAGGACAAGTCTCGAAACCCAGACTGGAGTCTCGGACAGAAAGGAGTAACTCGGAAATACGATGTACCTTCAACGGTATCCCCCCTCTTCCCTTATTTTTCCCTGCGACCATGTCCCTCAGAAAACCCAACAGTAAATCGACATTGACCCCCCTCTCATGGACCTCATCCACGAACACAGCACTGTAAGCTTTCAACCATGGATCTCTCAACATCTCTTGCAATAGTGTCCCCTCCGTAACGAACTTGATCCTCGTATTCGGACTGGTAGACTGATCAAACCTCACACTGTAACCAACTGTGCTTTTCGGACTAGATGAACCAAGCGGAGTGCCCATTTCCTCTGCTACTCGTCTAGCTAAGGTAGTAGCCGCCACCCTTCTCGGCTCTGTGATGGCAATACAGCCGCCGATTGTAACAGTCTGAGGGGAGCGGTCCATTGGAATGGTGACCGACTGGGATTTACACCATGGCTCATTCACAAGCATCTGAGGCACTTGCGTACTTTTCCCACTACCAGTCTCACCAACCAAGATGATGACATCCTGGCCGAGAAGAGCCTCGCGAATTTCCCTAACATGGGACCAGACCGGAAGGCTTTTGCGGGAAGATTCCAGCCTTTTGGCTCTGTCTCTCAGATTGTGGCTGCCATTTGATGGTCGAACGAAGTCCTCTGATAGGCCTTTTGATTTGGGTTTTGCCAAAGTGGCGAGCTGCAAGCGATCAGAACCGTTCGATTGCGGGCGCTGGTCGTGGTTGCCCTCGACATGACTTATTAATCTAGTGTTTCTATGTGTAGGCAGGCTCCTGCGAGCAGGTTCTAGCGATATGGCACGTTCTCCGAGGTGAGTCCGATCCACATGCTCTCGTTTCCGTTTCTTACTCTTCGACGATTTATCCTCGGTCAATAATGGGGCACTTTTCCCAACCGCGGTCTCCAAGGGCACAGATCCTCCATCGAGGTGTTTATGCACCCGCTCGGGCATCTTTGCATCGAGTTCAGAAATTAGATATCACAAGATGCATCTTGACCCAATTGCAAAAATAATTCTAGTGTCTGAGAAAAAGTGACTTTAAGGACTTTCCACGCCCCGAAACAAAAGAACGCTGCGTCCTTCGGCCCGTCCCTAAGATTACTCTAAGCCTGCAGCGTGGGGGTCGGAACTTCTTCCTTCCTTCTAATCCTGCCACCCAGATGAATATCAAACCCGGTTTTGCACACCCAGACGCATCTACTTTACCTCTCCCCCCTACTAACAGCCTCTACCCTCTCCAAAGTCCAGACCCCCTTTTACCCGTCCTTTAACAAATCCAATGCGCCCCTCTGCCCCGCGCCCCCTCGTCGCCGGTCCTTCAACCGGCCCCGAACGACCCTTCCCGATCCGCCTCTCAGGACCCATAGTAAAGGGCTTCGGACGTGGTAGCGCAGATCTAGGGATACCGACGGCGAATATACCGTTGGCGGGGCTGAGCGTTGGGGGAAATGAGGATGTCGAGAGCGGAGTTTATTACGGGTGGGCGGGTGTGGACATTGATGATACAGGGTTGAGGAAGGAGAGGGGGGGGAAAGGAGAGGGAGGAGGATCAGGAGGAGGAGTGTGGGAAATGGTGATGAGTATTGGGTGGAATCCTTACTATAAGAATGAGGTTAGGAGTGTGGTATGTACCTCCTGGCTACGTATTTTTCCACGCATGCTCTGCTGTAGAAAGAAAGAAAGAAAGAAAGAAAACGGTTGAAGCTGATGGAGGGCATCATGCTGATCTGTTATGGTAATCCAAGGAAGTCCACATCATGCACGCTTTCCACCATGACTTCTACGGCGCGCGGATGAATCTGCTGATTTGTGGGTTTATACGGCCAGAGTATGATTATGTGAGTAAGGAGAGTTTAATAGAGGATATCAATGTGGATATTGAAGTTGCAAAGAGAAGTCTGGAGAGGGAGCTTTATCTAAAGTTAAAAGGGGAGAAGTATCTGTTGGAGTTTGGGGTTGAAGGGCATGAGAATGCGGTGGCGAGCTGAGTGATGTATGGATGTTGGGTTTTTGAGTGTGGGTACAGACACATTGGAAGATTCATGAAGCGTGGTGTCAAGCTGGGTAGTCGCACGAAGATATGGGATAGAGATAGAGGATAAAGCAACGGACGCGTGTACTATGAAGGATATTCTGCTGTTCACAAAGACATTGTCAGGTGCGTTTCAGTATAAGTGAATGCGTTATTGACGTCTAATCTGTGGGATATGTACAGCTGTGCTGTCATAATTCATGCCAAAGTGCTAGCCAGCACCAAGCGATTGGGCGTCCATGCCATTCGATTTTCCCAATGGACAAAAGAAAGCAAACGTCGTAGTCTCATCATATGCAAGGAAGGACATTCATAACGAACAACATAGGAATACCGAAGACATCCCGCTTCACTGACCAGCAGAGCATGCATTCGACTTTGCCATCATCATCTCCAATTTGGGTCATACCGGCATTCCCATCTTTTCCAGACCGTGTAGCATCCCTCTGCCGCTTCAGCCGTGATCCAGCTTCGCTGTCCAATGTCTTGTCAAGCTCAGCATCCCTCGCTGTCTTGTACTTCAAAAGCTTGCACGGTGTGGTCACGCTCCCCCTAGAATCTCCAAAAGCTAAATGAGAGTAGTCATCAAAGAAATCGCACGCGCTCTCGTCATCCAACAATTCCACTATAGACACCGGGTTCTGCCGAGATTCGTCGAGGGCATCAGGTCTCGAACTATCTGACACTCGAGGAGTGATGTTATCGCGAGAAATTGCAGTTCCCATACCGGAAGGACCAGAAGTGTCACCCCCCTTGTTCACGTTGAGGTTGGGCTCCCTGCCCAAGAGGACAGCTTTCCTCCAACCAGTAAGAACACTAAAACCTTCACCCACCGCTACCACTTCTCCAGTGCGTCGACAAATTATTGTGGGAGTGCCGGTTGCACTCAAAAAATCGTCATATTCTAGTAGTGTTCGCTGAAGGCACTTTTCCATGAAGACTCGGTCATCGTCATCCAACTTCGTAAGAGATGAGATGAAAGAAGGACGAATGGAAGCGAGTGCCTTGGCAATCCGAGCCGTCTTAGACGGGGAAAACCGCTTGCGGATCAATGCCATCAAATCGTGGAAAGCCTTGGTGTAAGAATAAGGCTCCGTCACGGCATTGTAGATCATTGAGGGTTTCCGGTGGCGGCGATTGGAAGTCGAAGGCTGAGTTTGGATAGAAGAAGGTATCGTTGCCGTTTGGACAGTCGGCGTTGAGGGTGAGGCCTGAGAACTGTTCTGCTGTTGCTGCGAAGAGGTCATTGGCCGGAGTGTTTCTCGGAGCTGTGCCTGACGAGATGGGTTAATATTAGTGTACATACTCTTGACGGACGGACTCTCGTCGATACCCGCCGTCATACCTTGCGGACTGGACCCGGAAAATGATGGACTGGGATAGTTGTTATAGGCGCCAATCGGGTAGCCAGTAGGCTCTTCCTGCTTTACCAACCCATCCAGTGAGTCCTCGTCTTGTCCCCTCAAGTTGAAAGGATCGGCTTCTTCTCGTGAGCTAGGTCGAGAATTGTGTATGACCTGGTCTTGAGGGTAGCCGTAGGGTTGGGCGGCCGATCCGTAGCCTGGGGTATTAACACCTGGCACAAAGTTGGCGTCATCACTAGGATTGAGAGTCCCCGTGCTTTCGCTTGGAGGAGTGTCTGCCATACCAGAAGTGAGGTGAGTTATGTATGCTAACTCCCCATACCCGTATTGATTCGCAAAAGAGTTTTCCTCTGTGTTCGGATTGGGATAGAATTCACCGACAGAGAGGTCTTGATTCGGATTGGAGAAACCGAGGGTGTTTGGCTGCTGCACAGTACGACTGTAATCTGGCAAGATCGGTTGTTGATGAGGGCCGAGAGGATATGATTGTCCCATTGACATCTGCTGGCTAGAGTAGGGTTGGAAAGGCATCTGGTTCTGCTGACCGTGCGTTACGAACAATGGGTAGGTTGGGTTTTGGCTGGCATAGAGGCTACCTACTCCCGGACTGGGGAAACTTGACCTGGGAAATGGCGGGCCACCATGCCAGTCATTAGGAAAGTTGGCAAAGTGACTGTCTTTGACTTGATCCTGGCCTGGAGTTAGATCCTCGTCTGGAGCATCTGCCAAGTACTTTGCCTTCTTCCTCTTTCCGTCCTTGCAAATCTTCTTGTCGCCACACCTCTCGCAAGGCCGCTTGTCACCTGTCAAGCATAAGCGTCAAAGTCGAGGACCATGGTGGCAAGTGGTAGAAGGGACTTACTGCAGGTCAGATGAGCACGTTGACAATTCTCGCAGGCCCGACGAGCTTTTTTCCTCTTGACCCTGTTGGGATCTTTGCTGGCAGCCTTTTTCACCTTGTCATCGTTCGGCTTACGGGCTGACAAATCGCCTTTAGAATCGGTGGTAGGTGTGCGCATGTCGTCTGAGTCTTGACTGTCACTATCGTCTGATGACTCCGACTGCGATCTTGAGGAAGCATTCTCATCTCGGTCCAAGGCCATGATATATAGCTAGCTCACGCGGCTACCAAAAGGCGCCAATGCGGTACGATGCCAGAGGTCCAGATAGCCTGGTTCATGCATGCAAGTCTAATGCTATTTCCCGTGCAAGTGGAGCCTGGCTGTGCAATAACCCAACGCCCTCCTCTACCTTCACCAATAGCACGACGAGAACAAGTCTTCCTGCGGCCTAGTCACCCTTTCCAAGCTGCAGAGTCCCAAGAAGCCAATCAGTTCCTGACGACTTGCGTAATACCGTGCACCGTTGACGGCGCACGTGAGAGAGAAAACAGTGTCCACGTAGCCTACTACCGCAGGAGGCAGTGCAGATTGGAAGAAGGAAGCTCTGCCGATATTTTCAACGAGATCTACTTGGGGTGCCTGGGGACAGCCTCAAATTCGAAATTGAGGGGATATCCCTTGTCCAGTTGCGAGAGAGCGAGCGACCGGATAGCTGCAGATACGTTGGGACGCCTTGTTTTGCTGGACCTTGGAGATTGGATGGACGGACGCAGGATTCCCTCTGATGCAAGGCTTGTCGTGTAAAGTTGTAGGACGACTTGATGTGCTGGATCGGATATTTGGAGCCGTATTTGATTTCTACGTCGGTGATGGTATCGTAGTAATTCGGATGAGAATCCTACGACTGAGATGGTGGACTGGGAGGGTAGTATTCTTATCGTCTCCGAATTGAAGTGGAATGATGATGATGATTAGGCTTAATGTATTATTGTGATGGAGCAGGTCATCATGATCATAATTACCATCCCATGCAGCAAGGTGCTACTCTCATGTCATGTCATGTAGCAGCAGTAAGCGGTCAGTCTCTGATGAACTTGGGTTCACGGTGTTCATTGGGCAGGTGGCACTAAAACTGCTAAAGCGGCACCTAGGATTTGGTGGCCGCTTGCCCGCACGGAAAAATTGCTTTGTCCTCCCATCCATTGGCTCCCTTCGTCGTCATGCTTCATTATTCTCAATTTTGGAAATTCTAACTTGCGCACTATTGCAGGACGCTACTGCTAGTTACCTAAGCTCCTAAGGTACCCTCTTACCTCACCCACACCAAATCCCTGCTTTTTATTCTCTGGAAAACCCACAGCTCTGGTTCGCCAGCGTGCTTGCATGCCTTGGGTCAAAGGGCGATCATGCGCTGCAAAGAAATCAAAGCAACAACATGGCACAAGATGCGTCGTTGGCTCAAGCTAATGCACAGAAGCCTTCTTGAACAAATATTGCCAAGCTGATCTCATGACCTCGATGTGTCCGTACCCTCGTACTTTGAGCTTGAATGACGATCATGTACAGCTGGAACAAGGCTACCAACCATCGGGTGTGGGTGATACGGCTCCTTGTTGGTCTGAGATTTGACAATTCCAGCTCGATACTCATACATCATGCAGGTATGCCTGGAAATACGGAGTAGGGCACTGGCTTTATCATTCCTTCCCACACGCCATCGTGATCATCGTTTTTAGCTATAATTAAAGACTAGAATCATGTACGGCTATCTCCCAGAAGCGAATCGCGAATTACCCCCTAAGATGGGGGAATCAGTTTGACTCCTTTGAGGTAGAAAATTCAGGTAACAAAACAAGATTGGAAGCACTGTGAGTATGCTCCCGAGACATGTCTCGGGACTCAACCATGATATTGATTGGAAGGGAATTCCGAAAAGTGTACTCACGTATCCTTCGGCCGAACCTAAAAAACAGATATCTGGTTTGACCAATCAATATATGCCCAAGCCGCCAAGTAGAGAAAATGTGACAGCTGTTGCATCGACGTACGGGAAAGGTGCCATGATAACCGTAAGGCCCGCCAACAAGGTAGTTGCCCACTAACGTGAAGTTCGTCAGTGGAAAAGCTTTGGTCAGAACTGCTCCCTGCATTACCTGATACCCTAATTTGTTGTACACTATCAAACATTTGTTAGCCTGTCACTGTCACACCTGGCGGATACCGCGTCAGACGTGGAACTCTAGATAATCTTACTTTGATCACCAAACAGTGGAAACGCTGCAGCGAAGCTCGAGCGAGCAAAGCTGTTTGCCGCCAAGGCAGAGGCGGCATATAGAGGATATGCATCCACCAGAAATGTGAAGATTCCTGAAAATGTAAGTAGCATGCTGATACTCGTTCAGTAGCTATTCATTGAAGTCAAGGACAATCCGCAGCGACTCACCCGGCTGCAAAGATAGCACTTCCTATGATCGGCACTGGGTAGAAGTTTAGCTTAGCTCAGGCAACTCCTCTTGTTCCTCCTCACCTATCCAATGTACGGAGGCATACGTGGTCCAGGCAAACCTGCACCGAGGTCAGCTCGCGATTTGCGATTTGAAATACGGCAATAGATGATGCGCACCAGAATAAGCCAATTGGCACGAGTATCCCTCCTGCAATCGCTGGTGGCAGACGGTACTCGGGTTCTGAACCCCCAGACTCTCCATCTTCCTCTTCTTTTTTCCGGAGTAGCCTAAGATAATTGTTGTGCCACAGCGGGTCCGTTCCTATTGCAACCAATTGGCCTACCAAAAGGCCCGTGAAACTCAGGCCGACTTGCCACAGCTCAAATCCATGATTGTTCGTGAATACGATTTCGAAAGCGCCAAAGAAGAGATAGAGGACCCCCAACAATATCGCGGAGAACAGGCAAAGATTCAGGACCATAGGCTCTAGGGTAAGCAACAAAAATGGCCGATAACAGGACCGCAAAATAGTCTGCAAGATCGAGCGTTGCATAATCTCGATTGGCGCTTTCCATCTCTCATCGCCAGTCTCTTTCCGTAGCTTCGCAGCCTTATGACGAAGAAGGACGGGATGATAGGTCTCGGGCACACCTAATACGATCAAGCCAAGCATCAGCGCGGACCAGATGATGAGCACATAGAAAGTCCACCGCCTGATCTGTTAGCCTTTATTCTATAGTTTGCCTGTTTGACTCACCAGGTAGTGTACTGATTGATGAAGCCTGCGATAATGGGACCCACTGGCGGCCCGATGAACGGAGAGGCCGTGAAGATCATCATTGGAGCTTGCAGTTCATTCCGTACAAACATATCGCCAACGGTGCCCCCAGCCACACTCAAAAAAGCACTGCCCGCAATACCGTCAATGAACCGGGAAACAAGCTCTGTTCCAATGTTCTCTGCCACCGCACAAGGAATAAGCCAAACCAGGAAACATCCAAATGAAAAAACGTAGACGGGACGGCGGCCATAGAACTCAGATAAAGGCCCAAGAATCATAGGCCCAAGGCCCAACCCCATAACGAACAAGCTCAGTCCCAACGTAGCGACGACTCGGGAAACGTGGAACTCCGTTGTAATTTGACCGTATGTTAACGTATACATCGACGACGCACATGTGACACACGTTGAGCCGGCGGATACAATGGCCACGATCACCCACTTGCGTGTCTTGCTCAAGGATCTTGGATTCATAGGATCAGAGTCACCATCGAACCGAACTTCGAACTGCTTATTGGGATCTTGTCCCTTCTCTGCATCCTTGGTAGTCCCTTCATCATCGTTAAAAGCCGTACAGCCGTAGCCGTTGCCATAGGAGGGCGACCTTTGTAAATTGGCAGAACCTCCTTCGGTGCTTCGATTAGGCGACAAGTCCGGCGCAGCGGCAGCTCCTTCAATCGGTACGTCTTCTCCCTCTGATCTTGTCCATCGACTCATCGTCTGCGTGGTAGGCTTCTCGACGCTTGGGGCGCTGTGCGAGGACTGCTCTGAGGTAGCAAGGGTGGAGTCGGAGTGGCCAGAGCCCATCCTAGAACGAGGGTGAGCACAAGTCGTTCTGTATGGGGCTTGAATCATTCCAATCGCAAGACATAGATGACTAGCAGCTCTTTACCTTGAGAGGTAAACACCGGAATATCCCCAGTATCAGAGTGATTTAGCAACAGTGTTGGAGGCGCCGCCGAAGACCTGAGCTACGTTAAGAGAGCTCTGTCCATTGACTTGCTATATATGCATTCCTATCAAGCTGCAAAATGCACAAAGGAGCGAGAACGACGGCAAAGCTCAGAAAGCAATCCATATTGGTAATGAACAGTTGCCAATTTTGACTACCGTAAGTTACCTATGACGGGCTTTTCCTATATAGTTTGCAGGGATCACCAAACCAAATGTTTCCTTATTGCCGAAACCGCTAAGGAATGGCGGACACAACCCTAGCATATCACGTACTATCCCCCATAAATGTGATGTGCATCGCGGTAGATAGCAGAATACGAGGAAGATCACCGTCCATGTTAGACGACCGAGTAGTATCATCTGACATGAATTGGGAGGCACTGCAGATTCCAATATGTACATCCTTACTGTTCAGGAAGCATATCTGTCAACCTTTCAAGCGCAGCCTCATGGCGCTCCATGGCCCGTGTACTTTGAAAACATTGTCGCTATCAATGGGTTTCTTGGAAGACGACATAAAGGAAAAAGCCTGTCAAGTGTCCATGGAACGAAATGGTAGTTAAGCAGTATACAACATAGTTGAGTAGACGTAAAAAGCGCGTGGCTAAATGTGGCGATAGATTAGGGCAGTGCTGTCCGCGTCATTGTGCGTCCTTTTCGCAGCTGGCGACGGCGCCTGAATCATTGGCGCCATCACACTTCCTACAACATCTATACTCAAAGACCAATGATATCTGTGTTATACGCGCCCCGTGAGATTTGGAGCAATAATGATCAATTGATTATTCTCAGATGGTCGAGTCTAAAGCAGGCTTGCTTGATCCATGGTCCGAACCCAATCAAGGCAGCGGAGGCGAGCGAGCAATCGCAGCGTGACAACAAAGATGCACTTCCCGAACTATCAATGGCCTCTCATTACATGACAATGAATATCCATAACCATATCCATCATCCTCTGATCCTTGATTCTGACTATGCTCTCCGTGCCAGTTCCACCTCCTATATCTTGCTGTCAGCAAAGCTCTTATCGTGCTATGAAAGCCGACTTGTGATTCAAGCAATCTCATTGTTCCCTTTGTGAATTTACTACTTGCTCTGTACACACGTCTACACGGCCTCTATGTCCATCTCTTGCGCATGTAACGTGTGCTGCTAGAAGTCCTTGGCTGATTTAAGTGGCTGTCAAGCAACTATAGATTGACAAACAAGCTCTGTCTGCACGGAGTGGCCATCCATAAGTGGAAGGCATCTTGATACTCAACATGGCAGCACTCATACAAACAATAGCAGTCCTGGACAATTCTGGCAAGGCGATTAGCACAGTAAGTCACCGTTTCATCCACACCTCCCAGCCCAACTAGCTGATCCCTGCGTCACAGAGCAAGCATCTTGTCAATGTCTTCAGAGAAGCTAAAGCTGCGTATCGCGAAAGAAAAGCTGAAGTCGTCGCTGGCCGACACTACGAAATCGAAGACAGGAAAGCCCGCAAGGGTCTAGAAGCAGCTACAGTCTACGATAATCGCCCTGCAGCAGGCCCCCGAAAACATTCCCGGCCACATCACGGCAATCGCAGATCATCCACTGACCATCGACGCCCAGAAGAGGCCTCTAGAAGCGAGTCAAACACGATCTACCCATCATCACACAACCGTTTTTCGCAAGAACTTCGCACTCCACATTCTCCAACGTTCCCGCACCAGGAGCTTACAAGAAGACACTCCGGTCTGGACGACGTTATTGTGTCACGAGCCCCACGCCTTCCACCCCGATCCATGACTTCTCCCTCGTCGCCTTCATCAATCATAGATATGGACCTGGCATATGGCCCTATACCTCCACCTCTCCCTGTGGCGAATCCGGCCGACGACTCTGAATTCAAAGGCCTCGTCAACAAAGTGAAGGCTCTCCTAGAAGAAGCGGATTGCCTACAGTATTCCGTATCCGCAACAATAGCCTCCTTACAGAAGAACCCTGACGCTATGGCCGCTGTCGCTCTCACGCTGGCCGAGATCAGTAATATCGCTACAAAGATGGCGCCAGGCGTCCTTGTCACCATGAAAGGCAGCGCTCCAGCAGTTTTCGCCTTGCTCGCGAGCCCACAATTCCTGATCGCTGGCGGTGTTGCTGTGGGAGTTACAATCGTTGCACTAGGTGGGTACAAGATCATCAAAAAGATAAGGGCGAACAACGCCGTGGAGGATCCGGGGATGGATGAAATGCTGGAAATCGGAGGAGATGTCAGCGCGATTGATAATTGGAGAAGAGGCATTGCAGAAGCAGAAGAGCAGAGTTTGGGGACGAGCGTGGATGGGGAATTTATTACTCCAGAGGCATTCACGCTGTCGAAGTCCAACCTAAACGACAAGAGCGCCTCAGAGACCAGAAGAAAGGAAGTTGGGAGTGGAAGCAAGAAGTCGAGCAGTGCCAAGGGCGCAAGTGAGACATCATCAAAGACAGGCTCCAAAGGAAGCTCAAGGGGAAGCTCAAGGGGAAGCTCGAAGGAGAGTGAGCAGGGAGGGTCTAAGGGAAAGAGAGAGAAAAAAGCCAAGAAACCCTCCCCTCTACGATTAATGTTTACATAACAGCAACACTACACCACTTTGACGCGATTGACCCATGATGGGGGTCTTAGTCGTCGTTACGTTCTGAATCACGGATTTCTGGGCGTCAGACTGGAAGATCTGATCGTCTGGGCCTTTCAATTAATATGGAGAGCATTCCTTGGCCAGATTTCGAAAACAGCTCTTACCTCACGGCTTCAACCTCCTCGACACATACAAGCCAGTCCCCACTCTAGAGTACCCTGCCATCTTCAAGTCAAGCCTCGCGCGGTCATTTCATTTCCAGTCGCGCCAACACAATGCACGCGAAGGCCTTCCCACCATCCCACCAGAATGCATCTTGCACATCGCCTAGTACTTCAGAGATGTCAACGTCTTCTGCAGGTATTATCGTCGCCAACTACTCATAACCTATGTCAATGAGTGCTATCACAGCCCAGGTTATGTTAATTCGATGCTCTGTCACATGTTCCCCTACGCCACCTTGGCGATGACCAGCAGCTACCTGTGAAATGTTTTCAGCGTGGAGGCTGGAATGTGAAGAACCTGTGTTCTATAACTTACTGACGCTGAGAAGGACTCGAGTCTGAGAGCGGACTAGCGGTCTGAGGCTGGACCCGAATCTATTGTTCATACAGAAAACGATCAAAGGCTGACTGGGATTTTTTGATATGAGGCGGTATGGGGGGTGAAGAGAAGAAACGAGTCGCATGAAGCTGAGAGAACATGTGCCCGGGATCGACTGGGGAAACAATGATTGGATGATATCGTTGGGAAAAGTGAAACGATGGGAATGGTTCACCTTTTGACCGCCTTGAAATCACATAAGACTCAATACTTAATCGATGACAAAACGGTCATTCTCTATATGTGATCTCTCCCACCCTTCTCGTCCCATGCACCCAGAGCCTTCTCCTCCAAACAATTTGCTACACTCCCGAAAATGGCAAGAATCAACATCCTCTCACTTCCCACCACCAAGATCCTTTGCGAAATCCCTTCCTACCTCCACCCTCACAGCCAAGACTCTATCTTCTCCAAGCTCCCCAACTGACACGTGGACCATGTTCATCGAAAGCGCTCCCACATCTCCATGAACTCCAACCCAATCACTCCATGCCAACCGGTCTTGCTCATCACGTCCGTCGCCGCTATGACGGCCCGAACGCACCCATGCTCTCCGGCCCTCCTCCAGCCAGGAGTAAGTGATCCCGAGCCCTTGCAGATTCCGTACCCGGTGCGCAAGCTCCGCGCAAAGAAGGGGCGGGGGTAGGTACCGGATCGGTGGGGTTGGCGAGCATGGGTGGGTGATGGTTTGGCTGGATGATGATGTGAGGGAAGCAAGGGAGGGCGCTGGAGAACTGGGTAGTCTGGTACCAGCGACGTTGGAGATCTCGAGGCCGGGAATATGATGCGACCATGACGTCCACTGAGGTACCTTACATAGTGGATCTCGGATGATATGGTTTCATCGCTGACAGTTTTCTATCAGGTTCTTCTGTCTTTTGACACCCAGCGGTGTGGAACAGTGGTAGGTATGGTGTGCACTGGGCCCGGCGGGCCAGGGGTTCGGGTTCAGATACCGTGTAGACCGATATGACGAGGAATGGAAGAGGATGTAGCGAAAGTCATGCATATCTTTAGAGCGAGTCTCAGAGTCTTCACGTTTGGGGAGGAGAAAGCTTCCTTCCTTCCTTTTTTTCCATCTTTCCTTCCTTCCATATTCGCAGCTCTTTCTGAACATCGACCAGAACAAATCGACCCTTTCCACCAACCGATATCGAACCACGAGGACCAAACGCACGAAAACAATCTCCGTTGCGGGCAAGGATCACGACTTTCTAGGCCGAGTTTGCCAAAACCGCCACCTCTTCCCTTGGCAACGCGCCTGAACCGTACGGCTTTCAACAACGCCATCTGAATTTTCAGCCCTGCGTGCGTGAACTGTTGCTAGGATTCTCCGACAACGACTGTGGAAAGATCCTTCCTTCCTTCCTTCCTTCCGAGTGCATCTCGTCGTTTTGAAGTTCCAACCCCGGCGATCGTGGGCACGCACAGGTCAACATCGATTCGAAGCCGACGACATCTTCGCACATCAAGGATTCCTCGTTGGCCGTTCCCTTGGTCATGATATTGACGTGTATGTTGTGGTGAGAAGGGTTGATTGGTGCGGGTGGTTAGTGATGATGGGTTCTTGTCGTTGTGGGATAAAGAGAAGAAAGGGGAGGGGAGGGACGATGTTAGATGTTCGGATGGGGAGGTGAGGGATAGGGTGGTGGGGTTGGTGAATAAGAGGGGGGTGGATGCTGTGGTGGTTGTGATGACGGCGATGGGAGAGAAGATGGAGGTGAAGACGAGGGAGGTTAGCCGTGCTTGATGGTGCTGAGTGTAGGACAGCACTGTGGCTGCGGGGGGAAAGACTAGAGAGCAGAGGAGCGGTAGTGACATGCTAAAAGCACGCGGAGACGCACATTCAACAGACCTTCTCGATGAAGTCAAGAATCGTTGTTACAAAAGAGACGCTCAGGACGCCACCCTAATGCTTCGCTAAATGCACATATAGATGTAGGCCCCAGGAAGGATCACCAAATCCTCTTAGCAGCCATACTATACCGAGTCACGCTCCCAAAAGATTCTTCCCCCCCTTTCCTCTCTCGTGCATCCCTCTCCCTCTCCCGCAATTTCTTCGCACCATCAGGATCATCCTTGTATATCCACCGTCTTTTATCTTCATCAACTTCCACAACACCCCAGCCTCCGAATCGTCTACCATCCGCGTGCGTGGAAGTGTTCTCCCTTTCTTTCATGCCTTTATAGCGTCGACGTGCGAAGGAGAGCAAGCACATGCCGAGTACGAGCTTGAAAGCCAAAAGGGCAAGAAACAGGACGAGGAAGAAGACAAGCATAGTTATGAACGCGATTATGTCATCTGTGCTCCAAGTCTTGCTATGTTCGGGCGCGAGCGTAGGATCACCAACGCCGAACGTAGAGCGACCCAAGGCGCGTCTGAAAATCTGGTCGATGTGCTGTAAGGCTGCTGTCGTCGCTGGAGAAGCGGCTGCATTGTCAACGGAGAGGGAGGTGGCAGTCGAAGGTAGCGGAAGTGGCATGTGAGTTGCGAGGAACATATGGTAGGTTTGGACTGAGGCGCGGATGAAGAGGCAGGCAAGAGGAATTACCGGGAGGCCAAGACGGCGGGTCAGATTTTGGTCTGCAAAGGCATTGGAATAGTAATCTTTGGCTAAGACGTCCAGGAATCGGCCGTAGATGGCTGGCTTGGTGTTGTTGAACTTGGTAATATAGGCATGCTTGATCCAGTCGACGAGCATTTCGCTGCCGAGTACGAGGAAGAAGGGACCCATAACCTGGCCACTCCATTCAGGGAACATGGTAAAGCTCTTGGGCAGGATGCCAGATCCTCCGATAGCAGAAGCAGAGGACGTGGCGGATCCTCCGGTCCCAACGCTCAGGCCTCCTGTCTCAATGATGTTTCGAGATGCAATGATTATGAGCATTAACCACAACTGGAAGCGTTCGACTACATCCGCGCATGTCAGCTGAAACAGATTCTCCTTTTCAAATTTCTTGAACACTGTAGATTTAATCTCGACGAATTGATTGGACATCAAGAGAGTCAGTAGAGCGTTCGAGTAAGAATTGACTGCCACATTTAGCGTGATGACCTGATAGAACAAAGCTGTCGCGTGGACCAGGTTGTAGCAGAGGGCCAAGATAAACAGCCAGAACGGTCTCAGGACCTTACTACGACCGTCAGGTTTGCGCTCAAGCGATTCTTTTGAGAAAAGACACTCCAGAATGTCCTGACCAAGTGCAGAGAACAATCGGTCGCAGACTTCGAGCACATTGTAGATGACGTAGAGCTTGATCGCAGCTTGTCCTCGGATACCGTGATACATCCGACTGGCATCAAAAAACATGAGAATGGTGCAGCTAATCATGATCAAGAGACCCTTCAAGATGTCCGCTTTATGATCGGGTTGTAAAGCAGAAGGAACAAATTTTGCTTTCCGGTGTCTTTGGCCAGAAGCCCGTCGAAATTTTCGATTCAGGTCCGGGGTCGACGGTGTAGCATTCGAGGCCTCTTCTATTTCAGCCTTGAGCGTGGGTGTGCAGTCTGCAGGACTTTTGGCAGTAGACGTAGATTTCGGGGCTGCAGACCCATCGATGCTTTCTCGTCGCCGTCGCCTACGCCACATTCTGCCTGTGCCAGCGTAAATGAAAGCACCAACGAATCTGACCTCCATAACAAGGTTCTCTCCCCAAGAACGACCAAGGATCGACAAAGCCTTCAGAAACCGTAAAGGCAGGATTGTAAAGGAGAATAGCCACGCATCGAGACAAGCAAGTGCACCGAACCATAACACTTGCTCTAGTTGAGGAGGTAGGAGTAAAAAATTCAGCAGGCGTTCAATTTTTACCTGGTATGACTCGTAAGGGAAGTCGCTAGTGATAGAGCGATGGATGTACGAAGGTGAAGGTCGCTGAGAAGAGAGCTCGAGCTGAAGGTATGTAGGCAGTGAAAGAGGTGGAACAGGTATAGATTGGGGCATCGGCGAAGGCTGTGGCTCTTCAATAACAGCGACTTTACCACCTGACTTCGTGTCTTCGAAACGCAAGGGCGTAATGATAGCCTTGGGCTGCTTTGTAGATGACGAAAGAGGGGCTTTTGCGGACCCATTGGCCTTTGAAGAAGATGATCTCCTCTTCGACAATGGCGTGGAAACAGTGCGAGCAGTCTGACCCGGCCTTGAAGTATAGTGCGAGTCTCTCTCCGAGAAGAATAAGGGAGTGTCCCGGCTCTCTTCTGCTGTTGCCGAAGGAGTACCAACAATGCTGATAGACTGGCTTCTGTCTCTCGTTCTGCTTTTCTCGCCCTTCGGTATTTCTCCCCCCTCCGATATAGTCCACCGTCCTCTACCCTTCGGTGTGCGCTCGAGGGTTGGACTGCAAGCATCGCTGAGATCCTCAGAAGAGTCGAGTGGTGGGAGCACCAACGGTGATGATGTCAAGTCGTATATCTTCGCGGGCAACAGTTTCGATACTTTTTCTTTCCCCTTGGATTCTCGTGCGTGATTCTCGAACGATGACTCCGTCTGGCTTCCGGACTCATCTCTTCTGGATCCCAACCTGGCCTTTTCAGGTCGATTAGAAGAGCCTGACCCGTCGGTGATCTCACGACTACGCGTCCTAGCACTCCCAAATCCATCCGAATGTGCAATCGCTGGGTCGTGTTCTTTTGCCCATTCCATATGCCTGTTTTCATTATCCTCGTCAAAGCCAGCACGCTCTCCCATGCTTTGAACCTGCTCTAGCAGATGCGGTCTCCGGCGGCCTAGTGCCGGTGGTTGAACATTGTCATAGTCCTTGTCAACGCTGAATATGTCCTGAACCCCTCTTCCACTATAGTAGCTTCTGTACTCTGTTGGTTCTGGCTCTTCGTTCGTGCCGGAGGGTCGAGGCAGGTGCGGAAGGACAGCAGCCATCGACTGGCTTGTGTATCATGTTTCTATTGGCAGAAGTCTACGAGCTTTCGTCAGATCCACACACAGTGTAGCCATGAGCTTCGGTAAAACATGTAAGATAAGCTCGCTTCGACAATCGGCCTGGACGTGTCGTGGTATCTGAACAGCATTGGGGAACGGTAACGTAAATATTTGGATGTCTAAGTAAAACTTGTGCTTATAGTGTTGGGCGTGCTCCGCCCGCTTTGTTGGCTCTGAATTGTGTTTTGGTGGACGGTGGCTTGTGGCCTGCCTCAGACTGGCGTTTGGCCGGCTTGCTGGGTGGGTTAGCGGGTGGGGTGCGGTGCCCTTGTGTTGATGTACCTGTCCGGGGGGGGGCCCCAGCGCGTTGCTCTTGTCCGCGGGTCTGCGGGGCGTGGCTTTAGTAAAACCCTAACCCTAAGTAGGGCTATGCCCTGTGCTGGGGCCAAGGGGACTTTTTCTATGTTGACGATTCACAGTGCATAGGTATAATCAATACTTTAATAGGTATGGAGACGTTCATTTCTTGCGCTCTATGTGTGATCCTAAGTATATGCGTTCTCCAATGCATCACCAGGGAGTTATATAACCCAGACCCTCTGAGTACAAAGCTGACGGCGATGCCATATCCCAGAAAGAGTATGGTTCATACCGCACGCATATCATCGTCATTAAAATCGTAAGATGGGTTATTGTGATAGGAAGATCGAACGAGGCTCAGATCAGTAGCGAGGAGGCATTGGTCTTCTCTGCCCGTATCCAGCACTGGGGATAGCCGTTGCAGGTCTCGAAGGACCCACAGGACTTGTAAAAGGCTGTTGCCAATTCCCCTCGTATGGATCATCTGGAGAAGTATTCAAGGTAGTGGGTTGGGGTAGAGGCGCTGTTCCAGATCGTTGAGCTGGCCGGTCAATTGATCCGAAATAATCGTTCGGTGGTCCATGCGGTAGCATAAATTCGCGAGGTGGCGCCGCAGACGGTGGCGTTGAGTATACTGAGACCGGTAATCCAGATGAGGCGCTCTGTGTGTGAGGATTGAATGTATGGGGGTTGAAGGCTAAGTAGCCACCGTTTCTGGGCGGTTCAGTTGCCCTATTAACCGGAGGATGCATCTCAAACTCCTGTGTAGGTGGATCGAAGCCTGGGGGCCCTGAAGAACGCCTTCCCACAGCACCCAAAGACATATCTCGCGGCATCGGTTTAAGAACTTGCGGTTGAGAGGGTACGGAAGTTGGTGTCATCCTCCCACTCATGTCACTATTCTGCCGATTTGGTGGCCCGAATGTTGACGAGGACGAGCGGAAGGATCTTTGTGTGCTCTGTGAGTTTCCCGTTAAAGTTCGATTCGGTGGCCCGGATCTTGACGAGGACGAGTCAAAAGATCGTTGTGTGCTCTGGGAGTTGCCCGTAAGACTCCGATTGGGAGGAGGCCGCGCGCTGTGCAATGTGCGAACTTCAGAGTCCATCCTAGACGGCGCGCCTTTAGGGCCAGGGTGACCGTTGCCGCCGTAGCCCATTTCACCAGCTGAACTCAGCAGAGGTGCATTCGATTCATAGCTTCCATGGGAGCGGAAAGAAGACTGAGTGACGGACCGAGAGGGCGACTCTGGTCGCCGAGGGTTTAAGAATACGTTGGGGACGGTAGGTTCCGGGCCGACGACAGCTGTGAGACTATGCGGATTGAACGAAGTATCTGTCTGTGCCGTCTGTCCCGAACCTGGTGCGAAGTTTTGTGCGCCTGTAGTGTCTAAGACGGGCAATGTTGGCTGAAGTTTGGCATCGGCTTGGAAATTTCCAGCTTTCGGGCCTTTTGCTCCTTGCTTTGCTCGCGGATTGCTATCCTTCGCTAAGGCCTTATTCACTTTCTTCATCACGATCTTGTGCAGTCGGGTATCAATCTTTCTTCTGCAATACCGTGAAAGGCTACCATCACGGATGTGGTGCCATAGATAAAGAACATAAAACAAAACCGCCAAGGCCAGACTGAGAGCGGAAATGACCCAAATTATGAGCGTAAAGAGCATGCCGAACAATATTGCAGCTTGCTCTTTGTCCTTGTTTGCCAGTATCTGTACGTTGACGAAGAATTGGACAACAGAAGTATGGCCGTCGCTGGCCGAGTGCTGCCCTGTCGGCACAAGATCCGCCTGCATAACCGAGTACAAAGTAAGGGCGTTGATGGCGACTCGAGGACCTTCTGCAAAGCAGATGCGCAGCCATGCTAAGACAAGTCAATACATGTCTTTGAAGAACATAGGATGTAAACTTACCTTCAAATGAAAAGTACGTGAACAAAGCTACATACTCGTTACCCTTCCTCCCCTTCGTAAGAGCAGCAAAGACAAGAAATCGCCTCCAGCCGCGTCCGTTGGCGCCCATGCGTATACTCTGTACTCGGACAGCAAGTGGGTCGAGGTAGCTAGCAGCAATAACGCCGCTCTTAATGGCTCGCACTGCCTTCATCCATCTGTATACCAATAGGATCCAAGAAAGGATGATGCAAGCCGTGAAGATCCACCTAGAGATTTTGAAGGGTATGGCAGGTTTTACCTGACCAGACCAGCGGTCGAAGATTAATAGATTCGCGCATGTGAACAGATCGACTGCATATACAGCGATGCTGATGATGAGGAAGAGGTAGAGAACTCCGTAGGATAACGGAGTAAGGCAGGACGTCGAGCGAAAGTCGGACAGGTTCTATACAGTGCAACGATCAGTCATAGGTGCTAAAGAGGACATCTAAAAATGGATTACTATATAGTCCCACTTCTGTTCGTTCGATGCCTCTCCTTCCTTCTCGCGCAGGGCGCAACAGCTCATATTGAAGCGAGTGGATAGCTTCCGGGCCAGCCCAAAGAAGCCGAATTAGCTGCGGCCTCCTTCAGAAACACTCGTGATTCGTGAGAGAGGCCCCCAAATTGTTGAAAGTCGTATGCAAGATATTCAATGGCAAGGTAGTATTGCTGGCGGTGGTGCAAGCAGAAGGTAGAGTGCGGCCGCATCACCTGGGTAGAGCCATTTTCCTTTGTGGAATCTATGGAGCATGCACAATGAGGACTATGGCGAGGCGCAACAATAAAAGATACGTGGTTCCGTTCGTCGCAAGATGGCAAAAGAGAGATATAGGCTAGGAACAGGCCTTCAAGGGACTGCGACCGGCGCTGGATGAGAATGAGACTGGGTGTCAGCGTGTATGCAAGGAATGTCGGTGGTCCGAGAGTCAAGAACGTGTCAATAAGGGCAAGAAGAAGAGCAGCAAGTCGAACAATAGATAATGAATGAAAGGGAAGGTGAAGTGTCAACGTATCATGATACATGATACTTAATGAGAGTGATGGTGGTCTACTTCGCATGCTGTTTCAGGTTTGAGGGGCGCGAAGCAGAGCTTGACGGCGCATGGCTTTCGTTGGTCCACGCTGCTTCCTGCATCCCTCGATCGATGACAGCGGGAAGGGGAACCAAGGTGGTGCCAAGTCTGATTAGCGCCCTTGGCGAGACTTGGCGCCGGGTCTAAAGTGAGGGGCCAGGATCGACTTTCAGCTCAGGGCCAGGCCTTTACTATACTTTACTTTACGCTGCTTCTTATCAAATTGCCTCCACCCCAAACGTGAGGCAATTCACATTATGGACATAGGTAGATTCTTTGATGACAATGACATTGAAATACCGGAAGCACTGAAATACCCGAAGCTTTGTTCCCTCAGAAAACATTCTCCCCACTCAAATGTCGCTATTCAAGACATCCTCCCCTCTCAATCTTGGCCTTCTTTCGGTCATCGTCCCCCTCGTCATCCGCCTCTCCGTCCGAGCATTCATCATGTTCTCTCTTCACTCCTGCTCCTTCTCCGAGGACAGGCTTCCTCGTGGGTTGGTGCGCTGGTAGGCGCGCAGGTCGACGACCGAATCTATGAGCAGGCTTGTATGCAGGCTCTGTGCTCTTATCGCTGGCAGAGGCAGCCGTCTGCTGCTCCTTTTGGATTGCGATAGGCTCTTCGGTGCGTCCGTCGTTCATTGTGCTGTCGCTATTCATGGAGCTCTTCTCTCGGAACGCTACAAGCTCATTCTCCAATGCCTCGTATCCTTTCCTCAGGATTGAAATTTGGTTCGAATATGTGCTGCAGTTATCTCTAGCTTTGTTCCGATCCACCTTCATGTTTTCCAACTCACGCTGACACGTGAGGAGTTTGCTCTGCAGAGGATTAACGTTCTGAGCGCGTCGCTGATCTGCCTTGATTTGTTCAAGCTCGCTCCTCAGATCCTCGGTAGCCGGCTGCGCTTGCTCGAACTGCTGGCGGTAATGTTTTGCTTCACCAGTCAATCGAGAGTTGTTCGCTTTGGCTATTTTCGCGTTTTGTTCCAACTTAATTATGGTTGACTGTAGGTTGGCTTCCTTCTCAAACGCTGCGTGATCAATGGTGGGAGCGTTCTTGGCCTCCTCCAGTTTTGCATCCTTCTCCAAAAGCAGGGCATTTTGCTCTCGGATTCTCTTCGTATTGAGTGCGAGCACGTCGCGGTAATGATTTTGGAACTCGTCGCGCACTTCACGCTCGACTTCGCCTCTAATCTGCCGCCGAAGGTCATCTCCCACTTGAGATCTCAGCTGCGCGCGGACACTCTCCTCAACTTCTCTCCTCATTTCGACCCTAGCAGCGTCGTCAGACATGTTAGCGTCTTTTAAGAGCTCATCAAGAGCTTCTCTCAGTTTCTGGCAGTTTGGACAGTTGGTTTCCAAACTTTGGATGCGTCGTTGCTGATGATCGACCGTCTGATTCAAGGCCTCGATTTGCCCTTGCAGCGACCGGATTTCTCTCTGGCTGCTTGACTGCAAGTCTATCAACGCTTTATTCTGGTTCTGCACTTGTTGACCCTCTCCAATCAGGTTTGCATGTTGAGCTCTTGCTGTTCCAAGCTGTTGCAGTAAGCTGTTGTTGGAATCCTGGAGTGGTCCGCTTGCGTTGCGAAGTTGCATGATTTCCAGGTCCTGTGTTTTCGTATGGTCGCCACATTTCGCGTGTATCTCTTGTAGTTCTTTCAGCACGCTGTCAAAGTGAGTGACTTGCCCCTGAAGACTGCCAATCTCGCGGTCCCTGACTTCAAGCACTTCCTCCAGCTGCTCTTTTGCGGTCACCAGCTGGTCAATTCTGGAACTCTGGCGAGTTGAGTCCTCATCACACTGGCCATGAGCAAGTCGAGACTCCTCAAGCTCATTACTCAATGTGTTCAGACGCTGGACAGTATCCGCAGAAGGAGCTGCCTCGGCGACCAATGTGTCGTTCGCCTCCTCAAGATCTGCAACTTCTTTCTCTTTCTCCCCCAGCTCTGTCCGGAGAGTAGCAATAGTCCCGGCTGAATCCTTGTCTGCTGTGGTCTTTTCAGCTTGAAGTTTCCTAATCTCTCCGTCCTTCTCGGCTAACTGCGTGTCAAATTGCTCACTGCGCTCGTTATGCTCGTCGCTTAGTTTCTCAAGATCAATACGCAGCCCACCAATCTGTGCAGTCAACGTTTCTTTCTCTTGTTCGAGATCATTGATCTTCTGATCTTTGGCCGTTATAGATGCCTCCAGCGCAAGTGCTTCTGGGGTCTTCTCTCCGACTGTCTGCTCTGCTTCTGCATCAGCCTGCACAGTTGAAGTCTGACTCGGTTCCTTGAGGGCCTTGACTTTTGGGCCCCTCTCTCCAAACCCCCCCAAAAAAATTTTGGGAGGCCCGTAGGTCCCGCAGACGAAGAGGTACTTGATTCGGCGGCTTTAGACCCCTTGAGTAAGAGCTCTCTGTGGGGTTTCGGCAACGAAGACGGTCGTTGGGTTCGTCGATGCGTGGGCTTGGGTCGAGCTTTGAGCGTTGCGACGACGGGTGTGGCCTGTCCATGCTGGGGCTCCACCTGCATGCTGAGCGTTTCCATCTCACCCTGAGCCAGGTCACGTTGGCGTCTCACTTCGGACAGGTTCTCCTGGAGCGTTTGTACTTCAGCCTGAGCCAGGCTAAGTTGATTGTTCCCTTTGGACAAGTCCCGCTTGAGCTTCTCATTCTCCTTTGAGACCTGGACCACCTGCCTACTGTACCCATCACGGTCGCTCTCGGTGTTCCACACATCTTGTTCCAGAGAGCGGATCTCTTCTTGATAAACCAGGTGTTGGTCATTCAGCCCCTGGATGGTGTCGCGAAGTCCTTTTCGTTCTTCGCACATATCGCTGTCAGCGTCTTGCAGCTTCTCGTTCGCGTGGTAGAGCTCGTTCTCCGTGTCTCTGAGCTTCAAGTGGAGATCACACCACTCGTACGCCCCCTTTCTCGAGTCTTCTCTCGCCTCATCTCGCTGATTCTTTATATTTTTGTAGGTATTGCATAAACTCAAAGCCCAGAGGAACAAAGCGAGAAGAGCGGTGCAGAGGAACTTCACGAGGAGATAGGAGATGTTCTTAAGCGGCCAATTAGCTTTCGATCCCGACTTTGAGGATCTCAACACTCACTTCCTCTCGGAAAGGATCTAAAGACCCCAATTCTGTGAGGACGATTCCCCACCAACTATCCACGTCTGGGTCGTACTGTGCGGGCATGCTGCCAACGGTGGACGAGAAAAGCTTATAGAAGAAAGAAGCACCCATGTCGGTAAGAGTTCAAGTGCCTCTTGTGGTTGGAGTATGGCAAGAATTGATACCCTATGGTGTACTTTCTTGCTGGGCACGATGTGTGGGACGGAGACCGGGATAAACGCGGTATTATCACGGTATCAGAGTTTGTTGTGACAGTCAAGAGTGTGAAGACTCGAGGATGCGTCAGAAGCAGTATTCGTGAGCTTGATAGCTCCTGGATGATGGTAGTAGAAGAAAGTGGATGTGGTTAAACGGTGGTTGATGTGGTGCAAGGTGGATGATGTGGAGGATGTACGGAAGGAAGTGGAGGATGGTCAAAACGAGGGTGCTTAAATAGGTGATCTGGATCTGTGTTGAGGGGAGGAGGCTGGTCACGGGTCATCGTTCCGAGATTCACTCTCGCTGTGTTCGGCACGACGCTCTCAACACCTCACCTTGTTGTTCCCCGCTCCAGACAGCCTCGAGCAACTATTGGTGGACACCGTCCTTAGCATCTACCTGTGTTCTCCTTCGACGAATGTGCTAAGCCTGAATGGAGTGTTTTTGGAGACCTAGGATGCCACTTTATCAAGAGTATTTTACTCAAAGTCGCACCTGTATAGTTTCTCATCATGGGGCAAAATATCAGCTTCATGGAGCAGATGATTCCATTGAGGTCGCTTCCATGAATGCCAATTTTCTTTGTTGACCACGTACAATCTCAGGCTTTTCGAGCATCTTCTCTTTCATACGTGACAACCTTCTTTGTTGTGTTGGCAGACAGAGGCTCATCCTAGGAATCGCTCAGATTAAGGAGGTTCAGTAAATGTGCAAATGGTGAGTTCCTGAATACCAGAACAGCATTTAGTCAAACAAAGTATCGTTGCTGGCTTGTTGGTTGACAAGCTTGATAAGATATCAAGGAATGGCATAGTACTTAGATAGCGATCAGCCACGATTCAAACCTCTATGATTTCCTGGGTACAAAACGTCTTTGTCTCCCCATCACAAGGCTCTCACACCTCAACATGATAGAAAACGATACTCAAAAAGCCTATTTCGATGTATATAAAAGTGCTAGCTTTAAATTTAGCTATATCCTCCAGGACGCATAAGATCTGGAGCCGCAGCCTCATGCTCATGCATCGTTTCCACGTGATTGCTGCTCCCCGAGCTCTTTCGAGAGTCTTGCAACCTCGTCTTGAAGGTTGCTGACCGTGCCCTTGAGAGGGTTTTCTCTCTCAAGACGAAGCTTCAAGAAATCGCTCCTCCTCTCGGAGTCCTCCCGCTCCTTCTCCAACACTTTTTCGTGCCTCGCCTTCTCATCTGCCCGCTCTTTTCTCTCCTTGTTTAGCTGGCTCTGGATGCCACGGTTTCGAACACGAGCGTCGCCTGCGTCTTTGTTCGCTGCCGCCAATTTGTTCTCCAATGTTTTGACCTCGTGATCCGCCTTGGACCCATCCTGGTCAAGAACCATGGCATCCTTATCGAGCTTGAGCGCGTCTTCCTTGAGTTGGACGGCATCCTCTCGCGCTTTGATCTGCATTTCCCGGAGGGGACTTGCCTGGTTTTTCGCTTGCTGGAGTTGGTTCTCCAGCTTGAAAACCTGTCCCTCACTTGCCTCGAGCTTCAATGCCTGAGTAGACATTTCACGATCAAGGTTCGCTTGCCAGATTGGACGCGCGCGGTTCTCACCTTCGACACGATACTTTTCGAAATTGCTTTCAGAAGAGGAATTCATCTGCTCGAGGTTGGCGTTGGTTTGTTGTAAATTGGCGACTTCGCTTCGCAGCCCGCGGGCATTTTGGTTTACCACGTCCAGCTCCGTTGCTTGGGTGTTATATTTAGTTTGTAGGTCAGTGTAGGTATTGGCACCTTGACGAAGTTGGTTCGTGAGATCAGTGGTTCGTCCTTCACAGTTTGTATGGTGGGAGCGGAGGTTGTTGTATTCGTCCCACAAACGTTGTAGCTCTAGCTGCTTCGCGGTGACGCTCTGCTGCATTGTGTTCAGTGACTGCATGTCCTCATTATGCTTGGCTTCCGCAAGCGCCTCTTGACCCAACATCTTATTGTAGAGATCGTACAGCGCTTGGTAATCCCGATCCTTATTGCTAATAGCGTCATTCTGGGATTGAATATGACGCTCGATGAGATCTTTGCTTGGGGCATTATTGATCTGACCCTCGAGTTCTGTGATTCTGTCGTCTTTGACCTTGACTGTCGCCCTTAATTCGCGTCCAGCGGCCTCTAATTCGCTGATTCTGGCTTTCTGACTCTCTGAATGCTCTTTACACTCGCAATGTTCACGGCGTAAGTCGTCCAAATCGGAGTTTGCTGTCGTTAGGCGCTGGAGATTCTCTGCGTATCCTGGGGCTGGTTGTTCGGCGATTTCCTGATTCTTTTTCTGAAGGTCATTGATTTCGCGATCCTTTCGCTTGACAGCGTCTTCCAGTCCACGGTGAGCAGCCTCCAGTTCGCTGATTTTGGTCTTCTGTTCTCCCAGTTCATGTTCACACTCGGCACTCACTTTACGTGCTTCCACCAAACTGATGCGACTATCAGATATTTCCTGGCGCAAATCTGAGATTGCTGTGGTTGCATTCTTATCTGCTGTCATCTTCTCTTCTCGAAGATCGTTGATCTCCTTATCCTTCGCGGCTAGCTCTTCGCCCATGGTCACCTTCTCCTCTCGAAGGTCTTTGATAGCTTGATTGTTCTTGGCTAGCTCTTCGCTCCCTGTCACCTTCTCTTTTCGAAGGCCGTTGATCGTTTCATTCTTCGCTCCTACCTCATCGCTCATCACCACCTTCTCGGCTCGAAGGTCTTTGATCTCCGTGTCCTTTGCAGCCAATTGCCCCTTTAGCTCGGCCGTAGCATCGAATTCTACAGTATCTGCGGTAGCCTTATTCGAGGCTGGTTCCCCCAAATCCTGGCACTCTTTGCGGAGCTGTTTTATGGTCTCCGCATCATCAGCGACCTGTTTACCAAGGGTTTTGCATTGCTCCTCATACTCGCATGTATGCACGAGGGTCGTCGTGAGGGTTTGAGACCCGGTAATAGAGTCGGATTTTGAAACCTCTGTTAAAGGAAGGGATGTGTGATCGGCGTTGGACGTGGACGCGGCGTCATTCTTGCCCGAATTCCATACGGGGCGCCTCTCTCGAAGACGCTTGATCGTTAGATCGCGTGCAGCCACTGTAGCCTCCAGCTCAACAATTCTAGGGTTTTGGTCTTTTAGGCCATATGCGATTTCCGGCTCTGTGCATGCACAACGCACTCCCCAAGCGGGCTTGGTATCTAGGGCATTTGGGCGGTACTTTGCCCAGTACGCGGTGCTTCTTGCATTCTTCTTGAGCTGAGATCGTAGCCACTCTTTCTCCTTGTTGTCCTTTTCGCGCTGAGTCCCGAGCTTCTCCTCGAGAGCCTTGACGCATTTCTCAGACTTCTCCAGGAGATTGTTTGAAATCTCGAGCTGTCTCTGGGTTTGCTCGGATCTCTGCTGGTAGTATTCTGGTCGCTTCGCGGACATTCCGTACACAGAGACTTGTTGCAGAAGCTCATCATAGTCCTGCTTGAAACCTTCCAGGCGCTCGATCTCGTTGTGCTGGACGCTGTTCTCCTCTGCAAGTTCGGTGTTTCTATGCTTCAACCATGGTAGATCCTTGAAAGCCGTGCTGAGCTCGGCCCGGAGCTCCAGGTTTGTTTCCATTGCTCGCTCATGCTTTGTCCTCATCTCTACCCAGGCACGTTGCGCGTCATCACGCTCCTTAACGGCGGCATTTCGCTCTTCGTTAGCAGCTCCGACAGGATCCAGGCGATTTTTCAAGCTGGACTGGCCGTAATACCAACTGAGTAGGAGAAGCAACCCTATGAAAGAGCTAGAATAGACGCATTGTTTGAGAAAGTACTTTGAACACTAGTCAGCTTGCAAGGTCAAGCTATTCGACACTCTGATACTTACATCCTGAATATCTGGCTCGCGGAAATCCGGGATAAAGTGAAACTGGGAGCATAGTACACCATACCAAGAGTCTACGCCAGGTTGGAAGCCCGAAGGAAGTCTTGAGAACTGTTGACCCATGGTATGGTACTGTATATGTATAGGGTTTAAGCGTAGGGAAAATTTTGTATGTGCGGGTTTACACCCTGTCGGCGAAATATTGGAACAGTGCTTTCAGGCTTAAGTCGAGCAAGTGGTGTATGAATAGTATGATATTGGTTGATGATTTGATGTGGTCCGTAAGATGTGGAGTTGGCCTCGCGGTGTGTAAGATGTAAGAAAGATGGTTGAGTAAGAAAGTACCTTAATGTGCGGAAAGTTCACAATTTAAGTCCTACATCTGTGTGTTGGGAGGGGCTGGTTAAGAGTCACCTTGTTAAAATTCACTCTTGCAGCAGTTTTGTCAACACTTCGGCTGCTTGCGTCCCCTCCCTCACACGTTGTTTTAACCCCGACGATCCTCAACACCTATGAGTTGCATTTAAGGCAGTGAACATCCTGCGGTCGCGACACCGGTTTGCCTCGGATTATGGATCTAAGGGGCTTTGCGTCGAGTCTCGGTCCTCTGTTTTGAGTAAGCTAGCAGAATACTAAGTGAGGTGTATGCTTTGCTCTTAGATAGAATCCTAGCTTCGTCGTTTCACTCTTGCATTATACTCCAAGCCTAGCATTCTTTTGACCTTTATAGAGAGCCTTGAATATGTAGCCATAAAAGCCAACTTTCTTTGTTCTCCAGAAACTGACCCGAAAGCCTCTCTGCCCCCCCAGTCAATACGGCCTCCTTTGTTCTTCATACTAAGGATCACATTCAACTCTGGCTTGACGACAGAGCCACTCGTCGAATCCCAAAACACGACACTACCTGGCTGCTAGTTTCGGCAAAAGCTTCTACTGGCAGCGACAAGTTGAGAAGTACTAGTACGTGTAGTACAGTGAACATACTGTTTGCAGGTGCCCTTGGAATTGAGATCCATCTGGCTTGGAAAAGCGAAATAGAACAACTCAGAATTCCATCGTTCTTTTGATTGTATCATATATTCCTGGTAGTTGTCAACGATGAAATCTTGACCTATCGCAAGAGCTTACTTGTGACATCTGGAATATTGAATCTCTCAAAAGCCAGCCCCATGTGGGTGGCCCAACCTCCAAGCCGCTGCACGGGAGCTTCCAAATGCAAGAAGGCCCCTTCTTGTATCGAAGCTGCGACTTCGGCTCCTACCCCTGCATTGATCATACTCTCATGCACGACGATCGCACGTCCTGTCTTTTGCACACTCTGAATTACGGTCTGCTTGTCCCAAGGATACAAGGTCTGGAGGTCCAGTAGTTCAACGCTTATACCAAAATCTTTCTCTGCAGCAGCAATGGCTGACGAACACAGATAGAGTGGCTGTCCGTAAGACACAATGGTCATGTCTTTGCCTTCTTTCACAACTTCAGCTTGCGATAAAGGGATCTCATATGCTTCCGTAGGCACTTGCTCCACCGCAGCACGATACAAGATCTTAGGCTCAAGAAAGATGACAGGGTCATTGCAGGCAATGGAAGCAAGCAGTAGCCCCTTAGCTCGGGCAGGGGAACGAGGCAGCACGACTCGTAGACCAGGAATATGCGTGAAGAGTGCCTCCGGCGACTGGGAGTGATATCTCGTGTTTGATCAGCAAAGCTACGTAACCTAAGAAAGAGACCATCTACGTACAAAGCCCCGTGTCCCACACTCCCACAAGGCATCCTGACCACCAAACCTCCGATATGGCCCCCAGTGTCTCCCTCCCTGTATCTCCATTTGGCCGCTTCATTGACAAGCTGATCAAACGCTGGATACACATAGTCTGCGAATTGAATCTCTGCAATCGGCTTCATCCCCTGCGCAGCGCATCCAATTGCAAAGCCCACGATTCCTTGTTCGCTCAGGGGCGTATTGAACACTCGTTCGGAGCCGAATTCAGTAGCGAGATCCATACTACAGCGGAAGACGCCCCCGAAGGCGACGTCTTCGCCAAACACCAGCGTGCGTTCATCGGTACGGAGGGAATGTTTGAGGGCGCCATTGATGGCCTGAAAGAGGTTCTGGCGAGTGAAAGAGGAACTTTGAGGGTAAGACACATTGGCACGGAGAGAAGATGGACTGTGGTTGAGGAGAGGATGGGAGGAGTAGTCTATTGGGATGTTCAGACGGGCGTTTGGAGGGAGAGTCGAGTAACACCGGGAAGGGGGAGTATGTCCTTTGTGCCACCGTAACTGATTGTAAAATCTCAATGGCTTCAATGAGACACGCATGGTCATCGCTGCAAAAGTAGCCCCATGTCATTTGGAAGCGATGCCCAGAATAAGGGGAGTAGAGAGTGAAATGCTGACCGGGAGAGTGGTCGTTGCTGAAGTGGGGATAGACGCGGGTTTAGCCATTGCGCTTTCCGTCGGCATAGAAAGAACGGTGCTTTAAACCTCGCCCTGTAAAAATACCGGGGGATAGGCCGCGCCGTTTGTTGGGGTCATAAATAAGGCGCGGCCTGTGACCTCGCTGTACCGTGGTTTCGCAAAGGCCTCCGCCTTCCGGGTTGGGGGAAGAAGACCGCCGCCCCGGGTGGGGATTTTCGGGGAGAACTTTATCGGTGTGTTGCTTTAGTTGTTAATCCTCTTCGCTGCTGGGCTTAGGGGTTGATACATGGGCCTTTTTGGTTCTTAACCCCTTGTTGAATAGGCCCGGTTTTGGTATATCGCCCCTGGCGAATACGCTCCCTTATGTTTTCCATCCCGTACCCGCTGGGTCTTTATCTTTTGCTTCATCTTTAGGGATCGACGGACGCTGCTTTTTGTACCTGTGTTGCTGATAGTCTGCCCTTTGTAAACGCCCCATAGAATAACCGACTGCCTTGGCAGTAGCGGCTTGTCGGGCTTTTGTTACCGAAATTATCAACTAGAGGTTATACGCGTTAAACTGCTGGGCGTTTATTTGATAATATTTTAGCGTAAACAGCCTCGGTATCGGGTTTGTGGTTTGGCTGGTTTTGTTTGGCTGATGAGGCCTTTCGCGGGGTGGGGGGGGGGGGTTGATGTGGCGCGGCGCTGCGCGGGTGCCGCGACTCCCTCGCTCCTGGGGCCCTGGCGGGTTTCTTGGAACCTTGGGGGACTTGTGCCTTGGGTTGCTGCCGTTCACGCCCCCGTCTGCCCTCGGGGGGCTGCGACGCGCGTTTTGGGGTTGGGGGCGCGGCGCGCGTTTGGGTGTGGCGGGGCGGTGTGGTGCTTAATTGGTGGGGGGTAGGTGACGGTGGGGGCTCATTATTGGCCTTCTTGGCGGGTTATTCTTTAGAAAGAACGACAAGGATACCCATCCTGGCGGACCTGACTTCAAAATGAGTATCAGTTCGACACCACTGGAAAGCGAAGAGCTTCAATGAATGGCTTCTTTATTGCCTGCTTTGCGACAGGCTGCTCCGAAGCTCACCAGGCAATTCTTCCAATGCTCGCACTGTCGATGTCTCCCTCGAGTGGCGACCCGAACTGACATCTTCAAGGAGGCGTCTCCCAAGTATATAAGAGCTTCCGAGTCTAGCACAAGACGAGTGTCATCAACAGCTTCGGGCAATTCTGCAGCAGAAACAAGCTCTTCATCGACGTTGTCATCCTTGAACAGGACGAGTGGACAAAAGGCAAAGACGAAAACCCGCTTCTTCCCCAATAAAAGCGACAAGTCCGTGGCGTATTGGCTACTAGGGAGTGCCGCAAGCGTGTTTGGGATTGTGGTGTTTGGAGGCCTGACACGGCTGACAGAGTCTGGGTATGTTGCACTGTTCCGAAATGGCTGGCAAGGTGCTAATTGTTCAAAGCCTAAGTATTACAGAATGGAAGCCAGTAACGGGCAGCTTGCCCCCAGCAACCGAAGAGGATTGGGAGTCTGAGTTCAACAAGTACCGGTCATCTCCGGAGTTCAAGATGCTCAACCCGAACATGACTTTATCGGAATTCAAGTCGATTTACTATATGGAATGGACACACAGACTCTGGGGCCGCTTTGTTGGATTGTCATTCGCCATCCCAGCGCTATACTTCATTGCACGGAGAAAAGTCTCGGGGCCCATGGCATTGAGGATCACAGGTATTGCAGGCCTCATAGGCTTTCAGGGGGTGCTTGGCTGGTGGATGGTAAAGTCTGGGCTCAAGGATGATTTATTTGCCACGGGAAGTCACCCGCGTGTCAGCCAGTATCGACTTGTTGCGCACCTGGGCACCGCATTCCTTTGCTACTGTGCTATGCTTTGGAATGGCTTGTCTATCCTTCGTACGCATAAGCTGCTGGGCAATCTTCAAGTGGCAGAGGCCAGTCTCCGAAGGCTGAGAAACCCAAGACTTCGCATCTTTAGATCGTCCGTAGGGGCGCTTGCTGTGCTGGTCTTCATTACTGCCATGTCCGGAGGGCTTGTTGCTGGTCTTGATGCGGGCCTGATATACAATGAATTTCCCTACATGGGACTTGGGTTGACGCCTCCAAAGTCTGAGCTCTTCTCAGACTTCTACTCGCACACACCCGACAACAGTGATATCTGGTGGCGTAACCCACTCGAGAATCCATCTCTGGTGCAACTAGACCATCGGATACTGGCAACTACGACTTTTACATCCGTGATGGCACTATGGGCCTACTCTAGATTTTCTAGCAATGTCCGGACCATTCTACCTGGCCCCGCCAGGAAAGGAGTTCACGGGGTCGTGGGATTCGTATTCCTACAAGTAGTCCTAGGCATCAGCACTCTGATCTATCTGGTTCCGCTGCCGTTAGCATCAGCACACCAAGCGGGAAGCCTAGCGCTACTGTCTTACGTCCTCATACTGGGAAGTAGGTCTTGGCTCCCCAATCGACGGGTCTCAACGCTCCTGGCCAAAAGATTCGCGACCGCTAAAATGACCCCGAAGAGGTCGGTTCAATCAAAACTACGCATGCGTAAACAGAACAGCGCTTCTGAAGGAGCACAGAAGACCGCAGTGGTCTGATGTGAGGTGCAACATGCGCTTCTCTTCACTCTAGACTGCCAAGACCTTGCGCATATTTAGTCATTGAAGAACAAGGCGTTATCGAGATCGTTTCCAGCCGCATTCTTTTGGTGATCTATGTCTAGTCCAGTATTACACTTCTTGAGAGGACCAAGCTCGAAGCCAGTCCAGTCACGCGGCAAGAGTGAACAGTCAATGATACTGAAGCATGGATACACGTCGGATAGAAGGAGTTTACGGACAACGCGTCCATACCTCCAGTGCATGAAATGAGCAAGCGCAAGAGATAGGCCGAGGAGAGGTTCACACAATGATGTACAATCTTGACATGGTGCTCGCGCAGGGGAGGGAAGAGAAATTAGTATCTTGAAGGCAATGATTGTGAGCTTTTCTCACAGAAGCCATCTGTGAGCTTTGAGCGCTCCTGAATAGTGGCTTCGGTCAGGGTCATTGCATTAGCCAATCTATTAGCAAGCCGTTTTGGGCCATCGAAAATGCATCAAAGCGCTGTGATACGACATTTTACAATCCGATGCTCCGAAAGTACGTTGCCCCACACCCAAATCCTCCCACAAGCTGTAGCGGTTCGTAAATTGATCTCTCGACCCTGACCCCACTTATGTCTCATCTCCTGCAAGTTTTAATGCCGATAACGTTGTTGATAGATACAGCTTCTCACAACTCAACTTAGGGGTTTGGGGCAAATCGAAGAGCGGACAGGCTTCTTGAGGTGGAGGCTTGGCGCCTCGCTTACGTTTATCTTTTGGCAGCTGGCAGAAGTTGTAAGTTCTTGCAACTCCGGGAGCTGGAACATTTTGAGGCCCTCCCATTGGTGCGAGACCAAGATTAAAGGGCATTGGGATGCGCTGATGCGTGAAAGGACGCGGTTTCCGGGTGTGAGTGGTGGGATGGGGCCCTCTGATTGGGAGACATGGAAGGGAGGAATGGAGAGGAGGATATGGGTATAAAGGGAAGCATGTCTGCCTGCTTCTTGAGATCATTTGAAGCAGCAGATTCCTGTTCTATATTTTCTGCTCGTCACCGCGACTTCGTGACGATCTGCCGAGCGGTTGAACTTTTGTAGCTCGAGTCCGCAGTGAGTGATTCCTTTTCTACAAACCTCACTTCCACCCACCGTCTTTCACCATACAACGCACCTCGTCCTTCTAGGCCATCATGGTTTGATCCAGACTGTATTACACCGCACTCGTGTATGCCATCGCTCATGCTTTCTATCTAGCCACGCAAAATCCTCTACTAAAGAGAGAGCTCGTATGTTACATTTCTTTCCTAGCCATGCCAGACATCATCCCAAGATTTGCGTCCACTCTGCTAGTGTCATAAAAGTTTTACACCACATTCATGGCTTTCATATATCCTGCCTTGTCGGTTCCCTTTCCTCGCTGAAGTCATCCTCCAGCTTCTACTCATTTCACGAATGTTTGTGAGCTGTCTTCTTTTACACATCTCTTTAGAAAACTCGTGGTTTTTAGGCTGAAGCAGTGTTTTAGATTGATCGTCGTTATCTTCTTCCATCTTGCAAAGACAGTGGTCTTACATGTCACAGATGGCACGCAAGTCGATCAAGAGAGAACAACAAGCAGCCCAGAGAATGCCGGTCACACGTGTGGCCGCAGAGCAAAACCCTAACGAGCAGCCTATTAGCTCAGGTGATACCATTGCTATCGACTCTGATGTCACCATGACCGATGGTCAGGCGGACGAAGGCTACCAGAAGAACCGTGAGCACAAGAGGACTGGTAAGTCACAATTTTGTTGGGGGAGGGATGGTCTGCGCCAACTGACACCCTCCATAGATCATACCATCGTCGCCAAAGGTCAGAATGTACAGACTGCCAGCATTTCAAGTGATGCGAACGAAGTCGCTGAAGGAGGTCTTCAAGCCCTAGGGCGAGGCGTCAAAGAACTGGTTCAAGCAATTCAGGAGCTTCGCTACCTTGGGGTCGAAGACTTGATCTTGCCGTTACCTAAGATCGCCTGTGTGGGAGATCAGAGCGCGGGCAAAAGCTCGTTGATTGAAGGTATCAGCGGAATCAAGGTTCCTCGCGGTGCTGGTACCTGCACAAGATGCCCTCTAGAGATCAATCTTTGCGAAAGCTCTAGTTTGGAGGAGCCGTGGACATGCAAGGTATCACTTCACAAGAAATACATTTACGAAGGCAATCTCGTCCCCGGTCGAGTCCTCGCAAAGAACGCCAGCAAACTCGAGGGTGCTACACGTGCTCGGCCCTTCGGACCTTGGACCCTTCAGGAGAGCGAGGAATTCCACTTTGCCACTTTGACATCCAAGGATGAGGTCGAACATGTTATCTATTTGGCTCAGCTAGCCACCTTGAACCCAGGTAGCCCATGGGAGAGATACCTTCCAAGCAACCCGAACCCGAACGAGCAGCATCAGGTCAAATTTTCCCCGAACGTCATCCGTCTTGACATTTCTGGCCCCGAATTGCCCAATCTATCCTTCACAGATTTGCCCGGGGTGATCAGTGACTCCGATGATGAGGAGGTTTACTTGTTGGCCCTTGTCCAAAACTTGGTCAAAGACTATGTAAAGGCAGAGGACTGCATTAATGTTCTCGCCATCCCAATGACACATGACCCAGCAAATTCAAGGGCCTCTAGACTCATAAGGGAGCTCAAAGCCCAGGGCCGAACAATCGGGTGTCTCACCAAACCAGATAGGATGCAGGTGGGTGAGTCGTTGGACCAGTGGCTTGGAATACTGAATGGTGAGACTTTTCGTCTGGGATTTGGCTATCATGTCATCAAGAACAACCCGGATACTCGCGTTGATCATGCCACCGCAAGACTTGAGGAGCAAGCCTTCTTCGACGAAGAAGAGCCATGGACGACTACTCTCAGCGCGTACAGTCATCGCTTTGGTACGTTGCAGTTGGTATCAGCTCTTTCAGAACGCCTGACAGCTCAAATTCGAGCAAGGTAAACATCGCCTCAATGTTTCTTAGCTTCTACTAATCACATGGGCAGCCTTCCACGGATCGCCGACCAGGTGCAGCGAAAGGCCGAGCTGATCGACGCCAAACTCCAAGAATTACCAGAGCCCATAGATGGCAACCTACCTGCGATCGTGATGGGGGAGCTGAATAGGTTTGAGAGGGAGATAGAAAAGCACATTGACGGAGGCTCACACGTCAACTCGTTTCAGAAAGAATGGAATCGCTTGGCAAGAAAGTTCCGCAAGGACTTGGCTGACACTCGTCCTGTACTCGTTTTGATGCCAAGCCCACAAACTCCTAGCCATGGCCATTCTTCTCGCGGTACTGGCCCCAGCAGCATGTCTGGGACACCAACGCCTACAGCTAGGGGAAATACAACTCCTATCCCCATCGACTCTGACGATGACGACGTACCCTGCAAGCCAAGTCCAGTCGTCCAACGATCCGGTCAGAAGCGTCCGCTTGCCTCAGTGCAGCACACTCCACAGAAAATTCCACGAACACTCAATAGCGCACCTCGATTGACAGCATTGTCGTCCTCCAGACGCTTCGACCTTTCCGAGGTCCGTGATATCATCCAGGATGCTTATATTGGGTTGCCGAATCAGATCGATCCAAAGGCCACTGAGAGAATGATCGTGATGAGCATGGAGCACTGGGAAGAGCCCGTCAATCGCTTCTTGACCGGAACCAAGCAGCTATGCGAAGCAATGGTCTTCGAACAGGTTGAAAAGGTGTTCGGCAAATATGCCAAGACGCTTTTCTACGAGAAGGTCATGAAAATTTGCGAGTCGTTCTTCGAGGAAGTACTGTCTCAACAACGCCAACTCGTGATGCAGGTTCTGAGGTGGGAGACGTCCAAGCCTAAGACCTTCAATGACGAATCTTTGGAGTTGGCCGAAGGAAGAGCACTTACTATGCTTCAAACCAAGCGCCGCGAGGCTCGTGCAGGCGCTTACTTGGACGAACAAGAGGCCCAGACAGGAAAGTCAACAAGTGGACAGACTCGCATCGAGAAGATCTCTAAGCTTTCGGATGCTCAGCTTGGACCAGAGACGTATAACAGAGAGATTGTCGCTATGAGCGTAGGTGCTATCTCAGGTGTTAATGACCTTGCTGACTAGGGAGCAGACTGTCAAAGGCTACTACGAGTGTGCTTACTCTCGCTTTGTGGATGTCGTCTGTGCTAGCATTCATTGCGAACTATTTAACAAATGCCGCGACAATATTGGACGAGAGATGAAGCAGCAATTTGGTGTGATCGAGGATGGAGGTAGGAATTGGATGTCAATCTACTGAAGTTGCACTAACATTCTCTTAGCGTATGAGCGCTTTGCTATTCTTATGGCTGCCAATCCCAGAGATGAGGAGCGTCGTGCCCAATTGAAGAAGGAGAGAGACACAATTCAGAAAGCCCGGGAGCGTCTCGACGGTCTGTCGCAAGATGAGCTGTGTGAGTAAGTGGTCGGCACCGCGATAAGTCTACCGCAGTAACACCCCACGTTAGTGCTTATTGTTACGAGAGCCGGTCAGAATTGTCGACTTAATAAGGAAGTACGTTAGAAGTTGAAGAGGACTGTGCGCGAAAGGGTCATGAACGGAGACGTTGACATCAAATTGAGGGATCTTCGTGTCAGCGTCGTTAGATAGATCAATAGTCTCGCTCTGCATACCTCAACTGAAGCCTTGACCCTCTATAGATATCAACGGTGAAGCTGTAGTCCGTGGCATGCTATTGCTTGAAGCAATTTGTGACTCGCACCACGTTCGCTGAGAATGAATCATTGCACGTGACTTCATAATCTCGCGTAGCCATCTATTTTTCGTGACTCAATTCAAATGCCCGTCCTTGCCTTCTTCCCTCCGCAACAACCGTGAATGCGACCTCGATGAAATTCCTCCGTGTGAATTACCATTCATGTCACAGTCAACGCCAGATGGCAACCCTTCTCAGGAGGAGAACGACCGGCCGGTGAAGCTTCCAATTCGTACAAAGGACGGGCAAGAAGCTATGGACCCCACAGAAGATTCCTCAGGGGAGAAGATCAGGTTCGCTTTCATCCCACTCCAATCACTGCTCCTTCTGACCCTGTCACAGCAAGAGTGAGCAAAAGAGACGTCAGAAAGAGAAGGAGCGTGAGGAGAAGAAGGCGGCCAAAGCGGCAACCGCCCCACCCCAGGCCGAGAAAAAGGTGTCTGCTGTCGCTCAGGAAGCTGAATTGACGCCAAATGTAGGTTTCTTGCGGTCCATCCAAGAGCGACGAAGGACGCTGAATCTTGATCCTTGCCCCGTAGCAATATACAGAGATCCGATCGCGCACCGCCCGCGAACTCCACCGCGCCCCTCATTTCGACATTCATGGGGCCAACCCCCCGCATAATGAAACCGTGGGTGGATTCATACCGAAATACCAGCATATCAAGACAGGCGAGCACCTCAAAGACGTGGAAGTCAGTCTCGCAGGCAGGGTTTTCACCAAGCGAGAGGCAGGACCCAAGCTCATATTTTATGATCTGAGGCACAAGGGCGGCAAGCTCCAGATAATGTGTCAAGCTCAAGAGGCAGCGGGCCCGTTGACTTTCGAACAACAACATGAACATATACGGCGTAATGACATTATATGGGTTACAGGCTACCCGGGACGGACAGCTCCCAGGAATCGACCCGAGGGCGAACTCTCCCTATTCGCAAGAGAAGTCAAAATGCTTACACCAAGTCTACACCAACTCCCATCAGATCACTATGGTTTCAAGGATCAAGAGCAAAGATACCGACAAAGACACCTGGACTGGATCATGAACGAGGCTTCGGTGGATGTCTTCCGCAAGCGTCATGAGATTATCCGCTACATCCAAAAATTCTTCGACGGGATGGATTTCATTGAGGTGGAGACCCCTGTATTGACCGCTATAGCAGGGGGAGCGACCGCCAAACCTTTTATGACGCACCACAACGAGCTGAACATGACCCTCTACTTGCGGATCGCACCAGAACTAGATCTCAAGAAAATGATTGTTGGCGGGTTCGATCGAGTCTACGAAATAGGCAAGCAATTCAGAAACGAAGGCATTGATTTGACCCACAACCCGGAGTTCACGACCTGCGAGTTCTATATGGCATACGCAGATGTGTTTGATGTCATGGAAATTACCGAAGATCTGGTATCTGGTTTGGTGAAGCACGTCACCGGCAGCTACGAGACTAAGTTTGACCCCCAGACAGGGGAGCAGTACCACATCAATTGGGCAAAGCCTTGGAAGCGTGTCGAGATGATACCAGCTCTCGAGGAAGCGTGCGGAGAGAAATTTCCGCCTAGCCCGGAGCTACATACGGAGGCTTCTACCGATTTCCTCAAGCGTGTTCTCAAGAAAATGAATATCGAATGCTCGCCACCGCAAACAAACGCCCGGATGCTGGACAAACTTGTTGGCGAATTCATCGAAGAGAAGATCGTTAATCCCACATTTATCACCAATCACCCTCAGATCATGTCTCCTCTTGCCAAAGTACACCGCAAGCATCCGGGTCTCTGTGAGCGGTTCGAAGCCTTTGTCTGCAAGAAAGAGATCGTAAACGCTTACAGCGAACAAAATAATCCCTTCGCGCAACGAGAAGCTTTTGAGGAACAAGCCAAAATGAAAGCCCAGGGCGATGATGAAGTGCCGGCCATTGACGAGAGCTTCATAACGGCTTTGGAATATGGGTTGCCACCAACTGGAGGCTGGGGTATGGGAATTGACCGCTTGGTCATGTTCTTGACGAACCATTACAACATCAAAGAGGTACTTGCCTTCCCTTTTATGAAGGATGACCGGAGCCAGGGCAAGGACAAAGGGGCTGTAGCCGAGGGAGAAGCCGTAGTGACCGGTCTCGATGGGGGGATTTGTAAGTCAAAATCTGCAGATTCGGGGGATTTTGTGATCTCGTCTCACCCATTGTACAGTGCACAAATAGACACGGACGATTGAAATGGGAATCTAACCCGAAGAGTGAGACCATATGAGCCGGTGTGAGGGGTTGTCAGCCAATCAGGGTTACGTGGGTTGTACGACCTCAAAAGTTTCATACCTGAGATACCACACTCGAGTGAATAGCCAACACAAAGAGGATAGAAATCATACAGAGCACATTCACAGTTTCATTTTCAGTTTGTGTGACATGTTCATCTTAGCAGATTGCCCGCAGCAGTTTTCATTCACTCTGGTGAGAGTTGCAGTGAAGTGTTGAATTTCTTACTCTCGAGATTTCACTTCCCCTCCGCCCATCTCCGTTACTTAAGACCTCTTCTCCGCCCCTTTGACTACAAATACTTCTTTTAACACATCACAAATCAACACTTGCAACCACACTTCCATCCATCAGCATAAAATCCGAAGTTTCTATCACTTGGGCTTTGATTCGGCCATCAATCCCCTCAATTCTTGAGAGGTGGTACAATCTCACCGCCTCATCATGGCAAGAACAATCCACACAGCCAGACTCAACCCTCCAACACCGGTCTCCGATCCAACAACGAGCGCACCAAGCGTGTCTCGGCTCCACACCACCTTTGTAGAAGTCAGGGTCCACACCGCCAAATGCGACTCGTGTGACAGGCACAACAAGCTGACCCTGTACCGCTGCACGGAATGCGGCCAGCACGTGTGTTCGTTGTGTTGGCGCAAGGCCGGGGATGGGACCCATGTCTTCGGTGGTGGATTGCACGATGTGCCTGGATCGGACGCTAACCATCTCATCGAGGACGATGATGCAGATAGCGAGCGGGGATATAAGAAGGCGGGTAAGACGCATGCTAGAAGGAGAGTTCAGGTCATCAGCGACGACGAAGATGATGATGTCCCGATGTTGGAGCCTGCTCGCACAATGGAGAACGCAGAGGTGAATGATGCAAGCAAGCAAGATAGGAAGGAAATAACCGTCATCATGAACGATGACCATCACGAAGACCATGAAGATGACTTGCCCAGATTGTGGCCTGTTGTAGCATCCGGAGAATTGCCAGTGTTGACGCCGGTTGTACCAGCTGCCAACACAACTGCATCCGAGAGCGTAACCCGGGCGACGCAGAGAGATCCTCACATCTATGGAGAAGAAGGTGACTCAGAGCACCAGAGGATCCTGCGAGTTTATGACAGCCTAGGCAGACAAACAATGTCTAGTCGATATGGCTTTGTTGGCGACCAGGAGACAAGCCCTCAAGCTCGTCATCCTTCCCAGTCATCCATATCTCATCAGCAGGCCACTCAGTTGGCTCCTAGTCAGATCAAACCCGCCATCTACCGCCCCCGGCCTGGGGCAGATGTGGATAAGCAGGCGGCTCGCAATCAACTTGCTTTCGCCAACAGCCAACCAACGAATCGTCAAGCTCCTCGTCCCGCTCCACCCTTAATGGCACACCAGCAGGCCACTGAGTTGGCTCCTGATCAGATCAAACCCGCCGTCTACCGCCCCCGGCGGGCGTGTGGTAGCAGGCGGCTCGCAACCAACTTGCTTTCGCCAACAGCCAACCAACGAATCGTCAAGCTCCTCGGCCAGACAAAGCCCCCACCTCACACGAGCAGGCGGTCCATCCGGCTCCTCGTACGGCGCAAGCCTCCATCTCTCCGCAGCATGCTCACACTGCAGCAAACGTGGACCGGGTGGCGGTGCGCAGTCAACAGATCCTCCGCTTGAACCAGCAGGCTCAGGCTTACGCGAATGCAAAGCAGATGGAGGCTCGCAATGGACAGGCCTTGAGCTCACACCAAAGCACGCGGCCGGCAGCAGATAGGGACCAAGTAGCGGCTCACAACCAGCAAGCGTTCATCTCAAACCAGCTGTCGTCATCTGGTGCAACTTATGTGGAACAGATGATAGCGGCTCGCGATCGACAGCAGGCCTATCTCTCACGACAGCAGGCAAATCATCCAACGCCTGGCCCACCCCAAACCTCGTTCTCATACCGAGGTGCTACTAATACACCTCGTTTTCCAGCTCAGGCCTTCCTCTCACAGCAACATGCGGCCCTCTTGACTTCTCGTCAGGCCCAGCATCGGATAGCCACTCAAGATCATCCCAATGGACCTTCGGGGGGTGTCCGGGTTCGAGAGGTATGTCCGCCAGTCCCCATCAATTCGAATAAGAAACACTAACATCAGTCTCAGCACTCTCCAGAAATCCTCGAAGCAGCCGACACCCTTCTGTTCTACGCCGGAGTAGATCAGACTCCGGGAGTTCGTCTCCGTTCGGAACAAGATGAGAATGGTGTCTCACGGTTGGTCAGTGCAGCTGGTCAGCTTGAAAAAGCAAGCTCTGCCCGTTCTAAGCCCCGCTCGTCTTCGAAGACTTTTGCCGGTGGGTCTGGAGCAGCTGAAACACACTCTAATAGCTCACGTGGTCCTGCATTGAACCCGACTCGGAGAAGTACGGACGCTGGTTCAGCAAAAGCTCGACTCGACAAGCATCGGGCTCGTCTTGCTGGTTTGCATTCACCAGCGGGTACTCAAAACACTTTTTCTGACCGACCAGTCAGCATACGAGGTCATCCAAGCTACCCTTATCCTGCGTTGCAGTCTGATCCAGGACGCATGCTCGCTGACTCCTCCGCTGCCCAGTTTCACAAGTCTAGCTTTCGCGGTGCTCAGTCGCACCCAGGCCCCAGGCTCCCTATGTCAGAGCATGCCGCTACGTATCTCAATCAGTGGAACTCTGGTCGTGCTGCGATGTCCTCAAGCTCGAGTAGTACTGCCGTTGATGTGCCGGCTACCCGACTTAATCACCCCAACTCTCCTGTCCCAGCACTACATCTGCGTTCAACTATTAGTGTTCAGGGCATCACAGCTACTGGGCGTAGCTCAAAAGAGGCCGCGGAGGCCAGCACTCAGGCGCTGAGCGCTCCGACGTCCGTGGCCGGAGGACTGAATGATGTCGATGTTGTGATGGGTAGCCCCGATGTCGAGATTTTCGAGTACGACGAGTCTCGTCGTAGTGAGACACGGGCTCCGGAGAATAACGCTTGGACAGTTGGAATGGTTAGGGATGCCGAAAAGGCTCGTGCTAGGGCAGCTGGGCCAACCTCCGAGCTGCACGCCGAAGGCAAAAGCGAAAAGCATCCGAGAGGCGAGAAAAAAGGTCACCGTGAAACTAACAAGGAGCACAAGGCGTCAAGCGATGTCGATGTTATTGACGCGAGGAAGAGAAACAGCAAGGACAAGCATTCTGAACAGACCGATGACGATGATAGTGACATCGAAATTACCTATTGGAATAAGTTGGACAGCAACAAGACGGCTGGAAACCACCAAGATACAAATGCTGAGGCAAAGGGACCCAAGCCCGCCAAAATCATCAAGAAAGGCGTGTCGCACATTCAGAAGCCAGAACCGAAGGGTCAAAAGGAGAAGACGACGGTGGACAGAGAATTCTTTTGGAGCTGAGAAGGATGTGACGACAGCAAGCGAGCAGTGACTTTTTTCCTGAGGCGAGATGCTTACAGCCTAAGGTAAATGGATATTGCAATAAGCTTCGGTCTTGTACGATGGGGGGCATGCATTCTGTTAACGATAGCAGATTTCGAGATAGCGAGTGGAATAGATTATGCAGATATATAGCAGAAATGCGTTGAACAACACGGGTCTCCCAAACCTTTGGTAATGGGACATGCTCGGCATCCCCTCATCTCAGAAGTCCCGAGTCTGGGCATCCGACAATCACTCCCAATTTCGATGTCAGTACCTCTCTAGTGAGTATCGATCTCGTGTCTTCTCAAGTCAGAATCCAAAAATTTCACTCACTACATCTACGCAGATTTCGGAGTCAGCAAAGTCCATTCGAGGCAGAAAATGGAGTTGCAAGACAGGTCTCAGGAGTAGAAAGGTCCTTTTGCTCCCGAGACATGTCTCGTGACTCGATCCTACTACCGACGAGGAAGAATCAGCTCCGCAATGTACGAACCATGAAGGCTTTTTGGATGCCCTTTTTGACCTTTTTCCAAACGCTGTCTCTCACTGCATATCACCGCCTATCAGCTTCCTAAATACTCTGACATGGACTCAAACAGAATACTTACAAGGCGGCAGACCCTCACTCGCACGTTTAGCGTTTTCCGCCTCCCTCTTCTCCTGCTCGTCTTTTTCTACCTGGGCCTTGATAGCTTCGTAATTGGCGTTATCCTCCTGGTTCTGAGGCGCGGTGCGGGCGCCAGGACCTATCCAGCCGGAAGACATGCTACTTGATGTTGATTTGCGGCCGGAAATGGGTTGTTGGTGCGGTCGTCTGGTATTAGGGCGTGGGGAAGGGTGGCGCTTGGCTTGGTTCTTTCGAATAGAGGAGATCAGGGAGGCTTGTAAGGCTCAAAGACTATGCATACTATGGAACAAGTTTGACATCGAGATAGGAAAGGGGGATGAATATATAGCCTTTGGAAGAGGTTCAAAGGTACCAAAAACGCTGGCTTTGCAAAAATAAGCTGTCAGGAACATCGGATGGATCTACTTACACCGAAGAGAAGAGTTGCTGTTAACGTCGGCATCTTTTTCTGATGCTAGAGTTCACTGCCTCAATCGAGGTCTTGTGGCATTCATGCGGGATTTTCAACCTATGCACCATGCCATGCCGAGCAAAATTGTCGACAAGTTGATAAATCAACAAAAGCTGCTCTGCTTTCTGGTGGATCCCCTCTCGATTGTTGTACTGATTGGGAAAGAGCAGCTGTTCAAGCTCGAAGTTCGGGGCTGCTGGTGCTGCTATATTTACTCGTAATACATATGATCAGCAAAGTGAGGCTTTTTGTTAGACTCTCTCTCACTGCCTTTAACCATATTTGTCGGAATTGTCGGCGTGGTTGGCGGGTCAAGCGGCGCATTTTAAAAGCAAACGGCGCTCAGGTAGCGGGATAGTAAATTAGCGTTGATCTTTATCTTATCAGATTGATCTGATGTGTGAACGCGCAGTTCCATGATGCCTGCAAACTTGCGACAAATCAACAAGCTAGACACACACGCTCCTACTCTCTCTTCAATCGCCTGACACTGCCACCACCATTTGTACCGCCTCAAAATCCGAGTGAAGATCTCTTGTCATCGAAATGGCGTCTTACGAAGGTACTCCACTCCTTTCGCCCTCCTCGTCACAAACCGCCCACTAACCTCGCTCGCACCAGTCGAGCACAACGTCCCCAAACCCTCCACTACGGAGCCTTCTCACCCTCCTCGCCGTCCTGACCTTTCCACCTTCTTCTCCACTCTCCAACACGTCGATACCACTGACGTATCAAACGGCAACGCATTGCCAGTACCCGGTGATGTCTCTGCCGCCTTCAGAACGCTGGCCGAGGCATTCGAGAGAATGAGACCGGATCGGAGTGGGGAAGGGCCTTTGGATGGCATGATAGAGCTTTTGGTTGCGAACTCACAGGCGCCGCCGAAGGAAGTGAAGGGGGTTAGTCAAGGGTTTTTGGATGGTGAGTGAGAAGTCTACCCCGGGGAAGACTGGGCTACTGCGCCGCTACTGCTTGGATTTGAAGGAAAAGGATTCCGGGACTCTCTCATGTTTAAAAGTACCGTTCTACGGTCCCACGGCTGACCCTGGCTACGCCTGCAGAGCTCGAGCGAGTGCCGAACAAGCTTCTGAAGCCGTCAATGGACTGCCCAATTTGCGGCAATCCTTTCTTAGATGGTATATCTACAGCCACACCATTCACTGCTTTCTTCGCTAACACCGGGTTACAGATGAGTATCCTCTCGTCGTGCGTCTCCCATGCAACAGAAACCACATGTTCGATCTGGAATGCATAGCACCCTGGTTGAAGTTGCACGCTACATGTCCCCTGGACAGGAAAGATCTGGTAAAGGAGAAAGAGCCTCCTCCACCACCCAAGGACGAGGAAGAAGATGGGGAGTGGGACGACATGTATGCATGATTGGCGAAAATTTGATGTAGTCTTTGAGCGAGCATTGTCCAGCGACAAGGCACAGTTTAGATATCCGAACGAACATTTCAGAATCGTCCACACAACCATCTACCCATCTCACCCATTCAACAAAAGAAAACGTACAAACATCGGTCCACTCCCCAAGCCAGCACGCCTATTCGCCCGTCTACCCCGCTCCACCTCCCCCCCACCATGCCCCCCTCCCCACCCGCATCCCCACTCCCCACAATCGACATATCCCCCTTCCTCCACCCCTCCACCCCATCCCGCCTCCACTCCACCTCCGCCTCCCTCTCCGCCGCCTGCACCAACCCAGGCTTCTTCTACCTCACAAACCACAACCTCAGCCGCGCCCTCACCTCCCGCGTCCTCGCCCTCGCCCGCGCCTTCTTCCTCCACGCCCCCGCCGCGGAGAAGGAGCGGATCAGACGGCTCGGCGTCGGGGTCGGGACGGGAGACGGGGCGAGGGGATACCAGGTCGTGGGCGACAACGTGACGGAGGGGAAGCGGGATTGGCACGAGGCCATCGATTGGTACAGGCCGGTGAGGGAAGGGGAACCGTTCGAGAGCGCCGGCGGCGGGAGGGAGGATGGCCGCGCGGGTGGTGGTAGGGAAGGGCCGTACGAGCTCCTCAAGGGGGTGAACGCTTGGCCGGCTTACCCGGAAGGGTTCAGGGAGGTGTACGAGGAGTATGTGGAGAAGATGTCGGAATTGGGTACGGCGGTGGTGAAAGCGATGGGTCTAGCGCTCGGCCACGGCATGGAAGAGGTGTTTGTGGGGAATACGAGGAGGAGTGCCTGGGTCATGAGGGCGATTGGTTATCCGCCTTTGCCTGAAGATGGCACGACGGGCAAAGACGAGGGTGGTGTGTCCTGTGGCGCCCATTCAGACTACGGCTGCGTGACGCTTCTACTCGCCGACGAGACAGCCGGCGCTTTACAAGCTTGGGTCGAGAGTGAAGGGGAAGAGGGTAGATGGGTGGACGTTGATCCAATGGACGGAGCCCTTGTTGTGAACATTGGAGATATGATGTCTCGGTGGAGCGGAGGGAAGTGGAAGGCGACGAGACACAGAGTTTTGCATAGAGGAGGGGGGTATCGGGTCAGTGTGCCATTCTTCTTTGAGCCTGATTGGGATGCTGGGGTGCCTGGGAAAGAAGGGGAGGAAGAGGTGATCTATGGGAAGTATTTAGAGGGGAAGGTTAAGGGGAACTTTTGATGATAGTGCAAGAGGGCGAGATTGGGATGGGGAGATGTGATGCATCTGAACGTAAAGCGTGAGGTTTAGAACATACTGGAGCAGTGATCATCTATGCAGTAATCTCGTCTAACTCCGGAATTCGAGACTCTTTTCTGAGCGTTTTCCGTCTTGGAAAGGCGCTTAGTAGCAACCAGCAGCTAGAAAATCGTGATATGTCTATTAAAAAGTCGTTGTCCTGCGTCGTGACGGGCAGTACTGAAGATTCTCTTACATAATGACTTCGTTCGTAACATCCTGCATGGTTATTAGCTTCAGATTCGCAACGAATAAGAGGAGTCACATACTCGCTTTAACTCTTTATTAGGCAAGCAGACGCAATTTTGCACCCTCACTTCATCACCAACCCCACAATCTTTCCCCAGAATAGTGATGCTCTGCACTTTGACACCGTTCTTGACAATGCTTGTTGTATGACTACCAACCGGTGTTGGCGTGCCCTCAACTCTAGCCCAGGCTCCTACACGGCTATTCCACCCGATGATCGAGTATAGCACGCAAGCGTCGTGCTTGATCTCCGCGTCTTCTAGAACAATAGACTCTTTGACTCGAACACCAGCGCCGATGACTGCACGGGGACCGATGGAGACATTTGGGCCAAGCTTGGCGGTGGGGTCGACATCTGCTGTAGGGTGGACGAACACTGGTGGTAGGATATTAGCTGACGGAGCAGCGAGCTCTTCCGACTGAGACTGGAAAGCTTTCTGGAGGTATAGAGCATTAGCTGGTATTGCTGAGCCGGCAGTCTTGATCTGACGCCAGAAGTCCTTGGTTTCAAGGACGAAGAATTGGTTGCTGTCCGCTAGGTCGGACAGGATATCTTGTTCTAGGCGGAGCACCTCGTTCTTCTCTCCGTCCTCCAGCTTCTCGGCGAAGAACGAAGAATCCAAGTTCTCAGATGATGGATAGGAAACGAGGCGGGGTCGGTCTGCACGACGCTTGATTGCAGATCTGATGGAGGGGAATATGGTTTCCGTCGAGAAGAGGTAGACACCGCAATTGATCAAATTCGAGATGTGTGACTCTGGCTTCTCGACGTAATGGAGGACTTGTTTCGTTTGTGCATCCGAAACAATGCACCCAAAGTTTGTCGCAGCATCATTGCTAACCCTTGTACCAAGGATTACGGCCTCTGCCTTCTTCTCTTCGAAGAGCTTGAGCATCTGCTCGAGTGGAAAAGAGCAGCAGACGTCGGCATTGAGGACGAAGAAGCGATCTGGACCACCTTTGAGAATGGCATCACGAAAATGGTATAAGCCGCCAGCTGTGCCTAGAGCTTGGTATTCTCGTAAATATTGTATGCGTATTTGGGGCAGCTCTCTTGCAGAGTCTTTGATGAACTCTCGAAACACACTCTCGTCATAGTAGCCGACTAGAATGACCTCTCGGATGCCCGGTACTTTGGCTACAGCTCGTAGGCAGTGCCAGATGATGGGGTGTCCCGCTACGTCAAAGAGAGGCTACAGCACAGTGTCAACGCTATACTTTTCGAGACTCTCGTAGGAACACCAACCTTGGGTACATCGAGAGAGAGTGGTCTGAAACGGGTTCCCCTAGAGGGTCCGCCGACCTGTGGCAAGCATGAGCTCAAGGTCCTCTCCGGTGGTGCACCGAGCTTACAAGGATGACAGCCTTCGTCGAAGCTGTTGTAGCCGAAGTGCCATTGGCCTGGCGAGTCGGGACTTTGAGACTCATGTTGATTTCTCAAGACTTTAAACGTCGCCTGTAGCTATTTTTGAAGCTCTGTGCGGATATAGAGCAGTTCGTGGTTGAAAGAGAGCAAGAACAGCTTCGTGGTCTGTTCCACCGTTGAGAAAGGACGACCAATCAAAATTCCACGCCTAAGGAGACCCTGCAGATTTGCCAAGCTCTCGCTTAGATCTAGTAGCCGTAATTAAAGTGATGCACGTCATGCTAGCGCCTGCTTTACACGTCAAGCCTGAGAGCAAGAGCCTCAAGCCCGTGCGCCTATCTGCAAGGTACCGACCAGCGAAGGATCCCTGATTAATACATCACACGCGCCTGTTCAAGAGAGGATCTAGGTATGATGATGGAATTCTGTGTACTAGATATTATTTTCATGCAAGTCCATTGTCTATATATTCGAGCTCTACCAACCCGTCATTCAGCGACTCTGCGGCTTGTTGAGTCCTCCGTGGTTTTGCATTCTGCACAAGCGTCTCCAGAGGAAGCATTGAAATGCTGAGTTGGCCCTGACAGCATGATTGCCGTCCCTCGTTTCAGGGTGCACGTAACACGTCGCGCTCGAAGCCTCAAGTTGGAAATCTCAAGCCGATGAAAGCCAGCCATGTCGATGACACCAATCTCAGGACTAGAAAGCTCATCGAAAAGAAAGCGCGAGGTTTCCCGGTTCTGATCATCGAGACCCCGGCCACCATGGCTGATCCGACCTTCATAGACAGCTGCAATAACCTGTACTAAAGCATATTGTGTCCTTGATCTTGAAGGTTTCCATGAATTTGTGAAGATAGCTGGTAAAAGTGATGTGCGGCGATGAATTGGATGCGTCACCGAAGGCTGAATTGCTCAGGCCGCAATGCCTGAACAATGTTGATCACTTCTGCATCAGAGAGCGATGGTACGGCTTGTCTATCGAGCGAGTCTGTCAGTATTCTTCGTCGCTGTCGGAAGTCACCCGAGTTGCACTTACTTTGCTACCTTAGCCACGTGGCCTGCAGTGATGTTGCTTGGAAGTGTAAAGTCACCGATCTCACTGAGCAGGGTAGCATAATCTGGCGTGCTTCGAATTTTGCGAGTCTCCGCGGTGGTTATGTTTTTTGCCTCTTCCTGAGGAATCACCAGATCGCCTATTTGACCCTCAAGGTCTGAAGCAGATTGCACGGCTGATGAACCGCCGAGCGTCTGGGCTGGAGCTTCTATAGTGACCGTTGTATACTGCACCAAGAATAGCGCAATCAATGGTAAAGTCGACAACATACTATGTCAGACGTGAGTATGAATGTTGATAGAAATTGTGGTGTGTGGCTTCGGTAAGCTTGTCAATATTTAGAAGTTGGTGTGGTTGAAAAACAGCGATCCGTTTTTATAGATGTCTTCATGTCCCAAAGGATGTGACGTCGGAACTGCCACCGTACCTTAGAATTAACCTCCACGAAAGTGCCGCACTGTACTCCACCATCATGCATTTTCTAGCGTCTCATCGGCTCTGCGATATCCTACCTACTTTGCATCTGTTGTGGCGCGAGAGATCGCTAGCGCTATCAGGGCAGTAAATGGTACCTGGATGAGCACAGCTGACTGGCTCAACAATTTCTAGCTCACCAACCATCGCATCGTTGAAGATTGTCGCTTATGCAAAGACCTGATTGTCTGATGGGATTGGAAAATCTATGTCTCTGTCTCATCGCGTGTCGCGTACAGCATAAAGTCATTGGCAGGAAGGCCAACCCGAGATGACATCTCTAACCCCCAAAATGCAGAGATAAGACCAGTACGCTCTCTGCAATGATGATGTTTCATAGGGTGTCCCACTTTGTATGCTCCTCCCGGATTGGATCGAAATATTTGGAAGCTTTATGTTGACAACAAATGAAACCCAGAGACCGCCCACTCATTTCTCTACTTAACAGCACGTTTTCATTAATAATCAAAGTCCTCGTAGACAGTCGTCTTCCCCGGTAGCCAAGCCAATAGCGATTCACGTAGTGTACCTCCTGTACACAGATACCATATCGATGACCCGTCTCGATGTCCTTCGACATCGGAAGCTACCATACGTCTAGTGGCGATGTGAACGCCGTAAACCTCAAGCATTTGAATTTGGAGGTTACTTTCTGGGGGTGACTGTTCGCTGAGTCTAGATATGAATATTCTTGTGGACGCACCCAACTCGGGACAACGCTCGATAGTATCGATTACTAACCCAATGTCATGGACGTTGATTGCCCAAAATAGCTGTACGCGTGCCAAGTCCAAAGTATGTAGTTGGGCAAGAAGAGGCGTAATACCGATACCACCAGCGACGAATGGAACCATGCCCTTAGAGCCTTGTTGAATGGTGAAGCTGCCTCCAAAGCCTTTCAGTGGGACTTCGAGTCCAGTGCGTACGTTTTGTCGGAACAAGAAATTTGTGACAGTCCCAACGTTCCGAATTGTGATTTCGAACTCATCTTCCGGGAGCTCACCAGGTGATGACGAGACCGTGAAGGTCCGTACGAAGTCATCGTTCAAGCTCTTTGGATCATCGTCCCGCATGTGGCTGTAGCCCACTGATAATTCGTCTTCAAAAGCTAGAGCCACGTACTGGCCTGGCGTCCAACGCCCTGACGCTTCAGAATCACTTATGCTAAACCGGAAGCGTGCAATTGTGGGAGCAAGCCGATCTCTCGCCAAGAATTTCGCATGGACCACCTTGCTGTTGTTGGTCTGTGCATCGGCTATGGCTTTTTCCGCGGGAAGATAACGGACGGGAGGATTGTATGGCGATCGCTCGAGATTGTCGCCTCGGAAAGACAAGCTATTTTTAACGAAGCGAGCTGCCAATACGTGCAATTTTACAACGAGGTTGGACCGGGAAAGAACGGTCGGTGCCTCTTTGCCAAGCACAATCTCAGTGGTAGTTGTAAGATACAGAGCGTCTCCGCTGTCAAAGTCTGGGAAGATCAAACCAGCCTGAGGAGTTGTGTACAGATTCCCCAGTGTCTGATACAACCTGTTACCACTCAATTCCGGGTACACCAGAACGGACTCAAACGCATTGTTCTTCGCCACACGAACAAAGCCTGGTTGCCCACCACGATGGTTTGTTCCCATGTTCGATTCATGATTCGATGAAGAAAGGAAGAACATGTCAGCCTTAGCGATCAGCCTTAGAGCCGGCTCAGGCAAAGGAAGGGTATCGGACAGCAGCAAAGGTTCCGGCAGAGATGGAACTATTTGTTTTTGGTTCAAGTACTTGGGACAATTGCCTGTATTCTCACTTAGCCTGAAGGTAAACCACGCCTATCATTACGTACCTAAGCTTTGCTGGATAGCGAAGACTAACTGGACCTCCGCCGCACCACTTTCATCTGCGTCTGCTTCCCGTGTATGATATCCAAGAGCACCAGCAACCATCTTTCCTGACAACTTTACCCTGCCTCTCGTCGCTAGATGTATTCCCAGAGCCGAGACCAACCGTCCATCCCCTTTCTCTTCGTGGACTTCCCCATCTTTTTTGTCGCCCAACAAAATTCCAATCACGGGATCAAACGTCCGATCAACTAAAGTCTTCACCACGATGATGGATTGGCCCAAAGACCTTGCAAAACCTGGTTCGCCACCCAGCAACGTAGTCCAAGGACGTCCTTCAGCATCCAACGTACCAATGGCTAGTAACGAGGAAATATGTAGTACGCGCCTAGCATACGGACTGAGGCCAGGAGATGTAGGATTGTCACCATCAGGGACACGGAGGAGTGACCGCATTTGCTTCTCCCCTTCATGGAAGCGAATTGGAGCTGTGTGTATGGGCACCATGGCGGCTTTTCTTGAAAGAAAAAGCGACGGCAAGGACGACCTCAAACATTATCTTGAACAGATAGTACACTGTTCAACAACGACCCGATTGTTGGGGAGTTAAGCCACTTAATGTAGATAATTTCGCTGTTGCGAATCCAGACCCTAAAAACCGTAGAGCCATGGTTCAGTAATCCAGGAACTTCAAACTGCAATTGTCAGCATCTACAAACTCTATGATGTACTTGTGGAATGATCAGCGGTTCATGCTAAGATTCACTGGCCGTACCGTACGAGTATGCAGTGATAGTGATGGCGATAGTGGTATTCATCCAACCTTCACGCCTATGAGGTTTATGCCACACAATATATAATAGGTTTCCACTCAGAAGTTTCCGGATCCCACCCGCTTGTTGATTCGGATCTGCATATACTCACCAGCTTGTTTGCGGGGTTCGTGCGCGGGGCGGATCGCCGCTTGGTTGTTGGTAAAAATCGCAACCGGGGTGCCGCCGCTGTCGATAGTGGCCATGTCCAAGGCCATGAGGATGCCGTAGAGCTCTCCAAAGTAGACTGTGTAGCCGGTGTCGGGGCCTGGATATGCACTTTTGGTATCGGCGACGATGAGACCAATTCTTGAAGGGTAGAATCATCATGAGCACTGCGGCGCGAAACTGATGTAGTATGCAGGGGAAACCCTTTTCCGTCTCCGAAGGTGCCGCTCTTGGCATTGTTTTGAGACCGCACTCAATCACGGCGACTTTAGTTCAGTCGATACCGCAACATGGCTGGAGACACGGCCGAGGAGCTTGAGATATTTCGCCAACAATGGCAACAAGAGGTAACGCAGCGTGCAAAGGGAGCAACAAACGCATCAGTCAATATACCTGCACGACCGCCACGGCCATCACAGAGTAGCAGTGGAGCAGCCCCTCCACTGATTCGCAGGCAGACCAGAGAAGCAGAAGAGTACCCCGAAGACCTTGGAGAAGAGAGTCATCATGATCTAGAAGACAAGGATGAGGAACGAAGATTAGGGGAAGCTGGAGAAAGAAAACACCCAAGCAACAAACGAGAACCACGGTCGGCTTTAGATCACTATGAGCTGGCAGTTGAGAGGGAGTCGGAAGGTAGTCTGGGGGACAGCTTGAACCATTACCGGAAAGCCTACAGGGTACGCATCGACCGATTCCAATTAGATAAATGTCCGTTATTGACCCAAATCCAGCTCGATGCAGGCGTCGACCGCATCTACAAGAACAAGCACTTCCCGCCCTCGTCCTTTAAGTCGAAACCGACCAACCCCAACCCATCAAATGCCGCTGTAACTGTCCCAAATCCTGCTCACCACTCCCTAGACGGGCCCCCCGCCTCGACCATATCCGAGCTCATAGCCTCCTTCTCCTCCCTACCAATACCAGTGCTGGAAGTACCCACAGACAAGTCCCCCCAACCGTCATGTCCTCTCTCAACGATTCCTTCAGAGATTCTCATCAACGTCCTCCTTCAAACAGCGATCATCGACGTCGCCTCCTTTGCCCGCCTCTCCCTGGTCTGCAAACGCTTCGCCTATCTAGTCGCAACCGAAGATCGAATATGGAAACGTGTTTGCCTAGGCCCTGAATTTGGTTTCAGTGCTATGCACTACAATTGGACCTGCACTATCACCGGCGGCCCCCTCCCACTCTCCGTGGTCGACCTCGACGCAGACCTCGACTCACTTGAGCTCTCAGATACCACTCCTCTCCCGGATCCATTTGCCTTGTCGCCCACCTACCCATCCTACCGTTACATGTTCCAAAAGCGGCCCCGCCTCCGCTTTAACGGCTGCTACATCAGCACCGTAAACTACATCCGTCCCGGCGGCAACACCGCCAGCCAGGTCACATGGAATACCCCCGTCCACATCGTAACCTACTACCGCTACCTACGGTTCTTCCGTGATGGGGGGTGCGCATCCTTACTTACGACCAGCGAACCCGCAGACGTAGTGCACTATCTCACCAAAGAGAACATGCACACTCGCCACGCGGGCGGTCTGCCAAGTGCCGTCATGAACAACTGCCTTCGTGGCAGGTGGAAGCTCAGCGGTGATCCATATCACACTACAACCGGCGAAGAGGGCCACAAAGAAGAAGTCGGCGAAGAAGGCACTATTCACATTGAAACCGAAGGCGCAGACGCTGGCCACGCTAATCCAAAGTACATCTACAAAATGGCTCTTCAGCTCAGGAGCGCTGGTAGGAACGCAGGTGCTACAAGAAATAACAAGCTGGTATGGATGGGCTATTGGAGCTACAACAAGCTCACAGACGATTGGGCGGAATTTGGGCTGAAGAACGACAAGGCCTTTTTCTGGAGTAGAGTGAAAAGCTATGGGATTGGTGAGTAAGTGGAGCGTGGCTGTGAGTTGAAAGACGGGGTTGCGTGGGGGTAGGATGAAGCGCAAAAGCGCTACTTACGATGGGATGACAGATGACTTGATGCATATTTCACATTTCCGATCTAGAGCCTACAAATGCATATACGGCTCGGATCGAAAAAGATGACTTGACAGCCCTGTTTCAGATCGCGCGCACTTGAAGCGTATTTGCTCAAACCGAACAAGCAATGTTTTGCGCCCCCTCTTGCTCTGCAAGATGAGGCAATTATGTACTTTTCGCTGACGCTCTCTGTACATGCTCATGCCACCCAATCAGCCGCCGAAATCTTCAATTGAAGAACCCCCACGTCCTTCAACCCAACCCGAACGCTCCCGCGTTGAAACGAGTCTATCCGCCGATGCTCAACGCCGAAGTTGCTCCTTGATCTTATTCCAGATCATGCTGCTAACCTCAGAGGGTAGCCCCTGTTTCAAAATTCCAATCAATCATAAACGTTCATCAAAACTCGTCAGCGCAGCTCCAATTGAAATGCCTTATACCGTGGCCCCAGCACCTGGCACTTCGGACAAGGCCTTGGTCTGCCCATATGCTGCTCACTACTCAGCCTATAGATGCAATCGCTACAGAACCCGCTGATACACTCGGTGCACGCATAGCTGTCTTTCAGCACGCTCAGTCTTCTACAACCCGCACAGTATATCTGCACCGGCTGGCTATAAAACGTTGGTGAAGTGGTATCCGAGGAGTTTGACAAACCTGCAGAAGGTATGTGAAAATTGCGGCCGGATGATTGAGTTGAGGTGGAGGAGTCGAGCGATGTCTCGACTGAGGGAAATAGCCTGGGACCGGTGAAGGAGTGTGAGGATGGTGGCGTGAGGGCCCTATGGAGCGGCGATGCTTTGTAAGATTGGTTGTTGTGGGACACGCTGGAGAAGGGCGGCATGGAGGCGCGTTTAACTGAGGAGGGCGACTGCGGTATCTGTTGTAGGGTGAGTGGGCGGAAAGGAGGGACAATGTTGATCTGCCGGAAGGTCTTACAGGCGTCATGTCTCGATCAGAGTCTGCTTCTGTAGCGGAAGTTGCTGCATCAATCAAATCTTCCCACCTCTTGCCCATTGCGGCCGCTGCTGCCGCACCTGGCGGTTCTGCAGAAAATGCTTTCCTTCCCTCTATGCTTAATCTCCTCGAATAATCCTTTGATTTCGTCTTTTCGTGCTTGGGCTTCCGGCTGTTCTGGGTTATCGAAGACTTTCGAGGCCTATTGGCTTTTTCTTTTCTTTGTATGGAGTCTTTCCTTTGCAGGGGAGGTAGGGTGGAGGAGCGTCCAGGCGGTGAATGTGCCATCATTGAAGGAAGCAACTCTCTGGGTCTTGGCGAGTGGAATGGATGTATCAATTGCTGGTTGAGATGGTTTTGGATGGGAGGAAGTTCAATCGAAGGACGCATTGGTGGTTGACCCGCTTCATTCTCGGAGGCGTAGTCCTGCAGGGCGACCGTCAGTTGCCATTCGAGGTCTCAATGGAGGTTCAACTGCTCCGAAGAGACTACTCACAGCCTCCGAACCCCACTCTGAGTGCGGTTGATGGCTGTGAAGCTGCGCTAGGGCAACGGCGGCTGTAGCTGCAGCTGGGTATTGGTCTTCCAACGTTCGAGGAGGTGCGGGAGAGCTTCGCATGATGTATGCATCTCTATCGTGACCATAGACTGAACCATCAGCATCGGACCTTACTTGCCGGGGTTACTAGCATACCTGAATTGCCGAATGGCTGGGTCGGTGGAGGTGGAGGTGGAGGTGGAGGTGGAGGCGGTTGTGGGCGCTCCGACGGCGGGGTGTTGATCATGAGCTGGAAGCTCTCTTCGGTCGCAGGTAGCTTTGCAATATAGTGTTCCGGGTGTGCCCTTCGTATGTGCTCTTGCATCGACCGATACCGCTTCTCCTATAGATCAATTGGTGGTCAGCTTTCGTTGAGTCCAAGCTGAGTGAAATTCGCCCATTGTTTACGAGTCGCAAAGCTTACTCCCAGGCATCTTTTCCGACAGTTCGACCCATCATGGTTTCTCAATGGACAGACAACCTCGTTATTGACATCAGATGCCGGGAAAGAGCTTGTAAAGGAAGTCTTCGGTGGCATGCCTGGCGGCTGTGGATCTAACGATCGTTTGTCTGCAGGCAAGCGTGTTCAGCGAGGATCAGCTTCCAGGTATTTATTATATGGTAAGAATGCTGCTTGTTAAAGACTAATTGGCGTTAAGGACAGACGAAAAGTATGTAGAGTAAGGTAAGCTTGAAGCTGCGATTGAGGGAAGGAGTGAGTGGCATGTTAGCATCTTGTGGGAAGCTTGGAACGGCATGTGGTGGTTGGTGGGGACTAGTAGCTTTATCGATAGCCTCTGTGAGGGGCATTTTTGTCCTTAGACTTTTAGGTACTTAGAGCTAAGCACCCTTGTAGATCGACACCCTGGTAATATTGAATACCTAGGTATTAATGGCTGGAAAGGAAAGCTTGCATAAATATTGCATCACGTGTACTAGTACCGGGTAGTGCGGAGTAGCTCTTTGACATTCAATGCTTGGAATCAATATTTAATGTTTTTTCTTCCTTTCTTTTTTCTTCGATCCATGTACTGACTACACTTTTGAGTTGCATTGCATTGTGCATGAATTATAACACATTCAATAGAGTAGAGATGGTATACCTGAACGCCAAGCGCTAAATAGTTGCAAAACATCTACCTTTCGACTCTCAGATCACCTCTTCTCTGTTCCAACCTGTTGGTTTGATATTCTCGATTCCCTTAGATGGATGTGGTCGGACCGGGTCCTCGTACTCGCTGACGAAAGGATTCGGGTCATTCTTTTGCTCGAGGTTGCCCAGGGTATGGTTGACCTCCCTATGCTTGGCCTCGTCGGCCCGAATGTACAACAGCAGATCTCGCATCGTTCGATGACCCTCCGGCATGTTCCAGTATCTGACAGCGATCTCTGGTGCCTCAAGCTGCTGCCATTTGGGAAGCCTTCCGGCCTCAATATCATGAATTGCACGGGTGTATGTCAGGACCGCTTCCTCCTCCAGGTACCCGACGAACCGGTGGCATGCCCGAGGGAAGAACAAGTAGCTCATGAAGAACATGTTATAGAAGACGCCTTGCGCACCGATGATCATTGTCTTCATGAATCGGCCTGGTTCGGCCATCTTCATGAACGTTAAAAGGTGCATGCGTTCGTTGTAGGCTTCTTCTAGGAGGGTTTCAATCCTATTACCATCGTCAGTCAGCCACAGTCTAGAAGAATGACCAGCTGATGCTTACCATCCGTTGTCTCTTTTCAACCGCCGTAGGCTGTGCAGATGCCGTACCGAGCCAGCAACCATGCCGGGGACTCCAGCGACGCTTTCGAGGAAGAGGAACCTGATGAGCCATTTCCGCTCGGTCATTGGTGATGGACCAAACCAGCTCTTGACTTTGCTGAGCCCGAGCCAACTGCCCATCTTCTTGGCCTCTTCGGTCGGATGACTATAGCCTGTGGCGGTGTCCATACCAAATCGCAACAGGCTCACCATAGACAACGCCCAAACGTCGGACCAGGTCTTCTTCTCGCGGTGGGCTACTTGAATAGCATTCATCTGTTGTTCCGTGTAACTGGCTCGATGTTAGTTGTATGGGTACGTTGCGTTGACGACACAAGGGTTCCTTGGTATTGCCAACAACATATGGTGGGTACTTACACCGGGTGGTGCCATGCTGGACGGGTGATTTTAATATTCTTGGTGTCGGCTGGAGGAAAATACTTCTCCTTGAACTGTGTCCGAGGAGTGGTGGTAAAGTGTCGTTTCGATGGCCGCCCAGGGCGCTGGACCAGGCAATAGTTCGCACAGGGTCTGAAGCACGTAAAGCCTGATCCATCGACGAGGGTATGGACGGCGTGTGAGAGTTGTGCTGCAGCTCCTTTGTTGACAAGGACTGTTGTTGTGGGTTTTGCATTTGCATACATATGTGATGCAGGTACCGGTATCAATATAGGTTATGAGGATATCTCAAGAGGTTCGATTTAAGAGTATATGTTGAGGGTTGTTTAATGAAGAATAGGTAGTATGTATGAGTGAGCTAGATAGTAGGAGAACAAAGCAAACAAGGGTTTGCCGCTTATGTATGATTCACCTCCCCGAGCAATATTCGCAACAGCTCCACAAAACAAAGGCATCTGTCACGCGCTAGGGCATTACTTCATTAAAGTAAGGCCCTGATGTGTAAGCGGGAAAAACCGTTTCGCCGACGTGTGCTATACGAGATTGCCCAATGAAATAGAAAGGAAATAGGCATACCGTAGCAATAGAGTACGAGCTCCGCCACTCTTGATATCGACATATTCCGAACCTCGCGAGGACCGAACGGATTTTCCGTGGCTCCGACTTTGGCTTGGCATTGTCAGGACCGGGAGAAATCGGATTCGACCCCTTTCACTTTCAGCATGCGAAGGCACCACCACTGAAGTTGCAATCAGCCTCGTGACCCTCACCAAGTTGACGGATTATTGAATACAAGGCAATCTGGAGTGAAAGTCATCTTGATGCAAAGGAACAGAGGATCGAAGAGCCCGTCGACAGTTTGATGCATGTCGTTGCCGAGGTTTAACCATTTTTTTAGTCTACATCATTCCCGCTGAACATACTCAGCGAAACCTTATCAAAGCTGGCTTCAGGCCGCCGGAATGCCTCAGATCGAAGTGCTTGCAAACTCGACTTCGATTAGGGCGCCAGGCTACACTCTGGTCCCTGACCATGGACAAGGCACCGTTCAAGCAGCCGTACAGCCAACAGTCGGTCGGAATAAACGCGGTACCAGATTCGCAGGAACCGCTGGCGCAGATACCACGGTCGCTCAACAGAATGCTGTCCTGAAGCACTTGACCGACCTGGACAAAGACAGTCAAAGGGATGTCCAGATCGTTGTGCCATCAAAGCAGAGGGAGAGCGCGGGGAAAGGTTGAATGAACATTGGATACTTTTATTGGTGGGACTGGGAGGTTTCTGACTGGGCAAGCAGTACAGAAGAAGACCACGACGAATGTCCGCCGCATACTCATGTCCCAAAAGACGTTTGCCAACCATCTTGCCGATGAGGAGGCATTCCTTGCCCTACAACAGCAGCATCCATCCTCTGCCGCCCCTCGGGTACCAGCTCTGAAACCTTCCAGATCTACGCCGAACATGAAACGCTCTTCGACGTCAGAAGTGCAGTCCACAAATGGGGGACCCTCGCAAACAGGCACTGTACGTGCTGGTGGAATTGTCAACTCACGAGCCAAAGATCCTCTGGACGATGAGCCGTTGCTCAAATCTCAGGTGCCCTCCGCGCCGTCAGACGAAGTAATGGAGGCCCTTCTTTCAGGTCCTGCGCTATCCTACAATGCCGCCCGCGCAGCGCCTCCGCCTCCGGGGAAACCTCAAAGACACTTCTGCGAAATCTGTGGATATTGGGGCACCATCAAATGCATGAAGTGTGGAGCTAGGGTGTGTGGACTAGAATGCAAAGGCGCGCATGACGATGGACGATGCCTCAAATTCTACGCCTAAGGGCTTGACGGTAAGCTCTCGAAAGGGCCGAAGATTGCTCTACGAGTAAATAAGAGCCGAGGGAATGGGTAGGAAAAGAATGGGTCAAAAATCATGATTAGAGGGAGACCTCGTAAATATGAAGTCTCACTGCGTCAATATTGCAGGCAGGCAAGATCTCAAGAAAAGTGACAGTACCTACTTTTAAAACACAATGAGTTCAACCAAGGAAGAGGCTTTTTTTGCGGTTTCGGGCTCAATATGTATTGTTTCCCGTCTGGGAACAGCTTCTATAGGAGAGAGTAGCAAAAGTCATGCATAGAGAGAAACTCAATTCACAGCAAGAGCAAGCTCCCCTTCTTTTCATTTACGCATATCTGGATGGATATTAATTGGAATAAACTGGCTGTTTCAATTCGAGAATGTTGAATAGAGAGGATTAACTGCACCAAAGCATTCCATTCGCAGATAAAATAACGGTCTTCTGCAGAGAACTCCGTCAAAGCGACAAGAGAGGGTGCCATCACTGACGCCTGGGCAGCCTGTGGATCCCGTTGCGGCGTCTCCTCACCATCCCAAAACCTTTGTTTCACGACAAGTATATAAAACCCCAGAGTTGATACGTCCCTCGGGCACCAAACAGCTCACGTCATGTCCACGCCGAGTCCGATGGCAACTCCGAGCATCGAGCTAGCCACTAACGGTTATGTGATCAGCATGGCCTCAGGAAGCTGATGGGGTCCGAGTCTTGTGAGAGTGTAGACGATGCGTAGTCACTCGCTATGACATGGGAACCTGACGAGTGTAGGTTCTACAAGTCGGAGCCTGTACCAAAGAGACGCGAGGGTATCGCGGCAGGATTTGTTGCAGCAGGCACAGGAAAAGCCCGTTCTCTACCGTAAGTTCCTCTTGGTCTGGGCTCGATATGTTTTCTGATCCGGGTCAGACCAATTGGTGGAAAGCGTAGTGTCGTTCGAGTCCCTTAAACTCCCTCGTCACCGGATCTTCAGAGGATTTGCGGGTCATATACTGGACAAAGTGCCAGTACGCCCAGAAGAGTTGGGGTTCCTCGAGCAAAGCGCCGATCTCGTCGCCCTTGTCGAACGGAAGGAGCGAGCGAGGGAGGTTGGTTGAGAGAACCGTGTCTTGGCATTTGCCAATCAACGTACTTGGCCTCGACATTATCCAAGTTTGTCACTGTGCGAGCTCCAGCTTACTTGACATTAGACTGTTTCTGACTAATTCCAAAGACCCTAGAGCCGACGAGCGGTTCGTTTCTTTATTTAGAACCTACCGAGTCGACACCACTGTATAAGTTTCCCTCGCCATCCTGACCGTCAGTATTTTGATGCTTCCAACGACAAATGACGTTCGTTCTCCAGGGCCATGACACCATCAAAATTGGCCTCATCATCTGCTCGACGCTGGTTTCAGCTCCGCTTTCAGTATTCTTCACAAAAGCGTACGCTTTCCCGACATCTGCTCCAAGAATTTATCGAGTTGAGAGCAGACAACATTGGATGGAATCGGTAAAAGATATGAGATGTATGCCGCTACGGCTGCCTACGTCTCGTGTGTGAGTTTTGAAGTTACCCTCAGCGTAGCAAGAGTATGGTCCCAAGAGCCATGTTGAAAATGTCTCGCAACCTACCTCGAGCATCGGCATGCACAAGCCAGTAGGCAGCAACCTTAGGCATTCTCCCAGACAAGGTGACAGTTGTAAGCAAACGAAACCTTGAATCATCGTCCTTTTCGGCGAAGGGAAACTCAGGTATCCCTTTGTTCTACACCCCTTGGGGTGAACAGTCAACTTATCCTGGTTGATTCCCACGAGAGTGTGCCGGAATGGAAAGAAAGAAGCCTTCTAGAATTTCCCTTTCAATTTTCGCCCGTCTCATCCCCCTCCATGCACGACTTTTGCTTGATCCTGCTTCCAAATTGCGGCGGAAATTTCCACTTGAACCCTTCGGTCTTGGCGTCACGTGCTACCGCGTCCATTTGCCACACGTGAGGACATCCCCGCTCCTTCGGCACTTCCGCTCAACCAAAACCCACTCTTCACATGTTTCCTTGCACTCACCCATCCTATCTAAAAAGCTCCACCCTCTCGCCACGATGCCAATCGGTATCCAACGCCTCAACGCCCCCCGTCCCCAACCTTCCTCCCGCATAATCTTCATCAAGCCCCTCCCCGGCCCCACCTCCGCCTACGCCCTCGACTTCCTGGAACGCATCGCCGCAATCTGTCGTACGTACATTTTCGGAGCTGATCCTTCCTATGTGGTAATTGAAATTGAGTCGCAAGACATGTTCCGGGAGCAAGAAGACCTCTCTACTCCGGGGACCAGTCTTGCAATTCCATTGCCCACCTCGAAATAACCAATGCTGATTCCCGAAACCTGCGTAGACCCCGTCATGACGCACGCCCACCTCTCCGTCATGACGCTCGAAGAACACGAACCCAACCCCGAGTTCATCGGCCGGAACTTCAACGCTGGGGAGATCATCCAGCTGGTGCTCAAGGCGCCGTACACGGGTCGCTGGTTGAGCTTCAGGAGCGTGCAGATGGTGATGATGCACGAGCTGGCGCATTGCCTGCAGATGAACCACGGGAGGGACTTTTGGAAGGTGCGGAATCAGTTCGCGGGGGAATTGAGGGGGTTGTGGGCGAATGGGTACACGGGGGACGGGCTTTGGGGGAGAGGGCAGACCTTGTTGAGTGGAGAGTATCATACCGGGGGGAGGACGGAAGATGACGTGTTGCCGGCCCACGTGTGTGGTGGGACGTTTAGGAGTTCGAGGGTGGGGAAGAGGAAGAGGGGTGGAGCTGGCTCCGAGAAGAAGAAAGAGACGTATGCGGAAAGGCAGCAAAGGAGGATTAAGAAGAAGTTTGGGGTCAATGGACAAGCTTTGGGCGGGGACGAGGAGACGAAGGTGAAGTTGGAAAGGGAGAATAAGGCGAAGGGGAAGCCCAGGGTCGCGGGAAGTCTTCGCGGAAGGGAGTTGAGAGCTGCGGCGGCGTTGGCGAGATTTGAGGAGAAGAAAGAGGAGGAAAAGGAGGTTAAAGATGAAGAGTGGATGCTGAGTGGCAGTGAGACGGAGAGTGATTGCGATGACATCAAGGTTGAGGGGCAGGCCTTTGAGCTTGATGGCTCGCGGATGCGAGACGACAAGGGTCGTGGCATGGTCAAGGTCTGCGAGGTCGAGGATCAAGATGATGTTCACGTGAAGCAAGAGATCGAAGAGCTGCAGGGGTTGGAAGATCTTGGTTTGATTTCACGGACGACGGCAGTAAGAGACCGGACTACCATTGAGCGGACAGAATCTCGTGGTGCGGATAGAGCGGGAACAAGCTCGAGCCGAGCATCAGCAACGAGCGACATAGACCCTCCAGATCGAATACGCATGGAAGATATACCGCAGTACGTCGAAAGAAAGGACCGGCCAAGCGCAAGCAATACAAAAGCCGTCCGAATTAACATCCGTCCCTTGCTTCATGCTGACAAAGACACGCCCAATACCACAGCATCGTCAGCGTCCAATCCTCCAGCAACGGCACCAACGGAAACATCGGAACCTTCGGAAATGATGTGTCCAATCTGTTCCATGTCAAACGGGCTCGGCTCGCTCCTGTGCATAGCATGTAGTCATGTCTTGGACACGGGTAAGATCACAAGATACTGGCGATGCCGAAGCGATGCATGCCAAGGAAGCCAGTACATCAACGCTGCGGACTGTGGACGTTGTGGAATCTGTGGAAGTCGGAAAGATGATGGCGAGTTTTGATGATTGTGTTGGCGTCGGCGTCTGCGGAAGATACCCATCGAATCGTACTGAGACAGGATTGAGTGTTAGGCATAGCTTGCTTCTACCGAAGACGGAGCTGATTGATTCGCTTGTATGGAGATCGCTATTTCGAGCACGGCAGAAAAGATATGGCGAAGTTCATCCGGTGCACCTGTGGCCTTCTGTGACCAGAATCGAGCTATCCATCTCCTTGCTCACAACGTTGCCCGTAATGGTCCCCAATGATAGTCATCGACATCAAGAGCACTCCCAAACCAACCCTTCACTCCTCGCCTTCGCTTTCGCCTTCGCCTCCTTCAGCACAGCATCCGCGATCTTGCGGCCCTTGAGCAGATCCCAAAAGATCCGATGCGTGCGCGCTAGACTGATATACTGCACTTCGTGAGCGGTGCATGATCGGAAGAGGTCGAGTTGCCGGAGGTTGCCGCGGTAGGTGCTGGGATAACCGTTTCTCCAGGAGAGGTAGTCGTCCAGGAAGTGGTCGGCGATTTTGAGAATGAGCTCGGCCGGGAGGGACAGTAGTGTTGCCTTCTCCTTCTTCTTTGGTTCGGACTGGAGTCTGGCTTTGATTTTGGCTCTGGTTTTGGCTCTGAGTTTGCTTTTGGTTTTGGTTTTTGGAGTGGGCGTGGCCGGCGTGGTGTCTGGCTCCATGTTGGAGTATTGAGTGCGGATCCGTCGATGCTGAGGGGTTTCTGAACGGTGCCATGTTTTCGTAGCTTGTTGACAGTGTGGTCGCGGCTCAGGCGCTTATTCCGGGATATTGGAAAACAATTCGCCGACAAAGAGAGTGAATGGACGGATGGATAAGTGTCAAAGGCTCCGGGTTATAAGGGGGCAATGCCATCCTGGAGATGAGACACGACCAAACATCTAACGCGCTGTAACATATGTTTGCTGGCCTTGTGGAAGCATGAGCGGTCCATGATTCATGAGACACAGTCTCATTCCAATAGCCCGCAAAGATCAAAAGTAACCGGCTTGTCTTCAGGCTGCTTGACTAATCTCTGTGTGATCAACAATGAATAGAGGTACGGATGGGCTTTACACAAAGCTAAGTATGGCCATAGATACAGCTGGTTCTTCCTAAGATATTTGCTCAGATATCGGCATTGGTTCGATTGCCAGAATAGAAAGTCGTCGAGGTGATAGCTCGCAATCTGCAGGAGAAGCTCCGGTGGTAAAGATAGCAGGCCTAGCTTTGGTTCCTTCGAGATCGGCATACTCATCGTGATTGATTTACGGAAACGATTGTGGTGGGAACGACAGCAAGTGGGTTTTCGATTTGGGCTTTAACCGACTGGAGGATCTGGTATGGGAGAGAATGAACGATATGCAGGCGATCTGCTAAAGAAAAGTTGTAGTTGTAGCTGTACTAGCCCCAAAAAGATAGGCTTATGACTACTACGGGGGGCAGGTTTTCTCTTTGCCGAAAGCTCTGGCTGAGCTAAGTTCATATGATAATAACGGGATATTTGGGCTTGATGCTTATGAGTCGTGTTAAAGTTGAAAGATCAGGCGCTCAACATTGCTACTTTCTTTGCACAGCTTGGCCGGAATCGAGGGGAAGAGGTGAGGTTACTAGCGGCTTGGCGTCTATCATGTGTGCCCTGGTAAGAGGTTCGAGCAAAAGTCATGCAAAGAATATCAATCAAACCAGATTGACTATTTATCTTCAATAGTCCGTAATCCAAGAGAACTTGATATAAAAAATGTAACATCCCTCCCCTTCACTTAGGTAGATAATACTTAAAGTTCGGTCTGACAGCGCACCTCTTGAGACTTAGACATTTTAGGAATGCCTCTAAGCATGACATTTGCTACGTTCATTTCTTACCCGTAGGCGAATCGACACCAAACACTGGGTCAATCAGAAGAAACAGAACTTGTGAAAAAGGGGGCGACCGCGCACCAGTAACGGATTCGAGACTCATATACAGGACTCATGCATTTCCGCATCGTGGACCGTGCCAGATACCTGACCTGCGAGAGGAGCAGCGGTCCGATCTGGCCGGATAGGTGTGGGAGAAGAAACAGCGGATGATGTGGTAGGGAGACGCGAATGCTTTGTAAATATGCAACGCCTCCGAAGAAGAAAATGAAAGTGCAAGGCCAGATGATATCGGAACCATTCACAGGCCCGCTTGCTGCCCCTTTGAGAGTACAGAATGAAGACGTGATCGCTGCGAAGACATCTCGTGGGCTGCTAACCGTGGCGACATGGAACGTTCAATCCCGAAGAGTAGCTTTTCCTGTAGTCTCTAGCAAGCCGGAGTGAGTCGCGAAAAGGTAGATGACGGTTGACGGCCCTTATTTCGGAGTAAGCATTCCCATTCGTTAAAAAATCTCTGAGTAGAGGGACATATTTGGGGAGTAGAGAGGGTGCTAGATTGGATAAGTTGTTCCCCCAACATGTCTCGCGGCTCAAGAACCAGTTTCGAACAAGAAGAGACCACTCCGAAAAGTGCCTTACCCTACGCAGATTTCGGAGTCAGCATCGTTTTTCTTAGTTGACAAAACGAGGAAAGAGACACGTTTGAGGTAGAAAGAATCTTCCGGTGCGGTAACATGGCGTTTCGCCTGATTAAGAAGACAACTCTGGAGAATAATATAGCTTTCTGCTCTCGAAACATGGAGTGTGACCCCAACTTGCTACCGAGTAGAAAAGATTTACTCCGAGAGCTACCTATTCAACCTCCAGCAGCATCCCTCTTTTTCTCGTTTATCCTCTTCGCCATCTTTTTCCCAACCTCGTAACTACTGATCATGATAGCACACGCCGGCGCCACTTTCAGCATCCTCGGCACCCAGCCTCTGAACAGGCCCGCCATCCCCTCCTCTTTCCAGATATGGTAGATGAAACGCGGCATCGCCTGCTCTTCTGGTCTTAGCGCTGTTGAAGCTTCTCTTCCAATTTCCTTTGCGGGCTCATGGTGGAGCACTTGCTGTCGAGTTTTCCCGACATCGAAAGGTGTTGTGATAACAGAGGCTATAGCTCCCGAGAGGGCTCCGGCGATGAAGCTGTCCACGAATGTCGAGGTGTGATTACCACTGTCTCTTGTTTTCGATCTCGGTCTCGTCCGCGAGTGCGGAGGATCTCGCATGTCTGCCAATCTATTCCGTACAGCTTCGTAACCCCACCAGTATATTCCACTAAACGGCACATCCCGCCACATCGTCAACGTTAATCCTCGCCAAAGTGATGTGTATCCCTGGGAATGCACCATGGTCCGCAGTCCCGTGAGCGTTTCGGCGAACACACCTGTTCCGCTGCCAGATGTAGTGGCCTGCATTCGCGTTCGGAACATCTCGATAGGGCTTATGACACTTGCGGCTGCAACTCGTGCTATCGATCCAGCGATAAGAGGGGCGTAAGCATCTGGGATGTAATTGTGTACCGGGCTGTGAGGATTTGAACGGAGAGAATCGTAGCCGGTGAAGTAAATGACATTTGCGGGTATGGACATGACGAGGGTAGGGGAAAGACCTCTCCAGAGAGAAGTAGGCCCTTCATGGCGGGCAATCTTGCGGAGCCCATCGAGAGTGGAGGTGAAGTTCTTGCGGCGAGTCTCGTCGACCGCGCAGTCGGCGGCTGGAGATGCTGTTGAGGATAAGGATGGATTGAGAGTTGCGAGGGTGGCGGTTGGAGAGGGGTTGGCGGCTATGCAGAAAGGCGAGGTATTGTTCACCCAGAAGACTTCGCGGCAGCAGGCTGTGACGCCAATATTTGGAGGCAGATTTGTGAAATTCGAGGAGGGTTTAGAGATAGGAAGGTTCGAGGTCTGGGATTGAGATTGCAAGCGTACTCGGACGACATCTAGAGGTGTGACTATTGAAGAGATACGTTAGTAGAGAAGACATACTTCGGTGTTGAAGGACGGAGGTACCAAGGAGAGATGTCAGGAGACTGCCGGATACCGCAGAGAGCATCTTCTGTCCGGCAGATATATCCATCACCACCTCGGGCTCGCCGGAGTCATTCATTGTCACCGAGTTGCTTCTTGATGCCGCGCCTTTTGATGATATGTTGTGCCTCTGCCCCGGAGGTTGTTCCGAATTTCCATGACTTGGGGTGGCAATCTGGTGTTCGTCTGTGCGTGCTGGCTCTGATATGAAGCCTGACATTCAAGATGTCGGATATCAATGGACAAGCTGGACTTGAGATGTCAGTGAAAAGTTATTAATGAGTTGTGTCTGATGTGTGAGTAGCAGCTGTCAGAACGCGAATGATGTAAATGGACCGCATCATCCATGTTTTTTTTGCCCAGGGCCTGTAAGGCTGTACCGGAGACGGAGACGCTAGTACTTAAACTCCGACCTGCAAACCGTCCTCTAGGGCGCGCCTAATGAGTGTCGGGCCCGTCGTTACACTAGTGTACCTTACTTGTACCGGTACCGTATACGGTATGTCCAGCCGCACAGGGCAGCAACTTTATAGACCACCTAAAGGTAGGTAAGCTAGTCCTCCTAATCCTAGTGCTAGACTCTGCCAGCCGTGCAGTCCTTGATAAGGAGCTCCTAGCCTCCCACGTCCTCCTCTCCATGTTTTCACGTCCTTGCTGCTCTCTGCTATTATTGCCTTGAAAGGAGTCCATCAGCGCAAACCGCGCAGTCACTCGCTCACACCGCCATCCATCATGTTTCCTCGAATCGAGCTACCCAGGGACCGAGTCTCCAAAAAGCCCTCACCATACCCGACCCTCGCATTCCACCTCCTACGACTGGGCCAGTTGCTCTCCTCCATCATCGTCTCCAGCGTTCTGCTCTTCTTCATCCATCATCTCCACAAGGAAAAATACTACATTCCCTGGACCTTCATCCTCGTACGCGATATCCATTCCTTTTCCCTCCACTTTGCGATGTCTAGCCTTGTACTGATTGGGAACTACAGCTTCTTACTGTCTCCCTCTTGACTACAATCGCCCTCATAGCAACTACCATCTTACATTTCACCCTCACCCTAAATCCGAAACACAATCTCCTCTCCAATCTCTCTCTTCTCATCCTCTGGGTCCTCGGGCTCTCGCTCCTCTCCTGGAACCTTGGCTGGACCCTCGGCCACCGCTGCACCTCAGTCACCTGGCACAACGACTCCGGCATCATGGTCTGCCGTCTCTACAAAGCCCTCACCGCCTTCACCGTTACGGGCCTTGTGTCCACGCTTTTGGCATTGGCGCTCGATCTCCGTGTTCAGAAAAATTCTACGCAGTTGGGAAGTTACAATCAGATGCTTGACGTCAAGGGGCCGACGGATCTGAGGTCGAGTAGTCCGTTTCACGGAGGCGCGGAGGGATTTGAGCCGGCGCATAGGAGGGAGAGCAGTCCTTATCACACCGGTGCTTTGGAGGCGACTTATGATGATCAGAGAAGGGACCCGAGTCCGTACGAGTCAGAGGGGATTGAGACGGCGTACTCACATCGGAGGGACCCGAGTCATGACGCGGCTCGGCCGTACAAGGTACAGAAGCCTATCGAGGCCCAGCAATTTGGGTATAGTGCTCCAAGTGAGCAGACAAGCTATGGGGGAGGGGGAGGGGGAGGGACGGGGTGGTTGTAGGATATTGTGAATGGATTCGAAGAGCCCTTGTTGTTCCATCTGTATCTTTCACTTCTCCACGCCGCAGTAATTAGGAAATATGAGGGTGGAATATAAGAGGATCGAGAAAAATTCACGCATAGAGGGCGAAACCCAGTCCTACAGTTGCTAGAAAATATCGACAGTCTTCACGAATTCTTCCTAGCAAGGGAGTAAATCGTAGAAGTCGTACAACCCAGGCGTATGGCCAGAGAAAGGGAATTATTTCCACAAACTCTCCCTAAAAACTGTTGTGAATTGAAGATCCTTGACTGAAAAAAGTCGATGTATTTCAATCGATATCTACAAAAACCTGTGTAAATGGAAAGAAAGAGAAATTTCTCCTGTGGTGAATTGAAGTTCTCTATGCATGACTTTTGCTACATTCTTTTACAATGATTGGGCCATTCAGATTGCATCTGAGCTTCAATTAGTGGGAATCTGATGGAGCATCTATACTGATAGCATGAGCAAAGCCGATGCTACTTAAGTCTGACGTACCCAAGCTCGTTTGTCCTTCATATCTTCTGCTGATCGCCTATTACTTTGTTTTTGCGCCGTATCGTACGATTCCATGCAACGCAACATCAAGAGCCGTCAGCACTTGATAGGCTCTTGACCCATTGCCCACAGAAAGACGTTACGACCCCACCGTCCGCTGAGCCGCTTGAAGCGGCGCATTGACGACTCGTTCTCCAATGTCCTCCGCCCTCACAATTCCACCTCCGCGAATACCAGGAAAGACTGGATTCCCACCCATCTCAAGGCGCCTCACTAGCTCTTTGTTTTCCTCATTCCCCTCCAACAAGAATCTCAAACACATGACCGCGTGCTCTCTAATATACGGATTGTTGCCATCGTATGTGCAGCAAGCTACCACCATCTCGACCCCGCCATACTGCCTGATCTGGTCCTGCACCGTGCGACTCTTCCATACCAGAGAGGAAAGAACAAGTATGACGAGCTTCTTGAGGTTGCGCCACTCAAAGTCAGATGGGTCGGCAGCGTCGAGAGCGTCTTGGTCTTGACTGTCGGTTTGGGACAAGGGAGACGGAGCTGGCATCGGCCCATCCGTTGGCATCGGTATGCCGGCAACATCGTTAACGTCGAAAGGGCGCTCGACTGCCACTGGATTGGCTGAATCGACAGATGGTTGGGCCGGCTGCGGTGGCTGCTGCTGCGTTTGCTGCGCTTGCTGCTTTGCTGCTTGTTGTGCGTCTGCTGTCGTTTGAGGCAGAGGGGTCGTAGTTACGTCAGCGTGGGGAATGCTGCCTTCGAGTTCGCGGAGCAAGGTTACGAGTTCTGATACAATCTCCCAATTCACAAGTAGGTCTTTCCATTCTTCGCTCTCGGTAAGAACAGCAAAGAATTCGAGGAATTGGTAAACGCCTTCGTAGACACGTTCCATGTCCCAGAGGTTCAAAGGAAAGTCCTCTGGCATTGCGTGCTTTTGTTTGATTTCGCCCTGGAGATAGATCAAAGCACAGGTTTCCGGAATTATGCATTGGCGAAAGATGGTGAAGATGTACTTCACGACGTAGACGTCAACTCGGCGAGAAGTATCTGCATGTGCATTGCCGGCTGTCCAGGTTGCTTTTCCAGTCGTAGGAGGCAGACCCTGCTTGCCACGAAAAATCTGCGTGAGGATCTTGATGACCATACTCTGAGCCGGCGACACGATATCCTTGACTTCGGCGAAAGTCTGATAGGCGTACGGCATGAGTCCGTTTTCCAGTATGGCCTCCATGATTTGCATCATAAGCTTGAAATACATCTCGTCATCCTGGAGATCCCAAGCAGCAATGAAGATGAGCAATTCTCTAAGGAGATTCCGACCAGATTCACCAGCGAGAAGGATGTTGCATCTCATGCCTTGCATATCCCTACCGTGCATGACCACGTCCCGTGCAGCGCAGATCCCTATTTGGATAATCATAGGTAAGGCCTCAATTTCTTGGGGGCCCAGAACCAAGGGAATATCTGTCAGTAGTCCACGTTCTTGGTCTCCAGGCTCACCGGGGCTTTTATAGCCTTCATCGTCATCGCTCAAGGGCGCGCCATGGCTGTTGGGATCTCCGCCGTCCGGGAATGTCATTAGGTCTTGCTCCTCGTCATTTATGACACCAGTAGCTGTGTCAGCTAGTCGAGCCATCAATTGGTCCTTTGCGGTTTGCAGAGTAATCGCGGCTGACTGAGGTGTTTTCAGTGCCCCAAATTCATCTTCGCGGTCAGTCTGGGCTGCTCCAAACTGGGTGTCGGTACTCTTGTCTGCGATCGGAGTATCATTGGCAAATTCCTCATTTGGCTGGGTTTCCCTTGAATGCTCGGTTTGGGCCTTTTCCGTTTTATGCGCGATCGACAGGTCATTAATGGAACCCTCACTTGATAAAGCCGCGCCTGAAGCCAGGTCTTCACTCTTTTTGCTCTCCTCTTGAATATGAACGCCTCTGCTCAAGTCCGCTTCAGGGTCACTAATGGACAGATGATCTATAGAGTTCAGAGGGTTCGTATTGTCATCATGACGCCCAGCTCTGTCTGTAAGGCCGTTTGCTGTTGCTGTGGTGTCGGATGTCCCATTGGTGTTGCCCACTGGTTCATCAGTTGCCGACAAGTCAGAGCCTTGCTCAGGCATTTCCTTCGCCTCCTCCGCACCGTGATTCTTAGTACCACCAAGCCTGGCAGCAAAATGGTCTCGACCCATACCAGCAGGTAAGGCACCAGCAGCGTACTGATTTGCAACCTTGGAACTTGCAAAGAGATCTAGCCATAACAAAAGCTTACGCTGTTCGTTCTCCTGGATAAAGTTGTAGAGGAATTGCAGGCATGTGATGAGAAGCTTTTTATCTGAAAGCGTAGATACCAAGTCAGTCACAGGCCATGATGATATGGAATCAGAAGCTGTCCGTCGACTTACATGCACCAATGACGTTTCCCCACTGTATCTCTGTACGACTGCCGGTATCCCCATCGTAGCCCCTGGCCGTAACACGGACGCAAAGATCGATAAGTTTCTGGACTTGCTGATCGAGTAGGCTTTCCCCTGCAAGATTCTGAGCCTTTGTGACAGTCGCCAGACAGTTCCGAGCAACCAGCAGAATATCATTCAAGCGGTCAAGATCTTTCATCAAGGTATCGTGATTCAGCGCCATCAATGCTGAGAACGAGCCACTCGCCCCAGTTTGAGGGTCAATGGGAGCGAGAGATTGCGCTTCTAAGACAGGAATGGCAAGCGTAAACACATGATGAATGTCCTTCCAATTGTCCGGATTGATCCCAAGAAGTGTCCTGACCTTCTCATCGTTGTTTGTTCGACGGACAAGGATCTTGCAGGACTTCAATGTATCTTCCCAGACGACATCGTTCAAGGTCTTGCGGTTCCTGAAAAGAGCCTGGGTACAGCTGCAAACCATGTACAAACACACCTCTTCGGCTTCTTTCCCAAACTTGGACCTGAAAGAGCTTGGTACAGGCATGATGAGTTCTTCGTCAACTTCAACAATCCTGTCAACACTCTGGATATATTCGGAGGAGAGCCCTGAGATGAATGCAATGTGATCTTCAAGGATTGAGTTATGGCAAGGTTCTTCGTATGGGGCAAGAGGTTTGCAAGGGGTTTCGAAGGGTTGATATCGACGAAGCTTGCTGCAGCGGTGTCCTAGTAGAATGAGAACAGGAAGCGGAAGATTTTTGACCCAGCCTTCGGGGTCGACGTCGTTAAGTCTGGGGAACTTAGTGGGCTTGTAGTCTTTCTCTTCCCTTGGAAGCGCTTTCTTTGCCTTTGCTGAGCGGAGCAAATCCTCACGGTCCTCCCTTATTTCGCTGAGAGAAAAGACGAGAGCATCTTCAAGAAGCTTGTGTTGATCTGGATAATTGGTCTGCAGTCCATTGATGAAGCGTCCCACTATGAATCTCCTTGTGCATGGGTCTATTCCATTTGTGCGAAGCTCTTGAAGTTCGCTGGGATAAATGATTGGTTCCAAAGTCAGGATTGGTGGGATAACGTCTGTGGAGGCCTCGGCCGGTAAATTGTCGGCAGCCGACTGTCCGGGTCTAGCTGCTTTTGATTGACACATATTTCGATGAACTATGAAAGGTGTCAAAATCATCTTGTTGTATGCTGATGGTTGTTGTTGACCACGAGTTGGCACAACAAAAGTCGCTTAAGTACATGAATTTGGATGCCGAGAAATATGTCGTTTGTCGGATTGTGTGAGTGTTTCCGGGCATCAAGCCGGCTACGATATACAATCTACAGCCTCAAAGTCTTGACCTTCTCACAGGTGTAGAACAGCAGTAGTATATCCAAACTATACACTATATAAGAGTGTGCAGAGCTGTCCTGCCTTTGACACAGAATGTTCGAAGTTGATGTTCCTTTTGGTGACTTAGATCTGCATATCTTAATTTAGAAGCATGCAGTTGTCTTACATATTCTCACTTCGTCTTGCTTCGTCTTGTATCTCTCTTGTTGAATCTACAATTTTTGTTCTCCTATATTCTCTATCTCATCTTTTTTCTCCCTATAAGCTCGCTAAAGAAGCACTCATCATGGCCTTTGTCTACATCAATGGTTATCCAGGTGTTGGGAAGTTAACAGTAGCAAAGGAACTCTGGCATGTTCGCCTTCAGCGCTAGTCACGATCTTCCTTTGACTAATCTTGCTTCAGGAGACTTATACCATCATCGAAAGTCGTCGACAATCATAGCCTCATTGATCCGGTAGCCAAGAAGTACGAAAGATGGATGCCTGAATATTACCCTATGAGGAAGGAGGTGGTGAGTCACCCTTGGGATTCCCTTTCCTATAGTCTTTCCGTCTGACGTTAACCCATGTTGTAGCGCAGCTCAGCTCTGAACGAAGCGATTGCGTCCACACCAGATGTCACATACATCTTCACGGACTCGCAGTCATCCGATGAAATCGGCTCAGTTACAGCACGAGAGTACGAAGCCTCGGCAAAGAAGAGAGATTGTCCGTTCGTATCAATCATCCTCTCTTGCCATCTCGAAGAAAACATGAGGCGCCTTCAGGCGGTAGGCCGGGGTGGATCAAGCAATACGAAGCTGACTGATCTTGGCATCTTTCGCATGGTTCGGGAGACAGAGGATATCTACCACTTTGGTGGCCCCATGGAATTGGACCTGGATGTCACCGAGCACTCTGCGACAGCTACTGCTAAGAAGATACATGCTTTCATTCGAGAACGTTTGTCCTCATAGAAGAACCCTGAGGTCACATAGGCGACGTTTTGTACTCTCAGGAGCAATCCCACGATGCTGGGAGCAGCAATACCGGAAACCTTATGTGTAATGGGAAGAGCATACCGAGGATAATACGACGGAGGAGCCAGGGAGAAATATAGTACCCAGCAGTCAAAGAGCAGCCAAAATCAGCTATCGTTATCAGCTGACAAATCTGGAAAATCTGCATACATTCTCATGATAGGTATGACTGAGTAGTCGTTCGCCTTGGCCCTTGTCTAGCCCGTTTTAGGCCTTTTCCACCACAATCAGACCCAACCAACCCTTCTGGCGGCCCAACTCATCCCACCCAGCATAGCACTGACTCCTGTAAAGACAATCAACCCGCCGTAACCAGTCCCGTATCCTAACATTGCATCCCCAGCCCACGGCCGCTCGCTCAGCAAGGCCTCGCTCAACGGCCCGCTCACTACGCTCCCTATCCCTCTCCCTGCGGAGAGCAGTCCGAGGACCAAGCCTGCTTCAGCACGATCGTCGACCCTCTTCACCTCTTGAATGCTACCAGTGTATGTGGAAGTGAAGCCACCTGCAAACAGACCGTAGAAAAGGCTGAAGATGCAGAGGAGAGGGAATGAGGTGGAAAAACCCCAGAGGAGGAAGACGGATAGGGTGGCACCGATGGTAGAGATGAGGATGACGGCTGGATTACAATTTCAAGGTCAATGATGCCTTTCTGAGGGGGTATATTGTGCCTTGGATCATGTCTATAGAGTAGACACTCCGAAGCCACCTTCCAGGACTTAGGATTTTGTCCAGAAGAGAACGTATGGATGCCAAGAGTACTTACTTGTGATGTGTAGTCTGTCGCTAAGAAATCCCAAAATAACCTGACTAAAAACCGAAGTCGTATTGAATAGAGATACCGTTACGGTGCCAGAAACCGAGGATAGACCCAAAGTCCGTGCGTAAGTAGGCAGGTAGATGTTCGGGATGAAGAAGCCAAGGCTCTCGAGGATGTTGCCGGTTTGAAGGATCCAGAATGTGGATGCCCTAAGAAACCCCCAATGGAGCCGCCGACTATGAGATGTTGGGGAGACTGGTAGACGGGGCTTGACGTAGTAGAGGAGGCTTGATGATTTCGGAGTCAGCATTACTCTTTCGGAGGACTTCTGGGTCGCGAGACAAGTCTTAGGAGCAGAGAACTCTTCAAACATGTCTGACGACCCATAAGACAGCATGAATGGGGAAGAATCGCCTCGGAAAGTATAACGTACAGGCCCACGAGAAGAAAGAGGATGATGGACCATGCGCGCAGCATGGTACTGAAAGAGTACTTGCTGAGACCCCAGTTCATCAAGAAGGGTATGCAAACCCCACTGAAGCCTAAGATAATCAGACGGAGTCTTGAGTTTAATGTGGATAGGAGGATGATTACCTGTGCCTGCCCACATGACACCAAAGGCAAGACCCTTGCGTGCGATGAACCACTCGTCTAGGAAGATGATTGTCGGTGTGTACAGCATGGAGCCCCCAATTGCATACAAAACGCCTTGGGTTAGAATAAGGTGCGAGACACGGGTTGCGAAGGAAGAGGCCACGAGACCAATAATCATGGTGAATAGGCCAACGACGGCACAGTGGCGGCGGCGAAGTGGAAACCGTTGAAGGAGGGCAAAGGAGAAAGGTGCACCAAGGTACATGATACCCTGAATGGAAGGATTCGATATTAGCAAGGCAGTGATATTAGGGTAACAGACTTGAGTCTATTGTGAAAAAACCATACCATTGCCGAAGTACCAATGATAGCAATGCCAGATGGTTCCGTCGAAAAGGGCGTATGCGTGCTGTAGTATTCTTGGAATACTCCGAAAGAAAAAGGGAATCCTGAGAGAAGTTTTAGCATCATAGTCACGGCTTTTTTGACATAGCTGGAGACGATGCTGGTGAGGTAGAGGCTAGCTGCCGCAATTGCATGTCACTTTAACAATCTGGCCCCAGGACCTGCCAGTGTGTAATAGGATTTGCCCTTCCAAATGGTCAATATGCAAACAGCTGAAGCTTGGCTGGGGGCAACCCAATTATCATAGAAGCCAAAGACCGTTCGAAGCGACGACGGTCAGGATGGCCAGCATTTAAGACACGGACAGAATGGTGCTAAGTATGAGCAGATGAAACGACCGCCTTCGCCGCCAGTCCGCTTGGGTATGGGCCATGATCATGACTGTTCTCTTGGAGCGTTGCAGCGAAATACAGCTGTAGCAGACAGATACACTCACCCCATGTCAAAGCTTCTATGCAGAAGCAGCCCGCTAAGAACAGCCATGCGTCTTTCCCACCATCAGCCTTTGGTAGGGAAACATGTTCGTTTTCCGCTCCATGTGGGTGTGAATGTCTGCTTTGAGCGCGCTGTAAACCATCCTCTTCGTATCCAGAGGCCAGTGCCCTGCCAACATTTGACAAAGCCAAATTCTGGTTTGAGGCCATAACGATAGCTCGAACTGCACCGCGATTGAGCTTCTTGATCCTTTTCCAACAAGCTGTGGAAAGATTGAAATCAAGAGTGCTCAGGTTCGAGTCAGCCGGTGGTAGCCGCCCGCCGGTTGCGGCTGAAGGCTAACGTCTTCATAAGTGCCCAAATAGCATTTTGCCATCTTAGGGAACGCTGTGTACTAACTTCGATCCGGGAATATGCTAAGAAAGGTGTCATACGGGGTAATGAAACACTTCTTTGAAGAGTACAGTGGCACAAGTAGGTATGGTTCCACTAGGTGTACAAGACATCCATAAAGTTGTCCCAGAAACCCAGATCATACAGGTTGTGGACTTCATGCAACCCTGAGACTCTTCTCCAGCGAACGTTCCCCGTAGCGGTATTGTTCCGAGGCCAAATTGCACGAGCTTCTGGAGGTTCCCCATCGCTAGATCTTACAAGCTGTTGCATGCTTGAGATCGGCCAGTCCACAATCGGCTCTACGTCGTCATTCCTGGGGCTATCATCGGGATTTTCAGGTGCCTTATCGGCCCTGAAGACCAGACCGTCTGCGATGTCGTCCCTCCAATCCGCCCACTTGCCGCTCTCGTTGGTCGTCATACCGGCCCAAATCAGATACATGTGGTACCAGAACAAGCCCCAAGCCAGCGGTGCAGTCATCAAGGCAAGCATCCCCACGCTGCCGATGCGCACATCATCAGCGAAAGCCAAACCCCATGATTGAGCATATTGTGACCAGCTCTTGCCTGTGCTCCAGTGCGCTCTTGCGTCAGGCCCATCTGAGCGGCGAAGTGTACTGGCTTGCAGGCTCCCATCGAGGATCATGTAAGCGAGGTAAGTACCATAAGATAGCATGGCTCCAAGGCTCGACATCAGGCCCACGAAGTAGACGTAATTTCCTTTGCCTAGGCAATTCATGACCCATATGCAATGATGGTCAGACTTCGCTACGCAGGCGTTGCAAACACTGCAATGCTTGCTCCTTGCAGGTTTCAGAAAGTGACAAGTGCGGCAGCTTTGGCCCGGCTGAAAGAGTACATGGTCGTATGGATACCTTTGCATTTCGGTTCTGAGGTTTTCTAGTGTGATCACTGATGACCTGGACCTTACTGCTTTATAAGTGAAGACGTATGGTAGAGCGCACGTCAGGATAGCCAAACCACGATGGACTTGGCTCAAGCGTGGAAACGCTGTGGGAACGAAAAGCAATTGAGACGTTGACAAGACCAAAAGGTAGAAGATCTGGCTTCTGTCAGATAAAAGACGAGGATCCATTCATGGGTTCTCGCACCAAAACCAGTGGATGATTCTCATTCATCAGGTAAGTTCCCAGCCGGTGAAAAGCAGGAGCCAATCTCCCGCCTGTAAGAACAGCATCAAGCTTCCAAAGGCCGGCTGGCAGTGTAAGGCATATGAGGCGGTTGAGTAAACCAATTGGAGTCTTTCTGGAATTACTTAGTATGCGTCCGATATACTGATATCTAAAGACATACCTTAAAGCAGGGAGGCGGCCAAAAAAGGCAACGAAAACAACAAATGAGAGAAGCAACACAGCTGCAGCGATCTTCTTGAGAAGATTCATGATATATAAAGTTAGATGTAGGAGGTATTTAGCTAGACGGAAGCCTTTCTTGATGACCTATCTACTCCAATAGAACCTATCACCGACGCTAATCATCAGAGTTGCACAATGGATCACATATTAGTGATGATGGAAAGCGATAGATTTGGCTAATTTGTCTGCATACCAAAATATATCGAGTTTGAGAGGAGACGAAGCGGTCGAGGTCGTGTGACTTCGTGACAACCAAACTGTGGCGCAAACGCGGTTGTCGCGTACCTCAAGGAGCCTCATTTCGACACACCAAACACTCGTTCACCAAGCTCCCACCACTGCTGCCATTCTCAAACACACTCACCATGGCGGAGATAGTTTTTAGCGGTGTCACTAACGACGCCGATGTGCAGGGAACACTCTTTCAAGGCATCAAGTTCTGGATCTCGCACAAAGTCCCGCAGAGATCAAGGTTCCTGAGTGATGTCAAAGTAAAGAGCAGCTGAGCGAGATCATTGTCATGATCACTTTGCTTACTTCTTCGCAGGCCAATGGCGGTGACATTCTTCCTCTGGAAAAGCATGCGAACGTCAAGATTGTAGATCATGCAAGGAAGGAAGCTCCGCCTGGATCGTATGTTGCTCCGCTGGCTACTCAAGGTCCTTCTACTCTGGGCGCAGCCTGATCTTAGCCCACACAGACACTCATATACCTTCATCGAGAAGTCAATACGCAATGGCGTTCTAGAAGATCTTGATGATCACAAGGTTGGGCCACCTGAAGGAAATATCAGGAGCATTGGGTCCATTGTGCAACCTCCGAAGGGGACGCGCAACAAATACACGGAAGCAGATGACCGTATACTTTGGAAATGGGTCAATGATCATCCTCAACAGGGGGGTGGTACAGATGGCAATGAAATCTACAAGCAGCTCGAGAAAAAGGTACGAGGAGGGCGTTGAAATTCTAGTAGGTAGTATCGCTGAGTCACAAGACAGCATCCACAGCATCCATGGCAATCTTGGAGAGATCGGTGGATAAGGCATCTTAAAGGGAGAACGGCTCCGTTTGCACTTCCTCACAATGCTCCACCAACACCACCTTTTGACATTCGCCACACAACCGAGTCCTCAAAGAATTGGGCAATTACATCGGATACCGCCACTGACGATTACCAGTCTTTCTCGGATGATGATGCCGAAGCGTTGATGGCCAACGGCGATGACATTTTGAAAATACACCCAGACAACATCAATGAGGCCTGGGAGAGCTGGACTCGAGACCACGATGTGAGCAGGAGCAAAGTCGTCGTCACATTTAATGGAAACCGCTAACACTTTGACGTTTAGAAGGGTAGTATTCACACTGCACAGCAATGGTACTTATTTTGGGAGGATAGGGTGCGGCCTAGATATTTCAGAAGAAAGGCCAAACAGACCAGAAGAGCGTCCCCCGAGAAAACTATACCTGCCAGATCCCAGATCCCTATTTCACCCCAGAGAACGGTGGCCACTCCTCCATCGGCTTTCTCGTCTTTCAAGAGAGACTACTCGCTCATGCCAGAGCTCACCCAGAAGACGATTTCCAAATTTCAGAACCCAACCTCACCTAAGAGGTCCAGGGCTGCTCTGCCATCCACTCTATCGCCCGTTTCCAAGTCATACCAATCGCTCATTGCCGAGCCCCTCAAAAAAACAGTTCCCTTTGAAGTTCGGAACCCTGTCTCACCCAAGAGATCCATGGTCGTCCCCCCCTCATCCGGATTCTCGCCTTCTGTTGAGAGAGACTATTCGCTCAACCCGGCGGCCAGAAGCCCATCTTACCATCCTGAGTCACCTACGGTGACAGCCACGGCTCCATCAATGATTCAACAAGCAAAAGACATCCTCAGCATGCATTTGCCAAGCTTGCCGTCCAAGAACGAGTGGCATACCCAAAGGACCTCTGAGAAAACCCCCTCGCCATATCATGAGACGCTCAAGAGGAAGCATGTTGCTATCGAGGAGGACCTCCCGTCAAGTTCGCCCATAGGACCAATTTCTCCGAAGCGTAGGCGGCCAAGTGCGTCAGAGTTGCCCCTGGAAATTGCGTCAACCCCCGAAAAAAGTCGAGAGCTAGACATTGAAGGTCCATTCTCTCCTCTGTTGATCAAGTTGGAGCTTGAAGAATATGAGCCTAGTCTCCCCGAAGGTTTCACCAAAAACGATAGTCTTCTTGGCCAACAGCTGTCTGACACTCTTTCCGAGCGTGGCCGTGTTGTCAACGATACACAAGCCGTATTTGGAGACGCTACCCAGCTGATCGACTTTGACATCCCTGCGCCCGAAGGAGGCTGGGACAATGATGAGCTCCCAGTCCAAAGTTCTAGCCAGCCCTTGGGTTTTGACGTCTCACCACCGGAAGACGGCAGGGAAGACAACAAGCACAGTAGCAAAGAATCTACTCAGTTGGTAGACTTCGATCTTCTGCCTCCTGAAGGCGGCTGGGCTGAGGAAGAACCCCAGGTGAAAGAAGAATTCAAAGCCTCAAACACAGAAATGTACGACGCTCAGCCTACTCTACCAGACACTCAGGCAATCCTGCGGAGCAAAACTCCAGCGCCAGATTTCTCCATCCCAGATCCCGACGGTGGCTGGAACAGCTTGATAGCCCCATCATCGCCGCTCATGCCCAACTCCCCACGCGCTGAAAGCGTGTTCTCGCAAACAGACCTCAAAGATCAAATGGATGCCTGGATCGATGCTCACGCCATCAAAGGTATATCTGTTGAGCAGGTGGAGTCAGTGCTCAAGAGTACGAGTATGGACACTACTCTCGCAGACAAGGCTTTACGACATCTGGCGAAGAAAGGAATGTTGCCGAAGGATCGGAGAGGTGTGTGGACGGAATCAGATGACGAGGACTTGAAATCAACGGATGCGAGGAAAATCCAGCGATTACAGGAGAAGCATGGCGCGGACTGCCTGACGGCGAGATGGGAGTTTCTAGACTTTTACGCAGAGGATGCATGATGATTGTGGCAGCGAATTCTCAAAGTGAGCGTCGGCGTTTGTTGTGCTCTGGACCTGGAGGGAGTGTTGCGACTGGCAACGTTCATCTGACAGTACACGTAGCAACAACGTCCTCGACACCAACGTCCTCGACACCAACATGCAAGTAATTGAAAGCGAGCGCGAGACAGTCTAGAATCGCCGTTTGCCTCGAATAGGTAGGAAACTTCCGGGACCAGATCAGATCGCCCACTGTTTTCAATCCACACATAGCACTCCTCGAACCAATTGGTTTCCGAATACTTTCAAAGTCCTCTCATATTTCCCAGGTCTCAACAGACACTCTCCCAAAACAAGGGACAATCGTGATCAGACAACCCCCCAACCAACCCATCCTCGTCGGCGAAAGGGAAATCATCTCTCCAGCTCCAAACAGCCCTGATCCCGAATCTCTCAAGATGAACAACCAACCAACCTATTCCGATCGAATTCCCCCAAAAGTGTGCCAAATTTAATTTGAAAACCCCCCCTCCAACCCCTCGGCAACACAACATGCTCCACCGTAGCCTCGACCTCCGACCTCACTATCTTCAAACCCCTCGTCCCCCCTCTACGTACAGACGCAAGAATAACCGTCGCTTAATGCCCTTGTCGAACGACAAGGCCCTATCCCGGCCAACGGAGCATCCTTTCTTCCTTCCTTCCTTCCTTCCTTCCTCTCTTTCCATCATCCCCGCCCCGCTGCTTCGGAGAGTGCCTCGAATCGATCTGAACACGACCGCCGACCGGAAAATCGTCTCCGTGTCCCACAGCAGGGCAGCATACCATATCATATCACAACCGCAGACCCGAACAGTGAGTCGGATCCACGTACGTAAAAGGGAGATCGCACGCACGCACGCACGCACGCTGCTCTCGTTGGCAAAAACGGAAACGGAAGAGAAACCCGGTAGAAGTGAGATAGATACACTAGATACCATAAAGCACAAGAATTACCCCCCCCCCCCCCCCCCCCCCCCCGTGTCCTCTATTCTCAAGCAACGAACCTTTTCCAACAGGCAACGGAGCCCGCAACGTCACCGGGGGATAGACGACTGGGACGCTGAGCGCGACCCCCTTTTGCGCGGCCGAAGCGTCGGACCCTGGGGCCCGTGTCGGCTCGGGATTGATGGCTGGCGGTTCGGCTGGGCGGGGTTTGGGAGGTGGTGGGGATACCGCGGGGGCTTTGTCGGGTTGGATTGATGGTTTGTTTTGGATGTGGTGCAGGATTAACACTGTTTTTGGTTTCATGGGGGGTTCGATGGGTGGGAGGGCGCTGTGCTTGTGGGGGGGGGGGTAAGGGGTTGCAAGTATGACTTTCTTATCTGGATGGATTTTGACCGTATGGCGAGCCTACTAGGTTGCAAGACGGATGATCGGGGATTGGTAAGGCGCTCATTCAAGCGGCCGAGTGTGGGATCCTCTTTCTCCCTTCACTCCTATATAAAGGTCCGCCATACCACTTACGACGCGGTAACGACACCGGTGCCCCCGGCCTTGATCTTCCTCGCCACACCACCGGGTCTCCGTTTGTACTTCCTGGGATCTGTTTCCACAGTCAGCGCAAGTATCTATCTCTTCCCCAGACGACCACGAGGACCACATACCTTTCCTCGACTACGCAGATTTCCGAGTTAGCATTGCTGGTTCGAGATAGGTAGTGGAGTGGCAAGACTAACCATGCGACTCTTATCGCGCGTCCCCTTGCCCCCCTCCCAAAACCCGCTCCCGGCTTTCTTAATAAGACTCGAATGACAGATACCACAATCCTCGGGTCTATAATTCTGCTCTCTCGAACAGTACCCACATATCATGCGATTGGCATGCTCATTCGGGTGATCGCTTTCGGTATCATGACATTTGTCGCAGGCAAATACTCTAGAGCAGCAACTGAAACGGAACCAGCGGTAGGATTTGCTATAGTGGGTACAGCGGCCATTTCGGGGTAGGGGTTGGCCTGCGGTAATGCCCAGGGAGTCTTTGGGCCTTTTACGGACGGGGGCTCGGTTTGCGCGGGCTGCGGCCGATATGAGGAGAAATTTCACTTCGGGGATTTTGAAGGCTGGATGCGTTTCGTCAGAAAGTCGCTATGATCAAGGCATAAAATAGGGAATCTTACTCATTTTGCGATGACACTCTCGGCAAACTGCCATGGAAGACTCGCCGCGAACCGATACTAAACCTGGCGCAGGCTGTGTGGTTGAGCATTCAGAGCAAATTGGGAGAAAGTTACTGTAACAATGTAAGTGAGGTACTAGGAAGTAAAGAGGGTAGCTATGTCACCTTGGAAGCATATCAAGCACAGTACACCCCTCGAGATCCAGGTACCCAGCTCTCACAGAATTCGCATGCATGAGCTCCCTTCGATAACCGACGCCAAGAGGCATGGCGCACTTTTTACAAGACTCAGAGCGGCTTGCATTATTCCGCAGGTTGCTGATGTCCATAGTATCCTTGCAACGCTCGCACTTGATCGTGATACACAAAGAGACGAGCTCTAGCAGCTCAATGCCGTAGAGCTCTAAGAATGGGAAGGAAAGAGAGATGCCACGCTCTGGAGCCGTTGTTGATGTCGATGATTCAGGAACACGATCGACAGCAGCGCCTCCGTCATCTTCGTCTTCGTCGCCTGAATCGTAGGAGTCAGAGTACTCGCTGTCAGTGGAATCTTCCACTTCGTTTTGAGCAGACCACTCGGGAGGGCGTGGGATGAACTTGATATGGCTGCGATCGTCTTCGTCACCTTTCGCTGGGCCAATGTCTTTTTCAGGGGCTGCTTCCTCCACTGACAGAGGGGCGACGTCTGGAAAATCAGCCTTTTCTGCTTCTGGCTCTTCCAGAGGCTGTGTAGCCAGCAAATGCATATTCTGTGCCAAATAATTCACATGCCCCATCAACGTCGTTGCCGGACTCTCCTTGATTTTCTTCTCAAACCCTCTTTCGGTATTCTTGGCCGCTTCTCTACTCACACCTTGAATTTCCACCCTACAATGCTGCAAGGGGTAAAGCGAAGGGACAAAGAGCTTAATAGTGTTGACAGCTTGTAACGGCACAGGCAGATCTTCATGTTTCCGTGGCGCTATGGGGATCGTATAAGCTACGCCGTCCGAAGACTTGGAAAAGAGAGGGAGACGGCCTATGCGGGCTTCAAGCTGGCGCGTTTCTGCCTCTCGACGTTCTGAAGCGAGACGACGTACTTCTGGGGTGAAGAACTTTTGAGGTCTGCTGGGATTCGTGGGCTGTGGTCGAGGTTCTCTAATGTCTTGAGCAGGCTTGACTGGCTCTTGCTCTACACTTCTTCCCTGTACCGGTATTTTGTTTGGGATGATAGTGATAGTCTCAGCCTTCTGCTCCGTAAGCAAGCTCTCCAGCTGTTTGTCCAGATTGTTCATCAGCCCCAACAGCGTGCTCTGCGGCCTACTCTCCGCCAAACGGGCAAAGCCACGCTCGATGTTGATCTGAAAACCTCTACCCATCTCCTTGTTCTTGACATGGATGGACGGTCTTCCCTCTTTGGGGTAGGTGACCGGCACATGGAGCACGCACTCCAACCCGACCATCTCAAAGGGAAAGTCTGGGTCTGAGGGTGCCATAGAGAAAGCATAGCTTGTCCCGCCATTTTCGCTCTGCTCTGTGGGAGAGAACCTCCGCTTCAGCTGTTTGATCTGAAACTCCCTTGGGTCTTCGGTCTGAGCTATGGGGACGGGCTTGCTGACTACGCGGCTTCCATCTACGGGCGGTGGTATGAAGCGGCGGCCTTCCGTCAAGCTTGTAGATGGGACACCGGCTGGTGTATCACTCCGGGCCTCGGTCTGCTTGGAGCTGCCAGCAGGGTTCCCTGGTAGCGCAGATTGTGCAACGTGCCGGGGACGTGTCCTCGGCTTAGGTCCATTACTGGCGTCTTTCAGCCTGGAAGGATCGTGAATGAAGGGGCAAGCGTCACCGGTTCGACAACCTGCAATGTCATTTTATGAGACGCAAGCACAGACTAGATACTAGGTGCAGAATGTGACCACGTAACAGAGGTCGAGATCGACGCTTGTAAGATGAAGCACGTGCACACACACCAGACATTCATCGTCACCAAAGGCACTATGAAAAAGGAAGGAAACGGATGGAATTACCATTTTTGGTGGCATAAAACTTGCAGTAGTTCGTTTTCCCCTGTGGCAATGCCGGTTGACGTGATGGCTGAGGCGCAGAGCCTCCCCCTTGAACAGCGCCGAGGAAAAAGAATCAGCATGCGTGTCCTTGTGACCAAGTTTTTTGCCAGCGCATCATCTCGCTTTCACATACCAACAACGAGCTGACTTGTTTGGTTGTCCATGATTCGTTACCCAGGAACGTGGATGTGGGATGTCTTTGAGTCTTGACTTTTGGTTTGATATTGGGCCGAGTCTTTGATAGAACGTCGTTGGATTATGCAGGTTGTGAATTAGTGGGGACCTCAGATGCGCGTGCTTACCGACTTGCAGATATTCCCCGAGAATGGGCGATGATCGGTCAGGTGAATGGTGTTTTGAACGCCAAACCGGACGCCACAAGTTGCTCCAAGGGTTTCCGAGGCCTGCGGATGAACGAGAGTATTGTGTTCACGCGTTACATTTGACGGCCGAGATATAGTGTGAATTATGAGAGACGGTTCCCTCGGTTGCGCGAAAGAAAGAAAGACTAGGTAGTACTATCACCATACACTATCTATCACCACTATCTACCATAACGGCCTTGCTCGGTTGAAAGCGATGAGTCAACGGCAACAACGGCATGACAGGACATGACAGCAGTCCGGATAGAAGGTACACTACAGTAAGTATGATTGTTGATCTTCCAACTCGGCGATGATCTGCTATCTGCTCTCGTCTTTTTGCCTTCTTGCCGTCTTGCAGTATCTACTATCTACCGTACCGCTGTCGACCAGAACTCTAAAAGGTCGATACAAGTAATTGTCCCTTGATTTGCACGCTAGAGTTCAGCTTGGTAACCCATCATTCGCACGCACGCCGAACAGCGCAATGCACGCAATGCAAAACAACCTCCCCACCTCCCCCCCCTTATCGTAACTGCAAACCCTAATCACAGGAGCCCTACGCCAAGGCACCTCCCCCCCCCCCCCCACCCACAATGAATGAAACAAATAACAATGCCCCTCCAACCTGGGCCTACCCAGCAGGAAGTGGGTTCCTCCACCGCATACGGAGTGCATGAGTCGGCATGATTAGTCCCCAATGACCGCGATGCAAATTTCCCAACCCTGTGGTAAAGTTGAATGTGGGTGTAGGGCCCCGACGAACCCCTGGGGGCGCTTAAATTATCGGCGCTTGGGGAAGCACAAGGGGACATGTTGAAATGTGCTCCTGCATGCAACGGTCAAGCTTTCTGACCTTTTCATGTGTGATAAGCGAGAAATGGCTACATATGACTGCGACTTCGCATACCACTTTCCTGGTACTTTAGAATGCTCCTTGGGCCATCCATCGGACATGTCCGGAAGATATGGTCATAGGCTAAAGTACTTCTGGCACACGAGGAAGCGAGAGAAAGCAAGAGACTGAGAGTGATGCCCAACGGTGGCTTGGCCTGTTGCATGTGTGCAAAGCAAGACCTTGCAGAAAGCATCACAACTCACGCAACACGACTTCGGGCGATGTGTTCAGAATGGCAGGAGTAATTTCTTGATTGTGCCTATGTACTGTTATCAACTGCCTCTGCCGAAGCCGTTGCCTCCACCAAGCCAACGGTCTCGGGGCCTTCCCGTCTCCTTCGCACTGTTGAAGCTTGTTCTTCAAAAGGGGCTTTGCCGATGAGAACCGCATCTATGGCACCTCGGAGGTAGGATCGAAACCCCTCAGCCCTTTCCGTCCCGAAAAAAACATACAGCAATTTTGCAATGTGCGAGGCACAGAGCAGTAGTGGTATCATATGTAGTATTGCATGATCGAACCTTTTTGGAAAACGCCGCCACTGATGGCTCCGTGTATGAAACATCGCTAAAAGTGGTCATGATGCCGCTGCGCCATGCTGTGAAGATGCCTCTGAAATATATTCGCTAAAGCGCAGCGTGAAGAAAATGAGAATCGTTAGTAGTAGCTCTGCTGTATTCGTAATATGTGCGGAAGCAGTACGCATGGCTACCAGCCAGCCCTGTGGTATTCACCAAGCCCTGCTTCGAAGTAGTGATCGAAGGAGGTGTTCCTAGATCCCTGCGTGGAGGCTTGCACTGCTTCGCCGGGAAAGTGTTGTAGACTCGTCAGGTTTTGGGCAGTGTGCCGACGTTTTATCATGGCGTTGGTTGTTGCCTTTTTCTGCTGTCGCTCCCACAGGACGTTCGTTCTTAGTGACTCAGTCATCTCCGTAGCAAGCATGTGTCGGCGTGTAGTTTTGGGTGAAAAGGCCATTTGTTGTGCGTTGCCGGCAGTCATAACTATGGGTTTCGATCTGGTCATCTGTCCTGGAAGCAAGGTAAGTGAAGCGTCCTCCACCGGAGAAAGTCCATCGGAAGGACCGGTCAAGGTCGACGTTTTGGTTCGTCTTATCACTGGAGTGGATTTTGAGGCCAGATTTGCGAAAGTAGCAGCCCGGTCGAGCTGATGTAATTCAGTTGTTAAGACAGATCGCCGTGATACTAGATTTGGTTGCGAGTCGACACGTTGGAATAACGGATTGTCGTTGGCAGTATTCTCAGCACTTTCTGATGCGTCATCTTCCCAGTCGTCATCGTCCTCCTCCTCAGAGTCATCATCAATGGCGCTCTCGTCATCTTCGTCGGACTCAAACACCTCCTCATCCTCGTGAGATCTCTTTTCCAAGGCGCGTGACTCGACCTCGTCCCTGAAGGAAAGTGTCTTTTTGTTTCCACTCGGCCGCTTGAGGCCTAGGGTGAGTGAGCTTTGCTGAGGTTGAGAAGTCATTTTTTCGTCCAAGGAACTGTCGTCTTCTCCTGAGGAGCATCCAAGCAGGAACACGGGACCCTTCTTAGAGGCGGTCTCTGTTTTGTTGGTGGAATTGTGTTTCATCGGCATCGCTTCAGGAGCGAGGTGTGTGTGAGAGCGATAGAAGGACTCCTGGCCCATCGAGAATCCTCGAACCACGCTGTGCGAATTGAGAATCTCGGCACTGGTATCAGAACCAACCGTCTGCTGTGGGCTGTTGTCGCTATCAGGACTACTTGGAGGAGCAGTGAATGAGGAAGATTCCGAGGAACGGAAAGGTGCATCAATGGTGGGAGACGCCGCACGAGGAGTGACATCGGTAGACAGTGGCATTGGTGGCATTGCATCGGCAATCCTTGGTGAAAGAGGCGCGATCTCCTGCTTGTCTTGGATCGAATGGACCATCTTCTCCAGGCCCAAGGAGGTAATGTGTTTCTCTTTCCCTCTGCTCCTTGATAATGTGGGTTCGGATTTTGGTGATGTGTTGGGGTGAATATTGAGGGGTGCTGTGGGTGGCGATTGAGTATCTTCGCTTGAGTTTGAGCCAATGGAGACCAAAGATTCGACGCTGGCGGAGAGGCCAGGCACGTCCCTGCGATTTGGTCTCGACCTCGCGAAATCAATTGTAGGTGTGGTGGTGTGGTTATGTTGTGGCTGAGGCTCGCAGCAGAGGGTTTCTCGGTTCCATAATCGCCATGTGAGATTCTCTAGCCGGCGACCGTCCTCCATTGACTCGGCGCATTTCGAAAACACTGGGACGTATATTAGTATGAGTTTTGGGAAGGCAGTGCCAGAGACGACGTACTACTGTACAAGCCGAAGAGGTGTTCCGCATTCCTGGTGTCCAATTCTCGCAATTTCTCCACGTCCACCGAGAGCATGGGGGTTTCCAATCGAATCGGCATGTTGTAAAACACTCGCGACGAGTGTAAGCAAGAATTGAAGCCAGGTGAGTAGTGGTTGAGAGTTTTCAAGTGTTGTGGGTGGTGTTGAGAATTCTCGTCAGGCACCGTTATTGCCCGAGGCACGGAATCGATCTAGAAGGGTGTGGTGGAAGGTCTTTGCCACTTGCAAATTTTGCAGGTGGGCGGCGTTAAACTGAGTAAGAAGAATCAGTATACGAGCAGAATTGAGGCCGTAAAATGGGCTTGGTAAGGAAGGTGAAGGAAGTGGTGATATAGACTTGGTGAAGAATAAAGTTGGAGGAGGATTACGGGCGTGAATGTGGAGTTGGGATGTGGAGGAAAGTGGAGGTGGTTTTGTTACCAGGATGAGTGAGGATCTGTTGCAGCGCAGCGGTGTAAAGCGATTACGGATGCCCCGATGATCGATTACTGTACCTTCGGTGCGATCGATCCAACAAGTTCCATAATCAGTAGTAGTAATGATGGAAGGAGTAGTAGGAGTAGTAGTAGTAGGGTAGTATGTATGCGTCAAGGTAAGGTGAAATGGATAGGCTGAATGTTAAGCTTGCTTATTTTCTGGTTATGCTGGTTATATTCTGGACCCAAGTCAGAGTATGCATGCATGTATGCATGTATGCATGCAAGCTGCATAAGTGACAAATTCTAGAAAATAAGAAAGAAAAAGTTGGGGACCTAGGCCATTATGATCAAATATGTACCCCTCGCTTTATGAAGACTTATTATTATTATTACCCGTAATTGTTTTTCTTTTTTCTCTTTTTCCTCCTCAACTTTCATCACAACACCAAACATCCAAACACCAGTCACAACAGGACGCGGATCTCAACCGCCAACGAAAGACTAAACTAACTTCACTCTTCCTCCCTTCCCCGACAACGGTGGCAAGGCTTGACAGAACCCGGATGCATTTTACAGGGAGATAGACAATTGACCAAAATTCTCTTTACTCTTAGTCTTACTCTTAGCTAGACTTTCATTCGGCTTCGATCCGGAATCTTTGCCTATCACAGTGGCTCCCTCAAACAGCAGCAGGGGTAACCTCGGTATAGTTCCAGAACCTAAGTAGAATTCACGCATTTCCTCACTGCTAGACTAATTCCCTACTTCTTCCGGTCCACCGCCTTTCTGTTTCCATCCCCATTACGTCTTCGCCCCATCCTATTTGGCTCTTTCTCATCGATTCTCAAAACATAATACGAGGCGCAAATCTCTACCAGAATGACGGACTCGTAAATAAGTCGTACCTATCAAAAGGAAGAAGCCCAGGGTTCGCTTCCCCAGAATTGCCTGACCCGGGCTGACCCCCACGGCACTAATTGCCCACCGAAATTCCTGGGGTTGACAGCGTGCCATGCAGCAGTGAAGCCACAAACGCCACCAACTGCCCTCGAAAATAAACCAGCCCTTACATACGCCAGTCAGCCTTTCCCATACGTCCACTACCTATACGAAACCAGCATCGTATCAACTCGCCAAATCTTCGACAGCTGAACGCAGTAACCGGGCTCCAGGAATTGAACACTGCAAAAGGAAATTCGATACCGGCCTGCATCAAAGGATACTGGAATGAGAATGTGTGGTGGCCGAATGCAGAGAGGCGGCTTCCTTGTTTCATTCGCTTCACCGCCCGACCTGTCTCTCTTGGACCCATCCATCTTGTGATGGCTGGCGTCGGGGAATTCTTTGCCAGCTCCAATCTCACGAATCTACATTATTGCTGACATCGATCATCGCGCTCATACGCGACCCATTCATGGCCAATACTTACCCTTTTGGTCGCTTCAGGGTCTGATGGACTGAACGCTTCGAACGGACGTAAGAGTCAGATGGGTTCACTGTCTTCTCCTCCAATCCTTGAAAGACCGAAGTCATCCTTTGAGGGAAGTGCTACTCGTCACTTCATAGGCTGAGAACCTGATGACCAGTGTCGCTTATGTATGCGCTTCAAAGCTGGCTGAACAGCGCATCAGTATGGCGCGCATGGACCCAGAGCTCCATGTGACTCTCCTGAATGGCGGGTTGACCGCATTTTGCTACCAAGCACCGACTTTTGCCTCTTACGTGCATCAAAGGAACAATGCAAGGTGCTCTGGTCACCCTTACTTCCAAGGCAACAGTACCTACTCTTTATCCTCTACTGTCCTTATCAGCCGTGTGGTTGCCAAGGATTGATCCTGTGTGGGCTTCCCTATGTTGCGCCCTGAACAAAGGTGGCGGCTATGTTTGCATCTTGATGCCCTTGACGCTACAATCGAAAGCTCGTATACGCCGAACGGTGAGGCACATACTATCACTACATCGTTGCCTATGATTGAGGGTTTGAAGACCTCGTGCTGTGAATCTAACTTTGCCGTGCCCTTGCGCATAAATTGAATGAGGATAAGATTGCCGACTAATTTAACAAGTGAGGCAACCAGGGGAAGAATAAAGACCGAGGGGAAGACGTACCGACAACCGAGTCCGGACGGGAAAAAGCTGGTGGAAATCTCTCAGGTGAAATCCTTCGGTCTGACTGATGGTGACGAGTGCAAATTATCGAAGGATTATCTTATAATCAACATCCCTTGAAGATTACTTCAGGGACTGTTCCTAGGTACGGTATACGGTAGACATTTCAACTGCAGAGAGGGCGGGTCATGTGCCCCCGCGGGGTCCGAGCCTCAGGATTTTTAAAGTTCATCTCACCTCCCAATTTCTGGTCAGCAGACACCACTGCTGATGGTAAAAGTCTACAAACGTTTCCCCTTTTTTGATGACGCCGCAGTCGGGGTTTCAAGTCGGCGAAGTGACACTTCATCATCGTCATCCTTCCCATTTCCTTTCCGCTGAAGCCGCCGCCATTCAGCTTGTTTCAATTTAACCCGTGCAGAGGAGCTCAGCACTCAGGGGGTAAGCTGACCACCCGCGACGATCGTGTATTCGAAGGCGGCAACCTCGTAACATTTTTAGACATTCAACGTCGTATCCGTCCTGAATGCCGACAAAAAAGAACAACTCCCCCCTGGCTAGTGGTGATAATCATAATGCTAATGCCAATGCTATCAATCAAATTGGGATTTGGGAGATGAAATTTTACCAACAACCTTTGCGTTGGTAATCCGGTAATCCCCAACCCTTGGACTACCACGTGCTGCGTGTCGCCGCGTGGGGGTGATCTATCCCGTGAAGATCCCACTAAAAGTCGGGGAAGGCATCCAACATTTCCCCGCCCGATGAGCCGACGAGACCCTCCCAAGTCCAAACAGGACAAAGTCCGGCGCGGATCGACCAACGGAGCGGTCCTGCTGCTCACCGTTGAAGGATTCTTCATGAGAAGGATTCTTTACGAGAAGGATTCACTTAGGCCTTGATAAGAAGAACGTGGGATTCTCACGTGCAATCCTCAATCTCCTCTTCCAAATTTCAGAGTGACCTGAGCCGTGTGGGGTGGAGGCGAAGCTTCCATGGAACGCCACGACACCTTTCACAATTTCCAGCAGCTATGCTAGCAGTCTGTCACCTGTCAAAATTTGATTACACATCCTTTTTGACTTCAGGAACAATAATTAGTTAAGTGTCTGATAGATCACATTTCAACTTTGCCCTTACTTACCTGCCTCGAGTGTCAAGATGATCTAGCTCCACCTTTCCCTGCGTACGTAACGTGGGGATAGTCGGCGATTCATGATCTGTCTCTATAAGCCCATGGGAGTCTCTCCAGCCCAAAACGCTCGGATTCCGGGCCAAGAGCACGGGGTACATCAGGGTATGCCAAGCCTACATGAAGGCGCCGCCACGCGATAAAAGCAGGGAACGCCGCTATCGTCATCCCTGGTTATCTGATCGAGATGCCGAGAGGCCTAGACTTTCCGTATCAGATTGAGGCCCTCGGATATGCTATATCTGGGGCTCTGGGGAAGGAAGAGTCAACGTGCAGATTTCTTTGGATCCTGGTTCATCGACCTCGTCACCTCCCTCGCTTGCGCGGAGGATCTAATTTCCTAGGTGTGTCCGTGCTCGAGAGACTAGGTAGTTGCCCCTGGGAACTGTAGTCCATGACGGTGGTGGGCGGCACGCAAGATGATCAGAACGAGTGGCAGTCGAAGTGGCACAAACATCTAGAATATCGACACCACAAGCATCGACGAGAAGCCATCTCATTATTGTTGTACGCTCTCACGGAAGTATTTTCCACCATGAATGATAGCCGTTCTGACGATGACACCAAAATCTAACAACAAGATTATTCAGCGCACAGACTGCCACTCTCCCCGATGCTCTGCTTCGTGGCTGCGATGTCGTGGCATCAGTAGGTCTAGCACGCGACGCATTTCTCAGACCTGAAGCCGCTCCAGGATATTCCCGTGTCCCTGTGCTTTGAAGGTACCATCTCGTCTCTAGCGCAAGCTGTTCGAAGATGGACCGGAGCTCATGCTTTCCCACCCTCTTTCCTTGATCGCAGAAAGGCACCCACGGAGCATGGGCTACTCATGATCCTTCCCCAGTCATTCATTCGATGAATCCACCAACCAACCAACCACACTGTCATCCATCGCAAAGCCCGCAAGAGCTCCACCGTACCACCTTCCCTCAGAGCCCGCTTCCGATGGAAGGAGCCGTCGATACGACAACGGGCGGTCGAGACCACGGGCACGGGAAGTGCAGCCAGAAGGAAGTGGATGCGGCGGCGGTAGAAAGTCTTCTCCCGTCTCCTCCTCCTCCTCGGTCTCAACGCTATCGGCACTAGTCAGAGAAGAAGGATCGCTGTCCGTTAAAGACACATACACACACTCTCTCTCTCAGCGCAATCGATTTCTTGGCTTGGAATACGTGACTGTGTGGGTTTGACACGGCGCCGGTATTCAATAGTGATTGCATTTTTCTTTCTCTCTCTCATACTGGCAGCGTGCGGGCTGCGGCGGAGCGATCGGATGTACACGGGACTGGACATGAGGTAGATGAGGTGGTCTGGAGCACGGTGCGTGGCATCTTTTCGTTCTGCTCCCGGAGCTGGAGGGGATAGGTGTGTGCTCTGGTCAGGCGCGTGGACAATCCGATGATGATGTCTATCTGTCTCGTCAACATTGCCTTTTCTGTCAAATCTATGCCAAAGGCCCTTACGGCTCACGCGATGAGGGTATGACAATAAATTAATCCTATCTTCGGTCTACATGGGCGGAGATCTAGAATTCATTGTCGTCGCTTCCGGCGATGATGACATTGTTCACCTTGAGCACCATGCGACACAGCTGCGTGGCCAAGAGCAGCTGCTGCCTCTTCCCGATCAGTGGATCGATGACGAAGTGCTCACGCATGTCGTTGCTTCCACTCTGCATGCAGTCCACCCCCAGCCTCGAATTCGCCTCCTTAACCTGCCTCGACTTGATGGAAGCCAACGTCTCAATCGGGCTCAGCCCAGAGTTCTCTGCCAGGGCCATGGGCACCGCGTCAAGTGCGTCGGCGAATGCCCGCATGGCGTACTGTTCCAGGCCAGGGCTCTTGACTGCAGCCTCCTCGACTGCTAACGAGCAAGCTATCTCCGCGGCGCCTCCTCCATAGACGACACGGTTGTCTTTAACGAGGTTTCGCACGACGCAGAGGGCGTCGTGTAGTGAGCGTTTGGCCTCGTCGATGATCATCTTGTTGCTTCCTCTGACAAAGACCGTTACTGCTCGTGTGTTTGCGCATTCCTCGATGACCAACATCTTCTCCCTCGTAGTACCGAAGCTCATCTCCCGCACAACCCCTGCCTTTCCAAGCTTCGCTGCGCTGAGATCCTCGAATCGGGGAACGATCCGGCCGTTTGTTGCTATTGCGATGAGTTCGATTTCGGGACCTCCAACCCATCTGACTGCGGGAAGCTTGTTTTGTAATAGCAGGTGGTTTGCCTCGTCGTCAAATCCCCATTGACATATCACAAGGTTGGCCCCTGTATCTTTTATCTGCTGAATCATCTCTGTGAACTTGTTCTTCTCGTAGTTCTGCAGCTTCTTGAACTCTTCAACAGTCGTTATGTCAAGCTTGTGCTTCGTCTTCGGCTTCGGTGGCTCGAAGGCGCAAGTCAAGATCGCCAGCTTGGCATCTCGTACCTCGTCTGGCATTTGAGGATGTGAGAAGTCTTTGTCGACTATAACGCCCTTTATCAGAAGCGTATCTTCTAATGAACCACCAACTTTGCCGTCAACCTTGATCAGCTCGAAGTCGACATCTTTTCTCTCGAGATCAGCGACGGAGAGGACAGCGTCAACGGCTATCTGGGCGAATTGATCATGGGCTTTTGATACACTAGACCACCATCAGCTTTGCGTTTCCATGGCTAGTGTGTTAGATCATACATTTTGCTTCCCAGGCTGGTCTTCGCAACCTTAAAAAGGTTCTGCCGCTGTTCCTTTGTGAACTCGATCTTGTCGCTTATCCGATCCAGCTCTTCCACTGCGACCTCACAGGCCTGATCGTATCCGTCTGCTATCCGAATAGGATGTATTCCCTTGTCGATCAGGTCCGCAGCTTGTTCTAGAAGAGCCCCTGCGAGTACAACAACACCTGTGGTCCCATCTCCTATCTCATCGTCTTGCGACTTTGAAAGCTCAACTAGTAACTTTGCAACGTGATTCGATATTTCCATCTGAAAAGCCAGCCATCAGTACGGTGTCTTGTATCGTAGGCTTGACCGTACCTGTGAAAGTATAGTAGCCCCATCATTGGTGACTGTGATATCTCCGTCTGGCGAAATAAGAATCTTGTCTAGACCTCGCGGTCCCTTTTAAACCAAATCTTAGTCACATCTCAGGTTTCTCCAGTGGATTCCATGGCCTGATCTCACCAGTGATGTTCGGACAATGTTGGCCACTGTCCTCGCGGCAGTGATATGGGATTTGACAGCGTCGTTTCCGTGCTGTCGCTTCTTTTTCCCTTGACTAAATCCAGTCAGACCAGTCTTCCCCTACACAACTCCAATAGCGCCCATATTGTCGTGACAGCAAAATAAGGGGATCCAACGTACTCTCTGACAACGATGAAAGGCCGACCCTGTTCGTCCTTCATCACCGAGGCTACAATTCGAGAACGTCAGCTGTGGTACTGATATAGAAATATCATAGGGACCAAGTGTACCATTTGACATATCCAACTCTGAGCATAAGATGCTATCAACTTCGTATCCTACTTGCAAAGCTTGGGGAGAGCTCTGTTCTTTTGAGTAACTCACGCATGGCCATCTTGAGCACTGCAGTGCTGTTTTTGTCTTGGAAAAACCAGTCCAGTGATCAGTATCGAGTCAAAAGATAATCTACAGAGGAGAAAGCCAGGTAAATCTGCAGTTCAGTACAGATCTTGATTCGTTGTATGATCTAATATCATGTAGGCCGTTGAAAATATTTGGGAGACGTGCCGGCGCGCTAGCGCTATCCACGCGACTTGACCGTCGTCGATCAAGAACATCCGAGCATCACAATCACTTTGCGCCTCACACCAACATACATTGTCCACTTCATCTTAACGATCACTAGTTTCTTCATCTTCAGAGGCTATCTACAATTGACCTTTGAGCTTCTTCATTACCGCCCATCGTCGTACTGCACTCCGTGTAGCACTGACTAACAACGCTCACACGTCACAATGCCTCGTGAGTTCGTCACTGTCTTACTCGAGCTTCGCGTCACTTACACGATCATGCATACTAAACATTTTGTTCTAGCCCCTCTTCCGGTCGAAGAAAGCGACGTGGAGTCGGCCCCTGAAGATGTCCAACCTACGAAAGCCGAGTCGGCTGAGACCAATGATGAACCCGCGGATTCTACAATGAAGGACAAGGAAGACGAAGAGGATGATGATGATGGAGAAGAAGAGGATCCAGAAACGTCAGTCTGGGCTCTTATGGATTGTTGCATCTTACTGACTATGGCTCAGCTTCATTGTCGAAGCCATCAAGGACCACCGCTCAGACTTCGAAGATGTGAGCGATCGCTGAATGTCCGAACAATTGCCAATCGCCTGCTAATTTGATGGTCTTCCAGGGCCACATGCGCTATCATGTCAAATGGAAGGGTTACGAGAAGAAGGCAGACCGCACTTGGGAGACCGAGGACAATCTCGAGTAAGCTTGAGTGTTGCCCCAACTCAGCCACCATTCAGCTTGCTGAATCCATTACAGGGGCGCAAAAGAGATACTGGAAGAGTACTGGAAAAACATTGGCGGTAATCCGGCTGTAGACCAGCCAAAGTCCAGCACCAAGAAACGAGGCCGTCAAAGCACAGGCGGAAAGAAACCCGATACAGGGAAGCGACCAAAGATGACCAAGTCAAGCCGAACAAGCAGCGGCAAAGGCAAAGGCAGAAAGAGCAATGGAGCGGATGATATGGAACAAGACGGCTCACCCGTCCCCCTCATTGGCTACACGGATGAAGGCGACGATGACTGGAAGGCACCTCCAGCAAAAGACGGAGCGTGGGATCCACTAGTCCAGTCCGTCGACACTGTGACACGTGAAAATACTGACGGTGAGCTGTGGGGTTATTTGATATGGAATGCGAAGAACGAAGACGGCAGATTCTACCGCTCGAAAGCGAAATTGCCTGTCATCTACCGAGCTTGCCCGCAGCGGATGCTGCACTTCTACGAGAAGCACCTGTGAGAGCTCTATCAAGGCCGCTTTCATGACCAACGTCGCTGACTGTCACTCTAGTGTCTTCTCAACGAGCGCGCCAGATGCAGCAACAGATGCGCCGGCGAAGGAGGAGGCCTCTGAATAGATCCCCATCTCGATGCAAAAATTGTTCATTTTCACCGGTGTGGGCTAATTCAGGCACGTTGCGGTCTTGGTTATTCTCCCGCAGCCGGCGCTGCCACGCAGGCTCTGTGCTCAGAATTCATTTCCACGCATGGCGTCTGTCTCGTGGGCGTCGTTTTTCACGTCCGCTTCCCCATTCTCATCTCCTGTTGGAAAACCCCAGTCATCATTATGTACTTTAGCTCACAGGATCAACCGAATCACTCGGCAGGCGTCTAAAAAGTCAGGGATCTATTCCGGACTCGACCATGGCTTTCGAGATCGACCTGACGCCTCGTTCGAAGATCATAGATAGGAATGCAGATCATTCACTCATGGTAGTCTGGCAAATTTTATTCTTATGCGTCTGATGCTACATGATATCTGCACTATTGAGAAGATGAGCTTCCATTTCGCAAGAAATCTCAAGCCAGCCCAGAAACGTATATAAAGGTGCCGTAGGTTTGTTTTTGAAAGCCAATAAGTCAAAGCCAAAAGATCAAAGCCATACGCTCATAGGGTATCTCTGACAGATCGATCAAAGCAGACACAAGTTCCAGCAAACTGCCTAGCATATCCCTTCCCACTTTTATCCACCTCCCAGCCGCACAGTCTCAGCACTTGATTCCGGCAGCAAAGTCCCCTCCAAGTCCTCAGCTTTTTTCGGGACAAACAATCCCCTTCGCTACCCCAACGTCCTCCCAATCCACCTCCCAAATACTCAGGACAGCCATCTCAGCTCCAGGCCCCTGCGGCTGTCCTGGCTCCCTCTTTTTAATCTTCCCCAACACCCTGGCCATCTTCCCCCTTCCCTTCTCACCAACAAGCTCCTTCGAATCATTGTCCCATATCCCGACACCTTTCCAGAGAGTGTACGTGCCATTAAGGTACGGCGGCTTGTCTGTGAATAAGTCTCCGAATTGGAAAAACTGCTTATACCCCCCACTAGCATCGCGCGAGGAGGATACAACACGAGCGTAGAGCTCTATGATGGCGTCGACGTTGGTACGTGAGGCTAGTGCGGCAGCGTTAAACGCTTCTCCTATTCGAAAGCAGGTGCGCAGGACGGTGCGATTAGTGAAACCGAGGATTGGAGAGCGGTCGCGGATGGCCTTCGGGAAAGGGGGACGCATGAATGGTAGGGCATCCCTGTTGGAATTCATGGGCACAAGCTGTGGATCATCAGTGGGAGATACCGGTATTCGAGACGATTTTGCTGGTGTGTAAGTCTTAGGTGAGAGCCACTGCAATTTTGGTGACAAAGGTACCTTTGCAGGTGATACAGGGGAAGTAACCTGGAGACTCTTGGATTCGTCGACCAGAAGATCGATGAGGCCATCATCTAGGTCATTGTCATCGAAGCAGTTCTCGGACCCTTCTGACGTTTTCGCGCGATGTGGGTTGGCGTTGCCTGTGACGTGAGTTAAGATGCATGAGGCTTGGGAACTCCATTGGGGCGAAGAAGGGACGTCAATAATGTCGCTGGCCACTAAGGGCGGATCCTCGTCATACATGACTAGTCCATCTGAGTCTTGGATAGCTCCAGGCCAGTGCGCTTGCTCGTTGTCCAGCTGCTCATCAATATGTAAGGTATCATCCAAGAACTCCTGCGGCCGCCACTCTGAGCCCAAGGGTTCTTCTTCCGCTGGAACCGCAATTGACTGCATCATCTCTTCGAGACACTCATCGTCCATGGGAAATTTGTCTTCTTCGCCACGATCGCCGCATTTGATATCGTCAACCTCACAGAGGTCGCCTGATATCGAGTCCAGGGGTTCGAAATCGTTTACCATCATTGTTCCCTGAGACCTTCGGTTTTGGAGAGTCGGAGGGCTTGTTTGAGTAAAGGGTGGTCCACCAAAGTCTTTGACTATAATGCTGCCATCGGACTCCAGGGTTTTCTGGATGGAAGGCTCAACATGATGGTATGGACTTGCCCGTCGTTCGGTAGTGAAGTCTTGGCCATGAGACTGATCATTGTGGCTGAAACCTGCTTCGACTTCATCGCTTTTGGGAGGAGTGGGGGGAGTAGCTTGATTGACGACGTTGGCCCGAGTATCGGCATACGCAGCCTGATAGTTGTTGGCGAGTCCAGAAGGCTTGCTCTGTCTCTTCCTACCGTTGAACGCTGGCTTAACCTCACATTCGACTGATGTATCACGGACCCTCTGCAATTGCGGAATCTGTTTCAACAGATTTCCAAAGGGCAACCCAGCCTTCACAGGTAGCGCTCCATCTGGGGAAGACGTTGGCTTGGTCCTTGACAAGCCTTGCGAAATATCCTGGCAGTCCAGTTGTGCCGCTGTCCTGGTTCTCTTTGTCTTCTTGGAACTCGCAGCTTTTTTGGGCTTGGATGCTGTTGTAGCAGCAAATGATTGAGTCTTCCGCCTCTTTGGAGCCCTGGGTTTGTCGGCTGACTTGGACTTAATGGCAGCATCCTCGTGCTCCAAGTACATGGGAGCTGTGTCAGAATAGCCAAGGTGATTAATAGGTGTGAAGCCGGAGACTGTTGGCGCAGGATAATGATCATCTGAGGTCTCGTCCAGCATTGGCTCATCCATGATCGCGGCCTCTCTCATCTCATGTAAATTCCATCTCCAAACTCTTTGCGCTATCAGTCCTTTTTTCAATGCACCTCCAGCCCCTCTAACCCCCACCTTAGCTCCTCCGCCACCAGTGTTCTCCACAGTAAATGTTTGAAGAGAGAATGTATCGCATAGGTTGAGCAGAGGCAGAGAGAGAGAGAGAGCTCGGAGAAATGCCGGTCACATATGCACCCCGCAATCCAAAAAGGGCTAAGTGCGAGGGTTTTGGTCTGAGGTTCCCCAAGTCGAGTCGAAGCTCCATATCAAAAAGACATCCTTCTATTTTGACTGCTGGATACACTGTTATTTGATTTGCTTTGATAAACATGCATTTCTAGTTACTTCTAAGACCTTGTTGACAAGGTCTCAATAGACTCGAGAATAGCTCGTTCAAACTGGACCTTGTGTCGATTTCGTCATCTTACCATCTCTCGTCCTTGTCCCACAGCAGCTGCTTACATTCAGAGAAGCCAGTCTCTCATGGTGGTTGCACATAACAATTGTTGTTCTTGTGTCAAACTCCTGCTCATATAAGTGTAACTGAGCTCCACGACTCGAGTCTGACAAGGAGAACAAAATGTTCTCGACTTCGGTAGGTGGCAGATAATGTACCTGTTTTCAATCTTTGGGCCCAAAACTATATCATGTTCTGTCTGCCTTCCGTCCTCGTAGAACATCATGCATAAGTAGCTTTCGTTTTGTCGTGGCCATATCATGTCTGCTAGGCATCTCAATCTCGTCTACTTGCAGCCCTTCTGAATTTTCCATGAAGCTAATGCCACTTGTCCTGGGCTCTTAGAGCAAGCCATACTCGGCTATCACAGTCCAAATCAATCGTTTGACGAGCGAACACTATGAAGCGGATGATATGAGCGGGATCGTAGACCTGATCGAGGTCATAAGATTGCAAACCGGTGGTCCAACCGAAGCGGCACGAGCGATACGAAAGAAGCTGTAGGCCAAATCGTACATTGGCAACCAGTTTGAGCTTTGCTGAAATGATGTCGCAGTAAATATGGCAGCGTTGATCAACAACTACGAGCTCTCACGGTCCTGGATGGTCTCATCGAAAATGCTGGTCCCCGCTTTCAGCGAGCTTTCGCAGACGAACCATTATTAGAGCGCCTTCGTGTTTGTGCCACAGACTCCTTGTCGGACTCAGAGGTCAAGATGAAGTGCCAAGTATTGTTCAGACAGTGGGCCGTGGCCTACCAATCCACCCAAGGCATGGAGCGCATCGTAGCTCTCCAGAAGCAGCTTCCGAAGAGGAAAAAGCCAGTCACCCAGGCACAGTCGAAAGTACTGCAAGAGACCGAACGAGAAGCAAACGAAGACCCTTTCGGCAGCACTGAAGACGAATCCATGTCTGGCGAGTCAAGCTCAATAGCTTCACCAAGCCTGACTCCCAGAAGTAACGCTGCCGCAAGCATCACGCCAACACCTAAATACCACCCCAAGAAATTGAAGCTTGACAAGCACAGCAAAAGATCGAGATCAAGAACCTTCAATCTTGAGAAGGAGAAGCCGCAACTCCTTCAAGCCATTGCTTCCGCCTCTGTTGCAAGCACCAACCTCATGAATGCCCTCAAGCTCCTGAACAGGGAAAAGCTTCGTGTTAGCGAACACGCCGAGACTGTGAACCGCTTCGAAACATGTAAAGGGCTGCGGCGACAGATATTGCGGTACATACAGCATGTGGAAAGCGAACAGTGGCTTGGTAGCCTGATCAATGCTAACGATAGCCTCGTCGAGGCTTTGATGGCATATGAGATTCTCGACAAGAGCGTCGACGACGATAGCGACAGCGAAGGGCAAGAGTGGAGCGACGACGAGCCAACAGCGAAACCTACCGGGTCGGAGCCAGACAAACAGAAAGATACACAAGAAGCGTTTTCAAAGCTCAACATTGGTAAAAAGCCCAACCAGCCCCATCCGACGATGCTTTTAAACGGGCAAGGTGGGATACGGCATGCTGAGGATGACGATTCTGAGGAAGAGGAAGAAGATGATCCTTTTGCAGACAGTAATGCCGTGCACACGCCAAAGGCTGAACGGCCTGGCATGACTTGGTGAGAAAACCTTTTGCAATCAGGGCAGTCTTGAAAGCTCACACATTGCAGGCGAGAGGTATAGATTCGATTGATGAAGCGATAGTCGCTCGGGTTCAATGTACCATACTTACACCATGCTCTTGTGATGGCTCAAAGCCAATGGCTGCATGCAGAATTATGGATTTCCATGCTTGCTTTTCTAGGTCCCAGCACCTTTGGCTTGGAGATTCTGGCCCAATCCTTTCCCTGCAGAAGCCACCCATTTTCCCTACTCGGTTCTCCGTACCCCCACGCTCCCACTTCCACTTCTCAAATTCATTGTCTCCTCCTCGGCTTCCCTTTTTCTTTCCTTACTCCATCTCACTGCCCTCATCCACATCCCTTGTTTGCGGTCCAACGCGGAAAGCCACCCAGATTGCGAAAAACAGGACGGCAATAGCGAGGATGAAGACCAGCCAGAGCATCGTCCTACATTTCTCTATTGGTAGGTGCATGAGCCAGTGAGACGCCGATGGTGGATTCAGGGAGGACGAGCCAGGGAGACATCGCCTCAAGTCTTCGCAGTCAACTGGTTTCTTTTAGTATCGAATACAAGTCGTGCCGTAAGGTCTTCCAGTATGTAACTCCTGCGATCAGCGTTGCAGCTTGATGTACACAACGAATCAGGGAGCTAGGGTACGGCTTGAGAACCATATCTCACGGGCTCTGTAGGCTACAGCCGGTGTCCGCGGTGGGGATGGTCGGTGATGGAGGGAGAGCGAGGGAGGTTGGGATTGCATGTCATGTCATGTCATGAGAGAGAGTATCAACTATTGGGGCAAAACCCTGGTATGTTTGCGGTCGACGCATCGGGCAAGGAGTTGCAACGGAGAGCTTCGCGGCTGAAAAGAGTGGGATGGACAAAGCCGATGCATCCCATCGGATCGCGACTCCGGACACAAAAAGATTTGCAATCGAGTATCTTGGGCCATGTTGAAATATTGTATCGTGCTTTCTGGGCCAGTGTGCGTCTCGGACAGGGCCACCGGATACCTACCAGCGCCAGGAGGCAAAAACGGACGAAGTGGATCATACGACTGGATCCAGCATGTGGGGAAGTAAACGATGCAGGTAGATGGTAGACATCTGTATAGATCGTATGGTGTATAAGCCAAAGAGGCGCCGGGTACGTGTGCGCATACGTATGTGGGATGCGTGAGAGAGGGAGGGCACAGAGCGTGGGCGAAGAGGCAGAGAGAAAGAGTGCCGTTCAAGACGGATGAAGCAGATGGGGTGGTATGCAGGAAGGAGGAGAGTTGTGGGGAGAGGACTGCGTCTGTCGTAGGCATATTCTGAGAAAGTTCGAGGAGACTGTGAAAGCATGTGAACATTGGAAGTCAGACTCGGAAGACCTGGGAGGTAGAAGGGCATTAAGGGAGGGTGGAATGTGGAAAAGGATAGACGACGAGATTGGGTGCGCACTACCTGGCCGGTTATTATCAGGCCATAAGTCACGCCGATTCAAGGCTTGAACGATTGTACCATATGCATTGTTCTGTTGTATCTGCAGTATGTCTCTGACACGCTAGCTGATGGCCGCGTTGACATGTTCTCAGTGGTCAGGTAACAGAAATCAGTGTACACATTTTCCGCCGGAACACCTTCGCTATAACATTTCCGCTACAACGCTTCGTCAGTTGCTCGTAAAAATGTTGAAGGCTCGCATAAGAACGTTTTCTTCTCGTCTTCTACTAGACGCCCGTAAACGCACTTATTATCCTCCTAGTTGTTTCCACGCCTTCACCTTCCCCTGATGGTAGCTCCATTCTCCTTCCCCTTTGACGGGGGCCTTGAACCCAATGAGCTGTCTCTACCGTTGCAAACAGGCCTTGACCCGAAAGAGGTCTCTCTGCCGTTTCCGTTTGACACCGTCCTCAATCCCAAAGCGGTCTCGCGTCCATTTGGAGTGGCCAGGGGCGAATTCTTCGGCAGCGGTAGCATACTAACGCGACGGCTGCTCGCCAAAGCCGTGCTTGGGCGCTGCGGTCTTGGTCTTACAGATGGACTATCTCCAGTAGGAACATCTGGAGGTGAGCTCGGTGTTAAGCCAAGGCGGATGCTCTCCTTCTTTGACGCGGTAGATGGGGGTGTCTTGTCCTTGAATTTCACCCAATCGGTCGAGTTCGCAGGTGAGGACCATGAAGTTTGACGCGTCCCAATCGAGCTTTGGGCACCAGATGCGATTCGTGGGCGATGCGACATGGTTGCAGTGACAAGAGCGGGTACTGGGGATGAACGACCCAACGGGCTGGGAAGAGCAAGACCAGGGGAATTTAGATGAGATCCAGCGCTGCTCGGAGAGCGGAAAGCCATTGAGCTCCTACGACTAAGCGATAAAGTAGAGTATGGTACTGGCCTTGGTTTCTGACCAAATTCAAAGTGGTCGACGTTTGGAGAAGAATTCCAGCGAGGCTTATTGTCAACTTGTGGCACGCTAGGTCGTTGGGACCAGCATCCTGGCGTAGTTGTAGGCGTAGGTGTGGCCGATGCTTGTTTGGCGTAGGGTGATGGTGATGCACCTCGAGATGAGGACCGACCGTCCGATGTGAAAGACCTAGACATTGGTGTTTTGCGAGGCAGCTGAATCGAGCCAGGCGATCCGGGGGGCATAGTAAAATTACGACGTGCACTGTTCAGGCGGGTGTTGCCATTAAACACAATGCTGCTTCTGCGGCTCAATCCATTCATGCCAGGAGACTCATCACGCTTGTTGCCACTTGTTGGGCCCATAACAACAGAGGATGCAGGCGAGCTGCCGGGGGTGTCAACAGCACTACCATTTGCAGATCGGTCCAAGGAACGGTCCATGGACATGATACTAGAAATAGAGTCACGCAGCTGTTGATTCTTGTTTATGGTCAGATCATCCAAAGCCAGGTTCATGTTTTTCATCTCGGAGTTAGTGCTCTGCCATCTAGCTTTTGTGTCCGACTGCAGCCTTAGAACCTCGCCATTAACAGTGAAACGGTCAGTAACACCTTTGTCAATGATTTCCAGAACCTTCTCAATTGCTGGTCCGTAATGAATCTTCTTTGCCTCATAGGCCTCCACCTTCTTAGCTAGCAATGGAGGATTGCTGTGCTGAGCCCCTACATCGATAGCTTCTTGAAGCTTGGTGATAGCGCGCTCGATTGACTCGCAGAGCTTTTGAGCTTGCCTTCCAGCGTTGCGGAACAGAAGCACCCAACGATCCTCGCCGAGCTCTTGCCTCAGACGTTGAGCATCGTGTTCTAAAATCTTCCACTTCTTCTCTAGGCTTATCCTCCTTGACTCTAACTCCTGGCAAGCTGTAGGCAGCACTGGCTGTGCTTTAGCGTGAAAATTCGACAGAGTCATTGGAAGAAAGTCCAATGACGCCCGAAGTGGCTGCATGCGAGCGAAGAGAGCCAGAAGTCGGTCATCTTCCGGTGCCATGCCGGTTCCTGGCGACTCCATTGGTGAGCTTGGTGGTAGAGCATTTGATAAGCTAATGCGATGGCTTGTTGTCTCCCTCTCGCCCTCTTCCACTATGGTGTCAAGCTCCTGCATGTCAAGAGCTCCGATGCTCTCAGATGGATCTGCGAGCAACGCTTTGTGCCTCGCCTCCTCCATCTCGAAGACCAGTCTGGACAGGTTTTCCACCTCCAAACCGATATCTCCGAGTACAATATTCCATAACTCTTCCCATTCCATTGCCAGTTCAACCTGTCGTTTGATGCCCTTGAGTGACCTCCGCACGCTCTCCCAACCCTCAAGGATTCTCTCCATCTGATCAACGACAGCGGGCAGCTGCTCTTTAGGAATATCCGAGATGTCGTCTCGATCCTGCAGGTCTTCAATCGCTGTGACGTACACCCCAATAAGGCTTTCGAATTTCTCAATCGCCGTTTGAACCTCCCCAAGCCCTTCTCGCCCTCCGGCAGCCGCCCATTCCACATCATCTTCGGCATCAAGTCCACTCAAGACCTCCGTTGCCTTCTGGAGCCATCGTCTGATCTGGTCTGCTGCGCTGCTGAGAGTGGTCGCGGCGATAGGAGCTGTAGGTATGCAGGAGATGCTGCTAGACAACGAGGTCGCATTGGGTAAAGCCAGGGAAGTCAACTGTGAAAGCTGACTTGTGAGCGATATGCGTGAGAGTGAGTATACCGAATTCGCTCGGGATGACCTTATTGAGTTCAAAGAGTTGAAGTACGACTCTGCATCTACTGGCGACACAAGCATCTGCTGCGAGGATATTCCCCCAGAAGATGCCACGGGCTCGTCATCCTCTGAACTGCTGACAGGTAGGATGTCATCTGGCTTCTGCGCACCGGACTTGAATGTTGTGGTGGATCCATTGCGGCCTTTCTTCGATAACCCTGTCAGTATGTTATAGCCCGTCATCATAGACCAGCAGATGTGTCTCTTGTGAACTAATTGTAAAAGTCGTGGTCTAGTTAAGTTTGCATGAAAGGGTTTCCGAAGTGTCCTTCTCTATTTCCCTGAGAGAAAGAAAAGTTTTCTCTTCAAGGTTGTTCCTTTCCACCCAAACTGTACGTTTGCTTCTCTTTTCTCCGCCTGCCGGTAGGATCAGGGAGTCGATTTCGTGGTCAAGCCGCAGCTTTGTTTTTCGAATGAGCGGCTGTAGCACTTTCAAGCAAGATCACTGGAGCTCATACTGCACCACGCTTCATGAGCATCAATGCCGGAACGTTGTGGGCTGGAGCCTCTCTGGCTGGCGGTGTTGGAGGGCTGAGAGTAGGAAGGTCGAGGTTTGTGTTCAGCCGACCAGGTACAGCTTTGATCTCTGAAGATGTGGCAGGAGCTTGTCCCTGTGCGTAGTGCATGAAATTCTCAAAAGCAAGGGGGAAATGCGCTGTTGGGGAAAAGAGTGAACGAGGTTCCCTGCTGGTGTAGGTAGCTGCAGGGGCCGTGTTGAAACCCGATTTCACGCGTTTGAGAGGCCGCAAGAGCTTTTCATCTGATTGCAAGCAAAGCAAGGCAAACGCGATATAAGTGACTTGCTATGCAAGCAAAGTTGCAGCGCGATTTCAGCTAGGGAGTAGAAGTATGGGCAAAGGTCTGTATTTTATGAGGGTTGGCGTAGGTGGGCAATTTCATAGGTTTTGACAGCCGCAGCTCTACGGTTGACCATTGTATCACAGCCCCTCTTGAGTTAAGCACTACGGACGACTTCTGTGTCTAGGCAGGTCTCATCTGCTGCATTTGGATTGCCGTGCATTTGAATTGCCATTCTATGGAGGTCAAGATGGTGAACCGGGGGTATCAAAACAAATCTGTCGTCAGGAAATGGGAACACTGCCCGCCTTGTGCACAGCACCTCTCAACTGATCAAATCTCCAACAACATCTGTTCATAGCCATCATAATCTTCATGATTCATTGCACTCATTCATGCCGGTTCTTTGATCTACGGGAAACATCGTCTGCTGGTTTGGCCGTATTGTTTCTTCCTTGAATTCTTTTGTGAGCTCTTCCCTGACTGTTTTGCTCCATTGAAGGATGGCTGTATCAAAGTCCATCCAAGCCCCACTCTTTGCATTTACCACTCCCGAGACATTGACTTTCAGCTTGGTTTCCCACCGGATCTCGGCCGCTTTGATCCAATAGCGGAGATTCTCAGAGCAGCGGTAGGGTTTGGCGGTGTCGGTATGGAAGGATTTGATGTCGCCAAATTGCCTCCTGGATTTCTTCAACAGAGCATTGTGCAGATGAACTAGGGTCAGCCCGCTCCGTAATGTTTCCAGGAATGGAGTAGGTGTCTGGGCAGAGTCTTCAAAAGCTGTCCATTCGGGTAGGCTGCCCTCAGGTAGGAACGAGCATAAGAAAAGCCACTCTCTTTCACGTTCTCGACCCTGCCAGGACCCTTCAAGCCAAGCCCAGCTGTCTTGGGTTTCTTTCTCCTGCTCCTCCATTGCTGCTTCTTTGCTTAGGAAGGCTTCTATGCCTTCCACCCAATCCTTCATAATCCTCAGTTCTTCCTCCCTCATCCCACCAGCAAAATTTCGGCCAGCCATCCTTTTCAGCACATCGAGAACACTAAGAAGTTCTTCACGTATCTGACGTTCCGACTTGATGCTGTACAGTCGGTGCGGGTCTTCGTGGGAAGTGTAGTAGATTTTCGCAGCGCGAATCGCCAGGGTGACAACATCCAATATGTGCACACCTTGTATCTCATACCAGCCTGATGACTGTGAAAACGACGATGACACGTGGTTTTTGTTGTCTACGTCAGGAGAGTTGCTTTCTGGTTCCAGCTTTCGTTGTTCGTGGTCCTGCTGATTTTGATCTTGAATTTCTTGTAACGCCTTTTTGGCATCAGCCAGAGTGGTCTTGAGATCATGCCTGAGCGTCTCTAAATCTGGTGGCGGAGGGATATACTGGACTCTGTGACTGTAGGTGCTGACTGTTGGTGGCAGCATGAGTGGTTCTCCTGGGTCCTTATCTGCTGCCTCAGAAGAGCCATTGCTGCCGTCTGTGTCTCGTCCTAAGTCTGGGCTGGCACGAATCCTAGGCAGGATATTTGTGGATGGCTTCTCAAAGCCGTTTTTGTTCTTCGATCCTTTTGCCAATTGGCCTCCCTTGCCGTCTAATAAGCCAGTGCGGGCGAAGTAATATTGGAGATGAGCAATGCTGCCCAAGCTAAGAACACTATCTCTGTTCCCAGCCGAAGGGGCGAATGAAACACCTTGTGGCCGGACATAGCCTCTTTGGCGGACAGCGCCAGATGCAGAGACAGAACGAGAGGTTATGGATGGTTGAGAGCCCGTAGAAACCGAGGAAGTGGTTGATGAATTAGCGGAGAAAGATCGACTCAACGGTGGACAGGCAAATAGTGCAGGCGTAGGAGATGTTGACGGAGATGGTGAGGAGTCTCTGGTAAAAGGTGGGGAACAAGAGGCATTGCTTTCGGTTAATGGACTGATTGCCATGACTGGCACAGGCGAATTATTGCTTACATGATCATACATGATTGTGTATAGGCGATTGGGGATATGGACGACCACAAGAAGTGTACAGAGGCATGAACAGGAAGACACTTCACTCAACCATTGATCTTACTGACGAAGCCATTTTCTTGCTTGTTGTTGAACGAAGTGTGGAGTCGGGCCAACAGGGGCACTAGGGTCCAGGGGTGAAACTCAGCGCGACGCGCTTGTAAAGGGACATGCCGGTGTTTAACCTCGGAACGCGTTTTACCGCTATGGCTTGTCCACATTTCTACAGGTTGTGAGTCTGCGAAAGAACATGCACCTTTTCGGTGGAGCGATAGAGCAGAGTGGAATTGTGCCACTATGGATATAGGCAATTTCTTCTAGCTGTGGTGGTGGCTTCTCTTTGGGCTCTAAGCTATGTCCTATCGCTAATTTCCTGATCCATTCGACAGAAAGGATTAGATTCACTGGGTCCCAAAGGATTTCTCTCCTTCCTGCGCATATACCCCAGTCAGCATCGCTTCTTCGATCCAGGAACCCGAGTTCTAGAGAAAATCTGGGAATAGAGAGAACGGGACCCTTCCGAAAGATTCCAGTGACTCTGCTTTGGAACCAAGTAGGAAGAAAACGCTCTGAAATGACAGACCTTTGTCTTGATCTCTTCCTTCTCTACCTTTACTACGTGTGCCGCACCGGGCCCATTGTTGAGCTCTTTGAGGAATGACTTGATGCTGTCTTCCGAGCCTTGCGCTTCCCCAGCTACCTACACAGCCGACTGTTAGTCACTAAATTCGATATATCATCATGTTGACGTTTGGGAAATGGTTCCTTGCGGTATCTTGTTACGTGATAGCCCATCTAAGAGGAATTGTGGATGGAAGAGGTGCAAAAGAGCAAGCAAAAATAGTGAAAGGAGCAGGAGACAAATGAATAACGCTTTGAAGAATTGCCAGGAGCCCGTACCTTGTCGTCCGAAGTGTTCGCAACAAAGCCCGTTAGGTTCAGGGACTTTGCTTTTGATTGGGTGAACGATCTGTCAAGTAAGAAATAGTCAAACATGGCCTATCCTACATTTTGTGAAATTGGCGTTGCAGTATGCCTACCGAAAGTTGACACCTGCTAACAGTCAACAGCCTGAGCTAATCGAGGCCTCAGAATGAGATAATGACAAACCCTGCACTGTGCCATGTACTGTGTAGGAAATCTGTTCGAAGCGAGGATCAGCTGGCTAACCCTCTTCATCAATGCCTCCGCCCATGCATACACGTTGTTGAGACATTGTGCCGGCAGTAGTTGAGAAGAGTCTTTGCATCAATGTACTTTGAGCGTCAAGTCGTGGAGAAATCAGTAGAGCGGTTGCAATGTGCCCTCAATTATCTTTCACGTAGTCTCAGAATTCAGACTCTACTTTTTGGGGGGGCTCCGGAACATTATACTGCCGAGCCGATTCCGTCACAACCCCCCATGTAGAAAGGTCATTGCTGAAACCTGCACGTGACGTCAACTGTACGCGCTGAAACTTCAGTACTTCATTGTCTTCACGAATGCCTTATATTTGGAAAGGTCTTATGAATGGCAGGCCTGTTATCATCTACTAAACTCTCTCAATATCTATCAATGCTCTCTAACGTCGCCTGTTGGGCCCTCCAGTGTTGGCTCGATCGGCCATGCTAACAACATCCCCAATACCAGCCTCTTCTTGCCTCTCTTCTTCCGCTGTGATCTCTTCCCTGCTGTCCCACCATCTAGTCTCCGCTAGATCAAATGCCACCTTCCTCAACTCTTTGATAGAATTATTCGCGCCATCACTCTTGCTATGCAATTTCTCAAGAACAAGCTCTTGCCATGAATTCGAAGTCCTAGAGAAGAATTCGCGAAGACTTTCAAATGCTCGCGGGTGAGGCCTCGTGTCGATCAATGTAGTTTCTGGCTGTTCATCTTCAGTCTCATCCATGTGCTCCTCTGCCAATGGTATTTCCGTAGACTTTGTTGGGATCTCTGTTGGTAGCAGAGCCACACCTGAAGGCGTGTCTCCCTCCATGTCTTCATCTGTTGAACCGAATTCTTCCTCTCCATCGGAACCCGATTCGCTCTCCGAATCGTCGACTTGCCAATTTTCGAGTTCCCTTCTGTAAATTTCTTGAATGCCATCGAGTTTACCGAGATCGACGGCGTGCATCTCATCAAATGTATATTCGCGATCACCGCGCTCATAGGTGCCTCCAAAGATATACAATACATCGCCTTGAACGGCCAGCTGGGCGTTGAACCTGGGATGGGGCATGGTGCTTTGGATTGGTTTGGCTGCCTTAGGCGGCGACCCTTCTGCCTCCATCATGGGCTCTGTATCTATAGTATGTGAATCCGCAATGGTTCCCTTTGTTTCCAGTGCCGCAAGGTTGCGGAGCAACTCAGCTTCATCTGCTTTGCTTCTGCCTCTTCTTGCACCACGATCTTCCATCTGCTTCTTGGGAGCAATTTTGGCTCGCCGCAATGTTAGGGGGAAAAATCTATTACGCTCGATGTTGAATGCAAAAAGTTGGTCGAAGAATTCGCTGTCGATGCCTTCATCGCTCTCTTCGACATCGTGAACTCTTGATGATTTCGGAGTCAGCATTACTCTTGCGGGAGGAGTTCTGGGTCGCGAGACATGTCTTAGGAGCAGAGGACTCTTGAGAGACATCGGACGACTCATAAGACAGCGTGAATGGGGAAGAATTGCCTTGGAGATTATAACGTACCCACCAAACATAATGCCACGACCTTTGTGATAAGCCTGGGTCACGCCTGCTCTGGGTGGATTCGGCGAATTTACCGGTTTCTTGCGACGTTCCCATCGCATTGTTGGGGCAGCGCTGCTTGTTGCATCTGTAGCTGGTGGCTCGATTCGAAGCACCCAAGTGTCTTGATGTATTGTCGGTTTCAAGACCGATTTCGATGATTGAAGGCCTCCTTTAGTCTGTTTGCCAACGGTAGTGTTGGCTTTGACCCTTGAATAGCCGCCAAATAAGACAGCTCCTGCGTCATGTGGAAGAAAGGAGAACGAAGACCTCGCATCAGGCTTCTGAGGCAGCACAGGATTGTGCCACACGTAATTTTGACAGTCATAAACCCAAAGATCTTGTAAATACTTGGTTACCTGGGAAGTATCCTGGAACCCTCCAAACAGGATTATGTAGTTCTAGGTCGATTGAGCAGCTGCTAGCTACCGTAGTCTAGATCTGTGAACTTACTTTATAATATACTAACCTATGTCCGCTTCTCGCAGGCGGGCTCTTACCTTTACTTTCTAGTCTGGTCCACTCTCTAGTGGATGGTTCTAGCCTCCAGAAGTCGTTGTAATGGTAAAAAGTACCCTGTTTCGGTGACGAAAATTCGCCTGATCCCAGATTAGCGAGCCTGATATAGCAAGGGACTCTTTCCTTCGGTTTGATTCCCAGGCGTACCCCCAAATAGATACACGCCGCCTGCATTGCCACCTCGACACCATGCATGCCCACTTCTAGGCAAGGGACTATTGGGGCTCGTCACTTTTCGCCATTCGTCTCTTTCAACGTGGTAGATAAAAAGGTCGTTGAAGAACGAAGCAAGAGCGCCGTTGTAATACTCGCCCCCAAAAAGAAAAAGCTCCTTCACATTGGAAGGTGAGCCGATGAGAGTTGCTGATGAACGAGGAGATGGAGCTTCGCAAAGAGTCTCCGTGACTTTGAGAAATTGGGCTTGCTAATTTCGTGAGTGGCTTGAGACCATTCCAGGATGCCTTAGAAGAGAAGTTACCCACTTGTTTGGCGTACTCTTCTAGCAATGATTCCAGGTCGACATCTTCAGCGTCACTATCGTCCGCTCCTTTGGGCTTGACTTTCTTTTCTTTTTGGGCTGTCTTTTTGCTTTGTTTGGCAGCAACGCGAGCTTTCTTCTCAGCGTCTTTGGATTTCTTATCCTTCTTAGCCATGACCGTTTGATGGACGCACAGTATCACTCAAGGCTTATCAAGCCGGGTATTGAACGTTTGTGATTCTCTAAGACTTTGGGGAAATAAAGATCTGTGCGTATCAAACGCTCAAGTCATCACCAGAGCTGGTCCAAGAAGCGCATATTATTGATGCGTGGAGTCAAATCAGAATGCCTTCTTCAACTCCAGATTCAGATCCTACGACGAATTTCACGTGACTTCGTACTAGCGGCAGAATCCGGAGGGCGCGTCTCGTATCACACGCGAAGTGGAATTTCGCGCGCAATTCCACCTCTTCCATATGAACTCGCTCAGAGGACTTTCGGTCTCAAGATCTTGATGGCTGCTTTCCCCAAAGCAGCTATGACTAGATTCTATGACTAGACATAATTTAAATCAGCACCTCCATTGGCTTCTCGGATCTTCACTTACTGAACCCCCACAGCCAGCGTACGCCCCACCACTCACTTCATCCGTTGAAGACCCCTCGTCGTTGCCTCAAGAAGTCGAGCGTCTTGGACTAGATACGATTGTTGAGGAGGCCAACAGCAATGTTCATAGCTCAGCAAGACAGCCAGAATTTGTTCGACCAACCTTACCAGCAAGTGTTCTTAACACTCAAAGCGGGCATGAGATGGCACGGCTGCAGTCTGGACCCAAATCGAGCAACAAGCCTCGATTGTTGAGCGAGCACATACCCGTCGCACTCCAAATTCCAGCACCTACCTCTATCCGAAGGCCCGGGACGTCTCTCAAGGACCAGTACAGTGCTCAATGGGAGCGTAGACCTTCTGGTACGGAAGGCGGAATCTAGTGCGACTTTGTGAGCGTGGCTGACAAACATCCAGACTCTACGCTGGATACGACAAAGTCTGCTGCTAAGAGGCACACAGCAGATACGCTTAAGGCACCTGTCCCAAGAGGTCCCCAATCTCGTTATGAAGCTACCTCCCTTGACCTCACCCGAGATGAACTACATACATCCTCATCCAGTACGGTCGAGACTTTTGGAGAGTCAAGGGCCATATGGAGGGAAGACAGTGCTACACGCAAGGAGCCTCCGGTCAAAAAGGGAAAGAAGAGGAAGAGTGACGAGCTTGAGGAGGACGAGCTCCAAGCAGACGTACCCCTCAGGATGTCACAGACTGGCTTTACTGCTATCGAGATGTTTCCGGATGAGTTCATATTACCGAAGCCTGTAGAGTCTCCTAGAAAACCTGACAGCCAAGGAGCGACGAAAAAAATCACCAGCAGCCGGAAAGCTATACCACGTCTATCGCCTAATGACCACTTTTTCGACGACGATCTTGATTCGCCAAGTACTTTAGGGAAACATAGCGGCCAGCAAAAGACACGTTCCTCTAAGGATGCCATTGCTCGGACTGCAGTCAAGGCCGAACCCGACCCAAAGCTTGACGAGAAGAGGAAGACAATTGCGGACTCGGAAGACGAAGATGACGAGGCAGAATACAGGGAACGACTCAATGAGCTCAAGGCTGAGAGAGATGAAAGCGTCAATCTGGTGTTGGCTGCTCCCTCTTCTACCGCCACAACACGTCCCCATTCATCGAATGACGAAAAGAACGTTGACCTGCCAAGCGCGGTGAAGAAGAAGACTGAAAGTCGATCTTTATCAGACGAGGTTATCCCGACAAGCAGCGGAGCCTCTCCATTCCAACGTGACTCACCAACCAAATTACCACTTGAGCTCCAACAACCACATCCACAGCATATCATAACCTCGTCCACTGGTTCAATTGTTTCTTCAAAAGATTCCGATAAGGCTGCTGTCCAAGCTTTCTTGAGCTTCCAGCCAGATCGCACTCAGGCTTTCCTTGATGGATTATATCGCGGTCGAAGGTCCGCTGCGGAAATGTTGTTCAATCTCAATGTTGAGGGGAAGACACCAACTGCTGAGATGTTAAAGCAGCCTGCTTCATGGACAGCTAAGATAGACGCGACGAACAGCTTATTGTCCCTAAGAGAGGAACATTTCAGGCTTTCCAAATGGAAGCTAGAGACTAAAGCCCGTGTCATAGCTGCCATCGAAGAAGATCTGCACCAATCGATCTACGCTCAGGACCTGTCCGACACCAAAAGCTTCGCCAGTCGCCTGACGCAGATCGAATCCGAGATTAGTTTACTATTGGTTCAAGCGGGCCTTCCTACCGCGAACTCTCAGTCGATTCAGGACAACTCCCCGTACGTTGAAGCCAAGAAACATAAGCACGGCGAGCGCTCCACTACTCTGGTGCAATCCACTCAGGCCGACTTGCACGCGCAGCGAGTAATGACGCCTGATGTACCACCATCAATTTCAAGCGGACCGGCAACCACACAGTATGTTCAGCAGACTCAAGCTCCAAACATCGCTCCCCGTACACCAAACAAACACCCTTTGGTCAATCTTCCAAGGACGCAAAGAAGCCCTTTGAGAACATACACCTCTTCGCCGGCTGCGAAAGATGTAAATTCTTACTTCTCCCCTTCAAAGCAGACATCTCGGCGGGCAGGAGCAAGCGCACAGCAGCGAGATTCCATGACGCAAGATTTTAGCCGTACCAAGACGCCTTCTCGTCCTAGGGATGCTAAGCTAGACTATATTGAAGAAGATGAAGATCTTTTCACGACGCACATGGGCAGTCCGTTCCAGGCAGATGTCGATGAAGATGAGTACGGCGAAGACAACGATGATGTAGACATGCTCGAGGTCGCAAAAGAAATCGAAAACCGGAACACTAGACCTTACTCTAACCATGATATCAGACGACGTGATGTCTTCGCAGAGACTTCCGGTAATGCTTTACAGCCAGAAGCGTCAAAGCCTGGTCCCGCCTTTGTTCATACAGCTCCCCAGCCTACACAGATGCAACACGTGTGGTCTAAAGATGTAAAGGCTGCTTTGAAAGACCGCTTTCATCTGCGAGGCTTCCGGCCCAACCAACTTGAAGCTATCAACGCTACATTGGCCGGAAAGGATGCTTTTGTTTTGATGCCAACTGGAGGAGGCAAATCACTCTGCTATCAGCTGCCGGCTATCGTGAATTCAGGAAAGACCCAAGGTGTCACAATTGTCATATCTCCATTGCTCAGTCTTATGCAAGATCAGGTTGAGCATCTGCAGAAACTCAAGATTCAGGCTCTTTTGGTAAACAGTGAAGTTACAGCGGAGTATCGTCGATTGGTCATGAATTGCCTCAAGGAGAAACAACCTCATAAATTCTGCCAATTACTTTATATCACGCCAGAAATGATAAACAAGAGCCAAGCCATGGTCAGCGCTTTCCGAGATCTTCATAACCGACGAAAGCTGGCGCGCATCGTCATTGACGAAGCGCATTGTGTCAGTCAGTGGGGCCACGACTTTCGACCTGACTATAAGCTGTTAGGGGAGGTAAGGCAACAATTTCCAGGTGTACCTGTCATAGCTCTGACTGCTACGGCCACTGAGAACGTGAAAATCGACGTAATCCACAATCTTGGTATCAAGAATTGCGAAACTTTTTCTCAAAGCTTCAATCGGCCTAATTTGGATTATGAGGTAAGGAGCAAGACCAAGGCAAAGGACGTACTCGATAGCATAGCGAACACAATCAATACGTCTTACAGAGGTCAGTCTGGCATTATCTACTGTCTATCGAGGAAGAACTGCGAAGACATTGCAACCAAGCTTCGTGAGCAGTACAACATTATGGCCCATCACTATCATGCTGGTATGGAACCGGAGGAGAAGAAAAAGGTCCAAAGACAGTGGCAGGCCGGGGCCTACAATGTCATCATTGCCACAATTGCCTTCGGCATGGGTATCGACAAACCCGATGTACGCTTCGTGATCCATCACACTATCCCCAAAAGTCTTGAGGGCTACTATCAAGAGACTGGCCGCGCTGGACGAGATGGCAAACGCTCTGGGTGTTACCTTTACTACGGCTACCAGGACACCAGTGCTCTAAAGCGCATGATTGACGAGGGAGACGGCACCTGGGAACAAAAGGAACGCCAACGTCAGATGCTTCGGAATGTGATCCAATTTTGTGAGAACAAAAGCGATTGCCGAAGAGTACAAGTCCTCAATTATTTTAACGAATCCTTCAACCGAGAGGATTGCAAAGGCTCATGCGACAATTGCAATAGCAATAGCACTTTTGAGACTCAGGATTTCAGCGAACTCGCTACTGCTGCCATATCCATGGTCAAGAGGATAGAAAAGGACCAAGTTACGCTGCTTCATTGCGTCGATGTGTTCCGTGGGAGTAAGACCAAGAAGATCACTGACCTGCATCATAGCGAAGTCCCAGAGTACGGGGTCGGTTCCAACATAGACCGAGGAGACGTAGAACGTATCTTCTATAGGCTTTTGAGTGAAGACGCGTTGTCGGAGCACAATGTCATGAATAAATCCGGATTCGCCAACCAGTATGTTCATGTAAGTATCGATCATTCAATCGACCTCTTTGCGAATACTGACCATGCAAAGACGGGGAAAAATAGCTATGACTTTGCGAAAGGCCGGAGAAAGCTCAAATTGCAAGTTCGTTTGTCTCCAACCGGAAAGACCAAAGACCCGAATAAAGCTCCAAAAAAGGTGTCCAAGAACAGGGAGACTGGAGTGGCCGCGTCGCGTCCAGACTGTCCGACATCCACGAATGTCTCGTCTCCTATCCAAGCCGCTTCTAGACGACGTGTCAAGCATAAGGAATATGCTCAACCCGAGCTTGAATTGAACAGGAACGTTTACTGCGGTGAAGATTCTGTGGTAGACGATGATGAGGATGGCTCGTTTAACGCAACAGAGGATGAATCGGAAGACGGCTTTGGTCCTATACGACAGAAGGGACAGTCTCGGAGTGTAGCCAAAAAGCCACTTGGGCCACCAATTACCATCGACGAAAAGCTGGAGCGGCTGAATATCATTCATCGAATGGTGGTGGACGACTTCTTACAGAATGCGAAGGAACTAAGTCAGAAGGTGAGCTCTCCTCAACATCGACATTGACCACGGCACAGTACTGAAGACCATCAGATTCTTATCAAGAAGGCCTTGAAGGGTCATCCTTTCACGGATACTATTCTTCGAGAAATGGCAATCAACTTCCCGCAAAGCAAGTAAATTCCCTACCTTGAATTTATGGCGCTTCTGCTAATAAACACCAGATGAGGACGAGATGCTTGAGATATCTGGTATTGACCCCAACAAGGTTGAGATTCATGGCAAAGAGTTTCTCAAACTCGTCCGCGAAGCTCATTGCAACTATGAAGCCATGATGCAGCGAGAGGAAGACCGGCCTCAGGATCCAAATCACCAGAACATTATCGAGCTCAGTAGTGATGACGAGTTTGACGACGGGAATGAACTTGATGATCTCGAAGGAGACGATGAATCAGTGGAGGAACGAAGCCACTTCTTTCAGCCCTCACCTGACGTGATTGCATTGAACGCAAGGAGTACGTCAAATCGATTGGCAAAGGAAAGCGCCTTCTAATCAGTTATAGTCTCTCAACTTGCGCCAGCTCCTCCTGCACGAGCACAGTCCTACGACGATTCGAAGAGTCGTGGTGGTAGAAGTGGACGCGGTAACTCCCGAGGCCTATGGAAGAAGAACAGAAAAGCGTCTGGTAGCACCAGTAAGGGCAAAGCTTCCGCGGGTGTTATAAAGAGCAAATCTACAAGCAGCAGAAGTAGTGGAAGCAGCTTCGGCGGTGGACCAGCCAAACGTGGTGGTTTCCGAGGAGGCTTAAATGGTGGTGGGATTGGTATGATGCCCATATGATGAAGTATATGTCTTTGCTCGCTGTTCTGTACAGGACGTGCGCTGTGAGGATTCTTGACGGCCTTGTCGCATTAAGCTCAGTATTTGTTGTGGCATTGCACGCATGGCTCTGGTGCTTAAAGAAATGGGCGGGATTTGGAACGGCCAAGGGACCTGCACAGAGATGGTATGTTGATCTTCGCAGCTACAAATCTTGAATCCTATCAATAAGACTCCCAGTAGAAGCTTCTGCCTTGTTTCCATGTTGTCTCCACGTTGTCTCCACCCTTTACCCTGTCTGCTGTGCCCATCTTTCCTCTCCTACTTCTTATAGCAGCGTGTTCTGTGTAGTACTCGAGCCAGTGTCCTTGCCTACGCCCTGATCCATCCTTTCCTTTACATCCTTTTCAGCACTCTGTTCGGTGCCCTTGTCGGCGGTCTGCACTTTCATTAGCAGACGGACATACATTGAGTTTGAGAGAGCCATTTACGGGCACGTTGCCCTTAAGGGCAGACTTGGCTTTGTCTGTGAAGCTTTGGCCTGCGTGCCCGCCGGCTGAGTCGCCGGTGCTAGTATCAGGGACGGTGGAGTCGGTGGAGGCCATGGTGATTATGGTGTTGGTCTAGTCTTCGGTTATGTTGATATTGTGGGGTTGGATGGTCGAGGATGGTTGAGGATGGTGATGTCAGGGAGGGTAAAAGGGGACAGGAGGATGTCTTGTAATGCCTTCGGGTCTCGCCATGACGTCAACTATGTAGAAAGATAAGCTTTTCGATGACCAAGATCAGTGTGTTGATGGTTGGCGATGGATGCGGAGCGTGTTCTGCGTTATCTTCCACAGGTGACCAGACCGCCAACGCCAAGCACAATTGCCTCACAAGTCACGAGGTCAGTTCTGCAGCAGGGCGCGCCAGTCTACAAGGGGCTTAGCGAGCTTGGCGCTTGTATCACCACCTCCAGCCTCCAGGACTGCTTCACGCCAGGAATTCCAGTACTACCCAAGCGAATGAGGTGTGCCCATTTACCACTATAATCCTGAAGACAATGCTGAACCCTAGATTACAATACACGCATACTGGCGCTTCGAGACGAGACGAGACGCTTATTGGTCTTGCCTTCTCCAACTTCCCGTACCAAGATCCATCTGGTTCTGCCATAATGAAGGAACGTCGTTGACCAATCAAAACGCAAAGGAACTGACAAGCAACATGTTGATGGTCTCGTAATGCATGCCATTGACACTCAAGATGTAAGGTCAGGGGCAAATGATTGCGCTTTCGTCGGAGCTGATGGCTCGCTTCGTACATCCCATACAGCAGCAGCACCTGACTAAATGTTGCAGTGAGCATAAAGTAAGGCAGGCTTTACCCTCCTGTACAGGAAAATGTAAGAATGGTTGCCTCGTGAGCGACGGCGCTTTTCTTTGCTGTAAATGAATTATCTGAACCCTGCGTATTCAAGTATCTCACTAACAGTACTACTGAAGTCACGATGGATTCGAATTGTGGTTTGTTTAATATTTATAGTACAATTTGAAGAAGACATTGTAGGTGCTGTTCCTTCCGCTGTAGTCAAGATGCACCATCATGGACTAGCGCTATTTTTCAGTCCGTCCCCGCCAAACCTCATCTTCTCAGCTTGAGTTTCCATTGACTCTCCCGTACTGCGAGGTGGCCTTTCTTATTAGTGCTCGGAGGTGGTGAAGGCACAATGACAGTGATGCCACTCTCCGAGCTGCCTAGCTATCACCCTGCAAGGAATGCAATCGGGCAGTCTCAAGACGACGTCCACGATGGTAATCCTCGCACGGGCCCACTAAATGGAGACGAAAATTCGAATATACTCAAGAACCCATCTTCCATCCAAAGCATGCTCAGAAACACCACGGAGACAGGCAATGTGGGCCAATTCTCCATCAAACCGTCTCGAGTACCGTCTTCACTTCCACGGCCGTCGAAGGCCCGCGCGACACCCAGCAAGCAACGTCAGCCAGGAGCATACTACAACAGAGACGAAGACACCAATATACGCCACACTCCATTGCAATCCCGTCAAGAGAAAACAGCCTCTAATGGCCCAGGGTTTCAGAATCAGATCCCAAGGTCGCATCGGGGACCCGCGAGATCTCCTTCAATCGAGGACTATCGGTCGTACTCCACAACGAAAAGCTCATACGCGAGCCACAGTCTCACCACCCACCATCCACATACCAATGGGGGTCATGGTGGCCCTGGAGGTCCACACAACTTGAGACCGAGGTCACCTTTTGCTTATCCTACCAGGCTCAAGCGCCCTGGCTATCGGCCTTCATCACCAGCTCTCAGTGAATTCAACAAGCAGAATCGAAGCCAAACGAGCCTCCACCGCCGTCCAAGCTTTCGCACCAACTCTCCTTCCTCGCTCCACACGAATGGTGCTCCTTCACCTTGGCGAAAGGGCGTCAACCGGTCAGATCCGTTGCTTCGTTATTACCCTCAGTCCGCCGTCCCGATATCCGGAAGAGCCCCGAGTCCGTCGCCAACTTCCACTCGCCCACATACACCAAAAGCCTCACCCAGCGTGAAAAGTATCGCAAGCTCAACAAATGGTCTTCAAGCAACACCAAACGGTAGCTGGATCAATTCTCAAATCCCAACTCCTTCACCTATATTTTATGATTACACAGAAGCTTTCGAAGAGCAAGGAGTTGAGCAGCAAGACTATTCACACTACGTCAGCTTGTCAGCGGGAACTCTGGCGGAGCATCCAATGCTTGATACTGCGACCACAACATATTACGAGCTTGATGCGAGCCCCGATAGCACCGGTCGCACTGAACTGCCGTCCGAAGACAGTATCCCAAAGCTGAAAACGCAATCCACGGATAATAGATTTGATCAGACTACCTCACAATTCGAGGTAGATGACCAAAGCTCGATGCAAGCGCTTCATAAGGATCTCAGCGAAGTGCCTGAGCTTCCAGAGGGAGATTTGTCAAATGCGGAGGCTGATGTTGCACCAACAAAGCACGATGACGTCCCTATTGATCAAGAAATACAGTACCCTTTCCCTAAGCAAGCGTCTCCTTTGATGGCAACGACAGAACGTTCAAAGCAGCTTTCAGACCAGGAACTATGCCGCGAGTCTCCTTTACAAGTCGAGAATCTAGCAACTACATCGCGGACCTCAGAAAGCCCCAAACGACGCGTGTCTTCGCCTATTGAATCGATTCATTCAACACATCCTGCTCCCCAACCTGTGCCTGAATGGGAAAGTTCTTCCCCTAAAGATCCAAAGGCCCTGCCTAGCTCTGTTGCTTCTCCGCCTCCCGTAGGACAACCGGCAGTAGACTCTGATCATGGCAAGGGCCCTGAAGGCGAGAATCGGCGTTCATTGCAATTAGTACGAGCGACGTCTTTTGAGGATCACTCTGGGAATGAGCATACAGTAACAGAGATTGTCTCACCAACGCCGGAAAGATCTATTATATCGCCTAACAGTGTCAGTAGGTTTAGCAAGATCTTATCTATCAATGATGATCTGTTGAATTTGGACGAGCTTGCTAGTCGAATCAAGGGAAAAGACAGAGCAGATGGCCCAATGCAGGGCACCATGGACAGCAGGCCCCGCGTTGCCCGCATCGAGCCTCCGTGGCGAAAGCGATCTGTACAACTGCGAGATATTGCAACAAGACAGAATGCAGCCGACTATGCCCTAGTTGAGGCGTCGGATTCAGAGGATGAGCCTGAGCTGACGCAGGGTTTGCGGCAGACATTCTGTAAACCAGACGAGCGTCCCTTGGATAATCGATCAAGGTCCCCGCCAATCACACTACCGTCTCAATTAGTGCACCGTGGTTATCCGGGACCTCTGAGTATCCGAAGGTCTCCAGCCGTGAGGAGATCCACATCTGATTTACGCAAAGTGCGAGATCCACCAGTTGCCGATCCTGATCAAGACCTCGGGTCTCCTGAAGAGAGCCTTACTCATGTTGCTGTGACCCTGGAAGCCAAGAAGTCAATTCCATTACCGTTGGACTCAGATCAGAAATTCGAATCACCCAGAGAATACACCGTTCAGGAAGATTTGACTCCGGACATCAAGCCACCACCATCCCCCAACAAGGAGCTTCCCCCACTACCTAGTGAACGGCCAGCCGTTGTGTCATTGTCACCTCCGGTCGCACCACGCCTGCCGAGTCTACCCTTCTCGTTCACGCCTTTGATACAGAGAAGAAGTGAGGACGAGACTGCTTCGGCAGCAGAGCCTGAGCCCGCGGCTTCGTCTTGCTTGGACCAAGGCGAGAAGAAATATGAAGATGAAGAGACTGAAGCCCCAATACCAGCAACCCAGTTTGGGCCTGATAGAACTTCTATAGCCTCATCACCTGACTCAAGACCATGGAATTTAGATACCAGCTATCCTTGGAGCGATCAACAGCCAAAGCTCGAAGTCACAATGCCTGAGCCAACAGAGGATCCAAACCAGAGCACCAGGAGCTTGCCACGTTTCAGATTCAAAATCCAACGAGCATCATCAACTACAGAAGGTACAGCGAAGATAACTAAGTATCCTTCATCCTCGGACGCCTCGCCAAGTCAATTCGCGTCATCTTATGATGCGTTCCAAGGTACGGCTTTCAGATGGAAGAGGTACCCCACTCTATCCGTAATGCCAGGGCAAATCAACAGCAGCCATGATGTTATTCGATCAAGTCCGAATCAAACCCGCTTCGTTGAAAGTTTTGAAACGCAATCGCCACGGATTACGCTCGTACCTCCGTCCCCCGGCTTCGAAGCCCGCAGCTTTTTCTCTGACGATAGTTCGCAAGTGCGTCCCAGGGGAGCCTTTAGGAAGCGGTTTTCTGCACTCAGAAATAGAGCGCCAAGAGGAGCTTCCACGGATGAACCTCGAGGCTACGATCGAGGCTTACTAAGTTCCGCTTTAGGCAGATCGAGAGCTAGTGGCCGCAGTAGCAGGCAGAGTGAGAATACCGCAATCACGGCCGGGGCTTCTTCCCGTGCATCACAGACCAAGCGCGCCAGACGAAAGCTCGTGAAGAAGCTTAGATCCTGGTGGCAACGAGGCGAGGATCGCGTCCGAGAATGGAGATGGAGGAGGCGTTACAACGGAGCAATTGATCGCTCAGTGAGCGCTGATCTTTACGCAGGAGTTTGACTATCGATATTCCTTGTCTGAAAAGTCATATCACCGGAGGATGGTGTTCTTTTTTTTGCTATGATCTGCTTTTCCTAGGCTTCGCTCTTCGGATATGCCTTCCTAATGACCGGAAAACAACATCAACCAAACATTTAAGCAACATCGCTCAATCTTGCTCTCGCCAGACGTTGATAGAGGTTTTCATGACACGAGAATGGCTCGGATCAATATAAGCAATAGCATTTTGTTAAGCTTTTACATAGTAGATTATCCAGGCTTTTCTTGTAGCTTTACCCTAAATAGAAGGAAATATACCAATTTGAGCACATTTATTTATCTTCTCGCTCGAGAAATTCGAACTCTTTTAGTCGGTGACTCAACGCTTTTAAATATATATCTATCATATGAACAGTCCTTTGATTCCTGCAACAAACACATCTTCTGTCTGACTGCCACTACCACTACCACCTGCTTCAAACTGCTACACACCACATACCACAAACATCAAGCAACCGTGAACATCAGATACTCACCCACACCACCGAAAAAAAAACACATACACATCCCCCACTTTTATCAGCCACCATGTGGGTCCGCCGCTCCTTCCCCACAAAGCACTCCCACGACGGCATCAACACGCTCCGGCGCAAACGACGCACCGCCAGCCACGGCAACCGCATCGCCCGCGCCCTCTCCCGCTTCCGCTCCTTCGCCGCCTCCACCGTCATCAAGGCGACCGGGAGCAGCGGCAGGGACGAGGACGAGGACGGGATCGACTGGGGCAGTGAGGAGGTGAGGGCGTTTATCCGCCCGAGGGACGAGGAGTGGACTTGGAATCAGTGATTTTGTTGGACGTTCTGGGCGAAGGGAGACAAGACGGAGACGACGGACGGCGCGCCGTTTGTGCGACACCTACGGGCATTTCGACTGTCAATGGGGTAGCGGCTCGGAAGGCAATGCGACGGACATCAAGTGAATGAGTGAAAGAAGGGTAGGGGGGTTGAAACGAAGATCGGTCCTGGGTGAAAGTTACGTGGATATGCTGCGCTACAACAGAATGCATGCGCAGTGCGGTTGCGATGACAGCGAGGATGCAACTGTGGGAAGACGGGGAATCGACTGGCGATGGCCTCACGCGGGAAGAGTCGTTGCGGATTGACGGGCAGGCTTGCTGGTATCACGCAGGTGTCGGAAGCGGGAGGTCTGAGGAACGTGCGGAAGAGGTGTACGGAAATTTTTGGGTTTTGAAAGAGGAATGAGATTGAAGATAAGGCGGTGGATGCGCTACACTCCATGGAACCACACATAACGATAGATTGAATAAAAGCTTCCTTCTACGGATTGGTTTTGCTCGTCGTGGTATCGTTGTGCTCGTGGACTGAATTTGCTCAAAATACCTGGCGGCAGGAGGAGTCAGCTATTTACAGATATTATGTTCGTCCAAGGATTGGATACTCACTGCGCCACCGATGATGAACACCCTTTCTTCCTCCCTTCGTACCCACTGTATGACCTTGTTGGCACTCTGAGCGAGGGCGTTGCGGCTGGCGTGAGGACCAGCGACACAGTATAACTCGAAGAGCGGCGTTACCCATGCTAGGGATATCGACTCACGACTGATGCAATGATGCACTTTGAGATGAGCGTTCTTTGCGTGTACGCTGGCGTGGAGTGCGTGGTACAACGAGAGTAGTCTCCGTTTAGCCAGTAGCGTGGTAAAGCTCGGCTCGTAGGATGGCATGGTGAATTGAACATTGGCTCGAGACTTGTACAGAAAATGGCGAAGCACAGTGCCGGGGACAATGTCTGTTGTTGTAGGTCGGCCACGCCGTACTGCAGATTTTATGATTGCCATGCTACCATTGGCCTCGAGTTCCTCAACGAGTGAATCCCTCATCTTGCGAAGGTCATAGAAACTTTCCTTGTTAGCGCTGATGAGCAGTATGGCTATGTCGTCCGGTTTTCCGGTCTCGTTTTGGCCCTCACGCCCTTCTTCCCCCCCACTTTCGTATGCGCTGACGAAGCTGACGTACATGTATAGATAGCCATTCTTGTTGAATCCAGGAAGACATAATGGTATCCAATTCTCTCCACCTCCTGCCTTGACTCCTCGTGCTTCGAAAAGCATGTTAAATATCAGCTGCAGGTCGCTCGGATGTAATGAGTGCTTCCTTGGTCGAACGACGCTGACCAACCTCCCACTAGCTACAATCAAGCCATATAACAAAGTCTCGCATCGTGTGCGTAGTAGCGTATCATTGATGACTTGCCGATGGGTCTTCCGGACTTTCAGACATTCTAGCGCAGAGAGTAATGTAGGCGGTGAGCCCCGAGTGAAAGTGTCCGCAAGCGCGGAGAGCAATGGCTCTGTACCTTGCAGAGGACGTCGCAAATCGGTGGATGGCCGATTCGAGAACATATGGGTCAAGTTAGGCAACGTCAGCGTAGACAAAATTTGCATGTACAGAGCCTCTAGCTGGACACGAAGCTGTAGGTCGTTCTCTCCGAGCTTGCTGATGGCTACGAGGTATAGAGGACCCTGGGACATGACTACAAATCTTGCGCCTGCTGCTGTAAATCCTTTCAGCTGATCGTGTGCACCCTCGTAGAAAGAGATGATGGTCTGTATGATTCCGATGTACCCGGATATGAGATTGTCATCGCCGTGCCGGTTGTAGATGGGCTTTCCAGCCGACGAGAGTATCAAAAAGTGTTTTCTTTTGGACTTCCACTGGTTCAGTAGCTGCTCTGCAAGTTCGATTCAGTCACCTATATTGGAATCTGTAACCAGTCTAAACTTACCTTCGTTCTCACCGTCCGCAGCAACTGCACCGATCTCGTCAAATTCTCGATAAAAATCTACAGTCGCCTCATCGTCTTCGTATGCAACCGAGTCGAATGGATTCAGAGCTCCGTTTTGCGTACTATGTAGCCTCCATGCAGGACTCTCTTGAGATGCTCCGAGGACTTCACCCAGTAGGCTTTCGACATCCCCGCCTGTCTCGAGACTTGGCGCATAGCTCTTGACGCTGGCAGAATCACCACCCTCGCTGCCACTTAGGTCTTTGATCCTCTTTATACTGCCAAACGCAGCTGTTGCTTTTGAAGGGGGCGTCGTCTGCGCTGAGGCATCGAAGGTCTCTCGGGATCCATCTTGGTATGACTGAGTGTGGATATCGGTGCGGGACAGAGCAGTGGTAGCAGTAGACAGTAGTTGCGGTCGCGAAGTCTTCCTGGATCTCTGGAGAGAACTTTTCGGACTGTATGACCCTTCTCGCAGTAGATTCACATTGGTTGGTCTCGGCGGTAATGGTGGACGATACTCTTGTTCTGTTTCTAGACTTTGAAAGCGTGCCTGCGATATCGTAGATGATTCCACCTTTGAACTCGTCTCAGCACCCTCCTCTTTCAATACTCGAATCGTAGACTCGTCCTCGCCATCTCTGGGCGGCGATGTTGCTTTGCTCCGGTCGTTCGCAAGCTCTTCTCCACCTTCGCTGGTAGCCAAGGAGTCCTCGCCATCATGGCCCATAGACGTCAGGGTCTAAAGGTGTTGGGCAATTTGTGGGGAGCCTGAACGCCGATTGGGCATTGGCCGTCGGGGATAGAAAGTTTGGTGGCATGGGAAGGGGGGGGGGTTATCGCGTCGCCGCCGACGAGTAAAGGGCGCTAGCGAAGCTACGCTACTTGTTCACTTCAGGCACTCACATTCTAAGATAATGAAAATGTTGTACGGATTCTGTCTTCTCTACGGCAAACCCGTATGGAACGTAAACCGTCGATACATTGAGTCTAGAGATTGTCACCCATGATTCAGCGACAGAATGCCGGTCAATGCGAGTCAGACTGTGCGCCCAAACTCGCCTGCTATCCCTGATGAAGGTACATTCGTCCGAATATCCAAATAGATCTTTTTTGAGCCACGCAGTAACATGATTGAAAGCTGGAGCGAACAGGAAAGACAAGGGTTACCGACGCTATGCTTCCAACGTCGAACGGGCCTTGTCTCTCTTTGACACCGCACTTCAGGAATGGGCAGACTATATTGCCTTCCTAGGACGTCTGTTGAAGGTAATGTGCCCACTCACAGATAAATTCTCTCGGCCTAAACCCATGCGTTAGGCACTTCAATCGAAACCGTCTGGTACCACCGATGTGCCACATAAAGCGCTTGTAGCCAAGCGTTTATCACAATGTTTGGATCCACCGCTTCCTTCGGGAGTCCACCAAAAGGCGTTGGAAGTATATGCCTATGTATTTTCTACTTTGGACGTAAGTTAAAACCTCTATTTCTTGCCGCATTATCTGAAAATCAACTGAGTAGAGAGATGGTCTCTCACGAGATCTACCACTCTATCTCCCTGGACTGGCGCCTACGTTGTCATTCGCATCGCTATCGGTGAAGCCGACACTTCTATCGCTATTTGAGACGTTTATTTCACCTCTAGACCCAGTCATGCTACGCTCGGCTCTCAAGGCGATTACCCTGGCCTTACTTCCCGGCCTAGAGGAAGAAACGAGCGAGGAATTTGAACGCACCCTCAGTCTTTTGAACAAGATCAAAAGTGCAGTTGGCCAGGGGCTCGAGCGTAATATTGGTCACTCAAATGTCTCCGGTGATCAGTATTATTGGCAAAGCTTATTTTTAGCCTCTATCACCAGCCCAAGTCGACGTCAGGGTGCTCTGGCGTACATGGTCAGAGAGCTTCCTCCTCTAGGGACATCTATTATTCCACATCCGGGATCCAATCATGCTGAAGAGTCTGAAATGAGGGGCGTTGGCAGGAAGCTTCCCACCCAGATCGAAGCAGTTACTACACCGGAACCAGGACTCTTAGTTCGCTGTTTTGCTGCAGGCCTCCAAGATGAACAGCTTCTGATCCAAAGAGGCTTCTTGGATCTTTTGGTCACCCATCTACCACTCCATTCTGCTGTACTACGTCAGAAGGTTGTATCTAGAGACCTTGAACTACTTGTTGCAGCAGCGGCGGCCGTCGTGGTACGCAGAGAGATGAGTCTGAACCGTCGATTGTGGACTTGGTTTTTAGGACCAGAAGCATCCTCAGGGCCAGATGATAGCACTTCGAGTTCTCCAGACTCCAGTCCAACGATTACTCCTGCAAGAAGTTCCAATCTACAGCTTTCTCAGACGGAATATTTCGAGCGTTACGGACTTGCACCTTTGGTCAGTGGTGTACTAAAAATGGTTGTTGATGATTCTTTAAAACCCCTGGAGAAAGCTCGTCCATTCCGAATATGTCTCTCTCTAATGGATCGCTGGGAAATTGGCGGGCTTGTGGTTCCACAGATCTTTTTACCAGCAATGGAAAGTGTTTGGCAATACCAGAGATTAGCTCCATCTAAGGAAGCTTTAGAGGAGGTCTTGCGCAGCGCCAACGTTTTCTTTGATGCAATTGAAAGTAGCTTGATCTGGGCCGAGCTGACAAAGATTGTAATCGGAGCACTGAAGACCAAAGATCCTAAGCCTTCAGAAGTCGACTTGTTGAGCCCCAAGGATCGTCTAGATCTTGTGCTGTTCGTCATTACAAATTTCAATATTCGGGAAGAAGAAATGCTGGCCATTCATATACCAATGGTCACCCTAGCTCTGATAATCAGCTTGCGACTTCATTTTGAAGCACCTTCGAACACCTTCAAAGAAAGCGTATTCCCCGTAATCGAAATCGCGTTCGATATTGCGATCCACCTGTTCGATCTTATTCCAGCCAAAATCGTTAAGAGCGGAGAAGAAAAAGAGCCTAAAGCCCGCAGTAATGGACGACAGAAAGATAGCAGCCCTCAAACTCTACAAGAGATTCAGGACTTTTATCACAATTTGCAAAGAGGCTCAGAGGATGCAACCCCACCCCTTGACAACACGAACGTAAGAGATCTGCTACTGCACAATGCCACTCAGGTTGTTGCCCATGGACTTGAAGTGCCCATCCAGGTAGCTTACCTGGAGAAGGCGGTAGCTTTTCTTGATAAGCTCCTACGCAAAGCACGAGTTTCCAGTCTGGAAGACGACGAGGAGCCCGATAACGGGGCGCTGGTACCGGTAATGTCAAGTCTTTCAACGGCCTTAGATGCAGGTGTCGCCAAGAATGGAATTGAAATGTTGCCTTTTCCTACTCTTGCAGTACTGGTCTCCACTCTCGAAATGATGAGCAATGCATCGCCTTCGAAGGCTTGGAATTCCAACCATCGCGTACGACAAATACTCCCAAACCTTTTGACCGGCCTTTGGACGTACATATCTCCTGCTAGACCTAGACATAGCGTTGAGGCAGTCCGTTGTCTTTGGCGAGTTCACTCAGTATCGCCAGATGTACGACTTGTAGAGGGGTCAATTGCTACCCTCATGTTACAGGATGAGGATGGTCATAGAGCTCAGAACGTAAAGATTGAGGGTGCCCGTCGATTCGCTACCGTGTGGGCTCATAGCGGCTCGACTGCAAGAATACCAACTGATCGTCGTCTGAACTCGGGACGTTCTCTGCACCAATCAGGCAAAAGAATCAAGGAGCCAATTGTACTAGCGCAGCCGTTGCTACTTCTTCTTGACTCGCTCTTTGATCCAAAAACTGAACTGTTCATGTTCACTGTGAGCTGGTTGCAGTCGCTTTCAAGCATACAACTGTTAGTCTCCAGTACGTCTTCCGTGATAGAAGAAGAGCTTACAATTTCCTTATAGGATTATCGACTTTTTGATTGATCGCCTTGATGCTTCGCCATACTTAGCACATGAGAGATACTCAGCTGCACAAACCGATGAACAGGAAATATTGGACAAAACCGGTGCTTCGCTCGAAGTTGATGACTGCTTGTATTATCTCCAGACTATTCTCAACATAACCAAGCATTCCACAGCAAACATTAGTGCGTCGCTCGCTGGGAAGTTGAGTGCCACGAATACAAACAGGGACAAGCACACCGAAGAAGCAGGAGTCTCCGGACCAGTCAAAGTCATCGTAGATATTGAGGAACCGGCCATGACTGTTCAGTCTTATTTGACCCAAGTATGTATGAGAATTCTGGAGGACCACCACCAGGAGCAACACGGTGGTGTCCGCCAGAGGATTTCGGTTCTACAGCAAACCTCGGCGTCTCTTCTGAAGCAATTGCTACTTGCTCCCTCTTCTACTATGCTAGTGGCGATGAACCTAGAGGAATCTCTGATTGGAATGCTATCGCGGGCCGTTGAGCAATCGGACAACATGCTTCAATTGCCATTGATGGATGTTATCTTAATCATCCTAAAAACGCGAATGACCAAAAATGATGCTCTGTTCACCCCTCATCGAAGACCCACCTCCCGGGACACCATTCGCAGTGCTTCTCAACTATCTGTCTCTACAGAGAAGAGTGATAAAGACAATATATCTGTTGAACCATTTATACAGACCTCAGCTCTGCTAGACTGTTTGACATTCGGCATCAGCTCCCCGAGTAATCATCAGATTCTTGAGCTATGGATACGGTTCTTAGACAATTGCTTACCCTTCTACAGCAGTAATGCATTTCAGGTTCTCATGCCCCTCGTCGACACTTTCAGTAGAAGCATTGAATCGGTCTTTCAAGATTTGCAAGCTGTGTTTGCCGGCACTTCACGCGGACCGCATGGTGCTGGTGAGCCGATCACTGTTCTCAATGCGCTCCTTGGCGGTCTCGAACAGGTTCTCGCAAGAGGCCATGATCAGCTACTGCAGGATGAGGGGCACTCGGTAGCTATCAAGAGTCCGGAGCAGGTACAAGGCTTCTTCGGCAATATGGTCTCAGGAGTATTTGCTTCCGAGGCGCAGAAGTCGAGGCCAACCACCGCTAACAATCGTCTGACTGTCTTGCTCTGCTTCAAAGATGCAGTGAGGGTTTCCTTCAATATGTGGTCCTGGGGAGACAGTGGATTAGGAAGCTCGCCACGGAATGCCTCTGCATCGTTCAGCTACATGTCAATACGATTGAGAAATCGCACTCGCCGGATATTGGAGCACCTATTCGCAGCAGAGGCTTTAGAATGTTTGGAGACTCTTGTTGAGTTTTGGCACAAAGCAGAAGCAGAAGGCGGCATGGTCGAATCTAGCACTGTCTTCAATCTGCTGCATGCTTTGGAGGCATCAAGACCAAAGAACACAATCCCAGCTCTATTCAACGCAATGTATAGCCGGACCAACCCGAACGTGCTAGATCCCATACGGAAGTCAACTTTGACATCTGAGCTATCTGATATTAACCTTGCTATATTCCTTGTAGCATACACAAGGTCAATGGAAGACGACGCACTGGATGAAATATGGACTGACTGTATGACCTTCTTGAGAGATGTTCTTGGCAATCCGCTGCCTCACAGGCAGACTTTGCCAATCTTACTAGAGTTCACCGCAATACTCGGCGAAAAGATTGACAATACCAACTTTGGAGAGCAACGCAAAATGCGACGAGACATTGGAGTAAGTCGTTGAGCGACGGTGTTTCTGGAAAGGCATTGCTGATGTGCACACAGGATCTCTTCGTTCGCCTGCTTGCTGCTACATTCACAATCAAACCGCTGGCATTCTCCCAAGATTTACCCCTATCGACGAATGAAGAGAAAGGTCTCCATCACCCTTCAGACTTCCCTGAACCCCCAAGACCTAATGAACCAGAAGACGTTGTCGCCATCATCGCTTCGATCTTGCCCAAGATTTCAAAGATTCTGGTTGATACAGACCGAATAACTGCAGCTACAACGACGATATCTACGCAGGTACTTACGCCGACCTTCCGTTGGAAGACGTTCCCGCGAAACGTCACGGGAAGCCTACTTGATATAATGAGAACAATGTCGCGAATTCCCGAGGCATCAAAATCTTGGAGAAAAGACGTTGCGGAAGCATTCAATGACCCAAGGTTTTTCCACACCAGCTCTTTGGACCTCGTCTGGAACGGTTGGGCGCCAATACTGCGACAGTGGACGCTCCTAGACAAAGAACGGATGCCAGAACTGCTGTCCCGTCTCTCATCTCCGACGTCGGCGGGTATAATGTTCGGTGTTGGAGCTTCTTCGGCCAGGCTAGAAGCGGACCGAAAGACACAGCTCAACCTTCGCAGGATAGCCACTCTGATGCTATCTGCCGACAACGATATGTTCGTCGTGAATCTGGGCGGCCTTCAGGAGAAGGTTGTCGATTTGATGACGGCCACGGCCGCTTCTTCGCCCTCATCAATAACGCGATCTGAGGTCTACATGGTTCTTCGGGTGCTCATTCTGAAGACCTCGCCAGTGCACTTGGCATCATTCTGGCCTATCGTCAACGCCGAATTATACGACGCGCTGTCGTCCTTATACCCTACGGAGACCCATGACACATACAATACATCATGCGTGCTACAAGCGGCAAAGCTCCTGGACACTCTGTTGACCATAGCACCAGACGACTTTCAACTACGCGAATGGCTTTTCGTCACCGACACCATAGACGCCGTATACAGGCCGTCAGACTGGCGGCCCGTTGCCCTTGTCGATGGATTGGCAGAGACTCTGGATTCCCGTGCAGGCGCGCCACACAGTGGCATCAACCCGCTCGCCGGCGCGCAACAGGGGTTGCGCAAGCCGTTACTTACAAGCGCAGTTGTGGGCGACGTCCCCATGGAAAGCATGGTCGATCGGGTTCTTCGCCCATTTCTTCGCCAGCTGTCTATCAACGCTTTTGAGAGCACTTACAGGATGGAGGCGCCGGACCGCCAGGCGTGTTGCGATGATCTTCTACATGACCTATTTGACGAAAGTACGCTGGTCTAGGGTTCTCCAAAGGTGATGATGGCAAGGGGCGAATATCTTTTTCGGTGTGAAAGATGCACCTTCTGGGTTTAGGTGGCGTATAAAATCTTAGTGATGATACCCAAGAAACAGAAATTTGCGATTCATCTCAGAGTAGCATCGTGTGAAGGACACGGACACATTCCATTCATGTGCCGAGTTCTATCACTTCACCACTCATCCATTATGATCCTAAAAGCTATCCTGCCTACCCGCTTGTTGCAGCGCTATCGCACATACATTTCGCATCAGCCAAACATATTCAAATACACCAAATCATCCAGAGAACGGTACGGTCAAAGTTCTATCAGCTGTTCCTCCACTTGCTTTGGTTGCGGTTGATGGGTCGGAGCTGCAGGGAAAGAATCTGGCGTATATGCATTCATCGATGGGTAAGGTGCGTTGTTTCTTTGCGATGGCTGCACGGCGGGAGTTTGCTGTTGTTGCCAGTACGGTTGTTGTTGTGGCTGAAGTGGTGGAAGGGCATGCTGTTGAGGTGGATAGGTTTGCTGTTGTTGGGCCAAACTTGGGTGACTCTGTTCTGGAGATGGTGCCGAGGCGTAATTGCTGCGGTTCGCTTGCTGTTGTGGATACGACTGAGAAGGTGAGATCTGCGGTTGGCTTTGGTTGTAATATGCTGCGGCTGGATCTTCCGTGGTAGGCGTTTGAGGAGGCGGTTCCATTGGTGATGGTTGGTACTGTTGGTGGTTTTGAGGCTGACTAGGAGGGTAGTAGGAGGGCTCCTGCATCTGATTTGGCGAGCGTGAGTAGCCTTGTAGGCTGGACGCTCGTTGAGGTGCTTGGGCGTTGTGCTGCAAGCGTTGATCGTAACTAGATGATGTATTCGAAGGTGCCCTGTCACGTTGTGTATATTGCGACTGAGGCGGAGGGTAGTTGCTGTACTGCGGTTGCGGAGGAGCATATGTATCGATCTGTGGTGGCGCGCCGTTCATGTTGTAGTAGCTCTCTGCTCCACCCTGGCCACTTGGCGCTTCTGTAGGTATCGTAGGATACATTGATTGTGCTGCATGTGATCTGACCCCATAGCCTCCTAGACTATGCTGGCTGTAAGTGTTCGAGAGACGGTCTTCCAACATTCGGTCATAGTACCGAACAACAGTGGCTAGCTTAGAGTGCAGATCGAGGAGAGTATCTGAGTACGTCAGTGGGGGTTGCTTTGTCCAGATTCCGGCACTCACCGTGTTTACTCATGGTCTCCCCGTATGATCTCGCAAGCTTTGGCCTCAAAGCTCCGATGCCTTCGTATAACTCCTGGATTTGAGGCTCTCTTAAGACCGTACCGGGTGGTTGATGCTGCAAACGATCGACAAGGGTGGAAAAGAGATTAATGTTTTCGGCTTCAACCGGAGTCAGCTCATATTTATTGTTTGGCATTACCACGTCCATATTTGCAGTTGATGTGTTACTTGAGGCCTGCTTCTTCAAATTGGCAGCGTGCCTTTTCTTTTGCTCCTCCATCTCTTTGATTGACGCTGCAATCGCGGCTTTCAAATCAGGATCTTCCTCCTCTTCTGGGGGCTTCGCAGTCTTTGAGGGTCCGTCGGTTATTGGAGACTTTCGTTGCACTTGCAATTGAGATTGGGGGACGTATCCAGCGCCAGAGTGTCCTTTGACTTCCTCAAGGCTCATCTGTAGCGCTCTCTTCAGATCATCATCAAATCCTTCATCGACGCGGGCATCACGGGGCTGCATCGGACTACGGTGTCTTATTATGCTTGCGTTCCCTTTCGCAAGTGATCGTTCTGGAAGAGGCCCGGTGCGAGACTTGTCAGTCAACTTGGCGTAGCATCCGTCGTCGACCCTCACAGCTTGCATGATTCCCAGATGGGGCAATGGTATCGTTTTGGTAGAGCATTGAGCATCGAAAACGTTCCCACAGTTCCGGCAATGATGCTTTCGATTCGTGAAGCTGAATGCTGTTCGACAGCGCATGCAGACGTCCGAGTCTATCCACTCAGGTGGCTGTTTCGCGAATCAGCTTTTCACTATGACTCTTAACACAGCATCACTTACAGCGCTGCTGTCGAGCATACTGCTGGACATTTCGACCTTTGGAGGAAACCGAAAGCCTTCTCTGTGGAGTGTCCTATAAGTTTCTCCTATGTAGGATGCATCGCTCCGGCCTTCTGTACCACTCGCCCAGACCTGTAAAAGTTCTAGGATCTTGGTCTTTACGTCGTCGTTAGGTGCAGCACTACCATATGCTTTTAATAAGGACGTCAGATTGTCCATAAATTCTCTAGAGGCAATCTCTGCCAAAAAGTGCGATCCTCCATTCTTGACACATGTGTCCGTAAGCTGCAAATTCTGTCAGTTCCACACGAGAACAGCTTAAAAATCTCGATTTGTTGGGAAGCCTACCTTCAAGGTGGCCAACTGAACATTCGGATTCTTGTGCCCTATTCGTCGCTTCAGCGATCTCATAGCCTCCTTTGGCTGAACACTCTTTGAGCGAATAATGTCGGAGACCTCTAAATTCAAAGCAATGTCCTCCAAACTGGAAGAAGTCGCCTTTTCGATCTGCTCATCGAGGGCGGAGTTGGATGCAAACCAGCTCGCCATGGTGCTGTGAATGTCCCAAGCTAAATATAAAAGGCCGGTGGCTCTGGATGAATGTTTACAGTCCTCTGTTGTAGCGACCTTCTGTTGTGCTTCGGGAAAGATGATGCTTGAGGTTGGACGAGTGGACAAGCTGTCTAGGATGTCAGGTAAATGGTCCAGGCTGTCGTTGAATCGACCGAGACTCTCAAGTCTCAAAAAGGCTCGGCATGACGGAGCTTTCGGGGCAGATTTTAGCGCCCGCTGCGGGTAAATTCGAGGTGATAGTGATGCCTCGTGAAAGATGGTCCAGTTCGCTGACAATGGATGCAACAACTCTCATATTGATGCCTATTCTACAAGCACCGACACCGACGAACCACTCCAAGCAATACATTACCGAGGAACCACAGTGCTTTGAAATTCCAATGTTCTAGCGGGCAGTGACGTCCATGAAGCAGGCAGACTCACCACCCTCATCATATTGCCATTCGCTTTCAACCACTCTCCGCCTTCATCTGCGGGGACCGCTATGGATACAGGCCTTAAGTGTCTGGACCTCCGGTGATCCTGAATACGGGCGAGGTATTGACTATCTACTATGACCATCAAAGACCCTCCCATCGGTCGTGTCTTTCCACAATTCAATGCGCATGTGGCGTTGAATCGACAGAGCGCTGTCTATCCAAGTTCACCAAGCTGGACTGATAGTCAACGCACCAACTCCACTATGAACGTCATTGGTCCATCCAACGCCCGGTTTTCACATATCAAGGATCTACAGGGGAAGGCGAACGCTTCCGTCCGGAATATTGACCCTCGCATGCCAGTACGTCAACCCTACAATGACCTATCCATCTTTCTGAGTATTCATCCCTTTGCTTGAGCCTTTACTTATATAAACTAGCTTCGCTCCCTGTTGAGCCTTGCGCAGCAATCTACAGGCCAGGTCGGGACGGATGTTAGCTTCAAGCGGCCTGATAGGGCATATGTGGAATACCTCGTTAGCTCAGAACTGCTACTCAACATCATACCAAAGCACAAAGACTTTCCCACTGCGAATAGTGGCAGAGGAGATTGGCAACAGATATACAAATCCTTGCGGAAGGTCAGTGAGGAGACCCTTTAATCATGCCTTTATTCATGAGCGAACTAACCTCCGAGAGACTGCGAGTCACGGACAGAAATGCTGACTATGCTTGCAGCAAAATGCGACGCAGCATGAAATGTTGAAGCAGATATATAACGTAATTGTCCATGACAATACTAAGAGCGGTGTGAGACCGTCAGATCAATATTCGTCGTCGCGTCGTTCGTCAACGTATTCCGAGACAGGCCAACTCTCCAATGGCTATCAACGACCTCTTTCAATGCCGGACACCTCAAATACGAGTAATAGAGCGACGGATGAGCTGTTCCTGCCATCATCGCAAACAACGCCTCAAATCTCTGGGCCGTATCAACCCCAGCCACAGACGGCATCAACACAGCAAAGGGACCGGCCAATCGTGCGTCCCAAGCCTTTGGGACTTCAAGCCGGATCAAACTCTCGTGGTGTATCTCCTCGCCCTACCTCTGACGATGCTCTTGCCGAGCGCTTTTCCCAACTCAGAGTACAGAGAAAGGATGTGCCAGCAGGGCCTGCGGAAGGACGGCGCAGCGTATCACAAAACGGCTTTGTCGAGATACCTTCTCCTACTGAATATACGCCGTCATCTTCTGAGGACTCGTCTTCCCTTGCCTATATTCCTCTACAGTCCGGAGGGCCACCTGCACCTGGAAAGCCTTCCGGGCCGCGTGACATGCAACTACCCACATTTCCTCCACCTCCAAAATTTCCTCCACCACCTCCAAAGATACCTCTGAGCCTCGAAACTGAGACTCAATTACCAAGAGCACCGAGCCCTGCCTATAATCCTTCCAAAAGCGTCGTCAAGAATAACATGCCCACATTCAATTCACACTCTCCGCAGTCTGGCAAACGCCTTTCTGGGCAGTTTTCGTCAGCGACTGTTTATTCTCAATCTACGAGATCGAGCGCGAGCTTTGAAGGGGTCCCACTTGCGCAGACCCTGTCTGCAGAGGTGCGTTACAAACCGACAGTCTCGGCACCTGAGCTTTATGAGCGTCTCCAGATTTCCAGTATTCTTCTGATTGATATTCGGGGTCGTGAAGATTTTGACCAAGGCCACATTTTTGCTAAATCAATCATGTGCGTCGAGCCTTTGGGTCTAAAAGCAGGGCTTTCGGCCGAAGAGTTAGAAGAACGACTGGTAGTATCGCCTGAAGTTGAGTTGTCTCTTTTTGAGCGGAGAGACGAATTCGATCTAGTTGTCTACTATGATCGAAAGACCTCTTCGACTGGGTTTCTTGCTGGCCCTCCCACCGGGACTGAGGCTGATGCATTGAGAGCTCTTCATGATACACTGTACGAATTCAATGCATACAAGCCGCTACGCAGACCACCCCTAATGCTGAAAGGGGGCCTTGTTGCCTGGGCTGAGCTTGTGGGCCCTCAAGCTCTTGTTAGTTCGAACACTGCTGCTTTGGTTGGATCTCGAACGGTGTCAAGAAAACCAGGAAGGCCAATAGGGCGCGTGCCCATGGCGAGTGCGAACTCGAGCTTAGAGGTGCGAAAGCGTAGACTTAGAGATCAGAAGCCACTCAACCCCGATGAAGAGAAGTCGTGGCTCGAGACAGCATCGAGAGAGGAGGTCGACCCAGCAGACTATCGACACGCCCAAAGCGATGGAGATACAGATTCGAATAGCGACGAGCCCATGTCACCGTTCATTCATACTTATGAGGATTTCTTAAGAAGGTTCCCCGAAGTCTCAGCAGAGCAGCAGTCAATGATGGTCTCATTGCCCCCACCGCCACCACGATCACGACAACCAATGCCGCCGCCTCCACCACGATCATTACCTACTGTACCGTCACGGCCAGCTCCTGCAGTTCCACGGCCCAGCTACAGTGGTGTATCAGAACGAGAATCAACACAATTCTCTCCCGCTTCCCGACACTCTTCATCTAGACAACATCCGCTATACACGTCGAGATCGATCTCTCATTACCTAAAACTCCCAAGGACTGGCCTCATCAACTTTAGTGTGACCTGCTACATGAATGCCACCATTCAGTGCCTTCTAGCCACCATACCCCTCTCGCATTATTTCCTAGACAACAAATGGAAGGATCAAACTCAGAAGAACTGGAAAGGCTCTAACGGTATCATGCCAGGCATCTACGCAAATCTCATTCGTAGCCTCTGGAAGGATGACGTCCAAGCTATTCGTCCAAGCTCCTTGCGTAGCTTCTGTGCTCGACTCAACAAGGAATGGGGTGTGGACCGCCAGCAGGACGCCAAGGAATTTTTTGATTTCCTAGTTGACTGCTTGCACGAAGATCTCAATGAGAATTGGAACCGTACTCCCTTGCGACCCCTTACTTTGAGAGAAGAGATGGACCGCGAGCGTATGCCTATTCAGACAGTCTCGAAGATAGAGTGGAACCGCTACACGCACCGCGAGAAATCCTGGATCTCCGACCTCTTCGCGGGCCAGCACGCTTCGCGGCTCCGTTGTACGACTTGTCAGAGTACCTCCACCACCTACGAGGCCTTCTATAGCATTAGTGTTGAGATCCCACGCTCCTCCGGTAGACGACCCTGGGATATTCACGATTGTTTGCGCAGCTACTGCCAAGAAGAGAGGCTCAGTGGGGACGAAGTGTGGAAGTGCCCACATTGCAAATGTGAGAGGGAGGCGACGAAGCAGATTACCATCACGAGAGCGCCGCAATTCCTGGTGGTGCACTTCAAGCGCTTCGAGATGCAAAAGGGTCAGAGTGCGAAAAAGGTGCACACGCCCATTGGCTTTCCACTGTTTGGCCTGAACATGGAACCCTACATGATTCCTCAAGCCTCCAAAGAAGCTCATGAGTATTCAAGGATGGATGAGCCCATTAGAGATGCAGCAACAACGCCACCTTACCTTTACGATGCTTACGCTGTCATGAGACACATCGGCACTTCGGGAAACGGTGGTCACTATATATCGCTCGTCAGAGACGCCGCGAGAGGGAATATTTGGCGCAAGTTCGACGATGAAAGGGTTACCGATTTTGATCCCAACAAGCTAAAGCCAGATCACAGGCTTCAGAATGAGCAGGCGTATTTGGTTTTCTATGGGAGAGCTGTCGCACGATGATGTTCGATATGGTTTGGGCTGAGTTACGATAGGAGTTGCGAGAGTTTTGGAAGAAAACTCGGGAAGGCTCTCGAAAACGGATTCTGCATTGGGATGGCATTTGGGCCGCAGAGCCCTTTTTTTGTAGCATTTAAGCGTCTCATGACTGACGAGAACCAATCTTGAGCTCATTCAATGGCAGATGCTCTTGTCTTTCGTTCTCTACCGCCTCCCACCACCAATCTCCTTGCCCGCCCGGTAACTCGTCACCTTCTCCCACTCCACCTTCTGCCTCGTAACGGGCAACTGCCTCCTGAGACTCTTAAACTCCCCCTCACTCAACCTGCCAAACCGCCGGTTCAGTTCCTCCTGCCACCCCTTCTCGACCTTCGCGATCGTCTTCATGATCTCGCCCGCCGACGCAGCCACCGTGCTAGGCGGAAGCGTCTTGGTCGTGAGCAAGCGCACGTTCCCGTCTTCGTAGTAGTGGACGTCGCACCTGAGGGTGCCGGTCAGCGCGGCGGTGGCCGGGTGGTAGAGGTAGCTCGTCCGGAGGCGGCCGTTCCAGAAGTTGGAGGGGGAGTACTTGTTCGAGACGAGGAGGACGGCGAGGGAGGCGGTGGGGGCGGGGAAGACGGCGTGGGTGGAGGACGGGTAGTGTTCGTGGGCGTGGGTGGCGAGGGTTTTGGCGAGGGAGGTCCTGCGCAAGGAAAGGGGGTGGGGGTTAGTGTTTGGGGTAGATGTGATACTTGTAGCGTGGGCGTGGACGTACATGAGGTCTGTATGTTCCGACTCGACAGCGTAAGATTGCACGTCCGACGCTTTCTACCCTTTCGGTCAACTCTCCCCTCTGCCAGGGCTATTCCTATACGGCACGCTCGTACCTGCGTGATAGGATCGAACGCGAACGAGCTCCGGCTCTCGACATCGTAGTATCGCCCGTCTCCGAGCGAGTTGTACGAGCTGATCAGGACCTGAAATTTCCCACCAATCAGACTCCGCTTGTTCTTCCAACGCGGTTGTAGGACTGTCTGACATTCTTCCCACTACCGGGCAGCTTGACGCTGGTCAGTTGCTCCTCGTTGTACTTCTGGAACGCTGGGCGAGCCTTCTCGAGCAGGGTCGAGTCGTCTTCCGTCAGGGTTTTGATGTCTGGACGGTGTGAGCGGGGGAAACGCAACGTTCGGACGCAGGGTCATGGTGTACCGTTTACGACGTCTGCTAGCTGAGGAAGTATGTCAGATAGCGTCGACGGAGGACTCAGGCTAAGGGCATACCTCTCCTGGCGGGGCGCCTTCGATGAACGCGGAGATCGCTGAGACGTTGTTTGAGGCCATCGTCAGCCTGGAGATTTATTTGGATTGTTGTTGTTTATGCCGCATGGGTGAATTAGAGGCGGGTTGAAAAGGGAATGTGGTTGTTGAGCGCATGTGCTGTTTGGGGCAGGATCAAAACATTTACGGACTACCAAACGACGAGATGATTTATTGCTACAAAGTTTGGTGATAGCCACATCGCAGCAGTGCCATAATTCTAGAACGGTTTTTGGATCATTGATGCAAATAGAATTGTATTGCATGCTCCAAAAAAAAGGAGTCGCCGATGGGGTATCTAGTAATGATATAAAAGCAAATGGCCGCCATGCACCGTCTACCGGTCACTCAATGCTCATGTTCATCAAGCCGTCGTGAGTGTCAGTCATACCCTGTAATCCGACCCGCTTCGAGGGACCTCCAGGCCCGTTCATGCTGCCGTTGCTCCCTGTACTGCTCACCCTGTCCCCAGAAACGTGGACGCTAGGCACCTCCCGATTGCTCTTCGGGGTGCCCCACCAGCCGCCATCGCGCTGTAAAGGCGACTGGGGAAGAATTGGACTGTTCTGCAGGCTCAACCCTGGCGAGACCGCGCGACGTTTGAAGTAGTTCGGATCGAAATCGTCGTCCCGCATGCGCTTGTTGTTGCCTTTTTTCGGCATCTCGAAAACGGTAGTCTGGGTTGTAGATGCCAGCGACTCCTGTGAGACGGATGGCCTTGCAGTTGTTTGGTGTGGGATTGAAGACTGCAGAGACCCAACCGGAGTGTCCATGTTCATGTCGTCACTCATTCCTGAAGAGCTCTCTCTCGGTATGATCTGCGGTGGAGGTGTTCGCATTCGCTCGTCAAAGTTATTCCAGAAGGTTGAACCTCCGGAATGCCTGATAGCTTGATGTGAGAATGCACTTGAGGAGCGTCGACTGCAATTATCGTCGCCGTTCATTGACGGATCCTCAGAGATGTTCTCCAGACTATCCAGTGGACCGGCTGTGGCAGTCAGATTTGGCGACGACGCTGTCGTAGTTGGTTGCGAAGGGTGGAGATTAATATCGCTATCGGCATCACTCTCCCGAACCTGTCGAATCACTTCGGCTTCTCTGCGGACCTCACTGTCGATGGGCGCTCCTTCTTCAAGAAGCGCAGCTCGGATGCGTGCAAAGCCCTTGGGTTTCGGCTAGACATTGTGTGAGCATATGACTACAAAGCATTACAGAACGGATAATTTTGTTTATCACAGGATGCGGACATACCAGCATATTCCCCCTTCGTGTCACTGCCCTTCGAATGACATTCCTCCGATCATCCATAGTTGGTGTCACTGGTGTTGGGATCGGCACCTCCTCATGTGAATGCATCCGAAAAAGCCCCTCACCATCACTTTGCTCCGCATCAGACAGTTGCATGTCATTGGTGCCGAGACTGAGGCTTTCTCGTCTTGAAATAATCTCTTTCTTTGATGGATCCTCGAGAAAGTATCCTCCATTCATGCTCAGACTGCTCTCAATGCTTCTCAGCAGAGGAGGTGAGGACGGCCCTGGGCTATGCAAGGAGCTTTGTCCACTGGCACTACTTGAGCTCATCCTTTTTCTCCGCGACTTTACCCGATGTCTTTGGTAGCTCATCAATTTTGTAGCTGCGGGAGAGAATGCACCGATCCCGTCTCCACCAGGGCTTGATGCGACTGAGCCGAAGGGATTGCCAAATCCATTTCCGAGCTGATTGATGTGTGGTGTCATGTGAATAGTATCATCGTCTTCTCCGTTGTCCATCACTTCATCTCCATCTGAGGATGTACTGCCTGAATCGTACTCCATCATACTAGAACTTCCCACAGAACTTGACAGCGCGGTTTTTTCCGCGGTTGCCGTCGTAGACCAAAGCGAGTTTGGTACGCTATTTGGTGATTCTGGAACACTAGGGTTGCTTGGTGGGCTAAAAAGGCCTTTCCGCGGAATCATGCTGCCTCGAGACCCAACAATGGGAGAAGATTCTGGAGACGACTCGGCCAGTGTGGAATGATGCAGGTTTGTCGCAGCTCTTGAAAAGTCCATTCCCCGCGATCTCCTGGGTAGCACAGAGGAAGGTGAAGGGTATGACGCTGCTGCTGTTTCTGGTTTGGGCGAGACGGGGACGCGCTTGGTCAAATTTGCTGTACTTGTGCTGCTGATATCTCTGGGTGGCATCTGCAGACTCAGACCACGAGGGACGACACTGGGTCGTTTGGGGGTGACGGGACCGGATGCAACGCTGAGGTCATCCTTGGAGGCCCGCCGAGAGTCGATAAATAATGGAGATGGAGATAGGATTGACTTAAAACCTTGAGCGGACCAAGGTCTGCGTTTCTTGAGTTTTTCCGGTGGGAATTCCAGTATTTCCAACCCGATGTTCTCGTTGCCCGGTTCGCCGCTGCCATTTCGGGCGACTGGAAGGGTCATTTGACTTGGCAGCGGCGCCTCGTGCTGGACTTCTACTTCAAAGTCGGACATTATTGAGGTCGAGTCAGTCTCTTTGCTGCAAGTGCCGATGAAGGTCGCAGACCCAAGCTAGATACTTGCGACATGCCTAATGGTGAGGCTTACTTCGAGTTCAAAGCTCACCTTTTCAACCCGGAAGGTTCGTCATACGCGCCGTTACCGCGCCGCCAAGTACTCGTGTCTACCCCCGTTTGCGCCCTACCCCCATTTGCGCCCATTTAAATCCGATAATTCCAACGTCTACTATATTATACATATCCTCCGTATCCATTCACTGGTTTAGGGCTACTAGAGCGACCAAGTACCGTAGATTATGCATTATGCTAGACTATGGTAGTAGGCTATTTAAATAAGTAATAGTGGTAGCTATGATAGTGGTAGCCATGGTAGTGGTAGCCATGGTAGTGGTAGCTATCTATGTCGGATTTACATTTGCGCCCAATTTAGATCCGATAATTCCAACGTCTACTATATCAGGCCTATAGACGGCGAATATAGTACCGTAGCATTAGCCATCATGAAAGACTATAATCGTAGGCTATTTAAATAAGTAATAGTGGTCGCCATGGTAGTGGTAGCTATCTATAACAGTATGTCGATTTATCGGATTTTAAATGGGCGTAAATGGGGTAGGGCGCAAATGGGGGTAGACACGATTACTCTAACTCTTACTCGTATATACCCGGTAATACCCGCTACCTAGTAGTGCACGGTCTAAAACTCGATGAATTTGTAACTTTAGAATTCGGATTATAAACGTAGAATAAGATTTCTAAAATTTCAAGAATTTTTGAAATTGAAGTTATATTGATAAGCTTATATCTGCCTGAATTTTTTAAGCCCTACGTCGCGTAACGAAGCGGGGGTACGGAGGTCGGCACTAAAAGTCCTGGACAGCGCTAAAATACTTGGTACTCTTGGTATTCTTGGCACTTTCTGTATAGTTATATTTATTTAACGATAATACTTTATATAATTGCGTATATACTTATTAGCTCGCTCGGCGAAGTCGTATAATCGTATATATCTTCTCTACGATCTTTTCTATACTTATTATTATCTTTTAAAACGTATTATCTTCATAATATATCTCGATATTTACTCTATTTACTTCTAAATTCTCTTTTAAATAGATTTATAATTTTAATAATATAGTTATTATCTTTCGACTTTCTTATAAATTCTTAATATATCTTTTCGAGTAGTATAACGTTTTATTTATAATTATAATTAATAAGACTTAGTAAATACTTAGATTCGAGTTCCATTATTATAATTAATACTTTAAATATTAAATATATTAATAAAATATAATTAAGATAGAGAATAATAAGAAGATTTCTATTTATTATACTATATAAATAAGACTTATATATTAGAAGTCTTTATATTTTTCCTCTATTTCTTTACGCTATAATTAATACTTTAATATTAATATTAGAACTAGATAGATGCGTATTAGTATAGGTGGAAGATTAAAAGTCCGACTATGTATGAGGAAGAAGACATGATATGATAGGGGAGCCCCCCCAAAGCCAAAAAGGGGAAAAAAATAAATACTCGTACAATTATTACTATTATTTATATTCTATTAATATTACTATTATATATATACTTCGCATATTTATACTTCGTATATATATACTTTATATATATATACTACGTCGCTATTATATAGAGTACTGGTACTTATTAAAATAAAGAATAATGATGCTATCTATGAAATTTGGAAGTATATTAAGCACTCAGCCCTACCTGGACCCTTGTCTTGGTATGTCCAGGACTTTTAGTGCCGACCTCCGTAGAGGGTACCTTATCCCCCAAGATCCCCCCCCGGATTTATCGGATTTTAGACCGTGCATTACCAGGTACTAGTAGCGGGTATATACGAGTAGTCTCTTACTTTACATATGTTGAAATCTAAAGCACTTTAGGTACGGTGTCGCGACTCGCGAGAAACAAAATCGCGTACAGTCGTACTCATAGACCGAACTGACAGATACTAGACGCAAAATGATCCCATCAAAGTGATCTCACAGGTACATACATCCATGGATTTTCTTCAATCTTCGCAAATCACTGAGTCTGTATATAGTAGCTATTACGTTCCGGGATATATTGCATACCTTAAAGGCAGATAGAAGTATTTTGGTTCGTATGGAATAAAAAGCCAAAAGTCTGCAACAGGATACAAATGACAATTCGTTTCTGATGCACGGTTCAAGCCTTCCGCGGGCGGATTGGAGTCAATGATCTTCTGCAAACAACTCCCGCGACTCTGGTCAAGCTAGGTGCCAGAAAATGTATCAGTCGAAATGGTAAACGTCTTCAACAATCAGACCGAATCAATATCGACGAAGAACTTCTTGCGCTGATCAACATTATTCCCGAAAAAGATCTTCCAAATGGATACCCAAATAACGTGAAATGAAGAAGTTTCAATCCCTCAAACTGCCACCCTTTTTGGACAGTTGTGTGTCAAACACGTGAGGTGGATTCTATGACTGCAGTCTTGAGGCAAGTCGTAATCTGAATCTACTCTCATACAGCATACTCTTGGCTTGTTATTCAAGACACGCCAACAAAATTTCATATTTATGCGGCTACCCCGGATGCAACACTCCGGTACGGACCGCCTAGTTACAACAAGGAAGTTCAAGAAAGCCTGATCACTAATGTGAAATAGGATGACTCAATATGTGCTCAGTGTGCGGACTTTTTCTTATATTCTGTTGTTTGTCGGGCAATTGTTGATTTTTAATCTTCTGTGAGAGATTGTTACTGGAATTTGCTTGAAAGCAAGGGTTTAATTTCCGAACAATCTGAGGTGTATGACTGGGGTATGCCTCCCTTTCCTTATGATCTTCGCAAGTACAAATCTTAGCCCCAAGTCACGTCTCAGGCCTTGTACCAGAGGTTACTGCCTATACCATGATGGAAGATGACAAGGACATTGCCTGTTTGGAAAATGCCTACGCCCACTCGTTGGAGCTTTTACAAAAGCAGTCCAATCCAGTACTGCCAGAATCGTCGATACTTGAAAACACAAGGTCCGCCCTCCTTCAAAATATCCCAGAGCATGGCCGGGGGATAGAACAGGCCACGAATCATCTCTTGCAAGACCTTGCTCCCGCCCTCAACGCGTCCAGCCTCTCTCCAAACTACTATGGCTTCGTTGTGGGAGGCGTCACGCCAGCAGCTAGAGTTGCAGACAATCTAGTCTCAACCTACGATCAGAATCCTTCAGTCCACCTGCCGGATCAAACGGTGGCCAGTAATGTTGAAGACAAGGCCCTGCGGCTCCTGATGGATCTCCTACGTTTTGATGAGAAAGAGTGGTCTGGAGTTTTCAGTACAGGAGCTACGGCGAGTAATGTCCTTGGACTGGCTTGCGGCCGCGAGCAGATTATCAATGAACGCATCAAGAGCTGTTTGGGGCCTGACTCAGAAGAGAGCGTTGGATCTCTCGGCTTGCTCAAAGCCTGTCGTTTGGCCGGCGTGGAGGAAATCGAAATTCTCACCACCATGGCGCATTCCTCTCTGTTCAAGGCTTCGAGTATTTTGGGACTAGGCCGCGCTTGCGTTCATGATGTTGGAAAATCCGATGGCTATGTTACTTTTGATTTGCAGAAATTAGAACAGCAACTGAAGTCGGGCCATCATAACAGTGCTTCGATTGTCGTGGTCTCGTGTGGGGAGGTCAACACGGGTCTGTTCGCAACCCACGGTATCGCAGAAGTCCAAGCCTTAAGGAACCTTTGTGATGAGTATGGTGCCTGGCTGCACGTCGACGGAGCATTTGGGCTTTTCGCAAGACTTCTGGATGGACCGCCCGAGTTTGAGACCGTAGCGCAAGGTGCCCGAGGTTTGACTTTAGCAGACTCGATCGGTGGCGATGGGCATAAGCTTCTGAACGTACCTTATGATTGTGGCTTCTTCTTCTGCCGTCACCCAGGCATTGCTCAGCAAGTCTTTCAAAATCCAAACGCCGCCTATCTGAACACCCAAAACTCGGCCACAGACCCGATACAGTCCCCAATGAACGTTGGCATAGAGAACTCGCGACGCTTCAGAGGCCTACCAGTTTACGCGACTCTCATGGCTTACGGCCGTGAGGGGTATGCAGACATGCTCAAGAGACAGATCCGCTTCGCACGAGCGGTGGCTGCGCATCTCTTTGATCATACAGACTTCGAACTTCTTCCCAAGGATGTCTTCAGTAACAGAGCCAGCATCGATCAGAGTATTTTCATCATCGTACTCTTCAAAGCCAAGAATAAAGCTCTGAATGACACGCTTGTCAAAAGGATCAACGCGAGCTCCAAGATGTATGTGTCGGGGACAGTGTGGGATCATTGTCCAGCGAGCCGCATTGCAGTCTCCAACTGGCAAGTCGATCCAGATTGTGACCTAAACGTTGTGAGGACGGTTCTCGAGAATGTTTTAAGCGAGTGGTCCAAAGAATGCTCAAAAACTTAGGCATTGATGAGTGTATTGATATGGATGTAGAAGCTCAATCATAACAGGCTAGAATGCACATCTCACTTAGCGTATTGGACTTTAAATAGTTTGTCTTGACTGTCTTGGTACATATGTGTACGATGCCTGAGGCTGATGAGACGACATGTTCCGACGCCCGAACTCCAGCTGTGCCATTACATTTTGAATCGCAGAGTCGAGAGACGCATAGCTTTAGACATTCCGACATTGAAGCTGGTGGAAGCCCCCGTTCCCGATTTTTCGTTCCCTGGTATACGACCTTCACTTCTTTTTCTTCTCCATCGCCTCCATCTTGTCCTCCAGCGTCGCGACATACGCATGGATCTTCTGCACCGCCGCTTGAAGAGCCTGCGTCAATGCAAGACAAATCAGCCTCTGGTCTCCGGAAAGAGTGAAGAAAAGGTGATCTCATTGAAAGTCTATCGACGAGCATGCCCCAATCTATAGTCCCACAAATGCATGCTTCAGGAGTCCCGGCGCCCTCGAACTCTCCCATTATCACCGCCCCGGAGTTTCGTAAACGCCCACCGCATGCATGCACGCCATCATAATCGTACAGCCGTCTACCATCGTCTATTGAACCCCCGTATGTAAGATGCAGCGCAAATACAATGCCACGCGAAGCCTTTCAAAAGGCCGCAGCAACACAAGCACGCGTGCGTCGTCTAAACCGCCACGCGCTCGTACAACTCATCAATAGAATCCCTACTGACATAGATATCCTCCGTGAGCAGCTCGTTCGACACCTTGTACTCCTCCAGGATGTAGTAATAGGTCCCCGCGCCCGCGAGCGTGGACCCGAGCAGGAAGCCGAACATCCTGCACCCGCGCAACCGGTCTGTCAGCCACATGGTCCTTTTTTTGCAGACGGACAGCCAATCCCATGAGAGGATTTAGGATTCATGGGGGAGGGATGATGGGGGCGTGGGGGGGCGGGGGGTTCACACACCCTCCTCTGAAAGCACCGACGGGCTTCCGCACGGGCAGAGCGGTCGCGGTCGCGTCTTGCAGGCGAGCTGAGGATCGGAACGGTCGGGAGGGGCGGAGAGGTGGGAGGGGTGAGGTTTGGCGGAAAGCGCGCAGGGAAGGGGCGAGGAGTTTGGAGGCCATGGTGGAGGGTTGGAGTCTTGTTGGGTTCGTCGCTTGCTCGGTGGTGTATAGAGATGGTTTGGGGATGCAGAAAGAGGGTGGGTTCGGTTGGTATGAACTTTTAAGTGTTTGTGATCAGTGGGGAAAGACGTTGGGGATGGGGAAATGAATGTTTAATAAAATGGCTCGTGCTCTTCCGCCATGACAGTGGCGATCAGGACATTTTGGCGCTAGTTTATTTTTGGATTGTTTGTGTCTGATGGGGAACCAAAATGATTTTCTACCAACTTCTATAACTCAACAACGAAGGCCTTGATCACAGCACTTCGAATTTGCGGGTTACTCTGCTTGGCTGTTTGTAGGATTCTCTGACCATCCTTTGAGCGCACGTTTGGACTGTTGGAGATTTATCCGGCTCCAAAAATTCCGCCTCGGTGCAATTTAATTCATGTTACGGGCGAGCTCTCTGCGTCTCTTCTTCTTTCCCTCTACTTCTTGATCGAATTACCCTTCGGTATCTACTCGACCACTGTCTATACGTAGTAACAAGATTAACGAGCGCAAATAATGTCGGTGACAAAGCCCCAGATTCTCCTGCTTCAACTCGGCGAGGCGTATGAAAAAGAGATCTTCGACGACCTTTACTCTGGCCTTTGCACCGAGATTGAGGAGCACTACACAGTCATCAAGACCAGTTCCTTGACTACGGAGCATCTGGCCCACTCAGAAGCTATTGTTGTCACCGACGGTGGCCTTTCCAGAAAGAAGCACAGGACAACCATCCAAATAAGGCTTTCCGAGTATGCCAAAGCTGGCGGCACAGTCATTCTCGCCTGTTTGTTCAGCAGCTTCGTTTCCGGACCCGAATTTGCCGGCATGTGCCGGAGTATGAATCTGCCTTGGGACTGGGGAGACTATCACCGCACAGTCTTTGCGTTGAATCCTGCTTTCGCAAATGTCTTTGGCAACGAGGCTTTCAAGACGCTCGAGCAGTCATATAGCATGAAAGCTGTGCACTTGGGCAATGTTCACGCTGCCGACAAGGTCTACGTCCCAACCGATCATTCGCGGGTTCAGTCTGCTGTCTTCCCGCCTGACAGGGTTGACACGGCGCAGACTCCAGCGGTTTGGCAGAAGCATGGGCAGGGCCACATCGCCTACATTGGTGATGTGAACAACGAGAGTGGCTCTCAAGCTCTGATTATGGCTATGCTGGGTAAATGGCTGGTGGTTAATCCGTTGACTGTGATTCCATGCTAATATGGGCCAGGTATCGCCGCAAAAGGGGGCCCACGCCAAGCCGTGGCAGATGAAAACGCCGATCTCCCAGCTCTGGTGTCCGGCTGCGAGATGTGCGGTAAGGATACTCCAGTCAAGAAGTGCGGAACCTGCAGGAGTGTGCAGTACTGTTCTGTTGATTGCCAGAGGGCGGACTGGAAATATCACAAGGCGCATTGCCAGAGAGCAGCATCATAGACCGCGCACTGATCGTCGAGTACATGTGTACTATGGCCATGTGAGCCGTTCAATGAGTGAAACATGAAAGATGACAGCTCATACTTGATCGCCGCTTCTGCGCGATTCGGGTTTTTTGAAGGCTCGGGGGCATGTTAGTCCAGGCTCACTGCTTCACAGGGGTGTCCTTCCAGTGTCATTTTGTGCTGCAGTATGCATGAAAGAATAGTTGGGTGGCGAGCAGTCTTTGGTACTGTTCATCAAGCCTTGACAATTTTGCCTCGAGGTATCTTCTCTGCAAACGAGATTCCACAATTTTCGCTTGATTGCCCGGGGAAATTTCTCTTCTAGACCCTGTCGAGGAGTCCCTCAATAACTTAAATGATTCGGTCTCTAGACTGCTCTTCCGGCTGCTAGTTGATCTCGGCTCCAAACCTATCCAACTCGCAGCGACTTTGTCCACCCACACTAGGGGGAACCCTTTGACTTGTAGAGCCTTGGAAGCACCCTGGTGCCGAAAGGTATCTATTCCTTCACATGTCTCCACGATTCGTTCAGTCGTTGGATAACCCCATGCTTCTTCGAACCTCATGCCAAAGCCTCGAGCCCTTTGTACCATCAAACATGTATCAGCGATCGAATCCTCATCTCCGACGGAAAAATTTCCCGCTGATTCCTTTGCCATGGCCTCGTAGACCTGCATGCTTTTCATAAGCAGGCGAAAGATCCAGTTTCGCCCCAATATTACCCGGTAGAATAAACTTAAAGATATAGTTCGGGGATTAGCTGACATAGATATTATTCGATATATTTTTAAAGAAGATATTAAGATGAAAATAATTATTAAAAAAAAAAAAAAAAGGAAGATATAAAAAAAAAAAATTTTTTTTTAAAAAAAATAAAAAAAAAAAAATAATATCCAACTTTAAAAAAAAAAAAAAAAAAAAAAACCACGCTTTCTCCACCCTATTTTTTAAAAAAAAAAAAAAAATAAAATTTATATAAAATAAAATTTTTTTTTTTTAATAAAAAATAAAATATTTATTTTAAAAAAAAAAAAAAAAAAAAAAAATAAAAAAAAAAAAAAAAAAATTTTTAATTTAAAAAAAAAAAAAAAAAAAAAAAAAAAAAAAAAAAAAAAAAAAAATTATTAAAAAAAAAAAAATAAAAAATTTAAAAAAAAAAAAAAAAAAAAAAAAAAAAAAAAAAATTAAATTTTATAATAAATTTTTAATTTTTTTTAAATTTTAAAAAATATTTTTTAAAATTTTAATTTAAAAAAAAAAAAAAAAAAAAAAAAAAAAAAAAAAAAAAAAATAAAATTATTAAAAAAAAAAAAAAAAAAAAAAAATCGCTTATTAAAAATCGCTTATTAAAAATTACTTATTAAATTTACTCGATAGCTTTAATTAAATAAAATAATTATAAATTTAATTTATAGATCTTTACTCGTATATATATATTAGAAGTAGTATACTATAAGAAGAATATTATAATTAAAAAGCTTACTTTCTTAATACTTAAGACTTGAAAATAAGAATAAATACTACGCTAAGAGGCTAGTAATCAATCAGATCATCGAATTTCACTATTTTCAGTCTAAAATATATCTTATTTTCTTATTTTCGATCTAAACGCGGGTATATACGGGTACGTCTAAAAGAGAAAGTTGAAAAAGAACTTTAAAATTCTTAAATCTACCTTTTTTGATTTCTTTTATTTTATTAAAAATATAATAATAAACTAAATACGTAGAGTTATAGAATTACTTATACGCTTTTAAATAACGTAGCGTAGATGAAATTTAATATAGTATTCATCTAACTATCGAGCTTACGAGAAGAGCATCTCCGGTAGAAGCCCTCGAAGAGCTCTCGAAGAGCTCTCGAAGAGCTCTCGGAGGGTTAGGGGGGTTTTAGGGGGTCTTTCTTTAAGTATATCAAATAAATTATAACGTCTCTCTCGATTCTCAGGGTTAGATCCCTTAAAATCCCTTAAATCCTTCGAAGCTCTTTAAGGGCTCTTCGAGAGCTTCTATCGAGAGACTATTAAAGTAAGCTTAAAATTAATTAAATATTATTAAAATAATTAAATTTCGAGTTTACTTTAATAGCCCCTCGATAGAAGCTCTCGAAGAGCTCTTAAAGAGTTTTTAAAGGGGTTCGAGAAGTTTTAGAGGGTCTCTCTGAGAATTAAATAGTTAAAAATTAATACTCGATAAGCTTTTCACTACTGAGAAGCCCGCGCTCTAGTATATATTTTATTATAGACGGTGAATATAATAGTAGTAGTAGTTATTTATTACTATAAGAAAGGCGTTTATAGATACTCTAATTCTCGAGTTACTATTTCTATTAGAATTAATTTAAAGATATATTATATAAATAAGATAGAATAAAATAATAAGACTATCGAATTATATATATAGAAAGAAGATATAATATAGTAGAGAATACCTTCTATTAAGATACTAGGTTATAGAACTAAGTAATATATTAAGAATACGCTCATAATAGTTCTCGCTTTATTTCATATTTCCTTAACCTAGCGTTATGAAAGTAGCTATTTGCTAGACTATATATAACTAGCTCGATTACATATATAGCGATTTCATAGTAAGAAATATAAGCATCCTTTGTCGTTAGAGGTATTTAATTCGTATTAAGTTTAATTTTAAATAGCGCTAATATAATAATATTACGATACTCTTTATTTTTATCTATAATTCGAAAAACTAGCCCGAGATTTTAAATTTACCGAGTACGCTATTTATATTCGAGACTATCTCGAGTCGATTTTATAACTTTTTAATTTCGAGTACTATTCTATACTACTTAAATACTATATTCGATATTAGATATATTTTATTACTAAAAATTTTTAAAGTTTAAAATCTTAATTATAATAAAAGAATTCTAAGAATATATTTCTTAACGAGTAAAGATTTATTAATTAAATTTATAACTATTTTTTTTTAATTAGAGCTATCGAGTAAATTTAATTAGAGCTATCGAGTAAACTTTAATAAGTAATATTTAAATTTCTTACGCTTTAATAATTATAAGACTAAATTTAGAAATTCTTTTTTTATTTAAAAGTCTATATTTTATTCTATAATTTAAAAAAAAATCTTAAAAATTTAATAGAAAATAAAAAAGTTATTCTATATATTAATAATATATATCTATTATTTTTTAATTAGAGCTATTCGACTATCGAGCGAACTTTAATAAATAATATTTAAATTTCTTACGCTTTAATAATTATAAGATTAAATTTAAAAATTCTTTTTTTATTTAAAAGCCTATATTTTATTCTATAATTTAAAAAAAATCTTTAAAATTTAATAGAAAATAAAGAAGTTATTCTATGTGTAAATAACGTATATCTATTTTTTTAATAAAAAAAACGCGATATTATATAAGAGAGAGATTTTAATAATTATAAATATTAATTTATTTATTTATAATAATTTAGTTAATTTAATTAAAGAGCGTAACGAACTCGAATTTATAATTAACTATATATATAAATTTAAGATTTTTAAACTTAACTCTATCTTATTCTATTATACGAGTAAAGACTTATAAATTAAATTTATAATCATTTTTTTTAATTAGGGCTGTCGAGTAAATTTTAATAAGCGATCTTTAATAAGCGATATCTGAATTTCTTATCTTTAAATATCTATAAGACTAAATTTAGTAATTCTTTTTTTCTCTAAAAGCTTATATTACGTTCTATAATTTAAATAAAAAATCTTAAAATTTTAATAGAAAATAAAAAAGTTATTCTAAAATTAAATAATATACACCTATTTTTTAATTAGAGCTGTCGAGCGAACTTTAATAAGCGATATTTAAATTCCTTACGCTTTAATAATTATAAGACTAAATTTAGAAATTCTTTTTTTATCTAAAAGCCTATATTTCGTTCTATAATTTAAAAAAAAATCTTAAAAATTTAATAGAAAATAAAAAAGTTATTCTATATATTAATAACGTATATCTATTTTTTTAATAGTTACGAATATTAATTTATTTATTCGCGATAAGTTAGTCGATCTAATTAAAAAGCGTAGCGAATTTAAATTTATAATTAACTATATATATAAATTTAAGATTTTCTAATTTAGCTCTATCTTATTCTTTTATATATATTAATATATTAATATTATCTCGAATTCGATCTTATAAATTAAATAGTTTAAATAATTTTCTTACGAAGTATTATTACTAGTCGAAAAGATATAATATATTTTATAGAATATTTCATATTAAGTAATATTATATCTATTCGAATATAATATAATATAAGATAAAATATTAATTTTATTATAATTTTATACTCTAATATAATATAAGTTATTAAGATTTATATAATTTTATATCTAATATAATATAAAATCTTAGCGAGATATTTTATACGATATAATATATCTATAATATTATATTATAAAATAATATATATATAAAATATCTTAATTAGAATTTCTATATTTAGAAGTAATTATTCTAATTATTATTCTAATTAATAATTACGCTAAATTAATAAGATATAAAATTAAATATAATTATATTTTATTACTTTATATATATAAAAGAAAGCGAGTTATATCTACTAATAATAAGAAAAGCTTATCTTTCTCTAATATTAACTACGCGAAATTCGTCGATACTTTATAATTAAAGTTATTAATAATAATTTTATATATCTATTATATATTTTCGATATCGCTATTTAATATAAAATTATATATATTATAATTATAATCTTTTTATTAAATCGTTAATTTAGAAAAATTAATATATTTTTTAATATTCTCTTAAAAGTATTATAGCTTAATATAATAAGTTATATTTCTTTAAGCTATCTTCTCGCGATATATAAAAAAAAGATTAAATATAGAAAGTATATAAAAGTATATTTAATAATTCTAGAATAAATTAATAATATTTATAATAATAATTAGAATTAAAAATTAGATATATTTAAATAAGAGATAACTTTATATTATTTATATAATAGCGATAATAATAATTAAGATTAAAATATTAATTTAAAT